CTACTACTACTACTACTACTACTACTACTACTACTACTACTACTACTACTACTACTACTACTACTACCACCATTGGTCGGTCTCTTTGAATACCGTTATGATTCACATTTTCCCCTTCCAAAGATGGCTGTACGTTACTGCGGCCTTTGGATTCTATTGAGTTGATATCCTGCTTTAATTTTTGCGCATTCATTTCTTGTTTTATTTTCATCTTCTTCTTCTTCTTCACATGGGCGATGATTAGTACTTGCATGCGACTGTGATCGATATTGGGTCGGCGACTTTTCTCATTTACTGCACGCCTCTCCGGAGAAGGGGGCCCTTCATACTTAGTATATTTGTATTTATTAATGGTAGTGTTTAGTGATTAGTGATGAGAGTCGAGTGCACGATAGGCAACGGATAAGATTGCATTTACCTCGAATCCCAATCTTGGACACGATGGATCTGTGTCCTTTGATTTTTCAAACGCTCGTGGTAGTTTCAGAGATTCTCGCGTGCCCTCTTTACAATTATACCAGTAATATTTCTTCCCAAGCCTTATCAGCCAATATTCGTATGTCTCTAATAGCATATTGAGACCGTGTCCCTTTGGTGGTACCTGGAGACGGATCGATAGCTTTACCTCACCTTGCTGCTGCTGTTCCGAAACGGAGACTCCATAACAGCTTCACGATTGTCTCACGCGACCAAGCAATGATTGAAGATAGTTACACCCTTCCTTCCCACCATGGTCCTTGATCAAGAAAGCCAGCCTCCGTCAACAGTGTAGCAAGAGCCAGTCACGAAGGTAGCCTGATCACTCAGCAAGAAGGCGATCACCTTGGCGGTCTCGATTGGTTCACCCCAGCGCTTCTGGCATTGTGCGGCAACAATATGGCTTCGGGCTTCCTCGGGTATGAGATCCGTCAATGGTGTCTTGATGGAGCCTGGATATCAGTATTGTGATATTAGTCATCACCCGCCATCAATATCGTTTAACTGTAGAGATTATCTTACCGGGCGCAACACTATTGACACGAATCCCTCTGTCACCCTCCTCTCGCGCTGCCGCCTTAGTAAGTCCAAGAACCGCATGCTTGCTGGAGCAGTAAGCACTACTCCCAGCCATGCCGATATGGCCTGCGATACTGGCAACATTCACGACACTGCCGCCACTCTGCATGTGCTTCAGCTCCGCCCGGAGAGAGAAGAAGACTCCAGTGGCATTGATGTCCAGGACTTGAGTCCAGTCATCGTCCGTCAAGTCCCGGACTGGGATGGGCTTCATGAGGTGAATACCGGCAATGTTGGCCGCGCCGTCAAGACGTCCGAAGTGCTCTACGGTGGTTGCGATCCACTCATTGACGGCAGGTGCAGATGTGACGTCGACTTGGGTGCTGAGGTGCGATCGTCCGGCAGTGTTGGAGCTGGGAAGTGACTCGAAGGTAGCCTGGAGTCCATTGGCGTCGCGGTCGGAAATCGACGGCAGTGCGCCTTGCGATGCAAGGAGCTGTGCCGTCGCGCGCCCAATTCCGGACGCAGCACCCGTTATGGCTATCTATAGATGTTGCCGTTAGTCAGTGATACCATACGAAGCGTCGCTTGAAGGTAGTAGATAGTGCAAGGCACAGCGTATGCCTGGTTTCCTTACCACTTTGCCTTCCATTGATGTAAGCTGCTCTGCTTTGAGATGAGATCGAGCTCTTTCGAAATGACCTGTGCTTCGTGTGGAATGCTGGTCGTAATATTGAGGTTCGCAGATCCCATCGAGGATCGTCACCCTCGACATGCTTTATACCTCGAGAAGCGCCCTTTGGGGATTTTCGGCCGACACCAATGTAACCGAAATTGTCCATCATAGAAGCAAGGCATTGTTCTTTCAGCTGGGTGGATGTTGCTAGGATCGCGACAGCCCTGTTACAAGACTTGGGACGCATTTTCAAATCGAAAACCATATGGATATCACGTCACTAGTAACTAGTCGGTGGGGTATAGTACTTCAGCCGTGTAAGAGAGCAAGGCCGTTAGATATTGCTCTCCAATCCCAGAAGCTGAATCGGGAACGCTTTGGAGCATAGAGTGACCGATGTCACGAGCTGTGCTTGCTAGCATGCTGTTTCTGAAAATGGAAAGCAAATTGTAGGGGCAGTCTGTGCAAACTAGCGATTGATTCAACATCATAAAGCCGCCAGTCCGTTGATTAATTGTGATTGACCAACTCGTAGGAAGCCAGCTAACGCTGAGAGGCTAACCAGACGCACCTCGCGACATGATACCTAGCACGCAGGACAATATGTAAGCAGCAACACTTCGTACAGTGTTCCCAGAGAGATCATATTTAACCTGCAGCCACGCTGTTTCAGATTGCCAACAGCTTTAGCTTCCGCGAAATTATGGAGAACTCGAGTTGTGTTAAAGTCTCGGGCCAGACTAGACATAAATATGTACCTAAGTACTGCCGAATGCCTCTTCTGTCGGACATGACGAGAGCGCTAACTATTTTCGGGGCATGGGATCCCGTACGCGGTCGTGAAATAATTCCTTTTCTTCCTTTTGAGATATTGAAATCGAAGAGTGGATTTAGGTGCAAGATGTTTGGATTGTATATTATATTGTACATTGTCTGAATCTATCTATATAATGAATTCAAACTCTTTCACAGTGCATAATACATGACACCTGTATCTCAGGTGATGCGTCCACCAGGACGTCTATGTGATCCCCATTCGCTAATGCAAACGCAAACATGTCGTTAGAGAACGGAATTTTCAAAAGTGTATGAGACACAATCTACTTCTCTTCAGTTCCCTCCTCGGTGCCCCCCTGGGCCAGATCATTTGTTTTCTGCCTCGAAAGCCGCAACTGCGCCATTGCCTCATGGGCCTGTGCGGAATATTTGCACTTCATGCGAATGCTTTCTCCGTACTTGTAGAAGATAAAGGGTAAAGGCGTGCACGCAAGCGCGAGGAAAGCAGGGATCGAACTGGCCCAATGGATGCCGAGCTTTGCATACATCTGATCAGTGAAGAGCGGAAAAGCGGCACCAAATGATGAGCGCAGTACCGAATTCGCTGCCAGGACGCTCGCTGCGTAGATGGTGTATGCGTCGATTAGGTAATTCATGCAGGGCAGGAAGACAAGAACCATGCCGAAGCCGAAAGGGACACAGGCCATGATGCACACAATCCAATGAATCGAAGGGCTGTTCGTCCACGCAAACCAGAACATTCCAATGGGAATGGCAATTGCACCGATCATGGCGGGTGGCAGGCGGCCTTCTTCCGGTGGAGCTTCGCCGCCATGGGCTGCCTCCAGACGATTGTAGCGTCCGTTGTCGTAGATCGCGTACGCTGTGCCCGAGACCATACCTACTGCGACACCCAGGAATGCGAGGCCTCCAACGCCTTGAGACCAGCCGCGTCCTTGTTGAAAAACAATTGGAAAGGCACCAAAAAGGAGGAATAGTGTACCGTAGAGAATAGCCATGTATATAGAGATGAGTAGCACGATGGGCTCCAAGATCAGAAGTATCCATGGTCGAATGATAGCCTTCTTGAAAGCCGCAGCCGGTGATTGCTTGCCCTGCTTGTGTTCGACCATCGAGACATAGGTCTTTCCTGTTCGCTTGCTCAGCCCTTCGGCTCGGCGCTTCAGTAACACCGGCGCATACGTTTCTGGAATCGCGAGCGAGCCGAGAATCCATAACACGCCGGTGAAGCACGCCATGATACCTTCCAGCCACCGGAATCCTAAGGCTTCACCGGAGAATCCGCCCACGATTGGGCCTAGAGCCGGCCCAAGAAAGGGGGCAACGGCGAAAATACCGAGCGCAAGACCTCTTTGATTGGCTGGGAACATATCCGCGATAACACCACCAGCGTTGGTGAGAGGCGAAGAGCCAAAGGTTCCCGCCAAGAAGCGTAGCACCAACAGCGTAGTGATGGAGTTCGAGGCGGCAGCGGCGGCATTGAAGAGAGTGAGCAGCGCATACGTGGCGAAGAAGAGGATTTGACGTCCGTACAGCTCCGATAAAGGTGCCCATAGCAGAGGACCCACAGCAAATCCAAGTACAAATAGTGACAGCCCAAGGGTCGCGACTTCCTGGCTGCATCCAAAAACTTCAATCACTTGTTTGATGCCTCCGGAGTAGGCCGAGGACACAAATGACACAGCCAGCGTGGCAACCGCTACGAGCAGAGTGATGGACCATTTCTTCCACAGCGGCCATTCCATCGGATTGCGCGGGTCGTGGGCGATGAACTCGACGACGTATGGGTCTTTTGCTGTACCAGATCCTTCGTACCGGTGATTCAGGACTTCGTCGGTAATGAGTGATTGGCTAGCGACAAGTCGCCAGTGTGGGATATTTCGTATCGAAGAGTGTGGGGTTTGGTTTTCGACGTCTTCCCCAAGGCTGTCGTTGAGCGTCGACGAAGAAGCAGTAGCAGCAGCCGCGGTTGCCATGGTTGTTTATGTTATTATGGCAGCGTGGTTGTTGCTGTAGGAAAATATATCTAACGAAAGTCGCAAAATGATAGTCCAAGCCCTCGAGCCATCCTTTTTATCGCAAACTCGGCGATAACATGTGTCCATAATGTTATGCATGTTGAATACTACCTGCAGCCGCACTGTGCTGCGGAGGCATGGAGATGACATTGGGAGTCATATCTCCGTCCTTGCATCGTCATACGCGTCGTGTGGTGCATTTTGAAAACCTTAAGGATTGAAGGTAAAACCCTTCCAGATGCCCATTTCGTCGAGAAGTCTTCGAGTCCGGACAATATCATCGTCTGACAAGCTTCATTGAAGCCCGTTTACGCCAATTCTGCCACCATTGACGGTCAATTGAAGCCTTTGGTCTTTGCCGTGATAACCGGAAACTTCGGTTCACGGGAGCTTTTTTCCCTCCTGGTTGGATCATGCCTGTCGATCCGGAAAGTCCATGGACCAGATCTGAGCTTAACAATGCATTGTCGCGATTGTGCAAGACTTGTGCTACATATTAAGTCGAAGTTGGAAAGCAAACGACTCTTTAATTTGCACGGGTTTATAAAACTGGGGTAGGTATTTTCCGTTCGAATCTGTCTAGTTGCAGTGCCCCTTTCCCAATAATGTCTTGGAAATTGGGTGAAGGAAGGCACATTATGGTTCAGCCAGATGACTACCACATACGTCAAGAAGCAACTTCTGTGGATAGTCTGCGCAATCTGGAGAAGGACGGAGCTTGCTCTTCGTGTCTGCACTAAGCACTCGAAATAGATCTCATAGGTCTCGGGACACGTACATTTGTTACGTCGATCATGATTAATAAGTCATTTATGCTGTCGCCTACCATCGGTATCGAACATCCGGCCAAAACAACTTCGAACAGACCAGGGCGACATAAGTAGAGAGGCCAAGCTGTACCTGAACAGCGTCAGTCTCGATCTTCCAGCCTTTCATATGGACCACATACACGCTGACGTCCACTCGCTTGTGGTGTCTCTGACCCACGTTCTGCTTACTCCGAATTTTCCTTGCGCTTCTCAGGTTCAGGTCAAGCATGATTGTACAAAGTCTTTTGTGCATTACTCAATTCTTCTCATCGTGCCCTCACTCAGCGCAACAGTCATAGGGCTCGATCCGACCCTCAGGTACTGACTTCATGTCCTGATTTCACTCCGTGGCGTCGTTCGATGGGATTTCGACGACTCAATCATAGCTCATTGCTTTGGACCTCTTGTGTATCATCTAACATATACCTCAGTCCACTTCAATGCCAGACACATGCTTATCCGCTGGACTGAGCCTTTATGGTGACTTGAATACCACACCCTCCACCTTATGCGTGTAGTAGTGCCGGTTTCATGGGATGTATCGTTATTGTTCAAGACCCGAATGGGTTACATCTCCATGGATCTCTCTCTCTTCAAGAGACTCCAGACAACGCGTGTGCCCAAATAGTCACGAGGCTTCCGGGAATTCCCTAATAAGTACTTGCCAGACTAAGGTCATCCTGCCGCGGCTCGTTCGATGAGTACCGCATGTGCGTATGGAAATCATGAATGCCAGGATTTTGATGTTGTCCATGACAGTCCACGGATGTGACAGCTTTTCAGTGGACCCGCACAAAGTATTAAAGGACTCAGGTGGGGGCTTGTGAGTTGGGGGACGGAGCAGGCAACTAATGCTCAAAAGCACCCATGTCTTGTGTGTACCATAGCTGCTGCCCCGAAACCTGCGAAAGAGTTCACCGATAATCTGTTTGCGGCGGTCTTTGATGGTTCCAATCATAAGTCTCCGCCCATAAGTACTGTGATACCATCGCCTGAACCTTTTGCTGTAATTCGAGGACCATGTGGGGCTCTAAAGGATAGGGCGGTTGTAGTTGATCGCTAGTACTGGGAACCAGAGTGGCTGTCTGAAGTGTGGACTTGCAACCTGGTGGTAAGATCAAGTTCGGGAACGCTTGATAGAAAGGCTGGTCGATCCGAAGGTTCTCGATCTTCTGAATAGGTAGCTTGTACATCTGAAGTAGCTTATGTAATGTCGGCGAGGCTGGATTGTGCTTCATTGGAGAGCTTACAGGAGAACCACCCTCTGCTTTCTCCATGAGATACATGTCCCAGATCCTGAAGGTAGTCTGAACTGGGCCAGTAAGTCCAGACCATGTAGGCTCTGCGTCGGTGCGGCTCTGCTCGGGTTCAATGACTGTATACTCTAGAGCTTTCATGCAAAGTTCGTCGATGTTGATGTTGTGCACATTATTCTGCTGCAGCAGGATGACATGATTTCGCAACGCTGGCCATGGCAACCAATCTATGGCTGGCGAGTGAGGAACGGCTAACTGCAACAATGTGGGTCGGTAAAAGTGATGCAGGCGCCTGTAGGTGGTCTTGCAGGGAAAGTTGCGAAACAGCTCATATGCAAAGATGTTCTCATAAGCAGCCTTTGCAGGTAAGCCAATCTGCCAGTCAGAAAGAAGTCGCGGCCAACTTACGATCATCTTGAGAACTCCTCTGCTCGAGGGCCATGCCTCAGATAGCATCCAGGCAAAGGTTTCTGCCATAACACGCTCTTTGTATGCCAGTGGCCTGAGTGATATAAGCTAAAAAGAATCCTGAAAGTATTGAAGTCTAATACTTACTGAGCACGAAGGAGTGGGAAATTCCCATAGATGACCATCTGCACAGTTGAGATATGTTTTGATAAGGCCGAATTATCAGGAAAAGCCATGACTAGCTGGCCGATTCCAGAAGGTCCTCCCATCATCAAGCTCGGCGCAAAGCTATCGTACAGGAATCGAGGATCGAAGGGTAAGGTCTCTAGCTCCTTCTGTGAAGGCAGTAACTGTAAACTTTCCTGAATCATCTCCGACAGTGTCATGGTGTCGTCTGGATTTTCCGCATCATTGTGCTCTGTCGAATATTCTGGATTGTGATGAATGTCAAATTGATCATGATGGGCCGAAACATTGAAAATGTCACCGTCAAGAGCGCCTGCACGAGGAACTGAAGCAACTGCTAGAGATGCATGGACAGCCAGTCTTCCATTCGCATAAGGATAGACCATTGGCTGCGCTTGCAATCCATGGGAGCCTTGTCCAAATATGTCACAATCGTCATCCGGGCCCTCCATTTCAGGACTTTCTGAGCTAGAGTTCGAGAGCGTCGGCATGCCTCCCGGAAAGGCGACTAAGCCACGGTCAACAGCAGTGGTATGAGCATTGTACCACGCCGTCGGAGCCAACTCGGGAGGAACGGCGACCTGGGCGCCGGACAATTCTACTTCGGCCGATGAAGCTTTCTGCCTGTCGTGGGTTGCACTGGATTTTCGTAATCCTTTGACTTCATCAAGAGCTGCTCGAAGTTGTTCCTGTAATGTCTCCACTTCGCGATTCCGGTCCTCGAGAGTTGCTTGGAGGTTGTGAAGCTGATGAGTCTGGCGCTCGCGCCATCGTTTCTGATTTTCGCAGTTCTGCTTACGGCGTTTATCAGGATCCTTGGTCGGCATCTTGTTGTAAACATCAGTAGTTTGTCGGGATCTCTGAAAGGATGACAAAGGTTAAATTGTGGATGAAAAGATGGATGAAGTGGCATTAGGCATGAGCGCAAAACACAAAGAAATGACGGAAGAGCGAAAAAGGTTGATGGATCTTCAACAGCCCCCTCGGCCGCCCCTCGGGACAGGGACCAGCACCGTTCCCCCGGACCCTCTTCGTCCTCTGATGGGCATGGATTAGCCATGGCCCTTGGCTAACGAAGTACCTCGTACTCAGGTGGCCTTTAGCGAGGCCACTAGGCCACAGGGATGCCCAGGAGTGCCCATTCAGCCCATTCAGCCATCTTGGGGTCTCGAAGGCCTCGACTCGCGGCGCCTAGCATTTGCTGTGCGGGGTGAAATCGGATCCTACCGGAAATGTAACCCTATTCCGACTCTGGGAGTGGTTAACCCTTGCCAGGTTGGTCATTAGCTGTGAAACTGCTGTGTTTCGAAGTACCTCGTAAGGTCCGTGAAATAATTAGAGGACGCCTTCAGCTTCCTCGAAGCTAGTCGTACTTTGAAAACCCGCATTAGGCTTGACTGCTTACTCACTCCTCCCCCTTCAAGGCCTTTAAAATGCTTTGGCGATCATGGAAAAGCACATGGCAACGACAAGCCACAGATACAATACAATTATCTATTTCTGGATCCAGCCGCGATCGGAAGACTCCCTTCATACTCAGCCTAATTCTGAACGATGTTCTTTTAATACATACTTTAGTCTGCTACGAGGTATTTTCCAATGTCTTATGTCCAAGTCCCTATCAATTCTCTACCAACTCGACAAATGGATGGTCCAGACGCTCAGAGCCTCGTTTCGACCACTTGGCAGAGCTTCAGCCCATGCGCAGATCCGTTAACTAGTGGTCACCACGGCCTCATGATACTGGCTTCCCCGTTAGCGAAGACATGTTATTGGCATCCATCAACAACTGCATCCAGATTCGCTGGTTGTCAGATTATTTCAATAGTTTCCTCCTTCGCTGCCTGCAACTTACCCTGCCTGAGACACTAAACAAGGAGTACTTAACTAGTACGTTGAAGACAGAAACCTGTGCGTTTGATGCAAGAGATCAGCTGACACCCTCAAAGTCTGAACAAGTATCCCTCCAATTGTTCTTTGGTTCGTGCGCCCACGTTGTGATGTCGGTTCTCCTCCCAAATAGTGCCGCCTTCGCCAAAACGGTTCGACATATGCCCGAGGAAGAATTCCAAGTTTTGATCCGCCTGGGGAAAAGCAGCTTTGAAGGTTTCAAAGAGATCTTTCACTTGGGGCTTGGTTTTCGCTTGGAAGACTTTCTCATTGACGAGTTGGAGATATTTTCTCATATGAGCCAAGTCTTCCTTTGCATTCGGCTCCCATCCAGGCTCGAGATGACCAGGAATAATCTTCTCTACCCCTAATGCCTCGATGACGTCCAGCGTCTTTCCCCATGCTTCGAGAATTTGGATTGTGTCAATCTCTTCGACCCTAAAGAATTCAGTCGGGCTCCATCACTGCGAGGATAGGCATTCGAAAGACTTACCAGGCATGGGTACTACGGGCGTAGACCGAATCCCCGCAAATGACAACCTTCTCCTTTGGCAACCAGAAAAGTGTGTGATCGACCGAGTCGCCCTGAAGAGGGCCAAGCAGAATAATGGGAGAGTCTTCGTTCCCTTCAATGTTGAAGAAGGTAAATTCAAATGGTGTCGGCTTCTGTGGCTTCTCAGGAATATTCTCTCTACCAAACAATGTCGGCCAGTAAATGACCTTCTCATCATATTCCCGATCAATGCCCGCGCACACATAAGGAGCAGCATGCAGGGTGGACTGTGGCCATGCGTCGAGGATTGGGTTTGCAGAAAAGTAGTGATCTGGGTGATGGTGAGTGACAAATACAGCTCTCAGAGGTAAGTCTGTCGTCTTCTTAACCCAATGAACGACAGATTCAGCATCTGGAACCAGGAACGGTGGGTCAAAAAGAACGGCGGCCTTGTCTCCCACTACTAAGGTGGTGACACTGGAGAGACCCTTCACGCTCGAACTATGGATATACGTCTTCAAGGGTGCCATGATGTATCAATGCTGAGTTGGAACTGCCCGTGACAGGCCGAGATTCAGCGGCTTGACTGCTCTCATTCATTTATATGTATTCTCTTCTGCAGGACCCCACAAAATAACTGCCGCGCTGATCACCATTTCGACATTGATCTATGGGACAACTCTAATCTGGGTCTTACGTGGTGCCCCTCGGTTGACTAAAAATGCCGAAACACTCAAAAGTCAGGAATTCGGTGAGCTACTCTCCTTCTCCAAACCAATATATGGATGACATAACTTGGGTTTTTCTGGTACCCCGGAAATACCCCAACGAATCGCCAAAATAACGTTCGTCCTGCGGGGGTGCTGCTCATCCCAAGGTACAATCGAAGTAGTTACGAGGCGGCGTGGTTTGCAGACTTAACTAATCCCCCAAAACACTTGACGAATTGGTTCTCTTACTACATTTCCGTACTCGTACTTCACTTAACGAGCCCTCGACGTTCCAAACCTTCCAGTTCAGCAGCTGAACCCATTGGCTTTCAATGTCAACCATGGTAAATCATGAGGGTGTGAAGCCCATCACGGCGATAGCTCAAAGCACGCACTAGGTCAGCCAGTCCAATCTGTTGGCTTCAAGTTGAGAAGCTGGCATTCTGGACTTACGCAACACCATAAGCCCCGGGCCGATGCAGCAAAAGTTGACTCGAATGGAAACCATTAACGCTCTTCATATTTGACCAGTCTGGCTGTGGCCGTTGGGACTAACCATCGGTCCCTGTTATTGATACGACATGCAATTTGTTCCTTGGAGACCAGCCCAATCTCTAAGAGCCAAAGATGTCGCGATTCCAACCAGACGAATTCCTTATCAATCTCCGCGGCAAGGTGGTTCTATTGACAGGTGTGGTGCATGCCGCGTCCATGATTTGATGAAGCTAACCAAATTTCCAGGAGGAGCACACGGCATAGGAGCAGCGCTCGTCAAGTTCTGCATGGACAGTGGTGCACATGTCTGCTTTGGCGATCTTGACGAGCAAGCCGGCAAAGCTCTTGCGCACGAGATATCTCACTCGAGATCCCAATCAAATGCAGATCCTTCAACTCCTGGAGTTCTCTTCGTCGCTACAGATGTCACATCATATGAGTCCGTGCTAGGACTCTTTCAAGCTTGTCTGGAGAAATTCGGCCGCATCGACAGCGCTGTCTCATGTGCCGGGATCATCGAGATAGGGAACTGGTTTGACCCGACGCTCGATCTGGAGACTGTGCGAAATGTAAGTATATGGGGTCCCTCTAGACACTGAACACTTGCTGATGCCTCATTATTTCAGCTCCCTACCAGAAAAGTCCTCGATGTCAATTTGGTCGGATCATTATACTTTGCGAGGGTAGCCTCTGTGTACCTTCGCCAAGGACGAAAGGACGGCGACGACAAATCCCTGACGTTGATATCCTCAGTCGCGGGCTTCAAGGAATCACCGGGCTTGTTCGTGTATCAGGTGAGCTACTCTCTCCTTTTCTTTCCAAGACCACCACGGCCCAGAATTAACCCGTCACCACAGGCAACAAAGCACGGAATCCTAGGTCTGATGCGCTCGCTGAGGCTCTATCTCCCGCCCACAACGGGCATCAGAGTGAACGCCATCTGTCCGTGGATGGTGCCCACGGCAATGACCGAGGGAATTGAAAGCATGTGGCGAGCAGCAGGTTTGCCCATCAACGAAACCGTGGACGTGGCTAGAATCGTCGCCGGTGTGGCCGGAAATCCTGATATGAATGGGAAGGCGATCTACGTTGAGGGCGGGCGTGGTTGGGAGATTGAGGATAATATCAATCGCCTTGAGGGCCAGTGGTTAGGAGAAGAACAGGCTGCGTCACTGGCGAGAGGGCAGGAGGTTTTGGGTGCTGGTATGGATTGGGCTAAGAAGTAGGATATATCAAGTATGGTTTACTTATATGTACATTTAAATAGTAGCGCTATGTGAGAAAACATGATGATACAAACATGACGTGCATTGAAACAGTGCCAGATCTCTTCCTGCTACTGATGCAGCGATTCACTCAAACCGCTCAGAGCAGAAAAATCATGCAGGCTCTGCTCGCTCTTGTACAGTACTCAGATCACGACTCATAACCGGCCTGAGAGCACGGTGTGGCAGAAGGCTTTGCCTTTCAGGATCGTCCACAATGCCTCTCCTCGAGGGTGAGGACACAGGCGGCAAAGCACCGTTCCACCTGCTGTCATCAACAGCAGCACCGGGATTTTTGGCGAGAATCTTTTCACGTTGGATGGTGCGGCCCTTGATGTCCACGTACATGACGAGTGAGATGCCCAAGACCAGTCCGGCCGTTGCCAGGCCGAGGTTTATAGGCTCGGGGTCGTCTTCGAAGGTCTTGTGCAGGAGTGCTTGGAGCCCGGATTGTGCGAATGTGAAGACGCCGGACAAACAGATTATGGTTCCGTAGACGGTGCCGAATGTTGCGTAGCCGAAGACTTTGACGGCGTAATCGCTAAGAAAGGATATTGGTAAGTAACAGTAAAGGTAACATCGAGAGAAAGAGGACTTACGACATGGCAGAATAGTACAATGGGCGAAACACGCAGAAAAGACAGACATTCGCATAAGCAGCCCAGCGAGTTGGCACTGCACCGAGGATACCGATAATTGTACTCAGCAAAACCAACAGATTCAATACTGCGACTGTGCTCGCATTGTCGAGCAGCAATCCGATAAAGGGGACTGTGACAACACCTCCGATGGGCAGGGCGACATCGAAGAATTCTATCACCTTGGTGGCTTCTCGGGAGGAACCAAGCATGAAAACATACTGGGTCCAGATCGTGGCGATGAAGAAATTGAAGCGCATCATTTGCAGCACGGTAAACATCGTGATGAGAATAAACCAAGGAGACATCATCTGCTGAAGAGCAGGTACTCCATGCATGACGCCCCAGACACCACTGGTGGTGTGCTTGACTCCTTCTTTCTTCTCGAACTCGTGCCTCTCGCTCTGGTCACCAAGGAGCTCGTTGATCGAGGCAATTGATTGCCTTCTCCGGACTGCCCTTTCCGTTCGCACCTGCATAAGCTCTGCAGCGCTCTGAAATTCATCATCACTATCGTGCATATCCTGTGTAGGATCGCTGGCCAATTCCACTTTCGTTGTCAGCTCTGCACGGGTCTCGTAGATGTAGCGAGGCATAATCAGAATCTGCGTGGTGAAGATAAATATCGGCACAACGAGGAAGAGGAGAAAGAACTGCCGTAGTGAAAAGTTCCCGCCCGTGGATTGGTAGATGATCCGAAAGACCAAGAAGACGGACGCCGACGCATCGAAAGCGCCAGTGACGAGAGCCAGGATCAGACCTTGGAAGCGAGGAAATGCGTTGGCCAAATGGAAAGACGGCACAAAGGTGAACGTCCCACCGAGAGCGAGCAGAAAGCTGCCTGCAAAATAACCATCGAATGGAAGACTCGAGGCGAAAGCCATGCTTAAGCTTCCCAGGGCAAGCATGATTGAGCTGATGAAGCCACAGACTTTGGGTCCATAGCGATCCAGTATTCCACCCACGAGGAGGGCGGAGATGTTTGTCGTTACTGAAGCGATGACGAATGTGAGATTGAGCCTGGAACGAGTTAGAACAGTGCCATAAGGCCCGGGATGCCTAGAAAGAGCTCCTTCTTTACCTTTGATCCTGCAGATAGCAAAGCTGCACCCCTTCCAGAAGCTCCTCTTCGCTACAATATTCTCGGTAGACCTTCTCCTGGGTCAAGATAGTCTTGAGAGCATCGAAACCAAAGACGATCCCAGACGCAGTGACACAGCTGACAACACCAACTAGTATTTGTGCTAGAAAAAATAGTTGAGCACAACTTCCACTTTGCGAATTGTGCAGGTGTGGTGAAGCTTACCTATTCGTTTCCTCTGTGAGACTTCATATGCAGCCTGTGATTCAAACTTCTCGATCGGTCCCTGAGCAATTGCTGGGAGCGGATCGTAGCTCAACGCGAGACTCGGAAAGCGCTCGAGGCGAAGCTCCGCGTCGTCGTAATCCTCGTCAACACCTTCGACGGAGGAGACATGCTGAGCTAAGGACATGGAGCTTTTGTCAACCCAAAGACCTTGCAAACACTGGTGGCTAACTGAAGCACGTTGTGCAGATTCCCAGGCAAGAAGCACACTCCAAAAATTTTGCAGCAGGCTATCAAAATAGTAAATATGTGGCGGTGCGTGAACTTTAAAAATCAGTGGGCGGAAAAGACATCCGCTATACATATTGCGGGGTAGGTAGTTAAGCGGCAGCATGTCTAGATATGGGACTTCTTCCGGCTTACCATCTCATAGGTAGGCAATGACTGACCTAGATCTGGCTCAAAAAGGCTAGTAATGATATACAAGGCCTGCGGCCGAACTCAGTGACTACAGGACGGGCACGCCTTGCCTGCCTCATTGTGGCAACAGGAGAGATACTAGGTTCTTGAATAGCCATCCGCATTGCCTTGCATTTTGATCCATAACCGTCCTTATTCTACACCCCGGTCCACTCATCTGTCTGCCCACTCGGTATAGGAAAAGGACCTATTCCCGGTCTGGGAAAGTTCGGACTCCCATCTTCATTCCAAGTATATTTCTGCGCTCTGATCGTCCTGGCCGACCATCCGGTCTCGTAGTCCTCCATGCCATGATAGACAATCCAATCTTCCGTGCCATCGGGACTTTTCGTAAAGCTCGCATGGCCCACTCCATAGACATGTTCATCAGGATTCTCGTAGAAAATACAGCCTTCGGTATGTTTGTCCCAGGAGGCAGGATTCATCGGATCGTCTCCAATCAATTCGAGTTGTCCTAAACAGTAATTGCGGTTGTCGCTGCGTGCGGCGGAGTAGATGATGAATTGTTGGCCTGTGGTGGGATTGGCGAGTTGTTGAGGAGCTTCATTGGACGATAAACGGACATTGACTGTCCGATTGTAGGGTGTTTTCTCCCATGGTTGGTCTGGCCTTGAGATGATTTGTCGCTCGGACTCGGGACTCGACACCGTCCACGGATCGCTCATTCGCGTTATGCAGAGCATAGCGGGCCATGAGATGTACTTTCCTTCCCAACAAGAGTACACATGGTATAGTCCTGTTGAGTGCACAAAATAGGTTCCGTCGATGGCGAATTGGTCATACGTATCGAGCTCGGATTTGAAGGAATACTCAGAGTTCCAGGGGTCGGATGTACTAGACTCGAGAACGAACATGCGGTGGTTGACGGCGGGACAAGTGAAGTCACATAGCATATCTTGCATGGGTGAAGGTGAATCTGGATCAACATCGGCTGTGAATATGATAAACCACTTGTTATAGCTATCAATATAGTGTAATTCAGGTGCCCATATATCGTAGGTGTAAGATGTGTTTTCGGGTAGGGTGAATACTGTTTTGATCGTTGCGTTGTTCCAGTCTCTAGATATTGTAAGTAATTCAAGTCCCGTTGGCTGGGAAAGGAGCTGCAAGAAAGGGGCAGGACACTAACGTCAGTGATTCACTCTGTCGGACGGTGATATTGGTATTGGTGCTCTGTGCCAGATAGTAGTAGTCGCCATGTCGAATCACCCAGCTAACAAGACAACCTTTCAGTCTAAGATATGAGGAAGGGACATAAAGAAACTTACGGATCGGCCCCGCCTCCATCGAGTATTGGATTTGTAAAAGTACCTGGAGAGGGCTCAGAATTAACTGATTGTGCAAAGTAGATACTGCTGTAGCCAAGTAAGAAGAGGGATGAATTGACGCCTATCATGGTGAGGTGAGACGGTGATATGAAGAAGATTAACGGTTCTTGAGATTGAGAGATGATACAAGCCACAATATAAACATTATGGTATCCTGAAGTCCCGCATCAGGGTAGCATTGGAAGAGTCCTCCGTGGTGTTGTGTGGAGCTGCTCTGGAGAGCACCCCGAGGCATGCGGAGAAGGAACGATTTTGAAAGACAAACGTATGATGACGTCGATATTCCGAGATTTTATATCAACAATTCTGTGTGATAAAACTACAAAGAAGCCTGGAGTTTCTCCTCAACAGGCTTGACTTCAACCAGCATTTTGCCTAGCACATATTAGTTTGACCTTCAGCAGTATGAAGAGTGGCCCTGTATTTACCAGTGTTGCGTCCCTCGTACAGATCTCTCAACGCACTCTCTGCATTTTGGAGACCGCCTTTGACTATTGTCTCCTTTCGCTTGATCTTGCCCTCAGCGAGCCATTGTGCCAGATCTCTCAGTGCACGTGGATATTCCTTCTCATAGTCAAAGACGATGAAACCCTCCATTCTATTCAAAGGTTAGCAATGTAAATCTTTAGGGCCTCAAACGACTTGCCTTATTCTCATTGAGATGATCATGAGATAGTTCTATAGCATAATTAGCATTGTTGATCTCGAACAGTCGTGGAGGAAGCAGACCTTCGGCCCTTGCGCCTTGGCGGTGTTATATTGGCTTATGCCTAGCAAGTGTGAGTATTTGAATCAATGGCAGAGAGAATGAACAAACCTCCACAGATGACAAATCTGGAATGAGGCTTTGCCCGGGAAAGAGCGATATCGAGAATCTCGCCACCAACTGAAACATTGTTAATATGACATCCTCAAGCAAGGAGTTGCCAACCCACCATTGTCGAAGAAAACATCAATCAAGTCCTAGAATAGTCAGTCATGATCAGAGGCAGACGAAACGAGAAACATTACCTTGGTCGCAGCTCTGAACTTTTTCGCGTAGTCTTTATCCTTGTAGTTCAGAGCGGCGTCAAAGCCCAACTCATCAACCAGCCACTGGCATTTATCGTCACTTCCAGCGATGCCCAAAACCTTTGCGCCCTTCAACTTAGCTATCTGTCCAACAACACTGCCAGTAGCACCAGCAGCACCAGACACGACAACAAAGTCTCCAGCTTTAACTTGGCCAACATCGAGTAGTCCGAAGTATGCAGTGAGACCAGTAATACCTGATGCCACAGATTAGCCTTGTACTTGATCTCACTCACGACCAGGTCATGATTAGCTTACCCAGCACAGCCATCGAATCAGTCAATCTCCCTCCTTTGGGCAGCTTAATCTTCTCAAGATTCTTTCCCTTGACGACCGCCAACTCCGTCCATCCTACCAGTCCTGATGCGTGGGTTCCGACAGGCCAGTTGGAATCTTTGCTCGCTTTCACCGTACCAAGGGCACTTCCTCGCATGATTTCCCCGATCTGGACGGGTGGCAGGTATGACCTTGTGTCATTGAGCCATCCACGCATGGCAGGGTCGACACTCAGGTAGTTTGTCTCGAAGATGACCTCTCCATCTTTGAGGTCGCTTGCTGAAGGGGCTTTGTTGTTCTTGTTGAACTTGAATGTCTCGCCAGGGACGATGTTGGCCTTGGGCCGTTGGGCCAGAGTCACAGTGCTGTATGTGGAAGCCATGTTATCTTCTGCCCGTGGTTGTTGAAAGGAATGAGCGTGTATGTTGTGTTTTTCGTGAACAGGAAAACGTCAAGACAAGGAAGCTTGGAAACAAATTTGATCTATATCATAAGCTAGTCACGTTCATCAAATCTCGGCCAGTCCGATATTATGATGATTAATTGCCTTGGACACCACCCTCTGCGTACGTACCCCTACATAGGTAGCTCAACGGGCATGTCTGCCCTGAACGAGGTCAGCTTCTGATAGGATGCTTTAGCCGTACTCCTCATCAGCCAAGCTGAATTAAACTTCAGGAGCTAAACGTGCCTCGGTATATTTGTAAGGCGGGTATTTGTGCGGTCAAATGCATATTCTAGGGTGAAGTATTGGCCTTTTGGTCTGATTTTCTGTAGCTTGAATCCGAAGGACTAGCTCAAGGCTGAGATACCTACCTATATCCAGTCGAGTATGGACCACGAAAGAGTCCTCAGGTGTTGAGAGAGATCACATCTTGAAAAGAGCACTACCAAAGCCCTTCGACCAGTTTCCTGACCGAATTCAAGAGCTCCTCATCCTGCTTACTCTTCTCCTTATCTGGCATTAAACCGCCAGTAGCTCTTGCACAAATGATGTCCAATTGATCTTTGCCGACCCCCCTTTCCGTCAGCGTTGTCTTCAAGCCCAAGTCCTTGACCAAGCCCAAAATCCTATCGCCAACAAGATCACTATCTTTGACGTTATCACCTGTCTCCTTCTCCGAGATATAGGGTAGGATTTTTGCGATTTCCTCTGCGTTCGCCGGTGATTGTCGCGCCTTCAATTTGACGACGTGACCTAATGTTAGGCAAGAGGTGATGCCGTGAGGAATGCCGTATGGCGAGCCCAATGCGTATCCGAGGGAGTGCGACAGGCCCAATCCACCCTTGATGTTCTGACCGATCAATCCCAGACTTGCGTATGCAGCAAGGAACAGACCTGTTATGACGTCCTCGTTTTTCGGGTCGGCTTTGTACTTTGGTAACAGAGTGAAGAGCTCATGCAGAGCACTGAGCGCCACGAGTCGAGTCGGGATCCAGGTCGTGCTGGGATGATATTGAGTTTCCACCGCGTGGTCTAGTGCTCTCAGGCCGGTCGAGAGGAACAGGCTTGGTGGTGTGTGCAGGCCGAATTTTGGATCGTAGAAGATATACGCGGGATAGACGTTGGGGTGCGAGATACCTGTCTTCACGCCATCTGACTGGGTGTATCCTGCAATTGCTGTACCTTCGGCCGCGGAAAGAGTAGTGGGGATGGTGATGTGTAAGAGCCACTTCTTGGATACCTCGTTCACTCGATATGCAATGGCTTTGGCACTGTCGATGGGTGACCCACCGCCAACGGAGATGATGGTATCGATGGTGTTATCTGCTTTGACTTGTTCCGTGGCTTCATCTAGTTGAGCAATAGGCGCGTGCTCCCTGATATTACTGAAGGTTCCAGCATGATGCTTCGAAGATAGCAAGGTTTCCAGGTCCTTGATCAGAGGTGTCTTGGTGGCAAGAGAACTACCAGTGATGATGAATGCTTTCGAGTTCCCCGTCGGCAGTACCGAGAGAATATGGTTCTTCACCACCTCAGGGCCATAATAAAGACCTTTTAATTGATGAGGCTTGTAAAAGCCCGAGAGTGGGTGTAGTGAAGAATCCATCTTGATCGAGCGGGATGCCACTCGTTGGATTGGCTTAGGAAGGACGGTTGGTGAGATATGGAGTTTTGTCTGTAGTGTTCGAAGCATATGTCCTTCAATCAACAGTAACTTCGCAGAGAGCTTACGACCATTACCGCGGGAGTAAGTGCTGCATAAAGTAAACGGCTTCGTCAGCAAGAAGCTGTCTCGGATGCAACACCGAGGTATGTTGTCATCACTTTCTGAGCGGACGTCTTGCGGTCCCCGCACAACCTCTGCATATGTTACACGAATTTGACAGTTTCACAGATGACTGACTGCACACTTACACTGTGGCTTAGATACGCTCGATGCCGCACTGATTAAGATAAATATGTACTGGTTATTATTGTGGTGCATAGAACAGCTACCTACGTTTCTAAGTAATGACTCGCATGTCTATAGGTTCAGCTGTTAGGGTCGAAGCAAGAATACGCCAGATGTGAATGGCGTCCGCCCATTCACGAAATGCCCCAGTAGAACGGCGAAATTTGCAAAATTTTCACCCCATTCGCTGATACTGTATATTCTTGCTCAGACCATAACACGGCGACCAGAAGAGACTCGGGCTTATGGCTATCTCCCCGAAGAGCCAGACCGCGGCAATACGCGTATTCACGATTTGGAAGCATGGATGGCCAGAGAAGCAGCAAGATCTCTTATCTATCTCGTAGCACTGGTGCCATTGAAGATCGTCCCGTCATAATCTGGCCCGTTGTTAGGGTAATCAATGGTGTAATTTCCAAAGCATGCAAAATCATAGTTTGACAGCTTATATGCATCTGCTTGACTGGTAATGAATGAGTCAAAGGGGCATAGGCCATCAGTTCGATTGCCACAGTGGCCTCCTCGAACACTCGAAAGAGGTACGATGCCATTGTTGAGTCTCATTCTGATGAATTTGTGAGTCGCATTCTGAGGATTGTACCCGTACTGTGTAGGTGAGTAATATGTCCGGGCAGTTGATTGGGGATTAGGATCAGCCGTCCCGCACCCGATGACCTCAGTCACCAATCTTGCCGCAAAGGGCGTGAGATGTGAGAGGATGAAGTGACGATCTGGATCTGGAGGATATTCTGTAAGGGATGGTGGATCTCGAAAGTAATCGATTGAAGCTGCAGTGAGAACAGAGATGATAATATCATCGTGACTGAAATCAGCGTAGAACTTCTGTCCAAGCGGAAAGTCTCGCGTATTATTGGTGAGTGTACTGTTGACACTAGAGTTGGAGGACGTGATGAATTGATTGGTCAGACGGGCAATGAGCTCTTGTAGATACCCTATACCCTGAGCACGTCCCGTCGGATTGCCCCAGGCATAGTCGTAGTAGTAGGCTTGGTCGAGAGTCGCTTCGAACCCTGCCCATTCATTCTCGGTAAAGAGGGAGCAAAATTCAGATGACCCGAGGTAATTGGTTTCGTAGGCGCAAATACTCCTGGGATTACGTTAGCCGGAACGCCGTCATTAACGAGTGCGAGATTCTTACTGTAACGCATACGTATCGTTAAGCGTTAAGTTGAACCCCTTCGGTACATATTCTGATAGTCGCTTCTGGGCATCATTGAGGTAAATCGGGAGGTAGGCCAAAAGATCTAGATCACCAAGATAGCCAACTGGGAGGAGGTTCTGGTCTTGTCCCAAGCCCAGATAGTAGGCGTTGATGCAACTGTCATAAGAAGCCAAGGTATTGTTCTCTGTTCCACCCTCCGGGATTATGACAACGTTGAAATCCGCAGTGACGTTTTCAAAGGTTGGGTCGGGCTCAGCCAAATAGCTCGATCCGAAGAAGCCAAGGGCCCAGTTCATCTGCGTGTTTTCTATGCGTCCTTGTCCGGTTGTTCTTAGCACCGGCTTAGGCCGTGCGGTTCCATTGGCAAAGCTGGCATTATATGCAAGTTGCCCAACAGTAGCATTGAAAAGGATGCGACCGTACCGTTGCCAGAATGTAACTCCTGCCTCCAGTGACTGGACAGCTCCTCGGCCAACCAAATCTCCTTCGCCAAGCAGATATTGATATGTGTTAAGGAAGCTTAGCGGGCCGGTAAAGCTGCTGTTATTGTTCTGTTCAGTCCAATTAGAGACTTTGGCGGCGAAGTATTCATCGTTGATGCCATCGTCGAAATAACTAGTGGGAAAGCGACTTCCATGGCGCTCTAAGAGGTGAGCTTGCTCAATTTGACAGCCATCTGGAATCCCAGAGTCCTCGACCCCGAAGAAGTCGTCCGCATTGTCTGCATACGGAGTGATTTGACCCCAGTACTGCTGGATTGTATCAAGGTCAGTTAGTAAAGCTGGAGATGACTGACGCCGTTGTCTCGGAGTCGGCGAAGCCAGTGCCAAGATAGGCAAGATAGCTATGTGCCACCCGAGCATTTTTGGTATAGCTAAGTTAGCAATCAAGGTGCAAGGAAGCTGACCACATCCATTCCCGCCATGGCGGGCATTTAAGCTATATTTAAGCTCCAGTTGAATGCTGCGAAAATTCTCGACCTGGAGCTCTCGAGCTACAGTGCAGAGCTATGTCAGCTTGCATTGATAGTCGGATCGATAGAACGAATCAACGAGCATGTTGACCGAATTAACTTTGTATCCTGCTTGCGGGGTTCTGCATGAGGACAATGGAGATAAAGACGATGGGTGGTACCTGTGTCACCTTCGCCTGGAGCTTCTAACCTCGTACCTAATATGCGTGAGGGAGTGCTTGTTTTCACAAGCTAACGCTGGTCGGAGCTTGTTCCAGCGGCTTTTGGAAAGCTTTCCCAAGTGGGTGGAGTAGTCCGAGAGTCCAGGCACTACAGGGAAGGTATTTGTACGAGGTACCTCAGTACGGAGTACGTCCTCAAGAACAACCTTCCTCCGTAGTAGCCACTTGATGACGTTGCCCCCGAAGGCACGTTCATCTGAAATTCAGTGCAATTCGTCAAAATGTTGACCATATATGGCATCTGAATGACCATAAATCTTGAATGTTGAATGATGTACCTAGTGAGGGCCTTGCTCAAGTTCATGGCGATGCACAAAAACTCGTTTGACGTCATGGTCTGCAAGATTTGCCAAGACTCACAAAGTGAGCTAGACCACAGTAGTGCTAGGTGGATATTATGGAAAATAGTTGGACCGAGTTTCTCAACACGAGGACTCCAACATCTGCCAGTGCCTATCAGAATTGACCGACTTGACGCCGCGCATATCTCAGCCTGATCAAACAAAATTAACGATGCTTCCTTTCCGATCTGTTGAAACATGTCGTTCCTGGGTGTGGCGCAGAGGCCTACTCCGTCGTGCGAATTGCTTCATAATTTGCCCGTAAGAGCGGCCAGTCTGCTCAAACCCATCCCAGAATTGCCCTTTTGGCGCATCTCCCTCCCCTTCTGATGCACCTTCAGTCCATTAAGGAGCTCCTCCTGGCGATTTCACCGTCGTACCTACCAAAAATTCACATGCCTCCCACCTGAATATGGCGTCCAAGAAGTGCTTCCCTTGCGAGGCTTACACGGTCGGCCTGGTATGCGTTAAACCCCTCGAGATGAATGCCATAACCGTGATGCTGGATGAAGGGCACGAGGCGGTCCCGTTAGCATTGGCAGACAAGAATGAATACATTTTAGAATCCTAGGCGAGATTCTGGGCCTCCTTCTTCTTATGGGAGGCAGTTTGAGGTGGGCTTGATATGTCGCTTTGCTGGTGAAAGGTTTGTTCGAGCGGCAGAGCTTGCAGACCCAGATACCGAGGGCAATTGCTCTCTCTTCTTTCTTTCTGCCAGCTGGTTGTGCGGTGGGGAGCAGGCTTTTCGATACCGGCAACAGTATCACGGTGTGACTGGCTGTCGAGATGCTTGGTCAACTTGTATTGAGAAGAAAGCGGGATGTCGCAGTCTTCGCATAAAAATCTTCTCTCATCTTTGGCCTCGGCCCGTCTCGTTCGGTCGTAAGCTCGTTTCTCATCTTCGATCTTCTCATACCGGGCGGCATGCCCCTCATACATTCTCGCTTTGTATGCAATAGGATCTTTGGTCTTCTCCCTTTCGCGCCAGTTCCGGTTGTTCTCATTCCTCCTCTGCTTGTCCCGAGCTTCTCGAATCGCAGCCTGGATCTCAAGCTCTTCGGGGGTCAAAGACAAGTCACCACGAACATGTTGTTTGAGAGAAAGGTGTGAGCATAATGGAAGCCATGATACATCATCTCTCTGCCAGAGTAGGATGTGCTCGTAATATTGATCGGTAATCATCTCGAATTTACCATGGAAGATTGTGCAGAAGACAGCTTCAAGCAGCAGGAAGAGGCCTATAGCTCGAGCTTGGAGGCCGGGAGGGGGGATTGGTGAAGAGCAGAGCAAACCGACCGAGGCGATATCGTAACCCTGGTCCATCTTCAATTTGACATGGCGAGGCATCTTGGGATCATTGGGCTTGTAATGTTTCGTTCTGCTGATCAAGCCACCTTCAGTTTCAGATGTCCCTGAGTCTATGTAGAGTGCAGGCTTCTAGCCTGGCTGCTGCATAACGACGGCGTAGACTCCCCATATCCCACGATAGGGTGGAGACAAGCCTTCGAAGTACTCGATTGATGGGGGACTGCTGCTCTGGAGAACCGCACCTAGGGATTTGTCGAGCTCTAGGTTGCAGGTGTTGGAGATGCTGTTGAGGTTGTTCCGTTCTTCGTCTCTGAACAAAAACGAGAAGTCGGGATTGATGTACCAGGCAGGAGCATCTATTTTCACCAAAAGGTTGGCAAGATTCAGGATTTGCTCAACAGGATTGAAATCGAGCTTCATGATGGCTGTGATGATGTGTGCTGGTAGAGAGGAGAGCATGGTGGCCGGGGCCAGAGAGGAAGTAATCCATGGTGTCCATGGTGTTTCGGGAAGGTGGGGAGACTCAAGATGGGAAGGAGCGACCCGACACGCTGACGACCGCGAACAACTTGGTGACACTCCATCTTGACCAAGGTCATTGGCAGCAGGCGGGAGAGCTCATTGAACATGTAATGAGACTGCAGGTGTAAGTGCTAGGATCTGAGCATGCCTTCACCCTACAAAGTCTGAGCAAGCTCGCATCTGTTTTCCATGAACAAGGTCGGTTGATGCAAGCGGAAGAGCTGGGTAGGCAAGTGTTGGAGGCGAGGTCAAGGAAACTGGGAAAAGAGCATCCTGATACACTGTTGGTAATGAATAACCTTGCCTTGACGTTGAAAGATCAGGGTCGCAATGAAGAAGCCATAAAACTAATGGCCGCATGCCTGGATGGAACGAGAAAAGTGCTAGGACATTCACATTCCGACACTGAAGTGTCGCAACGGAGTCTAGTGAAGTGGACGAGCACGAAGGATGACATGAGCCACGATGTTGAACACAATCCTCATTGCGTACCTGGAGTCTAGATTGACTAATTTCTTCGAAGTGATGACATTGAAGCATGAGTTCGATCGAAGAGAGCTCCTCAGCTTCATACGAGGAGCCAGATCCTGTACAAAATCTTCTTCCGTCGAGGAGGACCTCCATTTGTGAATGCGTTTCTAATTCTTTTTGCTTGTGGTATTGACTAAAGGAGAGTGCAGGTCAACGCCAGGGTTGTTAAGATACCCGAGCTCGACTTTCTAATCGAAAAATATCTTGGTATAGCCAGCACGGGAGATCCGAAAATAGAAGGGCAGGGCCTTGCCTCCTGGACATGGAACTCATGGCGGAGGACAAGCCATAAGATAGAGACCTACTTCGATTTCGTTTGATGGAACAAGATCGAATCATAGTAGTGGGTGAAACTCACTTCAGCTTGCTTTGAACAAGTATTGCCACTGTACGGATCTCAGACCTAAAGAATTATTATCGTTTCAAGCCCTTGAGATTAATATTTGACTTCATTGGGGTCCATGGCGTTGTCCTACCACCCTCCTTCTGAGCATGATGCCTGGCCATACTCATCACCTGCCGTATGATGTGGTGTTGTTCTGGGGGGCACAGTCGTGTTTCCGACAAGGTCAAGAAGAATTGAGTAGACTACCCAATGCCGGTCTCGATTGCACCTGCGACTATTCTTTTCTGCTCAATGTTGCACAGATCAGATTGTCATCTGGGCCAAGATTGTTTCAATTGCAGGTTCAATCTTCGTTGCAGGGAATAAACCCAGGCGATGCGTGACATTCCTCGGATGTCAGAGTCCAGCTTCCGCAGCATGTCGTAGGGCAGCAGATGCAGGTTGTCGTACGAATCACGATACGATCGGGTGTTACAGAGAAAAGACAGCCACAATGTGGGATGATGTGGATCGTGGAAATGGTAGGAAATCCAAGCGCGAAGGTTTGGGGTCATCCCTCCGCAAATAATCCCCTGCCACGTTCTGAAACTCTTCTTTCACTGCGCAACTAACTAATAACTTGTTCGCACCTCGACGCTTCATCAGTCGTCTGAGTTCATCCGCTGCCTGCTTACCAGCCTGCAGTCATGCGACAAGCCTCCATTCTCTGTCGGCCGGGGTTGTAAGCTCCATCTTAGGCGCAGACAAACCGCTTGCCTGCACTGAAAGTCGTCAAGCTTGTTCTTGATTCAAGCGCAAAGAACCCCAATGATGTGTTGTTGCTCCTAGAAACCATGGAACGCGACACGTCGTCAGGCCGCTTTGGCGGACAATGGGCATTTCTTGCCACTACATCGCAACATGGACAGGCAAGATCCCTCCCTCCGTCTTCGAGTTACTTGCGCAGCAGCGAGCGTTCCAACATCTCCCCACTACCCACTGCCCTTCAGTTCCAGCAGCTCAATGCTTCTCGCTCGAGTCTCCCGCGAAATCTCCAAACACCATCCATTGGTGGCCAGAGTGTGACCACGATCCCTACTCAACCCGTTGTCCATCGTGTTAACTCGTACGATGCCGCAATCCAGTCTCGTCCTCCAGGTCGCGCCCAGCAAGGAAGGAGAACCATGAATCACAATATCAAGCCGAATGAGCTGCCTCCACTGTATGAGTTCAGTATTCAGGGAATACTGGCAGCTATTGCAGAGGATGTTGAAGAAGATATCAATGCCATATCTGAGATCTTAGGGAGAAGTCGTCTGGTCCTTGCTGATCAGCATGAAAGTCACTTGCCTCCGCAGGGGGAAATCAGAGCCACGAGCAGTCCCTTGCAGGCTGTCGCCGAGGCCAGCTCGAGTAACGAACGACTGGCTGCTACGGACGATGTTATTATCCTCAGAGAAGATGCGAGCTTGGTCGAAGGCAGCCATGCCGGTTCTGCAGCGTATGGCCTTTTAGAGAGACTACAGGCTGTTCCTCGAATGAGACAAATGCAAAATGATGTGGCAGGACCGTCCTCCCGGCCGCCAACGAGTCCTATCCGTCACTACTCGGCTCCTCCTGTTCTGCCTGAGCCCATGCCTTCTGTGGAGCCATTCGATCCTACTATGACACAACCAGTATCTGTTTCCTCGCGGCAATTGCTTCATAGTCGGATTCACGAAGAGACAGACGAACGGATCCCGGCCAGAACCACAAACGCAGTGGTCTCTGAAACATATCTTCTTGCCGGCGCGAATGCAATCACTTTGTCTGATCCACCTATTGTGTCTGAAAGCGGCCGTCATTACCCTTTGTATAGCTATGACTATACCGAGCTGTTCGAAGGGCCTAATACTGCGCCTGCCCAAAGACAGTCGAGTTTCCGCGAAAGGTTGCAAGCTATTCTTTCACGTCGCGACTTTCGGACTTTGACTTCGTGGGCGTACGGCAACAAGGATCCTGTTGTAAGCGCAGAGTCTCAGCTTAGAGATATACTTGACCGACAGCCCCCTTCGGCTGGGAGGTGACCACAAGCAACATTGCTACACAGAGGTTGAGAACCCGGTTTGCAGCATGTCAGCCGAGACGCTTTCAGTGGTGGAAGACAAGCTGAGAATTTAATGTATTATAAGGTGGACATTCTACCCGGACGAATTCACGTCTACACGAGTTTCTTTGGCTCTAAAAAGAAAAGAAAATCTGTTTTATATTGACCTTCATTTCGCCAGCTACTCCTCGATCTTGATCAACACCGTCTTGGTCTCTAGGAAGTTGTTCAAGGTGTAGCCAAACCCTTCTCTTCCTATGCCGCTACTTTTGTAGCCACCAAATGGCATATCTCGGGCGAGGCTCGGACTCGTACAATTGACGCCAACCGTTCCTGACTCAAGCGCTTTGGCGAATCGCATAGCTCGATTGATATCCTTGGTATATACCGCCGCATACAGGCCGAACTCGCTGTCATTGGCTTTAGCGATCGCCTCAGCTTCGGTTTTGAACGTGTTGATGTTAACCACTGGCCCAAAGATCTCTTCTTTCATGACGGCTGCGTCCTCGGCAGTCTGTAGAAATACCGTAGGGGCCACGAAATAACCCTTGCTGGCGGCATCGGATAGCCCGGAAACTTCCTGAGTGCCACCCAGAACCAATTGGCCAGTCTCCTTACCTGCAGCGATATATCTCTGAACCGTTTCATACTGAGCCCCGTCGGCTTGAGGACCATGATTTGTGTTTTCATCCAGCGGATCACCTGCAGAGACAGCTGCGAATTTGGCCTTGAATTTCTCCACGAATACATCGGCGATACTCTCTTGTACATATATTCTGCTATTTGCCATGCAGACCTGGCCGCTATTCCACTGGATGCTGTTCTGTGTGTCGGCCACTGCGTTGTCGATGTTACTGTCTTCAAAGATGACGGCTGGTGACTTTCCTCCCAATTCCAAAATGACGTTTTTCAGGTTCGACTTAGCGGCCGCCGCCTGGATGAGACGCCCGGTGCGACATGATCCGGTGAAGCTCAGAGCCCTGACGTCCATGTGAGAAGACAATATTGCGCCGGATGTTTGTCCATGGCCTGATATCACATTTATGACCCCAGGAGGAAAGCCTACTTTCTCAATCAAGGTGGCGACCTTTGCAGACTGTTGATCGTATATTAGTAAGAACAGCGGTCACGAGGAAGTCATCGAGCGCTCAAATACTTACCGTCAAAGGTGCTTTCTCACTGCTCTTCAGCACGACTGTATTCCCTGCAGCTATTGCAGGAGCGACTTTATTTGCAAAGAAGACCAGCGGCACGTTCCAGGGGATAATCGCAGCGACCACGCCATATGGTTGCTTGAAAGTCATGTTCACAAATCCCGGAGTGTTCAGACTGCTGGCACCCTGTGCATCATAGCCAGCTTCAGCATAGTGCTCAAATGCGCTCGCACAAGCGTGATTATCGAAATACCCCCCAATAGGTCTCCCCATTGAAATGGCCTCTAGTTGTGATAGCTCCTTTCCACTTTGATGGAGCAAGCCAGCAAGCTTCTTCATGTAGGCTCCTCTATCGGCTGGTGACAAGGCAGACCATGCTGGAAATGCAGCCTTTGCTGCGGCGACTGCTGCATCTGTGTCTTGCTCACTGGCCTCGTGAACTGTTTCTACAGCATTAGTCCAATTCTAGACCTTCGCCACGAACAAAATTTCGATGAGAATGACGGCTGCCCCATGGAAAATGATCCCGCTCGAGTAATAGCTTACCTTCAGCAACGATCTCTCGAGTTGTTGGAGATCTCAATGGGAATGTCTTGCCATCTGAAGAATTCACAAACTAGAAACTGATCAATTCATCCTCTCTCCAGCAACCCCCAGATATTAGCACACACCTTGCCATTAATGAACAACCTCGTCTCAATTTCCTGGATCGAACCCATGTTGACGCCGACTGTGAGAAGATGACTCGTTAAGCTGGTGTTCTTGCCTGATCGCAATCATCAGAATGTTATCGTCATAAACCTGTATGATGTAGCCAAGACGGGCGATAAATACCAGCTAGCACCAACATATCAACTGCCGATATTTCGTGCACTCAGAAGCAGAACTCGGAGCCATGCTCCGTGGTATACGGTCCGCAACTTCTCGGCATTGATAAGCCCATCCACTTCAGCAGCATTCTGCAGCTAGTTAGTTAGATCCAGTTGTGTGGAGAGAGCCCCTCGACCGAAGCCCCATATGGGGTCATTTTGCACCTGGAACCTCACTCCTCCCCACCATCCTCCGCCGCAATCTTGAATCCTGGAAGGCTCGCCATGCAACTGATGGACATCTTTTCGTCTCTCGTCGATGGGCACATCGAGCTATGTATGATGCTTTGCAAGAATTGCCAATCAGTCCAATGACTGCCGTGAATATCAGGCAGATTATCTACTCTAGATACTTGTCCGCTTCATAGAGATTACCCACTACTGCCTCTTCGGTGACTGAGGTAGCGAAAGCACCCTCACTGGAGTTTACCAATTCGCCCTGATGCGCGACATCCAAGCCTTGCGAACTGTGCCTATCAAGCAGCGAACATCAAAATAGTTACAACGATGGCAAGCAGCGTGGTAGCCTAGCTATCCTTCCAGAGCATTGCCAGTGGAGTACTTTCCGCGCCAAGCCAGCCTTGCCTTTCCCCAAGCTCGCCGAGTCTGGCCCAAAATAGGCGTTGGTCGTAAAGACCGTGCGCCTGAGGCTCTACCAAAGTCTACCGCCCAATGGCAGTTGCGCACGGACGCGATCGAGCCCAGTGCACACATGAACCGGAAGTATATGGGTACTATTGCCTCTTGAGTTTGCATTGCTACCATAGCGCAACGGTTCATGAACAAGGCGTTCTTTTATTAGAATTCTCCAGATGCTACGTTGAGATATTTTGGATTTTTGATCGACCACAAAATGTGCTCCGTCGCCGGTAAAATGCTGCGTCCCAGAGTAACCACCTCTCTGGAGTCAAGTGCTGATCTGCTGTGTCTTTCATCTTCAAGCGACGACCAACTCTCGCCGAAGAGGCAAAATGTGGACTTCTTGCTGGAATATCTGTGTCATTGCGCTGCTACTTCCTCTTGGTGTGATAGCATCGCCAATCCCTAAACGATCCCTTCAAACTCCGACCGATTTCGAAGTCATTATTATTGGAGGCGGCCCTGCGGGACTGAGTGCCTTGAGCGGTCTCGCTCGCGTGCGAAGAACAGCCCTGCTCATCGATTCAGGTGAATATCGCAATGGTGCAACCCGACATGCACACGATATCATCGGCAGTGATGGTTAGTAAATCCTAAGATTGGGATCATAGATAGGGAAAAGGACCCGCTACTAATCAGACTCTTATTTCCCATAGGTGTCACACCAGCATACTTCCGAGCCGCAGCACGCGACCAAATCTCCTTATACCCGACTGTTTCCATGCAAAATGGCACCATAGTTGACATACAGAAGATCAACGACACGAGCTTCATGGTGACCGATGCTACTGGGAAAGCATACACGAGCCAGAAAATCGTGCTCGCCACTGGGATCAAAGACCTCGTCCCTACAACACCAGGCTTGCCGGAGAACTGGTCCAAAGGCATCTACTGGTGTCCATGGTGCGATGGATACGAGCATCGTGACCAACCAATGGGCCTGCTTTCAACCATAGATCAGATTCCTGGTATGGTGGAAGAGATTTCGACCTTGAACAATGATCTCATCGCTTTCGTCAATGGATCTATGACTCCAGCGGTTCTGCAGGCCTTGGGCGCCAAACAGCCCGACTGGGAGCAAATGCTCGCAACATATAACGTGCAGGTAGATAATCGGACAATCACCGCCATCGAGCGTACACAGGATGGTGCGGTGGTGGCTTCCGCCGTTGACAAGGCCGAATACGACAAATTCATTATCCACCTAGACGACGGCACGGCCGTGGAGCGAGGGGTGTTCTTCACTTCTTTCCCACACACCCAGCGATCGGGCCTCGGCGCAGCCCTTGGGGTTACGATAGTCGATGGAAAATTGTTTTCCAACTTCACAACGGGGATGCGCACGAACCTTCCCGGCGTATATGCCGTTGGCGATGCCAATTCGGATGGCAGTACGAATGTGCCGCATGCTATGTGGAGTGGGAAGCGCGCTGCGGTGGATATACATAGTGAGTTCTTTTCCAATGCCGGGAGCCTACGGCGCCCTGTCAGGATCTACGGGTGGTGAACTAACATGAGGGATCACAGTTTCTATGGCGAAAGACGAGGCGGCTGCAGCCGTTGCAGGCGCGAAAATGACAAGGGACTTACATGTCGTTGATGAAGAATCTCTACTGGCGTTGATTGGGTGGGATCTCGAGGATGTATGGCATGAAAGGTAGACGAAGAATGACAAGAGTTCACAAAGTCCCCTTTTCATTTCTGTTGGTTTGACATGTGTTCTCCATGATAAGGCTGGGACTTCCAGGGGCGACCGATGAGCCTGTTGAAGATGACACAATTTCTCCAAAACTGACTACTTGTAAGCCCGAATAATATGAGGTTGGAGGACACCCAGGGGCTAAGCTGTCCTCAACACGGATATGTCGTCAGCTAGGCATGCCCATTGACCTGATTCTCATCAGCCGGACCGGAACTCGTTTCCATCTGCCTAACTTGCCATGGCAAAGGGTCTTTTGCAGCCTGCGCTGGCCCCAGATCACCTGAGGCAGATCGACGTTTCTGCCACTCCTCAATATCTCTCTGATCCACGAAGTTCCCGTGGAGGCCAAGCTTCAGTTTGAATGGTAAATGAATGACCGCTATTGGACCTTTCGCAACATTCAATGCATCCATGATGACAATATCATTCCTCAGCACATCCAGGTGGTTCAGCAGAGCAATGATATATCCCTCGCCTTCTCCTCCATCGTGTTTCGGGATGAACGATGGCTCTTGAAGTGTGGCGGTCGGCCCAGCAAAGTAGACATCTTCTGTTCTTTCGTTCCAAGTATAGTGGCCCAGAGAGTTGAAGAGTCCACCAGCTGGAGAACCGCATTTAGCAAAATCGTATGGTTTTGTTGGGTCGACTTTCGCCTGCCAGAAGTGATTGTATGCTTTTGTTACATACCGGTCATCGATTCGAGAAAACTCTCCGTTCGTCAGCCAGGTCTCCGCCGGTGTGACTCGAGTTCCGGACTTGGCTTTCGGATCGAAGATCCATCGACACGTTGGACTTCTAAGTTGGTTTCTTTTGGCTAGTGGTGATTCTTTTTCGTCCAGTGGAGGGAAGAAAAAGAAGACATTACCATCGGCAACGGTGAGATCGAAGACAACCTGTCCCTCGTCGTTCTCATAGCAACCTGCAACGTGGCCGTGGAAGGCTGAAAGCTGTTAGTAGGGCTTTGTCGGCGGATCTATCACAGAACTCACCATTGTCGGCACGAAACCAGATAATATCTTCTGGCTTTCCTCCCTTCCGAGGTACCACTCCATACCACTGATCTTCCTTCGGATCCCAGGCCCAGTGGTTCCGGCCCTCTTTCAACCGATCCATCGAAGTCCACTTGACCGGGGTCAGAGGGAGAACCATATAATTCTTGCTAATGCCACAGTCGTGGATCATTCCACAAAAGGGCGCTTTGTACCATGCCTCCTCAGTTTTCTTCCCGTCTGCATCAATCGTCCAGACAACGATGTCGTTTGAGCCGTCGTGGCCATCACCGCCAGCTTCGTAAGCAAAGCACAACATCTCTCCTGTTTCGGGATCGAATTTTGGATGTGCAGTAAATGTTGGTGTCAGAACTTGGCCTTCAAAATCGTACCGTCCGATTGTCTCCAACGTCACAGGATCCATGATGTATGGCGGACCATCTTCTTTCGAGGCTAGAAGGACGCCTCTCCAGAATGTGATGTTCGTATTCGCGGCTGTCCGCACGATCCCCTTGACAATCTCATTGTCAGTATATGGATTGCGGTACCTCCCGAACAAGGCTCTCCGAGCTTGACTCTCGGCATTATATCGATCGGTGTGAACATATCGTTGCTTGAAGTCTGCATGGCCATTTTGGATGCGTATTGCGGTCACACTCCCATCGCCGTTGAAGTGTATGTCATCTTCAAATATCGGTGGGAATCGATGGTCTGGTTGGATCCGATAGAACGTTCCATTAATCTCTGGTGGTATCACGCCGTCAAATTCTAGGTCAAAAACATCGCCTTCGAGTCGTGAAGGCTTGTTGAACCCTTGAAACACTCCAGTCTCCGGATACTTGACATGGTCGGTGGTCTTACGACCACCCGTGTAGTTCGACACAACCTGTGGTGCGAGCTCGTAAATATGTGCCATTATTGTTCTATCTGTTTTACCTCCAGCCTCATGTACTCTGTGCTGTTAATTGCTGTATCGAATATAATTATCACATATCTTCCTATGAACACTTCCGGTATACTCGACCTATTCGGCGAATCGCGAGTCGTCAAAGTCCATTTACCAAGCATGGCAAGACCTGGACTAAGCACCGTTCGGCAAGGTGTGGTGGCTAACTGCCGAGATGTACCTACCACTTGGTAGGATGCTGTTTTCATCCTTGAAAATGGATTTTCAGGATCGTCCTGTCTTTCCCGGTCGATGCCCAATCCATGACCTGGGGTAATTAACTCTCTCGGATTCATGTTACCGATGAGGGGATTGCAGTTCTTGCGTGGCTCCTCCAGGGTCTCTTCCCCACACGGACGCCAGCAAGCATCTCCGCTTCCAAAAGGGGCAAAATGAAAACATGCTACCTTTTTAGAGAGATGGATAGGCAAGTCAGTTGTCTGATCATTTGTCGACGTTATTCCAATCGCCAAAACCCTAGAGAACATCGTTCTTGTCCATCAGAAAATCTATCAAAATGCGCGGCGTGATTGCCATCGAAGAGGCGACGATAGATCCAGGCTCCGTTTCAACCATTGGAGAAACAATCAAATGTCTGATCCCTGGCCTCGTTGACATCGATGCAGCTACAGCAAGCCATGCAAAGCGGCTACTTGACCTACACGAAGATCGCTTACGTATCATGGACGAACAAGGTGTTGAGTATATGCTCCTTGCACATACTTCACCCGGGTGTCAAGGGCAGACAGATCCGCAAGTGGCAGAACAAATGGCCGACAGATCGAATAAGTGGCTCAGCGAACAGGTCAAGATCAACCCTACAAGGTTTGGAGCACTTGCTGCCCTGAGTATGCATGACCCTTTTCAAGCTGGGAACGAGCTCAGGAGAGCAGTGCAGGAGCTTGGATTCTTCGGTGGCCTGGTCAATGACTATCAATCGACCGGCTCGGATGGTTCGGGGAGAGCATATTATGATACCATAGATTATGATCCTTTCTGGAAGGTTGTTGAAGAGCTCGATGTACCTATATACTTTCATCCTAGATATCCGCCGCCACCTGATTTAGCATCGGATGCACCACAGTATGGCAAAAGAGGTCATCTCCTGGGTGCAGGTGTCCAGTTTCACCTGGACCTCAGTTGGCATATCTACTCTCTGTGCTCGGGAGGTGAGTTTTCAACATTCCGTCCTCAGAATCATCACCTTGAGCAATCAATACTAACTGAAGTTCTTCTGCTTTTACAGGGGTCTTCGATCGCTTTCCCAAAGTGCAGATCGTCGTCGGCCATTTAGGGGAGAACATCCCTTTCAACCTGCACCGTGCCGATCACTGGTTGAATATGCCGCACAAGCAGTCCTCACGCCCGTGTAAGTACGACTACACGTATTACTTCAAGCACAATGTCCACATCACAACCTCAGGCAACTTCTTCACTCAAGGACTCAAGTTATGTGTCGAACTTCTCGGCGTAGACAGAGTTCAATTCGCTATTGACACGCCATATGAGAAGACTGAGGAGGGCATGGAGTGGTGGAGAAGTGTTACCTTCGATGGATCAGATGGTGAAAAGATCAAGGATGACATTGCGAGAGGCAATGCTATAAGGGTTTTCAGGCTGCCATTAAAGCTCTAAGTACTAAATAAATGATCACTGAAGGCTGTGCCGAACATTACCATTATGTGAATATCACTATGTTTGACTGAAGGCAGCTACAACTTCATCCTACCCATATCCAGACACAACCAGATACTATTTGCCTGAAATATATTCTTGGTTTAAGGGATTTAAATTTGCGAATGACTATGCAAAGTCAAGCTTTACAACTCTGGTTACGTTCTCAAGCAGGTGTGGCATCAGCAACCTCGCCGTTGCTATTCACAACATCTGCCACAGAAGTCTTCTCCACTCCATTCCCCTTCTCGGCTTCCAGAGCCTTTTGCTGATCCGCCGGCAAAGCCAAACTCAGAGGTGGCAGAGCAGTGCTGACATCCTGTCCATACTTCGGTGCCCTGAGGTCGTCATCCTTGACTTGCTCACCAGTGACTGGATGAGCGTAATGGAACGGAATGACTCTTGTATCCGGCCACAGCATCTGTTGTTCAATCAACTCATCTGGTCCATTTGGATCCTCAGGGAATGTCTTTGTTGGCCAGGGAATGTAGTTCTTCTTGGTATGCGACCATCCGCGATCGAAGTCTGCGTGCCAGAAAGGGAAGTACCGGTAGCGGAAAGGCTTCCACACTCCATTCTCCTTGATATACTCGTTTTCGTAGAGCCCACCTTCCCACCATTGCGCGTGCCCTCGTGGATGCTCTTCTTGGATTGACTGATGAGTACCAGCAGACATAAGAGCTCGGATTCGTGCCCAGGCTCGCGTGCCAGAAGGGTCCACGTCTACGATCTCCTGCATCATTGGGTGATCGAGCAGGAAGCCATACACTGGTCCATTTCGCCCCTTCACGAATGTGTTTTGAAACCTTCCGATGTAAAGTCGTCGAATGCCCTCCTTGCCTCGATACCGTGAGCCCAGAAATTCTACGTATGCATCTGGATGGTCGGAAAACATGTCGACGACCTATTGGTTTTACCAAATTTCTTTCAGCATACTGGCAAAGGAACAACCTCAGGTTATAGTTGGGCTGTTGACTGACCTCATTGTACAGACACTTGTCCAAGTAGTAGCCGTACTTGAAATGGACTTTCCTGATCTCTGCTTCGTCTGTAACCGAGTTAGTCCTCCTTCAAAGACAAGAACTGTCATCGACAGCATACCTTCCACTTTTTGTATCTTCGCATGTAGTCTCCTAACTTCAGCTCTGAGCTCTGCCAATTCATCCGACATCGTGATTCAAATATCTTGTTCAAAGACTTCTTAGTATTTCTAAAGCCTTCGAAAGCAAATTTCATCCAGCCTTGAGGATTGAAAATTTACAACTGATACACACGAAGTGGTACGCCACGATTACTCTTTGTACGATTTCGACACGGGTTTGCTCTCCGCATTCTTCAATCCATAATATGCTTCTCCGCAAATGGACAGTGCCCCAGCCCGATCAACTGCTTAACTGGTGACTAGTAGGAAGTCCCGCAGTTGTTCCAGATTTCCAGCACATTTCTGGATATTGCGGGGTTTGGGGAAGGGTTCAGATTCACAACACTACATCGGCATCTTTTTCTGGCTGCAGTGTAACTTCGCCATCGGCACCATTGCTCCGATATTTGCAACTAAACGAGCACAGCGGTCAGACCCCTCGGCATTCTTCTGTAGGCGTCAATAGGCTCTTTACTGTTGCTACATGTCTTTTCACCAATCTTCTCACCTGAAATCGAAGTGGGCGTGGACATCGAGACACCTTGACATTAAGATAGACTTTCGAACCCGCAAATGTTCGAGGTCAAGCTTCGAGATCTTGGCTTGAAGACGCAGTGCGAATTTGCCCATCACTCACTTATTAGCTCTAGGCCTGCGAAAGTTCTGTTAGTAACAGTGTCTGAAAAAAGACTGCAAGTCGACGCCCAATGTGGTCATAAGGCAGGTATTGGTTGAGCCAATCGATGAATATCGTTGCGAATCAGCCGGAACAGAAAGCGCATTGGGTATATTCGATCTTGCTCGGTTCACAACGGCGATTTTCTGCTTTTCTTGTAGATCTTAGTACTCTCAGAAACATTAGAATACTTTGTAGTTTGCACTCAATATTTGGTTGCACACCCACATTCCATCGCAAAATATTGTACGTCCAAAATGCGACTTTAGTTAATCAGCCGCACGCTCTTCGAAGCTAGCCCGTGTAGCAGAAAGTAACAAATTTATCCGTTAGAACTCAAGAAAAGGAGAAATGGCTGGGGCAGTTAATCATGCCCCTAGACTAAGTCAAGAGCGATAGGCTTTCGTATAGTAGTGCTGACTAGATCTGAATGAAGTCCGCGATCTCGTATGCCACAGACTGCAGACGTAATAATTATGTTATTAAGTAATTATTCATAGCGGTAAATGTATTAGTCAGGTACCCCTATCGCGGATGATAAAACCAGGACAGGATACGCTAACTAGTCCCAGGACACGTCAAATGCAAGGCGCGCCGGAATATTTGCGTCTCAAATGCATCAACCACAAGGCGGCTCTTCACTTGTTCAGGCTTCACCCTAATAGTTTGCGCCAATGAAGTTTAGTTTCCTCATACGGGATGCATTGCCAAAGATAAATGTGAGTAGCGCAAACCGGGCACGCGCTATGAGTTCCCCTGTGTCTTGCTACGCCACTTACGTTTTTCGTTATGCAGGCTTGAAGCTGATGCAGAGATGAATCGGAAAGATGTTGATCTGATACTGGACAAACACCGCCTTGTAAGGCGTGTGCGAACATACAATGTGACAAGGTGGTGTATCGAGACATGCCTTTGTAACCATACGGGGCATGAGATGTCCCACTTAGACCCAGCGTGAAATATGTAGTTGTTGAGTATAAATCAAGGAGATGAACTGCATCTTCACGAAGAGCGCCGTCTGTTTGTCTTCGTTTCTTCAACATCACTTTGGAGATCGGGCTTGTTAACATTGAGCAAGTATGGGAGGATCTTTCGCATCCATTCCGAATGGTGCCCAGGGAACTCCACTACCTTACAAAATTTCGATTCCAAGGCAACAACTTGACGAATTTCATCAGCTCTTGCGACTCTCCAAGATAGGTCCTACAACATTTGAAGGAGAGCAGACAGACGGTAGATATGGAATATCACGCAACTGGCTGGTCAACGCTAAGGCAAGATGGGAGCAGTGGGACTGGTAAGGATGGAACAAAGACAAGCTACTGATCAGTTCAGCTGAGAAAGTCTAGGCAAGTATGTGAGGATCGCTTTAATGGCTTCCCGAACTTCCTAATTCCCATCTCACATGGCGGAGATGTCTTCACTGTTCACTTTGTGGCATTGTTCTCCCAGAAGCAGGATGCAGTTCCGGTCTTACTCTTACACGGTTGGCCTGGAAATGTTATGGAATTTTTCTCCATCCTAGATATCCTCACCAAGCGTTATACTCCTGAAACTCTGCCATATCACTTTGTTGTGCCATCGCTGCCTGGCTACGCCTTCTCCTCCCCTCCACCAACCACTCGAGACTTTCAACTTCAAGATGTGGCGAGCATTATGAACTCACTAATGATTCAATTGGGCTTCGAAAATGGATATGTTTGTCAAGGAGGAGATATTGGGAGCAAGGTGTCAAGGGTAATGGCCGCAACCTATGCAGAGGTCAAGGCACTGCATAGTAAGTGTGATCAGCTTTCAATTAAAGCCTACCCTGACCAGACACAGTAAATTTTTGCATTATGCCTCGCCCAGAGGGGTTTACAGATGACGGCATCACCCAACTAGAGATGCGTGGGCTTGAAAGATCCGACGAGTTCAAACGACTTGGTTCCGCATATGCCTTGCAGCATGCTACTAAGCCCAGTACTATCGGCCTCGTTCTTGCCGCAAATCCTCTATCCCTACTCGCATGGTTTGTTGAACCTCCCATAATCTGTCTGGAATAGCTTCCAGGCATACTATAATTGATGCTGATGGTAGCGTGCCAGGATTGGCGAAAAATTCCTTGCGTGGACAGATGATGACCCACCACTCGACGAAATTCTGGCATCAGTCACTCTGTATTGGCTGACTGAGACCTTTCCACGTTCAATCTATCCCTATCGTCAGGTTTGAACGCCCATTTTTACACGACGTTGCTATTTAACAATTGCTGACCATCGATCTAGCTCTTCACGCCTGGGGTTGTCGGCGCACATGAAAACCCGGAATGGTATATCAGAAAGCCTTTAGGCTTTTCTTGGTTTCCTAAAGAACTGGCACCAATTCCCAAGAAATGGGCTGCAACAACAGGCGACCTTGTTTTCTATCGTCAGCATGACCAGGGAGGACATTTTGCAGCAATGGAACAGCCAGAAGTCCTGCTTGATGATATCGAGGCGTTCATTAAACAAGTGTGGTTAAAATGATCCTGCGGACCGAATGACCGGCCTGGCACTATTCTCCCTCTCATTTCGTTTCCCCACAATTTTCGCAGTCAGCTGAAATGAAGTGAATTGGTATCGTTCTGGTCCTATTAAGTCTCATAGAAAATGTTAGAGGGGAGTAAAATTGGATTTTAGTTTAGCCTTAGGATCAGTAATCGAATGAGACTGTGCTAGCTTATCTTTCAACTTCACCTCAATTAGACTATGTCTATTGCTAAGCACACTTCGCAGCATTTGCATGCAGCTATCCTTTTCAAGTCCAGTCTCATTACTGCCGCGCTATTTGAGACTCCAATCCAACGCATCGATCCTTTTGGGTAATCCAATAAGAGGCATCTAGTAAGGTCACAGGAGCAATGAGCTTTGCCTTTGTGCACCAGTCGTCCATTTCCTTATCTCCTCGCCGCCAACTCCAGCTTCCCCCCAATCGCGAGCTGATCTTGCGGGTGTCTCGACACGCCGCAGCTAAGACACGTCAAAGAAATGGCAAAGGCATTAAGGTCAATCTTCGTCAAATTCCTGACTTTCTGCTACACAATGAGGAATATCAACAAGATATCATTATAGTCGACTCTTGCCATTCTGACTTACATGACAGTGAGAGTTCATCAGACGAGCGGCTAAGTCTGTTTCTCAACAAGGACAATCGCTCCGCTGTAACGCCGTCTTCAGCTCCTGCCCTAGTCCTACCCATAGCAGCAGGCCGAACCAGGTTAATGGATTTAGCTCAGGTTAGCCTCCTCCATAATTTGATTCGCCATGTCAATCCAGCGACATCCCACATCGATATTGTGAGGTTGAACAGACTAAGTCGACTGGCGCAACCCAGAACTTTACTTGCTCTCGCAGAGAAGGACCATGAGAATACAGCGACAAGTCTATTGATTGAATGCGTTGTTGCCAGAATTGATCAGACACTTCATGTAGACGGTTCACGAGCAATGGACCAGATGAAACTGCAGATTGTTTATCGTGAAGCCCTTCGCAACATGAGAATGGCGTTGATGGCGCGATCCGTGGTCGACTGGGGATTATACAAGGCCGTGTTGCTCTTTGATTTGTTCGAGGTGTGTAGCGAACGAACATAAGACGAACAACTCTCACAAGATATAGCTTCTCGAGCTCAGAATCGAACCTGGGAACGATTACCATGCGGAGGCAGCCTCTAAAGCTTTGGCGTCTTTTGAGCCAGGCAGTGTGAATACCGAATTTCGTAGGGATTTGCTCGCTGCCCAAGCAGAGCTTCTGGTACGTGTGCAGACAGTCCAATTTTGTGATCACATCTCACCAATTTCCAGATTTTGAACTCGGTAATCACTAATACTGAGTGTTTTCTGCAAAACTCTGGCTGGCAGTCAGCACTTAAATCCTCAATGATTTATGACGGGGAGTTTGGGCCCCGATCGCCGCTGGTCCTGGATCTCACAATGATATCCGCGAATGTCCCAGGTCTGTTCAGGAGGGTGACCAGCCTCGTTGCGCAAGACTGTACTGAGGGACATATCTGCTTGGCCAAAGACATCTGTGAGCTACTTCGTCGATATGAGAAATGGCTTCACGACTGGGAAGCACTTGGCCATGATATACAGAGATCAAGGCTTAAGTCCTCATCGAAAGACCAGATGTCCGAGATGGCCGTCAGTACTAGATATCTCGGATATTTCGCCATGTGCAACAGACTATTGGCTGCAACCATGCCATTACCCAGCGTGGAAGTTGAAAGGCGGGCGCTACACGCCTCCAAAATGATCATAGAATCGGCAAATATTTGCTCCTCTGCTGGTGCATGTGTACCAGGTATTCGCTTAGCACGTCAGGTGGCACGATCTGTGGTATCTACGACGTCATCGTGGTCCCATTACAGTTCTTACGGGCTTTACACGATTCAAGACCATGTTTTTGAGGCTTGGTGCAAACTACTCGATCGATCCAAGCACAGCTGAGCGTGGAAAATTAGAATACGTATGATAGCAAAACAACCGAATCCTCACCATGGGTAAGACTGCCGCAGAATCTGGCAATATCGTTCCTGCACGGATAGCATGGCCTGGCGGAGCGCGACGGCCAGCTTTGTCAGAGGAGCGTGAATGGCGTCCTAATACTTTTCTAAACAACAATCTAATGGCTCTAACAAGTATAGCAAGGGACCAAATGGACCCAGAATACCAACCACGATGCCCACAGCTTACGAGATGGCTTGCACGAGATTCCTAGAGAATCTCCACCTCATGCCTTAAATGCGAGCATGGCGTTGACACTATCCCGAACGCATTCGTCCAAAGACCTGTACTGAATACCTAGGATCTCCTTCGACAGGCTGTTATCGATTTCGTACGGGAACGACAATGGCTCAGCAGCATAATTGGCAGGGAGTCGATCCTGTAGCTGAGGAAAATTCTTGTTGATGGCATCTGCGATCTCGGAGTTTCTATAAAAGCCTGCCACGACGAAAATTCTCTTGCCTTTAGCTTTGGGCTCTGCAAGCGCCTTGACATGCGCTGTGGCCAGATCGCGAACATCAATCCAGAGAAAGATCGGGGAGTGAGGAAGGCTGTTTTTCATTTTGCCTTGGATCAAATCGCGTGTGAGTGTGTTTGACGTGTTAATGGCGTTCAGGGAGTCCAGATAGTGCACGACGGGGCCAAAGACGGCAGGTGGTGTGAGAGTAGTCAGCGTAAAGTTTGGCTGTTCCTGGTCCATGAAGTCCCACGCAGCCTGCTCAGCCAGTGTTTTGCTGGCGGAATAGGCAACGAAAGGGCCTTGAAGTTCGGCGTCATGAGCTGTAAGAGAACTCCACACCGATTCATCGTAAATAGCTGGATGGTTGCCGTGCCTTGCCATTGCAGCAAAAGATGAAGTCAGGACCACTCGTGATACACCTGGAGCGTATTTCTTGATAGACCAAAGGATACCGCGTGTTCCATTAATCGCAGGGTCGAGCATATCTCTCTTCACATCTGTGACATTGAAATGAAATGGGCTAGCAGTATGAAGGACGCCTTCAAAGGGAGGCTCGCTTTGGACGGCGGTATCAAAAGCCCCTTTTGCCGCTATATCTTCCACCACAACGAATGAGAGCTTTTTAGTTGAAGTCTCTCTGTGATTACGAATGATGTTCTGTCCTTTTTCTGTGGTGCGAACTGTAAAGACCACATGGTGACCAGCTTTCAACAGTTGGTCGATACAATGTGCGGCCACAAAGCCGCTCCCGCCAGTGACAAGAACCTTCATCTTCTCAGTGTTATCTTCTCAGTGTTATCTTCTCAGTGTTATCTTCTCAGTGTTATCTTCTCAGTCTTTTATCAGAACTTTATGAACAGAGGCGCAATGAGGTAGAATCGTACAATGTCGAACGCTGAACTAAGCAATTCCTTGAGTTCCTACTTGGGAATATATAGTTCTTTAGGTCAACTAGCATTTTCTCGTAGTGAGATCTTGCAATTCAGCATGTCAAATGGGTGATGGCGATGTCCCATACGCTGGCTCCCAGGTCATACCTGAAGCATGAGAAGCCCTTGATGCTTAGAAATCTTTTACGAACAGGAAATCATTTACAAGATTTAGCGGACTGGAGTTGTCCCGGGGCGCATTTCATGACCGAGCTAAACTACTTCTTGACATTCGTACCCTGGTCGTCTCCACTCAACAACAGGCACTTCAATGCCAGCACGATCCCCGTTTGAGGCTTGTCGCTGTCGCAACTTTTCTACCACCCAGCATTGAGATGGTCATAAACGCTTCCAAGTAAGTAAGTAACACGAACATTCTGTTGACGCAATGCAAACAAAAATTAATTGCAGACTAATCAGATTGTTGTCCTAAAAAATCCTATCTTTAGATAGTTCTCACGCGCTGGAAGCACCAGGCATAGCTATCTCAGCTACGGCTGGTGCTGGTACGGGCGGAACAACAACATCAATGACTTCAGGGACATATGTAGTCTCTTCCGCGGCGGCAAATATGGGAAGTTCAGGCTCACGCCAAGGCTTTGGGGTGAAGAGGAGAATACTCTTCAAGCACCAACCACTCAAAGCCTGAGTTTGTGTCGCGTCGAGAAGGCTTAGCCCAGGTGCTTTCCTATGCATGCATACCGACTTCAAGTTGATCCGGGTCAAAGAACCTGGCCCACCATGAGTAAGAGCATCCTCCGTCAGCGCCCAGGCTAGGGGGTGATACATTATTCCCTCATGAGAATATGCAAGTCCCGCCGGTGTGAATCTGGCTTGTACTTGCACTTCACAATTGGTCACTCCGACATTGCGTTCATCCTTCATCAAGGCAGATGCAAAGGAACCAAATTGGGGCTGTACAACTTCATCTGTCGCGGAGTATATTGATGTTGTCGGGACGTATGCCGAATCGCCACCATTAGATCGAAGAGCTGCGATGAATTTCGAGTTTCTGGTTTGCGCCCAGACAGCTGGGGTGCCAGGCACTGTCCCTGGGATGGGACATAAACCCCAGGCATTGACCGTTCCTCGAAAATCTGCCGAGAGGCAGATAAAATTGCTCACTTGGGCACGAGTGCTCGGCCAATACTTGAGTGACCATTGAGTGGAGAGGTTACCCTGTGACCAAGCAATGACTGCTACCTGCTTGTTCGAGACCGTTGAGATGTAATTGATAGCATAAGCAACATGCTCTGCATTCTTCGGTGAAGCATCACACATCCTTCCAGGGACATTCAACCAAACTGGATCTCCGAATGAGCTTCCACGCAGCAGCTTTGCAAAGTTATGCTGGAACGCTTCGCCTCCAAATGATCCTGTGCCCGGGACCAGCACAACAGGCGTCTTCCCATCCAAGCCGAATCTGAAATCTGCGGGTATGAAAATGGCTGAACGGAGGCCCGCTTCTGCTAATGAGTATGGGGCATCTTCTGCCGCCTTTTGTGGATAGATAGCTACTATCGGGTCGGGGTTTTGGTTCTCATGGCTGTTGATGTTGATACTTGTCCCTCCTTTAAACTTGAACATGTTGCTGATGGTGAAGTTGGCCTCCTCTCGAGTGAGCCAACAATTGCTTTAGATCGAGAATGGTATTTGGGCAGCTCCAATTAGGGAGGCGGCTTTTCTGCTCATATAATGCTTCCATCAGATCGCCGGAAGGAATGCTGGGCCTATTGGGTATTCCATTGTCGCTATGTATGATGGCCATATCTTGACCAATACTTGCACTAGTATGGTTCATGAGAACTCAACATGCTGCCGGATTCGAAATTGAAGTCCAGCAGAGATATGTCGGAGTGGAACGCAAGTACTGGCAGCTGAAGACCAGGTCTCGCTGGGCGTTGCCGCTAGCAAGGGAGTTGTGCTGCCTATGCGGCTTCGCCTAGGATGATTGGAGATAAGCGAAGAGGTTCGTGTTCATTTACGTGAGACAGGATAGGTTGTACGTGAAAACCGTCCTTCTCCTCTTTCAAGTCGAGCACCAGCTGATCCATTGACTCTTCAGAGTCCTTTTTGGCTGTCAACACCTCTACCGAGTCGAAATGAAGTGTTTACTCAAAGTGTAGGATGTGCTGCAGGCTATCTTCCTTCTCCTCCCTGTGTGTTGTTCCTCGGCCAATAGTCATCTGCGGTGGCTACTGCTCTGATGAGCTTACGTACACTCTTCTTGGAGGCGCAGCAAAGCTTTTCCTTTGCTGTCATTAATTGTTCAGCAATACGGTTGAACAATTATTTCATCACATCTTTACATGAATTATGCGGGGTTTTCACGTATAGACCCAGATTCACGGGCTCACTTGCTCCCCAGGTGATGCTGATTAGGAAGGATAGCATGTTCTTCTGCAGATGATTCTCATGCAGCTGACAGACGATCTGATCAAATGCTTCCTGGCAGTCCGATTGAACCAATCATGCATTCTGGGAGGAACCTTCAACCCTTGTACCGCTCCATGCGATGGGAAAACAAGAATCTGCAAGTTGGTGGACCATTAGAAGCAAGCATGGACTATGAGGCAGAAATCATCACAGCCTGCTGAAAGGCGAGTGTCACGATAAATACGCGCCGATTTCCCATCATGAAGCTCAGTTTCGTGTGGTTGAGGATCCATCATTGCTTTATTGAATTTTTGAGATGTCGTTCCTCATCAACAAGGCGTCCGCAGCAGCGCATAACCTGCAGAAATCTGCAAACCTCGATAATGTCACCAACAAAATCAATTTAGGGAGTATCACAAATGTCGTCTCAGGCTTAGTCGGCGCCCCAGATGCAAGCTTGAGACATCGATATAACAGCTCTGCACCTGTCCAAGAAGGCAACAGTGTCAAATTCCACGTGGATGGCTGTGCTTACTTCTGGGCAGTTTCTGAAGCTTTAGAGAAGGTCAAGGAGTCGATCTGGATACTTGGATGTGAGTGATATTGCTAACACGGGTGTGAAATAGGAATGATCTGACATGCGACAGGGTTTCTTTCCCCGGAGGTCTATTTGAGACGTCCCCCGTCGGAAAATGAGAAGTATCGGCTCGATAGGATGTTACAGGCCGCGGCTGAACGTGGTGTTAAAGTCAACGTGGTGGTGTTCAGAGAGGTACCACAGTTCATGTCCTGTGAGTAATCCACAGTCGCGTACAAGGCGTAGATAAATTTGCTTTGTACGGTTGGGAGATATTTTGATGCAGCAGATCTGACAACATGATTGCAGTGTCTTCCCACCATACCAAGCATTCTCTAGAAGCCCTACACCCAAACATCTCCGTTTTCAGATACCCGGACCATTATTCTGGTGTGAAAGGTGCAATATCATCAACTAAAAGCACTCTTCAAAGTGTCGTTGCTGGTGGAGCCGCAGGGCTAGGCAAAATATCCGACGATACTCTACAAAGTATGTTCGCCATCGCTGGCGGTCCGACCCTTCTCTGGGCTCATCACGAGAAAGTTGTGATATGTGACAGGAGCTTAGTATTCATGGGCGGTATCGATCTATCTTACGGGAGGTGGGACACCATACAGCATCCCATAGCTGATGCTCATCCTGGCAATCTCGACGAGATTGTATTCCCAGGCCAAGATTATAATAACGCCCGAGTGATGGATTTCAAAAATCTCGATAAATGGGAGCATAATAAGCTCAGTCGGTTGACAACTTCGCGAATGGGATGGCAAGATATCTCAATCAGTTTTACAGGATCGGCAGTTTCGGATGTCTGCAAACATTTTGTTCAAAGATGGAATTTCATCCACAAGATGAAATATAACACTGGCTTGCCTGCTGATCAACGCTACGAACCTTTACCGGAGATCACGACAGACCTTAATTCGAGTTCAAACCACAACCTCCAAGCACAAGGCAACATGAATTGTCAATTTGTCCGCAGTGTGGCCAATTGGAGCAGTGCTTTACCCACGGAGCATAGTGTATACAACGCCTACATCGATATCATCGAGAAAAGTGAACATTTTGTTTACCTAGAGCACCAATTCTTCATCACAGCTACAGGGTCCTGGATTGGTACAGTCTGGAATAGGGTGGGTGAGGCACTTGTCCAGCGGGTCTTGAAAGCTGCTCGAGAGAAGAAAAAGTACAAGGTGATTGTGGTCATGCCTTCGGTACCTGCATTCCCAGGGGACCTTCAAGCATTAATCACAGGACATCCTCCCCGGGCAATCATGAAGCTCCAATATAAGTCCATCAATCGTGGGGGTTTCAGTATTCTGGAAAAGATTAAGAGGGCGGGCGTTGAGCCTGGCGACTACATTCGTTTCTACAATTTACGCAATTACGATCGTATCAATGAGAGCGCTATCTTGCAAAAGACTGAAAAAGCCAGTGGAGTCGAGTATACCCAGGCGAGTCAGGACCATGACGACATCGTGGATCCTTTCGGTCTTCGTGCGCAGAAGGAATTCGGCGAGTTCGAAGGCGACGAGGTAACGCAAAACCATGAAGCATATCAGAAATATCAAAAGGTATCAAGCCATACCAGCGATTGGGACACAGTGAGTTCGTGTTATATGGCAAATAATACGGACATCAGGAAAGTCCCATGGCAGGGTGGTGGGTCGATAGCAGAAATCGACGCCTTTGTCAGTGAGGAATTGTATGTCCACTCGAAGGTAATGATTGCCGATGACCGGGTTGTGGTCATCGGGTCTGCAAACCTCAATGACCGTTCGCTCAAAGGCAGCCGCGATTCTGAAGTTGCCTTGGTGATCGAAGACCAGACTCCTCTTCAGACTCTAATGAACGGAAAACCATACCAAGCTAGCAAATTCGCAGCCACACTACGACGATATCTTTTTCGGAAGCATTTGGGCCTTCTGCCGCCCCAGGATATGCGAAAACCTGACAGTCACTTTTTCCCTGCCCCGGGAACCAATGAATACGACTTTGGCTCGCTCTTGGATGAGGTGGTTGCAGATCCATTGCACGATATCACACAAAAGCATTGGAACCAAGTCGCCCACGATAACACACTTGCATTTCGTAAGGTTTTTGCTCCGATGCCGGATGACACGGCCAAAACTTGGCTGCAATACCAGACATTATTCTGGAAGAGATTCACTGGACCAGACGGCTTGCAAATGGCTCAATGGGGACATGTTGCTAAGAGCAATTTTCCAAGTGGAGAGGAAGGTGTCAAACAAGTTAAGGAAGAGTTAGCAAAAATCAGAGGTATGCTAGTTGAAATGCCTCTGGACTTCCTTATCAAGACGGATATCCAAATTGAGGATCCAGGATACAACATCATCACCAGACAGGGATATGTGTGAGGCTCTAGATCCACCTGGGCATGGTTCTCTCAAATCAGTTGTTTAGTGCGGGAAGTACGCGAATTGAAGAGGCAATGCAATATGCTTCAATCACTGGCTGATAGTCTGCTTGGTATTGTCGTCGTGCGTAGATCCATGGACATAGGAGCGGGCCAAATAGCTTGTGTGGCCTCGGGAGGAGTTTCACAGGCTAATTACATATGTAGGACGTACCTAGCTACCTAAGGTACTTAAACTTGACCTCGAACTACGTATGAGTAATGGACTAGAACTGCCGAAGTCCGAAGGGCTCTCCCCCACAACATGTGCAAATTGCGGGGTTTAGTTATTAGCCCTCAGCGGCCTTCGGCTGGCGACTTTCATGTTCAACCAGCACCGTTGTTGTCGGTCTGTTTCATGTTACTCAGGGAGTCAACGGTATTTTGATAACACTGCAACGTGGTGTGCGCATTGCGATATGAAATTACCGAATATCGCAACGGAGTTCTAATGGCTGGTCTTTACGATAGAAAGCGCAAAAAGGTCGATCGGACTGCTATTAGCTGTGACAGATGCAGAAGCCGGAAGACAAAAGTAAGGACATTTTCTAATGAGAAACTGGGCACGGCTGATGGCTGTTGGCTGTGCAGTGCAAGAATCCAGGTAGACCCTCATAACTTGCTACGGAAGACCTGAAGAGTAACTTATCGTCTTAGATCCCGGACCATGTGATTATTGCAAAAGCATCAACGCCGAGTGCCAAACGGACAAGGGGAAGAGAAGGCAGCGGCCTTACTACTATGTGTCTGAGGAAGAATATGCGCTACTAAAGAAAATTGTCCAACATCAGATCTCTACTGAAGATATCAATCTATCGGTCTTGCGCGATGTTGCGTCACAACTCGATGTCGTCGACATCACAACACCGTTGGCGATTTCGGACCAAGATGTCCTACAATCCCTTGTTGTAGAACCTCAGAATGCTACGTCCACCCCCAAAGCCGAGGAGAGAATTGTTGTTGAAGAAATCCAGAATCTCCACGCCAACTTGGGATGCATGATGGTAGACTCAAGTGGGGAGTATAGTAGGTCTCAGACAACCTCCGAAGCTTCTAGCTGACACCTACAGGATACGTTGGACCCGACTCTGGAATCAGTTTCAACGCAGCCGTTCGCCGGCTTGACCCAGATACAGATGCTAGGTTTGAAGAGGACTTGATTCCCCCAATGAGAACAGCAACTTTGCCGCCCGCCACGCCATCGTCTCCAGCAAATTTGAAATTTCCACAAAAGGCTTGGTTTCCTCACAAGGAGCTTTGCCGGTCATACATTTCATCTTATTTCCAAGATGTTCATTGCGTGTACTGGCTGTATTCCTCAGAATCTTTCCATACGAGACTGGAAAAAACGTACTCTGACATTATGTCAGCATCAATTAGTGTCTCGTGGCTATGCTCATTGTGCTGTATCTTCGCCATAGGGTCCATGAGTTCAAAAAACAGTCGTGAGGGCACAAAATCTTCCGAATATCTTGCCATAGCAAAGGAAATGGTACCTGAGATATGTGACGAGGCTGACCTCGACAGTGTCCGGGCCCTTATTCTCCTAGTGAGTGTTATCGTGCGATATAAGGTACTATTGCTAAAAACTGCTAGGCATTGGCATTGCAAGCGCATTGTTTTTCTAACAATGCTTATCTGCACGCTGGTCTGGCGACCCGTGTAGCTTTTTCTCTTGGCCTTCATATGGACAAATATTCCCTTTCTCATGGTGTCGTCGACAAAGAGCACGCCCGAGCCATTTGGTGGACATTGTATGATTTTGACCAGGAGATAGCACTAAAAACTGGCAAGCCTTGCAGCTTCTCTGAAGCCCTTGTCAGCTGTTCCCCGGAATTCCCCTCCGAACAGGTAAGTATGATTCATCCAAGGACAGAGTCCTGCTTATTCTTGACCCAGATCCTGAACCTAGGACCAAGGGTGCCGTTATTTTATCTTCAAGCGTCATCATCACTCACGAGATTGACAAAGCGTACGACTGAAGTCGTGTACCCAAGTTCAACGTCAGGCCGCGTTGTCCTTTCTCAAGTCTCCGACCTCTTGAACGCACTACGGCATTGGCTAGAAGAATTGCCACCACACTTGTTGCTCACGGATCATATTGCTTCTTCGTATCGAAGATGTATCAGTCTCCTTCACGTTCGGTATTGGAGCGTCTTGATTCTTGCGACTCGCTCTTTCCTCCTCTGTAGTGTGTTGAGACGGGATGAGTTGACGGATCATGACAAAAAGGCTAAGTTCCACGAGTTGAGTCATGTCTGCATTGAAGCGGCAGAGAAGTCATTCCACATCCTCAAAGTCATGCAGCGTGACAATACTCTCTCGAGTCGACTGCCTTTAGACTTTAACTACGTGCTTGAGCTAATCCAGATATTTCTAACGGCAGATGCGTTCTCCATCTCAGAGCGGCATAGCGATAGTACTAGAGAACTTCTCCAAATCCTGCAGTCAATGGATAGCCTTGGGTGGTGCCAAAAGGCCCTTCCAGAAGTTGAAGGCCAGCTTAACGAGACTGGGCTGTTGGAACAAGCTTGGGACTTCAACACGAACATTTCAGACTTCGGACTCCTTATGGGCCACAATGAGCCATCTTTTGGGAATTATGATCTGTACGTGAGTACCGAGTGGTATCGTCACGGTGGAGAGTAAGTTCTGGGTTGTCACTGACGTGTTGCAGGTTCTTTGACTCGACTATTTGACAAATGAATCATTATTTTTCAGTCACACCCGGTGCTTCGAGTGCATTTCGTTATGCAGCTACCAAACCGAAAGGATACTCAAACAGGAAAGCATAATACGACAGCAAGCGCATGATTGCAGCCGTGATTGGAGCTAGAAATTGCCAGCAATGCAGGTAACGTTCATGATCTCGGCATCGGATTCATCCATCCGATAGTTTGACTTTGACCACACATTCCTCGAAATCAGCTACTCCTTGTATGTCGGACCCATTGACCCCGGATCTACGTTGCTGCGGGGACCCCGGACCTGAACTTGACCATCACCAACGTGCCGATGAGTAGGCGAGGTGGGTCGAAAAATCTCCTAAGAGCTTAGACTTCGACACGTTTCAGCAAGCTCCCCGACATGAATCTTGAGATAGGATATAATACTTCCTGCAGTCCATGTCACTCCTGTAATCCCCCATTTGCTAAAGATATTGAAAAAATGCCTTTGGGAGTCCTACAGACACGAGATGGGGAGGCACCCGGTACTGTCATTCTCCTTGACAAGGAGAATCGGAGTGCAGCTTTCAATTTCAAGCATGCGCATGGAAAGGTATGGCATGTTTGGGAGATATTTCATGTGTCAAACACTTATCAGTCGGACAGAACTCAGATGTCGTTTTAGTCCCTCAGCCATCGAATGATCCCAACGATCCATTAGTAGGTAGCATTGCCCTCCCTTCTGGTCCTTTGACTCACAAACCGTCAGAATTGGCCGAGATGGAAGAAAGATCTCACCCTCGCAGTAGTCTTTCTGAACACTATCATCCTCGCATCAGTACCCGCCCCAATTCTAGCTCCAGCAACCGTCCTCCTGACGACCGTCTTCCATGTCAGCCTCGACAAAATCGCCGTCCTATCCGGCTACCAACTTCTACTAGTCGGCTGCATTGGGTGAGTGCCCATCTCCCCATCAGACTCACATATTGCCCCTTCACTAACCTAACTATCTCAAGACCGGTTGTATCAGCACTGGCGCGAAAATATGGTAAAAGACCACAATTCGTGTTCGCAGGCATCATGGGCATCATTGGCACGGCAGTCTGCTTGTCCGCAAACACAGACTACAACACACTCATGGCCGGCCGACTGCTCCAAGGATTTGGCACCACGGCGTTCGAAAGCCTTTCGATCGCTGTTGTTGGCGACATGTATTTCGTCCACGAACGCCCCGTCCGCACAGGAGCGATCACGCTCACATTAACCTGTGTTGCGTCTCTGGTGTCTATCATCGGCGGTCCCATAACGGCAAATCTCGGCTGGCAGTATATGTTCATCATACATCTCCCATTCACCATCATCGGTGCGCTGGCAATTATATTCTTCCTCCCTGAAACGCAGTTCGTCCGCATCTCTGGCGGACAGAGGATAGGCACGTTGCCGACATCACTCGAGGAAAACTCGATCACCTCTAAAGTCGCACAATCAGAGCAATTAGAGGATACAGCCAGTACTGACGCTAAACCACAGTTCTCTGATTCAAAGGCTGTATCAGGATCTCACCCCATCCCAAGGAAAAGCTACATAAGCAGTCTAGCTCTATTCAGCGGCACCTACACGGACGAGAACATTTTCAAGTTGCTACTTACTCCTCTGGCTGTCCTACTCAACCCTGCCGTTATATGGGTCAGTGATCGCATTCGAAATGATCGTCTTTGACCGTTGGCGGAAGCTAATTCGCTTAAACAGACACTCCTTATTGCCGGTCTCGCAGTGGTAAGATTTCCCCTTGTGTAACGCAAAGCCATCGCTCTAACGCATGTGTTGTGCCCCCAGGCTCTATACGTCTCTACGGCCTACATTGTTGCACAAATCTGGTCCGGGCCACCGTATCTCCTCACTCCCGCTGGCAACGGCTACTTCTTTGTCGGTGGTCTCCTCGGCGGGGTGATAGGAGGCCTCCCCGGTGCATATCTCGTGGACGCCATTGCAAATTTCTTGGTCAGACGTAACCGGGGTACGTACGAACCCGAGTTCCGCATCCCAGCCCAGATTATCAGTGTGGCGCTGTATGCCCTCGGCTGGTTCCTTTGGATGTGGAGGGTCGAGCATGCGACTCCTAAGGGATACTTCGTTGGCTCGTTCTGTCTTGGATGCGTCTGCACTGGTATCACTATTGCCACTGTCAGTGCCAATTTGTACATCCTGTAGGTTCATTTGACCCCCTCGATTGATGTTTGCCGTGGTACATTGGTTCAAATGACTGTCTATGAACGGTTCGGGTTCTTGGCTAACAATGGCGTTATAACAACACTACAGCGACGCGTTTCCTGCAGACGCAACCGAGATATTCATCCTACAAATGCTGGCAAAGAACTTGCTGTTCTATGGCTTCTCGACTTTCATCAATTCTTGGGCTGCTGTCAAAGGCCCTGGTGCTGTGTTCAGGACATATGGAATAGTCTCTCTGTGTCTCTCGCTAACTAGTGTGGGCATGTGTAAGTTATCTGGCTCCCCTGCCGTATCTCTGCTGAAGAATGTTCCTTCCAGACATTTTCGGAAAACGCTTACGTAGAGCCTTGAGCGGGGTCAAATGGCTGGATACGATCGGTGCTGTGCGTTCTCCCAATCGTCTCATGCCGGGGGCTGCTATTGCCGCTGGCCATTGAGTGTCTAGGAGACAGCTGCCTTGTATCCCATGACATTCCTCTGGAGAAGCAGGATAAAGGAGGACCCCTGTTCGGGAAGAGTGGTTCATGTGGGGATACTGTTGTTCCGCCAGGCCATGACTGTCCTGATCTGGGATACAGATATAACGTTATTGAATGAATCGTTCGAAGTGGATGACCCATCAGACAATAGTCAGTGTACTTCAGCGCAGTCCAATGCAGGCGTTGCTCGCGGTTGCGGCCTTGCAATATGCATGTCTCCAAACATGGTCTTATCGGATGTGATAGCGTGCAAAGGACTTATAAAATGTGACAGTCGTGTCATCAGTTACCGAGATCTCCGCAGAATTTCCCCTCGCCTCTCCTATATTCATCGCTTTCTTATTCATACAACTGTAAGATCCTGAAAGTCGTGGTCTCGTGGTCCAAGAACACGAGCGAGATGCAACTGCCGCATCCGCGGCTTCGATGCTCTGCCTCCCCGTCTGAGCACTAATCAGTTGGTGGACTAGCTCGAAGGCCACATCTACGGGGAACGCCATTCCGCCAGGTCCGCGTCGGGCAAAGAACGCTTATGCAAGGCAACGAGGCATGCTGGCGGATCTTGGATATATCATTCCGTCATTCTTCTTACCGTTGAAGCCTTTCCTTTGTTTTCGGACGGCGACCTGATATCTTTTACGATGGGGAGAGCCGGCAAAGTGTCAAGTTACATGGTGATGGAGGCCATGCACTGCCCCGAGCGGACCCTGGAACGAGCCGTTCCCCTCGCATATGAAACTATATTGTTTCCCACTCAATTCTCGGAGTTGGAAACAGACGTTTGACAGGATCCGTCGCTGCTATCGTTCTTCTGCCGGGGCATCGTACAAGTCCGCGCATCGTCATGAATGCTGACGCTCGAGGACCGAGCTCTGGTCGAAGGTTCGCCCAGTCGCCAATAGATCGAGGGTGGAGGGAAGGAGCATGGGCTGCGAGAAGACATGGAGAGTTCTCCTCACGTATTGGCGAATCAGAGAAAGTGGGACATCATGAGTGGCCATATAACTGTCAGTACTTTGTGGCACGCGTGATGGACCCTAACGAAGCTGTTGATCTGAATACTCGGGATACCGAGTACCTAGACAGTGATGGAGACCTCCCATATATTGACTTCACTGACCGTGGCCCGACCATGAAGTCTGTTCAATTGAATGGCAGAGGGGTGTCCAGAATCCAAGAGATGAGCTCTCCTTCGTGCCTTTGTACCAGGGTTTTGTTTATCCCCCAGTGGCGACTTTACAGCACCAGTTATTCAACCATCCAGCTTGGAATGAGAGAGACTACGTGGCAGGACTTTTTGACGGGTTTCAAGATCCCTCCAAACGTGGTTGAGCTTCTTCACGAAAATAATGGAGGTTCGTGGCAGCATGTCTCACAATGCAGCGACAACTCTGAGGCACACGAACAGGTCGCTCCTGGACACAGTGGCCCTTGCGCCTACCATATCTGCTTCAAGTCATCACAATTCGAACTAGTGTACGCTCGATATGATTTCCACGCCAAGCGGACGTTTATTCTTATCATGGGTGTCCACCTACAATGGGAGATCGAACGCCTGACCTCCCAATTTGACGGGCTCGGATCAGTCCACCTGTTCCAGATTCTCCTCGCCGTCCTAGGAATATGGCTGCAGAAGTTAGAGCAATCACGATGGTCTCTCGACTTCACTGTTCTCCAACTCGAGCAGAACACGGGCTTCGGACAGCTGTTTCGCAATGTGCTCCCGCTGCCCACAGAAAGACTCTATATCCAGAGGAATGACACGGCAGGAGCACAAGGCTACATCAGATCCGTCGCGCGGCACTCGCTGTGCACGGGAGAGTTCTTTGGGGTGTTTGAAGAGGCACTGCCGAGGTTTTTGGCTCTCCAGAATTGTCAAGACGACTCGCTGAAGCAGCAAATACTCGATGCACTAGGCCAATACCAGAGCCAACAGAGAACTCAAGCTGTCCAGGCACACGACTTGAGCTGGCGCATTGACACGCAATGGAGCGTGCTCGTCGCATTACTGGCAAAGCATGACAGTGATGTGAATATTTCCATGGCGCAGGACGCGAGAACGGACAGTCTCCTCATGAGGAAAATGGCGGGTGTCTCAGTCGTCTTCCTGCCCGCCACGTTCCTGGCGACATTCTTCAGCATGATGTTTTTCCACGTCGATGACGTTGGTGGGGTCTCCATCAGCCACAACATTTGGATGTACTTTGCCTCTACTTCCGCGATGTCCTTGTTGTTGGGACTCTACTTCCGTTTCAGCAGTAAGTGGAAAGCCTTTCTCGAGCAGAGGGTTTTCAGATTGGGTTCGTCTGTGCCTTTGGCAGGGGACGTCGAAAAAATAGACGACTGACGCCAGACAGCTGATTCCTTAGCATTGGTCGTGAGAAGGCGTCCATATACCAAATCGTTGATGTGTTTATGTTTTGGAGGTCCACCTGCGGACTCAGATAGAGTGCAAGTTAATTGTGAGAACAGAGTAACTCTAAACGTAGCAGCATTTCGTAGGATTGTTCTGGTCAGAGTGGTCTATGGGTATCTGATAAAGGACGATTTATCCGTGTCTAATCTAGCGTTGTCTATCGTGCACCCCTCCCGCTATGCATTTCAAAAAGGAAAATCCATTGGTGGAAAGTAATGGATAGGTTGTTGGCCACCCGGAATAACCTATCAGTCACTGCGGCCCTTGATGACCCAGAATAGTTTGCCATCACCCTTGGAACTCTGGGCGCCTTTCTTCTCTGCGACATACTGGCAGGACTTGAAAGTAGAGAACAGCGACTGCATAAACCATTCCTCCTTGGCTTCCACATACTGTGATCCCAGTAATGGTAGAATGGCCTTGGTTGCTTCCTCTGCGTGGTAGAATGGAATTCTGGGGAATAGATGGTGGACAACATGGTAGTCGATGATTTCATGGAAGAAGTGTCGGCCGATGAAACCCACGCTTCTGTCGATGGTCCCCAGAGCACCCTTGGTGTAGGTCCAAGCTTCGTCGGTGTAGTGTGGCACATCCGGGTGCGTATGGTGAAGATATGTGATTGCCACTGAAGGGGTAATGGTCAGTGCACGCGCCAAGAGCGGAAGAGCAAGGAATGTCTTACCTAGCCAGTGATGAACCCATAGATATGGTCCGAAGTACAGGAGCGCCACCTTTTGGTAACCAAGGTGCTGGGCAGCAAGCCAAAGAGAACCCAGAGTCAAGAGGAGTCCAAGATCTGAGATTGCGACCAAAATCTTCTGCGATGGGAGAAAGAGCTTGCTAGACATTGTGAAATGGCTCATGTCGCGTCGGGGCTCGAGCTTCTCGCCATTAGGCAAGCTCTGCTTTCCAGCGGTGAGGTTGAAAATCAGGTACAACTGCCATCCCATCAATTGATGTTGGAGTAGTCGCAAAATCGTAACGATAGAAGTCTCCTCGGCCATGTCGAGTAGTTGATTGAAACGAGAGACATTGTGATTCTTGAGGTCGTCCTCTGTCTCAGGGACGAAGACAGCGTCCTTGGTGATATGTCCGGTATAGCGATGGTGGCGAGCATGAGTGATTTTCCACGAGAAGTAGGGAACCAGGAGTGAAGAGTGAGTAAGCCAGCCGAGGAAGTCGTTCACCTTCTCATATTTGGAGAAAGCACCATGACCACATTCGTGTCCCAGAATCCAGATTCCGGTCCCAACACATCCTTGAGCGAACATGTACAACGTCCATGCTACGACTCTCAGGGACTGGGATGGAATACTATCGATCTGCAGCGCCAGCGCTACAAGGACTGTGGCATAAATCACATCTCGGACCAGGTACAACAGCGAAGTTGTCAGCGACGAGACAAAGCACTCCGGAGGGATGGCTTTCTTCAGTTGATCCAGAGTTGGCGACTGGTTTTGCCCACTCTCAATTGCTGTTTTGTTATCAAGTCAGTCAAGGCTCATTCACATCGGAGATCGAACTCCATCAAAAAATCATACCTCGAACCATTTTGTCCTGAATTTTTCGAGAGAATGTGGAGTACTCTGTAAGAGAGAAAAGTGATTTTTGCACTTGTGCCGTGCGTGTTATGTAGGTAGCGGTGGAAGGGGACGTCGAAACAACTTCTGTTGAGTAGTGGGGTCACGATCGAAACGGTTTTAATGTGCAGGGACTGGCCAACCAGGAGTTCATTTCATCGGTGGTGTTCCATAAGGGTCCAGATCCGAAAATGCCCGGGGAAGCTAAACACCCCCTTAGTTGCCAGTGCCAGCAGGTGGAATACTTTCTGCATTCTTCCGCGCTACGAGCACTGCCTCAAGCTGTTTGCATGTGAGAGAAAAAATTGTGACGATATAATTGTGATCGGCACCAAGTGGGTTCATAGAGGGTCTCCGAAAACAGCAGTCTTCTTGATCGAATCAGAGAGCCGTGCCATGGCCACGTCTTGCCATATCTGGATTAGACCCTCCTGTTCCGGAGCCACTAAACTTAGCGCATTACCCGCGTGGTGGGAGCTACCTCGCTAAGCGGTAAGCAAACCACGGGTACCTGTCACCGTGTCCCGTACGGGGAGTTACTTGTGGGTGAATCACCCCGGCGGTCCTTAGACGGGCAGTAGCTGACTCCGTAAAAGGAGCCTCGGACAGGAGGAAACGATAATTCATCAAGCCTCGATAGCACAAGAGTTCACGATGGGTACCAAGCTTAAGTAGAATGATCCGAAGGGCATCGTTTGAAATGACATAAGTCCAGGTGATGATGATAGACACCTGTGCATCTACGTGGTCTCTGGACTTACAATACACATACACTGGTGCCGATACTTACGAGTTACGTCTCAGGTCATCGCCTTTCAGGCATTCGGAGATCTGAAACTGGCCAATTACAGAGGGTCATCTTAGCCTAAGGTACCGCTAAGCGACAAGCACGCTAAGTTTGGTTGAGAGATACTAGGGTCTGCGCTAGTACTGCTGCCCCTGTATTTCAGATGCCAAGTTTCGCGAAATACCGATACGGGGCAATTCACCACGGAGGGAAAGAACGACCGACGTCGTGTCAATGATTTTTTCCAAGGACCCTTATCTGATGGTTATCAGCCTGTTATCCCTGGAAGCGGTGAATCCTTTGCTTTACCAGCTTGATTGACCGCTCTGGTTATTTTTTTCGGTCAAGAGGGGCTCTTGGACCCTCAGTCCACAGCCAAGTTCCTGACCGCATAATAATTGCCGAATCATGAAAATGCCGAGTCTTCGAACCTGGCAGCTTCATCTTTCGTGGGAAGAGATGATGCAGGGTTCAGAGGCAGATGCAAGCAATGTACAGGGATCCGTGCCTATTCGAAAGTTTGTTTAAAGGCACGGTGACGTAAATGATCTCGAACTGGTTCTTAGAGTCATCTAGAACCACTGTTACTGGAACTCATGTCTTGCGAGGTTCTATTCAAAGTTTTCACCGTTCAGGCGTGGGGCTCCAAGGTATTCTATCTCGTGAACCGCCGAGCCGTCAGAAAACCTCCCACAGCCGTTGTCAGAGGCAAAGCTTCCAGAACATGTCGCAACTTGACGTGACGTAAGTTCTTTGTTTTCTTTTCTGTGCAGGCGCTTTGAACATGCTGTCTGCGTCCATGCGTATTGCTGCTGTACATGCTAGCCCGATGTGGCTTGTTAGCAGGTCGAAGACTTGTTATTCTGCCAATGCAGAACCTGTTGAATCACCATGCGCGATTGTTCCCTAGCTGGAAAGCTAACTACCGTGCATCATGGCGACCATGATCAAGCAGAGAGCCTTGTGAAGAGCCATGGAAGATGACGAGAGACCCTGCCCTTGCTCTGGAGCATCTCGATCGTCCATGGGCAGCCTTCAGTTATGCCAATATGGTAATGGCTAGTTCAAGTGCTCAGACTGAGAGTCAACACCCTTGTCTTCTGCATAACCGTCAGTTCCGATACCAGCGTATGCAGTCGAAGTACCCCTTCATACTGGCACGAGATATGAGAGCCCGGCGCGTTCGCATGTACTCGTTATCAACAATGGATGTGTTTGGAGAAAATGATGGCAATCTTTCATTGTCATTTACTTGATTTCGGAATATATGCACAACTTAGCCAGAGACACATCGTATCTGGCGTTGTGGGTTTGAGTGAAATTTAAGGTCCCGAGGCAGTGCCTGCTCGCAGCCAGGTTTTGGTCTTGCCTGGACACGCCATACTAAGTCCCACTGCCGTGAGTTGTTTGGAACAGATGTTGCTCAATAGCAAAGCATCACAAGCCCTTCAACTGACAGGAGGTTGATAGCATGCCATCGATAAAATGAGTTACATGAGGCTGCGACGGCTATCTTGCGGCGATCATCAAGCGCGTTTTGAGGGGTCCGATTCCTCCGCGGTGGAAATTGGGTACCACGCCCCAACCCATGCCGAGCCAGATTACACGTGACACCGCTGTCAATATGAGTACCAGCACGCAGGCTTCACGTTTGACATCCCTCTCTTCCTACGACAGTCGTCCAGTCTTCTCTCCTTTACAGGTTATCAACCCGCCTACTTGTCTATCCTCTGTGTATCACGTCCGATCATCACATTTCATTGATTCGTTCTTTCTGACGCGTCCTTGTCCATTATGATGCGTCTCCCCCTTCCGAAGAGGCCTCTCCGGAACACGCGACATGGCCACCACTCGTCACCCCGAGGACAGACCTGCATCAAACCCCATTCTGATGAAGCCTGGATGTCACCGATTTGATCTCTCCCATCTCAGACTCACCAGCACTGCTTGGGCTCACTCAGGCAACACATGACTGGCCACCCGGCCAGTTTCATGGCACGCATGGAAGAAGGATGGGTGGGAGGGCATCTTTTCAAAGTCAACCAAGAATCGAGAAGACAGCTAAGCTCTGAACACATTTATAGAGTGGGGCTTTCTGGTATGAAAGCTCACGCAGGTGTCCAAGACAAGGAGGTGGCAGTCTGGCAATCAGTGTTGGCGTCCACCCAGCACTCATGAAGGATCTTTCGTGGGTTGCCCACAACGTCTGCCTCAATGTGGAGCCAATGCTTCTTCTCAAAGATCACCGCATTTGTGATCACTTCAACATTGTAGATGGGGTATTGCTGTACCTTCGTCACTGTTGGTACAGGAGCTCCGTGCATACGCGGATCCCACAATTCTGCCTACGGGGTTTGGAAGAGGACATGGCCCCGGGACTGATATACTCTCGCTCACCCCGAAGTTCGGAAATCCTGAGGAAGTCCATCGCTTCCAAATCATGACAACTGTTGGGAGGACACTTGCAAAGTAAATTATCATCGGCAAGCATTCCCATGGGCAAGCTGCAAAGGAACAAATTGTGCGAAACCACGTAGAAAGTGTGTCTTCTACCTCAGATATGCGTCCTTCAGGAGACACTTCTACATCGCAAAGTCATGCATCGATCATTGCATCGTCCATGAAAGAACAAGAGTTTGGATACCGAAGGGTAGCTGGTACTGTGGGAGGCTCCCAGACCTCCAAAGTCGATGCTGCTCCTGGAAGACTAGTCTTAGGTACCTTGAACAGGTCCGAAGAAGACGACCATAGGGAGCCAAGAGCATCGAGAGACCACACACTCCACTTCTCGAGGTTACTATCAGAATATTTCTCTCCGTCGTCGGACCTGATAGATCTCCGACGGTCTGACCACGGCGGCCATGCACGTCATCAGACGCTGGAGATCTATCGGGAGCTCGCCGCAAGGGAGTTCAAAATTTTGGACCCGAGCGGACAAATGCTCACAACCCAGACCTCGAGTCGAGCACTCTGAGTGATGGAATACTCCAAATAAACCTCACGCCTGCCTAACTACGGGCACGGTCAAACCAAAGTCTAGAAACCCCAAAGACTTGAAACCCAAACCACACAACCTAGCCACCAGGCTGGGTTGAACGGAACCATACAAAACACAAAACAAAGCAATGCCAAACCACTGGTACTGGACGAGGGCGTTCCAAGCAATCCAAGGGGGTTCATGGATCTTCGTGTTGACTCTGGGGGCTTTGATCATTATCCATGAGGTCTATCTCTTGTACCCGTGGTGTATGCCTTGACTCTACGACGCGATAAACCGGTTGCCTGGACTCTACACTCCACGAGTCGTTGGTGCTCGCACCGCAACTGCCGCCGTCCGGGCCTCTTTGTGTGATCGTCTATCCTATTCGTCGTGGTGTGTCTCATTCAGATGCTGTGTTTGTCCGTCCTCGACGTCGAGTATATCCTTACACGAGTTTCTGATGGAGCCACTTGCAGGTCCGATTCCTGCTTGGTCGCTATTTTACTTTTTCATCACTGTCCACGACCTCGTGAACATTTTCATGGCTTGGGCTTTGGAGAAGAAGCATTCTATGGTTTTCCTGGTAGGGTGTGGAACGCGTGTCTGAGAGCTCCGTACAATTTCTGTGCTAGCTTGCATAGCTATGGATACTAAATAAACGGTCTGCTTCGATATGCTCAGTCTATCAGATCGCCAAAATTCCTCTCCACGACATGGGACAAATCCTGTCAAGTAACCATGTGGACTGTATCCTGATGTTGTATGACATAATTTCAGTGGTCCTTCCCTTTCCGTGTCAGCACATTACAAGAGCAAGCAGAGCGGTTCAACTCCAACGCATCACATGTATGGACCATGGCGGACGCTGTTCCCATGCTTCTTCTTGAGTATGGCAAGTGTCCGTTTCATACATTGTCGTTTCCACCAGTCTTTCAATCTCTCCAACACCTTCCTCTTTCGATACTGAAAATCCGACATTGCAATGGTGTCTCCTCCAGACGATTGCGGGTATTCGAAAGATTTCTGACCCTTGAGTTGCCACGACTGGCTTGGCTTCAAACCTTCTCCATGGGAATGAACCTGTGGCTGGCGATGCCGCAGCACCCCTGACGATCTTGTAACACCGCTTCTCAGGCTGTGGATGTCGAATCTTCTCTTGACTGCACTTCCTGGCAACAACGATGAACTGTTATCGGACAGAAAGCTCTGGACTTTGTGCAAAGGAGGCCGCATCGGAGCTGGCAGTCCAGGAAATTTAAGTGCGAGATTCAGCTCTGAAGAGGTCAATGGAGGCCCAAACTCGGGAGCCGCCAATTGGGGCACAGAGCCGAGATGTGGCATAAGCGTGTTCTGTCGAGTGCTGTTCATGGGTTCGATGATACTGGTATTGCTTTTGTGTGACCGAACAGTCCTGGCTGACGCTTTCCGAACGAGCTCAATCCCTTTCTTTACTGGCTGTGGCATTGCAGCTATCACACTGGCCCATCTCGTCGGATAGGAGCTCGACAGTAAGACGCTGGGCAATGTTGTATCGGTAGCAGGATTTGCAGCGATAGACTCGGCACTGAGTTCAGCATAACCCAAAACAGGAGACACGATGTGTGGCTCAATTTGTGACTCTTCTGTGGTCCAGCTCTCATCTGGTCCCAAGGGCTCTGGAATATCCTCAGATCTGCGTAAGCTCTCTCTGACCTGCATCACTTGATCAGCCATTGCCACTTTGTGCTGAGTCTTCAACAGTATTCGCATGCGTCGTCGCTGATGAGACACTTGTCTGGCTAGAATGTCACTTTTGGATCTTCGGTGAGAGACATTCTTGTCTCCGGTGTCAGAGTCAACTTCGGTCACCCTGGATAGCTCACTTGGCATCGATGGGCTTATTGTCAACCCTGATCGCCGATTGACTTTGAATCTTCTTGGTGGAGGGTCCGAGTCTAGGTCGCCCATGTCTCCAGAAGTCAAAGAGCAGCTCTTGGTGGATTCTTCGCTCGTGTGCCCAACTGTTGATGGTAGTGTCTGCCATCCAGACGAACGCAAGTAGTTTCGAGAAGTTCCTGAAGATATTTGAGATACTGAACCTGGAAAATCACCTAAAATAGCACCCGGTGGCAGTCTGGCATCCATGCTCGCAAAAAGTCGTCGAGGCATCAATCTTCTTCTCTCTGAACTCGCTAGGCTGGTATGTTGCTGTGAGCTTGAAGTAGATGGCCGCATTCGTATTTGCGACGTCGCTGAAGGTGGAATTGATATCAACCCAAAGGTACTCCTGGTGCCTCGGTCGGGAACTGTTCTACCAGGGCCGTCATCAACTTCGAAGGGACTGTAGCTCTCGTCAAGCCCCAGGCACTCAATATGCCTGTCAAGGAGAGACTCGACAGTCGACTTTTCATGAATGGTGATCTTGGCTCTCGCGTATCCAACCACAGAAGATGATCGTGCAATTGCATCATTTTGAGAATGAATATTCCGACTATATGGTGTGGAATCAGGATGATCTGGATCGCCACTACAGACTTCTGATCTCTCAGGTGCTTGCTGGTCAACCTGCTCCTCCACAGCAGTAAGTTTTCTGAAGGTCTGACCTGGAAGTGACTGGTGCGTCATTTTTGCTTCGCTTGAATGGTAATCATCTTCAATTTCCAAGATTCGGCTGAATCTCTTCCTGCTTTGAGAAGACATTGGCCGTTCTGGCATTGGAGAGAGGATTTCACTTGGTTCTCCAGTGGGGATATCGCCTGAAGTCTTTGGTCGATCGCCAAGCTTGCCAGTATAAGATGAAAATGAGAGTGGTCTAAAAGAGAAAGAGGGTAGTGTCCATTCTGATTGAAGATCTTCGAAACTTGGCTTTACACTTGTGTCAAACTCAAGATTGTCATTATGGTCGACCAATCCGGATATCGAGGCAGCATAATTGCGTCTATCAAGGATAGGGGAGTGGACTCGAGCAGCAAGAGTGGTGAGGTCACGGGGACTGCGGCTGGCATTGACGAAAAATGCGCTGGAATGAGCCGAACCACAAGTCCTCCGAGAAGCAGAGGAAGTCCGGTGATTGTCTTTGTTATCTCTTGCATGGTCATCTTCCAACGGTCCAGCGACAGCATGGCGCAAGCTCTGACCTCTCTGTGAACCTACGTTAGTTACTGTGTGGCTAGTGCCAGGAATGGAGCAATTCATAACCACTCACCCTGGAGGAGCCTTTGGTGCTAGGTACAGGAGTTCGGGTGGCGGCCAAGCTGGAAACTCGACGTGGTATGATTCCGGCGTAACCATGCTTTGACAATTCACTTACCCATCGATTGTGTGAGGTTGGTAGCTCGGAAGGTTTGAATGTTGAACCTGGAAGTGTGCCGAATGGCGACTGTGCTTGACGGCGTTCTGGTACCGGTTCATCCCCTAGGATAGCCTCGTCCATGTTGAAGGGAGGATTTGAATTTGGTTCTTCTCCCATAGGGGAGAAACAGTCTTCTTCCAAGAATGACTCTGTGTAATCATAGTAGTGAGGGCCGATGGAGCCAGTTGGCGATTGGGGCAAGATTCTCATTGAAGTGGCACTGTTATTCCAAACTCCACGGGCATTTTGCAGAGAATTGGATAGCGGTGTTGTTGTCCTGTTCATTGGGTATCCATTCATAGAGGCAACGTTCATTGACGAGACTGCAGGAGAAGGCAGGCGACTGAACGAGGAAATCGAATTGTTTACATCAGGATGGTACCCGCGTAGGCCGGACTGGCCAGGATACATTGTTGCAGGGGAAGAGGCAACAGTCAAAGCACTGCCAACTCTAGGATAGCCGTATCTTAACCCATAGCCGTACTGAGCCTCACTTAGTGCGGGAGAAGAGCCTCGATGCCCAGGTCTGCTTGCGTGAGCAGAATATACCATGGGTGATCCAGAGTGGAGGCTGTGAAAGTCTCTGTGGCTGCGTAATGTCACCAGAGACCGATGAGTCTGGAGATGATGCAGCCGGCCGCCTGGACTAGTCAACCCAGCAAGAGCCTGAGATCTGTAACGAGGGGCAGCACGCCTCGACCTCATGCCCTGGTGGAAAGAAGCAGCGTTGGAGTATGGGGTGTCACAGCCTGAAAAGGCAGAAAGGGAGGCAGCTTGCCGTGGGCCATAATGGCGATGGGAGCGTTTCGTACGTGGTGATTTTTGATGGCGAAGCTGAGATGCAAATGATGTGTCAAAGGAGCCCGAACGCTGTCTGGTAGACTGGAGGCGAGAACCGGAGCGAGGGATCCGAGGTGGTCGAACGGCAAATAGACCGGTGTCACCAGTTTCGGTGGTGTTCCTAAGCATACCCTGGACTGCACTGGAACCTAAAGAGTGAGTCGAGGCGGTATCGGATACATATCGATGCTTTTTCTCAAAATGGTCAGCTTTGCGTTTGTTGGGGGAGAGTTCCGTGAGTGGCATGATTGAGGGATACTGGCCGGGCCACGAGATGATTGATCAAGCTGACAATCAATCTAAACTCAGCAGGATGAGGCAGACTTGAAAGAAGAGTCAGTCTGTTGGGTAAAACGATTTCAAACATGGTGCAGGCGATTGTTCAAGTTGGAAGGCCATCGCAGGCGCAGGAGAGGAAGGAAAGCACAGTGATGAGGAAGGAAGGACTTTGTGGGCAACAGCAGGACAAGGGAGGAGCGTCCATCAAGCAGTACTTTCGTGCCTGCCAACGGAACAAATTTTGGAATCATGTTTATCCGCAGTAGTGAATTCATTGCCTGGGGGATACACTCACAGTTAAGATCACAGGTCTCTCACGCAGCATCCAAGCTCGCTCTATCAATACTTTGCATCATCAATCATCAAATAGCATACTCCTGTCATCAGGTCGGCATCATGCTGAACTTTGCAGCCCCACGAGCTCCCCTGGTGTTCCCAGTCTCAAAGCCACCACTGCCGATACTACTTCTGTTGCTGGATGTTTGCTTTCTTCGTTTGGTGACACCTGATGGACCACCAGCTTTTGGTTTTGGTTTGGAACTGTATCCCCTCGAGCCACCACGTTTGTATTTCCAGGAAGTACGGTTACTCCCAGACTTAACTCGTGATTGGGAATTCGAAGCTCTTGATGTGGATGTGCCTCCCTTGTTTGTGGTCGTGAAGGACGGAATCTGAGGAGCTAAGGGGTGTTAGTGATAATCAAGTGGGTTGATGATTGGGAAATTACCCTGGTTTTTAAACCGACCAATATCAGTGTTGGCGCTGAAATAGCGACTACTTTCAGTCTCATCAGCTCCATCCTCACTTGGTGAGAACTCCTCATCGTCTAGTTCGTCATCACTGATTTCGACCACGATATTATGGTTGGGATCCATATCCTCTTCCTCACTTTGGTCCTGGTGGTAGACGACATCGTCGCCCTCATCCCCTTGAGCCGCCATGATAGCATCGTAGTTGTCGCTGGCAATATTGACAAGGCGTAGCAAAGTAGGGCCGTATATCTTTCGTGTCTCGGGATTTAGTATATTGCCCGTAATCTGAACCAATTCTTTTTCATTCTTGGGAAACTTTGTCCCGATCTCCCTGAGTAGCGAATCAGTTACTTGCCGTTGACCAAGACCCTTCTCAAACATGATCCTTGTTATCGCGTTTCGGGCGTCTGTTACGAAAACATCCAAGACTTGTCGATGCACGTCATCCAATCGGCCCATTTTGCGATCTTTGGTGATCGGGGGTCCCATTCTGGACTTCTTCTGAGCTCGTGGAACTCCGTAATCTTTGATAGGAGCAAAACCTTCACTGTCTTCGTCGTCTTCTTCGTCTTCTTCGACCTCGGACGAGTCTGGGATCTGAGCACGACGATTGTTGTTACGTTTTGAACGAGCCGCCACTGGGGATGAGACATTTGTGGATGCTGGGTAATCATCTTCCAATGCCGCCGTGACACCAGTGACACCGCCTTTCTTGCGCGCTTTCTGGGCCCCAGCCTTTTTGGATGGAGCTTTCTTGGACGGGGCGGCCCTGGGTCTGGGTTTGGCAACAGGAGATGCGAGAACTTGGATCTCAATGGGTCGAGGATTCCTCTCGAATTCAAGAGCATTCGGTCCTAAAACAATGTACTGATTTGGAAATCCATGAAAAACGATGTTGACTTGTTCCAAGATATCCTCGAAGACCAATCTGAGGAACAAACGTTCCACGTCACCTCTTGCGAGATCCTGCCCGAGACCGTGTTGGCGAAGTTTATGGTGTTGCATTTGTTCGATTTTCTTGTTAATAGCACCACGGTAGACATCGACACAGTGGAGGAGCGTCACATTGTGGCCGCGAGTTTGCTGCACAAGCCGTACGGCATTCATCGCATGGTCTGAGAAATCATGTGTCTCAAATCTATTTTGAGATTTACAGTTGTCACATCCACCCTGGCAGTCTTCTTCCCTGAAATGTTCGTTGAAATAGGCAAGCACCTGAACTCGGCGACAGTCGCTGCGGTTCTCACAGAATTGAACAACGTTTCGTAGCAAGTGTTTTTGCCTTTCTTTTTGCAATTGGTCACCATCACCCTGGTCGATCATATTTCTAAGGATCATGGCATCCTTGTAGCCGTAAAACAAGATGCATTCAGATCGTTTGCCGTCTCGGCCAGCTCGTCCTGTTTCCTGGTAGTAGCCTTCCAGACTCTTGGGAACCGAGTGATGGATGACGAATCGGACATCGGGTTTGTCAATGCCCATCCCAAAAGCAATCGTGGCAACAATAATCTTGACCCTGCCTGCTTGCCAGGATTTTTGAATTGCCACTCTTTCTTCCGGAGTCATGGCAGCGTGGTAGTGCTCTGCCTCAATATCATATGTATCTCTCAATGACTTGGCAACAGCTTCGCAAGTTTTCCGTGCGAGACAGTAGATGATTCCAGCTTGTCTATCGAAATGGTTCTTGATGATGCTGGCAATATCTCTTAGCACCTCACCCTGTGGTCCTTTGCTTCTCACTTCGTAGCGTAAATTTGGTCGATTGAAACTCTGATCAAATACTTTTGATTGATCCATCCCCAGAGTGTGCATCACGTCTACCTTGACATTTTCAGTAGCAGTCGCCGTCAGCGCCATTATTGGAACGTTCGCAAATCGCTTGCGGATCTCTCCCAGTGCTTTATAGTCTGGGCGGAAATCATGGCCCCATTGGCTCACGCAATGTGCTTCGTCGATCACAATTCTGGCGAGCATTGCGCGCCTACACAGTTCTTCCAAGGCGTTCATCATTTTCCCGCTCTTGTTCAGCATTTCTGGTGTGACGTAGAGTAGTTGAATGAAAGTTTGGGGGTTAGAGTTCCGTAATGCCTGGTAAACGAGATCTTTCTCCTGCGTTGTCGTCTGACCATTGACTAAGAAAGCTTGGATGTGCAACTTCTGCAAATGGTCGACCTGGTCTTGCATAAGACTAAGCAATGGGGAGACAACAATTGTCACACCACGGGTTCGTCCACTTTGCACGACGGATGGCAACTGATAACACAACGATTTACCACCACCAGTAGGCATCAGGACAAATGCGTCGTCACCACTAAGGGTGGCATTGATGGCTTCTAATTGATTAGTACGGAACCCCTGAAGATGGAATTTTTTCTTCAATGCCGTCGAAACCTCTTTTGACCAGGGATGCTGCATTAAAGCTGCTGAAGAGGGTGGCTGCGTGAAGACACGTTTCTTGGGAGTTGTTCGTTGGATGTTGTCACTGACTTCACTCAGAGGAGGGCGGTCGACATATCTTTTCGAATGTCTGACATCAACTTGCCCTTGCTCAAAGGCTTCAGTAACTTTCAACAATTCCTCGTCATCGTCTCCATACTCAAATTCATCATCGTCAAATCCAAAGTCGCGAGGCGGTGATCCCATGGTTCGCGAATACTTGTGACTTGACTCGGCCACAGAGAATGAATATTGATTGTAGTCATGGCTTGGTGACTCCATCACCTTGTTTGCAGGCACTGGGACTCGATTGCCGTCTCGAAGTTGTCTAACCACAGGCAATGGCTCCTGTGCATGTTGTCTCGTGGAGAAGGATGAGTTGATGCCACGATTGTTACTCATCAGCGCATCACCACGGCTAGGAAGAGGGGTTTGAACAATCGACTGCGTACTCAGGTGGCTGTACTCGTCTCTCTGCTGATCTTGATCGAGTCTCAGATCATAACTGGCTGGTTTCTGTGTAGAGGCAACCAAAACTTCCTTCTCCCGCCTGCCTTCTGTCAAACTGTGGTTCGTTGAAACGCCAACATGTTGCAGTAGATTGAATACTGCAACCTCGCGAGACTCAATATCCACCTTTGCGCGTCGAATGTTTGCGCAAATGGCCGTTAATTTGTTGTCCGGGTCCTGTGGATCAATCTCATATCCTGCTGCTTCGAGTTCCCTACGCTCTTGATGCAACCGGTCACGGTGTCTGCTGGCCTCTGACAGAGATGCGTGCTCCGCGATTAGCTGCTTGACGGATATGATATTTGATTCGATGGACTTCAATGTGTCTGTCAAGTGTTGGGAAACGACATCGGTCTCACACATCTCATCCGCTACTTTCGTATTGGTAGCCTTTTTTGATTTATCCAATCTCTCCAGCAAATCTCGGCATTGAAGCAATCCGTCCTCGACGAAGCGGCGAACACTGTCCTTTTGACATTCTGTAAGCGCGCCACCCGTTCCGCTACTGGAGCCACTACATTTGAGGATTGGCGGTTGGCTGAGGGGTTGTTGCTCCAGCATGAAGTTGCTCCTTGCTTGCTGCGAGTCCTTGAAGGGAGAATCAGATCTATTTGGCGACGCCGACTTTTTTAGGGTGTGGGTAAGATTCCGAGCATCCTGCAGGTGTTTAATCTGGGGCTGGGATCTGACTGGATGGGGAGCAAGCCTCGAACTGAGGTTGTTGTCAACCTCCTCATCGGAATCGAGGGGAATCTTCCGTAAGTTGCGCATGCGACTTGGTCCTGGAACCACGGGTGAGGTGGATCTTTTCATGACTTTCATGACTTTCCTGGAAGGCTTGGAGTATTGCTCGATGTCGTGCAATGCTTCGAGATCCGACTCGAGCAGATCATCGTCCTTAACGACTGGCGAGACTACCTGCGGATGCATGCGTCCCGCGATGGTTTCTTCATGTACCGTATGATTGCCATGAATTAGATTGGTGTCTATCTCGGCTCGTCCAACTGTGTGCATGTTCTTGCTGCGGATCGAATGTGGAGAGTAGAGGTCAGCTTCGTATTCCTCACTCTTCCGCTTCTTCCCCTTCTTCTTGGACAACGGCTCTGGGCGGGAGGCTGATTCTTCTCTCCATAATTTGGTTGGAGTGCCGAAATCACCAAACGACGAAGTTGTCAAATCGTTCCCCGCAGTTAGGTCGATCTCGTCAATGTCAAATATCTCGTTACTGTCGTCGAACTGAATATCGTCAAAGGTTGTTGCTGGGGTCCGTGCAGGTGGAAGGCGATGGGAAGCAGAAGGGGTGTTGGCCTTGCGTGGCCGAGTCGAACTGGGCGTTGCATTGCGGCGGTCCGAAGCAGTTCGTGTGGGATTAGGTGTTGGCAGCACAGTTGTTCCAGTATTTTGTCCGATTAACCTCGATCTCGGCTGAATTTGAGGCGCCAATTGCAGTCTTGCCATCTCATTATTGGAACTCTGGGGCTCATCATATGTTTCGGTGCTAGAGTCAACAGCCACAGCAGAAATATGCACAAGGGAACCAAAAGAATGCGGATGCTGAACAAGCCACTCGAGACAGCTGCTGAAGTTAGTCTTGGTCATAAGGTCGTCGCATCGTGTGAAGTTGGATGGGCTACAAAGATATTTTCAAATCGAAACCGTGAATGTTCAGGGTTTAGTGAGTGCAATGTTGTTTGGATGAGGTGAAGACCACGAGGCTTGAAGGGATATCTTCGGATATCACTTCGTGGGAACGCGTTCACACGCGTCAGAGGCAAACGTGGAAGGTGCGGGCCAAGTTCAAGAAGTTGCCGCTATAGATTGCCAAGCCATACCCCATTAAAACAGCGGCGTCCTTACTCAAAGATTGAGTGCCTGGCTTCAAACTCGAAAAGATCAATAATGAATCCGGGGCATGGACACACCACAATTACAGTCAGATACTATAACGAAGAACACAATCTATCTTGAGCCGAGAGAAAGATTATCCAAGTTGGTATGAACGTTCGGGCACACGACTCAATCAGTTAGTCGCAAGATTCATCATCCACTCTAAACAGCCCCATAAAATCTAGCAGATAAGTTTACAAGGAGGTGGGTTTTGCTTAGTTTATGGATATACTGAGTAACAAGCTGTTGCAATATGGCTCCTAAAAAGAAAGCCAAGTCAGCGGAGCAGAAAGCACAGAAGCTGGCCAAGCAATCGAAAAAGGCAGCCAAGGGCGAAAAAAAGAGCAAGGCCAAAGCAGCTGCGGCTATTGATGACGATTCAGATGCTGACGACGTTGATCTGGACGCTGTACTCGCCGCATATGCAGAGGAGCAAGCCAAATTCTTGAAGATTACCGAGCAGTCTTGCGGCGCTCCGCCTCCTCGATCGTCCAGTACGTTTGTAGCTTCGCCGTCCAACCGGAATGAGCTGTTCATCTTTGGGGGCGAGTACCATGATGGCAGTGTAGCATCTTTCTACAACGACCTCTTCGTCTATCAGATCGATAGGGGTGAGTGGCGTCAAATATCATCGGGCAATAGTCCTCTTCCTCGAAGTGGCCACGCAAGCTGTAGGGGTGGCAATACCGGCGGCATCTATGTCTTTGGAGGAGAGTTCTCCTCTCCTAAACAAAACCAGTTCTATCATTATCACGACTTCTGGCATCTGGACACAGACACCCGAGAATGGTCAAAGCTTGAGCCCAAGGGCAAAGGGAAAAATCCGCCGGCTCGCAGTGGCCACCGGATGACCCATTTCAAGTATTTTATCATTCTTTTCGGTGGGTTTCAGGACACCTCCCAGCAGACGAAATATCTGAATGATACATGGATCTACGACTGTAAGGAAAACATCTGGCATGAAGTGAAGTTACCTCCAGCCACCCAGAAACCGGACCCTCGGTCTTCGTTCAGTTTCCTTCCTCACGAGTCCGGTGCCGTGCTATACGGAGGTTACTCAAGAGTCAAAGCGGTAAGCACGAATACCAAGCAAGCGAAAGCCGGCTCGGCGGTTGTCAGAAATATACTCAAACCACTTGTGCACCAAGACACCTGGTTCCTTCGGATCACTGCCCCTCCAGCCGAAGCAGCAAGCGGAACTCCACCGACGGTACGTTGGGAGCGAAGAAAGCGGCCGGCAAATGCACCCAATCCAGTGCGAGCAGGATCTACCATGGCTTTCCACAAAGGGCGCGGTGTTGCGTTCGGGGGTGTGCACGACGTCGAGGAAAGCGAGGAGGGAATCGACAGCGAATTTTTCAACGAACTCTTCATCTGCAACATTGACCGCAATCGCTTCTTTCCACTTGCACTACGAAGACCCAAAACTGGTGGCGCCAAAAAGCAAGCGCAAGCGGCACGTGGTCGAGACCGGGGTAAAGCAGATGAGGAGGAGCTTCTTCGTAATCTGGCCGCTCTTCAGACGAAAGGAAGCATTGCCGATGCTGATGATATGCAGCTTGAGAAACGCGAGCCGGAACCAGAAGCAATAAACAAGAAGGATGTCCCCGTGCGCTTTGAGATGCCTCATGTTCGCTTCAACTCGCAATTGACCGTCCAAGACGACACTCTCTTCATATTTGGAGGGACATTCGAGAAGAAGGACATCGAAATCACCTTCTGCGACCTGTACAGTATCAATCTCGACAAATTAGACGGCGTGAGAGAACTCTACTACAACGAGCCTGCCAACTGGGGCGTGACAGCGCAAGACAGCGACGACGAAATGGACGATGACGACGAAGACGGTGAAGAAGATGAAGATTCCGAGATGGAAGAAAACGACGACGATGCCATGTCCATTGACACACCCTCTACTACACCAACGACACCAGAACCCGTCACCGAGACCGAACCCGAAACCAGCGCGCAGCAAGATTCGCGGCCATTCCCGCGTCCATTCGAAGCTCTGCGGGACTTCTTCGCTCGGACGTCGGAGGATTGGCAAAAGCTGGTCTTGGAGTCTAAAGGTGGAGCTTCAGGACAATCGGGAAAGGAAATCAGGAAGAAGGCGTTTGAACAGTCGGAAGAGAGATGGTGGGATTGCAGAGAGGAAATTCGTGACCTTGAGGATGAGCAGGAGGCTGCAGGTATCAGTGAAGTTATCAGCATGGCAGATAGAGGTACCGAATCTGGCGGAGCAGGCCGACGACGCTGAACATAAGGTGTGGAGGATTCCTTTACCGGATCAAAATGCACAAAAGCATTCATGATGCTAAACTACTCCTGAAGAAGGATGTCTTGACTAGTATCTTAGAACGGACGAAAAAGGTCTAAACAGCCAAAGGCTAAGGGGGGAACTATCTTCATCCCCTGAGCTGTAGATGAGATCTTTAACATCGTATAACTCTGGAGATTCAACATCCTCTCGGTACGCACCATTTAATTTTGTTGTCTAGTGGTTCAGACGAGGCTGGTGGCGAGGCTATGGCTCTAGAGGGACGAGCGGTTGTGCGGAGGCTCGCCGCGCACTCGCATGCCAGTTCAACTTTTTATTCGCGATCAATCTACTGCAGGATTGACACGAGTAGAAACGCAGATCATGGAATATAATGGTAGTGAACACTCGTACTATATTGGTGCAGATAGATTCCCAATTGACTATGCGTTCTCTTGTTGGTCTGCCTGATCAAAGCCACATCTCGAATACCATATCCAGCTACTAATCTATTTCAAAGCATGTAGCGGAAAGCAGGGTGTCTGGAACTCAGTTCCTGCTCCTCCAGCCTCGTCAAGCCCACCAACAAGTGATCACGTTTACCCAAGTCCTTCTGGCGATTCTCCCATTTGCAGTAGAAGCGCAAGATGATGGCGGTGACGAAAGTGCCACAGAGGAAGGAAAGCAGAACGGCGTGACCCGTGCGGTAGCCTGGTGCGTCAGAAGGTAAGTAGATCCACGGTGCGCATACGCCGGCTAAACTGCCGAGTGTGAAGACAATACCAACGCCAGCGGCGCGGACAGTCGGTGTGGCGCAGTTGTTGGCAGCCTTGAAGAGGGAAGAATGTTAGCTCGTTCTACTCCGATTTTGGCATTTAAAACTCTAGAACGAATATGGACTCACCCATGTCAGGTAGATTGGATAGAACGAATAGTATCCTGTTGCTGCCAGGTAGAGGGCCCCGTATTTAGCGGCCGGTTTGTTGTTGGGGAGGAATTCGAGCATGAAGAAACCGATGATCGCGACAGGGGCACCAATGATGATCACCATCGAACGATCCTTGTATCTGTCGGATAACCAACCAGCGAGAATAGAGATTATACAGGCCACAGCCTTTGAAGATGAGGATCAGCTATCGTTACATCATATACTGAAACACTGCCCCTGGGTTTGTCATAGGAGATGAGACTTACATAAGGACCAACAGAGAGCAGCTGAGCTTTCTCATTAGAGTAACCCATTCCTTTGATGATCGATGGAACGAAAACGGCGAATGATTGAGCCACAGTACTATTGCAGAATCGTTAGTGCCCTGCTCTCTTCATCACGAAACGAGGATTGATGGTGGGATACTCACTTTGTCAAGTAGAAGCCAAATGCACTCCCAAGGACATGAGGACTACTTAAAGCCTGCTTGATATGTTTGAAGCTTGTTTTTCCGAGTTCTGCGGTTCCAGCAGAGTCAACCAGGAGTCTGTTTACCGCTGTAGTTCGTTCTTCTTCGGTTAAGAACTTTGCAGTTTCTGGTCCTCTCGGGATCAAGAACCATGAGGCACCAGCGATAAGTAGGGAAATAACACCCTGATTTGGATTAGAGATAGTGTTAAGAGAATTCAGTAATGAAATAAATACCTCGAAAAAGTATACGTTCCGCCATGTATGAATGAGCCCCCAGTGCGGAATCTTGCTCAAGCCGATAGCGAGCAATCCACCGAAGGCACCACTTGCCGAAGCGGCAGAAACGTAAATGTTCGTACGAAACCCAAGCTCCTGTCGACGGTAGCTAGTATGGTAATTAGTGATGGACACAAAGAGAAGGCTGCCGTGCAGTGTGATGGACTCACAATTGGGATAATAGCCAGATGAGACCGGGGCTGACGCCACCTTCAACGACACCAAGAATGAACCGAGCAGCGTAAAGTCCACCTCGGTTTTGAACGACTGAGGTCAGTGTCGTGATGATTGCGAAAGCTGAGACCAAGAATGGTATCCAAATGTGACCTCCAATTCTCTTGCAAAGGATGTTTGCTGGAAGCTCGACCACGCAGTAAGGTACGAAGAGGCACATCAACGCGATGTTGTATCGTAGACCGACATTGAGCTTGAGGTCTTCGGCAAGACCGAGAAGCCTGACATTGCCAATATTGACTCGATCGATAAAGCAGAATAGATTGATGAGAACGAAGAAAATCAACAGATGGATGTCATATTTTCGGACAACCCTTCTGGATACTTGTTCATCAACCACAACCAGCGCATCTTGAGCCTCTAGGTGCTGTACATTGTCTGCGTCTGGGTCCACATCAATCGACACTTCTTTTGAGGTCATGACTGGGGAATGCTAGAGCTGCTGCAAGTTGGATGAGAATGAAACTCTGGGAGAGCGAAATTCGCGAAGGAGTGATTGCCTGTCAGAATCATGCAGAGCTGCCCCAGACCAGGCGGATGCAATCGAGAAGATATACCCTGTTTAGCGAATACTACCCCATGGAGTAGATACTGAACTCCCAACAGGCTAGGACCACCATGGGGAACCAACACCAGGCGGTCGGTCCAATTCATCCTATCGGAATAGATGTGTCGGTTTCCACAAAATGCAAGAAGCTCTGGGCATTTCTTGGCTTACTTAGGTCTTTTCCCAGAGCTTTGGAGCTGATTCAGCAGTCATTCCCTAATTCCGCTCCAACTCGTGCAATCATGACCCTGTGTACAGATACAGGTAACAGAGAGCCCTAGCACTCGGTTGCGAGCTCTTAACCACGGATCCGGTCTTTTCATGATGAGTGCAATTGCCGATGGCTTAATCCAGTTAGCCAGCCTCCGTAACTCCACGAGGGTGATTTGTCCCGTTGCTCCCCCACCCCCCGGTTTTTAATCATAGCATAATCTATCGACGCGGGCTGACTACCAAGTTTCCCAGACCACCCAGTGTCATGCAACAAGAGGAGATCGTGGTATCAGATTACCGATCGTGGTCCGTTCTTTGCGGGAAGTCTGATCACCATTTCTGTTGGAGGGCCGCAGGGACAGCTGCCGCGCAAGCTTGTTAGGCCTCGGCTGGACATATTTTCATATTCTGGGGCATTTTCAATAGCGTGGAAACCCGGGATAGGCTATCATTATCAGCCCACTTCTAGGCCTGCTCAACCCTTCATAGATATTGGGATTCAAGTTCACCATAACTTTGGCCTGGGAAACACAAGAAACTGCGCATTGCTGTTCCAGTAAGTCTCCTTCAGATCGAGTCAGCCTCATGGGTAAATTGATTGCTCTAACCGAGAAAAGAGGGGGTGGGTGGTGTTAACGGCCGGTGGCCTTGGGATTGGGACGGCTTCCTAAACCAGCAAAGCCTTTCCAGGAATTCGGTAATTCTTTGTAGAACCGGCCAAAGATCTAGAAGCCGTACGATTCCAAGGCGTCAGATTCTCGCGACATAGTGGGTGTTTTCTTCAATCCGTGGGAGAGCGCAAGGTCCAGACCAGCACTATTCTAATTTTTTTGGTCGATAGGCCGCCTGGGCGTCTTAGCGATCTCACTCGAATCATTTCCAAGGATATCACTCTTAGTCCACTCGGCTTCTCCGGACATTGCATGATTGGGGTTTGCTATCTTCGAGTTCGAGATAGTTGGACCCATAAATCGTAGTACTTTTGTGGGCCATGTGCCGTGCAAAACTTAGATGGGCAGTTTCCATGCGGGCATGCCACGCGACGAGGTCGTGGGAAGACAGGGTTGAAAAGCATCAACCTCGGATTCATTCCCTCATGAACTCGTGGATTGTTTGTGTCCTCCCCTCGGTGCAGAAATGGTGGTTGATACGACGCTCCTTGGTATTGTTTGCTACATTCAAGGTCAGACCCGACAGGGAGTTCTCGCATCCAGCGGGTTTACAGCTACTTCCAGCTTCATAGCCGAAGCCGCTGGTATGCCGGAATCAGCACTTGCCTACTGTGTGGTTCTTCTGTTTGTCGGGGACAGATAAAAATATCTTGCTCCACCGGAAGCTGCACAGCCAGGGCCTTTGAGTAACATCTCGTGATAAACCTCGAAGAAATAGAATTTCAGATCTGAGTTTTGCAGGGTATTAAGTTTGGTGATGAGGCCACTTAGTCAGTGCCAACCATCCCCGTATTCCCAGAGCGACAGAGCGACAGAGCGACATCCAGCTTTGGAGGAACGGGCAAAATGTGGTACTCAACAGAACCCAGGAACGCACAAGATATGGCCAATCAGTTCACCAGTATTGATCATTAGGACCAAGTATCGTGGTTTACCAGAGATGGAAAGCCATCCACGCTTTAAATGCCCAGGCTAGGTAGGCATCTAGAAAGATAAGGAGCGAGGCATCGTATGTCAAAGAGCTGCAACCTGGAACATCATACACCATCTCATATCTGGTGAGGAAGATGAAGAGCGCATAATAGAATGGTGCGCAGATCTATGATCGCTGTGGCGATTGACTTTGGGCGCTGCGGCTCCCCCGCAATTTTCGGCCTTCACAAGCTCCAGCCTGAGGTCGGGGCGGAAGTGGGCTGAGGAGGCTCGTATTCAGCGCCTCCGTAAGACTCCGAACGACTCATCAATCCCAATCGATCTCCTCGCGCTTTGGGTATTTACGGTCCGAAAATTTGACTCGATCTATGTTTGATTGATGTCCGAAATGCCTATTGGTAATATGATCACACGGGATGAATCAGAAACCTCGTTGGCATCGGATAGTGCAACACAGCAGGCGCAGAGTACGCAGTTGCACATATCCCGAATAGCTTGCCAACGATGTCGGAGCCAAAAGGTAAATTTGCTCCAGCCTACATGTTGATCTTGAAGACACTGATCTTGGTTCTTCCAGCTCAAGTGCAGCCATGAGCGTCCCAGTTGTCAAAGATGTACGAAACAGAAGGCCAAATGCGAATATGCTGAAGTCGGCGAACGACGCAAGGTAAAGTTGCAGCATAGACAAAGTTCACTTGGCCACCAACAACGACCGCTGCATTCTGCAGCGTCCAGGGGAAAAAGTCATGCAACCGCTGTTGATCAAGCGATTCCGAGGAGTCTATCCTTATCCGGAACAAATGAAACCATGAGAAGAGTCACGGTTGATGGTAGTCGCGAAGGTCCAATGGCCAGTAACTGGGCAGCGAGACCAGCTCTTAGTATGTCGTCAGCAGTAGATCCTGTCGATGAGAACCACCACGCGTCGACGCCTAGTTCTATGTTGCATGAGGACCAAATTCACCTGATGCACCAAGCCTCCATACCCACAGATGTAAGTTGATCTAGTTGATACAAGACAGATTCTCCTGCTAAAGATCTCGCGTTGTGCAATAGTCGTATGCCTCGCAACTTCGGAAAGGTGACACACCGAAGCAGAACGAAACGGGAATCGAGCTGGAAGAATCTTCCTTACCTCCTCTCGCAGCTGGTCTTGCCTTACTCGAGATCTACTTTGCCCGTATTTATAATGCTTCACTCCTCTTCTGGAAGCCAAAGCTATTCTCGGAATATGTCGAAGGTCAGGTGCCACCGTATCTGCTCAAGGCGATCTTTGGCACAGCTGCTTTGTATGCGATCTCCCTCCGATTCAAATGATCACGAATTTAATGCCAGGATCAGATTCCTCTCACCGAATCATGATAACAGAAACCTTGAGTCAATGGAGTTCTCAGAGCTTACCGCGCTGAGGATCTTCCATAAGCGTAGCTTGAGCTGGGCCAAGGCTGCTTCCAGTGAAGCAATGGCATTGGCAATTCCGGACCCAAGCTTGTCAGTCGTCCAAGCTTTAGAAGTGCTCTCTCCATACTGGTACGGCACCGGCATGCCACGATGTGGCGACCTTTCACTGGGTAAGAGCTCTCTAGAAGACCTTGCTCATCCTACAGACTTGCTGCAAGACCCTCATTACTCATGTTCTCTTCTGACTCGTTCCCAGCCCTTGCATATCGTTGTTGTGTCATCATGCAGTATGGAGGCAAGCGCGACGGCTCGGCCGAAAATGACCTCTCACTTGAGGCTGAACTCAAACGAAGATGCTTCTGGGCATGCTGGGCATCCATGTGCATAGTTGCCTCACCAGAACCATACATGCGATATTCATGGTCCGAAATTGCTCGAGTACCCTTGCCGGCGACCATTCTCCACTCACCAACAGGACCACATATCAAGCTCACCGAATATATGGATAGCAACTGGGTGGCGTCACGGATCTATGGTACAAATGACACAGAAGAGCCTCCCGTTTCTGCAGCCATGATGAAAATGGTGGGAGTGTGGTGAGTTCAATTATTGAGACCTCGGAATGAGCGCTGAATATTGACAACACCATGCAGGGCGAAGGTTCAACTGTCTGTTGGAGATAGCTCCAGTTATGAGACTTCGAGAAAAGTGCGAGAGATCCGTGAGCTGTCCGACCTCGCGACCACAGCATATGAAAGTGTGTCGTTGAGTCATCGAAGACGACTTTTGGCATCATTGGTATCGGAGCAAACATTTGGGCTCACTCACCAACTTTTGTTTTTTGACGGCCTTTACCACCTCTCGCAGATCACTTTATACTCCACTCTGGTGCCACTCTTCTCAGGTTCTCAAATGGATCAGACAATTGATATTGCCCTTGTGCAATCAAGTGCGAAAGCCGTGATTCGACACGCTTGGTTATTTGGAGGAGTTTTGAAAGACTACCTTCGAGGTCGTGTCGATGTGACCTACTTGAGCTCTCTTTTGGGCTATTGTGCGTTCATCTGCGGCACAGTTCTTCTGTCCTTCGAGATATCACGAGAGGGTAAAAATCCGGTGGCGTTTATCCCAGAGTTACGAGAGGTTTCCAGTACCCTGCCGATGGTTCAGATGTTTGTTGACACGTTGGATGCTTCGAAGCAGTATTGGAACGTTCTCTGCCGGCCAGTAAGTAATCTTTTTATGAGCCAACACTCCATTAGCCCGAAGCTGACGCCTAGTAGTATGAAAAGCTTGCTGCGGCTCTGAAGGGAGCGACTGCTCAGCTCACGAGAAGGCAATTTGGTCAAGAAAATTCGCTTTCATTGGATGGACGAGACAGTAGTTCATCATCGCTCCCGAAAGGCCAGAGGAATACAGGAGAGTATCAGGCCGTAGACAAGTCATTGTTGTCACAGAATCGGAGAGACTCAGCATCAGAATGGGGAAATCGACTGCCTGACTTCACAAATAAAAGGACGGAATTTCCAGCCCTGATTGATTCAATGGAGCTGAACTCGACAATATCAGTTGAATCCCAACCAGTCTCGGGAGGACCAACGACCACCCTTGGACTAGATACACTCGACCAGTATGAGACTTGGACCGACGATTGGTGGAATGTTCCATTTACAGCGGCTGGAAATGATCAGTTGGCTGGATTTGAGCCTATTCTCCTGTTTCGACAGGCATGGGAGGGCCTTGTTTGAACATGGACTAAATATCTCGGTTTGTAGTCAGACATTGGTCTGAATAGCAACCACGAATAGCGACGATTTGAATTACTTTTGCGATAATGGTCAACGTAACTTAGGTGAGCAATTACTCTAGGTATAAACAAATTGAGTAATGAGGGTTTGAAAACATGAGGATCTTTTGAATCACTGATGAATTATCTTTGATCAAACCTTCGTCCGCCACCACAAAGCGATAAAGGGGCCACAATCATTACGTCACCACCACTCGGGCTCGGGCATCGGATTTTAGAATTTCCTCCCCGAGACTCACTTTTCGAAGTTTACACTTTTATTGTCCGAATTGTAACTCGTCCCAACAACCACCTCTGGACGGCTCTTATCAATCCAGGGACCAAGATTCTTGCATCACGCACGCCAGACGTTGGACGTGAGGGGTCCTGCACGGACAATACGGAAAGACCCAACGATGGCCGCGCGGAACGCAGCTCGAGGTCTGGTATCAGGCACCACGTCCACCATCTCCAGGACCTTCCAGCAACAGCTGGACTCGTCAGCCCTCGCCAAACCACGACCGATTCTCGGCCGTCCAAACCGCGTCGCGACGAGGGCGATACGAACGGCAGCATCCCCGCTAAGCTTGCGCTGTCGTCACCATCACGCGGAGCGCGAGGTCAATAAGAGCATGATTCGGACGCATATCCGCCTGCTGGAGATATCGCGGCGAAGGTTCACCACTGCTCCGATACTAAGCCATGGGCATATCGACCCACCCAAGCCCGGTGAAGAGTGAGTCAACTGCTACATACGAGGGAGATTATAGCTCTAACTGAGCGCGACAGGTTGCATGTGACGTTTATTGACAAGGACGGCGACCGCCATGAATTCGAAGTATCAAAGGGCGACAACCTGCTGGATATTGCGCAGGCAAACGATCTAGAAATGGAAGGTATGTCACACCACTGAAGATATCCTAATATTCATCGAGGAGCATGAATTGAAGGCTCACAATGCTCTCCTCCATCCAGGTGCCTGCGGAGGCTCATGCGCATGCTCGACATGCCACGTTATAGTCGACGGTGACGAGCTGTACGACAAGATGGAGGAACCCTCAGACGACGAGAACGACATGTTGGATCTGGCATTTGGACTCACCGAGACTTCTCGGCTGGGCTGTCAGGTCCTCATGTCTCCGGAGCTCGATGGGTTGGTGGTCAAGTTGCCGAAAATGACAAGGAATATGCAGGCCTCGGATTTTGAGAAGAGCTGATATTGATTTCTGGCTCAAATCCTGAACTGTATATATAACGCCCACCGGCAATGGTTGGCTGTGGTTGGGGAACCACTAGGAATTCATGGATCTTGTACTATTATCGTGCGTGGCCAGGGGATCGGGGCTCATGCTCATCGAAAGGTTTAGATGATGGCAGCCATAGGAAAGCCGCATTCGCCTCGCGGTAGATATTCGTCACTCCAAAACTAGAAATACCCATATACGAGTACTATACTGGCGTAGAGCTCGCCTTACTCCCGCCACTGATCAAATCTAAAAACCCCTGTTTACTCATCTCATTGACCTTCTCCTGCCGATGTTCCACTCCGATCGTGCCTTTCCTCCGCTCTTCCTTTGCGGCCTGTTCGCCCTGCACCTGTGCAGCTCTTACGGCATTGAACAACTTGACCACGCCCCTCTGCGCAACTTTTCGTAACCGCTTCTCCTCCTCAGCAACCTCACCCGCTTGACCTGAGCTGAGACCGAGAACGTCCTTGATGCGTCCTCGCTCCAGTTCTTCCCTCTTCTCGGCGCGGAGTTTGGCTTTGGCTTTCCGCTCGAGTTTCTCGTTGGCGAGTGATGTACTGGCTTCGACGGCGTCGCGACTCCGTGAGAGCATGGGGTCTTTGCGTGCGGATTGGGAGAGTTTTGTGGAGAGAATTTTGGCGATGGATGTTGAGAAGGCTTCCGGGTCGTTGCGTTTCGTCGTGGTTTTGCGTCTATTTGTGCTGGGGTCTTCTTCTGGATCTTCTTCTTCGTCATCGCCTTCCTCCTCTGCGTTTCCTTCTTCATTGTCTTCTGCCTCTGAACCAGAGCCCGGATCCTCATCCTCGGCCTCTTCTTCATCGTTTGCTACCGGTTGCTTTTCCGACCGGCTCGTATTGGCTGATCGTTGTGGCTTTTTGGATAGAGGCTTCTGCGGTGCCTCGTCACCTGAATCATCCAGGTTGACCGCTGTGAACCCATCCTCTGGACCGTCGGACTCGTCCTCCGAAGAACTGTGATATGCTTTCTGTTTGCGAAATCTTTTCTTGGGTCGTTCTGTCTTGCCTCGCATACCATCCTGCAACTTTCTTTTCTTCTGTGATAGAGGAGCCATATCTGGAGAATTGAATACACAGGGATTTCGTGGGTAGAAAGCGTGGTTTTGACTTGAATGGTCCCTCGCATGTCGGTCAAAAATTGGGAAGAAATTATTCTAGACTGCAATCGGCACAACCTCGGATAAATCGTGGCTCCAATTCCCCCACATTCATGTTCACTTCGTACTGCAGCGACAATCATCAACGGGCCATCTGTCGAGACTACCTAGTACATTCGCCTCCATCCTTACAAGACCCTGTCTCGTTTTCTAGACGAAAGCCACTCTCTATAGTCGCACCAGAAGAACTTTCACACGATGGTTCTTTCCGATCTGGGGCGGCGGATCAATGCCGCTGTCTCCAACCTCAACCGCGAACCCAATCTCGATGAGAAAGCCTTCGATTCCATGATCAAAGAAATATGCTCTGCACTATTATCAGCAGATGTCAATGTACGGCTGGTTAAGACTTTAAGAAAATCAATACAAAGTGCCGTCAATTTCAAGGACCTCCCTGCCCACACCAGTTCAAACGCAAAGAAACGATTAATTCAGCAAGCTGTGTTCGATCATTTGGTGCAGTTGGTCGATCCTCATGCCGAACCATACAAGCCCAAGAAGGGAAAGTCGAATGTTATCATGTTTGTGGGTCTACAGGGTGCGGGAAAGACGACTTCGTGTACCAAGTTGGCCAGATATTATGCCCAGCGCGGATTCAAAGCATGCCTTGTCTGTGCCGATACTTTTCGAGCAGGTGCCTACGATCAATTAAAGCAGAACGCTACAAAGGCTAAGATCCCTTACTATGGCTCCCTAACGCAAACTGATCCTTCGGTTGTCGCCGCCGAAGGCGTGGCGAGGTTCAAGAAGGAGAAATTCGAGATCATTATTGTTGATACATCCGGGCGACACAAGCAAGAAGAAGATCTGTTCACAGAAATGGTTCAGGTACAGAATGCCATTAAGCCCGACCAAACCATTATGGTTCTGGACGGAACAATAGGTCAAGCCGCTGAGGCTCAGTCTGCTGCTTTCAAATCCACTGCCGACTTCGGTGCCATCATCATTACCAAGACTGACGGTGGAGCGGCAGGTGGTGGTGCCATATCAGCTGTTGCTGCCACGCACACTCCAATCATTTTCCTTGGTACAGGCGAGCATATGATGGACCTGGAAAGATTTGCCCCCAAGCCATTCATCTCAAAACTCTTGGGCTATGGTGACATGTCGGGCTTGATCGAACATATCCAATCGGTTACCAGAGATTCTGCTGGTATGAAGGAAACCCAGAAACATTTAGCGGAAGGTATCTTCACAGTCAGAGATATGAAAGAACAGATCACCAACATCATGAAAATGGGTCCTCTGTCCAAAGTGGCAGGCATGATCCCAGCCTTAGGAAACATGATGGCAGGCATGTCAGACGAAGACGGCACCCAAAAGCTGAAGAGAATGGTGTACATCTTCGACAGCATGACGACTAAAGAGCTTGATTCAGACGGCAAAATCTTCCTCTCAGAGCCCTCGAGGATGACGCGGATAGCATGTGGCTCAGGAACCTCCGTCCGCGAAGTCGAAGAGCTCCTCACTCAGCACAAAGTCATGTCGGGCCTGGCGAAAAACATGGGTCAGAACAAAAAGAACATGCAACGGGCTCAGAATATGCTTGGAGGCGGCAACCGGCAACAACAGCTCGCGGCGATGCAGAAACGGATGGCTGCTTTGGGTGGTGCGGGCAGAGGCGGCATGGGCGGAGATATGGGCAAGATGTTGGAAATGATGGGTGGTGGTATGGGTGGCGGCGGTATGCCAAATATGGGAGGCATGGACATGAATGCTATGATGAGCCAAATGGGCAATATGTTTGGTGGGGCTGGTGGTGGACGCGGACGTGGAAGATGAGCTTGACATGTCAAGTACATTTGTTTGTCACTCCGCGATGATCGAGCATTGCATCATCACTGACTGTATATGCTGTGGCTGAACATATCCGGCAAAACTGGCATTGGTACGGACAAATGAGACACAATCTCGGTGCCCAGCTTTGCCAGGCTAAAAAGCACTTCCGCACGCCGGGGTTTTCAAGACGATGAATCCTCGACATCTCACTGCATCCCTGAAAATGGCCACCCAAGAACACGACAATCTTCAGGTGCATGCCTACCTCGTCTAAGTGGGAGCAGCGAATCACGCGGAAATTACGGCATCACGAATTTGTGTGGCATCTCGTCATTCAAAGGACCACCGCACCACTATGTGCCCGATGCGCAGTAAGCTGAATTCGGCCTGTCCAACCAGCTTGAATCATAGCATCGACATATACCTGGGTCCGGTCTGACGCTGACAAGTCACCAGTGAATCACCTCAGCACTTTGAGCACAACGGACCTTATGATAATACGTCTTCATGACAAGACAAGCGATGGAAAATTCGCGCGGCATATTATTATCCTCTGATACGAACTATATGACAGCCAGTGTGTTGAACTCAATGGAAATGTTTCGTAATACCAGATAAACGCCATTACGCATAGAATATTGACACGTAGAACTAGGCATATTGAAAGATCTAGAGTTTCTTTTTCAATGCTATTAGATATAGATGCACAATCTAGTCCTGAGATAGGACTGGTAGTCAATAATGACCAGTACTTAGCTGTGATTAGATAACATCAGTACCCCCTGCCTCCGCTAATTTGCTACGACTACCAATACCCATTGTCGTGCCGTCAAGTCAATACTCGATGATCAGATTCACAGTTCCGGTACAAACATATCTTGGGCAATATCAGTGGGCGTCAGCCTTCCCATAGATCCCAGCACCGTTGAATTGCCCGTGTGTCCATGATCGGCTATCGCAGCATTGTACTTGAAAGCAAAATTCAAGATCAAAGCACAAGCCAACCCAACAGAAACCACGAACGGTCCGATTGCATTGTCGAAGTCTTTGCCGCTTCGCTCGGTGATCAGCTTGCTTCGCCATAGGTAGATTCCCCATCCCCATATACCTGCAAAGACCGCAAATGCCGTGTAGACTAGTGACAGAATTCGAGCGATGTTATTATCAACGCCAGCAGCATTGTACAATCCGAGTGAAAGCGTGGCCAGAAGAACAGAAATGTGCTGCCATTTCACAAACGTGCGCTGGTTTGCAAGCCAGACTTTGGCTTCCACTTTGAGTGTGCCTTGGTCTTTGATCCAGTTACCAGGATCCTTCACGCCAGGAGGGAGAGGTGCATCTTCCCACGCAGTACCTTGTCGACGTCGACGAGCATAACGAGAATTCGAGAAGGCAGGTAGATATGATCGCAAACCTCGTCCAGATTCCTGGGTGTCAACTTGATTGCCACTTTGGAGTCCATCATCGTCTGAGTCGGGTTCCTCGGCGGTACTTTGTAATTGGTCGGCTGGTTTCGGTCTTGCAGGTGATTGCACAGATTGTGAGAAGTTGCCGGATATTCTACGCTCCAGTGCCTTCGCCGGTGAACCAGCTTTGCCTTTCATGGAGGAAGAGAACTTGGAGGTTCCCAAGAAACTTCCTACTGCCATTTCATCTTCGGCCTGTTTGGCCTCGCGAACCTGTTCTTCTTTGAATGCAGTGACCGGATCTCTCCGGATATCAGTCTCAAGGTCACTGAGCCAGAAAGGGAAGCTGTTGACATAGTCCTCGAAGAGTAGTGCAACTCCATGAACGAATTTGGAGAACTTCTTCTCCTCTTTAACCAGATGAGAGTTCATGAGATCCTGCAGCCAAGTATTGTTCCGTGTAAACTTGGATTCCTTGACCTTGATCTCCAATACAGCGTGCTGGAAGCGACTGATCTCTCCTTTCTTGATAGATGTAAAGGGATACTCAAGTTGTTCCTTGTCAATATCCGACCTGTGCCAATCCTCTGGATCACGACAAGGGCGATCTGAATCAAAGGCATCTTCACGAATGAATGCGAGATCAGTGTCTAAAGAGACTCTGATTCGATCGTCACCAGGTATCTGGAACGCGGTTCGAGTATAGCTTGCGCGAAGAACTGGTTCCAACCCCTTGTCTTTGATGAAAGATTGGATCTCTTCCACATTGGCTTTAAATGTCTTGACTTCCTCAGCATCGGATCCAAGCCTGTCTTCCAACTTCTGAATCTGTTTTTCCAGTTTGTATTCGCCTTTTAGGAAAGACTCGACATATTTCTCCTTGATAGTTAAGCGAATATCTCTGCTCTCGCTCTCCTCACCGACCGTCTTCTTCTCTAGCACGATCTCAGGCTTATCACCAAGTTGACCAGTCCATCTTAACCGAACGGAATCTCCCGCAGTGCCTTTGTCCACTTTGCCTTGATATAGGTCGAACTTATCATTGTCGAAGTAAATCGATGTCAAAGTTGGGTCCTTTTGAGCTGAGTCCACAATCTTCATTGATTGAGGGTTGTAAACGAGAACCGGTAATCGGCGGAGAATGTAGGTCTTGACTTCCAAGAGATTGTCGACATGCACCCAATACTTGTATGCTTTGTAAGTGTCTTTCGATCGGGCATCTGTAGCAGGATCCGTGGTATCTGCATCCTCTTCACCAAGCTTTTGACGCGCCCAGGAATACATTGCGGAAAGTCGAAAGAGGAGGGGAGAATAATCTTCCTGATTGAAAGGAGTCTGAGCCAACCGAACCTGGAGAATGGGTCGCACTCTGTACTTGAGACCTCTCCTCCTATCATGCTTCTTAGCAGCCTTAAGAAAGCCAGTATAGTTGACACGGCTAAACTTTCTAAGCTCATTGAGTTCTTTCGATATGCTATCTAGTTCTTTCAGGGTTTCTTTCGCAATGTCCTTTAGGTCATCCTCGGATTTCCCTGCGTCTTCGGCCTCCTGGTTTGGGAGCTTGGCCTCACAAGCAGCAGCTCGATCTCTAAGGGCATTGAAAGTCGTGACCTGGTGTTGATGAACCTTTTCTAACTGAGTGACGGTGAGTTCATGGACGAAATTCTCCTCGTCTTGCTCGGTCCAGCCACTTTCACCTCCACGACCTTGTGGAGAAGTTTCATCTTCACGCAACAACTTCTTTATCTTGTCATATTGGAGATATTTGTCTTTCCATGGCGGGTAAATAGAATCGGAGAGGGTCTTGCCGAAACGCATGTTGACGGAAGAGAGGTAGAGATAGAGGTCGTAGTGGAAGGTGATTTAGTGAGCTTCAAGTCATGTAAAGAACCAAATACAGCATAACGAAAAAAAAGTCAAGCTCCGGTACTTGATGTGTAAAACAAAAAGCATTCGCAGGTTGGAGGGGAAGCATTGGTGGTTTACCAGCCCAGCAACCAATCATGCCTGCCATTTGTCCCTCGTGCTTTGGCTAAACCTCGGCCACTAAATCCCACGGATTATCTATTGTTCCTGTTCAGTGTCACCTGCCTTGGTATTCTTCGGAGCCTTGTCTTTTGTTTCCCCAACTTCTGCAGCCTCCCGCAGCCTCGGCATTGCAAGGTATAAATTATTTTATAGCCGTTCAAACTGACTCACCATCCTTACCACTTGAGTTGCGAACCTTCAAGTGTGACTCAGTCTAACTTCCAATCATGTCAGACGAGTCCAGAGCCATTATAAAGCCTCTACAATCACTACTAACCCATCTGAGTGAGAATCCCTATCCCCACGTGCCCACCCCAGACGGCTGCAGGAAGCGTGCCAGTGTCGCCGCCATTATCCGAATCCGTCCTGCCTTCAAACCAGTTCTTCCTACCAATGGCTCGGTTGTAGACATAAGCGAGCCGCCCTCACCACCTTCTTCTATCGAAGAATTCTTCTCTCAAGAATGGGTTCAAGAAGGGGACCCCGAACTACTCTTCATCAAGCGCGCTGGCCGTGCTGGTGATAGATGGTCTGGTCACACTGCCCTGCCTGGAGGCAAGCGTGACCCTGAAGATGCAGATGACCTTGCCGCTGCAGTGCGAGAGACCAGGGAAGAGATAGGGCTTGACCTAGACACAGCGCATTGCCTTCGCGCAGGCAATTTACCAGAACGATTGGTCACAACAACCTGGGGAAGAGACACGCTTATGGTGTTGTGCCCATACGTCTTCCTCCTGACTGGGAAGACAGTACCGGCTCTTCAGCCGCAGCCGACTGAAGTTGCGGCGGTCCACTGGGTACCACTGCGAGGACTGCTCTCCACCACTCTTCGCACAAGAGAGTTTGTAGATATATCAAGTCGCATGGCCAAGCATGTCGGTCCGGTCATCCACAAAGTCCTGCGCGCCATGATGGGCAAGATGATGTTCAGTGCCGTGAGTCTTGTGCCCTCTGAATCGGTCTATGCCTCCTCTATTCCGGGCTTTATCCCGACTGAGGGTGGTGACAATTTCGGCACGGTCTCTGGCTGGGCCCAGGCACCCTATGGTGTTCCCGAGTCATCCAAGTCCTTGGCTTTCCAACAACCGATCCTCCTTTGGGGTCTCACTCTAGGAGTGCTATCTGACTTCCTGGATCAGCTGCCACCATATAATGCGGTCAGACTCTGGAAATATCCCACCTTTACGGTTCCCGACCTTCGCTTCCTTGTATATATATTTACACGAAATCTGCGTCATAACACAGCCGAGACATTCTCGTCCGGCTCCTGGGCGAACCATACAGCCGTCGACGCGACAACAGAAGCGATTCCTGTCGTACCCGACGAGACTGTACCCACCGTGTCCGAGGCGGAACCTATAAAGCTAGCACGTCGCGAATCACTAGACAAACATCGCGTCGGTATTGGTGGGCTTGGTGTTGGTCCAAATCCCAAGCATGCAATGGGAAAGATGCTAGCTGGATACTACGAGAAGGTCAATGTCGCAATTGCAGTTTTCTTGATTTACCGAACATTTGCTACAGCGGGTGCAGCATTCTATGTATACAAGTTCTTGCAAGCAAGGAGACAGGCGCGCCTTTGAATGCTTGGGTTTGGGGTCACAATCAAATAGATTGCCATTTGTTTCATATTTGAGATGAAGCCTCTGGATTTTCATGTGTCAGGAACGATGTCTAGATGATTGAGTTATATGCAGAGAATCTCTCCAAGACGGTGGAGCTGATACCAAATGGGCGTATTATATACTAATGGAGCTGAAGAAACAAATGTGAGGCTCTGAAATGTCCTCTCTACTGGAAAATACAGTGGCTGGAAGTACTTGATCGCCCTCAAGCTGGGCTGAGTGAAATACGTAAGTGTGGTGACCTTAAGGACATTCGCTGCTGCGGTTTTTGGAATAAAGCAAGAAACCTAGATTCCTTGACCACGTTGATGGCCCGAGACGCCCACAGATTGGTCTTCGGTGACTTCATAAATCTCCCTCCACAGCTGTGTGGTCATCTCCTTAGCCTCTTTACACAGACATGACTGTGGCTACCTTCATCTGTGATCGGACGTCCAGCAGGATTGTAGGTATTTAGCAGGCAAGGCTATCGGAGAAACTCCGGTTGTTTTCAAGCCCCTTTTTAACGTCCTATCCTGTACTCCTCCTATTCACCTTCACTCTTAGCTCTAAGTTAAATCTATTGTAATGTATACCCAAGTACTAAGAAATACCCATCGAGAGAATTATAGCTAGCCTCAACTTCAGCAAAGAGTACACTCTTAATGTGTTCATCATGCGAGATTCCATTCCTGCCTTGTACTCGAGCAGCCTTTGCCAGCGCGCGGTGAGGACAAGGCGTTCTTGTCGCCGCCGAGTGAAGTATGAGTGAGAGAACCATGTCGCCCATGTGAGAGTCTCGGCAGTCGCTGCATGTGAATCATTGGATCTGTTGCCTATTTATTCTACACTTTGCCTCCGTCTTACTTACTTCCCTTCTCTCCAGTAAATTCTCTTCAACACTTCTTTTTCCTTGTCCCTTGAACTGTTCATACTAAACAGTATTTGTCATATTAGCTTGTCAGTCTTAGTGGTCTCTTAGTTTCTTGATTCGTCTATCAGACGACACAGTGTTCCGAGATGACAAAGACACGAGTCTGGGACAGTGACGAAAAGCTTGTGGTGAGTCCTTTCTACCCTGCCAGTCCACTTCAAGAACATCGACTGATATATATTAGCTACTCGAAACTGTGCTTCTGACTCTTGGAAGTCCAGTAATCAACGGAGACAAGGTTGTTGAACAATGGCGTAAGTCCCAAATCTTGATTCAGAACCTGTTGCCATCACAAGAAAGACTTACATCATCCTAGTTGGCGATGGACCCGCACCGTCAGCAAGGAGTATCAGAGAACATTACCGAGCCATCATTCGAGTTGCTGAAGCGAAAGCCGGCATCAAATCTGGCCAACCAAAAGCCGAAGCCGAAGCCGAAGCCATCAAGAAGTCTGAAGGCGAGGACGATAAAGGCTCTTTGGTTCTCACAACACCAATCTCCAAGGTCAAGCTTGATTCCACAAAGTCCAAGTCGGCGTCAGGAAGTGGTAGCAAGCGCTCAGCCAACGCTGGAAACAAAGGCAAGAGTGTTTCTGCCAAAAAGAGAAAATGGTCATCAGATCCAGAAGACGAAGCTGAGGGAGCAACCACCACCGACTCGGATGATAATATTGTGACGCCCAGTAAGCGAGTCCTACCATCGCGTCGAAGCCGCAAGACTACGAAGGTCATCGATAACTCTGGCTATTCCGAAGACGATGGGTTTAAAGACGATGCTGAAAAAGACTTCGGCGGAGTAGGAGATGATGCTGAGTACGGAGTCGAGTCTGCATGATTATGTCTTGCCAAGTGTTTCCTTTCAGGGTTACATGTGAGATAGATCAGACGTTCTTCCAGCACAATTCGATTGGCAAAGGTGTTCCGGGGGTGTTGGTCGGCATGTACAAAGTTAGTACGATAAGGCAGGCGTGGTGTGAAAGGACAAGCGGTATTCAACATGGTTGGATGATCGATGTATGATAGCTTGGCGACATTACCATTACCATTGATGTCAGTCAAAGTCCTGACTCCTTCTTCTTTCGTTGTCTTTCTAGCAAACGTCTTCAGTAACGACATTGAAAGTCGGTCTTACTTGCACAAAACGCTGATGGTACCTAAGGACGAGTAGGACAACGGCACTGCAGCAAGCTATCAGTCACTGTAACATGCTACCTTGTTGGGACGATGGCAGACGCTGATGGCTTGTCTTGCCATATGGCACTGATGGAAGCTTTGGCGGTAAGGATAAGACGGATCACCCATACACTTCTACAGCCCATCGAGCGGAGCACATCAGCAGCATGAAAAACAAACCCGTCCTGGCGTCGAGCTGCACTATCCGTCACAGTTAACCAGAGAAATAGACCAACAACGAATCTTCCCCGTTAACCAAAGTTCCCAGGCCCAAGGTCGAGCCGTAAAAGAAAGGTAAAAGAAAGGGATACTCAAAACATTTCCATAGCGGTTGGTGTTGTGTAGTGTGCAGTACGTCGTGTATATCGCATAGAAAACCGCTATCAGAGCAGCGCATCAAATTTTGACTTTCTTGTCATGATTTCATTCATCTGTGCGTGCTGGTTAGACTGCTCAAGGGACGCAGGGCTGGATGCGTCACGCCACGTGGATGCGCTTGGAAAGAAACTGGTTGAAGAGAAGGTCGAATGTCGTCCATGGGTTTGGTTTCCAGTGGATGTCTGGCTGGCCTCAGGGGTGAAATGGCGGCTTTTTGTGTACATGTTGTTCAGGACCGATCAATACTTCGAGGTCTATGGATGTTTGTAGTGGATCTGGACCATCGGCCTCGGTTACTGCCACGTGGAGGGTTTATCTCTGAATTCAGTGCTTTACATGTGGTGCAACTCTGTGGCTAGAAGGGCATTCAATGGTGGCAAGAAAGGATCGATGGGAACAAGTCAAGTTGGAGTTGAGAGAAGAACTTGAAGTTTGATCTCAATGGATTGAATGAATTGATGGTTTCTCCTGTCTCAGCTCATAGCCCACAATGCTGTATTTGATGACTGATGCTCTACATGAGCATGTACCTGCCTGTCTGACCTCATCCACTGATGGAAAATCCAAGCCGAATGAGACCCTCCTGAGTCATCCTGTGCCCATGCCTTCACCAAGATTGAGTTCCCAGTCTGTCCGCCACTTTGACTAGACGAATTTCAATGCCGTCAATAACAACTGTCAACACGAGGACAGAGTCGTAGTTGAGATTATGTAGTGTATCTAGAGAGGGTCAGTCCTTGGAATCAGCCATGATAGGTTGAGCACATACCTAGCCGTCTTCGGTCTTGACATCGCCAGTAGAAGCACCATTTGCCTCAGTTGCAGCATCAGCATCGTCTCCATCGGTCTCTTGACCCTCGACTTTGACCTTCTTTGAAAGAGATTCAGAAGCGCCGTCATCGTTTGGAGCTGCTTTCTTCTTTCGAGAGCGGGAGGTTGCCTTAACTGGAGTACCATCTTCATTGAGTTTGGGTGCACGAGGTTTGCGTGGCGTAGCAGCGGGTTTAGCTGGAGCAGGGGTGTCGGCACCATCACCACTGAGAAGCTTCTCTGATTCTTTCTTCAACTTGTAGAATTTCTGGCTGTTATTGAAAGTCAGTATATCGCCACAACATGTTTGCCAAAAAGTAAATGATCCGCGAGAGGGTCCGAGAGGTAGCAAGCTGTAGTACCTGCAGGCATTGCCATTGAGGCCTCCGCCAAGCTTGGCAGCGACTCCCTCCCAGATCGCTGCGCCTGGACCATTCATCTCACCGATGACATGGAGAAGGAGGTTTCGCTCAGCCATGGCATCCCATTTGAAAGGCATGATGACGGGTAGATGAGAAGATGGGGAAGAAATTTGGTGACAACAGGTAATGTGCAGAGACTTGGAGGGGGGAAGAATTGTGGAAGAAGGAAGAGTTGTCCAAGGAGAGGAAGTGATGTGACAGAAGTGGAATATAAAATTGGATGGGAAGTGTAAAAGAAAAGTGAAGAAAATGTGAGGCAGGGAGGCAGTCAGAAGAAGGATAGAGAACTTGAATACAGATTGTTCCGGAAATAACGCTCAATAGGCATGTGATCTGGCACACTCACCGGCATGCGTCACCACTGATGCCATCACCCATCAACCCAGCGACGACAGTCCAGTTGGGTGTCTTGTCGGTATCGATTATGCACAAGAGCAGCTTGCGCTCTGTGGCATCATTCCAGGGACTCATGGTGAATTTGGTGAATTTGGTGAATTGGGAAAGAAGACCAACGGGGTTGTAACTGGATGAAGGGGGATGTAGAGTTTGACCAAAAGAGAAGGAGAAGGAGCATGGAAGAACAACAAGATAGTTTGCACGGGCAAGTCTTAAGGTGTGCCTGTTGTTCTGTAGAGCGCAGTGTATCAAAGGGCAGTAGGGCAAAGCGCACAATGAGATGAGATGAGATGGTATGTCTTGAAGAAAGGCCTACTTGGCATCAACTGCTTACCGAATCTGATTGGCATTGAAACCTTGACCAAGTCTGGCCGCAGCTGCATCATACTTTGCACTGAGAGTAGTCTCTTCACACTCCATCATGGCGATGAGGAGCGCTTTCTCGGTGTGTTCGTTCCAGACGCCCTGTGGAGCAGCCATGATGATGCCTAGTGATAGAGGAAGTATTTTGAAAGAGTAGTTCAGGAAAGAAGTATAAGAAAAGAAACTGTTCTGGGAGAGGATGGGTTAAGTAGAAATGGCTTGAGTGAGAGAAGAACTGTTGGGTACGTGAACTACGGTCTTGCTGCTGGACAGAGAGCTCACCTTCAGACAACAGGATGGTCTCTCTGTGCGTGGCGTGATTGAGCCAGATTTCAACAGATGTCAATATCATATCAGAACGTTGGCCTACCGTTTGATCACCAGCTTGTTACGCGGCTGATCATCCACCGTGATCCTGATGGTTGATAATCTCAAGATCAACCCACAAGCGGCTGAATGTTGTAAGAGCAAAGCCTTGCCTGTTTGCGTCCAGAGTTTGATCACCACCTGGAGTGTTTATAGAGGAGCCGCTTGATTTTCAGAATACAAACAGTCACCTGTAGCGGTAGATAATCTCCATCAGCGAACATGACTTGTTGTCCAGTACCAGCACCACAGAGGCACTCTGTGGCTATGGGGGCTCAAATAGAGGACAGCCTGGTAGTAGGCCCCTCTGCACTTGAAATAAGGTGCGGAGAGATATTCCCTGATTTTAGGGCTTGGAGACCCTCGAACAAGGAGCCATCACCCCGCCAACAGCTGCTCCTGCCAAACCTGCAGCCTGCAGGCTCAATACTAGGCGGGCCGGAGCCCGAAGCCGTTCAAGCCCACCTGGAAAGGGCTGGCTGGCTGCCTGTGGCATTATTATTACTGCCGGCGACGCCACTGTGGCAGTGACAGACCTCGAACCATAATAAATGCTAACAAAAGGCAGACGGTGTGGCCTTTGACTTTAGGCTCTGACATCTGAACCTGGACCCCACCATCCTGGCTGCGCAATCAATCACTCACTCAATCCTCCCACCATCTTTGCACTTTGTTATCCAGCTGCCTCCATAACTTTCAACTCCTTGCTCCTTGATCCATCGTCTACCTCCTTCGTTATACTATACAGCAAAGGTACGTAATCTTCCACCTTTCAAGCCTTGGAATAGCGATGCCTGAAGTTTCACTCCCATATTTATCCCTCATGGTCTTCTGCCCGCATCCCACATTCCACCAGCCGCCCTCTCTTCTTCCAGTACAGAACTGACCACAACTCCAGTCACACTTCACTCCCCACCCTATCTCGCTGTGAACATCTACAGCTATGGTAAGCAGTTCATTCCACAGTGCTCCGAGTGTAGACTGACCAACGTCTAGCCTGTCTCTGGGTATGTTCCGCGCGCATTCATCAACCGTTCGATCAGCACCTCGTATGCGCACGTCGGGCTAATTCCCAATCGACCTCTAGACTTTCCGTTAACCCGGAATGCGTTTCGGCTTTCAATGAACTCAAACTCGGCCGAGGCGGTCCGAAATACATCATCTACAAGATCTCCGATGACCAGAAGGAAATCGTGGTAGATGAGACGGGCACAGAACAAGACTACGACGCTTTCAGAGAGAAGCTCATTGCGAAAAAGGAAAAGACCGGCAAGGACAGACCATCTTATGCCGTCTACGACGTCGAATTTGAGCTCGAGGGTGGCGAGGGCAAGAGGTGTGTAGAACATGCATGGCTCCATGCCTTTTATTTGCATGTCAGCAACTGAGACTGTACAGATCCAAGATTGCATTCATCACATACATCAATCAAGATGCGACAGGCGTCAAGGTAATGGAGACTATTTCTCGTGGGTGAGTCTTGCTGCTAACGGTTTCAGTCTCGCATGGTCTACGCGAGCTCCCGTGAGACTCTGAAGAACGCCCTCAACGGAATCGCCATGAACTGGCAAGCCAACGACCCGGGTGAGTTGGAATGGGCCGACTTGCTCAAGGAAGCAAGCAAGGGCAAGGGAACGATCTAAATCTACCGCCCGCCACCGACCGACATCAAAAGAATTGGACGAATTGCCAAATGATAAGGCCTCTTGACACGAACGAACCAAGTGGCAGCCAAGCGACGATGAGTGTTTTGCTGCAAGCGGAATCTGAGGATCAATGATGCACTATTCGAGAGAATCCGGTATTTGAAACTGCAACGACGACAATGATAGACTCTGAGAAATGAAGAATTGAGTTCTATGAGACGATTGGTCTCGAGAGAAATCAAGCATGCCTCCTTTTTGTCAAACCAAGTATACTATACATGCAATTACCATTGTCACACACCATCCACGACGTTCTTCGAGTGATTCTGAGGAAGTCGACCATCATTCCTGAATCGTAGAATACCTTCTGACATCCGGCGTTAAAAAAGGTCAAGGCTGAAAGGTGCCTTGGAACTTCAGACACGCATGATCGACACGATTTTTACGCGGCGTAATTTAAACGGGTTTGATACATGTCGAACAGGTGGGCTACAGTATTGCTCACAATGTTGGGTAGGTAACAGGTCAGGGCTTGTCGTATGTTGTAATATAGAGTGCTCTATGAGTCTCTGTCTAAATCCAGGATAAATGCCGCTCCAATAGCAGGTGCGTCAATTCAAGGTGTGTATGCTAGATGTATCTCTTCGAAGGTGGTGTGAGTGGTGTGACGTTACAGGCCAATTTTGCAGAATGCCAAGACTGGAGCTATCTCGATTCTCAGGTCATGGTTCTCGTCAACCGACTTCCACTCAACACCACCCATTTACCACTCCCCTTCGCCCATTCGAGCTCAATCACCAGTCAATACCCCTACAATACTGGCCTCGGAGCTTCAGGCTTCGCTGGTATTCTCTCTGGTTGACACTCGTATGCATTGAGCACAACTACAACCCTTTCAGCAACCATGCTTCTCCACTCCTTACCCCGTGTTGCTCGCACCTCGTCGAGTACCTCAAAGGTCTGCACACGAGTCACCTCCTCGACCATTCGAAGCTTCCAATCTTCTGCGCGTTCCCTCGCTCCAACTTTCACCGCCATTCACCAAGCTCCCATTACCAGTCAATCCCAATCCCGATCCGCTCACGCCATCTCCAACCCGACCTTGGCCGGCATAGAGAAAAGATGGGAAGCAATGCCTCCTCAGGAGCAGGCCGATCTGTGGATGCAATTGAGGGATCGTATGAAGGTCGACTGGAATGAAATGACTTTGCAAGAGAAGAAAGCAGGTACGAACCCAACCCTTGACAAGAAGCGCGTCTGGAGGCTATCAGACCACATGACGGAAGCTTGGATTGTTTGCCTTGGATCGAAGCTATGGCGAAAGAGTGAATACGGATGGTTTGGCTGACTATGTGCATAGCTTGGTGGATTGCCTTTGGTCCCCACGGCCCTCGTGCGGAAGCACCTCCAGGAGAATGGACCAAGGTTTTCTTATATACCGCAGGTGGTGTCGGCATTTCAGTGGCATTATTCTTCATCCTTCACTCCTTTGCACGACCACCCCCAAGAACAATGACCAAGGAGTGGCAGGAGGCGACGAACGAATATCTCAAGGTACGAATATTCCCACCCACGAAGAGGGTGGTGATTTCATGGTTCAATATACTGACAATCGCATTACAGTCCGAGAACAGCAATCCCATCTACGGTATCAGCAGTGAACAATACCAGGGTAAGGGCCACGTTCAGAGCAAGTCGGCCAAATCTCAAGGCATCAGCCTGGAGGCAGAAGAATAGATACTCCAACACTGTACAGGTCAATCGAGTCGCTAAGCCAATCAGTTATGCTGTACTGTCACTATTATCGCCAACAAAGAAGGGTCTCAATTTTGTGAATGCAAAATCACTTTTCCAAACCAGTTTTCTCCTTTTTTTTGATACGCACCACCGCGTCCGTAAAAGATGTACATAGAACCCCAAACAAAAAGATAGCTCCAAACAGGCATCTTCCTACTTTAATATTTTTCGGAAACCCATCGCATGATTCGGCAACCGCGGACAGCCCATGTGCCTTAGTAGAGTAGAAGATAATAGTCAGTATAAGTAGAACAAAGTATTGCCAAAGTATTGCCAAAGTAAAAAGTCGAAGTTTTTTTCAGCATTTCAGAACTCGTGAACTCTGACTCTCAAGCTATTCATTACTCTGTCGCCCGCCATCTTCAATCGTATCACTAACTCTGTATACTGCCCCGTCGTCCGCCGTCGTCAACGATTACACTAAGCTGTTCCTCGCCCTGTCGTCCGCCATCTTCAACGATCTACGAAGTCTATTTATTATCTCGGCGTCCGCCGTCCTTAATAATACTACTAAGTCTAGTTGTTACTCTATCGTCCGCCGTCTTCAACTATATCTAGTTATTACTCTATCGTCCCCTATCTTCAACGATACTACTAAGTCTAGCTGTTACTCTATCGTCCGCCCTCTTCAATAATATTACCATGTCTAGTTATTGCTCTATCGTTCGCCGTCTTTGTCAATACCACCAAGTCTAGTTGTGGCTCTGTTGTCCGCCCTCTTCAATAATACTACTAAGTTTAGTTATGGCTCTGTCGTCCGTCGTCCTCAAAGATTACACAAGGCTGCTGAATAAGGGATAAAGCTGGCTACGTACTGCACGTAGTAGTCGGGCTGCTCACGACACAGGGAGGGAATTTCCTTACGGCCCATGGGAGATGGAGACTCTTAGCCAAATTGGGTGCAGCCGTCTGACCAAATATCGAGTGCCCAGCATTGAACCTGGAGAAGCAACATAGAAATGATAAAGACAGTTACTGGGAGTCGATATGATCAACGAGTATCTTCAACCAGCTGACAACAGCTCCCTAATGATTATTGGAATGCGATAGCTTCAGATTACTGTGGTTGAGACTTAGATAATCATGGCATGGATCGAGTCGAGGAAGCTTGCAAAGCCGTTGTCAGACCAATGGAATATTTTTCTAAGGAGCAAATATGCCAAGAATAGCTAGCTCGGGAGTAACAGCTTCAATTCGGATCCTCATCATTCTCTTCTTCTTGCTCCTAACGACAACCACTCTCCTCTCTACCCATTCCTTTAAACGTTCTTGTCATCTGCAAACATGCTCAAGAGGTGAGTATCCCCGGCAGCTCATTCACTCGAGCTTCGATCAATCTGGAAAGCTCGTGCTGACTCAATTCCAACAGCGGCGTCGCCCGTAGCTTGGGCCGGTCTGCCCTTGCTCGACCTTCGATCAGTCGACGCGCTTTCGAGCCTCTACGAAGACAAGCTGCTCCAGCTATTGCTCAGAGATGGGCTTCGACGGACTCGGCCAAAGATGGAAAGATTCATCAGGTCATTGGTGCCGTTGTTGATGGTAAGAAAATTCTCCATAGCTCCAACACGGAGCTTCTCCAAAGCTCCGAATCACCTTTTCATCATTCAAAATACTTCCAAAACTCGCGCTGACAAGTATTCTAGTTAAATTCGATAGCGACACACTCCCTCCCATTCTTAACGCCCTAGAGACCGAGAACAACGGACAAAAGCTGGTCTTGGAAGTTGCTGTATGCTCTTGAGCTTCGATCTACCTGAAAATAGTGGACACTGACAACAATCACAGCAACATTTGGGTGAAAATGTCGTGCGTACTATTGCCATGGACGGTATGAAGAGCTTACCACATTATATGATGGAAAATACTTATACCAAATTTTAGGTACCGAGGGTCTTGTTCGAGGCCGGAAAGCCACAGATACCGGCTTCCCCATTCAGATTCCTGTCGGACCTGGCACCTTGGGCCGTATCATGAATGTCACTGGTGATCCCATCGACGAGAGAGGTCCCATCAAAGCTACCAAGCTCGCTCCTATTCACGCCGATGCTCCCGAATTCGTTGAACAGGCCACCAGCGCCGAAGTTCTGGTCACTGGTATTAAGGTCGTGGATCTCCTGGCTCCTTATGCTCGTGGTGGAAAGATTGGTCTCTTCGGTGGTGCTGGTGTTGGCAAGACTGTGTTCATTCAGGAACTTATCGTGAGTTTTTGGCAGACAAAATCTAGCATTCAACAGCTGACCAAAACCACAGAACAACATCGCCAAAGCCCATGGTGGTTACTCAGTCTTCACCGGTGTCGGTGAGCGAACTCGTGAGGGTAACGATCTGTACCACGAAATGCAGGAAACTTCCGTCATTCAGCTCGATGGTGAATCCAAGGTGGCCTTGGTGTTCGGTCAAATGAACGAACCCCCTGGAGCCCGTGCTCGTGTCGCTTTGACTGGGTAAGTCGCTTATTCTCTCTTCTGTCGCACCTTGTTTGGGCTCGATGAAATTCGGGAGTCCACCCACCACAAGCGATTTTTCGATTTTTCTTTAAGACTTCAACATTTTGCTTCTGGAACATTTCCCTCGACTTGTACTGCACCTCTTCTACCTGTACTTCACCCTGTTACGACTCGATGAACTCCGGGAGTCCGCCCGCCACAACCAAATTTTCGATTTCTCTATCAAACTTCTATTTTTTACTTTAGCAATACTTTGTTCTACTTATACTGACTATTATCTTCTACTCTAGGCTTACGGTGGCTGAGTATTTCCGAGACGAGGAAGGACAGGATGGTAAGCTCGCTGTCGCCTTGATGAAAATCTGCGACTTTTAACTGACCATATTTTCAGTGCTCCTCTTTATTGACAACATCTTCCGATTTACTCAAGCCGGTTCCGAAGTGTCTGCACTGCTAGGTCGTATCCCATCTGCCGTCGGTTACCAGCCCACTCTCGCCGTCGACATGGGTCTCATGCAGGAACGTATCACCACCACCCAAAAAGGATCCATCACATCTGTCCAGGCCGTCTACGTGCCAGCTGATGATTTGACTGATCCTGCACCTGCCACCACCTTCGCCCATTTGGATGCCACAACTGTGTTGTCTCGCGGTATCTCAGAATTAGGTATCTACCCTGCCGTCGACCCTCTGGACTCGAAATCCCGTATGTTGGATCCCCGAGTCGTTGGACAAGAGCATTACGATACCGCATCCCGAGTACAACAGATGTTGCAAGAATACAAGTCTCTCCAGGATATCATCGCTATTTTGGGAATGGACGAACTGTCTGAAGCCGATAAGTTAACAGTCGAACGTGCTCGCAAACTGCAACGTTTCTTGAGCCAGCCTTTCACGGTCGCTCAGGTCTTCACTGGTATCGAGGGCAAGCTTGTCGATCTCAAGGACACCATCAAGTCTTTCCAGCAGATCATCAACGGTGAAGGTGACGATCTCCCCGAAGGTGCCTTCTACATGGTCGGTGATTTCGAGAGTGCCAGAGCGAAGGGTGAGAAGATCTTGGCAGAACTCGAAAAGTCATAGATTAGGAACCCAAACTTGTCAACATAGATAATCAGTGACGCAACGCACGGCAACTAGTGGCCCTCAAGTCTATATTTCTATGTTGCGCGTCCTGACAGAGAGGCCGAAGAGTACCTAGAGTTTCTTGAAGGACGGCAGGGGAAGGTGAAGCGTCCGTCGTGGAGCTGAACTGTACATTGAATCTCTTTTTACCAAAAAATCGTTTACTCAAATACTTAGTGTACTCTTCAAACTGTTTGGATCTTTGCCCTTGTAAATTTTGATTAATGCCCTCGTAGCTTCGTTTGTTACACCACGCATCTCCCCGGGTAGTGAGCAGGTAGATTGCTAACGCGAAGAAATGGGAGATTCCTCTATTCACAGGACTTTTAAACCATCCTCCACAGGTTTGCGGGTCGTTTGCCTAATAATCGCCCTTGCACCTTTTCTTATTAGACTCGCAAATGCTGTTCTGCCGCATTACGCATATAGATAGTAGTTCTATTCAATACAATATGTGTAGCCAGCCTTTGAGTCCTGAACTGTTCTCGAACCAGTCAACGAAATCTCCGTCTCCATGAATATATGTCAGACTCAACCACTACAACAACCAAACATCCAGAGTCCAGCACAAGAGGCACCAACTATTGATCCTTCTTATCCTCTTTCTTCACCTCCCCTCCCTGTCCATCCCCATCCTCATCCCCCTCTTCCTCCCCAGCCTCCCCGTTCAACACACTATCACCATCAAAGCCCAACACCCCAGGCTTAATCACCATTTCCGCAGCCGACTGGTTCTGCTTAGGCGTCAACTGCCAAACCATGCCACGACAGACAACCAGAATAATCATGCAGAAGGCATGCCACGAGATCGGCAGCTGGACCCAGCCATAATGATGCGACCACCAGCCCCAGGGGACATTTAAGCCCAACTTCCCGAGATGGCCCGTGAACGGATTCATCAGGCCGTCCCAGACGTGGAAGTCCGAGGGTGGCCGCACGCCGTTGACGATGGGGCTGATGACTTTGCGCGCCGACGCCGGCGTCGTGTCCGCGTACCGGTCCTCAGCCGTCTTGTTCGACGGCGCAATGCGCATCGGCCGTAGCAGGATCGGGATCTCTGCCGTCGCGTCCACGTCGATGTGCATGATCGCCGGCGGCTTTAGCAGCCACGAGTGGCACAGGATCGGCTCCTGGTCGCAGTCGATGTACGAGAAGTGCACTGGCGGCGTGGCCTTTTGTTTGTCGTGCGCCTGCGCTCGCAGCACGTGGTAGCCCTTGGCCATGGCATCGTCGAAGCTCGTGCATACGTTCTCCGTGCCGTTGCATGTCTCCCGGCCCGACAGGTAGATCCAGTGCTCTGCCGGCTGCAGCGGTTGCTCTTCGAGCCCCAGTTGTGACCGCCACGTCTCCAGTGTCAGCGCCTCGGCCCCGGGCAGGAGTGAGGCGATCGGTGAGTGTCGTTGAGGCGGAGATGGAATGCTTTCTACTTCTTGCGCCACGGCCATGCCGGACAAATATCCCGCTGCCGTCGTCGCGGCGATGAATGTTTGGAACTTCATGCTGCCTGCCGCACTTTGCCTGGTCTTTCCTTGTTTTTGCTGGACACTTTTATTGTCGAATGGCTCTGGGAGATGAAATTATTTTATATATAGAAAGACGATACTCAATTGAAACACGTAGATCTCAAGATATTCATCCTGCACGGCTGAGGTCTATTCGCCATTAAAAAGGCTCGGCGTTGTGGGGCTTCACTTTCAATCCTTCCAAGGACGTTCGAGTGTGCTCCCACGTGCCCTCTCGCCACCCTATAGATCATTCATGGAAGGGCAAGGAAATGGCCAGGCGAAAAGAAGAAAATTGAGATATTCTTTTTCTTCTCGTCTAAATGCAAGGCTGGATGTTACTTGGAAATGCAGGAGGTCGACGTTGTGAGATTCATATTGGACGACGACGTATTCAGATCTTGAATTTAATATTCAGGTGGCAGAGCCAACCGTTTCACAAAACAACGCCAAATTCTAAATAATTCCAATCGTATAATAATGATGCCAGCCGTCCATGCATAAGACTTTGAATGCACTGGAAATCAAAAAAATATGTTCTTGCCTGCAGTAGGGGTATCGCGCAAAATAAAAACGCCCAACAAAAGGCGTCCAAAAGAATTGATCGTAACAGGTTAGGTTCATCCCCTCGACACCGGATGGGCTCTCTCTATGCGATCTAATTGAGCATCTATATCATCTGAAACATCCTCATACTCGATCCTGTAGTCGATATAATGCAATATGACATCGTCAGTCAGGCACTGGTTACTCTCACTCCGGGCGTGCTCGATCTTGCTCTCGACTTTGATAGCACGAGGACGATTGTACCCTCGCTCCATGTCCAAGATGGCTTGACTCTGCCTCTCCTTCTCGAGCCGAGATTTCTTGGACTTCCTGCTGCTGGTGCTCATTCTGCTGGTCATCGTATTGCTTCTCTTGGTAGATATTGATGATCTGTTGTTGAAGCTTGGTGTAAGAAGAGGGCTGTTTTTGACACCGGTCTTGGATCCGCTAGTCGAGGGTCGGGCATAAGGTGTTGTCGTAAGCTCCTGTTCTGATGGTTGACTAATGACTACCCCTGGCGTGATATGATACGAAACTGGCTTCAGGGAGGGAAGGCATGCCATGATGATCGATGCGTTGAGCATGATTTGTACGAATACCTGCGGCATAAGAACTTCCCAGGTGAAATCGAGGTTATCGCTCCGGTATATGTTTCGCATGTAGTAGAGGATGACTATGGTAAAAACTAGAATACTTTCATTGATGTTAGCTTGGTCATGATAGTTTCCAGGTGCACAAACGCGGCTTGTGTGACATACCTGATTCTCGATGCAAACAAACCTCTCAACGTCCATCGCTTCCGGGATGATATTTGCACCTGTTGCATCACGATGAAGGCTGTGGATATCAAGAAAAGGTTGATCATAGTATTGACCGAATGAATTCCAATCACAAGGCCAAGCTGATTCACACACTTGCTGCTCTGCACCTCCCAAGGCCTAGGAGGAGTGCATTGCAATGCCAAACCAAACACGGAAGCAAGAGCCCAGGCAGTTGTCAGCCCAAGTAAAGCGTAAGAAAGACGCTGTAGCGATTTGGTTGGGGAGATCTCGATTAGCAGATGAACAACAGAAGCCGACGCTGCACCTAATGCTGGAATTATGATCAGATTGCTAGCGTAATAAGCCTGTTTCTTGTCAACATCTTAGGAGACAAGATGGCTACATCGCAATGTTACCTTTTCGAAAGATTCGAAGCCCGACCGTGATAATGAGATTTGGTGCCGACCCAAACCATAATGGCTGGCTATCGTTATAGTGATTGTTTGAAATCCTGCGAAAAACTTCGGAGATTGTCAGTAGCAATATCGAGATTCGCTTTGAATGACTCACGCTTGAAGTTATAATATAAAGTTCGCTGACCGTAAGACGACGGGTGATCTTATACTGTGAGGATGTTTTGATGAATGTAGATATCAAGCTCAGGACAAGCATGGCATATGCCCAACCCAAAAGCCAGGGGCTATGATTCGCCGAAATGAGATCTTCGATCGTAGGGTTGATCGATGATTCAGTGGTATAGGTAAGGTTCGACATTGTTCTTGAGCCTTTAATCAACAGCCGAATAAGTGTCGAATTGTTATGTCGACGAACCTACCACCAGCCCAACTAGTGAATACACATCCAGTGCTAGGTGGGAGGCTCAAGTTCGATAATAGGACTCTGTCGGCAAAAGGTCGATTCTTAGCCACGACGAAATACCCACGAAAGCTTGAAAGACTTTAGCAAGTCGTAGATGTATCAGTGGTTTTCGAGACTCGTTGGAGGGCTGAAGATCAATATGACGGACTTTCAGTGTCCATAAGCGATCGGCTATCAAAGCATACATGGTCACCAAAGCGTGATACTGTCGTGGTGCTGACGGTAGACAATGATGTTGAGATAGTCAGGCATCACAAAGATATCAGCTGGACATGATGAAGCGAGGCAGGATAACCTATCATCTAGGCCAATTCTTGGACAGGCCAACGTTCAGCGGATCCCACGGGAGGACCTTGTTAGACATTTGTCCACTCCGAAGCATCGCTCAAACAAAACTGGGGGATCTGCAGGCCATAAGCAAGGGTCCAAGGCAGAATCAAGGCGTGGTGGTCCGCGAAGTGGCTCGAATCGCAAAAGAGGAATATGGACTATCCGGATCTGGATCTCGTCTCGTCGTTTGCAGTCCACTATCTAGAAGTTGCATAAGGGTTGCCCACTTGGCATCATACGTTTAGCGTTCTGCATGCATCATTTCGATAAGTGCCTGCGACACAGATGTAGTAGTACCACGTAACTACTCCATACATACATGAAGTACTCCGTAAGGAGGAGAGGAGACTGACTTGAGTAGTCAAGGAAACAAGCTCGAGGACAAGGATTTGTCGATAGATCCACATCGGAGATATTGATAGTGGACACTTGGGATGCCTGTAAGCCTGACTGGCTACGAATACTTCAGCATACGACAGGATTGGGGTTGGAAGATGAAACAAGCGCCTGTGAGGTGGCAACGAGGCCGAGAAAGCGGACAATGTCGCTTAAAGCAGTCTTGCAAGTTGCCACCAGAAGGTACTTGCCAGAACAATGTGATATAGCACACTGTTTGAGACTGTTCGTGACGTGGGCTTGATCATGATTGCCAATCATCCGCAAGGACGGCCGTCCTCATAGCAAGGGTTTGATTGTCAAGGCTGTAGTCCGTTGGGATATTCGTCTTGAGTCTGCTGACTGTTCAAATATCTCCCTCAGAAGTGGGAAGATGTGACAGGCTGCCGAGGCACGAATCCATGTTGACGAGCCTGGAAAGACGTTGCTTCTTGTCCAGGTACGGATACTCGGTATGCTGTTGGCTCAAGATCTGGCCACTAGTAAGTAGGAAAGCGGGACCCGTTTTGAGGCTAGATGTCTTCCGATGTTCTAAAATCGAAGAATCAAAGGATTCCCAGTGCGAGCCTTGCTGGGATGGTACTAGTGATTAGGGTCTTGAGGGCCGACAGGGTATCGAAATAGGGTAAACCCTGCCACGGAGATGATCTTCCCGTGTATGCAGCGTGGCCCCCTGCGGTCTGAATTTTGCTTCTACGAAGTAGACATCTCCACATCAAACAACGACACCTTTCGCAGATTGGGCCTGCACGGTTGATCATCATCGAATCATAGCGAGCGTTGAGTGAATTTTGCTGTCGGTTGAAGGTACCAGCAGGATAACATTGTTTGCTGAATTATTCCACAGGACTCGAGTCTTCTCAAGAATACTTCTGTGCCTGATGTTAGGATTAGGATACCGATTCACATCGTATCTTCTTCACTCCGAAATACTTCGTAAGCACGCTGCCTTGGCTTCAACTATGGAGCCGAGCAAGGGCCATACGAAGTAGTATCAGTCACTAGCACCGGGGAGTTGAAGCTGGATTGGCCCGGTCTCGCAAAGCGACATGAGAACGCATTGGTCAATTTAATGTCAATTCGACGGATGCCCTCGGGGAACAGGGCTAATAATTCCAGAAATTGCATTCATCTGATTCGAGACAGGGGTATGAGCTCCACTTACTGGTTTTGCAGTTGCTTGTGGAGGATCTCACCATCGCGCTAGGGACGAGTTAAAGCATTGAAGTATTTTGATACAAGATCTTTATGGAGAGCGTACTCATCATCACGGAAGTATCCGTGTCGAATACGAGGAGAGCTTCGCTGGGCCGCTGGCTCGATAGAAATGCAGATTTTAATGCCCCGGCCGGGGATGCCTTGGTGCCAAGCCCGGGTGACGCCGCTTCCCATAATCTTAGCTTGCCGTCACAGAGTTGACTCAAAGCAGCAACTTCTGCTTGCCGAAATGAGATTCTCCTCTATTCAAGTGTTGTTGATGCCCCGTTCCTCCCTGCGCTCAAATTGCGCAGGAGGGACAAGGCAAGCAGGAAGCGCTGCAGTAGTGAAGTGTAACTAACAACATATCAACTCACTACTTCAGTCTTCAGGTCGGTATGAGTCTAACCTACCAAACGGGAGAGAATGTGAGACGAGTCCGTTAATCTCGAATTAATCGACCATCGCCGGAGAACATTCGCTTACGTGCATCATGATACTGGTAGGTCTTCAACCTGTGGTCGAAAGATGCTGTTGAGCAAGGAGTCCAACAGGATTAAAGTGGCTTGTCATTGAAACGCCCAAGATCAGCATCATGAGTACGCAGAGTTCCCGCCTCTTTTGCTCTCTGAGCCCAGGAGTTGATCACTACGGTATGACTTGCAAGGGCACACAGCTGTCATGGACTCCTTTCTTGCTGCAACAGAGTAAGCCACTGAAGACTCGGAAGCTCACATCTCCTGTAAGTCTAGATCTTCCACCCGACGATTGCTCGTCCATGACCACAAATCGGGTCCAAGCACTGGGGGATGACACCAGCGGCATCTTGGCGCCGATGCTGCGGACGGATCAGCCAAGAGCTTGTTCCGATCTCTTCCCCTCTTATGAAGTAAGACTCTTCCCGATGATGGAAAGACTCAAGAACAGATCCTTCGTCTACCTATTGTTGGATTCGTGATCGAAACGGTCACTCTTTCGTACATTATTATATACGTCGACATCGTTGCCATACGTCTGAAATACCGAGGATCAGAGCTTTTCATCTTCCCCCTGAGTGGCCTTTCGATCATGAATTGCCCGTCTAGAACTGATGATGTTGAATTCGAACATCCAACATGGAATCAGAACCCGCCTTTCCTGGCAGCCGACTTGACGACATGCCAGGACCTCAATGGGATAGCCAACTCGCGAGAGCATAAACAGGGGATTGACGAAGGACTCCATGACCTTGCTCCAGCTTTTGAGACAGCTCTCTTTGACAGGCCCCCGGATTCTGTTGTTTCAGATTGGACTTGGGCGAGGCTTTCTGGTGAGTGCGACCATCACTATCTCTTTTTCTTATGGTCACCGCTTTGTGCCATTTGTACCATTTATGGAAGGGGGGTTTCTTAAGGACGATCCCAATACTGACTATATGTTCTTTATAAAGAGAATGCTTCGCTCATGAAGATGATTGCCAGTGGTGATGGCAGCAATCGTCTTCTCACCCCCCCGGGAAATCCCTCACCCGCTCCTTCTTCTCTTTGGAGCTGGCTTAGATGGGGATTTTCTGTAGCCATTACCTCGTTCTTTCTCTCCACATTTGGTAGCAATTACAGCTTGATTTTTGGACAACTTGGTACGCCTCTCCCGGTAGCGTGCTCTCTGTCAGCTCAGACTAATCCATTGAACCTTGCCACAGGCAAAGAGTCCCGCAATAATTTTACTGAAGCATTGCGCAAAAGGTCGACGTGTGGTGTTAATAGTACGAACAATGACCTGTACAACACACCTCTGCATGTGGGTGCGGTATTTATTATCCTTTTCGTCTCGACAATGGCATGCTCTTTTGCTCTTTTGGCAGCTCGCTTTCCAGGTTTTCGACTTCCCCGAAGATTTTTCTTCATTGTTCGGCATTTCGGTACTGGAGTGCTGATCGCGACAGCATTTGTTCACCTTCTTCCTACAGCATTCATCTCTCTTGGAAACCCATGCCTATCTGGGTTCTGGACAACCGATTATCCTGCTATGCCAGGTGCTATTGCTTTAGCTGGCATTTTCTTGGTCATTCTAGTGGAGATGATATTTCACCCATGTCGAAAATTCCCCCCAAAGTCTGAAATCAACTCAGGTGGTGGCCAGATTCAGGTTGCAGACGAGGCAGATTTCTCTCAAACGCAAGCTACACCAAGAGATCCAACAGGCCCGCTACGAGACATGGGATTGCTGGTCGGTAGAACATCAAGTATTGGCAGAAGTCTTACCAGGGTCAATGACCAAGGCGATGCGGATCCCATCACAAATACAACCAAAGAGCGACAATCGTCGAACGCAACTAAAGATGCCATGAGTAAAATGTCACCAAACGACCTGACGACAGCACAAAAATTGCGCAAGGCTAGGCTTCAATGTGTTCTTCTCGAAGTCGGCATCTTATTCCACAGCATCTTTATTGGCATGGCTCTGAGTGTCTCCATCGGTAGCGAATTCGTGATTCTCCTTATTGCAATTGCATTCCACCGTAAGCATCTGCCTAGCAATCAGCTTTAGAATGGCCTTAAGGCGGTCGTTAGCCACGTCAACAAATACTGATCTGTTTCTCAACCAGAAACATTCGAAGGCCTCGCTCTAGGATCTCGGATTGCCAGCATCGACTGGCCGCAAGGAACATGGCAGCCATGGCTCATGGCGCTCGCATACGGATGCACGTACGCACAAACCTCCTCACCGTTCATCAAAAGCATAGGAAACTAACCACATCTCCAGGACCCCCATCGGCCAAGCCATCGGGCTCGCCACACACTCGCTGTACAGTCCCGACTCAGAGACGGGCCTCCTCGTCGTCGGCACCATGAACGCCATCTCAGCGGGCCTGTTGACTTTCGCCTCCCTGGTGGAGCTGCTCTCCGAGGATTTCCTCAGCGACAACAGCTGGAATGAATTGCGCGGAAAGAACCGCGTGTTCGCCTCATTGCTCGTCTTCTTCGGCGCCTTCGCTATGAGCTTGGTTGGTGCGTGGGCTTAGATTAGGTAGGTAGGTACCTTGGGTAGGGACGTCTGGCACGAACATGCAGATGATCACCCGAGACGCGACGCCGGCCCATCCTATCGAGCCCTCTGTCTTGGCCTTCCGAGCGGCGCTGGACGTGGAAATATAGCAACTCCCGCCTCACGAATAAGGCGGTCCCATTCATTCACCACATCACCGTTAAATATCATCACACTCTTTTGAAATCACAGTCTTCAGGTGCCAGAGGCGACATGACCTTACCATTACCATTCTACAAACATACATATTTATACTAGATACCAGGGTACTAGACCTCCATAAAAACCTGAGTCAAATGAACGAGACCGACACCTAGACCTCACTAGCACTCAACCAGTACCTCAGCACACATCTTCAATTGTTGCGATGCAGTGCGATCAGACCTCCCAGATCACGAATATAAAACACCAGAAGGATTCGCATCTTTGACCCCAGCCTCTCGGATCCACCGAGCGAGTCGTTCACACACACTCACGTTTGCCATACGAACTCCTCCTGGCGATGATCTTATCTGTCTTCTTCCGTGTCCGGTCCTTGAAGCCGTTGATTACATTGCCATATCGCAATGTCAATGACCTCAGCAGCCGATGTGGTGGAGGAGGAGGAGGAGGAACGAAACTTTCTCGTTTCGGCCCGCCGTCCGGAAGAGCCACGGACAGCCTTGGGTGGGTGAGTGAACGCGTTGGAAAACGATAACGTTGGAAGGCATGAAATCGAATCCGAGGATAGATCTCCAATACAAGACTGGATAGCTTAGGCTTGAGTAGTCTGGTTTTGGAATTTTTTGGGGATCTATAGCATTCAATACTGGTAGTGGTATAGTACACGGTGCTTGCTGGTATGGCATTCGTCTCCTATTACCACGAGGCACCACGAAGCACTCCATCCATGACTCACCCACTCAGTTATTGTACAATACATACATATACACACTTCCCATTTCCCCTGGTAGACATCGTTACATTCTCACTTTCCATTTGCAACACCCCACATTACGTGACTTTGAGCGTGTGTCGTAAAAACACAGATATCCTCTTATGTTTCATGGCACCCTTTGCACTCCACATGCTCGTCACGACACACACCCAAAAAGATCTCTCCCCCAAGCCTGCATGTCCTCTGTATACATGTTATGAGTCGGATACTCGCTTTTTTGGACGAAGATGATAAAAACAACACGATTGTAGAAGATGAGTGGAGTAAAGTTGTAACAGCAAGAATATACAGGAGAGAAAATAAGCAACTCGATCCCCGGTCGGGGTCAGAGGTAGAAAGACGCCTCGGATGTCCAGTAGAGGGGTGTGTTGCAGATTAGGTGATGTGTCGAGTTCTAGCAGCGGATGTCTGATCGATTATCTGTTGCCCAAGGGGGTATGGTTTGATGGAAATTCGCTGAAACGCAGGAGATGATAGCAAAGGCAAATGAGTTATCGACTAGGAGCATGGTCGTTCAAAAGTTCATTTCGGAACTTAGAAGCCGCCCATGCCACCCATTCCACCCATACCGCCCATGCCGCCCATTGGTGGGCCAGCAGGTTTCTCTTCAGGGGCCTCAACGATGGCAACTTCGGTCGTTCCGAGAAGCGATGCAACTCCGGAAGCATCAACAAGGGCAGTGCGGACAACCTTCAAGGGGTCAACGATACCTCTGGCGAGCATGTCAACGTATTCGCCAGTGGCGGAGTCGAAACCCTTGTTGAAGTCTGAGCCGAATTCGTCGGTAAGCTTGCCAACAATAACGCTACCCTCGAGACCTGCATTCTCGACGATCTTGCGTGCTGGTCGGGTGATAGCACTTTTGATGATGCTGACACCTAGTTGCTGATCGAAGTTGGCAGGCTTGAGATCGTTCAAAGCGTTCGCAGAAGCCTTGATCAAGGCTGTGCCACCACCAGGCAAGATACCCTCTTCAACGGCAGCGCGGGTTGCGTTTAGGGCATCCACAACACGGTCCTTCTTCTCACCAACCTCAACTTCTGAGGCACCACCGACCTTAATGACAGCAACACCGCCAGAAAGTTTGGCAAGACGCTCCTGGAGCTTCTCCTTCTCGTACTCAGAAGTAGAGGGATCAGCCATCACGCCTCGGATTTGTTCGCAGCGTTGAGCAATAGCGTCTTTGCTGCCTTCACCGTTGAGAATGATGGTGTCTTCCTTGGTGATGGTAATGCTGCCAGTGGAACCCAGCATGTCGGCGGTAGCCTTTTCAAGCTTGATTTCAAGCTCATCTGTGAAGACAGTGGCGTTGGTCAGGATTCCGATATCGCCGAGAATGCTCTTGCGGTTGTCGCCAAAGCCTGGAGCCTTGACTGCGGCAACTTGAAGCTGGCCTCGGAGCTTGTTCAGGATACATACGGCAAGAGCCTCACCATCAATGTCCTCGGCGATGATGACAAGAGGTCGTCGTAATTGTGTGGAGGCTTCGAGAGCAGGAATGATGTCTTGAACAGCGGAGATTTTCTTCTCCGACAGAAGGATCAAAGGCTTCTCAAACTCGATCTTTTGTGATTTTGTGTCGGTAATGAAGTAAGGGGAGGTAAAGCCTCGATCGAAGCGCATGCCTTCGGTGATCTCAAGCTCGTCTTCAATAGTCTTTCCTTCCTTGACAGTAATGACACCCTCTTTGCCGACCTTCTCCATGGCATTGGAGATGAGGTTACCGACGTGGGTATCACCGTTGGCGGAGATTGTCGCGACCTGAGCAATCTCGGCGCTGGTGGTGATGTCTTTCTTGTTCTTCTGGAGATAGTCGACAACAGCCTCAACAGCGGCTTGAGTACCTCTTCTCAGATCCATAGGGTTGCATCCAGCGGCGACATTCTTGACGGTCTCGGAAAAGATGGACGAGGCAAGGACGGTGGCAGTAGTGGTACCATCACCCGCGACTTCGTTGGTCTTGGAAGCGACATCCTGGATGAGGCGAGCACCGAGGTTCTCAAATTTATCCTGGAGAACGACGGCTTTGGCGACGGTTACACCATCTACGCGTTGTCATATTAGTCATTGAAGAAATGAAGCCGATCGAACGAGACGAACCTTTTGTGATTTTAGGAGAGCCATAGCTCGACTCGATAAGGACATTTCGACCTTTGGGACCGAGAGTAGTGGCGACGGCCTTGGCCAGTGTGTCAACACCTTTTAGCAATTGAGCTCGACCTTCGACTCCGAACCGGAGCTCTTTATGGGCAAAGCGGAGTTGTTGTAAACTCTTGCCTGCGGATCTCGAGTATGGGGAAGATGAGGAAAGTGGTGACCGCAGGGCGGAAGACAGAGCACGCTGCATGATGGCGGAGGACAGTAGACCACTAGAGAAAGATGATAATTAATGGGAGGGGGTGGTTGAAAGAGAGACGAGTGATGTAGAGATGGGAGGAAGCAGGGTGTCAAATGTTTTGAATGGCAGGGTAAAGACGAAGACCGGGGAACTTGAGTAAAAAATTTGGAGAATCTGATCGAAGCCTGGGATGCAGCACCAGCCGCCTCTTTCCGGTTAGCGCCCGATTCAGCCTTGGCATTCGGCTCCGACTCGGCCTGCCCCTTTGAATCAACGACAGCCTCGTCTATCCCAGGACCCCGAAGCATAACATATCCCCTTTGCAGAGCAGAGGAGTGTGAAATGAACTGATATTGACAAAACCTGCCAGTGAGACATCTGTTTCTCTTCTTACGCCTGAAACTCCGCCCGGACTACACCACGCGTGTTCCAATAGCAGGTACCAAGATCCAAAGTCATCTCGTGAAATACCCAACCCAAATCAGCAGAGAGCCAACACTCAGTGTTTGAATTTCTCAGCTCGATTGTCGAGGCCTCCTTCCAAGTCTTGCCTAATCATGCTCGCTTCCACCTTGCAGATAGGTGTCGAACTCTCCGCCAGCTTGATGGTGTGCCCAAGCACGTTCTTTCTCCCGCTCTTCACCTGCAACCTGCTCCATCTGCTTAAACTCGTCACTGGATAGTGGTGTCATCTCTGAATCAATGGGACCGAGAGGTGCACTCGCAATCGAAGTCTGGCGTGAATTGGTTCCCACAGTCATGCCGGACATATCTGTAGCAGATGAACCTGAGGCAGGAAAAGGAATAGGAGGAGGTCCCATCGTACCAATTGCGGGTGTTCCAGGATATGTGACTGATTGAGGTACGAAGTTTGGAAAACTTGCCGAATGATTGAAATTGCCATATGAAGCCTGGGGAATATTGCTCTGGAAGCTTGCAGAAGGAAGCAAGCCGCCATACATGGGTTGAGGCTGAGACTGAATGTTGTGAAGAGGAAACATGCTGGGAGTCATCCCACCCATCATACCATTGGCCATATTTTGTTGAAACGAGTTATAAGTCAGGCTGGGTCCGCCCATGCTTGTCGGAAGCGTACTCGCATTGAAATTGAGAGGAGCGTTTTGAGTAGCATGTAGAGCAGCATTGTAGCCCAGATTGTTCAACTAGAAGCATTGTTAGTGGATGTATCACCTCAAATGAAGCGCAACTTACCAAGGGGTCATTGTAATCGAATTCAAAGGGGAGATGAAAGTCTTGTTGTGCCACTGAAGACACGTCGGGAAACATTCCGTCCACAGGAAGCAGACCACTGGTTCGTGTAATTGTTTCAGGAGGGTTGGCAATGGCAGCTCCTAGTTGATCACCATCTCCGCCATCATCCTCATCCTCATCCTCCTCGCCATCACCAACACAAACAGTCTCTCCCTCATCAGAAGCATTGTTGTCAGATTCATCAGTGTCTCCCATCATTGAGTAGTCACGCTTGACACCACGGGTCTGTCTGGGAGTGACAGGCTCGATGATAGGTACGATGTCGGCACTTCCACCTGGAGAAGGGTGAGCAGGAATACCAGCCATGGTGTTGAAGACTGTGGGGCTTCCGTTCTTCTCAACCTTGACCTGGCTCAGTGTGTTGTCTGGCTTGTTTGCTTGAGGCTTCCTAGTAGTCAGCTTGAGCTTCTTCCGGGGGACCTTGAACTCTTCATCGCTGTCATAGAGCTCTGGCATGGGGCCATCGTCTTCATCTTCGTCAGACATCGCCACTTGACCAGCAACACCCTTGCCTTTGCCCTTACCCGGCTTAGCCGCAGCTCTGGCCCGAGCACGAGCCTTGATTGTCGCTTTAGCCGTAGGAGCTCGTGAAGGGGTGCCTTGATCATAATCATCGCCGCCGCCTGCGGGAGTCATAGGGGTGCCGTAAAAATTAGGCACCTGGGGTCCAACCTTGGGTGTGTCTGCATACAGCGGAGTCACAGGGGGGACAGTTAGATTGGAGGGACTGCCAGCTGCACCATAGATCTTTGAAGGGGCTTTGGCCACGTAGCCTCGCTTGAGAGCAGGTGGTACAGGGATACCATGCTCTGCCATCTTTTTACGGATCTTCGCAAGATGTTGTGTAATAGAGCCTTCGGAGAACTTGGGACCCATAACCTCTGCAATTCGTGCCCCTGGTTGCGAATCGATCAGTGATTTGGTCTCGTTGTAGGTCGGGCCGGTAGGATCTTACATGGTAGCTTGATGCCGGCTTCTCCGCATGCGTACTGGATTGTCAGAAGCAGGCCTTTGTCCAACTCCTCTGTTGTTGTTAGTACTGATCTTGAAAATCGAGGTTTGGTGCCAACTCACCATTCCACCGAACCAGGTCTCGAGTACCCGGACGGGCATTGGAGCCAACCATCCTGGGGAAAATCTGCCCAAGTATTCACCGCCCTGTTGTTCTTTGAACCACTGAAGGAGATCGGTTTCCTGTGTCAGAGGCCTGTTAGCAAGGTGGAGGAAGAAGAGAAATGGATCTTGACACGTGATTCATAGAAGGGTATACAACAAGTGTGATCCACTAGTGGAGGGGTGAATGTCCAAAACAGTGAATAACACTGAATTGTGACGCATGTGCAAGCGGTCATAGTGGGCAGAACGCGGTAGGGGTCCGTCGAGTTGTTGAGAAGGGTGAGTTGGTGAGATGGCAAGTTTAGGGACAGATCCAATGCACCCACAAGATGAGGGTACTGAAGCAGGTCAAGGTAGAGAGGTAGGGAGAATAGGAAGATCAATAGCAGAGAAGAGGGCAAGAGATTGGTACCTTTGAGTAGAGCTCGTTGTTGTGTATGTTGATGGTTCGTGACCACGTCAACAGGGCTGTCTGCAACGAGCAGAGGGGTTTGCACAATTCTCAAACCTCAAGGTATCAAGAGGGCCCTGAGGAGATTGAGAACAATGAGAAGAACAAGGACAATTCACCTGGAGAGATCTGGAGAGATGAAGAGACATGTGAGAAGGTAAAGGTGGTGGGAGAAGAAAGCGGAAGCGTATGGGTGGTTGGATGTCTGCGAAGCAGTATCAAAGGAAAAGAGCAGAGCCAAGGTTCTCGACGACTCACAGCGAATTCGACGCCAAGTGCCTCATCGCGCAGGGACTGGTTTCACCGTCTGGTTATGGTATTAGAGGTGAGCGGATGGACGGTCTTGCAATTTGTTCTTGCGCCGTCTGGTGGTGGTGGCCGCGAAGTAAGCACTCGCGAGTGCTTCGTTATCAAGTAGTACGCGGAATGGGAATAGAAAGTCTCATGCAGTGCTTTCTGGCTGGATTGCAGTAACTTGATTTTCTATATCGAACATGATTATCCCAAGTCTATGGACCAATTCTCCTTGTCTTGTCTCATCCCTTGCCTTGAACAAAGGATGGTAGTCAAGCAGTCGCCTCGATCTGTGCTTGAGAATGCTTGTTTGATGCTCTATGATCAGTCCCGTCTCCTGTACTCATACATGCCTGTCCTGAAAGAAGATATTTGTAATTCGTATGCGCCCCAGTGTCCATCAAGAAGGCTTCTCGAGGATTAACGGCAGGTAGACAAGGTGCCTTGGTAGAATGCTAGAGACTGTGTCTCTTATCAGGTAATGCTACAGATCTTCAGCGTTGACATCGAGCTTTCGATAGTTCTGAAAATGCAGAGCGAACGTCCTTCAGCCAAATACACTCAATCGACAATGAGAATGCTGCCAGTATGGCTTTGGCTTTCACTCTTGGTGTCTAAAGATAATGAATCACTATCGGGCCCAGAGCCTTGAACTACCGATGCTGGTCGGGGTGGGATTCTTAGAGGTGATGGGCCCAAGTCGTTGAGAAGAGATGGGTTGAGTTGGACTTCATGAGGCATGGATGCGTGATAGAACATGTCGCTGCTGAGGTACTCCTGCAATCCACTACCTCCACCGGTGAATTGTCCTGTGCTGAGACCTGCGTTACCTCTTGTGCTTGAAAGCATAGGTGACATTGATGATGGTGTTGCGGTAGAGAAGTGACTGGGTGCCATTCCACCGAGTCCTTGGTATGTGTGATAAGACATCATGCCGCTAGGGTTGTGATACATTTGAGCGGGCATTTGTCTTGGTGGAAGGTGTGGCAATGGAGGGGGTGATGGCATGTATAAAGCGGAGGGTTCATATCGAGACACATGGGTTTTGTATCCTGCTGAGCTGGCAGTCGATCCACTCGATGCATCAGTCTTGGGCATGGTGACAGATCCTGTTTGGCTGGAATTCTTGGTTGTTGATTTGCTGGGAGGTAGTTGTTCAAAAACATCAGCCTTCCGCTTCCTGCTCGCATTTGGTTTCTCTTGCACTTCATTTGACTTCTTGTTGACAGGCGTATTTGTTGGTTTTCGGGCTGGAGATTCGGTGGGTCCACCATTGGGATGAATGCCGTTGGCTCTGAGAAGACGTTCATATCGTTTGGCACTGCTATTGATTAGTATCCAGGATGACGCAGTGGTTCTTGCCATGCCATGGTTGGGAAAACTCACGCTGCTCCTTTGCTGACAATACCACATTCCTTCGCAACCTCTACAAAGTCCACCTAAGAAGGGTCAGTTGATCTCACTTCGAAAAACACTGGCGGTGGATAGCCCTTACCTTGCCATTGTTGGAATAACGGACACAGCTCAACAAGAATTTCAGTTGATCATCGGATGTCGCACGAGACATACTTGGGGTATGTGGAGCAAAGGGACAGGTGGAAAGTGTTTCAGTGAGCACGGCTTGGAACTTATCGCCTTCTGTCTGTGGAAGAGATGAGATGAGTGCGCGGAGGGAACCTAAGCTATGAACGATAGAGTTGAGAGTTCTGAGAACTCTGTCCTTGATATCTTCGCTGTCTGGTTGCTGCATGGCTCGCATTGTGGTAAGAGATGTATTGTCCGCAAGTGACCGGCCCGCTTGGATTGTCTGGGCTCAAAGACCTTCAACAGCTTGTCAGGAGAGTGCGTGGAGAATTGAAAGAGCAGGACTCTTCTGAACATTCAGTATCAGACAAGGGATGAACGACAAGGAGAAGCAGTCGATGCAACTGCCCTGACTGAGTATCAAACAGGGAGATTGTGTGTTTTCGTCAGGGGAACGGATTCAAAATACAGGAAAATGCATTGTCCATCATCAAAGCGGCTGGAAAGAGCGCTGTACATACTTGTGAATCTACTCGCCAGCATGGTCTTGAGGGCGATTCATCGCAACAAGTCTCGGCGGCGCTGCCTTCATCTGACTGAGTGATCGCGTATTGGACACGAAAAGAAAGCCTCCTCCTGTACGGGAAGGCGTGACTGCTACAGGACGACCTGGACCTCGAACACCTGCATTGTTTCTCAATCAACACCGCACGATCATTAGTTCAGACCATCTTTGACAATACCTTGGTGTCTTCCACCGGAATTGGGCCTGTAATAACCCCAATTCCTGCGTAGAGCCCGGCAATCAATTGGCTAGCTGGCAAAAGACGCATTGAACAATGGCGGCACAATGCCTCCAACCTCGATCTACATGGAAGATCACAAGACTGTGTATATCCAAGCTGAATTCACAAAGCTCAAGTACTAAGCTACATCAAAGACTAAAAAGCCTTCAGAGGCAGAAAAAGAGGCAATACCGAATTACATCCCATCCCAAGCAGAGCCAGAACAATGGACCTCTCCCCTGCCCAAGGCTTGCATATGCAGCCTGCCGGTACAGTGTGGTGCACAGGCAATGTGAGGAATGACTGTAAGGCAATGCGGAACTAGCTATTGTCATTCTACATACTACAAGCCCTCTCAAGCTTCGTGTCAAAGAGATGAGCATGCCGGGGGAGGGAAGGGGCAGCGGTTGAATAATGGGGACGAGGCTGACACACTCAGGGATTTTCGCTTGGCTCCTATGCTCCACCGGAAATCTCAACTCCGCGCACTTCCTTGGGTAAATGTTCATGGATTTATTGTGTTTGTCGATGGATGTCAATGGTCTTCAATGAATGGGAGCTTTTTCAAATTTGTCTCATTATTCGTTTCGTCATATGCTGGTAGCTAGGCACCTCATTGGGTCTGCGGCGACTTCTGTATGCGTCCTATATGCAGACAATTAACGACAGCTCTGGCGTCCCCGAACCACACCCTTTTCAATGTATGCTGGCTGTACTGTGTGTCATCTGGAACATATGCGGGCAGCTACAACTCATGATAGCCAAGGCTGAGGGTCAGACCTGTATGCGAGCAGAACATCATTAGTATCACTTCAAGGCGGTTTTGGTGTGGTCTTCGGGGAATGCAGATAATGCCCCACGACCACCTCAGTGTACGAGGAGCCAGTGAGAATCACCGTCTAACCCTCCTGGAACAACTCAACGGTAGGCGAGATCCCATCGACCGGCTCGGAGATATCAATGGGGCAATTCGGCAGCTCAACACCGTATGCATCAAAGGTAATTGCGTCGGAAGTGGCATTGTACTTGATCCAGCGACGATTCAAGAGATCGCCATCCTGCGCGCGGTCGTTGAAATTCTGCGGCGCGAAGACGATACTAGATGCAGCCTCGGTGTACAGTGTAACGGGGATATCCTCTGCACGAACGAAATGGTGCATGCCCAGATTGAACCAGACCACGAGATCCTCCTGCTCGACGGATTCGTCGTCGAAGAATTTTGAGAAGTCTTGTTGGGGCGCTAAGGGCAAGTTGATATTCTGCACTGAATTTGCATATGGTTCATTGTCGTGCTGGCGCGTCACGGCCAGGTGAGTCTTTGCCATTTCGCTGTTCTTGAGCGAGAAAGGAGAATTCTGCACCGACAGGTGGATGTTCGAGCGGCCAGGAACGATGCGGTAGCCGCGCTGTTCGCCCCAGGCGTTGGTTTCGTTCTGGTTGACGACGCAGAACATGGCTTGGTTGTTGGCGGCCCAGTTGAAGGCAGCTTCCTTTTCGAGGTAGCTGATGTTCATCTCCATCTGTTCGAATTCACCGAGTTCAGGGAACCACGCTTGGGTTTGGTTCACCACCACCAAGTCGCTGATCTGGAATGAGTTGGCAGTGCCCAAGACATCAAAATCGGCCTTGTAGGTCAGAATGTGGTCGTGGAGAGATCCTTGCGTGGCGGGCGCTATTCTAGGTCCATATCTGGCTTGATCCGGATAGTAGAAACTGGATTGTAAGAATCCACTTGCTCGCACCTCCACCTCGATTGACCCGTCCTGGTGGAACAGGTAGCTATATCCGTCAGTGATGGAGATTGAGAAAAGAAAGCCACATACCTGAACATGTAATCGTAATTACCAACTGTTGCGATGGTACGAACAGCGAGCGCCGCGCCCTTAACGACACCCAGTTGAGTGAAGGGGTAGTCGCCCGCTCCACTGCCATATCGATGTCTGGACAGCGGGAACCCCGAGTCTTGTTCAAAGATACAGATGGCGTCTTGATTGGTGACTGTGTGATCTTCCTCGTGATAGGTGACATTCCAGAATGTGGAGCCAAATGGACAGTCATAGCCCTCAACCAGAGTTGCAAGGTCCGTTCCTAGCGAGTAGTACGTGTCATGGTAGACGGTGTTTGCTGCTTTGGGCTGTGTATCACTTAGGTCTGGAAGGCACAACTCAAATGAAGTTGACTTACCTGGTTTCCGGCGTATTGAGCAAGAGCTTCTTGTAGGGATAGCTCGTAAATGATTCTATCACCCTTGAACTTGATATCGTAGAACATGATCCCCAAAGTCCTTGAAAACGCAACGTAGAACGAGAAACCCATGTACTCAATATACTGAGCCTCTGAGTCGACCTTGTACCGCTTGCCTCCAAGTTCAATATTAGAAGGCGCAAAACGATCTTCGAGGTCTCTGACGCCAAGCTCGGGCTTATAGTCGACGTCTGTCCAACTCTGGTCCTTGGTTTGGACATATTCCTGAGCCAATTCTCCTGCTTCAAATGCTGCCCTCAGAGATGGTTCATCAGGAAAGAATTTTTCATTCGTGACGTATCCCTTTATGGAATAATGCGTTGGGTCCGTTCCTGGGCAATCGACAAGAAGGAAAAAGTCGATGGGTGTCAAGTACGTTCCTCGTCCTGGTATTCTGAACATTATATTTCGAAAACCTTGGCTTCCATCAAATGAAAGAGGAGTGCCTGCAGTGGTCGACAAGGTCGTTCGATTGTCCGAGGCACCGTAGAAGACTGACCCATTGAACAAAGCTGCTGTGATATCAGAGATATTGCCCATGGCCGATGCAATCAATGGGTTGATGGGAGCTGCTTTGATCCCGTCGGCGTAACGAGAATTAAAGGGGACGCTTCCACCTCGTCCTCCGTTGTAGATATAGTCCAGCTTCTCAACTGAGGTCTCATTGGAAACTGGAAGTGGTCCAACATAGTATTCTTGTGAGTCTGGCTCTTCCTTTCCACCTTCAAAGATGATGACTCTGGCATACTTGGAAGGGGCTGGGCCATCTCCATCCAAATAAGGAAGTACATCTGTCTTGTTGGTGTGCAGAGTGTCGATCCAGAAGACATAGTTGTCCGTCACAGTTGCGTTTTCAGGTAGAGTCAGGTTAAGACCTGTGGCTGGATCGTGCAACAGTGTCCAAACATCGTAGTTATCCTTCGCACTGATTCCAGCCCAAACATTGGTTTTTGGGGCTTCTACCACTGGTGCATCGCCAGAATAACAGCTGCTTCCACCCGTTTGACGTTTACCCAAGGCATCAAGAAGGAGCTTTCGCTCATAACCTAATGCGGGTAGGACAGACCCTGCTGCCAGGGTGGCTGCGCACAGCAAAGCAACTAGCTCTCGATGCATGGCGAAAGTTGATGTTGGTTTGGAGGCGCTCTCTGTGATAAAATGGGAACAGGTCTTTATAACTTACAGACATGAATAGAAGCCGTATATTGTACAAACCGCATCACTTTCAGGTTCTGCGTAGCATCGGAAGCATCACACTCCACGTATGGCCGTACATCGGTCGCCGCCAAGGCAGTGTCAAGAACAGGCGACAGGAACTAACGAAGTTTAGCTATATGAGAGATAACGTGCCGGAAGTTCCATTTACCAATCGCACATCCTAGTTACAGGTACCAACAGGTACACAAGCCGTGTGAGGATGTTGCGCGTCCTGGTCAAACCCTTTTGATCATAGCTTCTATGCTGCCTCTCGCTTACCTTGAGCGGTTTTCTATGTCAATGGTCAGAATGATGCTATCTCAAAGACTATTGCCCGATGGGTGCAGTAGAAGGCTAGGCGAGGCTGGGCATTTCGGTATGTTGGAGAATCTGGAGAGATACGAAGTCGTGGCTTCGATGTATGAAATCGACAAGCGCTCATATCCGCGATTGGACAAAAGTGTATATCTGCATAAACGTCCGATCTGCCTATCGTGAAATAGGAAGCTACATAGAACGTGGTACCAACGGTGTAGATAAGAAGTACATCGCCAAGAGGTATGTAGACGCTAGGCTCTTTGAAGAGACGAACAACATGACGGGTTCTCTTGGCGAAGTGCTGACAATTGCTGTTTCCACGTAACGAGGATGGCAGCATTGATAAGGACAAATAACGATGACTGTAGCTTGTAAAGATGCGGACGTGAATTGGGAATCTGTGAGCCGCAGTTATCTCGGATCCAAGGGTTCGGGTGAGGAGTCGCGGAACTGGGCTCGGTGATATTAGCCGCTGTTCTTGCCACAACATGGCAGCCATGTGTCACAAGCGAAGGACAGCAAGGTCGAGTATACCGCTGTGTTCGGGGACGATCAGACTTGGGAAGTCAATATCCTTTGAGACCGAGAGGTGGACATCTGCTAGGAGCTTGGCTTGCCATACTCCCAGCTTCCTCACGGCAAATCCGGTAAAAACTAGCTGACAGGAACATTGGGCGAAATGTAAAGGCGACCGAGCAATGAGTAAATTTTTTGTGTATATTTCTGATAGGATATCATTTCTGTGCCGAAAGTATGGTGTCGAGAAGCTCTCAGTCCCAATTGGGAGACATCGAGCTCACAGGGTTGGGACATACAGGAACACTTACCTTAGTGGTTTCAACAGGGAGATGAAGCAAGAAGACGCATACCTGCATAGCGTGAATAAAAGTCAGTCATGAAATGTATCGACGGTCAACCATAGTGCCCAAGGATGGAGTAGGAGTACTGAATATCCATATCGTTTACCTAGGTATGTATAGATCTGCCCTAATCCATTTCAGGCCTAGTGGAATGGCTGACATCATCTTCCCCAAGTTTCTGAATCGCAGGTGCGATAGGCGACTGAATTTCATCGCTTGAATTCCCTCACCAAATTCAAGTCCTGCCTGTCCGCTCGAATTACAACCTACGGAACTGACAGTTTTGGTCTGGCTTCATTTACAACTCATTCCAGATTGTGAATCTCAAGAATGCTTCTGCCTCCCAGATGACCTCTAGGCCAATGAGCAAGCTGTCCAAGGTCGCCGCCTGCTCTTCAATTCCTCCACCAGTCCGAATCACAATCAGGACTGCTACCATTCAAACGAGATGCAAATCTACCACCACTGTCAATTCAACACCAAGGCAAGTCCTCTCTAAGAGGTATCTCGCCCAAGTCCGTCCAGAGCCTCTCTCCGAGCTCTGGTTTACTTCCTCCTCCCCAAGGTCTGGTCCCGAAGATGAACTGCTAGGGTCCAGTCCTCTGCGATCTGGAGGCGCAGAGGACCATCAGCCTCCAGATGAACGCTTGATCAAGCTGGGCAAGAGTAGGGTTTCCTGGAACAAATGCTTACAGTCCTATATGTACTGACCCTCCATAGCTTTGCGCATTTTATCTCCACTCCTCCCCAACATCTTGACTACTCCTCTTCCACCAGACATCCTCTCGCCTAATATCACATTACATCTATTTCCATCTACACACCCACACTTACCTGCTGTGAAAGGCAGGGTCGCGTACCGTGCGGCACTATGGACCGCACCCGTTGCTTGGGGCTGCATACCCATTGTGGGCAATGTGAAATTAAATGTCATATCTGAGAAGATTGTCCGGACTGGCTTTTCATATGCCGTCCCCGTAGATGAGAATGATCCATCAGCTTCAGATCTTGGTGAAGAGAAGTTGGTGGTACGGTGGAAGACTGAGCCGAAGCAGAATGGAAACGGCAACGGTCACGGCCATGCTACAGCAGGAGCCTCGACATCGAGCGCCGCACGATCAAACAGCCTGTCCAACGGCGGCACTAACGGTGGGCTTTCGAAATTGCTAGGTGGTGACAAACCCATCTTCAACATTAACAAGGAAGACGGGTTCAGTGGTCTCTTCATTTTCACATTTGACTCCAAAGGCCGAGTTGCGAGCCATACGATCGAGCACGCGGATGAGAACAACGGGTTCGACAAGACCAACAAAGTCGTCACATTGACCGACTGGCTACTGGGAAAAGCGAAATGGAATCGAGGTCGAGAGAAGGAGCAGGAACTCATCCCCGGCCTGGCAATGCGGGTGTGCCGAGACGAGTGGAACATCCAACGACGTTTCCCCCACGGCAGCGACTGAAAGGCCCCATCTCAACATCCCCTCTGGGGATCCAAGGATACGAAACAGTGGAGAGTCTGAGACCACTGAGAGTAACCGCATTCCAGCACGAACCAACGGATATACTCCCAACGAACGACGAAACTTTTACGACGTGTTATATTACCTGATACATTACCCACCAACCAACCAACCAACCCGACTCACGCATGTCTACATGTGCATCATGCTTCGTCAGCTCGACATGGACAAGGCACATGGCATTTGCAATAAATATAATGGCGATATCCTCCACTCCAGCAAGGGATGAATATTTGTGTTTGCTGAAACCGCGCTCAAGTTTTGCTTGCGGATTTTTGTAGCTACCACCGGACGCTGTACTGGAATACTTCTTGCATTCCTTCACGAGTACTTCTACTTGTATGTATATATATAATTTCACGGAAGCCCATTACACAAAATCCCTTTTACTGTAAATGGTATGATGACATTATCCACACATATAACAAAACGTGGTATGATCGGACGTATTTTTGTGGTTCCTGTTTTTGAACGCTGGAGTAACTTCATGACATGATGATGCGCAGCCCTGCGCAGAATAGACCTGACCATTCCCTTCCCATTTCAGAAAATACCCCTTCTACCCATCTGGGTTGCGACGTGCCTGCTGGCTGGTCCTCCGCCACTGCTTTGGTTCCGACCTCCTCTTCAATTGGCTCAAACATTGGTACAGACTATGAGAAGTATCTTCCGAGAACTAACCCGATCAGTTGGTCACCGTGCTGCTCATAGAGTAGTCTCTAAGGCAAGAACCTATTTGGCATTCGTTAGCTTGCTGTTCACGAGTCATTTCCAGAAAGAAAATCAAGACTTACCAGAGCTGTTCTGGTGGGGATGTAGACCTGTGTGAAGTTCTTGCGGCCGTTCCAGGGAAGGTCCTGGGTGAAGAATCGAGTGTCCTTGGCGTTTCTGCCGAGGCCACCAAACTCGGGACTGTCGGAGTCAAGGACGATGCGGTATACGCCGGATTGCTCGACGCCGACGCGGTAGTCGGTGAAGGATTTGGAGGGGTGGAAGTTGAAGATCCAAAGCAGACCGGCTCGCTCAAAGACCAGAACCTTATCTGTCTCGTTCTTTAGGGAGATGTACGCCTGTGGTGCGTGGAGCCAGCCGTATTTCTCTTCCGTCCAGTTCATGGCTCGGTCAAAGTCGTTGAGGAATTTGTACCGTAGGAGAGGATCCTCGGTCAAATTGAGTTGTCGTCGAGCATACCAAAATGAGTTGTCGTTGCCTGCACGAGGGAAGTCCAGCCATTCCGGGTGTCCGAACTCATTGCCCTCGAAGTTCAGATAGCCTTCGCCTCCCAAACCGTGGGTGACCAGTCGGATCATTTTATGTAGACCGAGAGCCCGTTCGATGACGGGTGTAAATTCTGTCAGTGTTGACATGTGTGTGTACATCTCAGCATCAGCGAGCCACATCATTAACGACTTGTCTCCCACCAAAGCTTGATCGTGAGATTCAGCATATGCAATAGTCTTCTCTCCATGTCTTCGGTTGGTAAGAGTGAAAGCAATGTTGCCAATATCCCATTCATCATCGGACTTCTCTTTCAACATCTTGATGTACATGTCCGGTACCGCCATGGCCAGTCGATAGTCGAAACCTACGCCGCCGAGAGAGAGCTTCAAACATAGTGCTGGCATGCCAGATACGTCTTCGGCAATTGTGATGGCGTTGGGATAGAGGTTGTGCAACATCTCATTGGCGAGCATGAGATAGACAATTCCATCCTCATCAACGGATGGTCCAAAGTACTCATGATAGCCGCCTGAGAATCCCGTACCAATGCCGTGGTGGGTATAGAGCATTGAGGTGACACCGTCGAAACGGAAACCGTCGAATTGATACTCTTCCATCCAGAAGCGCAGATTGGACAACAGGAATCGTAGGACTTCATGATGGCCATAATTGAACAGCCGTGAATCCCATAGCTCGTGTCGGCCCTTTGCTCCCTCATGGAAGTAGAGATGGTCGCTGCCATCGAACATGTTTAGGCCATCAAGAGTGTTTTTGCTGGCATGAGAATGGACCACGTCGAGCAAGACGGTGATGCCGAGGCCGTGTGCATTATCAAGCAGCTCCTTCAAGTCATCGGGTGTGCCGTAGCGAGAGCTGGCCGCGAAGAAAGAATTGATCTGGTAGCCAAAACTGGCATAGTAGGCGTGTTCCATTATAGCCATCAGCTGAATGACATTGTAGCCGAGATAATGAATCCTGGGGAGCATGTTCTTGGTAAATTCTTTGTAGGTTGCAACCTTGAGTTCGGGGGAAGAAATGCCCACGTGTGCCTCGTAAATACGAGCACTCTTTGGATATGGGGGACGGGGGTTTTTGAATTGGTAGCGTTCGTGTTTGGGAGGATTCCATAGGATGGCATCGTAGACGGGGGATACATTCAAGTCCTGAGTGACTCTGGTGATCCAGGCAGGTATTCTCTCTATACGTTCACCTCCAGGGAGGACGAAGGAGACCTTGATCTTGGTATTGTGGGCAATGGGAGCAACACCATCTCTTGCAGGCAGGGTGATTTCCCAAACTCCAAAGTTGTTTTTCTTTAGAGGGGTGGCATCTCGACTCCAGTTGTTGAAGTCTCCGATGAGGAAAGCCTGCTCCGCATTGGGAGCCCATTCACGATATGTGATGGAGCCGTCGGATCCAAATGTGAAGCCATACTTTTCATAGCCTCGACTGAAGTTTTCTAGACCACCTTCGGTCTCGTCTAAAGTCTTGATCCAGCTCTGAGCCTTTGCATAACGTGATTTCAAGGAGTCTTTGAAAGGTTCGAGCCATGGATCTAGCTGAATGACACCTGCGAAGGTTGTTAGAAATGCTCTCGACAAGGAATGGAGATCTGACCTGTTCCATCAGGGGCAGCCGCCTGACCAGCAGGGGCCGCAGCCAGAGTATTCTCGGAAGCTTGATTCAAAGCCATCGAGGGGTGAAAAGCAGCGCCTGTTGTAAGAGTCTTGGGGATTAATCAACAATCAATAGTGAGGACAAGTTGGACTTGTGCAGGGGAATCTGTAAATAGTGGAATGTAGATGTGTTCTTCTCGTATTCCGAGAGGTCCTAGCTTCTGGATTTTAAATGAAATGGCAGAGAAAAGGTGAATGAGGTGTTTACATGTCAACGCCAGGACACCGGCGAAATGAGCAACATTGGAGCACCAACATTTTACGTTTTAGTGACGTCGATTGAGACGTGGGGAAGCTCCAAAAGACATTTGACCCCTCGACCAGAGAAAATAGAGACGGGGCCTTGCCTGCTCTGGTTAGTTGCCCACTAGGTGTGGTTAGCCTTGCCGATGGTTTTTCCGGGCGGCCGTTTTAAGCTCCATCCTCGCTCCTTTTGACCCCTAACAAGACCTATCACTAGGCCCCGGCAGTCTTAGCCAAAAGCCAGTCCCAACCATTTCCCAAGGGTTTGCATGATCGTCCTTTTCAAGTTCCTGCTCCAAAGCATGTGCCCTTTTTCAGGAAGACTCAACCGAGCACATCTCGATATTCCTATCGGTCCGAGTTGCAGCAGTAGAATAATAATAAATCACCAATATCAACAATACTACTCAGTAGCTCATGACACTCTCTCCTGCCCGTCTAGATCTCCTCCCTCTGTCATTAATCCGACCTTTTCCTTGTTCGTGACCAATACCTGGTCAACCACTTCGCGCTCTTCGTCGACTTCGACCTCAATGCCAATGCATCTGATAATAAACTTGCAGAGGATTGCCTCAGCCTCGTGAGAACATGCTCTTAATGAATGGTCATCACCTTGAAACAATTTCAACGTGCGGTTTCCTTCAGTTCCATAGGCATTGTACAAGCTCTGGGAACACTTTGGGCTGAGTGTGTTGTCATCTGTCCCATGCATCAAGAGTACCGGGCGTGGTGACAGCTGTTTGATTCCAGCCGCTGCAGCTGTCTGACTGGCAATTGTGGCACATGCAATAACCCTTTCTTTTTCACATCAGCCTCTCAGCTCAAGCTCACAGTATTGTGGAAATCAGTTTCCCTACCTTTCTCCCTTGCTGCTACCGTGAATACAGGAGCCCCTCCAAACGACCACCCAACTAACACAAATCTCCTGACTGAGTAGGTTTTCTCGAGATAGTCCATTGCTGCAATCACGTCTTCTGAGCACGGCTTCGTTTGAGCTGCATATCGGTAGTCAAGCCTGAGGACTGGAACACCACGATTCAGGCTTGCGAGCTTGTCACCAATTGAAATATATATTCCAGATGGACCAGCTACTCCGCCGCCCGCCCCAGAACAAAGAATCACCGCTGCAGCTACTCTGTTGACATCGCCTCCAGAATAACCAGCTGGGAGATGCAGAAAACCTCGAACAGAATCTCTCTCAACTGGTATGGAAAGCCGCTCAACAGAACATAGAGCTTGCTGTGACATCTTCAAGGCATCAAAGTGTGCGCTATGAGCAAGGCCATTGTCTATTGAATGCACTTGTGATGGGGCTTGCTTGCCAGAGGAAAGCTCTTCAGACGAAGCCAGAGTTCTAGGCTTCATGTTGCTACTGGCGCCTTCTCGCTGTCCGGCCTTGAAGCTTGCAGAAAGCTTCCGCCCGATTGCAGAAATTCTCCGCATAGGCCAAGATGATCAATGTCACGGCCAATCAACCTTTCCGATTTTTATAAGTGTCAGTTAACAGTACTTATGCGTAAGGCTGGCTTGTGACAGGTAGCAGCCAAGTGCAAAGACGTGTTTACAGAGACATCTCTGCTCATTTATCAGTTAATGTTCAAGTTGAGGCTGAGGAAGCGCGTCCAAGATTCTAAATCGTAATGATCAGATGACGAAAGAATGTAATGTATTGGATGCGAGATCAGGCTGTGTCCGTTGGCTGCGTGGCCAGACGCGTGGATCACACACGAGGTGCTCACCTGTGGGCAACTGGGAGCACCAAACTAATTTATCCCCACGTCAGGTGTCATTGGATGTCAGGATCTCTTTCTGATCTCAATATCAATAAAATGACATGTACTCGTAATGAGAGAAGGAGGACTCAACGAGGAAAAGGTGCATAAGACAAGCCACCAGCACGTGATTTTCGGAGTTATGGATTTCATTTTCCGGGCTTATCGATAGGAGCTCCTCCGCACTTCGAGTCACAAACACCACCGCCATTGTGCACCATCACGCTATCCAGACCTCGGATCCTTTCAACAGCAGAATCGGAGTCCTATCAATCTGTGAATCATCCTGCCAATGTCCGAGAAATCTGTGTAGTGAAAGACACCGCTGCAAGCTGCAATGGCAGCCATCAACCTCCTCCCATCATATCTCTGTCCCGCCCTCGACGGCCGACTAGCCAGCTCTACTATCACCACCGTCCCCCGCCGCCTACGAGCCTCCTACATCGCCCTCAGCAAGCGTACCTTCAACAGCAGCGCTCCACGAGCCTCATCATCTCAATTCCACCGCTCCGACTTTGCCAATCAGCCCTTCACCGGCAGCTATGAACCGGGTCTCCCCACCTCCGGCCCACTGGGTGGAAATCATGTATTTGGCACGCCTCGGCTGACGCCCAAAATGCTGAAGCAGCACCTCGACCAGTTCGTGGTTGGGCAAGAACGAGCCAAGAAAGTGCTCAGTGTGGCTGTCTTCAATCATTACCAGCGGGTACAGGAGCTGCAGCGGCGGGAAGAGGAGGAGGCAGATCTCCTGGCCCAGCGGGAACGCAGGGAGCGGCATCCCGTCGAGGATGAATTCCCGGGTCAGCAGCCGACGATACGCATGGGAGGACCCCCAACGTCGAGTTATGATCATCGGAAATTGCCGCTTGTCGATACCACTCCGTTAACGTTGGAGAAATCTAATATTCTGCTGTTGGGACCAAGTGGTGTTGGCAAGACGCTGATGGCGAAAACACTTGCCAGAGTGCTATCAGTACCGTTCTCCATGTCGGATTGTACGCCATTCACGCAAGCTGGATACATCGGTGAAGATGCCGAAGTCTGCGTGCACCGACTGCTCGCCGCGTCAAATTATGACGTTGAGAGAGCCGAGAGAGGAATTATCTGCCTCGACGAGATTGACAAGATCGCAACGGCAAAAGTCAGCCACGGCAAAGATGTGTCTGGAGAGGGCGTACAACAAGCACTATTGAAAATCATCGAGGGCACCACCATCCAGATCCAAGCCAAACCGGAGAGAAACGCGCCTCGAGCAGGTGGGCAATCATCAACATATCCAACCAACAACCCCTTAGGAGCAGGCTTTCCATCCGGATCTCCAGGTGCTCCTGCATCACCGGTCAAGGGCGAAGTATACAACGTCCGCACAGACAACATCCTATTCATCTGCAGCGGGGCGTTCGTCGGACTCCAGAAACACGTCATGGATCGACTCACCAAAGGAAGCATCGGGTTCGGCGCAAGCGTACGCTCCAGCTCCAACGTGAACTTCTACAGCCGCGACTCGAAATCCACCGCTGACACTCCCGTCCCCATCCTCCCGGGCTCGCAAGAAGAAGCCCTGTACAAGAAACACCTACCATTCTTCACCCCAGCTCCAGCGCCCGAGCAAAGCATTGCCGACGGCACGACCGTCGAGCCCAACTACTTCAACCCCTTGGACCTGGTCACGCCTTCGGATCTGCAATCCTACGGCTTCATCCCCGAGCTCATCGGCCGCATACCAACAACGACGGCACTCGCAGCGCTGACCCATCCGCTCCTGCTCCGCATCCTCACCGAACCCCGCAACTCCCTTGTCGCACAATACGTGACGCTGTTCTCGCTCTCCGGGATCGAACTCCGCTTCACCACGCCCGCCTTCCACGTCATCGCCACCAACGCCATGGCCATGGGAACGGGCGCCCGTGCCCTCCGCACCGAAATGGAAACCATTCTCGGCGACGCCATGTTCGAAGCGCCCGGCAGCAGCGTCAAGTACGTGTTGGTGACGGAAAAAGTCGCGAAGCGCGAGGAAGGCGCGATTTATTTCGGACGGGGCCAGGGAGGCAAGTTCCACGCGTTGATTGCGCAGGAGGAGGGCGACTGGGAGGACAAGCAGAAGAAGAAGGACGGCGATCGGGCTGCCGCCAACTCGATTTCGGCGAGCTTTGAGAATTGGAGGTCGAAATCTACACTTGCTGCAGGGACGGGTGGGTGAGTGAGTGAGTTGCTGCTTTGGGGGAAAGTGTTGATGACAGATGAAGGGATTGCATGATTATATGGATGATGAAATGATACACGATGCACTGTATTGAGTTGGGTTTGCCTGGTCCTTTTGCTTGGGCAATCTATTATATATACTAGTTACTCATAGTAGTTGCCGCCGCATGAGGGATCAGTGAGTACCAGAAGTAGGGTCTAGGGCTGCAGCCACGGAAATAGTTGTTGGCACCTATACAAGATACAAGTAATCGATAACTGATTGAAGCCCAGTCTATCCCCGAAATGTTCACGTCAACAGCTCTCCGTCTGCGTTGACCAGGCTGACTTGCAAAAGGGGCTTGTCACTGTGAGGCAGTGTTCATGAGCAAGAAAGCCGAAAAGACCGAGACCCACCAACCTGCTCATCGCACCCATTGGCACCCGTAAGGCACCACGCCGTCCACCATTCGTCATTGGCTGCGCCCCTAAGAGTTTCAGCCCGCAAAGCGCACCCCATTGGGGAAGCATTCCTCGACGGACAACCGTTCTTGTAATTAGCAGATCTCTGGTTGACCAGGTGTTCTCTTTAATTGTTACGCTGATTGTGGTGTGCTTATTCTCCAGTTGAGCCTTGTCCGCGTTCATAATCTTAATTTCCTCCCTTCGCATTGGATCAGACGTCGCGACTGGTTCGTGGCCGAATCTTTGTTGACAAGCGACGAAGCGAAGCGCAACGAAAAATCATATTTCTTCTCTGCCTTGAACGAACTCTTTGCTTCCTCACGGTTAGTGTTCGTAGACCATTGAAAAGCAAAATCTCTGGAGCCTCCTGCTTGGAACCGGCATCAAACCATGGATCCTGTCACACCCCAGCAGCGTAAGAAGATCTTGCGGGTTCTGTTCATTTCTCTGCTGTTAGATCTGGTGAGTAGGACCGTAACCCTGTTGTGTCGGACGCATGAGACTGACCGAAGACCCAGATATCATTCACCTTTATCCTCCCTCTCTTTCCGTCCCTGCTCACCTTCTATCGAAGTTTGGAGACTCACCCTTCGTCTGCTCTCAATCGAATCTTGCACTACCTCAACGCATATAAACAAGCCTTTGCGGTGCCCATCAATGCAAAATATGACATAGTCCTTCTGGGTGGGGCTCTGGGATCTTTGTTTTCTCTCCTGCAGGCAATCGCTAGCCCTGTAATAGGCCGTGCATCGGATAAATATGGGAGGCGGACTGCCTTGCTGTGGAGCATGTGTGGGAATATTGCCAGTGTGGCCTTGTGGACAATTGCAGTCGACTTTCGTACCTTCCTGCTGAGCAGGGTTGTGGGAGGACTGAGCGAAGGGAATGTTCAGCTTGCGACCGCCATTGCAACCGATGTGAGTACTGAGGAACAACGAGGCTCGACAATGGCTCTAGTGGGAGCGTGTTTCAGCATTGCCTTCACCTTTGGACCGGCGTTGGGTGCCGCATTGTCAAACATCACCACATTTGCGGCCAACCCGTTTGCAACAGCAGCCGGCTTCTCACTGCTGTTAATTGTGGTGGAAACGGTTTATCTGTATGCTCGATTGCCCGAGACCAGGCCAAGAGAAAGTAAGAAAATCGAGGTAAAGAACGGGCAAACGGGTCATGTTTCATTCAAACATACGAATAGACCGTGGGTCTTGAACGCTATTCACTTCTTATTTCTTCTGCCATTTTCAGGGATGGAGTTCTCCTTACCATTCTTGATCACATCAATCTTATTCCCAGACCATCCATCGCCTTCCAAACTGAATGGAAGGCTGCTTGGCTTTGTTGGGTTGGTGGCATCCATACTCCAAGGCTCCATCGTTCGAAGACTACCACCAGCGATTGTGGTGAATATTGGAGTTGTATCATGCACTGTAGCGTTCTTTCTCCTAGCTCAAGTTCAGAGCAATGCGGGATTGTATGGTGCTGGTGCATTACTTGCAGTCACATCCGCCACAGTGGTGACAGGGTTGAACAGCCTGGGAAGTTTCGAAGCCAAAGCTGGCAATCGTGGCGAGGTTTTGGGAGCACTCCGAAGCTGGGGACAATTGGGAAGAGCACTTGGGCCCATCATCTTTTGCACGTTGTTCTGGTGGGCAGGACGTGAGAAGGCTTACATGATTGGAGGCACTACCATGCTGGTGGTGACGGCGATTGTGCTCACCAATCTGAAATCACCAGCCATTAGCATGAAGAAGCTATGAGAGAACATGTGATTGCATGGTTATGAGATAGTGGATGTCAGGCTTCTCGTGCAGTTGAAAAACCAGTTACCAGTGTTACTCTCACCCGGCTTCGGTTCAACTTCCATCGCTCCTTCCTCGCCAGTCTATCCACCACCTTCCCATCTCCGGCCTCGACACGCAACCAACAATCATTGCAAATTCCTTAAAGTTGAACTTGAAGGAGTCACACGCTTCAGCTGCAATCCACTTGATCAGAGAAACCTCGCCTTGAGATCTTTCTCATGACTACTTCTCCCTGTGTTGCAGCTTCTCCTTACTACCAGACAAGCGTCGAATACCTGCCTGCATATGTCAACTCTATCCTCGGCGGATCCTGACGTTGTCATGGACGACATTGATCATGTTCAGACTGATGAAATGTCTAACTACAGCTCGGAGCTGGGGTCCGAATCTGATTTGTTTATCCATTTGAGTAGTCCTCTACGCTGTGAAAAGCAAATTCTCTTCGTCTGGAAGAACATGGGCCATCTTGGGGATCCCAGTGTCGGTTTCGGCATTGATCCATCCCCCGTTCCTTGCTCTGGTGAGGATCTGAGGTACTACAAGAGAAAAATGACTTGGTGGAATATGGGAAGATCATCCCGGCTCTACCATCGCTCAAGATACGATGATCTGTGCCGTTACTGCGGTAGTTGGGGGATTCCTAAGGAGACCAAGGACTTTGCTCATTGCCTATACAACATTATGGCCAAAAGAGGGCTCTGTTCACAGCGTGCTGAGGGTGAATATGTGTCAAGGGCTGTCATGTCGGCAGTAACTTATTTTGCGTGCAGACTGCATCGGATCTTGGTTTGTTCTGAAATGACGTATGAAGAGTTCAATGAATTTTGCCCGAAATTCGACGATGAATATGCTGATCATATCATTGAGTCTGCTGGGAGAAATGTCTTCAAGAACACTACACGACACATCAATGAAAACATCACGGAGATCCTGGAGGAATACCCTGAGTGGTATCATCAGACTTGTCCAAGAAAGCTTTTGATGTGGAAAGCGGATGACAAGCGGCAGGATCCCAATTTCTCCCATCTCCTTGACCGCCCAGACAGCTTCCGGAAGCTTCGCTATTCAACGCAACAAGGATATTCCACTACTTCCCATGGCCATGACCTGGTTTGGTGACCCTAAGCACATTTGCTGATGATCCTGAGTATGGTCTGAAGTTATGGTTTTCCGCGGACTTTGGAAGGGGATCAGCTATACTCATGTGTTCCCAGTAGTAGGAACAAATTTCATGGGGGAATGTTGTCAACCATTGGGCCAAGCTTGCCTCAAGATTTGCTTGGTCCCTTCCTTCACACCATCTGTTGTGGGCGTCGGATCGTGCTTTCCTAACGATCAGAACCATTCTTCGAATGCATTTCATGTGAACTGGCTGATAAAACAACTATCTGTCTGTCTCAAATATATGATGGTGTCTAAGATTCATTATACTTCAAGCAACACGAGCTCAAGACAAAGATTCTATCCCATTAACTTCCTCACTTTCGCCTCACTTGCATGCATCTCTCTGTGTGGTGAAGTGAAACTCCTTCCTTTCAACAACCGACTCATCGCACGTTAGGCTCGTCCTCCTTTACACTTCTCCTCGAAAAGTGAACCTAACATTAACACCCAATCCAAGCCCTCGGCCATTGGTCCTGCTTGCATCCGAGGTCGCCTGCTCAGCAAACTAGGTCAACTCTCAAGTGTGCAACTGGCAGTTCACACCAAAAGTTTTATTTACCCCATCCAGCCCAGAATCGAGCGCTTCAAATCTCTTCTTATCATTCCATTCGAGATGACGATGACTAAGATAGGCCACTGCGATCCTTTACCACGCTTCGTGAAGGCTGCAAGGCTGCGGGTGAAAAAGGTCCATGCACTCCAGCTGATCAAGCTAAACTCAACGCATGCCAAACCCAGACATCCAGCCAGCAACTCAACAATGCGAAAATGCAAACCAAAATTCTCGCATGCCATCACACGCTGCCAGACTTGCAACCGTCACGACATCCAAGTCAAGACACAAGCATGCCTTCGCAGATTTGCGTCTGGTCAAATCCGTCGAAGAAAGGCATGGTTTCGAAAAGCATTGTGGAAGCGTATGGCCAGGCTTCGAAAAGTTCGGCTGGAGAGAGATTGGGCAAAGGGATATATCCGTCGCAGCATTGCCTTGTCCGTGGAGATTATCTTGATCAAGGCTGGTTCTGATGTATTTCTTGGTGAGGATATCAACGAATTGGACATGCTCGATTGAGATCATCACTTTATGAGTCGCATAATAGAAAAGCTACAATGTCACATACTAGCAGGATATGATCCGGGAGGCCGCCATGCCTCTCTCTAGCACACGTGCTGTGGTATGGGTAGTGAAGATGAACCATCTGCTCATATTCAGAGAGTCGCTGCCTCTGACATGAAATCTTCACTTCAATTCGTGCAAAGCTATTGTTGTTTGAATAACAGTGACTTGCAATCTTCTGCTCATTGCCCAACCTCCTTTCGAACCGAAATATATATCTATCTTTCCCTTTGCATTTTTGACACAAGCACAATCTTGCAACCCACGTTCATCTTGATCTCTTTGCCCACAGATTGAACCACAGTCTTCTACTCAATCCGGCTCGTTTTCTTCGCTTATAACACAGCGTCACCTTGAAATCAGATCGAGGCAGTCAGGAATACACAAGACTCTATACCCACTTCTCCTCAAACCCCCTCAAAGTACAGAAGCAATGGGATCCTGCTCCTCCTCTCTCCCTTCACCACCAGTCCTCACCAAAAAGCAACAGCACACCAGCACAATTGAACCAGGAGCAGCCAATGGTCGCAAAAGGAAGTCCAGTGCCATCGGCGAGGAATCTGTCAGTGTCGCCCGTCGAGAACAAGAAGTCATACATCAAGTAAAGCGTGTCAAGTTGGCACCGAGGCGTCACCAGCTACCAACACCTCCACCAACGCCGTCACCACCATCACCAGCCTGGTATGCTCCTCTCACGCGCCTCCTATCAGAACTGGCATCAAGGCAAGAAAGCCTTGTAGAGACAGAGGTGTGCCTGCGCGAACTCTTTAACAAGTGTCAGCAGAGGACCGACAAACTGGCATCCTTACAATCCTACCATGGCGCACACCTCAAGAGCAACACCACGCTGCGAAAGGAAGCCAAGCGACTGAACCGTGAGATCAGGTGGTGCCAGCATGAGATCAAGAAGGGGATGAAGTGGCGAGTACAGGTGATCGCCAGCATTGACAGGGCGGAACGGAGGGTGAGGATTGAAGAGAATCGGGACCTTGTAGAGCAGCTGGACGCAGAGTGCCGGGTTTTGTGGCGGTCGATAATGACCGAGAGAAGGAATTGGTTGAATGAGCTCGACTGATTGATCAGTTGGCAGAAGGGGAAATCAAGGAGCTTTATATAATGAATGATGATGATCACGATCCACGAAGATGATGTTGAACTGATGTCTTTCTTACTTGTTTTCGTGATTCTTCACCTCGTCTGCTGCTCGCTCCAGGTCTAGCAGTAGAGGTCTTACGCACACAGCACACCACTACCTATTCTCTATGCTGAGCCATATCTGCAGTAAGTATGAAGTCAGAGAACATTAAAACGATTGAGATGGACTTCCAGGAGCAACCTTCTACCCACACCTCCCTCTTACGTGTTCGCATGTTATTTCTCAACAGAGTATACAATTGATGACTTCGTTGGAGGATATCAGCAAGCTATCAGGAAACCTGTGTGTTGTGTATGGCCTTGAGCAGGCCAAAGCACGTCCACTTCAAGGTGTTCCTGACCGATTTTACATCAACTTGATCTACCAAGTCTCGACTCAAGGACGTTGCAACATGACAGTGATTCGCTCCTGATGCCCATTATTACAACTTCTGGCACCCGTCCCTCCATAGTTAATCAGCAATCAATGAACCTATAAATCACGCAGTTACTACTAGCCATTGAGACTAATACAATACACATGGACGACAACAGGCCCTGGCTCTCCAGAGGAGGGGGAGTACTACACCGACACTTGTTATCAGTCCAGATCACGCCGCCAACAACGACAAGAGGCATCCGACGAGTCCACGAGCTCTCGACTCTACCAAGGTAGATTTTGATCATCGGCAAGGCTAACTAGTCGAAACAGGTTGGACTCTTGACGCTAGACCGATTCAAGAGCCTGAACAATGTTTGACTCAGTTGAAGGACTTGCGACGCTCGCTCTGGAGTCGCCAAGCTTCATTATCTGCTTAAGTCTCGCTTCAAGGGTGGTATTCTCGGTGATGAGCAGGGTCTAGGCAAGACCGTTACAGCAATCACGGCCATGATTCAGGATCACCTTACCAGCGACGGCATGTACCGTGGGTTCAGCTTGATTGTGACCACCAAGAGCTGCGCCCCGCAATGGATCGACAAGCTCTGAATAGCTTTGTGCTCTATCGGCTCACGTATCTATGTGGGGTGCCTGTTAATCACAACTCTACTCGACAGGATAGCTGTTGAGAACGATGGCTAATAGGTGCGTTGCCGCTCTCAACTTCAATGATGCTCCATCAAATCCTCGTCTCCGTTAGGTTTCCAAGGAGTTCTGCAAGCATATAAACACATATGGATACCTGGAGGACTTTTAACCATCTACTTACGTTCTACGCAGTGTTCACTCCGAGGCACTCCGGCTTCTCACCGCCACCGAAGAATGGCTAAATACCCGCCCAGGCTCTCGGTCAAGTCTCTGGACCCTCTCGACTATCTATTCTTCTTCGGTGCTGGAATTGGTAGAAGGTATAACAGTAGCAGGAAGAGACTGTGGTCCGGTGGACGCTGTCCCTATGTGTTGAGCATGTGCTTGGCGAGCATGGTGAGAAGGAAGATCAAATTGCATAAGGGGGCAAGAATGAAGGAATGGGGAGAAATGGAGATTTCATTCTGTCGTTGAATTACCGTTTTATCTGACCACGCATGGGTCCATGGAGCCTGTAACGCCATACCGAGCAGGATCGTCCATACCCAACCGATCACCCTGACGCACCATAGACTTTGTCCGTTCGTAAATACTTGTTCATGAAGTAAGGACTGAGAGAGACTGTGCAACGCGACGTCTCTCCAAAGACCAAGATGTACCTCACTCATCATCCATCATCTCATCCAGCCCCATGATCCTCCTCTCCGCATATTCACGAATCTTATCACCGAGGACAGTCCTGCCCCAGCGCTCCGCCACCCTCGCGGCTGCATCGAGAGACTTGCCACCACGATCGCGGAACAGCCGCACGATCTCTAGTGCCTTCATGCCCGTATCCTCGCCTTCGCGACACACCATAGCCAACAACTGGATAAGAATCTTGTCAGCCTGGACTTCACGTCGTATCAGCTGAGTCTTGGATTCGTGGCCGGCCTGAGAGCCCTGACTCTGGATCTGGTCGTCGAGGAGATCCAGCAGCAGCGATGTGCGGACGTATTCTTCCTCTAGGCGGATCGTGCCGGCAGCGACGGTCTCGGTGGCGGTATCGTCGTCTTCTTCGTCGCCGTCGCCGTTCTTTGGTTTGTCGATGGGGCGGGAGACAGGGAGGTGGAAGTCGAATTCTGTGAGGAGTGGGCGTGGGAAGTAAGGTGTTTTATCTCCGCCTTTGAGGATGATGCAGTGGAATCTCTCGCCTGCGACAGCTACGGGCCAGTATGTTTCTTCTTTTTTGCCGTCCTTGAGTCGGTCCAGCTGCCGTGTGTCGAGGAGCGGAACCCATTTTGCGTGTCCTTGGCGGCGCCAGTGTAATAGCGTGAGGAGCACACCGTTGCTGTCGTAGATGCATGGATCGCCGACGTCACTCCAGAAGACAGATTTCAATGACACCTCATCCAGATCCGAGTCCTCGGGTAGGGTGCCCAGAGCGAGGATATCTTGATTCTGATGAGTTTCGTCTAGTCGCACATTGTCGATACAGTAGGTCAATTGCGTGCACCCATCGGCTCCCACGGCTCCATTCCCAACTGTCATCACGAAATCCTCCCATGCCGCGCACGTCACTGCGGGAGAGCCCTTCATACGCCAAAGCCGCACGGGGGTGCCATGTAGTGTCCATACACGGACGTAATTCTGATTCGTGACAGCCACGATATATTTGCTGCTTAGAGCAATGCATATCGCCTCTTCACCATCTGGTAGACTTATCCGCGAGTCGGATCGAGTGGTCCATGTTTCGTGTGGTCGATAGAAAATCACAGCGGGCTGGTCGTCTTTAGCGGGGGCTGAGAAGAGCGCTCCTGTCTCATTGAGACATGCTCGGTCATAGAGAAATGGGTCCGTGAAATGAAAGTCTCGGTGCATTTCCCGGTCATAAAACTCCACCGTGACCGTGTTGTGAGTGTCTTGATCAACAGTCCAGACAAAACCAATCAAATTCAGGCAGAGGTATTTTCTGTTTCCTCTCCATGGCGTGGCTCCGGGTTGGAACGGCTCGTGGATACGTGGCTGCCATATCTCGGCTCGATTTCGTTTGCCGAAATGACCATTCGGCTGTCCTAGATGTTCACCAGTCCGCTTGCCATTTTCATTGATGTAGCCTGCTCCATCATCGTCCTCAATCCAGTCGTATTCGTTCTCATCATCAGGCCCAAGGAGTTGATCCAGACTATCTGGCGTTCCAGCTCGAGCTCTCCCTTGCCCATTGACCAGTGGGGCTCGTCCGTTGACGCCTGCTGATTTATCGTCCAAGGGGTCATGAAAGAAGGGTGCTTTGACCTTCGGGCCCTTGAGCAATGCGATATGGGTGTCATCTTTGAGAAAGTTGGGTATGATGAAAGCCTCGCCATTCGAGGTTGTCCAGTTGAAGATGTTCTCTCCCTTGCTCTGCCAGGCGATATCTAGAATCTTTTCGTAGTTGAATTTCTTCAACATCTTTTGAGTCTTCGTCTCCCACACGACAAGCTGATCATCCGCACTCGAACTGGCCAAGAGTGCACCGTTGGGGGACCAAGCTAGTGAAGTGATGTTGTCATTATGTTCTCCTGCAAACACTCGTTGATGTGCGCCGTCTTCCACGGAGATGACTTTGATTTCCCGGGTTCCAGTGGCGCAAGCAAATGCTCTTCCGTCTGGATGCCATACACATTTTGAAGAAGCCTCTTGTGCAGTCTCGAGCCTTTGGATGACACCATCAATGGTTTTGAAGAGTTTTGGCTCGGCTGTGTTCATGAGGTAGATGTAGATGATTCCGTCAGTGCCTGACGCGGCCAGATATTTCCCCGAGGGGTCGTATGTTAAATGTTTTATGGGTTTGGGGTGTTCTCTGAGAAATGTGATTTGTTCCATGTCATCTCGATTGACGACTTTGATTTCGAGCTCACTGTTACTCGTTAGTGACTGACTGTCTAGATCGGCTTTTAATGACACGGGAAACTCCATACTCGCTAGAAACCGCAATGAATTTTTCATCCGGTGAAAGTGCAATGCTTCTGATCGGCAGAGTGCTTCGAACCAGCATCTTCTTCATATCTCCTGAGGGGACCTCATATTCGCATACGGTACCGTCTTCGCACCCGAGAATAGCGAAGTCGTTACCTGCGGCCAAAGCATAAGTGTCGTCGTGAACATCGGTGAGCATGTCAGGGTCGCCATTGTCACCAGTCTTGAAGGACCGGGCATAATTCCCACATCCTGCAACGAGTAGTCTCTTTCCGTCAGGGGAGTATTGGAGATAGGTGAGACCGGGAGGTTGTGCCTGCCGTGCAGGGAATGGCGGTCTGTCAGGCATCACGAGTGTTGAAGTCTGGTGCACTCAGAAATTTTGTGGTGGATGCGAAATGGCAAAGGGTACAATCGTTAAAGTGGTTTGACACGGATTGCGAGAAGACGCGTCGTGAAGTTCATGGACGCGTTGAGTGTGGGGAATTCATCCGAGGTTGAGCCGGATATTTCTCAGTAGGCCCGTGAAAGGGCACGAAGGGGCCACGAGAAAGATTAATGGCATAGGAACACTCAGAAACAACACTTTTTCATTATTTCATACAATGACTGAATATTATTCGCGTGGAGAGATGACTGAATCGAGTGCAAGTCATTTGATTAGGGTTTGACTGCTGGATCCCAGCAGCAAGCCGTGCACTCTGTGATCATGGACAGTGACCTGACCCCATGTGGAAGAATTGTCGGATTCCAGAATCGATGTAGAATGCGTGTCTTTTGGATGCACAAAAGATTGCCAAGAGACACAGGTAATCATGTATCTCATCCTCATCGTTGTGCGTGTCCTGCTCAATCTTCCTCCGTGTAAGGCTTATCAGGACGGCGTTATCAGGACGGCTGGATCGTTGAAGAGAAGACGGGAGTATGCTTCTCTACAGTAGATACTATTTACTCATGGGCCGGTAGGATGTGGTTTGTAACTGGCGTCCTTCCAAGTAAATTTCTCTCTTTGCTCTCGCTGGAGGAGAGAAGCTCATAACGACAATAATCAGTGGCAAAAGCCCTTGGGAACTGCCAGCCTTTTACTGGCAATCACACAGAAAAGAAACGATATCCCTGGGTGCTTGGTGCCACAGCTTTGTCACCTTTGATATCGCTCAGTAAATCGCTCACCCAGCTTAGGGGCTATCCGATATTTGATTATAGTGCGCGATAGTGCGGTGTTGGCATTTAGGGTGAATGCGTTGCATCATGGTTGGTTCAGCCAAAGACCCGTTGCCTGCTTCTACCGACTGATGTTCGTCGTACTGTGATGGAGATGATTCTTTGACCAAGGCCGACGATGTCCTATGTTTCGGGTGGAGTTGCAACTGCAGCCGGTTGAGGTGGATAAAGACACTGCCGAACGTAGGTGATGACATCCTGAACATATTCGCGGCCTTGTGGAAGAATTTGATCCATGTGCATAAAATGATGTGGAACACCTTTGAACCTCCTCTGAATGACCTTGTTTCCGGCATCTTCGACCTTTTTCGCATATGCTTCAGCTTCATCTCGCAAAGGGTCCACTTCGGCGGTCGCAATATAAGTTAGAGAGGCAAGATTTTTGAAGTCCGGTGCATTCATGGCGTCAGCAAACCAGGAAATATCACGTTGTTGTTCTTTAGTACTGATGCCAGGATCCTGGCTTGAAAGAGATTGCCATTTGAACGTGTCAAACCATTTCAATTTTGCCCAATGTAGAAGAGGAGCATATTCGGCCTCTCGCATACTTGGCCAAGGGCTCATATCGGGTGTGGCATATTTTCGAACATCACTGATGGTTGGGGTTCCAACTATCACACCTTTTATTTGATCGCCATATCCGCCATCTCGGAAGAGATGATTCAGGATCAGTGCGATTGTAGCGCCAGAAGATTCACCCCCAAAAGTGACATTTTCTGGATCAATGGAGAACCTATGGTGGTCTCCTAGGATATGCGCCACGGCTGCCAGTCCATCCATGATTCCGACAGGAAACGGATACTCGGGAATCAACCGGTACTCGATGTCGATAACACAACAAGGAACTGAGGCGCAAATGTGATGGCACAGATGAGCATCTGTCTCGAGATCGCCTACAGCCCAACCTATGCATAGTCAGGTCTTCATTCTTGAAGGCTTTGCGACTGTCAAAAAAGACCTACCCCCACCATGGAAGTTGAAATGAACCGGCCATATCTTGCGTTCTCCAGGCTCTTCTCCAGGTGGTACATAGACACGAACATTTATATCACCTGGGTACTTAGCCCAACCAGGAACATCTGTTTCTCCGATACCGCCAACACCGGTGGCGGGTGCGGTTGCATACGAGTAAAGGGCCGAATAGTTTTGACGAACCAGATTGATATCGGTTGGCCATTGGGGGCCATTTGCGATATACTGATTATAGAGGCTCACGAAAGCCGGATCGAGCTTGTCAATGACAGAAGGATGCAGAGGATCATGGAGGGGCATGGCAGGCGACTTGGAGGGGTGATGAAAGTCCTGCCTACGTGGAGGTTCGGATGGGAACATGGTGAGGAAGAAACGGTTTATACATAAGTTCGATGCGGGATCGAACTACTATGTACTGGATGCAATGGAGAAGGAGCGAACCGACGCATCAAGAATAGTGAGAAGGCGCATGATCATGGGGACTGCAATGATAGATGGGGAAACAAGATATTTAACAAGCGCATGATTCTGATGTGCCAGTTCAAGTTTCGGTCCAGGCTCAGGCTCAGGCTTGGGCTCTTGTTTAGCTTTCGCAAAAGCTACAAGTCAGTATCCGTAGGTATCCATCCATGCCCCCGTACCGAATGAGGGCTCGGACAAACCAGTAGCATGGAAGAGACCATCGTCCTGAAGGTGGGTTGAAGAGGCAGGGGGATTACGCCGTTGGTGGCAGACGATGCAGATGATGCAGATGATGCAGATGATGCATGCCGTGGTATGCAAGTGATTGGATTGCATGTCCGATGGATGAAAGAAGATTCCTTGGGCCCGTTAAAGTGACGATTGTCAGCACTCGGCACCCACCACCGACTAGTCCGACGTGGAACATCTCCTTGCGACTAAATACAACGGAGTTCCGTTCAACCAAGACAAGCCTGAGACTATTTAATACTCGATATCTGCCATTATTAACTACTTCTCGAGAGAGTTCGATCATCTTCCAGCAGTACATACCTAGGAACATGTATACAAATGCAGATGAACCACCCAAGAAGTCCACCATGAGTACCAATGCTGTGTTCGAGCCATTCACGCTTAACTCTATCCATCTCTTTCTGACCACCCTGGCATCTCATCGGCTAGCTACATCCAGGGCCAAGGATGGGAGGCGACGACGTATCACTTTTCCATCCGTCGTTGCCCTATCAGTTTATGCTTCTAGTCTGACATTTTGATCTGTTTAAATCAATCTGACTAGTTGGATTCGTGGAAGTTTATTGGCATTGCTGACCACGAGATCAGTCTTTGAGCAACATTGAAAACTCCTTGGGATTGCATTGCGTGTCCTCGAGAAGAACACATTCCTACTGATCCTAAGAAGGTCCAATCAACTATAACGAACGATGACACCAACATCATGTTCGAAGATGAACATCTCCAAAGCTGACTTCGGCCGCTCTTCTTTCCATTACTCTTCCCATCCCTTTTCCAATGCACTAACTCCCACTGCCCCAGATCCATCAACGTGGCTCAGGCCTTTTCCCAGGTCCAATTTCTGGAGTTTCCGCGAACCAATCCCAATCCCTATTCTTTGCGTCCGACTTGTTAGCCCACCAGCCCTGCTCACAATCATATCCGGCCACTTCGGGTCCAATCGGCTCGTTCCTCGACAGCTCCTCACAATAACTCCGCTCCCACCAGCCCTCGATCGAGGTATTCTCCCAGTACTCGGCCTCCAATGGTGATTCGCTGCCGAGACCAAATGCTTCGCATGCCAGGATGATTGATTCAACATCTGCAGCTTGAAGTCCGCCGTCCACCTTGGACGTCCCGAGTGCTTTGGAGATCTCGACCATATCCAAATCCTCCTGGGTGTAGAGTCGCATGATGCGTTGGCAGATCGAGCCTTTCACCAGCCCCATGATCTTGGATTTTCCGAGCCGAGCTTGCAGGTAAGGAGGGTAGGAGCCCATTTTCCGTGGTGGCTCGATGGCTTCCCTGGTGTCGATTTCCATGTCTGGGTCACCAGAAAACCAGACCGGATCGAAGATTGGTACTTCATTGATAGAGGATTTCGCCGCCGTCGCTTCCTTGGTGGTGGTGCTACGACCACGGTGATGTTTGCCTGCCATTCTTGGATGTTGAGGATGTGTATCTTGTTATCAAGCTTCAATACTTGTGACTTCAAAAGGGGCGCTATGTTGACCTACGTCGTGAGCGCTCAATGGATCTATCTTCCTAATGTACATTGCAGGGCACGACGCCGAGAGTATCACTGCGCTTCACTCACAAAGACTGTATCGCGCAATTCGATTCAAGACAGGTAATGAATGGTAGCAACAAACGCGAATGGAACGAGACTACCACATATAGCTCAAAGCAATCGCATTATTCATTCACACATCCAAGTACAATATCTTTTGATTGACCAACACAATGGAGACCTACCGACGGTGAGCCATGGAGAAAAACTCATTGATGCAAGAACCCGTCGAGAGAAACAGTGCATGTGGAAGCGCAACATCATCACACGAGGCTGAGGCTCCCTAAGGCTCCCTACTCCACGCTGCAGAATACGGAAGACAATGGAATTGAGTAGAGTGAATTGACTCCTTCGATGGAACGGGCGGTACCCAAACCCCAGATCCATTCTCCATGGCAAGTGAGGAACAACCTGTCCATTTCAACAAGTATCTCGCTATTCCTCCGTTTTTGCTATGATGAAACCAGGCCAGAATGCACACAGTGCTTGTCCTATCAACGCTTACAGACAGAACAAAGTCCGCCGGAAAGACATCTATCTCCATTGGCCCCAGGGAGAAGTTATCATCCAACCGACTTCTCTTACGCTACGGCGTCCCGCTGTGCAGAAGGGATGGTTTGGTAAGATAAAGAAGATGGTCGTCAGCGTGTTATGTTGGAAAACTAAGTCATGTAGTGATGATACACCAGATCCATTCGGCAGACCCGGGGGGCGTACATAAATACAAACATACAGATATACGACCTTAGCCGAATAAGTAACAATCAAACAAACTCCCCCGAAGTGTGAAGTTCCCCAGTCTATATTGCACAACGCCGAGTTTCAATAAGGAGGATATTAGGCTAGGTATTTAGGTGGTACATAAACAAAGTGTGGAAATAAACACATAGGGCATTAATTAATAGGTGGTATTTCCTCCGTTCGTTCGAGAGGCATGTGGAGATATGCGTGTAAAGGCTGGTCTCCATTGAATCATCTTTGGGGACTTCAAGTGACCTTTTGCATGGTGGTTTGCCTGGAGCATTGATGTGGCAATGAGGATGACTTAAGGCGTACATTCGTAGATGCGGTGTGGTGTGGTGTGATGTGATGTGTGAAGGCCCAGCCTTCTTTCCAGTCGCGATCAGATATTCAGTCTGCTTCCGTACCATACCAATTCGTCTGCCATCGGAACGCCTGCTGCGGATGGGGGAAGATGATCCTGTTCGTGTAGATTGTGGAAACAAGTAGGATTCATGAGGAAGAGATCGAGAAGGGTAACCGTTGTAGTTTTTGGAGGCCGTTAAGGTTTCGCGGTGTTGCAGGGTTGCAACATTGATGTCTTGGTCGCCCATATGTGCACAATCGCCCGGACGCCCGGGCGCCAGATCCCAGAGATGGTAGATATCAATCTGTACTTCCAATGGCAAAATCGCAGTATGATGGTCCCCCTCTCCTTTTTCATTTCATCTCCATAATCTCAAGGGCTTACAATCGTCAAGACCTCATGCCCGTTTCTTCCCCGCGGCAATAAATGCCTTTTTCCTCGCCGCCACATCACCCTCACCAAGCCACTTACTTGCCTTGATGAGCTGAATGACATTGATGACCTGTTTCCCCGCCATGACGGGCGCGCTGACGCCTGCGATGATCCAAGGCACCGTGCTGTCCATTTTGTTAGCGCGTGCCATCTCCAAGGCGCCTGCGCTCCACGGGTTTGCGAAGAGGGTGCTGGGCTTGGGGTGAGCGGGTGAGCCGGGCTGTGTGGACTGGAAGCCGCTGGGGTCATTGATGGCGAGGAGGGAGGGTGAGAGAAGTGGGGAGGAGAAAGAGAGGAGGTATAGTGCGATGAAGAATGTTTCGTTTAGGAGGCAGAAGAGGAATAGGACGGTCTGCGTTGTGTTAGTTTTGATGGGAAAATAGAGGATGGTCTCGTCTTTGGAGAAAGGGAAGTCCTACCCGATTTGTGTAGTAAAGATGGAGGATCCAACTCCTGCTCGAGTCGACTTTCTTGTGGCTCTGGCCCGATGATCCCATGGTCAATGTGGCGTACATGTGGATGTAGTGACTGGCGAGATCGAGACTGATCAATCCCTGAAAGATAATACTCCAGCGAGGGAAGGCGGAAGCCAGAAACACCAACAGACAGGATGTGGTGCAGCGGTCGGTCACCATATCCAGTACGGCACCGAATGTGGTTGACTGATTGTATCTTCGAGCCGCAATTCCGTCCGCAGCATCGAGGAGGCAGGATACACTGTACAAGCCGGAACAGGTCCGGGGATGCAGAGGCATATAGTAGAGGGAAGCAATTGCGAGGACGACTCGGGCATATCCTGCAGAGGGGAGTTAGTTCGTTGTCGCAATTTCACAACCGTCTCGCAGTGACTTTTGCGGCCACCGGAGGGATCCTCCTTGACTCACCGATGATGTTTGGGAGAAATAGAAAGATGTTCTCCTCTTGATAAATGTCTTCCTCGATCTTTTCCACCACTTGATTCAACTTTGCATTCCCATTGGGGAGGACATGGCCATTGGACTTGGGCCGTGCGGCCATGCTCGCGCTTTCCGGGAATGCCGCAGAGGGTAGTCTTTAAGAGATCTTGGAGAAGTGATGGACCGGGAGTGGACGTTGCTCTGAAGTGTTGTGTTCTTCAACAATGGATGGCGTGTAAGCAAGGGCAGGTCAAATTCTGGAGTTGAAAATGCTAGGGCAGTGGAATGGTGAGGCCTGGAGTTGGATGGGTGCTGGAAAGCAAGCCTGATAAGGAGGTGATGGGAGATAAAGCAGTTGCACTTGTTTCTTGGAACTTTGAAGCGCTCGAGATACGTGGTCTGGTTAATCCGAATGCAATCGAACGTCTGTCAAATTTTGGTCATGCGACAATCATCAAGATGGCATTGAGAGAGGTCGTTCAAGTTGCTCAAGTATGTTCCTTGATTATCTGATCAGATTGCTTTACCCCGTTCTGTAAACACCAACATTATTCATGCTGCATATCCGGATCACGGAGAGGCGGATCATCTTCGGAGAAACCATCCAAGATATGCCGAAAAGAGTTCAGATCGATTATTGTCTTTTGAAGCACATAGGAGGACTTGTTGCCCTATTTCGATGCTAAATAAATATATACAAGACATCCAAGCACATTGCCGCAGTCAATCAAGTCCTTTTCACTGTCGCCGACTTCGAGGGTCTGACGCACTCTGGCGTTTATAATCACGACTCTCTTTGGTCGCAAGGCTTCCATAACCTCCCTCCTGCCGTCTTTCCCACCCACCCATTCGTACCACCAGACAGGTAGCATTGTCTCCTTCAGTCGTCACTTCGGTGGCAAAGTTGACCACATCCCGGGCAGCAATTTCCGGTGTTTTGGCCTCTTTCACAATGTCCACCACTTCCTGATCGTCAAGCGTACCGGAAACCCCGTCTGATATCAATACCATGAAGGAGTATTCGGCAGCTCCGATCTCTACCCGTCGAATCTCAGGTTCAGCACTAACACCAATCCGCTTGGAAGCAATATCCCCAAATGCCCGGGTATTTGCCAAACCCAACACCCGTTCCTCTCCAAATGAGTCGGTCACAAACGTCGCCGCGTACCTACGCAAGCGATTGCTTTCGACTGGAGATGATGGATGGTGGTTGGTTGTCAACGGTACCGCCTGGCCGTTGATGGTAGAGCAGAGAAGAATCCTGGTATCTCCCACGTGGGCAACCAACATGGATGAGGTAGTGGCGGGATTCCAAAATGGTGTGGGTGATGGAGTCGACAATACCGCGATACTACACGTGCTTCCACCCTTGAATCGGTTGGTTCCCCCGATGTGTTCGGCAACCCGAGTAGGTTTGTCCAGAATGTCGCCATCATTCAATGGTCGTTCGGCCCGTGTGTTGTCTTCGTTTTCCGAATTCTTGGCTGCCTGGGCTGACACGAAATCGTAGTCAGCCTTGAGAAATGCATAGGTCATGACCTCTTCGATCGAAGCACCTGTAGCAAGGTCTTGACCGTTCGAAGTATTATCCGAGGTCTGATTGCCATTGTAGATGGAGAAATACGGTGGCTTGAACCGACGAAAGTAGCCACCAACCAACTCTTTCCAGTTCCTGACCAACTGCTTCTCTAGAGTTTTGACGTTCTCAATATTTGCGTTTTGGATGACGGGAGGGTCACCGGGGTGAGGAGGGACATCCTTGGAACCATCTCCCTCTTTGCCCTTGCCCTTCTGTGGAGGGCCATCCATGCTGGTGATGTCTACCGATTCTAGAGCGGCTTTGCCTTTCTGCACAGCCGCAGCATCCTCTATGGCACCCCTGGCAACCTCGTTGTCTCTGTTTTTCTTGCCATTCTTCTGTAGACTGGACTGTAATTCGAAAGAGACGGCCGACTGTTCTATGTATTGGTGCAATCGTTCTCGCAAAAAATCACTGCACTCAGCTCCTCCGTGGCCATCGAAAACGCCAAAGTAAAAGACCTGAGGATCTCCGCTAATATTGTCTGCCGAGGTTCCTTCTTTGCTGGCCTGGAGATTTGTGGTGACAGAACGAGGGGGCTTTTTGGAAAACGCCGGAAGCTCGATTACACCAGCCTGATGAGAATCTTCATTGTAAGGTCGACTCCCCCGAGAGACAAATGCACCGTAGTGGTGTTTGGCACTTCTCAGGGGAATGCGAACAACCGTCGTGTCTCGGTTGATGGAGGGGTGAGCTGCGGGGGCTGCTCGACCATCTGGAGTGTGAGGAGTCGAGTCCTTTCTAGGAAACTTGTGGGCTAGACCTGTCAAAGAGCGAGAGTCTGGGTGTAGTGAGGAAGAAGGCAGATGAGTGACAAAATAATCGTGGAACTGGCGACGCTGATGATGGGGAGTGGGGAAATCCCGCAACCGGGTTTGTGTCTGTGGACGAGTCTGTCTGATGAAAGTCGAGAGGAGGTCTGGGGAGAGATGGTCAGTATAGAATCAAGAGTGTCGGGACATATTCGGTGTACCATAATAAACATAAGGCTCGGAAGAGCAGCTGAGGGCTCTGTTGCCACGAGACATGGCTGCTGGTGAAGCTCACCCAGCTCGCCATAGCATAGCACTAGAATAGGAGAACAGTGGTGCTGGATGGCATTTCTCGATGGTGAGAAGAGGGTGACGAAAAGGTGGTAAGCTTGTGACTGCAGCTTGCAGTTGAAGAGGCAGGGCGGCCGCCTTGGAAGCTGGGAGGATAAAAGAATGAACGGGTGGGAGGATGAGGAGGAGGTGGTGGTGGTGGAGGCGTTGATGGTGTAGTGAAGCGGAATTGGTGGGTTTGTGGAGACTGGTGACGGTGTCGGCTTCGGGTCGGCAAAATATGACGGGAGCGGCAGCGGCAATTTTAGACGCCAATCTACATCAAGTTCTTCCGGGTTCAATCAACTGGCCATCTACCTTGTCGATTTCTATATACCTTAGGTAGGTAGATATATATTCATCAAGTCCATCACCGAAGTTTAAGAAAGAAAAGCGAGTATAACGTCTTGCCGTCGCTTCCATGATGATCGGATCTATCAACGTAGTAGCATGTCTAATCTCCATGCAAGGTCTAGTCTATCATTTCATCTTTGCTGCCCCAGATCTTGAATAAGAAACAGCCAGCCAGCATTCGTAGCTTCATGCATTCCTCTTCCACTCTGAATCGTCAAAGTCGCTCATTGCCGTGTTCGTAACGAGATTTCATAATCCCCAAACCCACTCCACCCCGAGCCTTCTATAATTTATGACTCGGCACCTCACCAACCGCCTCCTTCAAACCAAGACCCTGTGCACTCTCATAGGAATCAAAGCTCTCATCACCGTGGAAATGCCAACCTCGCTCTTCACCCTGGCTCAAATGTCCACAATCACTATTCGCGACACAGTCCCAACCGCCCGCCACGCCAGATCCATTGCGCCAGTCCTCGCAGAAATACTGTGACTTCTCCACAGTTGCCTCCTGATCGCTCGCCACAGGAACTGTCCTCCTCACAAACCGACTGACCCCACAGGTAAAGCACTTGAAATCCTCCTCGTCGTGATCCTCCGGCATCAAACCCGTAAGCGCACGCCCACTAGCGATAATCTGCGCGGCATGGCCACACAACAGTAGCGTGACATGTTCACTCCCCCTGCCCGCCTCAACATACTCACGATCCACATCCTGGACGACGGTCGCAAGCGCCAACGCCAGCCGATCATGCAGTGCCTCGATCCGCTCACCATGATCCGACGGCACGACCTTGGAGCGATACGCCGCGTCGACCCAGGGGAAGAAGTCCTTCTTCAATCTCGCCGGGTCCGCAGGCGCAGGTTGCACGAACCAGGCTTTCCCGAACCATTCGCCAATGCCCCTCTCCCCGCGCACCAGGAGCGGACTGTGTTTCTGCACCCGTGAGATCGAATCCGTCAGCTGGATCTCCCGCAGCTTCTCGACCGTCGGCCGCAGCGTCTCCAGACACCGGTAGAACAGGCTGGAGTAGATGCGCAGCCGGTCTTGCTTGACGAGCTCGGCCAGTGAGCCCGAGCCGGACGTGGATCCGAAGTATTCGCCTGTCTCGACTGCCTGCTGCACGCCGTGCGATGCCAGCGGTGGGTCGGCGGGGAGTCGTGTCGGGAACGGGTGTGAGGATGTGTATTTCCCTGTCGTCGGGTCTAGTGTCCATGCTAGTCGGTGGCCGTGCCGCAGGAGGATGATTTCGGTGACGGGCATGGTTGCTGGTGGGGGTTGTGTTGAGGGGGAAGTTCAACGGTTTGGTGCTCAGGTCATAGTCGGGTGGAAAGACTGGATATGTAGATGGATATAATCGGGAAGACTAAAGAGCAGGTATGCACCAGTGACTTGAAAGAACGAATCAATTGAATCGCAGGAAATGGCTGTGAAGGTGATCACCAAATTCCGGCTAAGACGACAAATTCGGGGTGGTTCTTAAATTATTTCAACGGAAGCCAGATTGCCGAGGTTGCAGCCTCGCCAGATTCCCCAATCATCCTCTGGGCTGTTCATCTCGCAGGAATACGAACAGAGCCTCAAAATACGACAGGGGTATTATTTAGCTACAAGAGATCGTAATCCTCAATAAAGTGCTTCTTCTAAACTCCTTGCCACATACACCTCAATAATATATCCGCTCCAGCTGTGCGTCAGCCTGCAGCTGACTTCCGTAACCACCATTATCACCAGCCCTGTCCTCCAAACCCGCTACTTTCAAAACAGAACGCACAACATTCCAATTCGCCAACTCTGGCTCCTTCTGGCCCGTAAACCACCATGTGATCCACGGAAACAGCAGTCCAAAATCCGACAATGTGACGTGTGTCGTGTCGTGCAATACAAACGCTCCTGCAGGAGATGGCTCGCGATCCCCAACATGTTTCTCTGTCACTCTCGATTTTCCATTCTTTCGCTTGGATTCGTCCATAAAGTGTCGCGGCGTCACCAAGTCCTTGAACAGTTCAATCGTCTCCGCTTCCGTCTCTGTCTTGACGGTTTGTGGGTTGGGAGCCAGAATTTGAGGCATGTGTGAGTGGACTTGTGGCCAGTGCCATGCACATTCGGATGAGAGCACGGCGATGGTCGTGGGCGACTGTCCATATGCTTGGTCTGCGGTTGTATCGTGGCAGGGAAGAGGTTTCCAGTGCAGTGCCTTCGTCCTCGGTGATCGAAGAGGCATAAACCATGGATCAAGCAGAATCACGGGAGATGTCGTTTTGATCTGTTCAACAAGGCTGGCGGATGCAGGGTGCAGTAGTAGCGACTGGTCTGATGGAGTAATTCCGCTGTCTTGCTTTGCGACTTGTGCTCCACCCTCATAGTAAATGGTTTTGATGAACTGAATGAGAGTCGCACCCCCAAAAGAGTGGCCGGCCCAGATGACCTCGCCTGGTTTGAGATTTAATGATGAAGTCGGAATGACATTTGGTATTCCCGGGGCGCCAGCTAGATTCGTCAAAACCTCTCCTCTGTTTAGAATTTCCAACGCTTTATACGTTGCCGAAAGTTCGAAAAGGCGAATCTGAAATTGCGTATCGCGCGCATCCCAGACTCCTGGTCTGATTTTCAGCGATATGTTCTTGTAGTAAATGGAGGTCATCTCCGCCGGTTGATCAATGGCTGCCTTTGAGCCTTCATTGCGTGCCAGTGATAAAGCACCACTTCCGTCACGATGATCGACAGCGACGCAAATCACCCCGCGAGAAGCAAGGTCGCCGAGAAGAGCACTATGGCTGTTCAAACAGCCTACCAAGCCGTGCGAGAATATCAACACCGGCAGTGGACTATCCTCGTGGTGCAATGCCGCATTCTTATATGCTGGCATCATTGTCGATCGCAGATACAACGGGACTGAGAGAAGTATCTTTGACAACCACGGGCCCAGACGAGCCAGACGAAGATATCCATCGAGATGCGCTGTTTGAGGCTCTGGAAGCCATGGCACACCACAAGCAATATCGGCGACATTTCTGGTCGGGTAGAACACTCGAAATTTGACTGTCGATGCTAGCAGTTCTTTTGGAGTCGGGCTCAAGCCTAATGAAGAAAAGGGTATTTCATATTCTGCAGTCCCAACTTTCTCTGGGCCAGTGTATGGGGGTAACGATGGCAATGGATTGAGGAAAGACAGCATGGTCACTTACGGTGCCGGAACGATGAGCTAGAATGAGCAGCAATTGCATATCATGACTCAGTCGGACTTCTCATCATATTCATATATCATCTCGTGTTGCGACGTATTCGAGCCTCGAAACCTAAACGATAAACGACATGTACCCACCTCTGGATCCAGTATCAAAGGCGAAGTGTTGCGAAGTCCTATGTTCAAGTGCCTGCTGTTGCTAAAATTTGATTGTGGTTGAAAATCAACTACGGCCGTAGTTTCAGGCGAGCCACGATCAGGCTGCGTCACAGGACAGTATGATTCAGCTTCCACTCCTTTTCCCTTATCTGCATCATGCAAGAAAATATGAACGATCATTGAAAAGGTGATGGAAGTTACGGTTGGGGAAAACCCAAGGTTTCTCGGTGTGATTGGCAGGAGCGGCGCAGGAGTCGCAATCTGGTTAGCACCCTCCTTTCGGTGGACGCGACGCGAAACTGCCAAGCCGAAACATCTCCGTCTCATCAGGCCAGCCTCGTTCACTAATCATTCCGCCCATAGTCCCTCGTACTTTGTGTAGAACCTCACTGGTATAAAGCCGAGGCACTTCCTCCCTCCCATGCACTGGACGCCTGGCCCGTCTTCAACTCAACAAAATGCGTTGTATGGACCCATTCAATCAGGCTCACACCTGAGACGTACACCTTTAGTGCAAGGTCCTGTCAATTACGACGTAGAAGGAAGGGTCAAACACATCATCGAGTATGCATAGGCCGTCAGCGTGCCAGGCAGAACCCGAAACGAATCCTCTTGGCCATCTATCTACCTGTAAGTCATGAATCGTGAATCGTCCCTAACGATGCCGCTCCCTCCGCCAAGCCCATTTCCTTTTCCTCAACACCAACAGCAGCAAGCTAGCTGCCAAGTAACTCAAGCCCGTATATATCTGCGGCCAAAGGTATGGTCTGCTGGTGCCCGGCTGTCTGATCTCCAACGCGATAGCCTCCGAAAACAAACTGGGCATTGACACTGCCAGCCACATAATGCCCAATCCCGAGGGCAGCTCGGTGAGATCCACCACCTCCGCAGTCAGTGGTGCTATGGTGCCCCAGTAGATCCCGCTGGTTGCACCACTGACGAGGCCGAGGAAGATGAGTACGCCATACGAGTCCGTGGGAATCCAGATCGCGAATGCCATGACGCAGTTCGACGCCGTTAGGATCCCGGCGGTTGTGATGCGTCCATAGTGGTCACTGATGACACCAACGAAAGGTCTCCCAATCGCAGTCCCAACGTTCAACATCCCCGTGATGATTCCCGCCTGACTCTGCGTAAGGCCCAAGGATAACCCAAATGCAGAGAGCGTGTAGATAAACACAATATACCCCAGTATCGAGAAGAAAGTATACCCGATCAACAACCAAACATTCACCCTCTCCAACAACCCAAAGTCCACAGCCTTGATCTTGGGCCTAATCTTCTCATTCCGATCCCTAATCAAAAAGGTCGCGACCAGCAAAACCACAAACGACACCAGTCCAATAATCCTCAACGACCACGCTAGCGACATATTCTCAATCATCGGCACGATCGTAAAACTCCAAGTAATGCCACCAATCCCGGACCCAGCAGCCGCAAGGCCCTGCGCCAGGCTCCGGTTGCGATTGAACCACTGCGGCAGCAGCGGCGTGGCAGGCAGCCAGACGAACCCAGTCCCCAAGCCCACAAGCACGCCCTGACTCAGCACGAGCTGCCAAAACTCCACCGCGAATGACGCCGCCACGAACCCGCCCGCGAACAGCACGCACCCGATGTACATGGGCACATGCGTACCGAAATAGCGAATGCAGAGATTCACACCCGGCGTGCAGAGCATTGCGCCCACGAAATTCGCGCCGCCCACGAACGTAAACTCCAGTGCTGTCGTGCCGCTGAACGTCTCGTGGCTGATGTAGTATGACAAGTACACGCCGAAGCTCTAGATCCACGCCGTGGGTTAATCAGCATATTCGATCGTGTACCCATGTAGATTTCAGGAAAGGATGGCCGTACCGCAATAACACCCCATGTGAATGCGTTGATGAAGTGTAGACTCATGCACACGACCCAGCCGTAGGGAGGTTCATCGTCGAGCATGGTTGTGCTGGCAGTGCCTTGCACGTTGGGCGCCAGGGCGATGACGACGTCGCCGCCGTCCTCCTCGCTCTCATTTCCCATTGCGGAGAACCCGGTAGAGGGGTTTCAGTCTTTGAGGTCGAGTGCATGAGAAGCGTGCGCAAGATATTTGTACACACAAGAATCCTGTATTCAACTCACAAAGGTCTCGAGACTAGATAGCGAGGTTGATAGAAACAAGTGAAGAGAGTCACCGCAGCATAAATTGAAACAAAACAAAAGACGTTAAAACAAGTGCGGAGAACCTTTTGAAGAGGAGGATAGATGTACGAACAGTTTATCCCCGGAGGACAATCCGGTGCGAATATCCTACCACCGCAGTGGTAGCTACCTAGTTTACTACCTATGTACATAAGTCCGCATCATCATCGCATCAAGCCCGGTACCTGACCACGCAAAAAGTTCCACCAAACCCTTCCTACGCCCTTTGTGGTACAGTGGTGGCTTGCTTGCCCAAGCGTTCTTCTCCGCAATCCACGGTCAAAAATGTGTCATTTGTGGATCTTCCCAATATAAGTTGGAGAAACGTGGGCCGGTTTACCGAACATGTTACTGTTGATTTCATAGGTGCTGAATTCACCATGCTGACAGAACGGGCGTCGAGCAGATCCACAACCCATCTTGACACGTCTGATATTGAGCCATTTCCTCCGAGACTTGTTTTAATCGAGGTAGAGCCAACAAAGGTTCAGGACCCAAAGGAGCAGTGCAAAAATGACAACCTTGGCCCGGACTCCGATCATCGACTTCTTTGATGCAGATAAAAAGCGCCCTGATGTCGTCAGATCAATCGGATACCTGGATTCAGAAGTCTGAACTACTGGCTTGTTCAAGACCAGTGCTGTGAGCACGGGCAAGGCAGATGACACCACAGCGCTGGCCCAGAGGAACAGTGCAGACAGGAACACGAATTGAAAGATTTCGATCCACAACCTAGTTTTGGGACCGACTACGCCGAGTAGCATGTCCAATCCACTCAGTCGAAGCAATCCATGAGAATCGGCGGCGAGCCAGATGTGATATTGCAAGACAAATGTCTCCAAGGAGCAGCGGCCAAACCATGCAAACCACTGGCAGTAGACACCAGAGATCGTCGCGGTGGAATTCCGTAAGACGACAAATGCCATCACGACAAATGGAGAGATGATGGGATGCCACTGGTTGTAATCATACTTGTCTTTGCAAATCGCGCAGAAGAACAAGTATGCAAGTATCAAGCAGCATGATACAGAAATACTTAGGCGTCGTGCGTGATAAAACAACTTGATGGTGACTTTGGAAGGTGCTGCAGTTGTTGAATCGTCAACTAGCGACATGCGTGAACAATAAATCGCAGCAAGCATACCAATGTACACGACATAGGCATCAAGGCGAAATCTGAACATGAATTCCTCTCCATTTATCTTGAAGAGCCCAATCCCGAGACTGCTTGGAATCTGGAATAGAAAGTCCATTATGCTGATCGTTGGAGCCAGGGGCCAAGACATGAGTTTCACTGTCAGCATAGACAACATGACGCGCAAGATCAGCTTACGCACGGTAGGTGCAGATTTTGAGACTGGGATGATCGTGATGTAGATGATGAGGAACCACAGACTGGAGAGCATCGGGAAGTAGTAAAGGTCGAATTGAGTGCCCATCACAAATGCCAACATGACGCTGAGGATGTTGGTTCTGAAAAGTACAATAGCGACTCTTCGGCAGGAAAAGTCACCTGTTTGGAGAAAGTACATTGTATGACCATAACCTGTCATGAAGAGGTAGGAGGCAACCAAGACACGCGCCAGTTGATACGCCCAGAGAACTTTGGACATTCCAAAATAATGGTATAAAAGGACGATAATTTGCATCCAGCCTTTCCATTCTTCCGTTTGAGATCTTGATAATAGTTGTGAGGGCGAGCAGTGTGAGCCTGGTATGCCTTTGACAGAGCTGGAGAGAGATGTTACATTGCTTATCGAAGCCAGCCCGGTTAGTAGCAAAAGACCTGAGAGGACGATAAATGATGTTGGATCCACGAGCTTGTTCACCTTTTCGAACATGAAGGTTCGATCTGCTATAAAACAGTATAGCAGAATAACGAGGATGCTTGCCACAGCCTGTGAAACACAAGGACGCTTGCCATTGCCATAGGTGATCCGGCAAGGCGAGAAAAGGGTCCAACGATATTTTGTGAGATGTTTCAAAGTATTGTAGAGGACAAATACCAAGGTCGCCAAGAAGAAAAGTTTTTGAACTGCGTTAAGACTACTGTTCGGGACACAACAGTATGCAGTCTGCTGATTTCCTCCGAGATGCCCTAGGTCGTTGCACATTGAATTCAAGAGGACGTCGACGATGACTGGAGTAATGGACTCGCTTATATGAATACCATCTGGCTTGAACGCGATGTCGGTCCCCTCAACAATACCTAGGTAGCTGGAAAAAATTGTTGATTGCAAGGTAGTATTTTCGTTCTCGGAGCTTGAAATTTCATCACTGAATTTGTTTGACCGATTTATCCCTTTCTGCTCAACTAGTTGTGCTTTATTGGTTGTCACTCGGGAGCTCTGTGACGTCGATATTGGCAGCATGATAGCACTCAGATGTGCAGATCGCGGCTCGAGGTAATCTTGCAGGAGATCTGAGATCTCGTCTTCACGGCTCAGGCTGGTTCCTAGGTGTTTGATATGCCACAAACCAGCACCAACCACCAGCACGTCTGAGTCATGTCTAGAATGCAGATTCGAAACTGAGAATAGTTGATGTCGAGGCAATGCTGAGGCATTGAGAAAAGGGTCCCATACAAAATCGACGTCGACTTGCCCAACGCGGAAAATGTGATTCTGGTGCTTTCTGGAGGACCGGTAGAGGTCGAAAGATCTTTCCTCGTCCAGCTTGTTTGAGACTGCCCAGAACAACTCCCTCGCAGTCGAATCGCCCAAGAAGGTGAGAGATCGTTGGGAAAGGCACTCGTAGACATCTTTGGACTTGTAGGGATACAGCATGCATCCATGTGGAGCCCAGACTCTTGTTTGATTGTTCCAGCTAAGGGTCTGGGGCCACTTTCCACTAGTGAGCAAATTGCCACATCGTTCATTGATGGTATGTTCTACGGAAAAGGTCAGTCTTGTCTATTCGTAGCTGCGCCTTCACGTCAGGTACACACCTTGTGAGCTCCAGGTTGAGAGAATTGTCAGGACAAGGAAGATGGCAAGACAAAGCAGGCTTGGGAGGGAGATACGGCTTGGTGCCATGGTGGAGCGGTCTCGATTGTGTCTTCTTGTCGTCGGTGTTTCTTGTGTTGTAGATAGAGGACAGATGTCGAATTGAAAGGGACATTGTTGTCAGTAAACCGCTCTTTCCACATTCTCTCTGAGATAGACAGTCCAGATTAGTCGTCGCCGAGAACACAAAAAGGCGTTAACAGCACTAAGCAGGGAACGCATCCCCTAGGAACGAATTCCTGCTCCATGGACGAGCTTGCAAGTGCAATACATGTCATTTACTGACTCGTGCCTGGTTGTAGCTGCATGTGAAGACAACTCTGCTTATGTTCTTCAACCTTTGGCCAGAGCACTTACTGTGTGGGATGGAAGAGAAACAAAGTGGAATTGTAAGGATAAGATGTCTTGCCACAGACCCAGCATGCCTTTGTCTACCGAATTTCTGGATCACCCATCCAATCCGGAGGCTGCAACTTGACCATCTTCCCACCATCATCATCTTCTTGACTCGAGTCTTTGACCTGCTTCTTCTTCTTGCGAAGAGTGCTTAATTCTCCAGCAATCGTCGTATCACGTGAAAATACCTGGAACCCACGCACGTGAGTATCCTTGCCGTTCTGATGATTCTCGCATATTCGAATCTGTACCACCATTGCTTTGAGAACATCTCCTCCACTTTCAGCTCCTTCACTCGTCTGTCTTGAACCCAACGCATTTTCGATCCCATTTTCGCTGTAATCGCCAATCTCATGATAACGAGTCTCTCTCCCGCCAACACCCTTCAAGGGAACATCGATCCATCCTCGAATGCCCTCGATGCTGCTGTGAGTCTCTCCCGTTTCCGGGTCAACCGTCTCTGTGACCTCCCAAGATCCGAATTCCACCAAACCGCCCTCAGACATCCCCGCAAAGAACTTCATCTTCGTAGGCGTATATGACTCGTCCAACTCAAAGTCAAGGTAGATCCTGAGCTTCACGATAGCCACCAACTTGAAAAAATGGAGGGTCAGAGTATGAGGTTGTGGTCCGTCACTTTGCCAGAACAGCGCCGGATTGGGATTTCGCAACTGCGCCAGAGCGCAACCAGGCTTTGCCGAAGACAGTGTCCACGTAGCCAAGGAAGAGATATCTCGCAATCCCCTTAGTTGTTTTGTATCCTCGGCATCATGATGTGCCGACTCTAAGTATGACTGCTCCTCTGCGTGACCCGTCTCTGAAGTCGCTGGTGCTAATGCGTGTTGTGAGGCCTGTGAACCACCCGGTCCGTCATCTTCCGCATTTCCATTCACAAGGGGCGTCTGCTGGACTGGCACTTGACGACGACCAGTGTTGGTGTCGGGCAGAATCGCCTGGCCGGGATTATGGGTTGGTTGTCCCGGTGTCGTCAAGAAGGCCGCATGGGGAGGAGTCTCTAGCATGAAGGGTGGGATTGCAGCTGTGATTGCATTTGTAGCCATGGGTCTGGTGGGTGTGGTGGTTGCGCCCTCACGGTCGTGGTGTGCGGTTCTGCGTGGTGCGCGAGGCATCGTGAGATTTGGAGTTTGGTGAGCTTAGGAAAAATTTCAGCCAGCGTCGAGATGCAGTGATCCTCCGGCCATGCTTCACAGGGAAGCGTTCCCATTCAATGTGTTTACAGTCGCCAAAAGCGGAGTTCAGAAATTGATAGAAAATGCCATTAGATTCGGACCAGCTTGCGCGCAGCAGCGCGTTTGGCTTGGCGCTGAGGAACCCACCGGTAGCTCTCGCTGCTTTAACAAAGCACTCCTATCAATTTCAGCCTTGCCATCATTCCCTAGTTCCCAAGCTGATCGTGGAGGAGCAGCCAGTCCTAATGATTGCACACCTCGTCACGGAACACAACGTCCGACTCTCTTATCATCCTTGCTGTTACGTAATCCCAATGTCTTTTTTTACACAGAGCCTTGTGCTCCGAATCATTATTGATCATAGACTAACTAGTTGCCCATCTTGATTCGCTTTCGACCCTGTTGCCCACCAATGTCCACATAACTTTTACCTTTACCGGCGGTTTCCCGTCTCTTTCTGCCCTTGGCTGCTGATTCTGACTTCTTAGAAGATAAGGCTTCGCGTCTCTCCACAAAAAGTGCTGCTAGCTCATCGAGCTCACGATCCTCATACCGCTTGCACACCCGCAGAAATTCCACACAACTGTAAGCTGAACCGTCAGCTTCAGTCACACGTGATTGAATTTGATCCTTGCCCTTCATGAACTCGCCAATTGACATGGTCTTCGTGTAGTTTGCTTGAAAGCCAACAGGCATATTTCGCTCTTCGGTGTGAATCATGCATTCTTCTGGGATACTTTCAGATGCGCCATGTGAGGTGAGAAGCCGCATAAGTTCTAATTGATACCAGAATACTGGATTACTCGCTGATAGAATTATCATAATCTCACAGAATACCGATGTGCCCTTGTACACTTCGTTTGGGTTGGCACCTAGTCGAAGGAGAAATCTCATTGTCCACAACCTTTTGTCCCAAATTGTTTGGTTGAAACCTGTGAGTTCTGGGTCTCCGAGAGCAAAAAGAAGAAGAGGTCGCCCCACTCCATTTCTGACAATATCTGAGGTCAGTCGAGCTAACAGAACATTCTTCCAGTGATATTGTGTACCCAACACCACAATCGGGGGGGGTACCCTCATATCCCATTGTAAAATGTTGTCAACCAAGGGATGACGCCGGCGAGAGAACATGTCCAGTCGATGGCGAAGTGCCTCGTTCTTCTCAATCAAAGGCACTATGGATCCGATAAGTTTGACAAATCGATAAGTCACTGAATCATGAGGCTGTAACTCTTCACTGATCATTTCGCACAGGGTGTGCAGTGGCTCTAATTCAATCGGAACCAGGCCACTTTTAACCGCTGGGAAGAAGGTCAGGTGATCAGTATCGAGTCGTCCAAACACAAAAGCTAGCGTGCCCCAGACGCATGCTTCATACGATGTAACATCATATTCCCCGCCCGTGTACTGATGTAGCAGAGCTGTCGAGGTTGAGGTCCGAAGAAAGTCAGCCAAGGATCGGTGAAGGAACTTAACTTCTGGCCCATAAATGCGATTGAAGCGTTCGTCCAGCTGATCATGGCATTCAAGAAGACCAAGACATCGGCTGTTTATTCGTCTTTTCATTTGATCGAGATTGAAGGCCCAACCCTCCATGTCCATCATGTTCAGAGCAGAGAATTCATACCCGGGTTTCAACGCAAACCTGGAGTCTCCCTCTTCGGCGAATGACAGTGACAGAGCGGTCCAACCGGAACGGTGAGCGATATAGCGCTCTACAGCACTTTTTTGAAGGATTAACTGGAGAAAGGTCGATGCCTCTTCACGATATTCTGGATCTATCGACTCCAGCATTCGACGGAAGTACAAATCCAGATCAGCTGGTATTCCATCCAGTTTTTTCTGTAGGGTACAAATGCTTTCACCGTCTCTAGTTCTCCGTAACATTTCCATGACCACGAGCTTGATCCACAGAAATACACCCTCAGCCCTGCCCGCAATGTCTTGCATAAGTTGATCAGCATTGGTCGTTGAGTATGAGCAGAGTTGTAAAAACCGGGCGTCCGACTTCAGCTTACCGAAGACATATTTTTCAATGTCTCCCTGAGTGAGTTTCTCAAGCCTCAGTCTTGCACAAGTTTCAAATGCATCTTCGAACATGGTCCAAGGGCGACTTGATAGACAGATCTTGATATTGTCATGCTGTGTAGCGGCAAAGACGAAGTCGAGCACTTCCTGTCTCCTTTCGTCATCTCCATATACTTCATCAAGTCCGTCAATGAACAGAAGGATTTTGGCATCAGAGAGTTGAATTGATAGAAAGTCATCGAATGCCTTCCTAAGCGATCTAGCTCCCCAATCATCTGCTCTTGAATGCGAGGCAAGTGCGGCTCTCCATCTCTCTGGAGTGACCACCCATTGGATGAGATGTCGTTTTATTTCAAGTAATTGATAGAGCAGCGAGCGTAGTATTCCGTGGAAAGATTTCTCCTCACCATGACCCGGGTTCCATGAAAAGAACTTTGCTTGAAGTACTTCTTGTCCTTGGGACCATTCATGTAAGTGCTCTGCGCCAATCGTCTCGCTGATATAGCGCATTAAGGTGCTCTTCCCAGATCCAGGCTTGCCAGAAATCCAATAAATGGGATTTTCTCCTGCCCTGGAATTTATCCACTGAATAAAGCTGTCACAAGGAAGTTCTTGGTCCGAAGGGGGGTTGAGGATCCAGGTGAATGTTTTGTATTCAGCGTCGTTGACTTGATCGTATCTAGATCGCATTCCAGGAAAGTTCAAGCTGTCTAGGATCACTTGTTGAGCCCTTTCAAGCTTTTCGTCGTATTGCTGTTGAGATCTAGAGGCGATCTGACCTAATTCTGTGGAGACTTTCAACAAAACCTGTGTATGAGAAGCTTGGAATGTAGTGAGGAGCTCTGTCTCCCGCTCATTACTGAATTTCAGGTTTTCCACGCGCTTAAAGAGATCTTCAATGTCTGCTTTGATGGTCCCGGACGCTGCCGACACGGCTTCCAGACACGAATTTTCAGATATGGTGCACCTTTCACGCAGATCATCCATGCCACATAGTCGGCTTTGCTGGGATCTATTTAACAACTATTAATTTAATAATACGTGTCTGAATCTTAATGTCCACTTACTGTATATAGATCAACAAAGCGATTGTTAGGTTGCTTTTCGCCGTGGCTAGTGATCTTTCTGCAGTCTCGATTTGGCCTTTTCGCAGACTGATTCTGAACGCCTGCCGCGCACTCTGCAGTAGACTCCTTGAATCTTTGACTTTGAAGCTGTTGAAAAGGCTCATGAAGTTGGTGGACATTTGGAGGCAATCTTTATTTGCTTGCTGTAATAGTCTGCTCGTTGATGAGTCAAGCCCCTGGGGTGGTCGAAAATTCGAGGATTGAAGGTCCTGATTGAGTGCGTGCAGCCTTTCTGCGAGGGAGTGTAACTTCACATGGTCGGCTGGGGCTCCATCTGAGGACTTGTAGATATCGGCAGTGGTGCCTATAACTTTGTAGCCCTGCTCTACTAATTGCAGAACATTGCAGGCGACAGCGAGGCAGCTCAAAGGATCCATGACAACAGTCCGTTAATTCGACTGCGCTCGGAAGGCGATAAGATCTCACTCGGAAGAAGATGCACCATGGAGTATGGATGAAGGGTGGTGATCGAAAATGAAAGCTCAAGTGCTTCATCCATGCGGTGGTACGGCGAGGCTGAGCAAATAACTCAGCGTAGCTTTTGTGCCGGAGTCTGCCCTACGAAAGCCTCTCAACAGCGTGGCTCCACCGAATTGCTCCGCTAAGCATGCAACAATAGCACGCTAGTACAGACTGAGAGAGCCTCACTGGAAGTCTGCATGGCACTCGTGGAACTCAACGAGGCTGCAAGAGAAGTGGTGCTAAGCCTAAAAGCCAAGGCAAATATCCCTGAAGAGTGTGACCATCCCCGCATATACGAACGCGGGTCAGCCAACTTCCTGTAGTGGTTGGCGGTTGATTCTACACTTTATGGACAAATCATAATCATTCCACTATTCAAAGGATACTCGGTACTTAGATAGTAGTAGGGTTTGATCTTTATCAGACGAAGAGCCGAAAGAGCCTACGTCCCTCCTAAGTGCTGGACTGTCAGTAGATATCCAAGAGGAGAACTGTATCGTGATTATGAGTATTGAAAATGTCTTGACACATCACTGTTGACTTTCAATCATCTTCCACAAGGCTAAACGGCGCCTTTGTTGATATTCACAATCTTATCATGCAGATTTGTTTGATCCATGCCAACAGGGATGCAATCTAGCCTTCAGACTTTCCTCCTGCTTTCTCAGTGTGATTCCAAAAAGCGCTCAGACCTTGAGTTCGTTGTCCACAGTTGTGGCACCCTTCCTTTGCCCATCGCCGGTCACATCCCCTTCCAGACCACTATCGTCATCAATCAATTTACCTGATGGATCATGAGTTCTATCCCACTCCGCAAGTTGATCCAGTGGCACTTTGACCAGCGTGTGAGTGTTGGCGCCGTCTTGTAGTACGATCGTGGTTTGACGAATGCGATATCCGCGCCAATATGGAATACCATAGATCCAGATGAAGTAGTAGGCGACGCAGAGAATGATGACGGCGATGCCAGTGACTGTAGAAGTGCCATACCAGAAGCTCACATTGCCACCGTTGCGTCCGCTGGCCGGAGGGTACCATGGCATAATAACGAGGTAGAGATTCACGAGAATGTTGAATACTACAACAACATCCCAAGCTCTGAACTCTCCGCGTGGCAGGCCGAGTTTTGCACGGCGGCTTCGGACGAAGTAGACACCTACAGCCACGAAGACGTTGAAAACCGAATATGGATACTGCTGGAGACTGACAACTAATGAGGATTAGCATAGTTCTCGAGATTTTAGAACGTTCATCTTACTGAAGTTGAAGGCGTCCCCCGCAGGAGGAGCGAGGATCATCAGCACCGTCAAGACATACTTGATCAAGTATGGCCCGAACGGGGTACCAAAAGGTCGTGTCGATGCCCAGAACCGCGGGTAAGGGAGTACGCCTTGTCGACCACATTCGCGCGTGATTCTAGATATTCCGATGTTCCCAGCTAGTAGATTACCGAATGCACTGAGGGCAATGAGAAAGTTCAGGCCCTTGACTGCGCCACTGGAGCCGAAAACCTTGATGAAGAACAGTGACGCCGCGGTTTGCCTAGAGCTTTTGAGCTCAGCGAGAGGGACGGCGGCAATGTAAGCCACATTGGCGAAAAGATAGAGTACATAGACGATAGATAGGGAAATCGCAGAGTAAATCTTGATCGCTTTGAGTGGATTCTAAGCCGATACATTAGCAATGGAGCCTAACAAATCATTCTGTGATTTTTGTATCGACTGACCTTGACTTCGTTCACCACATTGAAGGCATTATTATATCCGCCATATGAGAAGTAAATATAGACTAGGGATGTGGTCAATCCATATGGCTGACTTGACGTCCCAGAAAATGGTTTCCTGAAATTTGCTTTTGGATCTTCGACTCTTGTGTGGCCACCCAGTACCACGAGGCCTGTGATGGCGACAAAGATTAGGGTGAGAAGTTTCACAACTCCAATAGCGTTTGAGACGCGATATGCGAAGCGTGTATTGATGCCCAGTACGATTATCACGACGGTGAACGCCGCGATCGCAACACCCTTCAACTCCCATGGAGATGGTGAGTGGCCATTGATTTGGAAGAGGTACGCAGCAAGCACGATACAGTTGCTTGAGCTGAAGGAGAGAATAAGCATCCACAGAGCAAATACTGTTGGAAACAAGTATCTCGGCTTTGGGTAAGCCTGTTCAAGATATACCACCTCGGAGCCAGATCTGTTTGGGAAATAGGCCATATACTCGAGATATACAGCCAGTGAACTAGCGGAAAGGAGGAAGCCGATGGTCCAGTAGATGAATGCAAGTCCGGGCGAACCAACGCCGCTCAAGATACCAGCAGCTAAACCGGGGTCAGAAAGATAGCACAACTTCAAGCTCGTGGAACGTACGAGTAGAATAGACACCTGTGCCAATCATCATGCTGATGTTCAGAAACAGAATTGTAACCCCTCCAACCGAATATCCGAGTGGTGATTTGACCTCCACTGGCGCTCCAGATGCATCTTGGTAACTAGGGCCGGAGTCGTTGCCACTCTGCTCGACGGCATATTTGACATCGCCATCGCCGATGAACTCGGGTTGGCCATGGCTAATGCCGGTGCTTGTCGCCTGAGCCTCATTGCTTCCTGAGCGACGGAGTCTGTTGAGGAAAGTCATGATGAATCGGCTGCTTCAGTCAATATCGACCAAAGGCTCTTGGGAAAAGGGGCTGCTTGAACGTTGAGGAGGGCAATCCCTGTAGGACCGCAGCCAACAGACTCCTTATACTAGTCCTACCTTATGTCTCCCACGTGGCTGCAGGATGCAGGTCGCTTGGTGAAACATTTCGACCTCTTGCTCATTATAGATCGATATTGCAACATAGACGACAGAAGAGGATCACCGGGTGGAGTATTGCTACTCCTGTCGCCACAGAAGCAAACACATTTCTTGATACGTAACACATTGAGCCCTGGTGTCTTGATACAAACTAAATCCGATCCTTTGATCCTCAGACGTGCTGGGAGCGCTCGATTGCACCATCTCGACAGATTTGATAGCTTGGAAGGGAGACGAGAATAGGCCCGTATCCATGTCTCCAATGGTCGATCACTTGATACAGTCTGCCGAAAACCTCAGCTTTCGGGATTTTCAGAGCAGTGGGAAGTTAGTGCCATACCGGGTAGAACTTAGGTTTGCATGTCGTATCTCCGAGCCGCAAGTCTATCAAGGACGAGAGGGTTAAATGAGTGGCCTTACCCGTATGCACGTTAACCATAAGCTGGTATGTCAGAAAACAGTCTGAACTTTCTTTTTTCGCTCTGATACCTCGGAAGCGAATCTAGTAGGGTATCGATACTGTCCACGAGCAAAGGGTCCAAGCGAATCGTGGCCCTGGCAGCAGACGCACCAGGTTGGTTATCATGAAACGAGATCAGGGTGTTCTCGCAGTAACAGAAGCCACGAGACGGGGAAGTGGCAATACAGCATCTCGACAAGCCTTTGGAGCATGTCTAGACGCCATCTCGGCGACTTTATGCTCAAAGCTTTCAGGTAATTAATAATAATGCAGTTTATTCATGCTGCAGAATGCCGCTAAGGTCGAAATGCACATAAGACAGGCGCTTGAAGGTGTACAGAGATGTTGTCATCGTCCGGTAGCCACAAATCCCTGCTGTTTGTCCGAAAAGAGAACATTTAAGGTACCTCTCGGACGAGAAGGACGTCTGGTTTGATGTCTTGATTGGACAAGATCACACTGTGCCAATCGTGCTTCCTCCTTTGTGTACTAGCGGGCGGTGTGCAGTTCTCATGTGGACGACTTTGTGGCTTCACACAGTAGAGTAGAATCTATCCTCCTGACAGCACACCGACTTGAAAGCCAGCTCGAGGTTCGGGATAGTTGACTTCCATCTGTGAAGCAATTCAATGCTGGACGCGCATCGCCGAGCTTTCCATGGCCAAAAGAGGGATCCCAAGGCGCAAGTCGTTCACTAGTGATTTCTTTGTGAAATTTGAGGCGGGCGGTTGATGTCGCAATCAGTCCTGCCCTATGTCGTGATAACTTGTCGTCCTCATATACTTTTCCGAGGGTCAACCAACCTCAAAGTTCTGGACGAATCCGAGTATTGCTGATTAATCTAGCAGCCGCACCAATACTCAGAAATTAGTCGCAGTTGAAAGCCCGAGGCCGAGCAATTTATTGTTTGCCGGAACTTGGTGAGTTTGGGGATTTCGATACACTTTCCGAGTTCGCATTTACCGGATGGTAGCCGCCACAAGAACTTGATTGTACCTCACAAGACAGTCAAGATCTGAGTAGCGAAGATGTTCTTCTTCATCTGTCTGACCACTACCGAAGATGATACAGGAAGCCAGGAAAACCCGGTTCTCTGCTCAGCCTCTGACACTATGTACAAGGTGCTGTCCTTGATACTCGGAGCCCAGCATGTATCGCCCGCCATGTTTCATGGGACGCCTCTTCCTTCTCTGGTGGCTTTCGCAAGTTCGCTCTGAGCCTTGTCCTCTGCATAACGCTGGTACAAGGGGAGATAATGCTCTTGATCGCTAAGAGTCTCAGCAACAGATTTCCTGGATGCAACGGCCTCACTCCAATTCCGCCAGCGAGTCCACAATTCTTCATCTGCGCCCCCTTTTCCAGGAGGAGGTACGGCAGCGACTCCCTTAAAATGTTCTAGCACCCAGAGTCTGACAGCCCATGGTGCCAAAGCAACATCAGCGTAGCTGAACTCCTTGCCGAGGAAATATGGACCTTCTGAATCGGCTTCCTGGATCCACGTCTTCAAGGCATTTTGGAAATCAGCACTAGCCTTGTCCAAGCCATACTGGCTCTTTTCGGTGTGCTGAAGAACTTTGTGAAAGTTCGGAATAATGCGCGTCGTGATATGATCAACCCACACCTTCATCCTCGCCTTCTCGTATGGGTCTTTCGGGAAAAGAGGAGTCTGGTCTGGAAATGATTCATCCAGATACTCCGAGATCAAATTCGATTCGATCAGTGGCTTTTGAGATCCATCCTTCTGCGGCGCACCCAGTGTTGGCACCAGCCCACGGGGATTGAGCTTCAAGAAACTTTGAACATGTCAGCTCTTGCAGGACTTCCTAGGTTTGGTATCGTGTACACACCTTTCTTCCTTCAGGTAAGGATTGATTTCGACATATTTATAAGGGATTTTTTTCTCTTCCAAAGTGATCCATGACCTTTGCACGAACGGACAAAACCAACCCGAGTAAAATGTGATGGGCTCCTCTTTCTGATGCTGAGCTACGATAGCTGCCGCCTTGCCGGTTGCGCTAGGATGAATGTCCGCATCGGGGATCGCCATCACGATCAAATAATACTATGATATCTAGGGAGGAAGTCCTAGCAATGAACACTCAGCGAGTTTCCGACTTCCTTTGTTGAATTGTGTAGCAATTCTCGTGCTGATGACTCTTCTTGCATACTAAGTGAGTAGTAATTTGTAATGGACGGAAGACTGAAACCCACGCTTTCATCTCCAAATCCATACTGACGCAATCGCTCAATGATGGAGATGATCATAAGGAGCGCGGGGTTTCAAATCATTGCTCTCACTGTGTTTTTGTGCGGGAGGAACGGCGATATCCGTGTACACTATAGTTTGATTCATACCGGCACTACGAATATTGAATTGATTATTAGTTAGTATTCTTATATCAAACTAATAGCCCCGGCAGCGACTCAGGAACAGCCCTTTTCTTTGACAAAGATAAAGAAATCGCTGTTGGCGGTTTGTTCTCAAGTACTCCTTGCGTGAATCCGCTTCAGATCCTCACCCTCCAGTCCATTATGACCACTCTTTACAAGTTCTTCCACTGCTTCGTCTACCGTAGGATCACTGGAACTACCATCTAGTAAATCAAACCACCCACGGGTATCGTCTCTCAACAATAGGGCTAGAGCTACGTTGGCGACCGTCTCTCGGCTGACGTTTCCACCTAAATGGTAAGAACAAGTTAGCAAAACCCTTACGATTGCAAGCAAGATCTCAACAACACTTACGCGACGAAGTTTTACCCAGGCTGACCCTTTCTGATGCCGGATCGTCTGTAAGAGTACCAGGTCGAAGATTGATAGCCTGGAAAGACTTGTCGCCACTCTCGAGGCGTTTCTGCGTCAATGCTTCCAGATGCTCATCGGCTTCGACCTTGGCCTTGAAGTAGTGTGGAAGCACCTCGGTGTTGACATGATCGGCAGCCTTCTTATCCTCGTTGTTCCACCAAGGAGGATAACCCTTCCGTGAGGCAATGTATGACACCAAAAGAAACTTTTGGATACTCGGTGTGGCCAAGGAGGCTGAAATATATGCTTTGGCGGCGACCTCATCAACTGCTTTCGTTCTCGATGGACCTCCCTTTCCGCCGGCACCTATCCAAAGGGGAGTGGTGATTAGCACCTGATGTCAAAACCCAGGACGCTCTCGTGAACAGCATGTCGACTCCTTACCTGCAGACCAGATCACGATATCGGGCTTAACCTTGTCAAGGACTTTCTGCGCAGTTTTGGCATCTTGAACATCATCGAGACTTTCCACCAGAACATCAATTTTACCAGGCTGGTTATTTCCCAGCGCCTTGATTTCCGCTTCGTGGTCCAAGTTCCGCACCACGCTAGTCACGTTCCAGTTCTTCGCCAGTAGTTTTGGTTGTAGCAGGAGTGCGATTTTGCCATGTCCTCCCAAGACAAGTACACGTTTCGAGGCTGCCATGATTTCTTTGGAATCTCAGTGAATCAGGGGTCTGTTCTTGACGTTTACGATCGCTGTGTCAGGACGCTGTGAGATAATATTAATCAAGGTCTTTTATACTCCAACCCTCATCAACGACATCCTTACGTCATCCGATGCCGAGAGCCTAAATCAGCATCCTATCCGACTTGCGCTACTCCAACTCACACCATTTGAGCTTGAAATGATCAACATTGGCGTGCTGTGAGAGGTCCGTCCCGGCAAGCGAGCCAGGCGATCGAAGCAGACTGAGGCTGGACAAGAAATGGCTGGTCTCGGTTTACCATTACGATCTCTAATTACGAATAGCCTGATCCGGATCCCGCTTGGGGTTCCATACTCACTACTCAAGAGTCACTTCTAGCTATTTTCCTACTGTTAATGCAGGCGAGAAGTCGACTCGATGGCATTTCAATTGATCTTTCCAATTCCACGATGTTCAAATCTGCTGTGGCGTAGCAGAACACCTTGGTTGCGATATCAGCTGATAATAGCCCATGCAATGTTATGCCAGCTAGAAAGACGATAGTAATGTTGTGTACAACAAACAATCTCGAAGGGGACTTATTCTGTTGCAACAGCTAGGCTTGAAGAGCTTTGCTGGCCTCTGTTTGCTCTTCGAGCTGCCTCTCAAGTCCGGCTAACTGTTTCAGAAGTTCTCCATTGATACCGCCATTTCCGGATTTCTTGAAAACACTATCTTCGGCTTGCAAGTCCTGACCGAGTTCTTTCATACAGGGGCTCGCTTGAGGTGGCGCTCCCGCAGGGTCTGGCAGGAGAGTAATCGCGTCTTTGATTCGCTCGAGATGGCGCTGTGAGAACTTGAGGCATGCACTGTAAAAGAAATCGTACGGCATCCAGCAATCTTTACGTCCATCATTACTCAAGATTACTTGGCCAAGATTTATGCAATACTTCGTCGTGGTGATTTTTGGTAGCTGCTGGCAGACTATATCTTTCAGCTATTGAGGGTTAATCACTTCGCATGTGACGATATCACCTGTCACCAACCCAACCTATGCATCAAGAAAGGGTTTGGTCAAAACTGCCACGCTCGCCAGTACCGTAAAATGACCTCTGTCCAGTGCTTTACGTGTAAAATAGTCTGTTTTTGCCTTTCTTCTAGCAAAGTAAAACTGATTGACAGAGTGAAGTAGATAATAATTGGGCTAGGATGAACAGCAACATAAAGCCTTTGAAAAGCGACAACAGTGTTGGGTCTTGTACCAATGATCGTGGTATGGATGACTCGCGTAAGAGATGCAGGCTACCGAGGAGATATTTGTACTGAATTTCCGAAAACGATCATGATACGAACGGGTTCTCCCATTATATAAATTCCATTGCTATGACAACGATTCCAGGGATGACCGTCCAGAAGCTCAATGCTTGAGATATTCTGCGTACATCCCATATTGGCATCCCGAATACTGCACATCTGGATCCTGCCGAGGCTGATGCCGTGTTGGTACTTCCAGAGTCAGAGGGACGGGGGGCAGAAGATATGGCGGTAGACGCGGCGAAGATTGACCGATTCAGGTCGCTGCTCGACTGCGCTGCTTCACTGCTTGCAGATGCTTTGAGTTGGTTCGCTGTAGAGTCCAGTTTGTTGGTTGCATGATACCAGTCATTGGCTTGACAGGAAAGGGTCGTCAAGGTTGAGGTTTGTGAATAATCTACTGAGGTGAAGTGACTTGACACTTCCGTCAAAGAGGTTATGTAATAGATATAGTAGTAGATCGTGTAAGTTTGCGTATACCATGCTTGAATTGTGCTTGTAGGCGGGTTGGTAGTAGGCACAGGGAGAGGGGTACTAGGAATGTCGGGTGGGACTGTCGTGCTCGTGGCTGGTGGTTCAGGAGACATCGAGGCCGTTTCCGAGCCTGTCACCGCAGGTCCGCTTCCGCCTATAACAGAGCATCTGATCGAGGCAGCATCGCCGTTGAGGCGAATGCATACCTCCCCTGGATTGCAATAATGACCATTACTGCAACAGTCGCCTCCGTAGGGATAGCAGTTCTCGCTACCACAGCAACCCCAGCCTTGAGGACACACTCTTGTCTTGCAACAAGTTTCCTAGAAGCGGTTAGTTGAGGAATAATTGAGTCTCGACATTCTCACTGACGACTTCGCGTTTACAAATACCACTACTACAACAGTTGTAGCCGCTGTTCAACGGACAGCCACATTGCCTGCCGCCGGCTGAAGGTCTCAGCATAGTGTAAAGACGGAGGTAGAGTACTTACGACAAGTTCCCCACCCTTCAACACATGTTTGCCGGCCCTCAAGGAAATGGTCTTTCATCAACGCCCCTAAGTGCTCCGTTTGGCTGGTGAGATTCATCGTAAAACTATGTGGCTCCTGGAGGGAAGAGGCATCAATGCCAAAGATATTGACATCGGCAGTCACAGCTCTTGTAACAAGGCTTAGGATCAACCAACAAGCCATCGATGTTCTGGAAAAGAAACACATAGGTATAAAAGTATGTCGGCGTTAGAACGTAGAGCATTTTTCAAGGTAGGACAAGCATCTTTATAACCACTGGCAGCGCTCGAGACAAGCCATTTCAACCACTAAACAGCGTTGCTACTCTCGCGCGATTTCTCCTGGGTGCTAAGACCGATGAGGAGAAATCTGAGACATTTGACATCCGTGGCTTAGTGAAGAGTAATGCTGCCGCAGACCAGCATCTGAACTTGCATTCCCGTGTGATAAGCCTCGTTCGCAAATGATCCTAGTCTGCGTCGTGCATCGTAACAAGGATAAGATGGCATAGTATCAGTGATGACCTCCGGTGGCCAAAAATCCATGCCCCTTGATCAAGCCACTGGGTACCGCTCCAGCAACGATGGTCCCGAGCAAGATTCAATCTTGTGAACGGGGGCTTCCCCAGAATGAGATTGGTCATCTGTGCCCGGCCACCTGGTCGCTAGACTGGCACACACGCAGCTGTGTCTGACGGACACGGATATATTTAGGTTGCGGCATATCAGGCTGGAGCAATATCTTTCGCGTGCTAGACATATGTGTTGCCAGATCTCAGGCGAAACTGAGGTAGGGACATTTAGTTTGGTATCTCGTCGACCTAGCTATCAATCACTAGTATGTATTCAGCTACCGAGAAAGCACTTGAATCGATATTCCATCTGTCCTTAAATTGATGCTCGAGGAATGTTTGTCAAAACTCACGGTCAGGAGCCTGGCACCTTTCCGAAAGTGTAGTGTCGAAATGCTTGATATTGACGCTGCAGCCACGAATGAAGGTAATCATCAGATTCCTTTAATGATAATCCACTCGTAGTTTCGAATCTCTGAACACGAGGCAGTGGGTGCGAATCAGAAATGCGCTTCTCATCTTCTTTCTTTCATGAATTTCTGTCAGGACTACTACCATGGATTGACAGGTGCCACGACTCTGCATTCAGCCGTCTATAGGCATGTGGCGCACAATCATACTTACATAGCCCAGTGATCGACCTGCACCTTTCACATTCCCAGCGCGTAAACTTGTGATCAGGGGTTACGCTAACTGTATTGCTGCCTCGGATGAAAAGATGCTCGAGAAGAGATCTGATGCCTGGTGTTGAAGGGAATAGTCACAGCAACTAGATCGTGACTGAACTCGCATCCGTCAGCAGATGTTCAACGATATCAAGTCGAAATAGTTTTTATTGCGATAATTTGTGATTGGGGCAATTGGACGGTTTCGACCAGTTCTAATCCTTGGAAGCGGCAAGAGAAAGGGGAGATCAGCTTAAACCGAAATACTAGGGTCCGTCCTGTGGGGGATCTGCGAGGCGAATGGTGGTTTTTGGACTCAACTTTTCTGGTTTGAGGCGCAAACCCTTATTTTCAGATCTAAAGCCAACACATGCTAACCGAGTCCAGAATCAAACCACGGGCTTTCGGCTCCGCCCTTCTCGGCTAAGTGAAACTGCTTTATACCTCACGCCATTGGAAATGCCTATCACGACTCACCATAAATTGTGAAGGCGTCTTCAGAAGCAGCAATTTTAGCTGAAATGCAGCTATCGAGATGTATTTTGCTCATATTGGCTCTGTTCTTGACCACACCGCAGATGAAGGTTCATCCGCGTAACATGGGCACCTAGGAGAACTATGGATCTAAACATGAAATGGTCATGCTGGGACTAGGACGGAATGATCACGGCTAGGCCATCTGGACGCCTTGTACAAGCACGATCTTTGATCCTCAGTGACACTGATTGGTTCAACCCTGCTGTTCAGCATAAAGGCATAAATGGATGTGAACAATAGCTTTGTTCAGCAGCTGTGGCATGGTGGAATGGTAAGACCTCTGTGTCTCAATTGCCATAACTAATGGATGGCGTTGGGCTCAATGAGAACCAACGATAACAAATCCACGGTCCGTCCTTTTTGGCAGAGGGACATCGAAAAGCATCCGTTTCATTTGTCACCATATTTCTCCAAAAGGCCCTTCAAGATCCCCAGTGCCCCAGACTTGTACCCTCCGCCGAAGATCGCCCAATGATTGAGGTGATGATAACTCTCATAAAGCGCAATTCTATCTTGGTACTCACTCTCTGGCTCTGTTTTTGGTAAGATAGCGTGATACTCCTTGAAGAACGACGAGCTGAACCCACCAAACATGTTCATGATTCCCAGATCATACTCTGAATGTGCAAAGCATGCTGAAGGGTCGAAGACGACGTCTTCCACTCCAGCCTCGGCGTCTTCGTCTGCATTCGTCTTGTCTCTGGTCCTTCCGACAAAGCTACCTCGTCCTTTATTGCCAGACCATAGATCACCGTGAACAACGACGGGTTTGATACCGTCTTTCCCGCCCAGATGACCGTCTGCGAGGAGTTTTGGCACTACCTCGTCGACCGTCTTCTGTACGACTCTCCGTAATTCAGAATCTGAGCCGTTATTCTTCTCGCCTCGCTTGAGTATTGCTAGTAGGCGCTCTTGAGCAAAGAATTCCGCCCAGGACGACGTGAATGCATTACTCTGAGGCGTATCTCCACAGCACGTCTGGACCGGAAACCCGAACTGTGGAGTATCATATCCGTCCGGTTTGGGCGCTGGTGTAGAATGCAACTTCGCAAGCTTCTGTGCGAGACTCTTGCTGGACCTCACCCCACCACCTCTACGGCCTCCACCACTGAGGTCTAGAAACTCGGTCGCGAGGAAATATCCACCTTTATCTAGCTTACCCCAAGCCAACGATTCGGGGCACAGACTCGGCACGGCATCATGAATGGCGTTGAGAGACGCGTGCTCGCCCTCGAACATGACTGCGGCGTCAGATGAGCTGGAAGTCTTGATGAAGATTGGAGCAGACTGGGTGGTTATTCGGAATGTCGACGCAAAGCCTGATCCTCCATGCGTAGAGATCTTGGACGAAGCATCTAGAGCCAGTGCCCGGAGAATCGCTGCGTCGATCGATGATGACGAAGGCATTCTTTTCCACTCAGCAGGTGATGGTTGCCTGCTCGATGTGTTGCTGGCGATATGTTGCTCTTCTTCAGTGGAACTATTGAGGAAGGAGGAATGTTGTGATCGAAGGAGGAAGATTTGATCCGCTGCTTGTCTCGACAGCGGCAAACACATTCATGTGGCAGAGATGACGTCGGTTTACATCAGACCCTAGAAATTGCACGTGCAAAGATCAATCTCTAGCGAGTCAAGGATGATCAGATGTCAGTGGTGTGCAAATATGTATTGAACGACTTCGAAAGAAAGTCGTGGTTGAGCTGTTCCACGATGTCTAGCTGTACATGTCCACCAATTCATGCTGATTGGTTCCGTGATGAATGTCCCATCTCTGAAATTGTCAAGTATTTGTGAGTCGCTACCTGGGCCATGAGTAACGCCGTCGCTGTGCAAAGCCGTGAGGCAAGTCATTTGAGCATTAATTCTTTTTGAAGCACCATGCCATCCTTCAGCCTAAATGCATTACCGACCAGAGCTCGGACCTTTCCCTCGGGGCTTTGCTTCTGCATCGCTGTTGACACCGCTCCCTGTACCGCTATCAGTTCCTGCAGCTCGCTTCTTCGCCCTCAAAGTTTGCCCCTGTCCCACAAAGTGTGGCTTGGTCTCATCAGACGCGATTGGTTCTCCATTATCGTCCAATTTTCGAACAGGCTTCACTTCGTAACCAAAGAACAACTTGCCGGGAGGCAGGCGGAGTGGTTGTGGGCCATTGGTTTTCCGAGGAAGAGGTGGTTTGGGTATATTTGAAGAGCTGCCAGCTACAGGTGTTGACGCATTCGGCGTTGGAGCCTTCGAGCCTTTCTTGGAATTAAGCTTCTGACCGCCATACAAGAAGTTGGACGAGACAGCTTTCGAACCTGCGGCTGCAGTAGTCGAGTTTGGTGCTATACTGGCGTAGTTGATATTCTGCGCCATACTTCCTTGATAATGGACTGGACCTCCGTGTGGTCTGCCGACACTGCTCTTCGGTGTGCTTGTGCCACTGTTCCTCTCTGGTGGAACATAACCCACTGGTGTTGCAAAATCTACTTCCAGATCTGTCTCCATGGTGACAATGCCATGGGAGTCGGTATCTGGCTTAATTTCAAGGACTGCGATATCAAAGGTCTGATCATTGTACTCGAAGGTAAAAACGTCATTTTTGGTAAGGCAGGAGAAATTCCGGAAGGCATTTTCGAGGACGGCGCGAGGATCTGAAATCTCGAGAAAGGCAGGCGACTGAGGCTGTAGTTTGATGAATTTACCGGGAGGCAAATCTGTTGATTTGATCTGAAGTAAATCCCCGGGGTCGAGATCAAGGGTTCTCATCAACTATGGAATGTATCAGTCTTCACTTCTTTCTGCAGGTTTCCGAATTCTTGCTGACCCATTGCGGTAGATATATCCGTCCTTCTTCGGCTGTAAATTCAAGAACACCAGCATGTGTGGTCTTGCCTGCATTCCCATTTATCAACTGAAACAGCATAGGGTATGCGATGTGCAGCCGGGTGAGTTTGTCGAGGGCGGAAGGTGGAAGGAAGACTTTGCCACCAAAGTTGACGCTCGTTCGCTCAGGGCCACTCATCATGACCACTGGATAACATCGGTAATATTCATCGAACTTTCTGGTTGACATGCCGACTGGGGGAGCGCCCCGCATGAAGGATGGGTAGCCCACCATATCTCCTTGATAATATGCCTGGAGAAGTCAGTGTTTGTAAAGATTGGGTAGGTCTGGTCTCATACCATGGCAGGTAGGCACAGGAAAACAAGGTGAGCGACAGCGGGGAATCTTGTGGTGTGGAGGTCTACTCTTTGTTCTGTGGGAGGTGGGAGATAGAATGGTGGGATGAATTTGGTGCTATGTAGAGATTGAAATGTAGAGGAACAGCGAGGGGGGTTAGGAGTTCCTAAGAGCGGGTTGCGCTGCCTGATGGTGGTGAATCGTGAGTCGAGTCCGTTTGAAGGCGTTTATGCAGACCGAGACGTGAAGCGTCACTGTCGGTCGCCTGCCTTGTGAAGATGTCATTCTTGCCGTCGCTTTACGTGACCTGCTTGCATCTAGCTACTTTCAAGTCTATGCAGTGCCGCCCTAAGGAATAGAACATTCACGTGAAGATAAGGTGAAGCGATAAGAAATCCCAGGCTTTCTTTTCAAGTCAACATTTACCACAGCTCACACGATCCCCAAGACAAAGAAGTTTTCTTGTCCACCTTGTGAGCCAACACGACTAGATGTTGGCTGGCGGAAAAAGATGCAATCAGAAAGCACATAATCTCGAATGCCGTATGCCAAATATTGGAAGAGGTTCATCTGTGACCGTGGACAAGCAATACAAGGCCCAGATCGTGAGCTACACGAATCTTAATGCAAGTATCCGCCCGCCGCGAAGGAAGCAAAGTGAGTCAAGGTCATTATCTGCTTTCCTACCCAATCTTTCACGTGTACAACCGACCCGGAGAGATACAGAATATCAAAAGCTGGCCAACATATTATCATGTCACGTGATAACATGGTCTTCATACTTGTTGGCACGAACGGTAGACACTTCATAGCAAGGGCAGGCGCTCAGAACAAAACGATTTACAAGGCAGGTGTTACCCTCGACGCAAGCCTGATGCCGCAATCCTCATCCGTGACCGGGAGACCACACTTCCCTCATTCATGGTGGACAGTGCTCTCCGAGAGGCCGCTAGTAAGCCGAGCCGCATCGGGAACTTGGTCGGAAGACTTCAGTCGCAAATAGTCCCTCACTACCGAGGTCGATACGATCTTGTGAGGCGGCAGGATATGCTATGCCACATCAGAAGCAGAATACAAGGGGGTACATTATCGAAACATCCCTTTATGACCTGTGCAAATATAGTGAAGAAGCATACATCAACATTGTTTCGCATCGTTGCATTCTGAATAGTGCTTCAAATGGACACCAAGAATGAAATCGCGATTCTGGGTGGAGGCCCTGCTGGCATGGCTGCAGCGTTATCACTTATCAAGGCCGGGTTCTCTGTAAAGATCTTTGAACGCTATTCTCATGCCAGGCCTGCCGGAAATATCCTGAATCTTTGGCCACCACCCGTCCATGCCCTTCGATGTATGGGTGTCGATATTGATGATCTTGGGGCACCATGTCATACCACATTCCGAAGTGTAAAAGGAAACATACGTGCAGAAGTGCAGTTACCCGAGGAAATATTGAAGGAGTACGGTGGTGGCTTTATTGGGCTGTTGCGACCTGATCTCTACTCCCGAATGCTTGATGCGATACCCCCAGGCACTATTCAGCATGATCGGCAGGTCACCGACATCAAAGACCATGGCGACTTTGTCAAGCTTGTTTTCTCAGATGGAACCAATTTCACGACACCACTTCTTATTGGAGCAGATGGCATCGATTCAATTGTCCGTTCACATCTCTGGGGCGCATCTCCGAAACGAGCCCACAATCTACAAATTATTGGAGGATTCACTTTTGATGAAGAAGTCGCCACGGAGCAGAACGAGTGTGTCCTTGTCCATAGCAGAACAACCCAAGGGACATATACCACAATTCGAAGCAAGGGCAGGCTAGGTCACCAGTGGTGGATTCTCCAAGCATGTCCAGACACGCAGCCGCCGCCGGGGGATTTGAAAACATTTGCATTGGAGGCCGCCGGAGAGTTCTCCAAACCTCTTACCGAGCTTGTCGCTGCAACGGACTCTGTCAACTGCCAACGGTGGCTTATTCGTGATCGAGTACCACTAAAAGTGTGGTCAAAAGGCAGAATTACTCTAGCTGGCGATGCAGCTCATGCAACATCCCCATACGCTGCCTACGGAGCAGGGATGTCCATATGCGATGGCTATTTCCTCGCGCAGTGCCTGCACGGGACTTCACTCCATGATACTGGAGCAGTGAAGCAAGCGCTGTCGGCTTATGAGAAGCACAGAGTTGCGCATACCACTGAACAGGTCAACGCTGCCTTCTTCCTGGGAAAGCTATTTCACCACATTCCATGGCCCCTTACCTGGATTAGAGACCTAATCCTGGACAACACCAGCCTTTTGCAACGACAAGTTGGCGAGCGAAATCCGCAGGAGATTGTTGCGCAGTTGAAAGAGATGGGTGAAGGGATAATGCTGAGGACCTCATTGTCTGATGGGAAGTAGTCTCTGTTCCAACGCTGGAGTTTAGTACTGTACAAATGAGTCCTTGATACCCCAGTTCGCGTTACGCGCATTGGTATTCAACAATTAGAAAATTGACATAAGCCCACATTTTTATGGCAATGGTACGTTATCCTCCTTGATGCTGTGAATACTCCAAGTCCGTGGAAAGTTTTGACATGAGTCTAAAGGGAATCCCTCACGGAAACCTAACTCTTTCGTGGAGCCGAAGCTTGCCAAGTGATGCTTAAACCTACCACTTTTGCCCCCCAAAATACCACCTAGATATCTAAGTATTCCTCCACTTACCACTTCAAGCTTCTTTCTCCATTTACCCATCAAAGTATGAATAGAGTCAGCTTAGTCGGAAACCCAGATAATCCTCAAAAGAGAAAACGGCTTTCAACAGCCTGCAATCGGTGCAGGAGTCGCAAGTTGAGATGTGATGATCGAAGCCTTGCATGCACCAATTGCAACAAGGCCAATGCGGAATGCATTACGCGAGATCCACGTCAACCTCATGTTGAGGTCGAAAGGCGAGAAGCGCAAAGTCTAGGGCAGTCTCCCCTGAGGAGCACAAGCTCTAGAGAGCAACCTCAATTGACTCCGATCGAGGTAGAGCCCCAGCTTCATGTACCTGACAGCACTCAAATAATCCCGGAGGCTGGATTGACTCGACTACAACAATATCATGAAGCTACGACGGATTTGTTTTCGGGGCCCCTGCTTGCGGTCCCAATCTTCAGATCAGGCAATTGTCTCTTCATGTTGACACAGTGGCTTGACCTTGCCTTCGCTCGAATTGGTCTACCTGAACGCCTTTCATGGCATTACAAGACTGACAGAAAGCGGCCTGGGGACCATACACTCGAAGCTTACACTCCCTCAGCTGATGTAATCTCATGGACCAAGGAAGCTCAGCCTGCCATAGCCACATTCATGTCACATACTAACTCAGTCCTCCCCATGATTGATCCTGGCCAGATTCTCCAAACACTGTCAAACTCCTCTGATATTATTAGGACTGTCCCAGAGCGGATATTGCAGCAATTGATCTTGGCCATAGGATCGACATCAATGTCGAATATTGAACACACAAAGATATGTGATCGAGTTCTGGAGTTTGCCTTTTCCAACCTCACTGTTTTGATCCGGGACGACTCGATCGAATCGATAAAAGCACTGATACTGATGGCCTTACTTCTTCGCAGCTACGACGATTCCGAAATGGCATGGAGAATGTTATCGATTGCGGTGCCGAAGGCCCAAGCATTGTCCTTGGACCGATCGTTCCCTTGGAACCCTCGATCGCGACAGGCGGAGTCGACGAAACAAAGAGAATCGCATACCTGGTTGTGCTTGTTCGTGCTTGACAAAGCTCTAGCCGTGGAATTACAACGCCCACCAATGCTTCGAGATTGCTTTCATGTCCAGAAGCTCCTCGCTGATCGCGGATCTGGGGGAGAAGGATCGACTCAAAAGACATGTTTTAGCGCAATTATCGAACTTGCCAGAATTCAAGGTCAAATTTGCGAACGTCTACTCATATGCTCTCAAGAGGAAGAGTCCGGAAAATTAACATTTGATCAAGCAATTAAAGCGAAGTTGCAGGTTGGAGGCGAGTTAGACCAATTGTTGCTTGAGTGGGTCCGCCAGCTACCAGATGATCTTAGGTAAGTATTCGTTTAACAAAAAGAGCATACCATCTTTGCTCACACTTGTAGACCTTCGGAATATCCCTCCTGTGACCCTGTTGATCTGCCAGCAGTTGCATTCCTGGCCATACAGTATTATGAAAGGTAAGCAGCTGGTGAACACACGGGCATGTATCGATTTCGTTGACCGACGACTCTGGTAGCTTGTTTCTTATACATAGGAACTCTCTGCTCATCAACCGGCACAGCCTGAAGGGATCACTTGACGCATACTTTTCCGACGCAAGCTATCGTCTTCGATTGCAGAACAGTCCTGCCATTTGCGTGAACACGGCTCGATCTATCGCAAACATACTCAATTACACCTTAGAGGACAGTGCGAACTTTCACCTTCACTCACTGTACGCGCCTTCGATCTCATTGTATGCTTTGGCCATCAATATTCTGAAGAACCCTACGTTGGCGAATGTCAAGACAGACCTGGAGGTACGCGCATTTTCACTTGAGATTGGTCCATATCTCATGCATATTCATCCACAGATCTTAACAAGCGCTGCTCGAATTATCCAAAGACACGAATCTCGTCACGGCAACAGCCCTTCCACAATCAGCACCAAGATTCAAAATTTGGTTTCCCAAATTTCTGGTCGGATTCATAGCTTCTCGAGACATTCCAGCCTCCTTGTGTTGGATGAAAGCGCCGCAAATCAAACGACAATTTCACCAGATTTCCCCGGACATCCTGGTGGCGGGCAATCCAGCTACAATAGTATGCTTCAGGAGCTAATCTGAGACAGTCTATCGTTTTGCTGACTTGCTTACAGATCATAATCGGTTGAACCGAGCGACCGAAGGCTTCTCACAGGACAATATACCTTGGTCAATGACAATGGAAGAAATGGATTTGTTCAATTCGGGGCTTGACGAGACGGAGTTGGACTGGAATGCAATTGCACTGACCCTGGACCTTCCATATTTTTAGTGAATAATCTTATGCCACACAGAAGCGATGTGAAATGAGTCTTGTGAGAACTTAACCATGTATTATTTACACAAAATGCCGAGCTGCACAATTTTGCAGCCTTTAGCTATTGCTATGATCAGAACTCCGAGCATGCGGGACGTAGAAACTATCTAGCATACGCCATATCAATACCTCAAGCCTCAGCCTTTACGTACGGTATTCCCGTCAGCCTAAAACCCCTCTCTGACAGCTTTGGACTACCTGACTTGGGGGTTTTGTAGTTCAAAGGATCTGGTACACCGTCGCGCAAAATGGGTAGGGACACAACATGGAGAGCATTCGGCCAGTGAGTCGTGGGGTCGTTGTTCTCGAAGGCAGCCTTCTTGCGGACGAGATCCTCTTGCGACACCTCGGCGACAGGCAGATAGCAGGTATAAATGCAGAATCGAGGCTTGTCACCAGTGGGGCTCAGGTTGTAGTGTGGCGTGCGCGAATCCCAGAGAATCAGGTCACCGGGTTCGGCACAGACCTTCTCCCAAGTGCATCCACGGTCTTCTAGCCACTTCATACCTCTGTCATTGAAACCGTACCATTCGTTGGTCCTACGTTGAGAAAAACGTCAGCTTCTCGCGTCGACCGAGGATTAGGTTGAAGAGAACTAACCAGGCCCAGATCTTGTCCGCATCATCCTTGAATTCTTTATGGAACTCCTCGCTCAAACGATGTGCACCTTTACAGACAATCAAGCCACCATCATTTGGTCCATTCGGCAGCAGGTTCACTAAGCCTTGCAAACACCGAAACCCAGGCTTAGCGGGATCTTGGTCTTGATGTGGCCATGGATTGTTGGCAGCAATATCTTTTCTGTTGGGGAAGGTCATTCCGACAGAATCGAAGGAAACGATGAGGTCCTCGGACTCATAGACCTTTTCGAATGCACCAACGACACCAGGTTCCTGTCGGACAGCCCACGTGAAGTCCTCGTGCTGAATGCCATAACCTAGGATCATACCCTTCTCGGTAATGATGGGCATGTTCTTCCAGTGCACGGTTGACGGATCGTCTCTCTTGAAGCCTAGATTGCTGTTGCACCGATGTGGATTAGCCTGGGACTTCAAGTCTCTCACCACCACGGGGATTGGACTACACTCCATGGGAAAGAATAACACTCACAAGTCCTCTAGCCATTTGTACATCTTGTCCGCATAGCCGTCTGCGCGATCTCTTGGGATTGCACCCTTGACAACAGCGAAGCCATCCCGAATGATATCATCTCGGAAATCGCCAAAAGGGGTCTTCTCGCCTTTCTCGAAGAGATGGCAAGTCGTGCCCAGGGCATCTGGGGATTTGACCGCGAATGTGTCTCGGACAACCGTCTCGGTTGCTGTCTGGGTTGCCATCTTGTCTGGAGCGACTCTAAAGAGATATGTTGGTACAGAGCTAGTATTTTGAAGAGTTAATTGAAAATGTTGTCGTGGCGCCTGTACTCGTTCTGTAGCTATTGGAAGGCTTGATGTTCTTTTCAAAAAGAACCGTTCGTGATCTGGCTTATATGATAGCGGCCAGCTCGGCACCAGCAGGCGAACAAACATCTTTTCCAAGTGGATCAAAGAGCCCCATCACCTCCGCCACTCTCGGAGGACAAGAAAACACGAGGCCGTGATTTCGTGATCCGAAAGATTGTCTATACGAACTTCGCCCAATATCTTCGGCTCGGGAGAGAAAAGAGCGAGCCATCTGAAATTACCGCAGAGTCCGACTTTCTTCCGAGGCGAATGAGGCTTATCACGGAAGTCCCCCACAAAATCCAGACCCTCCTCCACATTACACTAATGAGCCGTGGTGGGTTCGCTAAGCAGCCGTGTGACACCTCCGGCTACCCTTTTAACCCCAGCGTTTTGCCTCCCTTTCGGAAACGTATGGTCGTGGACTCTCCAGGTTAGCAAGAAGACGAGCCGGCCGTAGAGTAGATGCTCGAATGGATAAGTCCTGCGGAGTGTATTTCAATATAGCTTGAAGTCGTTGGCCACACCCTAGTGATCTGGTACGGCTCCTGCCCCATGAACATGCTTCTATCCCGTTCACTACTACGCCTTGAGAGACTTGTCGGAACGAGGCCATAGTTAAAAGATGAATGTTTAAGATATGGCTCCTTTGCACGGTCTCGAGTGCTGAAGCATGAAAAGCAGAAGACAAGAGGGGTATTTGCTTGTATTTACTATTCAGCTAGATGGTCACAGCCTTTTCTTTACATTTGGTCATCCGTTGCAAGGTTTAGACTACTATTGTATCATTGGATCGAGCAATAGGGTGAAAAAATCACCAAGTTGTTTATTGTATTGGAATGTCAAGTTGCCCACGGGGAACTCTCTAAGCGCAACGCCACCACTATCTAAACAACCGGCACGACCAAATGACTATCATATTCACCACCGAAATGCACAAAATGCCGCCCCTTATTCCTGGAATGGTCGTTCGTTGTAAAGGGGCCAGTCATACCCATATGATGTCCACTCACTTGCAGCGCAATGCTCTCACCCGCCTCGAACTCAATACCCGTCGCCCAGATACCGATATCCAGCCTCACAATCGTGTTTGGCTCGACCTTCTGTTCTTCGTCGTGTGGATGATAAGGCCAATTCTCGTGTATCGACCGCGCGGGATCAATCTTGCGTCGTGAAGCACGCAGAATGCCGGTCGGACCAGCATACATGATGACTTCCGAACGGATCTTGTCGGAGATCTCGGCAATCTTCGATACAGGTACGCCTGACCAGGGAATATTTAGGTTGAACAGCTCCTCTCCGGATGCTGATAGTTTGCGGATGAGCACGTAGACATCCAAGTCATCGGCGTCAGCACAAGACATGTGCAGGACTGCCTTTGTCATGCCTACGATATGTGTCGTCTTATCAAACTTGTGCACAAATTGGATCTTGTCACTGGCGTGCTCCGAATCGTAAGATACACTGTCGGCTTTCGCCGCTGGTCCTTCCAAGCTCAGTTTGCCCTCAGACTGTAGAAATAGGCGTTCATATCGCGTGCGAGACATGGGGAAGTCGTCCTCGACTATGTTGGAAATGGGATCTTTCTCTCCGAACCGAAGCACAGCCATTCGCACACGTGGAGTTGACTCCCAACCATTGTCCAGCCCTTTGAGATATCGATCGAAGAAACTCGCAAGCTCGACTTGGCCGTCTTTATTTCCCCAGAGATCATACCACTCCTGGGTACCGTGCCATCTTAGCCACTTCTCCTTGGATTCGACCTCGAGCCAGCCACGGATTGCACCCATCCCGTGCATTGAATTCGTCCATGTGCCAGTGATATAGGTTGGAATCTTGATTTTCTTCATATCGGGTCGCTTATCGTTCCAGTAATCGTTCGCCAAAGGATATTTCTTGTACATCTCCCGAATACTCTCGAGGCCGTGATTACCCTTGAGCATATACTTGACAATGAGATTATCGAAGAGATCTCCAGAATAGATGCCGCCCCGGGCAAATTGTTCGCGGTAGAGATCACCGCAGCCCTCCCATGGGGCGATTGCCTTGAGCGATGGAGGATTCAGCGCCGCGATAAACCACTGGATAATTGCCAGATGGGAATTTCCAGCCAGGCCGACACTTCCATTGCACCAATCTCTCTTTGCGATGTCTTCAATGACGTCGTAGCCATCTTCAGCTTCTTGTGTGCCATGGACAGCCATCATCCCTCCGGAGTTACCTGTTCCTCTGGCATCAGGATTAATGATGGCATATCCATTGGCAACCCAATCTGCAGGATCAGGGGCTTCGAACTTTTCGAGCCCGCTCAATGCATCCTGAGGTAATCCTAGATTCCAAGGTACCATCAAGTTCAATGAATCTTTGCCACTGAACTTTTTGCCAAACGGCGACCAGCATATCAGAGCAGGTACTTTTTCAGAGGAATTTACTGGCCGAAAAACATCTGTATACAGTGTTGCACCGTCCCGAACAACGATTGGAACATCATGCTCCACCAGAATATCACAAGTCAGTTTCTTCTTCGAGCCTGGAGCGGCCCACCCTGCTGGCAAGACTTCGCTGCGCGTGTTTAGTGCTTGAAATCCATTCTCTCCAACCACAGGGGCTGAGATCTGCTGGACTTCTACCGGAACACTGAACTTCATGTTCGCTTATGCCGGCTTTAGAATGCTCTTTATTTCGCTGTGATCAGAAATACTGCACATTTGCTGACTGGACAATTAGATTTTGTTTGGCTTAGGAACAATGAGACTTCCAACACGGCATCTCACGTTTTTAGCAGCAAAAGTAAACAAGGTTTCTGGTATTCTTTTACGGGGGTCCCGAACACACGGCTCGTTAGTCGCAAATCCGTGTGTGGACATTCGGTTCGGAATGGTAGCTCGGAACACTCAAGAGCACGATTAGCCTCCCGCAGTTCTGGCAAACCCCAGTTTTTCACGCTGCATCTGCTTCTTCGAGCTCTAACCAAAGAATTCGATAGTGCGATCGGCTCCACGTCTGGCTGGGGTAAGGATGCTCCGTTGGTTGCGGAGTATGATATCTCGATCACATTGTTGTCCGTCGAGCATGGGTGTATATTATCCAGGCGAATCTCCCTGTTGGAAGAGGGGCTCATCATACTTCACAGCTCCGAAGTAAAGAAGCAATCATTCTTCATCATGGAGAAGTCGCCAACAACCCACGTCGAGTATGACTCATCCAACGCACACTCGAATGGTGGAGATGCCATTACACGAGTGCCTACTCAAGGCAAGGACGCAGTGGTAGGAACTGTAAGGCTGTTGCTGGGCAATGAGACAGTTCTCTTGCCAACACCCTCCCCGGATCCAAAAGGTGAGCCATAGCAATGATCCTATGGATTAATTCATGTCTGATGCCTCCTACAGACCCTTTGAATCTCCCAGCATGGAGAAAATGGTCGATTCTCATCCTAATCAGTGTGTTTGGATGCTCCTGTGTCATCCTCGCCTCAGGACTAGGACCAATCTTCTCAGTCATCCGAGCCGATTACCCAGGCCAGGAGCTCAAAGCCAATGATCTGATGGTCTATCCCACCTTGTTCATGGGAATTGGAAATGTCCTTGCCATGCCCATTACAGCCGTCATCGGTCGACGACCTATAATCCTGCTCAGCATGGTCACCTTGGTCGTCTCATCAATCTGGTGTCAGCACTCAGGAAGTCTCGGCAGCCATATTGCGGGTCGAAATGTAATGGCACTGGCAGCGGGACAAAGCGAGGCACTCTTGCCAATGATGATCCAGGAGATATTCTTCCTTCACGAGCGCGGACGCAAGCTCGCCTGGTTCGTCTTCCTGGAGAATTTCCTGGTTGGCATCTTCTTCTTCACTTCCAATTATATGGTCAGTGCTTGGGGATGGAGGGGCTGGTACGCATTCTTTGCTGCCTTCAACGGCCTCATCCTCCTCTTCTCCATATTCCTTCTGTTGGAGACCCTGTTCATTCGCCCAGATGACGCGAGTACTGGGCAAGTCCATCTGACGCTGAATGACGTGGGTAAGGTGGACGAGGAAGGCGCAAACGAGCTAGTCTTCCGTGTCACCACAAAGGACAAGGACTTCCTCGAACCCGAAAAATATGGTGTCCGCACGTGGCGTACCGATCTCAGGCTGTGGAGGAAAATTGACAACTGGGCTCAGGTCTCATACTTTTATCTCGATTTTCTCAAAGGCATCGTCCATCCGATTTTCTTCTGGCTCCTCCTACTGAACGGCGCTTACCTGGGACTTTATATCTACCAGGCTTCGACGTTCGCAACGATACTGATGTCTCCTCCATTTTCCTTCAAGTTCAATAGCCTGGGTTACGTCCAAGGAGCTCAGATCCTCTGCTGCTTGGTCTTCTTGCCGTTGCTAGGTTATGCAGGAGACCATCTCATTCGGTTCCTCAGCAAACGGAATGGTGGCGTTTACAAACCAGAGTATCGTCTGCCATCATTGGCGTTACCAGCAATCGCTGGTGTTATCGGTGCATTCATGTACGGTCAAACTGCCGCACATCCTGAAAAATACCACTGGTTAGGTGTAGCCCTCAACTACAACATCATCTTCTTTGCCTTCTTGGGCGCCAATCAAGTCGCCCTCACGTACGCGGTGGACAGCTTCCCGCTCAAAGCCGGCCCTCTGCTTGTCGTCGTTTGCGCTGGCAGAGGTTTCATCTCATTCGGTATCGGGTATGCTGTTCTTCCATCAATTCAGGCCATTGGATATGACGGGTCCATGAACGTGGTTGGCACTATCTGTGCGGTGCTTGCGGTAGCTGCCATCCCCATGTACTACTTTGGTCCGACTTTCCGCAAGCTGGGTCAGAATTACTATGGGTTCGGCGCCTCAAAGGAGCACGCTAATGGCGGGTCTGGTCACTGAGGGTGATATTGCTGGATAGAGCCATCGCAGAAGTAGCAGTCGACATGGCTGAAGGCTATTCTTCATTTGGAGGCACTCTGCCACATAGCTTAAGTGCGCATAGCGGATCCCAAACCCTATACGTTTAGGGAGCCCTCATATATTTCTCACTTTATTCCCATTCTTCTGGACAGATTCAATCGTCATGGTAAATTTCACGCGTGCTGTTTAAGATCCGAGGAGGGTAGACTATTGATTCTGCAAATCCGAAGATTTACACTCCTCGCTTGTGACAAGCCCATGCAAGTACAGTCCAACTTAGTTTCCAACCCGCCTACGTAGTAAACATGTTGGAAAGTCTGATACAAAATTCCATTGCCGGGTTAAATGGAATCGTGGAACACCACGATGGAAGAAATGCTCCACCCTACTCGTGACGTAGTGTGAGCGGCTCGGGGATGCAATGTTATTTTGCGGTCTAATGTCTTTAGCAGCGTCGGAGGTAAACTTCACAAGAAGAACCCAAACTTGTCAGGATCAGTCAACGCATCTGGTCTGTTCTCCTTCACCTTCTCCAGAGCAAACGAGTTCGATAATATATAAGCATGAGTCTTGAGCCGTAAACGAACAAAACTCTGCAACCTCAACCCCCCCAAAACTACCCTCAAACAACGAATTCCCCATGTCTTATAACACTACCAGCTCGAAACGCGCGGCCGAGGACTACGCGCGGACGACGCACGGGCAAGAAGACTCGTACGGACAGCCAACGAAGAAACCGCGCTTCGACGTCCGGAATCCATCAGCACTTGCGCCGGACGCGTTGGAAGACGATGCGGTGCTCGAGGCGGACGTGATTGGTGGTCGGGGGCAGCAGGTGCGGCGGGGTGCCGTCAACATCGACGGCTACGATTCGGACTCGGACAATGACAACTTCGACGCCCGTGCCGATGCTAAGGCCAAGGAGCAGAAGAATGCAGATGCCAAGTCGAAGGAAGAAGAGGATAATGACATGTTCGCGGATCTGGAGGAGGATTTCAAGGACGGAGATGACTCGGAGGGTGATGCGGGGAGACGAGCGGGTAAGAAGAAGAAGGCTGTGCAGTTTCTAGACGCCGATCAGATCGTCGGGCAGGTGGAGAATTCGACGAGTGGAGGGCATGTTTCTGCGGATTTCACTTTGAATAAGTCCAAGGGAAAGGGTAGGGTGCTGGACAACGAGGTGGAAAGCAGTAGCGACAGTGAGGTGGATGATGAGACGAGAGCCAACGCCGATGAACTTGATCCTGAGCTTGGAGCTGGCAGCAAGAAGACACATGCACCCAAGCTAGATGCCTTCAACATGAAGTCAGAGATGGAGGAAGGTGGCTTCGATGACCAAGAAAACTATGTCCGGAAAGCAGTCGATCCAGATGCCAAACATGATGTATGGCTAGAGGGGACGTCTAAGAAGGAGATCAGGAAGGCAAAAGAGGCGGCCGAAAAGCGAGAGGCAGAACGAAGAAAGCGTGACCTGGAAGATGATTCACTTTCGATCGGAACGGTTTTGTCGACTCTGATTCCATTATTGGAACGTGGTGAGACCATTCTTGAAGCTTTAGCCCGCCTTGGAAAACGAAAGGACAAGAAGCCGAAATGGCAAAACAAGAACAGGAATAACAAACACAAGGGTACAGCTGAAGACGATACCACGGCTCAAGATGAAGCAGCCGAACAGGCTCGTCGTCAAAAGGTCGAGGCTATCACAGGTGCGGCAGATATTCTTATGACCCGGGGTCAAGCCGAAGTTTACGATGCTGAGAGAGAACTACTCGTACGACAATATCGAAAGGAAACAGGTGAAGACTGGGTTGAGCCTGTTGAACAGGATGATCATGAACAGATTGATTCTATGGAACAGCTCTGGGAATACAGGTGGACTGACGCCAGAGATGGTGGAGCCATCAATGGCCCATATGATTCTAACACCATGCGACAGTGGAACGATGCTGGATACTTTGGTGAGGGTGTTGAGTTTCGTAGAAAGGATGATGGCGACTGGACCAGAGTGGCAGCCTTTGCCTAAAATGAATGCCCAATATTCCGAATAATTGACTTCCTAAGCATGGAATATTCCAGTGTCAATTCGACCTTCTCCGCTTAGCTTCGATGCTTCAGTGTGTTGGAATGTCATGACCCGCCAGTTCAGCTCTCGTCGCCAGAAAAGACCATATGCAAGCTTCTTCTCACCAGCCTCAGAAGTAAGACTACCACTTCCAATCATTCTCCGGCCAAGCACACAGGCTCGGAATCTGGAATGGATCATTGCCATACCACAGCACACGCATGGCTCGTGAGTGAGGTAGAGATCAAGCCCGCTGCAGAGATATCCCTCATTCTGAGGTCTTGTTTGCTTGGACGAAGACTCTGGTGCCGGTTCGGTGGATTCTGTGGCCGTGACTTTGACGTTGTTCACAGCAGCCGTCAAGTCTGCCAAGACTCTGTCGTCATCCTCGTACTGAGATTCGATCGCCGTCAGAACTTGACCAGATGGAGTCTCTGAACAAGTGGCAAGAAATTTGTTGTGGGTTCCTGCTTTGATGCGTCTTCGCAACTCCTTATTGGCAACCATGGCAATGGCACGCATGAGAGCATGATACTCTGGTCTTCCTTCGCAGCCTAGAGTCCTCAACGACTCACGAGTCGTAGAGTCAGGGGACCAAAGACGTGCGTCTCCTGCGACAGCCACAACACTTCCTGTTTCCGGGTCGACCACAACTGCGCCAACGGCTCTTCCGTAGCCACCAGCCTTGGCTTGTTCAGCGGCAGTGATTGCTAACATCATATACTTGTCGGTGTTGGGTACTTCAAGGGCTGTCCGAACACGACGTAACTGATTCATGGGTGGGGCATCTTGAAGCACTTGTGCCGCAGGATTGTAGATTGTAGGCCAATACCGCTCAGTCCAGAGTACGGCTTGTTCAGCATTGAGAGGAGCGAAGCGAGGAACAACAGCATCAAAGCAACGTGGTAAGCCTTCAACTTCAATGTGTGGTTGGAGTGTGGCTTTGATCAACTCCCATGTGACGACTGTGTTGGGTAAAAGGAGGAAGATGGTCTGAAGACCATTGGAATCATAGTCACGACGCCATGTCAAATCCAACGGCAAGTGTTGCAAGGTGCAGAGGCGGCGTAGATGGCTGAAAGACGGGTTCTTTCCACCTGAAGGGATGATGGGTTTGACAATACTTGTTTCAGTCAGTTTGAGGTCGGTTGGCTGGCGCTGATTGTAGGCTTCACGTACCTCAGTGCTTTACTCGTCAATTTTGCAGGTATCTCCACGACGAAAGCCTGAACTATGACACTGTAAGCAAGGTACAAATGTGCTCACAGGAGAGGGAAACTCACCGAAAACATCCGAGGAGCGATTCTCGTGGAGCGTCTTCAATGGCTCAAGGAAAGAAACTTGGTCCGCCATGACTCCAATGGCGGATGCAATCTTGATACATAACTCGACGGGCAGAGTTGAAGGTAAGAGAAGAGAAGCGAGTTGATGAATGAGAGGAAAGGAATAAATAGAGAGTGTAGGTGCAGGTGCAGGATGATGAAAGTGTTGAACGGGGAAAGAGTGACGACCTTTTCATCAAACGACAAGAAAGGGAAAGAATGAACCTGATTGTCGCTTGCTTGTGTTGATAGACAAAGCAGGCGCAATTCACGAATCTGGCTGCTTGGGCAGATACTCTACCTTCTGGCACACAGCGACAGCGGAGCCTTTTACACTTTCATCATTGAATTTTTCTGACTTATGGGCAGAAAATTGGTGACATTGTACTCACAGTTTCTCGTCGAGTCCAGAAGTCGATATCAAAGAATTTCGTGGGGGCTTGATTGGCACCAGAGTACGTCACTGCTGCATCGTTTCAAAAAGTCATGCTTCGCCGTATAAATCTTGGCGCGACGGACCCCGGATTTTCAATACTCCGGCCGAATCATGGTGATTTCGAGAAAAATGCCATCAAGATACGATCCTACTCCCAAGCGCCAACAACAAGCCAATGTGTGCCTGCCCAGGCCGGTCACCGTATCTTTTGAGAGGATAGCCCAGGACCAGTAATGCGGCTGTGGTTAGCATTCTACTTGCGTCCGTATCCCAGGATAGCCTGAAAGAGACAAAGGGGCTGTCATCACGGTCTTCACAATTATGGTCATAAGACCGCAGAGATCAACGATACTAGTACGTTCCGAGATGGACGTCGGGAAAGATAATGAGACGCACTTGATGGGCTTAAAAGGGGAAATGGAAGCCCGTCAGTGGGGATAATGATGATGATCGACTTTAACCTTTCGCTCGCCGTGCGGAGAAGCAAGATGTTTCTCGAGACATTTAGGTAGGTCGTGATGTGGTCAATCTACCTAACATCTATGGAAACATAAATGATCTAGATACTCAGCTTCACAGCATGACGGACCTTTCTACGAAACTTGCGCAGCTCGAGGCTGCTGGCACGCCGATACAGGTCGGGCTCATCGGTGCCGGTAAGTTTGGTTCAATGTTGTAAGTCAGCGCGATAACTCTTGGTTTACTACTATCCGTATCTGAAAGTGTGCCAAAGTATTTCCCAGGCACATCGCACTAGAGGAATAAGGCTTGCTGCAATTGCAGATTTGTCACCCGAGAGAGCATTAGCAGCACTGGAGAAAACGGGATTCCCTCCAAAGAAATATGACACCACTGGCAAAATGTCCCTTGAAGAAGGTTTCAAAACTGGGAAGACAGTCATCACCACGGACTCTGCTGCAATAATTGCATATCCGGACATCGATGTCATTCTCGAAGTCACGGGGAATCCTGCGGTTGGTATCCGTCATACTTTGCTCGTACGTCCAGAACATCCTATCATAAGGGGTAGAAGCGATTGCTCACAATCGGTAGTGCTGTAAACACAAGAAGCACATTGTTATGATCAACGTCGAAGCTGACGTCCTGGCGGGGCCTCTTTTGGCACAGCGTGCAAGAGAAGCCGGGATAATTTACTCCATGGCATATGGTGATCAACCAGCCTTGATTGCCGAGCTGGTGGACTGGGCAAGGACTGTAGGATTGTAAGTTTATAACTACGTGGACCAATCTCAGTTCTGGACGAAATTTAATGGTGCGATAGCGATGTTGTCTGTGCTGGAAAGGGAACGAAACACCTTCCTCAATACCATTACTCAACGCCAGACACAGTATGGGACTACTACGGCTTCACTAAAGAACAATTGGCATCTGATAACCTCAATCCTCAGATGTTCAACTCATTCCTAGACGGCACCAAGTCCGCACTGGAGATGGCAGCCGTCGCGAATGGTTGTGATTTGACACCTCCTGCCAATGGCCTGAAATTTCCTCCCTGTGGACGTCATGATTTACCACAAGTGCTCAAGCCAATTTCGGATGGTGGGCAGTTGGAGCACAAAAATACCGTCGAAGTTGTGTCCTGTCTTGAAATTGACGGGCGTCCGGTTTTCAACGACCTGCGATGGGGCGTCTATGTCGTCATTGAAGGTATGCTCACAGATTGACACGTAAGTGTGACTCGTACTAAGGTGAGCCTCACAGCTCCTGGGCAGTATCAAACGGACTGCTTCAAGCAATACGGCCTACAGACAGACAACTCAGGGAAATACGCCGTCCAATACAAGCCATACCACCTGATCGGCCTGGAGCTCGGCATTTCGGTCGCGAGCATCATGGTTCGAGGCGAGCCAACGGGCCAGACCAAGACATGGGCGGCCGACGTTGTTGCGACGGCAAAAAGAGATCTGAAAGCCGGGGAAACGCTTGACGGTGAAGGTGGTTTCACTGTCTATGGCAAACTCATGCCTTCCCGAGCTTCCTTGGCGATTGAAGGCCTGCCTATTGGTCTTGCTCATGGATTCGTGCTCAAGAGAAATGTCACCAAAGATCAGATGCTTAGCTGGCAGGACGTTGAGTATGCTGAGCTTTCTCAAGCTGTCCTTCTGAGACGCGAGATGGAAGCAATCTATCGCAGAGAATTGGCCGCAAATAATCCTTGAGATACCGCGATCAGACATCAGGATGGATGCGATTCTGGAAAGCAGTGGAGTGTTGCAGGTAGGTTCATCTTTGTTGCCAGGGGTATCGAACACTTTGACTGAAATCCCCAGCAAAGGCCATTAGGTATCCTACCTTCACAAATATTCGCCATAGTGATTAGTTTATGTGGTTTCACAACAAAAATTCCATTGTATTTGCATTTTCGTGGTTTCGATACTTTTACTGCGACAAAATCCCGAAAAATTCAGTGTTTCTATGTTCAAGTTTTGCGGCGCGCCCGAGCTTTCAGGAATAAGGAGAACACAGATATCCCTGGACCTGAACCGCCACTTCATTTATGTTCTGCCGTTGGGGTTGTCTCTCAAAGGAGAAGCTCCCGATATCGACATGTGTACCTGCGAGACATTCGTGGCCAAAGTACGTACTGGATTCATTTTCTGTGATACTCTCTCTCTAGTCCTTGGTATCACGGTCTTGATCAGCAACGACAGCATCGACAATTTCCTTGTTGATGCCTCTCCAGTTCTTCTTCGCCCAACCGAACCACCCGATCACCGCGGCGATCTGAACAAACGCATTAATTGGAAGTGCATAGTTCATGCTTGAGGGACCGACTGGGAGGAAAGAGGGGAAGCACAGGAAGACCATGATGTAGCTGGTGTAGATGATGGCGAAGATGTTGACAGGCAGACCCCATTTACCCAACGACCAGCCACCGGGCTCGATACGACCCTGCAAGCGAGAGTACAGCATGCATGAGATGGCGATCAGGTAAGATTGGTATAAACCCAAAGTGGAAAGGGCGACAATGACGCTAAAGGCGATGCTGCTCCCGACGTTCAGGAGGGCGAGAAGCATAACGATGAAGATCGGCAGCCAGACAGAGCGAATAGGAATGCGGTGCTTGGGGTCGATATAGGAGAAATATGCTGGCAGTCCACCATCGCGAGACCATGCCCAGGTGAGCCGAGAAGCAGAAGCGACACTGCCTATGGAGCAAGCAATGGTAACAATCATACTGATTCCCACCATTGCTGAGCCTGCGGCCACAGACTGAGTGGCATTAATGCAGATTGTGATGAGGGGATATCCAGAAGAGAGAATCTCATCGACATCACCCAGACAGTACAGGATCACAAGGATCATGCCATATGCCAGGACGCCATTCATCACGATACTCCAGAACATTGCTCGAGGGACAGCGTGTCGCGCCTTTCGTACTTCCTCAGACATATGAACCGCACCATCGAAGCCTAAGTATCGTCGTTAACGGACAAGCGCCTCAGAAACCACAAGATTGCGACTTACCAACGAAACCCCAAGTTGCTGTCAACATACCGAGATTGAAAGAGACATATTCGTTTGTCCAACCGGAGAGTGCAGTCTTTTCAGTGAATACAAATTCTGTCGAGTGACGGGGTGCCAGAGTCACCAAGACCGAAACGAAGATGATCCAGGTGATAATATGCAGCAGGCCAGCGAGAAGCTCCATCCATGGGAGAAGGAAAAACAGGAATTGATTCATCAGGCCTTGAGTGATGAGCATGGCATAGATGATCAAAGTCACATGCCAACCCTTGGGAACATAATCTGGGTATGATGCGCTGACCAATGTTTGAACCATGAGGGCGGCAATATTGACCACACCGGCCAGGAGCGAGATCCAAGAGAACCAAGTAATCCAACCTTGCATCCAAGTGATGAACCGTCGATGCGATGCAGGAGCTAGGTAATACGTCCAATGGTATTGAGCACCTGCAATTGCTTGGACGGACGACATCTCTGCCAGGGAAGAGACTTGACACAGAACTCCAGATATAACGATGAAGTAACCCAAAGAAACGGATCTAGGTCCGCCATTCCAGAAGAAATAGGCCACATTCCTATCGACATCAGTGTTCCTAATCTTGCTTATTGTGTGCAATTCCTTACGATGAAATGGCTTCCCAGGATGACATATAACTCAGAGCAAAAAAGAATATCTGTGCAAAGCTGAAAATTCTCTGTGCGCACGTCAGTCACAGTTAAGCTAGAGGAAAGTAATGAGACATACTCTAACACGTGTTTGCGTGTTTCTTGTTCCATCAGTTCTTTGGCCAGTATACCCACCACCTCGTTGATACGATTTCTCCTCATTGACAGCAATCGCTCCCATCTTGACGGGAAGCATCTCGTGATTCATCTTGACGGACAAAAACGCCAATGCTTCGTGATTGGGCCTGGAGGAGAAAACTTAAGCAGAGAGAAGATAGAAGGAAGGGTGAAAGAAAGAACAAAAGTGCCAGGTGCTAGGTGCCAGTCTGATAGTCAATGCAAGCGAATCCACACGAGGGAGAAACGTGGAATGGAAACAGGAGCTTGGCCCTAGACCAAGTCAGGCAGTGAGCACGCAGGATATTCTAACGGATTTCAGTGTCTCGATCGAGGGGTACCACCATTAAGCGACGTGGATGGGCATAAGATTGGTAGGAGGCAAGAACAATCGAAAAGTCCCACGAGGAAGACACGCTACACCTGAGCTACCAATGAATTAATGCGAAGGATGTTCGGCGAAGTCAGTAGCTTGGATCTTTGGCACACCATAAGCTAACTACCAACAGGTAGGCTGCGTCTAAAAGTGTTACATGCAGTGTGTACTGGAGATGCGATCGTCGCATCGTTGCGGTTTCGATAAAGACGGAGGTCCAACAAATCTATGTACGGTCATAACCCACACTGAGTACGGCGTACGGACTCTCAAGAGAGAGCACGAACATGCTTGTCGAGTTTGTGGGTCGCCAGGGATCCTTGTCTCGATGGGATACAGATTTCCTGGTCATAATCGTGGCTTGACTGCCGTACGGAGCCCTTGTACGGAGTAGTACGATTCAGATGCTGGAAAGGATGCAACAACAAACCCTGTTATGTGTGATAGAACAAAGCAAAGCTTTGGCCAGGAAATCTCTCCCTGGCTAGTGTCGTTAACTTGTACGCATTTGTACCTCTGCTGGTGGCTTGCAACGATACATGCAGTGCCCAGAAGCTAATGTTGCAAGGGTGTTAAATCCGCCTCCCAATCTCTCCGAGAAGTGGACGGTCGAGGGACCTGGGGTCATCTTTGGCGATATCGTAGCAGAGCAGTATATTTTGGAGCTCGAGATCTTCATTCGGTAAGTATTGGAGGGCCTGAATTCCAGCAGGTCTCCATCCGCCTGTGCTGTCGCTTCATCAAGAGTCTAGGTCACTACCCATAACAAGGTATTAATTTGAGAGGCTCTTGTCCCAGCAGCTGTCGAAGTCCTTCAATTATGAACATACACCATCTTAATCGTTGGTTGTGATCAAGTGAATAGGAGTAGCCGCAAATTGCCTTTCACTAAGGGTTCATGAGTCCAGCTTCATTATGGTGTTTGACACTCGCCAGCTAAAATGTAAAGCCTCATTCCGGAACTCGTCTGGGGAAGGATCCGCGGACTCTCGCTTTGCAGACGTGATGGCGCAACCTAACGCGGATGATCTGGGAGGAAGAGAGGCTGGAGATAAGAGGAACTGTTTGATTGGAGCGCCCCCATTGGCCTCTTGGGTCAATGCGAACTTGAGGTGTAGACAAGGTGCCAATTCTGCCAGGACCGGCCCGCTGGGCGAAAGAGTCATGTCGATCACGGCACGGCAGTCTGCTCCCCCGAATGCTAGAGTGCCCCCACCTCCTCCATCGAGTTTAGCATCATGTACCTCAAACAAAGACGACGCTTCGAGCACACTGGGGAGAGCAAGGTTGTCGACTTCCAGGCATCCGCTTCAACATCCTGACTAGCTTTTCTCGCGGAGTCACATCCAGATGAGCCTAAGCTCCGTCCAAATACCTAGCTTAGGTATCACCCATGTCCAGCCAAGTCGAAAGCATCAAATGCTGGCGATACAGGCGGAGCAGCTCCTGCGCCAGGCTCTGCAGTAGGCGCCTAGTAACAATGCCTTGGGGCTCCATTCATCATTCAGGGTTCATCGCACAGTCTAAAGTGACTGCAAGAGATGCACATGTGGCTTCCACCAAGTCCATACTAATTATCAGAGTTTAGACTCGACCAACCTGATGGTTAAAAGTGGGACATCATGATTCAAGCCGTGTGGGCGAATAGATCAACGTCTCTCAGTGACAAGACAATGGCAGCTTGGTTCATCCCATGGAGCTCTCACTTCAGGGACCTGCAATACCAAGTCGTGAGTTGTCGGTCAACTAAATGGGGAAGGCAATAAGGGGGCCTTCTCCCTAATCATTTCATATGCACTGGGGCAACAGATCTAGGCGACCTTCAAAGTTCCAGTCGTTGGGTCGCCAGACTCATTGAGTCAAATTAGCTTCTTGGTCTGGAGAATGGACTCCCGCATCCGTGAGCGTGCCCTCGTTAGTCGCATGCTGGCGTTATCACACAGCAACATCTCTCCCCGATGATGGATCGGCAGTGAAATGAGGCTTTGGTCGGCCGCCCAGGAACCCATGCTTCGTGGCTGCTCATTCGAGGACCGGTGCGTTCCAACCACGGGATACCACAACAGAAGGAAAGTTTACGAGGATTTGCTTTCCCGTTCACTTCGGCACTTTCCTCAACACCCACCGTCAGCTTACTACTCTGGGCCCCAGCTCGGAGCATCTCTTCTCCAGTATCTAATGTGGATACAATATCGAAGAATACAGATACAAGGAGAGGCTGCATGTCTGTGTCTTCCAATTCCAGGTACGGATAATCCGTTGCAGATACCTATGGTCTCTTCTACGGATCCATACAAAGCCACCCGTGATCCACTAGATTCACAGATCTCAGGCGCCAAACACACCTGTACTTCGTAGGCGTTCTCTAGCCCACGCCTCGTTCTAAGAAGCTGGAAGCGCTCTGGATAACAGATTCTTTTGCATCTGTGCCCTGGACGGAGAAATTCAGTGATTCATACCGAAAATATTGGGATACGAGAGTCCGAGACGTTCCTGCATTAAATCGGATCCGTGGAGGAGAGCCCAATGGTTGTTTGAGCACTGTTGCTCTCTGAGAGATGTGGATACTGGTCTATGTTCGATTCCAGGGACAAGACTGTCTAGATTGCTCCCACTTTCTGATCACGCCAATACACGATTGAAACCATTAGGGTCTGGGAAACGTGCAACCCTGTCTGGTAAGTGACTCTTTCCTGCACGTCTCCTTCTGGCAAGGTTCAAATTTAGTTGCCAGCATGGAATTGATTGTCCTCGACTCTTGGTTCCTGCCAAGGGGGGTTCACGCGATATTCCTGTGCCGACATGTATGTTTCCTCCTTGGACCATTCCTTCTACGGATACCGATGCTGTAGAATAGAGTTGAGGCCATGCAGCATACAAACACTGTATGAAACCCCTGGAGTCAAGCCTTGGATGAGCTCCCAAGCGACATCCTCGATGCAACTCTGAGCCTGCCACTTCGAATATTGACAAATTCCACTCTGGCTATGCTTCAGATCCAGGCAAATGCTCATTGAAACCCATTTCTAGGTTCGAACCTACCATCCTCTCAGAATTACATTTGTTCGTGCTTTACACAACAATATCGAGAGCAAAGAAGATACAATGTCCGAGACAGGCGAGGGCGATCTATACGAGCCTCTAAAGCCGCCATTCGAGAATCTGACAGCTGATAATCGGGGCCCTATTGCATTGGCCGTCGCGGCAACCGTAATTGTCATTACTGGCTTGACGGTGGGAGTGAAGCTATGGACAAGACTGGCGACAACCCGAACTGTCGGGTTTAATGATGCTGCAATGGTGATAGCGATGGTATGGTTTGCTGAGAGGACTCTACACAACACAGATCAATTGACATACCACACAGATTTTTGCCGTTGCCCAAACAGCATGCATAGGTATTGCCACGGATAAAGGTCTAGGTCGACACATAGATGCGATCCCAGCTGACGACATCCAAAGTCTTAGCAAGGTGAGCACGAATGAATATAATCCGCTGGATACGACGCTAACAGTATGAAGGTCTTTTATGCGTCCAATATTCTTCTAATCCTCACTCTCGCGAGCGCCAAAGCGGCCGTGACTCTCTTGATCATTGCCATCAAGCCATTGAAAAATGTCATGTATGCGTGCTATGGCATGCTTGCATTCATCGCGCTCTGGGCCGTAGCCAGTGTGTTCGTTTTGGCTTTCCAATGTTCACCAGACCGGTGGGCGCTCGGCCCAAGCGACGGCAATACATGCGTCGATCAGTATGCAATGCAAATCGCCATCAGAAGCATGGACATCGCCAGTGACGTCGGGATTGTTCTCCTTCCAGCACTCATGATGAGAACCGTGCTTGTGAGTCGGGACAAGCGGTGGATGGTCATCATGCTCTTCAGCCTGCGTCTTGCGTGAGTACCTCAGGATTTGAACAACTCTGCTCCCACACGGCCACTAATACCATTCAATAGCACACCATGCCTGACCGCCGCATCGATGGTAGCACTCGACGACTTCTACCACTCAACACCACAAGACCGGACGTGGTTCGCCATCACACCATCAGCATGGACGAGCGTAGCGATGAACGTGTCGATCGTAACGGCCTGCATCCCGTCGATCAAGCGCTTCCTCGCCGACTGGGCGTCCGGGCTCAGCGGCGTGACCATCTCGGAACCGTTCGAGCTCGAGCACTCGGCCGGAAAGAGCGGCATGTTCAACAGCAGCAGCTACGCGCAGGGCAGCGGGATGGGAAGCAAAATAGCCACGAAACTGGGACTGTCGTCGTCGAGCAAAGCCCAGATCAGCTCGAACCTGCGCAGCATCGACAGCCACCACCATGACGCCAACCACGGCCAGACGACTCCAGGCGGCAATAACCGCGGCGCGACCGTTCACGCCGCGGACCCGAACGATGCGTCCGACAGCGTCAAAGGCTTGACGGACGGCGTCATCATGCACTCCATCGACTATCGGGTCGAGTACGAGGACCAGAACCCCGATAATCGGGACTGGCACAGCAGTAGCAGCAACGACAGGATCTGAATCAACCCAAGTTCCTCAAACGGGTTTAGAGCAAGCGATGGCGCACTGGCGTGGGAAAGAGATATCTCGACATAAATAAACATATATAAGTGTTGTTGATTTCAGAGAACATAAATGCGATGGGAAGGAAACTTAGGGATTGAACAAAAAAGCGAGGAATTTCGGTTGGTTCTGTCGGAGAAAAAAATGTAAAATGTACTATACACGATCGCCGGCGAATGGGCGCCACACCACGTATAGATCAAAACTCTTCCGTCTCACAAGATTGAAATGAAAAATTGCACCTTAAGGACTGAGCGATCATTCTCGCCAGAGGAGTGGACTAGCGAAAAATCGAGGAGATACTCTATGCAGGCCCAATGAGGGCACGGTACGAGCAGCACCGTCACTATCGCGAGGCTGCCCACGTCCCACGTGATGAGGCTGCACACTCGTACTATGGATACTATCACTGCGGACGGCTCATCGATCCGGCTCCGGAAAGGGGGTCCCGGCACTGGCACTAGGGGGGTAGCGGACCAGGCTTTTACGCGAGAAACTCAATTTATGGAGCTTCGTTACTGACTCGTGTACCGTATTCTCTTCCGTATACTACCTACCTAGGTACAGTCCGTACTGTGGCGAGGATTTTGCGGCTCCGTGGCTACTGGTACCCAAATACATCTTGGGTGTCTACAATACATAAGCTACTGTCTACAAATGCTAACTCGAGAACTTACAATGACGGTGCTTGAGCATTCTGTGGGCATTGGAACCCATTGGAACTAATTCGCCATGAACAAGTCTCCTATGCAATGATAATCACAGTGACTCTCTTTTTCCATTCATAGTCTCATCTCGAATTCCTTGTCCCGGCGTGATTTCCCAACTAAGAGTACAAAATAAAACTAACTCATTTGTGTTTGGTCTCCCGATCAAGCCTTGAAGGGGGAGATGATCCCAGCCTGTAGAGTCTGCAGATTTCCATATCGCTCACGACCGCCCATCCCATACGATGATAATCTTGAGCACAGCAGTGGCAGGTTGGTAGTGGAGAACAGATATGCCGTTCAACCCATGTCGGGGCCTCAAGTCAAGGGATGAAGACATCTTGTGACTCCTCATCTTGAAGTAGATGTTCAATGACAGAACCCATCATTCTCATGAGTGGCAGCAACGCTCTTCGCTAAGAGAATTTCCACCGGTTGCCGCAATTCATACACTCGCAAAACGTCGTCATCGGTTCGTCAGCACTTCGAGTTTGTGCTTGAGAGTAGCTGACTTTCTTCTGATGACATTTACCGCATTCCAGACTGGTACTGACACTTTTCTCTTCTTGTGCAACCATGGCATTGTTCATATTCTCCTTTGCAATCTTCTGATCTTCCTCACGCTGTTGTTTCGACTTCATTTCTTCGTGTGACATGGTGACAAACTTGGCTGGGGTTACCTCGCCCGAGAGAATACGCTTCCGAAGACCAGGATTGGATTTGTTCTTCAGATTCTGGTACAGTGATCTCATCTTCTCCTTGTATACTGCAGAATTGGAGGAGCCTTTGGCGTCAGGCAAGTTGAGAGCGGCAGACTCGACTTGCTTGGCGAGATCGAGAATCTGTTTCATAGGCTGACTCGAACCTAAACATAGACCATCATAAATCAACCCTATACAGTTGTTCCGCGCTGTGTCATTTGTGAGTTCATCTCGAGGTACTTTGTCGACCTTCCAGTTTCGTTTGTCCGGCGCAATTCCAGGACTGGTAAGTTTGGGAGCAGGTACAGGTGTGGCAGCTTTTGGTGCAGGCGAGCTTGTTCCGTTGGATCTTGCTCCGTTAGGAGTGCCTGCTCCACTGGCCAACTTCTGCTCGTTCACAAGATGTCTCCATCGACTGATAATCTCGGAGGCTAGTTGAGTGACTTGGGGATCAAGTCCTGACATGCCTTTGACCTTGTTGACGATCTTGCCTATTTGAGTTGCTCGCAGAAGCTCTTCACTTGGGCGAACATTTGTTTTGAGGTCGCGCAGGATGTTGAGAATACTGTCGGTGGGCTCCTTGGCTTGAATCGCTTTCTGGAGGGCAGAACCCTTGGACTGAATCTCGCGACGATCCATGGTACAAGCCGAAGGAGGTGAGAGGGGATGGTCGATCGCGGCCGCGGAACAAGCGGACAAGTCGATCTGTTGCATCTTGGTCAGCTTTGTCAGATCTTCAGGGGACGACAGGGGAGAGTGCGCGGGATGTCTGCTCGTGGGGTATTTGTAGGGAACAATGCGCACATCCTCGTGTGCGCGGTCTATGCACACTAGGGTTTGGTATTTGGAGGGCGCATCCTTACCTCAAGATGTGGAGGACCTGGAACCGGACGATGAGGGGCTGTACAACGGGAATATCGGCGTTGGAAGTGTGATGATGGCAGTGGAGGGAGGAAGACAGATCATCCACAGTGGAAGGGGAGAGATTAATGTAATTTGCGAATAATAAAATAATGCAGTGGAAGACAGTATTGAACAATGACAGAGACGAGTCTGAGAAGAGGGGTGGAATTGTGCAGGTGAAGTTGGGGTGAATCATGGAAACCACGCTAATTTAGCGTCAGGTGGCAATAGCCGCTTGAGTATCACACATCATTCCTTCCTTTACTGCCCAAAGACATCATTATATAGAAGGATATCAAACATCAGTTTGTTACCAAAAGTATATACTAATAATGTAGAAGTACCGGAACCAGTGGTAATCACAGCCAAGGTTTGCCATAACTTGAATGGTAGGTACAGATTGGGTGTTCACTCCCATGCAAACAACTCCGCTTTTAGACCACGCCCGCTGCATAGGTATACCTGCTTAAAAAGTCCTAGTATTCTAATCGAACCTCTTGTCCTGCGACACGTCCAATGACAATGTCGGCAGCATACTTGGGAATGACCTCATCGTCGTGAAGCATTTCAAATTCTGTACAGCTCGTTAGTCATGAATGGAAAGATCAAGAAGAGCAAATCAACGAACCTTCCGAGGCATCACGGCCCATATGGCTGAAGAGAGCCTGGGGACCACCAGGATGCTCATCAAGCCAGTTGGTCACATCCATCACAACACCCTTGACTGCAATCCACAAATCATCTTTCTTGTTGTGTTTTGCGACCTCTTCAAGCGTGAACTCCTTGTCAGGGACTTTGAAAGAGCTGATGTCATTCGCCTCCTTCTTCTTGGCGGGATCTTGGGCTTTGTTGCCATCCATCACGGGTGCCGCTGACTTCTGGGCTTGTTGGTTAGTGGTCTCGGTTCCGACTGAAGCCTGTCCAGAGCCACCACTTCCCCATTCGACCGAGATCTTGCCCGGCACGTTAGGGTCGATGTGTAGCGAGATCTGACCAGCACGTTGTGCAGCGGCCGTCACACCTCCGGAGGTAAGCTTCTGGAAGAGATATTGAGAGGCAGATGCGCCGGCAACACGGCCATAAACCACACAGCCAAGTAGTGACGAGCCACCCAGTCGGTTGGCACCGTGGACACCACCAGCCAGTTCACCACAAGCGAAAAGTGCCTCGAATGGCTTCTGCTCTGGGCCGCCGAGAACTTGGGCCTTGTCGTTGATCTCCATACCACCCATGGTGAAATGTAGTACAGGCTCCATCACGGCAACATGGAAGTCATCATCAATCTCCAGAGGCAGGTTGTGGAAGTATTTCTTGCCCCAGGTGTCCTTCTTTTCGCCCTTGGAGATGGCATTGTACTCCTTGAATTGCTTATCAAGGGCGGCTTCACCGCAGCCGATTTCCTTGGCCAACTCCTTACCAGTCATCTTCTTCATCAAACCACGACCAGAGTAATGTCTGGTGTGGAAGTCAAGAACGTTGGATGCTTTGGAATTGAGGACGAGTCGAATAGGCCACTTGCCCTTCTCCTTCTCCTCCCACATCTTGCCTGAAACATAATCACGATGGCCGAGGTCATCGCAGAACCGTTGGCCATCGCTGTTGAGAAGAATACCACCTTCACCTCGCAGGGCTTCGGCAGCCAGGAACTTCCATTTGGAGCCGGGATCTTTGGGATCAACCAGACCAGTGGGATGTACCTGGACCTTGTCCATATCGATGTCATTGGCACCAATGGCCATCAACATCTTGTGACCGTCACCAGTGGCATGAGTACCGTTCGTCGATGATAGATCGAAGGTATCTGGTCTGTGTTTCTTGAGGAGAGATGTTTCGGTGAAATCGGCAGCATAGCCACCAGTCGCAAGGACGACTACACCATCGACTGAATTTGTCTGGCCATCATATTCGTACGTTACGCCGGTAATGACATTGCCTTCCTTGTTCAGTGAGACAACCTTGGCCTTCTTGATGACTTGTACTCTGTCTGGGTCAGACTCGGTGAGCTCTTCTAATCGCTGCATCAGGGCGTATGTGATGGCCATGCCGGGGAATTTGGCATCATGACCTCTGTGTGTTCGGGGGAAGGAATGGCCACTACAGTCTTGTTAGTGGATTTTCCAAAATAGAGCGCCATGCGTTTCATACCCGAGACGAGAGACCAGGGTCAGGTCCAGACCAAAGACATCCTGTAGCCATTCGACTGCGGCTGCGGATTGGTAGGTCAAAACTCGGATGAGGTCAGGTCTCGCCTTGTCACGGGCGGACTTGAGGGTATCTTCGTAGAATTGTTTGACCGAGTCGCCGATGTTGAGGTCGACTTGGGTGCGGGTAAGTGCTCCGTTGATTCCGGAGGTAGCTTTGGTCGAGTTGCCACCGAAGAAGTCTGCGGGAAATGTCAACACCACAGTTTCGGAAGCTGCACTGGATCAGACTTACTGTTCTTGTCGAGTACTAGGACGTTGCCACCGTTGAGATAGACAGTATGAGCAGCACTGAGGCCAGACACTAGGTTGCGAGAGTCAATGATGAGTAGGAGGATCGGAGTGATGAGGATATGACTTACGGCCACCGCCAACGACAATAACACGAGGAGGGGTCATGGTGAAGAGGGTAGAAGAGATGGCTAGACTGGGTGCGAGGATCGATGGAAGGTGGACAGAGTGCGAAAGGATGAGAATTTGAATATAAGGATCACCTGGCAGGCTAGACTTTGGCTATGCAATCTGTTTGGACGAATCGTAGAGGATGAATGATGGTAGCACCGAGAGTAGTGACAATTCGAGACAGAGAAGTGAACCTCGGCACGAAGTTTGAATGTGTGGGAGCCGCGGGAGGGAGAGGGAGAGGGAGAGGGAATTGGTAGACTGAGCAACAACGCACTGGCACGGACAGTCACGCTGACACTTGAAATATGCTTCACCTGACTGGTGCCCACACAAGACAACACTGGTAGCCCCAGACCAAGGAATTCTACTACTAGGATTGAATCGCCACAGGACTCGGTCGACTCTCAAATCTATCCCTCTAGATATATAATACTAATACTTAATTCTTCAATCGGTATTCTCTGCACCGGAGCGATCGCCCTCAACCCCAAAGCCTACGGAGAGCTGCCTTGGTCGTAACACAGAGCTGGGGACCGTCGGAGTTCTCTCCCCGGAGCTTCCAGGCTCGAGCCTGAGTGGACCCCTACGCCCCAGAGCCTGAAGGCTGAAGGGAGAGTTCCCCTCGGTCCCCATGCCCCCACAAGCCACCCCTAAATTCTACTCGTAGGCTGATCATGCCACCTGCTGGCGGTGTAAAAGGCTCCGAGAGCAGCGAAACGCGCACTTCACATGCTAATCCTCCTGACTCTTTCTCAGTCTCAATCTGCGAATAAGCATCGCAAGATTGGAGTAAACATGTGAAAATCACTGGTGCAAGGCACAGGTCACTTGACATACATTCAAGTACGTGTCCTCAGTAATCGTCACCGTCAATCATTATCATTCCGGCATCATCTGGAAACATACATATATACAGCCAACGCCGCAACAAAGATTAGATAGCCGTACCCCCAATAAGTACCTAGGTAGTACTCGGAACGAATACTTCGTAGTAGCTCGATTTGATGCAGGCTTCCGACACATGCGTGCTTGCGAGCCTCGCAGTTCCGATCTCGAGCTGCAATTCCGAACACCACTGCCCAAGGTTCGATTACCCCTTCGAATATCCTGCGAACACCGGAGAGAAATCAATCACCGCTGTTCCCGTCATGCTGTATCCTGATAAACCTGAAATAGCTTAACCATCCCAAGTTCAATCAAGTCCCGGAAAACATCTTTCGCTTAAACTGCATCGTACTGTCATTAAGCCTCGGTGCTTGGCAGTGTGACATGGGCAGTTGCAAGCCCAACCAACATTTCAGAAGACACAAACCTCTTGGGCGTCTTCATGGTTCCAGGCATCTCATACCATGTTTATGTCTCTAGAGATGATTCCTCGCCCTGCGTGATCCAGGTGTCATCTGTGGAATTCATGACAAACTACTGAGCGGGCGTTGGGATTCTTTGACGGCGGTTTCGTGGAGAACCCCGCACGATATCGGGTGTTCTTGGAGACGCACCAGAAATCTCATGGATTGAAACAGATTTCGGTGTCCTCGAGTCGAAGACCGTATGTTATTGTATCAAAAGACCGCGTGTCTTCTCAGGGCTCTTTCTTATTTATCGAGTGTTCGGTCGGCGTCTGAGTGTTGGACAACGATGTCGTCGAATGTCGCGTGAGCAAAGACGCATTCGAATCGAACGATCGTAGACTCGAGGCTGATGACGTTGAACTTGCCAGCCGCACACTACTGTGTGAGCGTGTGTTCTCGGTCTTGGGTTCTTTATAAAACATGGTGAACCGAAGCGTTTGGTATCTCATGATGATCTCTGGATCTGACAAATTGCAGTGGATAAACAATTACAACCTTGCAGGGCAAAGCAAGAATAGCGAGAGTGGAATATGAATACAAAGAACGATGAAAGAGAGTCTCAAGTGCAGTCTCGACTCCTCACTCTCGGGTGATTCAGATTATGTACAAGTATCTTTCTGCCCATATGAAATCCGTCATCGAAGGTCTGAATCGGAGACACATTCTCGGGCTGATGACGACCAGTAATGGCCAGAGGACAAGACTGCCGAGAGACAAAGGTCGGAGCAACTCGGAACAATGAGGCCGCTGACACGTGAGATTTGAACATTTATCACGTGATCTACCCAGGCTACGTATAGGTCTTTATACTGTGCCGGAGGACGCGTCTAAGTGACTCGCAAACCATGCATTATGTACCAGAACCATCAAGCCCAACCAACTGTAGCATCGCGGATCGAGTCCTCCAAGCTGGTCCAACCTGGTCGTCCAAATCGCTTCACTAGCTCCTCGGCTCTGTCGTTGGTGACTTTGCTCAAGTCTCGTCCAAGATCCGGAATATCTTCAATGAATTTCTGATTGGGGTACAATTTCCTCAAGATGGCGAGAATGTCATTCCAATTGTATGGATATGCCCAGGCGAAGAGTCGTTCGTTGTTGACGTCGGGATACAAAAGCGCTGCCACGTGAACCCTTGCCGTGTCCTGAACATTGACGAAATACTGAGGTGGGTTTTCCTTCAAGTCTTCACTTCCTTCAAATCCGTTCCACAGAGCCTTGATCCAACCCACGGTACTTGGCGCTCCCTGACCCTTGACGTCGAGTACCGTGCCCATGTTAGCATTTGGCAAGACCGCATTCAGTACAAAGTTGGGCTTATTCTCCTTGACCCATTTCCATGCAGCTTTCTCGCTCTCGGTCTTCGTGGCAGTGTAAACGTCAAGCCTTTTCTGTACCCCTTTGTACGGGGGAATCCATGCTTGTTTCACTACTTCGTCGTTCCAGGTCTCAGGAGTCACCGAGAACTCCTTGTTTGGCTGAGGACTGACTGCTGCCGTTGACGATGAAGTCATCACGAACCTCTTGATAGATGGCTCACTCGCTGCTGCCTTCAACCCGTTCAACACGCCGTTAACTACATTCGGCACAGCCACATTCGGGTCATATGACTCCATGACTGGTGTGGCCATCTGAATGTAGCCCGCTGCGCCTTTGACCGCTTCATCAAACGCCCCAGGATCTCCCATTTCCGGTACCTCAATCAATTCGAATTTCCCGTCCCCATATTTCCCATTGAAATAATCCACGGTCCAACCGCCTCGCTTCGTGCTGCGAACGGTACCGCGGACTCGAAAGCCTGCTTGGAGAAGTTGATCCACCACGTGGCTGGCAATAAAACCATTCGCACCTGTCACCACGACCAGAGACCCTGGTGGAATTGTAAAGTCACTAGGAGACATGATTGACCTTTTTGTGAAGTGTGTCCTTTTGTTGTATCCGGAAGACTATCCTGCAATCGAGTATTTTTCCTTTCGAATCCACGACTCTTATAAGTCTACCATTCATTTCAACGTCATGACACCTACTTTCATCACAAAAATTACACAGGCAAGGATGATTAAGCGTGCATCAACCTTGCGGCCAAACACCGTGAATGCCTCAACAACAACTTGCGCAATATCAAGAGCCTGAAGCGCCGATCATCTCAGATCATTGAGCTACCGCCAATCGGATACAACTAAGGTTCTTCTCGAAATAGTTAGCCAGTTCTCAAGTATGATCCGAGGGGCTAACAGGGCTGAGAAAGAGAATACTACCAAAAGCCTTAGCGGTAATCAAAAAGCCACGCCAAGGTCTCTCAGCCTACCCCACACGAATACTCGGTTGGGTGATTCCTTTCACACCGACGTCATGGGAACCTTTTAGCACAGTCCCCGCGAGACAATAGACCGATGCTAACTAATCACTCATTGACTTGGTTGATGGACGTTGATCGACACAAGAGAACCAGATCGAATTGTGCACAGCTGATCTACTGCGCAAAAGACCAGATCTTCTCGGGTTGTCTTAATCAGCTAGACTCCATGAACTTCCCACCGGATACACATATTGACGGCCTTCACACCACACTAGATATGTACTAAGCGGATTCATAGACTGTGTTGAAACTCTCAATGAAAGAACCAGCCTCGGATAGCTTGGCTCGTATATGCAAGGCGTAGGCGTACAGATTGTAGACTCAACACCACTTCATGGATGGAACGTTCCACTCTTCATCTACCTACCGCAACTTGGTTGATATGACTGCCAATGACAACCCTAACGCTTCGAAACACCTGAGAGCTCAGACCGGTGTGAACGAGGAAAATCGGCTAGGTCTCAACATGAACTCAGTGCTTACTTCTTTATATCATGTCACTCGAAATCATAAACCGGCAGCGAAGATACATCTTCAGCTTACTTCGCTTAACCCGGCTACTCTGGGCTAAAACTACGGGCTACTCGGGTACAGAAGCTGATCAGTCCAACTCGATTTGCGCCCCGAGCCAGAACCGTGAGAAAAATTATTTGATTTCATTTGATTCCAGTTGATTCCAGTTGACTTTCCCGGGTGATACTTATGCTTTGCGCGGCTAGTTCCCTTCCCACGCTGCAAACATCATGCGCGGATTTTGGCCGAATTGATGCCTAGCGAGTAGCCCTATGCACCGTCCACGCCCCCTCAAAGGCTAGGTTACCATCCAATCGGGTCCTGCTCGCGACCAACAGAGTACGAGAAACCACCAACTTCGTCTTTACTTCGGCGATCGCCATTCATGACTTGAGAAAGATCGGCCCTTGTGCCTCAAGGCTGAAAATTCGGGGGCATTTGTATTCCGAAGTCAAGCTTTAGATCCCAGACTACCACTACGACGAAAGAACGGGAACCCTGCATGATTATGTGACAGCGGGCGGCGCTCCATGCGGTTTTGAATCGGAAATAGAGTTCAGCAGTTCATTCTTGCGTCCTCTTCGATGTATATCTCCGCAAATCGCTGGGACTACACCCTGTTCATGATTATTACAAATAATCGCCCCCAAACCTCAATGACTCGAGGGTCTCGACGGCCACAGGGCTGACTTAATATCACCTTAAAATACTCACTCGCCGTGATCTAGTATTCTGGTTCAATGTCGTATATATTGACCTCGAGCCACCACCCAGGATGTCGGGTAACGCTGAGAACATCGATGGCGGGAAGAAACCACTTGAAGGAGGAGAAATCTCGAAGCAGCAGCCCGAGCCACATCTTCATCCAACAGAATCCATATTCATGTCCGCGAGGAGGATCCAAGTTGGTCTCGAGCCATGCGAGGAAGTTCCAGAGCGCGGGTAAACGTCGTCGACAGGAGGTGTTGGCACATCAGGGAGCAGAGTATGCTCGAAGCCTTGTGGGATGGAGGGCGGCTTCGAGTACTCCAGTCTCGCTGAAGGAGAGCCCTACCTCTTCGTCGACCGAGGGCAAGATGGTCCTTGGCATGAAGGTCTCTGCTTTGCAAGACGCCTCCATAGCTATGGTCGTCGGAGAGTCACCTGGGCAGCAAGATGGAGGAAAGAATGAAGGGGATAAAGGCTCGAAGATGACGCTCAACGTCGGAGGAGGCTTGCGCATGGACCCGTTCAACGCCTTTCCAACCTCCAACAGCAAGACGGTCAACATGATGGTCGATTATCGTAAGTTGACTCACCACTCCTCATTTTCGCGCTGTTGAGCTGACCTCCTCACTGTAGACATCCATGTTTGGGGACCGCACATGTCCGGCTTCTTTGATTCTTGCATGGGTTACAATACCCAATTGGATCTTTGTTGGCCAATTGCCATGCAGGATGAAATGCTCTTCGACGCCACGATTGCCGTAAGTCGATCAGCATGGTTGATCAGTAATGGTTGTTCCGCGGCGGACGACTCCTTCATGTTATACCATCGTGGTCTGGCACTGGCCAAGCTCCAACAACGCGTGAGTTTCACGGCACCCTGCGCCGAGGTTGAAGTTATCTTCACCATTGGGAGAATGCTCAGTATTGCCGTAAGTGTTTCTGCTTCTTCTTGTTGTGCCTTTCTCCTGCTAACACTGTTGCTTCTCTAGTACATGACAAACGAGCGTGATGCCTTCAACCTCCATATCGAAGCTTATCAAGCACTAGTGGAACAATATATCCACGCGAACCCCGGGACAGACATCTCACGCATCAATGTTAACCGTCTCCGATGGTACGTAATCTAAACCTACCTTTCTGCATAATAAAGAGACTAATGGCCGACTAGCTGGAAAGCAGTCCATGCATATAGGACCGAACGAGACCTCGTGCGCGACCCTTCACTTCAAGGCTCTCCCTCTCAATTGTCTTCTGAGACACAGTCGAGGCAATCGATATCACCACAACCCGAGACTTCCAAACAGAAGGAGAAGTTGACGCCGACGTCCCCTTTCTCTTACGCGACATTGAGTCCCGGAACCATATACTGGATCAGTATTCTGAACAAACTGCTGGTCCAGCAAGACTCAGCACATCCCTGGTCTAGAGCTGTAACTGCAAGGGAGCTTGCCAGCCTCAGCGACCAGATATGTCAGGTGTTGGTGTGGGAAGACTTGTCAGCTGTCGAGTCACAACTCTGTTGTGCACTCGTGGCATTCTGCCTCCAGCTCAAATGCCACAACAATACCCCTGAGACGACCGATCACAGCGAATCTCAAGCCGAGCTTCCAGACGAGCAGGACTTGTCCGAATACATCACGTCTCCAAGCGTACCACCCCTGAACGAGATGGCCCAGACATTCCTCAACAAGAGGCTCAGCGGGCTGTCAGGCAATTCCGACCTGCGCATCATTGTGGCGTGGTCGGCGCTGGTGATGGGCAGCTACCTCCTGCAGCACATCGATGGCTACGTGAGGAGGAAAGGGCACATCATCCTCGTCAGTCTCGACCTGGCTCTCCAGGCGGCAACGGGGCAGCAGTCGAATGTCCAGGGCGAGACCTACATCAACAACGGGTGGAGGATACTGGAGGCGCATCTCAAGGAGCCAATGGGCCTGTTCTGGCATGAGGAGCTCGCTGGGCGCTGGAAGCATGACTGGATCACCACGATTGCGAGACAGCAGCGCTGGGCGGCGACGGGGCTCTGGATCATCGGCGCGCCAAAAACGTTGCATGCCGACGGTCGTCCCGGTGGCAGTGAGAAGGTCGATGTGGTGGAACACCTGTTGTTGAAAGATGCCAGGGACACGCTGCCTTTTGTCGACCGTTCTCCCGCATCCGTGGGGTCGATTTATCCAGGCTTGTGAAGGTGGAACCTTAGGTACGAGTACTTACTACTAACGGTCGAATATCCTCATAGAGGAACTTGCCGCACCTGATTTAGTGCGTTTCCTCTGGTGCAATGAGAGATTTTAATCTTGAAAACTTGGTGCTTCCGAGACGAGGCATAATTGACCAGAAATAGGACTGGGGAAGTTGGGACTCGTTGGAACAAAAATACGTTAGTTACGAAATGATGAAATTGCTTGTACAGTATCCATCCCTTGAACCTGGAGGGGACCCTGATCAATCAATAGGATCCTTGCCTTCCCTAAGCGTTAAGCACCTAGCCACAGCAGCCTCATCGGCTTTCCTCGGCTTTATCGGCCTGGCTCCCGGTTTGTTCTTCTTCCCCAAGCATCAGCGCGGAGTGTTGCGGAATCATGGTTGGACATGAAGACTACCTAGAAATAGCCAACAACGCAGGGTGTACCGATTACGATCACATCGATGAGTAGAATCGAAGTGTCCGGAACCAAGGTCCTGCAACCACGCAGTGCGAAGCTCGGCGCTGCTTTGAACGGTAAGCCTCTTCCAAAATACCCACAAGACGTGGAGGAACATCTCGAGAGATTGGAGAATATTCATGCGCTTTGAAATCCACATCGACTACCAAAATTCTTGGAAAACGTGGACAAGCTCGGCAAGCATCCAGATTTCTGACGAAGAGGTCTGGGCCGTCGTGCTTGACAGCGACGAGCCGCACCGATATCACCTTACCTCTCGAAAAAGATGGGTACCGTGTGGTGTTATTCGCGAAGATCACAAACTATCCTCGAGAGTAAATGGTATAATTCTGATCCAGTATTGCGAATTATAGTCGAACTATCTTATCTGGGGCCAATCGGTTTTTGATTTTCGTTCCGCGTGTTGTTCAACATTCTGGCTCGGGATTGCGTGCTTTGCTGCAGAACACACCCACGCGAAAAAAAGTATCGCTTTGGCGGACTTGGATCGGCGGACGAGAACTTGTATAAGACATGAGATGGACGAATCTTATTTTATGGCCAAGTTGTGTCAAGACACGGCGTCCGTGTTCCCTTTTCTTGGTAGAACGATTGAAGTCTATTCGACACCCATCGATCGAACACCATGGGCAAGGAGACAGGAGACCACAAGGGTGCTCCAGCCACTACGGTGGATGAGGAAGCTGGATTCTCGACCTCTTCGAATAGCTCGCAAGAGCACATTGTGAAGCCGACTTCAACATGGAAGGGCTATATCTGGGATACCTGGGAGCTTCCCAAGGAGGAACGCTGGCTTTTGTTCAAGGTTGATGCATTTGTGCTGACCTTTGCTTCGGTAAGTTTTCTTTGTTTTTCGCATGCGCTCTCTCCTTGTTTTCCACTTCTTTGATTAATCAACTTCATAGATTGGCTACTTCCTCAAGAATCTCGATCAGTACAATGTCAACAATGCTTTCCTCAGTGGCATGCAAGAGGATCTTTCAATGTATGGAAATCAGCTTGTGACCAGCACTTCGATCTGGACTGTTGGATATGTCATCGGTCAGATCCCCTCGAATCTGCTGTTGACCAGACTTTCGCCGCGCATTGTTATTCCCTCCGTAAGTCAATATGCTACCTGCTTGTGTGGTCGTTTTCAACTTACTGATTTCACCCTCTCAGCTCGAACTTGGTTGGGGAGTTGCCACCATTGCCACAAGTGCAGTATCCTCGTACAAAGCACTTTATGCTCTGAGATTCCTGGTCGGCTTATTCGAGTGAGCCTAGCTACTCTCCTCATTCTTGGTTCTGGTTACTCATCGTTCAACTTTAGATCGGGCTTCTATCCTGGCATCCATTATCTTCTCGGTAGTTGGTACACCCCTCGTGAGCTCGGCAAGCGCGCCATGATCTTCTGGCTAGCCGGTTCGATGGGACAACTCTTCAGCGGTTTTCTGCAGGCTGCAGCATACACTGGTCTCAACGGAGTGCACGGTCGAGCAGGTTGGAGGTAAGCCGAGCCTGATTCTTGAACCGCAATCTTTCTGACTTGCTTCAGATGGCTTTTCATCATTGACGGTATCATCACACTTCCTTTGGCGCTCATGGGCTATCTTTTCTTCCCGAATCTACCTCAGGGGAACGTAAAGACATGGTGGACCACGGAAGCGGAACATCAGCTTTCAATCAAACGCATGAAGGCTATTGGGCGTGCTGGCAAGGAGCCCTGGACTTGGCCCAAATTCAAGAGACTCCTATTCAGTTGGCATACCTACATTTTGCGTATGTCTCCCTCATTAATCATCCCATTTTTCATCTCTTGTGCTAACAATCGTCTCCAGCCATGTTGTATGTCATTTGGAATAATGGTAGTTTTCAACCTGCCATGGGTTTCTGGCTCAAAAGCTTCAATAAGAAACCTAATCCAGTGCCCGGCGTTAACTTCACAATCCCAGAGATCAACTACCGTGAGTGTTCAGGTCAAGTTCGTCGTAAATCGTACTAATCACAAGATGCAGTGCCCAACGTGACAGTTGGCGTTTTTATTGGCATGGCCTTCCTTTGGGGATGGGCGTCCGACGGCCCTCTACATGGTAGACGTTACCCTTTCATCTACGCCGGCGCCGTGATCAATGTAAATACACCTAAAGACCCATGGTGATCTCCTACCAAAAGCATACTGACATATATCACAGTTGATCTTCTCTATCGTTCTACGCCAGATGCCGCTCTACAGCGACATTCATGGCCGAAAGATTGTGTATTGGCTCAGTCAAATCGGGTTTGGAGCAGGCCCTCTCATCTTGAGTTGGATTAACGAGATATGTTCGGATGACACTGAGAAGAGAGCATTGCTCGTAGCCGCAGGCAACGATTTTGCCTATGTGGTGCAAGCGGTAGCTCCTAACTTCGTCTGGAAAACTACAGACTTTCCGGCCGCAAGAAAGGGTTATACATGGTCCCTGGTTCTCCAGATTCTACTTCGTAAGTGCAGCCGTGATGCTTCAATGAACGTGAACATGACTGACCTCTGCTTCCTCTCATAGTACTGTGGACAGCCCTCATCCAAATCCTGTTATGGCGAGATAAACGTATCGCGGCAAAGCGCAGGCAAAGTGAGGCTGCTGAATCTCATGGGGAAGATGCTGCAGGACTGAGTGTACCCAGTGAAGCGGATAAGAAGCGAATCAGTTTCGAAGCAGTTGCCATTGCGCCTGCGGCAGGTCCCATCACCCAATAGGTGCACATGGGAGATAGGCTGGTAGTGCTGGTGGGCTTCTACTGATGTAAGGGGTACACTGTAGCTATGTGAAACACCGTATGTACTTTTCGGTAGCATACCTCAATGACTAGATGCCTCCAAAGCATATTGAAGCACTGATGGGAATATCTTCGAGGAAGACTTCGACCTCAAGATCAACCATAGACGTTCGCAATACTATGTTCTCCATTGACAACGTCGCTCTTCTTACAAGAGACGTGGAGAAGGGCGTGCGGATGAGATTGAAGAGAACGCAAGCTCTCCAAGCTGGCATTGTAAATTTATCTCCAGAACTTGATAGAAGCAATACAAGGGCTGTGAAAACATCAAGCGACGATCTAGATAATGAATCCGCAGAATTGGAAGACCGACTTTGCAAGCTCTCACGATCTTCCGAGGAACGTACAAATGCTGATCCTGAGAATGAGCGTTCGGCATGTCACCTCCAGGTCTGTGACTGACATGGCACTATCCAAAGATACCATAGTACTCGTGTTGGTGATTTGAAGTCCGCCGATGCACAGTAGGGCGCAATGGCGTGTTTTCAGAGTCCGGCGTGTTCCAGTTCCAGTTCCAGTTCCGTACTTTTGACCTTAGGTAAGCGGAAACAGATGCCAAGAGAATATTCTTACTAGTCCCAAAACAGCAACTAAAGTTCGCCAGCACTTCCATCTCACTTGCGATTCACTGTTTCGTGAATCTCAGACTGCCTTCACATTTCTACCAGGCATCGTTGTGATTGAGTCACGTCTGGTGACTCTTTCTTTCTCTTTTCTACACCTCCGTCACCTTCCCTTCCTCCTGTTCCTCCCCTTCTCCCATCATCCCAAGTATGGTCCACACGCGTGGACAAGGAGCGCGGCCCGAAGGCTTTTCTGAATATGTCCCCCAAAAACGTAAGAGGAGATCTGCCATCCCTAATGTCAAAATCTGCTATGAGCGCCCGCAGCGGCGTGTTGTTTGTCCTCCGTCACCTCCATCATCTCCCCCACCTCCCAGCGATGTGAACAAAGGCACCATGCCGAATAATTCAAAATGCGAGGATGCCTCTATTCCAACGGACCCAGATCTGACAAAGTCCCCAGAGACCCCTACAGGAAAGCGACGTCGAGAACCCGAGGATGAGGCCGAGTCATCATCGAAACGCGCCCGGAACAACCTTCTAACACCCCAGCCACCAAAACACAAGCCCTTCTTCACCTCGAGTTGGCGCACGAGATCTGCCCTGTCCGTCCCACCCAAGATATCGATTCTGGATACACCAACCGGTTTCGCTCAAAAAGTCCATTCCGTCGAGGCTTTACATGAATCTCCATATTATGCCAAGATATTGAAACCGACCGATGACAAAGAGGAAAAGGCAACCCCCGAGCCCGCGGAAGAAGCCACTCCACAGACCCCTCAGCAACAAAGTACTCCGGTCCAGCCTGGTATCTTCGGAAGTGTGAGAAAGATCTTTGGGCTCTTCAAGGGCTCATCGCCAGTCAAATCAAGCACCCCGGCGGTACAGCCAACGGCCAGAACCTCTCCACCTCAACAGCGAACCTCAAGCCCAACTCCAGAACTCGATCTGGTGGCAAATAGTCCTCGGCAATCTCCAGAGAATGTTCCATCGCCGCATGCTTATCAGGCTGCGCATGATCAGTACTTCAAGCGTCGTCGCTACGGAGAAACCAAATCTGGACAAGCCTTTTTGGCGGCAAAAGCAAGAGATGAGGATGTCGAGTTCGAAGCCACTCCAGGCTCTAACAAGAGAAAGCTAGCATCTGTCGATGGCAAAATACCTGGTCCAAAGGCCGGTGGTTTCGGTATTGATGATAGCTATCTCGACGTTGAAAATCACGTTGACGAGGTCGATTCGATTCTGGACCCATCAACTCCCACCAAGACAACTCAGCAACCTCAAACTCCTCTACGCTCAGCATTGCGACAGAATGCCAATTCTACTATTGGTCGGTCAGGAAAAACAGTCTTGTTCAATCCGAACACCGAAGTCAAGCACGTCTATAGATCATATGGACCAGCTGGACAGTATCATGGCAGTGTCTTTTCCGATACATCGAGCATCTCTGAGTCATCTGTGTCGCTGAACAACCCACAAAGTATCCTATCACCATCCACTATCAGCAATACGCGCAAGAATGAGACCACTCGATTTGCACTCGACAACAATGTATTCGATCCCAACGACAATAGCTGGCGTCCGTCGCTCGCGAATCCATCGCCTGGTCATTTCCGTCTTCCCGAAGCTGATGAGTACGATGATTTTGATGATAGTGAGTTATCTGAACTCGAAAAGGAGAAGGAACGTCAAACCCAAACCAATGTTCCTCCCCAACCGAGTACACCTCGGATGTCTCATGCAGAGTTGCCTCAATCCTCTGGTTCAAATGCTATCTCATCATTCCCCAGCCAGAATGACAGTGGTGTTGTCAATGACATACAAGAAACCAGACTCAACAAGGCTAGATCCGAGGCTCAGAAGTACAAACCAGCACGATCATCACGCTTGTCTCATGGAGAGCCAGCACGGTCACGATCATCCTCTCCCCCATTGACAGATTCGAACACCGAGCACGAAGACTTGACCAACTCTGATTTCACAGAGTCAAACTTGATGTTCTCAACACCTGGACCTACGAACTTCCAGCCTCGTCACCATAGTACGATTATGGAGGAAGAAACTCCAGCCAAACAACCTAGTCGCGAAGAACTAGACAATACTACAGTCGGCGAAGATGGTATGACGGAGTACGAACGTGAACATCAATTTGACGAATGGGCGAAGAGCATTTTCGACAGCGTTACAGTTCAAACGTATGAAGAGGCCGGAATCGCAAGCTCGTACATTGCCGATCTGGTGCGCAAGAACTGGACACAGAAAGACACCGAAGACTCCATTGCCTACTGGGACAAGGAATTTGAAGAGGGAATCAAGGCTGACCGGGAAGCTCGTGCGTCAGGTCGACAACTGGTCTGGGTCACCGATCCGGCGGATATGAACTAATTGTGTTGATCCCATGTTGTGGACTTTGCCAGTGAGCGTGGATAACGAGCTTTTATTTACCCAGTATTCGTTCGCCTACGAGTTTCCTCTGCACAGAGGCGTACCTTAATAATGAAAGTTTACGTGTGTGTATATTGTCAGTGCTATACTTTTTCTCTTTCGAAAGCCCAGACGGTGCGAATTGACACTCGAGCCACTCGAAACATAGGCTGTAAGAACCCATGCAGCATTGCGGAGAAACAAGACAACATAGCGACAATGCATCTGGAGCATACGGAGTCTATCCATGCTACCTGTGTCTTGATGATCATATCTCACGATATTTACTTCCTCAACCCGAGGCCCTCATTGCAACAATGAGATGCCCTTCTGCTCCATTTATCCATGGCCGTTCACTCAGCACTGGTATCAGAGACACCATTAGCAACGGGCACAACGTCATCGACAAATCCCACCTCAATCAGACTCATTGTGCTTCCCTGTGGACTAACGATATTCTTGATCTCCAGTTTCCTCGTCGTCTTGGTCGACAAGACCTGGTCATCCACGCTCTCGTTCCCATCGCCATCATCATCAACAACCACGCCCGCAATCAACTCCTGCCACTCGGCGGCATCCCTCTCCCGCGCATTCGTCAACAACATCATCTGCAGGTCCTGCGTGCGCATCATGCGCTCGATGGCGCTCGGCACGACCCCGACCGGCGGCGACACCTGGTCCATGATGACGATGCGACTCGACGGCGCCATGCTCGGCACGATGCGCCGCAAGATCTTGAGACAGTACGCGTCCGAGTAGTCGTGCATGATCATGCGCAGGAAATACACGGCGGCGTGCTTGACCGGCTGCGGCGCGTAGAAGTCGTGTTCCTGGAAGGTGAAGCGGTCGCGCAGCTCGGGCGGGATCACGCTCGTGGCCGGGTCGGTCGCGCGCGCCACGATCTTCGGCAGGTCCTGCACGATGATGCGCACCGACGGGTTCGTCCGTGCGATCTGGATCGAGCAGTGGCCGACGTTGCCGGCGATGTCGACCACCACGCTGTCCGCGGGTAGCGCATCCCACGCGAAGCCGTGCGCCGCGTGCTCTTTATCCATCGCGGGGAATGAGCTCACGTAGGTCATCAGCTGGGAGAAACGCCCGCGCACGCCCGATTGCCCCGGGCTTTCGTAGTATGCGTACATGGGCAGATCGGTACCGCACGCGAAGTTCAGTCCGGCTTCGTGCGGGTGTTGATTGCCGTGGCCGAAGTGTTCGAGCGCTTCGACCTGCTTGACGGCCATGGGGAACACGTCGCGCGAGATGTAGGCGTTGAAGGCGGCGACGCCACTGTGTGTGATGAGGAGTTTCGAGGACGCGGTGTGTGCCACTTCATTGGGCGTGGGCTCGTGGAAGACGTGGATTTGGATGAGTTGGCGAAGCATCTGGCGGAGTTGCTTCGTGTCGAGGGAGAGGGCGGTCGCGAGGGCGCTGTAGCTGATGCTGGAGTCCAAGGGGACGGCGGACGCAATGGAATAGTGGTTTACGTAGTGGAAGGCGTTGAGGTCGTGGGTCTGTGTGGTTTAGGGACTCAGTCAGTTGGTTGGTGTGAGAGAGTCCTGGAGTAGGCCATATTGGTCCTGGAGATCATGTAGAACTCAACTGATAAGAGATGGTTGCTTCTTGGATGACTTCCTCACATATCGGACATCGACCACTTCCCAATCCAGGATGAATTGAGACATAAACAACCATTCGACGCTGTTTCAAAGAAAGAAAGCGAGAAAACTGCCATAGATCAGACTCACAATATTGTAGGTATTATAAGCGACGACCTCATCTGGGCCAGAGACAAGATCATAAAGCCTCTTGGCGGCAGCACGGAGATCCAGCCTCGCCAGCTGAATGTCCAGAGGACTGGTTGCATGAGGGAAGAACGGCGGGCCATTCTGATCAAAACTCATCTGGGGTTGCCCGGTCGAAGCGAGATGCTGCTTGATCTGCTTCGCTGTGGAGAGACATAGCTCCGCGAGCCGCTCTAGATCTTCTTCGTTGTTGTCTAGCATTGTGTTTGATGAGGTTTTTTGGTTTTTCTCAACACCTGGTCTTGTCTGATATTGAAGAAAGTGCTCAGTGACAAATTGAGACAACAGCGAAGTCCCAGACAGCAAGTGTGTGAATCCCACTTCGACCCCTCCATGGTGACACACCTCCGAGCAGTTCAGATAGAGTTCTTCCAGTAGGTGCTAGAGCATGACGAGTTAAGACAAAGTGACAGCGCAGCAAACGCATACTAAGGGGCCCTAGTTAGTCAGTCCAGAGTACTGCGTACTCCGTAAAGTTGTGGGTCTCGCAGATAGCCGAGATGGTCAAAGGAGGGTCTAACTAGACTCCAACGATAACAGAATCAAGAGGACAAACCGTTGAAAAAAACATGGGCACTAGAATGATTTAGTTGCATAAGGGAGCTCGTTCCCCAAGAGAAATGGGAACATGCATGACGCCGGTTCCTGCAGAATCAGAAAACATTTGATCATCACTGGTGGGAGATTTTATTTATTGCTTCGCCGTAGCGATTCACCTGAGGTATGAACTGTCGCTCGGCACTGGATCTTGATCCTGTCATCTAGTTCCAACTCTCATTCTTTTCCAGCTTGTCCCGTCTACCTCTTCTCCAGAATAGCCTTACCTTCCAATTATGATTGCTCTGCTGAATCTGCTCGTGGCGTGATTGATTCCTGCCTTTGGGACGTTGCTGCGATCCTTACTGGGAGGCTATAATTCGCATGAGATGTACAAGCAAAAGCTCCGGGTGGTCTTGAGTACCCTTGGCCCATTGCAATCGCTGATTGTCCATGCGGGCCTTGTATTCTGCAGGAGACTGTTCCCTACGGGGCTGCGTGGTTGTATTGATGCTTTGCACTGTGGCTTGTGCGGCGACGAACTGTTGCATTTGAACACGAGTGAATTCAGAGTCTCCAACCCTTGACAATAAGAGCTCTTGTCGAATTGCATTGACGGAAGCCAAATGTAGTTGCAATTTACTCCAGAGACCTTTGCGTTCAAGATTGAGTTGCTCCTCCCTGACGTAGTAGATGGTGCTGACACGAATCCAAGAGTCCTGCGGAGTTTCTTGGTCCATTCTTTTCAAGAACGCGATCTGAGGTACACTTTCAGGATTCTGCGCGTTGGGAAATATTGGAACTAGTGAATGGCCCCTACTCGCAAGTTCTCTTGCCTTGCCTTCGCAAGAAGATTTCGAAAATGCTTGAATCTATTCTCGGTCAACCAAGTTTGTGCTGTGAGCCGAACAAGTCATCACTTACCATGGAGAGACCAAACGAGACTTTGGACATATTGCCTTGGCCCTCATTCTTGACTTCAACATCGACCACAACAAAAGGGTGAGCAGATGCTACCTCGCTCAGTCCAATGTCGAAGTACTGTCCGTACGGCTCCCGCAACCAAAAGAAGCGACCTAGGTATTTCTCCCATCTGCCCATTGAAACAACTTCTTTCACGAAATCGTAGGAGGCGTCCTGCTCCGTCGTTGCTTGCTGATTTGTAGCCTTCTTAGGGGCATCACATGTCGTCAGGTCCTCTTCTGCCGGGAAGAAGATATCAGAGTCAGAGTTCGAGTTGTCTGAATTGAGCTCCTGCTCATGGCATGAGCAACCGCAATTTCCAGCCCCCATGTTGAGCTCAGAGCGTAAGCACGATTTAGTAGCTCCGGAGCAACGATAGAAAAGAAAGGTTGGAAGCTGGTAGAGAATGAGAAATAGGTTGAGGATCACCTCGTTTTATAGATCGAAACTAGAAGTGAAGCATCACTTCTCCACCATCGGATAGTGAATGCCATGATTCACCTTTGGCTCACTTTCAGGCTAGTATTCGTCTCCTCAATTGCCCTGTCACTTGAAGCTCTGAAGGTCTTGACCTACAGCTCCTTGGTGAACGGTAGGTATCGTCTAGACATACACTTCGAGTCCATTTTTATCTATCATCAGTATGGCAAAGCGGTATCGTCCTTCGATATGGTTTTTTGGATGCACACATTGATCGAGTGGGCATGTTTGGCCCCTCGTGATGACCTACAGCATCAACAAATGGGTGCGAAACAACATCACTAGGCTCGCGATAGTATGGCAAATGAAACTGAAGTGAGAATATTCAGGTCGAGTGAGATTAATTCATGACTCACTGCACTGCATGAGGCTCAAGCAAGAAAGGGCTATGCTTCGGTAGGAAGAGATCAACCCGAAGCCTTGAATCCTTGCTTCCATACTCCGACAATCCCTTCGCCTTCCCATAGACTCTGCAGCTTCTCGGTCACGTTACCCTTGACCAACACGAGATCTGCTCTCTTACCCTCAGCCACAACACCGCGATCGCCAAAACCGAATCGCCGTGCTGGGGTGGCCGTGGCAGACGTCAATGCCTCCGGAATGCTAAACCCGCACTTCTTGACATACCATTCAAGCTCATGCCACAGACTGGGTCCGATACCCGTTCCTTTGAGACCTGCAACCGCGTCCGTACCTGCAACGACATCGATGCCCTCCTGTTTCAGCTTTCTGATGGTTTCAAAGGCATACTCCATTTTGGCCTCGGGTGCTTTGAGACTGAGGGATTCAATCATGTTTTGTCTGGTGCCTTGATCGACCACACCACGTTTAAAGGCGATGTCAGCGAACCGATCTCGGTCTTCTTGGAACTCTCCGGTCAAACTACTCAAGACTACCAAGGTTGGAATCACGAATGCATTGGTCTTCTTGTACAGATCAATGATGCTCTGGGGTGGTGCTTGGTCGATGAAAGTGTGGGTCAAGCCATCTGCTCCGGCGTTGAGGACAATCTCGGTTGAACCCAGACTGGTGGCATGTCCGACGACTGGTAGGCTCTCGGCGTGAGCTGCCTTCACGACAGCAGTCTGTAGCTCGAGGGTAGCTGATGGGATCGAGTCTGTCGGGAGGGCCAATGAGCAACAGTTCTCCTGCATCAATTTAATGTAGTCGGCTCCCTCAGCCTTGTGCTTCTTGACGAACTCGGCGGCATTTTCTTCGGTTAGTGTGGGCCACGTGCTCACATATGCTTTTAACTATTGAGCGTCAGGGATGCACGGTATCGAAAACCTTCATTACGAAGGCAAGCAGGGGTAAGTGGTACCTCGTCTGTCGGATTCGGACCCAGTACAATCGGACCAGGCCACCCGCCAGCGATCGTTGCACCAAGAAGGGCGGTCTTCAAATCCGATAGAGAAACACTGGTGCTTCCGGCCTTTGCTTGTTTCAGTTCTTCTGCGACGCGGTCTCGCCATTTATTGACAGCTCCGAGATCTGAGTGCATATCACAGACCGTGGTTACACCGCTCCTCAAAGGACTCCGAAGTATGTCGTTCTCGTCCGAACCCTCTGGTAGGTGCAGACCATGCACATGCATGTGTGACTCTATCAAGCCAGGCAGAAGAGTATGACCATTGCCATCAATCACTGTGGCACCTTGTGGAAAGCCCGACTTCTCTTTGGAGACCGAGATGATCAACCCAGTCGATGAATCAAAGGAGACAGTAGCATCATGGTGTACAGAAGTACCATCAAAGAGCAAGACAGAGTGAATGATAGTTGGAGCCATCTTCCAAAGGTACTTATCTGAAGCAGAACAAGGTTTCGCAGCGGTGTGCAATGTGTTTTGTAGTTATTGTTCAGACTTATCCTAGCATTCGACCAATTCACAGGAGAAGTTGAAAGTACAAGGAAGTGAGTAAGCTTCTATCATAAGTATTCGAACTTAGACGAGCAATCAGCAGAAGGGTCAAGAAGTCAGCCACTGCTCCTTGGTAGTGCTCGAATTTATTTGTGGTAAACAACCCCCTTGGAGCTTTTGAGGGGTAAGTATCGGGATCTCGCATTTGGTGCATAACTCGTCTACTAGTTGGTTGCTTATGCCCCACGGGGTGCCTCCTTAGCTCCGTGATGACCGGCCTTAGCTAGAACTCAGCATCAGTTGGGATGATGATTTGTGAATCCGGTTGAGATGTGGACTGGATTGTCAAGGCACACATACGCATGTCGCACAATCTTATGATACGGTTACGGAGCTACGTCGTGAGACAGCCATTGGGAGAAGCCGTAAAGATTTGGGCACTGTGTACTCCGTATGTAATATTCGGGGGTATTCAAACATTCCAGCCTTGGTTATCACCACAGTCTCAACAGTCGATATATTGACTCAACCAGGAATATCCTGGTGAGCACTTTGTCGACAGTCACGACATAGAATATGGTGGTATTTGCTCTTTGCGCTTGACAATATATCCATCTGCCAATCAACATTGAATGATCCGCCAACGATCTAGCGTCCAAGGCGATGGACAAAATAACAGAGGCCAGCTTCAAGTTGACTAAGAATCTGCTAGACCCAAAGTAACCGTCACGTGAGAACTTCGGATAGATTGCACTTTTTTCCGGGCGCGGCCCAATCCGGAGAAGCAACCGCCTGCCACTCGACTCACCTCCAACTTCAAGTTCTCTCTCTCCCTCGCAGCGTTTTGCACTCAAACCACACCAACACCAACACCATCATTTCCTCACAACCCTCATCTGCCACTTCTGTCGCATCTTGGAGAAGACCTGATTGACGGCGCGAGGTCTCCTTGCTACTTCTTGCCAATATGGCGTACTCTCCATCTCCCACATCACCCATTCCACAGATCGACAACCCTTCATTCCCTCCTCGTCGGTCGCCCACCCCACCGATTCAACCTGTCTCTAAGAGAGACAAGCGCCGGAATCAACATGTGGCTCATCAACAAGAACTCTACAGCGAGCTGGCTTCAAATCGGGAACAGCATTATCGAGAACAACTCATTGCTCTTCAAACCGACATGAGTCTGATCTCACAAGCTGACCCTTACGACCCTGAACCCCTCGAGGATTCCCCAGAAGAGGTGGCGCGAATCGCAGAGCTCGCAGCATCCGGCACTCCTTACCAATCTCAAATGTCTTCGCTTGCGGGCAAGTGGTACGCTGAGTTTGTGCATGAAGTGAACGATGCCAAGGAAGCCAAAGAATTGGCCCTCATTCAACTAATGGTATGTTACTCCTACTCCTGTCTGGGATTGTCGTGGCTAACATTCTTTCAGAACAACCACGAGGCCCGTTTGAAGCGCATCGAGTATGAGTGTGACTACCGACTCCATTTGGCCGCAGAGGAGTGTGAACACATGACCACCACTCTCAGAGAACGACTTTTCACAGCCTTGTCAAACAAGAGGCAAAAGCTCATGAAAGAGAAGGAACAACTTGATATTGCCGACACCAATGCTCTACTTCTTCATCCTAGCCAATTCAGCATCACCAATCCTGCCAGTCCTGGAAGCCAGCCAACCAGTCGAAAGACCCGATTCACACGACACCGAGAGCAAGAGGAACTGAACGGCGTCAGCGACGTGTCTCACAACAGACGCAAGCGCAAGGCCGCTGAAGAAGATGTTGGATCGCCCTCACGAAACGGCATTTCTACACCTGGAGAACGTGCTCGAGCAACCCTTGCCCCACAGAGCGCACCTGTCTATTCCGTGCATACCCTCTTCACCGACAAAGAGCTGAACTTCCAATCTCACCAAGCCCAGATCGCAGCTCGTCATTACTTTACCACTTCACGCAAGGAGGGCGAGGCAAGCAATACTCGAAGACGAGGAAGAGATGATGCAGACAAGCCTTCAGGCTCAGATGACGAATCAGGTTCGGAAGAAGATGAACATCTCGAGGCACCCGAGATGGATCGGTCGACGAGCCAGAACGTCCACATCACCCGATCGACCAGAACCACGGGCGGACTAGGTGGTCTCAACTCGCTTAGCGATCTAGCAGAGAAAGCAGCGAGCCGTCCAGCATTGCCGTACGCGACACTACACACGCATCAAGGCCGAGCAGGAACATTCCTTCCGCAACCGAGTCGATTGATGGCAGAAGAAGTGGACGAAGATTTGATGAAGATTCTACAGGGCGAATCACAACCGCCGGGACAGGTGGACCGAAAGGCTATTGAAGAAGCGCTCAAACCATTATCGGAGGGTAGAAGCAATCTTGCTCCGGACTGGCCAGTGTACTTGGACATGCATCTAGTCGACGTGGACTCACGAGTTGCAGGGAAGGTTTGAAGGATCAGATGGCTAATGTGTGGAAGATTTAACGAAGGTCCGGGGGGGAAGCAGGTCCAAGTTGGGTGATGGAGAATGCGGGCAAAGGATATTGTGGTCACCCCGAGAGTGTGTTTGCAGGGCGGCCAGTTGTACAATGCACTGGCATGGGAAGAGAGAGCATGGAAGTGAGCGGCCGGATCTCACACGGCACCGGATGGAGTTTTTCCGCATTAGAAGCGCCGTTCAGCTCCGAGTTGGAGAGAGAAATGTACGAGTACTACTACCAATGATGTCACGACCGGTGTTCTTAGGTACAAGGTAGATTGTACCGTGGAAAATGAACATGACTGCTACATAACAGAAGTGGCTACCGAGTACCCTGTATTGAACTGTGGTCATAGCCGAAGCTGGCAAGAAGCCGGTGGAGAGTGGTTGGAGAATCGAATGTGATGGTCCGTCGCCCGTACTCCGGACCTACGAGAAACCTTGGAAGACGCATGCCAGTGGATGTATTGAGAACGGGGAATCTGAACTGCTGGGCGAATACAGACACAGTGAATCTACTCCTCCTCTCCTCCACGTCACATCGTGCCATTCATCCCACAGTGAGATTCCCCAGATCGACAGGGCATTTACTGCATCCAGGCTGGTTGCCCACAGCTCCCCGCACGCCAGAGAGCTTCTTTTCCAATTCCATGACCTTGACTCACAGAGTCACCACAACTCACCCACAGTGACCTCGGTGAGGGCCACGCATCATTCTACTCCATGTCATCAGAGCCACAGATGACCACCCGTCGCAATATGAGGTGACAACTTTCCCCAAAGTACTGAGCGTCCGCACCACACCGCACCCCGTTGGGAAGCCGACAGGGAAATTGTTTATAACTTCTCCATCTGGCGTCCACTTTTTTTCCCTGCCAGAGTCGCGCAACCAGTACCTCTCGAAAGATCATCTAGAAATCAACAGAACAGTCAAAATGTGGTCTCAGGTCGTGAAAGTCATCGCTGCGTGCGCTCTTGTTGCGCCAGCCATTGCGCAAACACCATCCATGGGTAGCGGCCCTAGCAACACGTCGGATCCTCTGGCAATCTATACTATTTCGGCCGAGGGTATCACGGGCAAGTTTATCCCCTACGGCGCTCGTCTCATTTCTCTGCTTGTCCCAGATCGCGACGGCAATGAGCAAGACGTTGCGCCAGGTTATGATACTGGGGAAGAATATGTGGAGGATTCGGCAAACAACCACACCTTCTTCGGAGCCGTGGTCGGCCGGTATGCCAATCGTATCAAGAACGGCACATTTACCATCGGAGAGAATACCTACCACATTCCTCAAAACGAGAACAACGGCAGCGACACCCTGCATGGAGGCTTGATAGGTTACGATCAGAGGAACTGGACAGTTGTCTCAACCTCTAGCTCAAGCATTTCATTCAGCCTGCTTGACACCGGGTTTGAGGGCTTCCCAGGTACTGTCTTGACCGTTGCTACCTACTCGGTAGGAGGCTATCCTAGTGGTCCACAAGGAGAGGTCCGACCTCGACTTACATGCACCCTCGTATCCCATGCACTTGACGAGCCAACACCCATCATGTTGGCAAACCATATCTACTGGAATTTGAATGCCTTTAAAGAAGAAAACACATTGAACGATACAACATTGTGGATGCCCTACGCAGACCGCTACATTGAAGTTGACCCTATTCTAATTCCAACTGGTGTCATCGGCACCGTCGACACTGTGCCGGCCTTGGACTTTACAACTCCCAAGTTACTTGCTGATTCCATCAAGGGAGCACAAGGCCTCTGTGGTAACAACTGCACAGGTGTGGACAATGCTTTCATCAATGACAGACCAGCGGGCGCAGGCGACAACTCGAATGGTTATCCAGTTCTGTCCCTTTGGTCGAAGACCACTGGTATTCAGTTGGATGTCTCGACCAATCAAATAGGCATGCAGATCTACACCTGCAATGGCCAGAAGGGCAACATTGCTGTCAAGAAGAGCCAACAGGACAGAAACAATGGAACCGCAAACGCAGCCAAGTTTGTCAACAAATATGGTTGCATGGCCATCGAACCTCAAGTCTGGATTGATGGCATCAACAACCCTGAGTGGGGTGTCACTGACTTGGAGATCTTTTCGCCCGAGACTGGTCCGTCAGTGAGTTATAGTACTTATGATTTTTCTACATTTTAAGAGTGGCACTGGGACATAGGAGCAACGTGATGATGAAGAAGATGATCAAAGATGAATATAATTATTTGGACTTGGCGGAAGCTGATGGCACAGCGCTTTGTGTGGCTGGCATTGAGAAAGAGTCGTGGAAAAAAAGTCGCGTGTTATTGCAACCAATCAGAAGCTCTGAAATCGACGTCATCGTAAACAAACAACTCTTTACAGCCTCATGTTTCAGCAACTTGAACGGGCCTCTAATTGTACCTATGCATTAAACCCTCAGATGCATAATTTCATACATACGATGATAGACAAGACAAGCGCTCGACTATTCCGTTGATGCCAGAATCAGTCCCATCTCCTCCTCTACCTATCTCGATGCCAGCTGTCATGCGCAGTTAACCCACACCCACACATTCCAGTCCTCCTCTCAGACCAATTTCCACACACAGACCGTTCCATCACAATGCCACCTACCCCCACAAACACCTCCTACAGATTGGACGACCTCAGTTCCCCTGATCCTCTAGCATCTCCCTTCAACGACGACAACGATAGAAGTCACTCCGCATACAGAAGTCGACAATCACCGATCAGAAAACAAAATGCGACCTCAACCCGCGACCTAAGGAGGAATTCTTCAGCAGCACCTTCGCTTGAACACATCGCTATTCCATCTTCACCTTTCCGAACTGTCTCCGAACAGAACCTCAGCCCCTGGAAAATCAGAGTCACTGTCGAAGCAGAGCCGGAAGATATGGATTCAGAGGGCCCAAGGACGAGAACCATGACCCAGACCATGAAGATACCCCTGCGACAGGATTCTTCACCGCTTGGGGGAGCCAAGTCCTCGAGAGGTCGAAATTCCCAACCGGCTTCTGCCAAAAGCAAGCGCGGCTCGACACCCACACGCGGTCAGAAAAGCAATAGTCGGTCTCGAAGACAGAGTGTGACGGATCTGGATGCCAGACCTTTGGGTGACGATGCTGAGAGTGATGATTGGACCAAGCAGAAGAAGAACCCGTCACCGCGCAAGAGAAGAAGTAATCGCACGCGCAAGAGTACGGGTGATACAGATGCTGCGGCTGCGCCAGAGTCTTCTCCGGTGAGGTCCTCGCGGCGGCGATCTTCTACAGCAGCGGATTTCGAAGTGAGACAGGATACAGATGCTGAAGTGATTTACGGTCAACAAGAAGAGCAAGCAATCGAAGAGTCAGAGAGTGGATCGCCGGAACTACGTCAGATCGACCTCAACAGAGTATCAGTGCGCTCACGAGCGATGTCGACCAAATCGGTAGCAGACGACAACCAAGATATCAGCGACTCCAGTCTGTTGCAAAATCGAGTGAGAACCTCTACCACGAAGCCTGTGGATTTGCGCAAAGTATCCGTTAACAGCGCGATGAGCTATCCAACCCCGTCGCCAACTTCATCTTATCATGGTGATTCAGACGACATTGGCATTGTTGACAATGGCGATGATATCCATGAGACTGAACAAGTCGGTTTCGATACAGTATTGGAGAGCGAAGGTTTCACTATGATCGATCTCGACACGATCCCATCCGCACGACAATATCTCAGTCCTGTCCAAGAAGATCCAAACGCTGTGGAGCCAATCATCGAGGATGCCATCCCGAGCCCACAGGAATTACCCAGCGCAGGTGAAACAGTACCCGAGAGCAGGTCCGAAAGTGTTGTCAGAACTGAGCCTATAACACGACAACAACCTCAACCCCAGCCAACCATCGATTATCCTACCCTAAACGCCGATGACACCGAGTTCTCCAGTACTGTGCCATCATCACCACCAGTGGCAGAAAAGGGGAAAAGTTTGCTACGTGTTCCAACCTCAAATCTTCGCAAAGTAACTCCAATAACATTCTCCTCACCCAAGCTACCGTCACCACCAAAACAGATCACTCGCCGAACGCCGCACCATCAACATCGTGGATCAGCTGGAGCTGTGTTTGCAGGCATCGCATTACAGGATGTTGTGTCTCCTGATCACCCTAGCGACAAGAGTTCAACGAGAGGAAAGCTGGGCTCCTCGTCACGTAGCTTGGAAGATGATGGTCTATTTGGAGGCTTCGATGCAGGGACGAAACGTGAATTGCGCGCTGGACTTCGATTTGGCGAAGAACTCGCGAAGAGGCAGTCGTCTAGTCCACCTGCAAAAGTTGAACCGCGAAACGCTTTTGCCAAATCAATATCCACAAATGTTGATTTGCAATCATTGGGAAAGCGAGAGTTTGAACCGCTTACTAGACACCAACCACAGACGCAAATCTGGCGAGGTGAAACCACAGTCCAACGAACTCCGGTTCAGATGTTCAATCCAGTTGTCTCCAAGTCTACAGCGGTTGTAAGAACGCCCGAAAACCCAGCATCAAAGAACTCTGAATCAGTATTGATGGACACTTTAGCTCGCCGCGAGCGAGAGTGGCAATTGGATAGAGAAGCCGTCTCGCGTGAGATTGAAAATGCCAGTGCGAGTCAGGTCATTATCATCGACAGTGATGATGATGAGAGTCAGGCGGTTGTGAATAAAGCTGCTCATATTCAGACCTCGACCCAATTGGCTGAGCCCATTGCTACAAATCTGATTTCTTCATATGAGGAGGACGATGATGAGGATATTTGGTTGGCAGAAGCGAAGAACTCTTCCAGTCCTCACACTCAGCAACCTCAACCCATCGAACAGAATCAAAATGGATTCTTCTCAGAAACCGAACAGAAGAAACAACGAGATGTCGCCCGTGAAGCGGTGAGTCGACCACGACGGAGTTTAATTCCCAGTCCTTGGAAAAGAGGCGATGATGTACCCGCACCGGAAGAACCATCAAGCCTTCTTTCCACCAAATTAGAGGATCAAACTGGTATACTTTTCTGGGAGCAACAGCAAGTTGGGAAAGCAAAGTTTGAATCTAAAAGGGCACAGCACAATCAGCTCCGACCCAGACGAAGCAGTGGAAAGTTTGATATTGATTTAATGTTAGGAACACCTGGAAAGAAGCAGGATTATGACTCGGGGCTTGACTTGACTGGGGCAAAAAACCAACAGGCCGATCAAGAGGAAGATATCTCTCAGGAGACAGACAGCCACGAAGCAGTCGAACAAATCATTTCCTCATCTATTGGACTGGAAGAGGCACTTCAGGATCCCATCAATAATACCTTTGGCGAACCTGATGCTATCCCATCACCAGAGCCACCTATGAGGATTCCAGTCAACTTCAACGACTCTTCGATGGAAATATCGACCACAGACGTCATGCATAACGCGCCCAGTTACAAGCCCGCACCACTACAGTCTCCATTCAGAAACACGAAGACAAATTCTGAATCATCGCCTCCTCGACCACCAACACCACGCTCCGCTATGAAAGGATCACGACAGATCTCCGGACCAGAAATGGGCTTCAGAAGACCAGATTCTCCCACCATGAACCGAAGAGTGATCTTTAGCGAACGGTCGAGAGGAGTTGATGTTCATGGATTGGAATCTAGCTTTAGTATGAAATCCGGATCAGGGTGCGAGGATTCTACGTCGGGACAAATCAGAGCACAGCTGGAAGGAGAGCTGTTGAATGATGAGGATACGGTGGAGACATCGTATGGCTATGAAGAGGAAGACACGGAGACCGAGCTCGAACCAGAGCAGGAACGCTCTCATGAGGAACCTGTTGTTGAAGTTCCTACAGTCTCAAAGTCTTCAGATACAAAGCCTGGCTGGCGGTCTTGGCTTTGGAAAGACAAGAAGACCAACACGGAGGAGTCAACAACTGTCCATCAACCTGATTTCACGAGTGCGCCTGTCGATACACAACGAAGCGCAACCAAATCTATCACCCCACAAGACAACGCAGCACAACACCCAGCCTGGACGCAAACCATCAGCTCCACTATCCCCTCCAGCAAACACCAGCAACAAACCGCGACCGCGCCCACCTCAAAACCATCACTACAACTACCATCCTACCTCCTCCCACCCTCGTACCCATCCGACCCAACACGGTCCCTCAACACACCGCTCAGCACGACAGGGCCCTTCAGCAACACGCACTTCCGCACCCTCCACATCATCTACCGCAAATCTCTACGCCCCAAATTCCACGCCCCGAAACACATCCGCCCCGCCGTGCGCCGCCTCCTCGGCACGCAGATGGAGATTGACGAGTCCGAGCAAGGCGTTGACCGCGGCGTCATGACCTGGACGCTCGGTGAGGGCGAGTGCGAGGTCCTCGAGCGCTTCATGCAGGAGGTCGAGGCTGGGTATGGTGTTTTTCCCGGTGCGGATGTGGATGGGAGTGAGAGTGGGAGTGGGCCTGTCGTCTGGGGCTGGAGTGTCCAGCAGCTGGCGCACTGGCTTTGTCGCATTGTCGTTGGCGAGGTCGTTAGGGAGGAGGAGGCGCGTGCGAAGATGAAGATGAAGGCGAAGGAGAAGGTCGAGGTTACGGCGAAAGCGAGGGCGAAGGGAGGGAAGTAAGTGAGTAAGGAATCTGGGTCGACAGTGGCTTGTTTCCTTGCTTGCTTTCTGCAACTGCTACTACCACTACTGGTACATAATTCCTCTTGTCCGGTCGGGACGGGACGTGCACATATGGGTACGTACGGTGTAGTGCAGATTGGTTGTTTTGTATCATTTCAGTCCAGATGTTTGGTGTTTTGGGCGTCTCGGGTATTGATCAGTCAGGTGTTTGGCGTTCATTGAAGACCATCAGCAGTCTTCTCTGAGCGTGGTAACTAGGTACCTTGGGGTAAGTAACTTCCAAGTACCGAGGGACTGGACTGTGCTGCTCTGTAGTCTGTACCCCGTAGTCATTGATGCTTTCTCCACGAGTCGTGTTAAGAGCGTGCGAGTAGTGAGTGAGCCTAGCCTGTCCCGGTGAGGTCATCAATAAGGATCGGTTGTTTATCATTCTTACGCTAGTTACTTGTTTTCTTATGTTGGGCTGTCTGTCCGTGGAGCTCGAGAAACCTCCGCGGGAGTGGTGTTCGGTTCGGCCTTTGTCGTGTCTCACTTGCCTGTCTTATTGCAAAGGTAGGTATCTAGTACCTAATATGTTGACGTGGTGATATTTTGTGGTGAGACTTTCTATGTCATATGTCATATGTCAATTGTTAAATACTACTTCAGCCAAATAACACATCGTGGTCTTTTTGGTCTTTTACAGGTCCAACAAATTGTATTCCTCCTGACGTTGACGTGGATTGATATTATATGGTGAGTAACCCCCGTCCCTTGCACCTTGTTCGTGTGTCTGCATCTGCCCCTGCATCGGCTGAGTCAAAAGATCAGGTCTAGCAGCGGCTTGTTCTTCTAGTCTCTTCTTCTCTTTCTTCTCCTTTCGAATCTTCAACATCAATAGGTAGGTGAGCAGCGCTAAGATGATTGAGGCGATGCCTACACAAAGTCCTATTATGCCTTCGCGGCTGAGACCAGAGTCAGGATCTGTACGCGTGTTAGACATATCGCTTGGGTTGCTCGGTGTGGGATTCGTTGCTTCTGATGCGGACGTTGTTGTTGAGCTAGATGGCCCAAGGCTGGGAGAAGAGGAGGGAGGAGAGGAGGTTTGAGATCCGGCTTACCGTTCAAGACTCAAGTCAGCACATATCACATCACGGGACAAGGTTGTAGAGCAGGGCTCCGAGGGCGTTGGAGAGCCAGAAGAGCCACTCACAGCTGAACGTCTGCTGACTTTGACCTGAAGAAGTGGTCGTGGTGATGATCGTGGTTGGTGTAGAAGTCTCCGTCACCACGCGTGTTGTTGTGACTGTGTTGGTATTCGACGATGGCGTGGTGGTCGCTTCGGTGCTGGCTGGCTATCGGATTGCGGTGTAACCCGCGGCTACACAGTATCCGTCGTAGATACTGACCGCACTGGATATGTCGACCGTGGTGGCACCTGCCCCGGTACATTTTGTTTTGATGCATGTTGAGAGGTGGCGTTCTGCGTCGGTATGCAGGTCTGGTCTGCAATAGCAGGAATCGAGCGCGACGTTGAAGCATCCGTATGGACATTTGAGTGCGTCTGCAATGGAATCACCTGCACACCCGGCATTGCCGTAGAGAAAGCATCCCTGCACGCACGCTCGAAGCTGACTATACGCATCGACACTTGCAATTGTTTGGTAGGTGTCGGCCTTGACAGGTGAGATAAGGAGGCAGAAAGTCCATGCCTGGAAGAAGAGGAGCAACAGCTGCGGTAGCCCTGATGGGAAGGAGCGAAAGGCTGTCATTTGAGATAAAGTATCCGTAGGTGGCCGATCGAAGAAGAAGGAGGAAGGGTCAAAGGAGGAAGACCAGTGCCTGTGCGAAACTCTTCATACTGGTCATAGCCACGAGCTTAAGAGAAAATGCCCGCTCGACATGGGTGTGGCTCAGCCTTGCGTTTTCGCGCGTGCCTGGGAGGAAACAAGAAGAAGCCAAAGATTGTAGCGCACCCTAAGTCGGCGCAGTTGCCAACCACTGATATGGATCACTGCATTGTTCAAATTTCAACCTGTAGGATATCGACAGGCAGCCAACCGGTCTGGTGAAGCCTTGGAATCGGGGCACATCACTCGAAGCCGTGATTGGTGATGATTGAACAGCCACAGCAAGCTATCGGACATCCACAGTCTATGGGCAGTTGAAGCTCCGGCACCGACTGCCTCGTATTTTCTCTCAACACTGGTCTCGATCTACCATGGCATCTCGACAAAAGTTGAAACACAACTCAAAGGCGCGTCAAGGTAAAATGATCCTTCTCTCAGTGATATCCACGAGCTCGGTTTTGGTCGCTGAATGAAGACAGGTCAGCCAATGCGATAAAACGGTATGATTGAGCGGTAGTTTGTCTTCAGCTTCATGCAACTCTCAAGAATTCAGCCCAATGGATTTGCCCTGGGGTCTCCTGTTTTCTTGTCCTGGAAAGACAAGCGGTACCTATTCGGCAAGAACAATATTAGGTACGCGAAGTGTGGCGTCATATTGACCCAAAGGTGGAAAAGATTCTGTTCACGTACACACTGTACCTCGTATAGATGCTTAAGGCGCATTGGAAGAAACAAGGAAGAAGAAAGGGGCAGCGAATCAATGGGGTTGATCAACGGTACCGAACGCCACCATCCCCGAAAGAGGAGATAACAGAGCCTCAGCCTCACTTTGCCCACTCAAAAGTTCTCTCAAAGAATAAATCGCTGAGGAAGATGATTGATGCTGGACTCTTAAATCCTCGCCATGATGTACGTTCCAAACCACAAGACGCGCGAAGGCCTCAGGAGTCTGAACTACTTACTTTCTCTGGCTTCCTGCCGACGAAGGTAGCGAGTAGTGAGGATACCACGGCCGGGAACGCGCATTGGAAATCTTGCTGTAAATAGAGCGATGAAGACGTGACGACCTCTCTCATGGTGTCTCTTCTGCGCTGTTGGCCAAAGTTGTCATTCTTGACGCCCCAGTCTGAGTCAACTGAGATCGTTTCGAAGATATGATGCAGTGGTGATAATGGATAAATTCCACCGTCGAGTCCTGAATTGGCTCCTCAATAGGTCCCTGAATGCCGGCTCCTAAGCCATGCATGATGCGTCTTTCCGCCCCGCCCCCCTCTGGCCCCCTCTCGTGTCTTGTGGGTCGGTGCAGACATCTTACTCGAAGTAAGTACGGGGGTACGGATACATACATACCACACCCATCAGGCTTCCCGGCCGTTCGCCGGCGTCCCAACACTCGAGCTGCCGGTGAGCACGATATCTTTAGTACTTGGCAGAAGGTAAGCTGCACGAGGTAATTGGTTGTGACTGGTTTATTGGAGGATCCCTCATTCATCTCCGTGTTCGAAGACTAAAAAGGCCAACACTGGGAAGCGGCGTAAATCAGGTACCGGAATCCTTCGCGCAAGGAAGAGGGATGTCTCCGTTTGGCGCCATGTAGTGAGATGTAATCAAGTTAAGTAATTACTTGAAGAACGAGTCTGATATTCTTGGTTCAGGCCGGCGTCGAGTGTCCTTGTGCCTTACCGTGCTGGGAGGTTAGTTCATAGTAACAAGTTAGCAACAGCACCACGGAGTTTTTTCAACGATACATCAAGTTTGGTGGAGTGTGGGTAGGGCTGTTGAATAGCTGCGTCAGATAAGCTTTCGCCTGGTTCGTGGGGGTCTGACGCACTGTTTTCGGTGCTCGTGGATGTGGAGTGAGAAATGTGGTCGATGGCATGTTCGAAGCGTTGTGGCTGGCTGGTGGTTGTGGTGGTCTATCTGTCCCTCGTAGCTCCCAAGCATAAGTTTAACGTCCTCGTATTCGTACCGACTTTCTTGGTGCTCCCGAGACGAGTGAATACCTACTTACCACCTGATGGAAATGAGTCGCGCATGGGAAAAGCAAATGAAACGATCAAGAAAGAGAGGGAGGGAGGATCGATTGCAAAAAACACATTTCAAAATTGCATGGGTATCATAATGCTAGCTAGGGTCTTTTTTGTTTTCGTTTCCATTTCAGGAAGCTTGGGTGGATTACTCATTCAGTCTACCATGCGTTCCAATCCCTGAACATGGCCAGGATGATCGGCACGATGGAGTTGATGATCACAGGCCAAGGCGCCGATCATTATGGAGAGTCTCCGTATCTCTGTTCGAGCAGACCCGGATATTGGTACTTGAGGTTGCGCAGATCTCAGGTGTTGGTTGCGAAATATTGCGATTTGCCGGTTGTGTCCATCAAATGGGAGAAAAGGTGCAGACGTTGTCAATGGCGCTGATATTCGTGTTGCTCTCAAGCCAGGAAAATTGTTCTCGGTCGACATGAAATACAAGAAGCACTTGACAAACGCAAATTGGTTCATGGCTTGCTGAAAATAATGATGATCGTGCTTGATAATTGCTTGATTGATAGGCAGAAAAATAACGAAGTGGAACTGGAAACAATCCCAAATTCGAATGTTCGCTTGCTGAAAGTGAAATCTATCGATAACATGTTACATTCGTTTCCATTGGGTTCGTTTGTGCATCAGTTGATGATAGAATCTTGATGCAGTCGTTCAACATTGATATCGTCGAAATCCATGACGAACTCATGTGAGGTTGCCACACTTGCCACGGATGATGGTTTGTGGAGGTCCAACGGTGTAATAGCCTTCTCCGGCATTCCCTTGTAATGTTCCAGCCCAACCGGCATTACCGACGAAGGAACAAGGTCCATTTCCAGCCACCACTCCAATGTTGTCTACCGTGATGTCGTTACAGTCACCAATGGCATATGCTGGTAGACCCAAACATTGGATGTTCTCGAAGTCGTACCATGTGCCATCAACCGGAATATACAGACCATAGCTTTGAGAGCCTCCAAGCATGATGACGTTGGTGGGCCAGTCGGATGCGAAAGCGGCAGTGGCGAGAGGAGATCGAGCTTGAAGAAATTTGGGATTGAGAGATTTGCGAACGATGGGCGTAGCCGAAGTGAATCCAAGCATGGAAAGCACGAACAGCGAGATTGTTGTAATGAGATACATTTTGCGAAAAGGTTGCTTCAAGGCTTTGGAAGATGGCTGATACTGGAAAAGTTTGTAATTGAACAAAGATGGAGGCTGTTTTCTCGCACGTTTTATAATCGAAGATTGAAGACCCTGAAATCCTGGATAATTGCTTCAAAGATGACTCTGCTCTGTCACAAGCCTAGGAAAAGTAAAATGTCTCGGTCCCAATCACGGATAGGTGATGAGATTGCCGTCTGAAGTGAAGATATGTACCGCTCAAAGGTGAAATAGGTTGTAATTTGTGACCAGGAGACTGGCATTCACGTCGACTTGTGCGACAAATCGAGGGCTATGAATCGGTGCCCAGTAGCTTTCAAAAGCTTCTTAACGAATGACAGGTGAGATGGGTTGGAAAAGCAGCCGATTTGAGTCTCAACGGGTCTTGGAAGGAGGAGGTTCCGGTCCCAGCGCAAACTTGGGTTAACGAGTGTAAATTGTAAGGAAAAAGCCAGCCAGGAAAAAGACAAATGGAGTTGGCGATGAGCCGAGTAGATATTTGGCAATTGGTCCAAGGAAGGGAGGGAGGGAGGCGAGGGAAAGCTACTCGTAGTGAGCCTCAAAGAAGTCGGCAGCTAAGGCAGGATAGCGCAAAGTATCAACTGGTCTGATCCTGACTAGTAGGAGCGACAGGGTCGAATGTCAATGGCCCTAAGCTCCAAACGCGGTATTCTGGAACTCGATGGATGTTGTGGTAAAGTTCAGTGTACGTGTGCTCCAAGATCTATCGGTCGTTGGTCAGAAGTATAGATTGGTGGCTACAGCATTCCCGTCTGGAGGCGGTCGCGCAGGTCACATGGAGGCCAGAGCGAGCCAGTCAATTGCAGAGGTGGCACACCAAACAGAAAACATGAAGTTCAGTTGATGGAAGATTCAAGACGAGTGCCAAAGATGAAGATGGAGGGCGCTTGAGGTGGTGGATAGAGAACCCCAGGTGGGCCCTGGACGAGCTCGATGAGCTCGATGACCCAGTTATCCCAAGAGCATTCAGGAAGGTGACGCAGAAGGATGGGACCGATTTGCATTCGGGGGCACCCAGATCCCTGTCTAGGGCATCACGGGCATGCAGCCATGGCGGCAGTATCCCTGTCAGTGAAACCGAGGGCCCAACCATCGGGTGAAAATGGTCAGTGTTCAAATGGTCGAGAACGTGGCGTGGTGGTGGAGCGATGCCAATCGAGCGACGAGTCGACGACTCCCCGACGCCGAACCCGGTTCGTAATGGAAGATCCAAACTGCAGGGTCAGCCACCCACCAACATGCGGTTTGGAGACCAATCGTGGCTGATTACGTACCTCGTTCGAGACTGAATAACAGGAAGTCCTTATAGACGGGGGAGAATTGGGGAGATGATCTTGAGAGAGGATTCGGAGTGGTTGACCCATCATAGGCACCTAGGTACTTAGTTAGGCACTCATAGGGGGCCCGGTTAACTAGGACTGTACTCCGTACACAGAATGCAGAGCCCAGGCCAGCGAGAGCGGGGGCGAACTTGTCCGGTCCAGGTACCGAGTACCTCGATAGCTTTAACTGGGAGTCTGGGACTACTGGGTCACTACTGCAGCTCCCTATTCCTTCTCTCTCCAGTTATCGAACATCGGAGTGTATTTCCACACACCCCGGGCCAAAGTTCGTAATTCCCAAACAAGCCCCCAGCTTTCAAACTTCGCAATACGAGTAAACAAAAATCCATGTGTCCAATAATAACCACAGCAGTATTGTTATCGATAATTGCCCTTGATTGGCATTTATATCGATGACCATGTCTGCAGGTGAACCGTGCTTGCAGCTTGACGCGGACTAGCAGTTAGTGGATAGGAGACGAGCTCCCCCATGCCGTGCTGCGTGCATTGCCCCATTCAATATTGCCCGTGGGAGTCGGAAAGGAATCGGAACTGCACAAGCACCTCGGCAGCAAGCGCAAGCAAGCATTCGGGCAATTGATATCATTGAACACCATCAGTGGCTGAGCATCTAACTAATTAGCCTGATGTTTGACTTTCTCGTGGACCCCTACTGCCTATTCATGCAGTACACATTTCAACTCAAGATGCATCTTGGGGAATACTAGTTTCACATTGTGAGCAACTTTGCCCGGCCTAGCAGACAAACTATTTTTGAGGTGCATCATTTGGCACAATTCATGCCCACACCATTCTGTAAATATGTTGATAATCCGCTCCCTGTCTCTCAGTTGCATCCACTATCTCATCGTCATCACTTTTCACCACCACTACTATCGACTAACTAGTTCCATTTTCGGATAGAGTCTTCCGTTAGCTTAACCTGTAGAGTCCTCAACCAGCCACCTCGTTAAGCAACGGAAGTGCCTGATAGTAAATATGCATCGGTCTTCACGACAGCACGTGGATTTCATAGAACATGTTGTGTCGAGTACACCACATCAACAAGCTGCAAGATGGTATCCATGGTCTCGCAGACATGAGCCCGGAAGCACCATTGCCAGAAGAACCATCGGATGTATATGGGATGGTTTTGAACGGGGGTATTTCCATATATTTCTCCACACGGCTCCTGCCTTGAGAGTGATCCGGGTGATTGTCTCGATACTGGCGCGAATGTGGCGGGACCTGCCAGGTGTTGCTGCCATTCTGAGTGACGAATTGACGCGTAGACATGCTTTGGTAGGTCGAATACGGTATGTCCTCTTGCATGTCCTGGTCAAGAACCATGCCGTTGCTCTCATCTTCCTCCAAAGGGGGTGTCTTGAAAGCCACGTGTTCTTTGCAGCCCACGGCAGCCCGGACGTTCCATTGCTCCTGGTTTCCTTGACCGTCATTGAGGTGCGTCAAACCATTCTGAAGAAGTCTGGTGGTCACCTCAACAATATGGGAAACATCGCACTTTGGAATGGTGTGGTCAGGGTGGTCAGCACATTCGAGGAATGATCGAAGTTGAAGATTCATCAAGTGCCGGCCAGGATTGACGAAAGTTCGGGGCAAGTGTGAAGGGTTGCTCTCGGCAACGGGACAACAAAAAAGAGAGGCTCGACAGGAGAAGGGAGGGTCGGCAAAGGTAGGTCGTGGATTGTCATGGCGAAAGTGATCGTGGTCGTCTTTGCTGCTGCCGTTGAAGCCTCTACTGCTGATGGACTTGGACATAGTGTCAATTGGGTGGGAGGATCGGGAGCCCAGTGGTTGAATTTACAGTGAGGCGAAAGTGGTCTCAAGTGGCTGAATGGCGATACCGACACTGCTGGTCACTGTGAACCTGTATCAGCAATCTGAGGGGCAAGTTGTCAGATAGATGGCAGTGGAGGGTTTCAAGCAGCAAACTGATGGAGACTCACGAAGGATGATGGCAATGTTGACAAGGTAGAATTATGATTGTGGGAGAAAGATGGACCAGTTCGCCGAGGAAGAGATGATAGCTGGGCGTGTTATTGCGGTAGCCGCCGGTGCAGGCAGTGGCAGTTGAAATGCAGGTGAGTTCGAGATGAACTTGAAGCAGGCGCCCTTCAAGTCATAGGAAGAAAGCACGCGTCTTTCAACGTTGAGCAAGACCAGGCCACGTTCGTTCTTTCCCTAACATACTACAACCCCATCGTCACCCATCAATACCAGTGCCAGGCTCAGGCCCAGGCTGTAGATAAGAATCTACACTTCGTACAGCTGTTTGATCCTAGTTTTGCACTACTTGGATATTGTGCTTTTTCTGTGGTTTATGTGTTAGACCATTCTCGAAAATAATGTCCACTTCAGAGACAACGCTTACCTTCCACTTGTTCATTTCGTCTTCTTTGCCTTTGTATTGTTTCAGCAGTTCCTCGAGGACTTGTTTGAGTCCATCCGAGTTCGTCTTCAACGCAGGTAGCACATCTTTCACCGTCCTCTCCACCAGCACCCCATTAATTAGACGAAAGCATTTGCGATCTTCTGGTAGCGGTTGAAGAGTTTCAGTCACCAGCCTATCAGTCCATCAGCATCCCATCCAAGTCTCTAGCATGTGTCTCTCTGGCGCCTCACTTGTGTTCTTCTATTTCTTGCTCAATCTCCCCCACCTTCTGTGCTAACGACTGGAGTGTCGTCTTGAAATTCGTGTATTGGGATTGTAGTTCTAACAGTCTAAGTGAGCATGCACATTCAGACATTCCATAGACGACCAAGTACCTTGCTGTTTGCGAACCGCTGTATCTTGACCTGATGCCATTTTGTCGAGATCCAGAATGTTGGTGATGAATTCTGGCTGTCGTGGTCGAAATGCCCTGTAGTAATTCATAATTGCGGAGTTGAATTCATGCCCGCCGGCTAAACCCCGGTCCAACTTTTTCTCTACAACGTTCTCCGTTCCTCGCAAACTACCACCAAACCCCCGCAACAAGGCCCTCTTCCTGCAGCACCTCTATAACTGGTCAACATATGGCGTGTTGTCATTATACTTCATAAAAACACACAATCTCAACTCTCTGTCCTAGTCTTGGAACCTCAAAACCATGGATCGCGCCCACAGTCCCAAGCGGCGCAGGCTGGGAGGCAGTTTCCATTCCTCTGATCACCCAGACGCATCAGAAGATCTAGCTCCCTCCTTCAAAGTCCAGCACCCCTCAAGATCTCGCTTTCCAAAGGGTGCTGATAGGGCTCGCACCAACGACAAAACCTCGACACCTCATCAGCAAGAGTTTGATGGACCCGAACCATTTTACAACGCTGAAGACACCAATGCCCTGGATCGCGACTGGTATGCAGGAGATGAATTTGGCCACACTTTTGGTGATGATAGTCACAACCCTTTTGGGGGCGCGGAACTGGCTTTTGTCGACCAACAACGTGAAAAGATTCTGGTGGATAAAAAGCTGGGAAAGCGTATGACCGCAAAAGCAGCTCAGAAGCAGAAGGAAGTTGATGCTTGGGAGGCGAACCGAATGCTTACTTCAGGTGTGGCCCAAAGACGTGACCAGGCCAATGACTTTGACGACGACGATGCTGTGCGGGTTCATCTCCTAGTACACGACCTGAAACCCCCATTTCTAGATGGAAAAACAATCTTCACCAAACAACTCGACCCGGTTCCCGCCGTGCGCGATTCCCAGAGTGACATGGCTGTCTTCAGCCGGAAAGGTAGTAAGGTGGTTCGCGAAAAAAGACAACAAAAAGAGAGGCAGAAACAGGCTCAAGAGGCCACCAATGCGGCCGGTACCACTCTGGGAAACATCATGGGGGTCAAAGATGATGAAGGTGACAGTGCGGCGGCCGTCCCTGATGAGCAGACCGGCAAGAGCAAGTTCGCTACCCATCTCAAGAAAAACACCGGCAGTTCAGCGTTCAGCAAAAGCAAGACTTTGAAAGAGCAGAGAGAATATCTTCCAGCCTTCGCCGTCAGGGAAGAGCTCATGCGTGTCATTCGGGACAATCAAGTCATCATTGTGGTTGGCCAGACCGGCTCGGGCAAGACGACCCAGCTCACCCAATTCCTGTACGAGGAAGGATATGCTCAGCATGGCTTGATTGGCTGTACTCAGCCTCGCAGAGTGGCCGCAATGAGTGTAGCCAAACGTGTCAGTGAGGAAATGGACGTGGATTTGGGTGGGTTGGTGGGTTACGCTATCCGATTTGAAGACTGCACCAGTGATCAAACGGCCATTAAATGTAAGTCGAATCTCGAGCACGTTCTCTACCCAGTACTAATTGCCGCATAGACATGACAGATGGTGTCCTTCTCAGAGAATCTTTAACTCAGCGGGATTTAGACAAATACTCTTGTATCATCATGGACGAAGCTCACGAACGTGCTCTCAATACTGATGTCTTGATGGGTCTCATCAAAAAGGTCATTGCTCGTCGCAGAGATCTCAAATTGATTGTGACTTCGGCCACCATGAATTCTGAACGTTTCTCCCGCTTTTACGGCGGAGCTCCAGAATTCATCATCCCAGGTCGTACCTTCCCTGTCGACATCCAATATTCTCGTTCCCCATGCGAGGACTATGTCGACAGTGCTGTCAAACAGGTCCTGGCCATACACGTATCTCATGGTGCAGGCGATATCCTCGTCTTCATGACTGGTCAGGAGGATATCGAGGTAACCTGCGAATTGATCGAAGAACGATTGAAACTCCTGGTTAATCCTCCGAAGCTGCTGGTTCTTCCTATATACTCTCAGATGCCAGCCGACCTTCAGGCCAAGATTTTTGATCCCGCACCTCCCGGTGTGCGAAAGGTGATTGTCGCTACCAACATTGCTGAGACCTCCTTGACTGTGGATGGTATAATGTATGTGGTCGATGCCGGCTTTTCGAAATTGAAAGTCTATAATCCTCGCATGGGTATGGATACCTTACAGATCACTCCGATTTCGCAAGCGAATGCTTCACAGAGAGCCGGTCGAGCCGGTCGTACGGGACCCGGCAAAGCATTTCATCTTTATACAGAACAAGCCTTCAAGAACGAATTCTATATCCAAACGATCCCTGAGATCCAGCGTACCAATCTAGCCAACACTGTATTACTCCTAAAGTCCTTGGGAGTCAAAAATCTACTGGATTTCGACTTTATGGACCCTCCTCCGCAAGATACAATTACCACATCATTGTTTGACCTCTGGGCACTCGGCGCTCTTGACCACGTTGGAGAATTAACAACCATCGGTCTGACAATGACCTCGTTTCCGATGGACCCTTCATTGGCGAAAATGCTCATCACTTCTTCTACAGAATATGAGTGCAGTGAAGAAATGTTGACAATCGTCAGCATGCTGTCTGTCCCCTCAGTCTTCTACAGGCCAAAAGAAAGGCAGGAGGAGTCTGATGCAGCACGAGAGAAGTTTTTTGTTCACGAATCAGACCATCTCACTCTGTTGCATGTCTATAGCCAGTGGAAATCCAATGGCTACAGCGATGCGTGGTGCATTCGCCATTTCCTACATCCAAAGGCCCTTCGCCGGGCAAAAGAAATCAGAGAACAGCTACACGACATCATGGGTCAACAGAAGCTACAGCTTGTTTCTTGCGGTACCGACTGGGATATAATTCGCAAGTGTATCTGCTCTGGCTACTATCACCAAGCGGCCCGACGCAGAGGAGTTGGCGAATACATCAATCTTCGCAGCAGCGTCACTGTACAACTCCATCCTACTTCTGCACTATATGGTCTGGGCGATCCACCAGACTATGTTGTCTATCATGAACTCATCCTGACAAGCAAAGAATATATGAGCTGTGTGACAGCAGTCGATCCTCATTGGCTGGCAGACTTGGGAGGTGTCTTCTACAGTCTGAAATCAAAGGAATATAGTAGTAAAGACAAACGGATTATTGAAGGCGAGTTCAATCGAAGAATGGAAATCGAAACACAAATGGCAGAAGATCGAGCCAAGGATGAGAGGCGTAAGCAGGAAGAAGAGGAGAAAGAAAGGGTGTTGGCTGGGAAGCCCAAAAAGAGTGGAGTGATAGTCAAGAAAACGGGCAGTAACGGGGTAGTGAAAAAACCAGTGATAGCAAGGCGAAGGATGGGATTCTAGAAAACCATCGTCGTCGTGTGGTCAACTATTAGCCATGCGTGAACTCGATATTCCCAAGTTGTGCATCAAATCTACATGATAGGTCGGGCAATCCAAGCAAGAGGTTCGACGGACATAGACCTATGTTAAAATCGTGATATGTAAGCCAATGCCCCAGAGAACAACGAAAAGAACTACTTCTTGTCGTAGTTGCGGACAGATCTCTACCTAAATACTTAGGTATTCTTATGAGTGAAAGGCGAACACTCTGTAACGTAACAGATCAAGGGGCGCCACTCAAGAACCTGGAAGCTGTCAAAAAGAAAATGATGTCACTGCAAGGCTGAGAGGTTCAGTAAACCTTCAAATGCAAGGCTGAGACTAGCGCGCCAAGCCTCCATCCCTTTTCTGAACATGAACCTACCGTTCGTGCTTTCCCTTCTAGGTCGGTTAATCAATCGACGAAAACTACTTGGGTGCCTTGTTGACAGTATCGGACATCATCAACGTCCACTGTCGAATAAATATGGTGGCGGATCCCCTGTTTTGTCTAGAAACAAGTCGAGTAGTCACAAGACAGTCGTGTCCAGAGCAGAGCTCACCACCAAGCCAAGACGAATACCATCACTCGCTAGACCTTGATAATATGGCAAGGTGATAGCATAACAGGTCAGCATATCAGGCGACGCTGCGTTGCCAGCTGGATAGGAAGCGGTGCCGAGGGCGTGTTCCTGTTTGAGGGGAAATTGATTCGACACGCGGTCAAAACTCGATCTGGGGTCGTCGCACAGGTATGCTACGAATGTCACTACATTCACTTCAATGTCATGAATACGCACTTCAGAGCACATCGCTCCCACCTATACTTAGGATTCATTCTCTTTCACATCCTATTTTTCTCTCAAACCACAACTAACTCAAAATGTCACCAGACAACAAAGAACGGCCCTCCTGTGAGGGGACTGTCTCCTGTTATCGCGGTAAGTGTTCTCAAGACCCTGTGAATCGCTCAGAAAGGGGTCGACGTCGTCGATCAGGCAATTTGATCGTCGACTTCCGTCGATCTGTCAATAACATCACCATTCAACCAGAGATCGACTAACACTGTACAGAAGTTCACGCTGAAAGCAACGGAGAGTCTGAACAAGCGACAGTCCATCATACTCATCTTCCGACACCTGAATCGCCTCGTCAAACTCCAAGATCGGCGCCTGGGGCTATTCTTGATCGAAGTAGACCGCGATTAGGAACGTCTCCATTCTGGGCTGGTTCGAAAACCCATCTTGGACCCAGAAGCTCTCCTGCTTCATTTCGCTCTGGCAATTGCTTTCACTCTCGGCAGCAAGCTTTTCCATCATCCTCTCCTGAACGACAGATTTCATCGCCATTGGCCGAGAACCTTTGCTCGCTTTTCACACCTCAGCACGCCAGCAGAGGTACTCGCACTACACCGCCATTGCCATTGAGTTCCTCTCCAGTAACAAGTTTCACGTCATCTTTAGCTCCTTCAGCCAGTCCAGGGGCTCGCTTGTCACACCCAAACAGCTCTCCTCTAATCTCACAACCAAGAGGCCCAGAAGAGCATAGCCCTAGGCTTGTAATTCCCGAAGTACCTCAGAGGTTTGTGAGGGCGGACAACTGGTGGCAGAAGAACAAGCTTCTGTCTGTTGAAGCTGAGGCTCCTCCAGTACCGGAACGATCACCTCTTCGGTTGCTTATCAAGAGCCACAGCGCTCCAGTCTCAAAGGCGCCCACAAACCTACCATTATTCCCTCAGACACTCGAATCTTAGGAAGATAGAGCTCTTTGGGAAGAACTTTCTCCACCTCCTCTTTGTGTTCGTAAAACCAGAGCCCGTGTTTCTCCTCACTGGGAAGAGCACAGTCCATCATCAAGTTATTCTGCGGAGTTCTCTCAAGAAGAACAAAATTCATCAGCATCTGATCAAGCTTGTACTCGGCTTCTCGGTGATCCGGGAGAGCTTGGCCCTGAGGTTATCGCACACCGAAAGGCAACTCTTGAAATTCTTGAATCATCGTCTTCTCCTGAGGAAGAGATCTCAATTGAAGCTGCTTACCAGGAATTTATCGCAGCATCACCTGAATCGGACGGAAAGATCTCAATTCAAGCAGCTTTTGCCAGGTTCAAAGATCGTCGAGCTGCTTACGACTTCAGAATGAATAACTTGCACCCCGATTCCGCAGCAGCGATGACTGCTCATCGCCGCGAGGCTGTCAGATTGGCCCAGGATCAGCAACGTGCCGTCATTGAGAAATGCACAAGATCCAAACAATCCGAACCCGATTATGCATTTGATGAGCTGATAGGCAAGGGCAGCTTCGGCCGTGTGTATAAGGGGTAAGTTGCTCTCCCACCATGACTTCTCTCAGTCTGTGACCCAATTTACTGACCAACATCCATAGTCGACAAGTTTCTACCAACAAGGTAGTCGCCATCAAAGTACTTGACATTGATGATGCAGACTTCCATGCATATGGCGAACAGAAAGATGAGCAAATCAGAGATTTCAATCGCGAAATCAGCATTCTCCGACAGGCCCAAGATAGCGGTGCTGAAAATCTCAACCCGATGATTGAAGCGATGGCCGTTCATAGTCAGTTGTGGTTGATATGTGAACACTGTCCAGGTGGCAGTGTGAAGACATTGGTAAGTCCTTCTTCTGACGTTGTCAAGTGAATACCAGCGGATCTGAATGAGTGATCATGGGAGTGATCATGGGAGTTACAGTCCACAGAAGGCTCGCACCCTTCCATTCACGTGACTTCCAGCGTCTTATGCTAATGGCACTTTGTAGATGAGGGCTACCAATGATCGTCTGTCTGAAAAGTACATCATTGTTGTTGCCAGAGAGCTAGCCAAAGCTCTGAAAGGTTTACATGAAGCTGGGATCATGCACAGAGATGTGAAAGGCATGTTCTCCCTCGCCAAGATCTGAGACTCTAGTATATCTTCATTGAACCATTTGACTAACCTCTTTGTCTGGTGCAGCGGCCAATGTTCTTATTCACCAAGAAGGTCGTCTTCAACTCTGTGATTTCGGTGTCGCTACAGTGCTTGATACTCGAACAGATAAGCGAAAGACTTTCATCGGCACACTGCATTGGATGCCACCAGAACTGTGGACTGAAAATCCTGAATACTCGGATGAAGTAAGTGGATCTTTGCGTCAAAGCGGGCCACCATCATTTCTCGTAGACAGAGAAGGCGCCGTAGTTGGCTTTCTATTCTGACCCATCAATACACTTCACTGTCAACAGTACTAACTTTGTGACTAGGTCGATGTCTGGGAATTTGGCTGCACTCTTTATGAATGTGCAGTTGGACGACCTCCGAATAGTGATCTCCGTGAAAGACAACAACTTAAGATGCGATTGAGACGTCTCAAGCAGCCACTTACACTTCCAGAGAAAGAGACTTTCAGCGACGGCCTTCGTGCTCTTGTTTCTTACGCCCTCAACCCAGATGTCGCCACAAGACCATCCATGAAAGATATTCTTGATCACGACTTTCTCAGAGAGACAGACGAGACTCATCCCACACACAGTCTCAGTGAACTTGTGCAGACCTACTACGGTTGGCTATTCGGAGGCGGTCAACGTGTTTCACTTTTCATGCCTGGCGGTGCGGCTGCTGCATCGAATGAGGATCCAGATATCAACATTGATGACATTGATGAATGGAACTTCGGTATTACTCAGGACTATGAGAGGCGAGTATCAGCCATACTTGAAATCCCGGACTTTTCAGTCATCTCACCAAGTGAAACTATGGAGGGAGAAGAAACACCCAAAGGAGGAGCGAATCGTTCAAGCCATTCACCCCAAATGTCACATGCACAACTTGCCAATTTCGAGGCTCGAGTCAAGCGTGGAGCAGATTTGTCCAATATTTTCGATCAATCCAAACCCGCCTATGAATATAAGACCAAGACCGACTTCATCCCAATACCAGAACAACGTCGCATTTCAGACTTGCCTTTCCGAGCAATGGCAGAAGATCGACCTAGCTCGATTGCATCAAATGTCATCGACCTCGGCGACTTTGACGAAGCAGATTATGCTGTTGTTGCAGCACCAAGAACAGATGAAGTCATCCAAACTTCATACCCTGCCACCCCGAGAAGAGGAGAAACGATCAGACTCGCAGATGCATCAACCCTACGCGACAAACGAGCAAATTCTAAAGGACCTAGAGATCCACAAAACCAATCCCTCACTGCCAGACGCACCTCTTCAGCGGAAGCAGTTCCCAGGAATACAGTCACACACGACTTTGCGATGTCTCAAGAAGACTGGACTGTTAAGAACAGAAGCAAAGCACCAGAATTACAAGAACCAGCAGAAATTACCTCATCTCGTCCTGGCCATGCAACAATGGATTGGTCTTTTGCCAGTGCCATGTCTGAAGCAACAGTCTCGCCTCCGCCTCCACAAATCAATGAACCGGAGCCATCTCCCGTGCAATTTGACGATCCTTCTGGCCCGACAGAATCGACAGAATCGACCGAGTTCGAGCAAAAGACAAGAAAGCATGCAACCATGGAATGGTCTTTTTCTAGTGCTATGGCTGAAGCAACTGTCACCGAGGATGAACCAGATGAACGATCTTTCGTCCCACAAACCGAATTGGTTATTGACTCGTCTCCTCCCACAATCAGACCACAACAGATACAATCATCTCGTCCAACACCAACCAGACCGTCACCTCTCATGCGTCAAATGACAATGCCAGTAACCATGGATGATTTCGCACAAGTCGAAGAACAAGATATACCTCGCCCATCGACAGCGTTGAGTGAAGCATATTCCGACATCTCGACATCATCTACAGACATCGATCCTTTCGGCCTAGAGCGTGAGGACGACGACTACCCCGGACCAGAAACACTGGACGAAGACATTGGAATGGGCATGAGCGCTTTTTACAGTGGACGAGGCCGAACCATGCTCGGCGAGACAAGTGGAATGGCATACAGCTCGTCACCAGCAGCCGCGCCTCTCACAGCGTCCGGGCCAACACCATACCCTCTAGGCCGCCCAGCACGAATCGGCGAAGAAGGCTTCCCAGGCCAATCAATCAACACGTCATCCATCATCAACCGCTCCGTGCGCGGAACCGGCGCTGGATCCGGGTCAAGCGGATACAACAGTCCCGCAACCGGGGGCGCCGCGACCTCATCGTTGTCCAACAGCGCCAACCGGCCCTCTTCGTCTTCCTCCTCCAACGCCCAAGCACACCATCCAACCACGGGCACCACTGCGCTCCGACCCGTCGTCGAGGTCCCCAGCGCAGCTCCCCCGAGCATGGCGGCCCTCTCTGACGGTGCGAGCACCGCCGTCATCGAAGCCGAACTCACCCGCATGCTGGAGGAGATGCAGGGGACGCTCAACGCGGCCAGGGGCGTGGTCGGTGGGTTGGATAGGGGTTGGAGGAGAGAGAGGGAGAGTGATGAGTGGGAGGACGAGGAGTAGAAAGGGGTTATTGTGGTGTTGTGTCTGGTGGGGCGGTGATGCCCAACATGAAGAAAGAACCGTAGTTGTATTTATTAGATACGAATCAAGAATCACGGTGTTTGTTCGAACTTTACGTTCTAGTTCTCTATGACCCTGACTATATCGACGGCGTGCTCGTAGCTGAGACGAGGCTCTTCCTCGGCAGATCGCCCCGCCGACTCTATCGATCTTGCTAACCATGAAAACCTCACTCTAAGAGACTCAAGGGCTTGAGCTGATATGGGATTGGTAGGTAGCTCCAAAATACCAACGCCCTGCCACTTGAGAGACTGGAGGATGTACTCAAGGGTGGAGTGAGGAAGGCATCTGATCGCTTCCCAGTGGTAGGTAGCCCCGGGCGGGAAGAAGTCAAAATGCTCAAGAATTTCGATTGCACTGGTGGCTCATCTTTCGTGGAGCAAGTCATGCTCATGTTTCCACCGAGTACCGAATCTACAACGTGCTTCGATTGCGAGGACGTCCCTGTCCACACCAACAAGCGGGAGGGGGGAGGCGGCTCACGTTGCGGATGGCGATCCTCCTGCACGCACATCTCTTGCCGTTGTGATATTTCCTTGTTCCCTGCGTATTTTCGCCCCTTGACGCACAGAATCGTTGCATCATAATCGAGCTCGCTGTCTAGCGGTCTGATTTGAGTGGAGGGACGGACGACATGGGGCTGAGAGTGCTGAAGGGTTTCTTTATAAGAGAAGGTCGGGGGTGTTGCTACACCTAATTGAACGAAGCAGCCACCTAAACCCAAACAATTCTGAGATCACAACGTATTTCTAGGGCTGCTGATAGTGTGACACGGATATTGGTTGGGTCCGTGAGTGAGTTCCACGAAGTACCTAAGTAGTCCTTAGGAAGATAGGCTCTCGGGGAGAGCAGAGAGGTTTTGGATTTGGAAAAGCGTTTCTACGGCACCAACCAGATATAAAGGGGGGAGGTTCACACACCTTCCTGTGAAAATCCTGGCATATCTTGCAACTGCATTCCCCGAATAGACCCAAAGCAGTGCGTGCTTAGTTCTCAGCTAATATGTTTATTGTCATTGTCATAATCCCGTGGATTTTCGGCACATGCTAAGCCACCTCACCACCATATCAAACATAGGTACAAGAACAGGTCGAAGCTTTCACATAGCTAGTTTACTAGTAAATTAATTCTCTTTATTCGTATCGTGTAGAGCATCGTAGGTTTAGTATAGTGTAGCGGTTACAGCGTATAAAAACGGTATCTCGTCGTCTTATAACGGCGCTAAGTAATAGTAACCCGTGTTATCTACCCAGTAGGGAGAATCGGCGTGGGTGCCCATAAAGGAAGACTAGGAGTCGTACGTAGTCAGTGTAAAAGTAGTGGAAAGAGGTAATTCTGGGAAACTGGTTGCCTATGTAGTCTTGAAGAACGCTGAATAGATATACCAGTATAGATAAGATCTATCGATACTGTTCCCGGCCAATGCTGAGATTCTATGAAGAGCATCTCAGGTTTGGACTGACGGACATGGAATTCTTCGAGACGCTGGAACCGGCGGAGGAACCGAGCAAGCCTTTGCTGTCAGCTGTAAAGACGGTTGATCTCAAAAGATGCCAATATTGGATTCGGGAGGTAATTTGGCTACTTTCATAGGGCTTTCAACACATATACAGTAAGAATGTTGATCCTCTGTACCTTTAAAGCCAAGATATTTCTATGTAACCCAAGAGTGAAGTAATGAACAGGATTCAGAAGATTCCTGGTTGTACCGTCCAAATATTCATTATATCGGACGCAGACTGACGCGACAGGACTGTGAACTTCTTATAAAAAGATTGCCTGCGTGTTAGAGAGCTCAGGTTTATTCCAAATAAATATCTCAAGGCTCTATGCACATTGCTAACATAGCTAGCGCTTGAGACTCGCGAAATTGTGCCACCAACTAACATGATCGAACTAGGTATACAGCACTCGATTTCCCTCCGATCACCGATTCAGAAAATGGTCGACCATCAACCAGTCCGTAGCATTAGTTGGACCATCTAGGAAAACCAGAAATCAAAAGATCTTCCACAAAGACCTTTTGCTTGATGGTGGTCAGTTCAGAGGATCGTGAGTCTGCCTTTACCCTCCTGTATGCAGGAGTAATGACATAGTAGCTGTCTCCCTTTTCATAAAAGGCAGCGTCGGCGTCCAGTATTAAGGAAAACATCACCACGTCTGATTTCTTCACCCTAGTAGCGTACAACACAACTTGTTGGTACCTCCAAGTATCAACAGGACCTTTCAACTTCTCCTCCCATGTCTCCTCTGTCTCGTCCGACTTCGTCACACTCTGGGCAACTTTACCAGTTGCCAACACGCCGAATTCGAAGATTCCTTTGATGCTGGCTCCCATGCCCACTGTAAGTTCCAATGACACCTCAGTAGTTTTGCTCACACCTTTGCGCACAGTGAATGTATGTTTGACCTCTTGATGATCCTGGACGACGATCCTGTCGTTGTACTTCTGTATGGCTGTGATTGGCTTCATGGATGCACGCACATATCGATCAAATTGTACGAGATATCCTGGCGTGGATTCGTTTACCAAGGATATCCCAGTCTCATTCCATTCATTTGAAAGAATACATGCTACTTCTGCACCTTGGCCCATCATTAGGCGGCCAACCTCCGAAGGTCCATCGGCGACTTTCAGATTCTGCAAGAGCTCGAGCGGTATGGTTCTACCACGTGAATCAAATATGCGGAGGATAGGTGATCGAAAAAGATTATTTGCTACTTTGGAATGTCGTCGGATTCTTATGAAGGTTGAGCGAACCACACAATTATGATACAGAGATCGGTTCGTTATCAATGGCCTTCGTCCGGTCCCGCAATGGCCTAGCTTAGCTACAACAGATCCCTATCTGTAGCTGATGCTTTCTGATACGATCAACCGATATAATGATTGAGAGATGCCGGCTACTTGGAGTTACGGACAAGACCAAGAAATTTCAAGAAGAAGCAGCAGCTCTAAGAGTCGAGTTTGCCAATCGTTATAATTTCCCCAGCGGACGCTTGGTCGGCGCCAGCCAGACTTATATTGCACTAGCCATCCACTTTGGACTGTATCCTTCACCATACCAGAAGATTCAGGAGGTGGGAGCCTTGAACAGCTAACTCGCAGAATATCTCGTTTCAAGATCGCGACAGGTTTCGCAGGGACTGCAGTGATTGCTCATACACTCAGCTCTGTTGGAAAGTCGCAACTTTTCTTTCGGACGCTTCTACATAAGCAGTGCCCGTCATGGCTTTACCCCGTGACTATGGGTGCAACCAGAGTATGGAAGCGCTGGGATAGCATGCTGCCGAATGAAAATGTGAACCCTGGAAGTATGACTTCCTTCCACAACTATGCTTGGGAGCCGTTGCACAATGATAGCCTGCTGCCCATGCGGACTGATACTTACTACAGACCAAACCGCCGCCCTGATTCCCGATGCCTACCAAGCCCACTGCCTGACAAAGATAATAAGGTGAGTGAGAGAAACAAGAAAGTGCTAACTACTATTACAATTATGAGTCAGTAAGCCGGGTTCTGCGAAACAAAATCTCGAAATGTCCATAGAGGAGTAAGTTATCTAGAGCTAGGTTGATGTGGATAGAGTGCACTTCGATATTCAGAATGAGTTGTCCGCGACCTTACTTTTCCCCGCCAAAACCATGTAACATGTGGAAAACTTTATTTAGAAGACGCATTTCACCGCACTATCAAACCAAGTTTGATCAAAACCAGAACACACCTTCTCTACCCTGGAATGACTTGTATAGTAACAAGGCATAGTCTTGCCGAAGACGGTTTTAAGTACTCCGACTTTTTGCCCAGAAGTGCCAGTAAGCCAGCCAACTTTCTCATCGCACTCATCCATCATGTGAATTGATCCGTCCAAAGTGAAAGTATTGTGGCAACCGTTCGTCAGGTAAAGACCTAAACTTGGTTGACTGCAGCCGAGTTGGTTTGTCTTCGCTACTCGTAGCGAAGAAACTGGTACACTGCAAACATATACTGGATAGTGCTGGCATTGTACTGCATACATATTCCAGAACAAAATGTCGTCTGGATGGCGAGCCTCTGCTCAGGGTGGCCAGTCAGTACAGGTTTGGAGAGAGATAGAAAAACACCACATACTTATCGCGTTTTCATTTGGATCCAAGATGCCACTTTCCTGGCCAAAGTGGGTGAGCTCGTTATCCGTCAAGTTCTGTGTATGTCAGCTAAGGTAGCTTCTGGGGGATCATAGATTTGTAGCACATACCAGTTGGCCAACAACTTCACCGTTTGCGTTGTGAAGAAGTCTGAATTGATCCAGGAGTTCTGCATCACCTGATGTGTCGGGGGATGTCATGACTCTGGTTGATATGCAACCCACCAACAGAAACAGAACAGAAAGCCCGAACATCTTTGACGAGAAGATTATCACCTGCACTGACGGTATACGGTTATAGTAGTTACCGTGCTGTAGAGGGGGGAAGTAGACTTTATATTTCCACGATTGTTTCGCATGAGGACCTCCTACTTAGGTCCGGAGTACTAAGCTGCAATGTTCCTGTCCAATCTTCTGTATCAGCACGGGCGTAGTATTCGATTACATTTACAGGTACTCATTTCGACTAGCATTTATCGGCGCACACAGTATGCAGGCTTTAGGGACATTCTGATTACGTTTTAGTCCTCACAGCGATGTGACTGTGATCAGGTACTCCCTGGACATGATACAGATTCCGGAAACGACTTGGACACGGTGATTTTCCAGACGTGGGCAACGAATCACGATACATGAAGTCACTCAACCCTTTCTTTCTCTCCGGTTCACTTGATACTTAAAGAGGCACTTCAGACCGTGCTTTTGAGGTGGTAACAATCGTTCGGTGGATAGATCAAGTGTTCGGAGGTATGGTGAAGGCTTTGTGGAGGGTTATCGGTCGATTATTTGACGTCCCATTGTCGATTCAACTTCACCGCGTAGTCCATCAACTACCTGGTAACAGTGAGCAAGCTATCCTACATAACGCATCAGATATTCATGCACATATCTTTGGCAGGTGAAATAATCTTATCCATAACTCAGGCTTTAAAGAGAGTACGGTGAAATAATATGGTGTAGAGTTTTCAGTAGTTGAGTGCTCAATCATTCATGTCTGGGAAGAAATCCGTACTCATGGATCAAGTGACTTCTCTGGTTCAACGTGGCCGACCTGGAAATTTTACTATTCAAGGATAGCTCAACACCGCGGTGCGAATGATCTGCTTGTCAAAGTCCTCGACTTGGCGCAGCATGATGGTCGGTCCAGCCTAGGTTTATCCAGTGACCGAAGTCCTAAGTTGACCGTCTGATCTCTCATCCCGGGTTGATTCGTGTGGGTATTTTCGTTCTGACCGAGTCTGTCACGGGAATCTCACGTGCCTAGCGCTGACACGTATCAACGCTAAGACTAGCACGTGCACGCGATTTCTACGTGACCTCGCTTATCGAGTTACATCGCTACTCTCTTTATTCTAGTTAGTCCTTCGTACTATAATTCGAGTATTATTGCGCACCTCTCCATGTCAGAATCGATCTGCTAGAGGCGTTCTGTGGCCCAGTGCCCGGTTGGCAGGGGTAACCGGATTGAGGGTGTCGTCGACTTTCATTTTGGCATGGGAGGGGCGGTAGGCTGTGCGACTGAGACAGCAGATGAAGTCAACCTAGAGAAAAGAGATGGGGAAGAAATAGAGGAAGGGCCGTGGCCAGTGGCATCGTCTCTTGATCATGTTCATGTCCCCTGATCTGTTGCAGAGGATGAATTTGTGAGAAGCTGGGCTACAACGAAGGAACAATCGCCGCGCGGCGTTACCGTGATATCCCATCTGATGAAGCAGTTGATGGACCAGGCTGGGTGACCTCGAGATAGAGCAGCTCTCGTGGAATGTTTTGGCCTTTTTATGTTCCATTCTTCACCGTACAGTGCACGGGGGATTGCGTCGGAATATCAACGTCCTTGTACTTGTTGGTGATGTCGTCTAAACGCAATTTCGAACCCGGCACAGGCATTGATGCCTTGCCAAGCAGGTTATCGTTCGATTAGATAGTGTCCTCGAGGCCTTGCGCGAAGTCATTGGCAGCACAAGCGTAGCAGGGCTCAAAGCATTGAAACTCGTAACGATTCCAAGATATATGTAAGGGAAATTTTCTGATAAAAATTCTTCGATCGAAGCTCGCTTGCATCGACATTACTGTTGGGACCAGCTTTGAGGGGAATTGCCGCATCGAAGACGAGCGTGGCTTGATGATAATTATTACTTCGCATTGGCTGTGATAAGTGGGATGGAGTTTCAACCCTACCAGACTATAGTTTGCGCTCAAGCAAGCCAGCGGTTTCGGAAGGATATTCTGACATTTCGGTCCCTTTTTCACAAATCAAGTCATGCATGAGGCTATGCGGGATAAAAATTCGCTACGCGCGGTGAGTGAGAAGGCCACTTTTGGTGCTTTGTGTTCAGTATACGTGCTTATCTCGTGGGATAGGGGGGAGGAAGAGAGAGAGGGGAGGAACTAAATAAAAGATAAAGTCGGAGCGGAACTTGAAAGTAGTATTTATTTAGTTTTTTTTAGCGGCGGAGACCTTCGTCAGGCAGGCGCGCGCGGGCGGAGAAATTCTGCGTTTGGTATGTATGACGAGCGACATGGACTCTTGAGAAGCCACGTAACGAGAGAAATATAATTTGATTTCATCTCCCGGAAGTTGCCGCATGTCCCCTCAGCTAGCCGTACCATGACATATGATACCGATTATTATTGAGAAGGCAGGACCGCGAAAGTGGAAGGGGAAGGAAATATGATGTCAAGTATTTAGGTAGCGAATGTTCAAAAAAGGGTTCAACGTTGTATTAGTTTGCAGTGCTTTAGGACAGTGCTATAACTAGAGTAGTTGGGATATCATCATTCGTCATTCAGGCTCGAAACTCCTGAAAATGCAATTCCTAGTATCATTCTGAACGGCCTTGCAGGCGTAGGTAAAGAGTGCGCGCACGCAGTCCTGATCGGCTTTTGCAATCAAGCATAGCCATGTGAGCCACATCTCATCTTCGGCCAGAAACCTTCTATTCAGTCGTATATCGTTTCAGATGGATCTAGGTCTAGTGCCGACCATTGGTGCCGGTAATGCTGTCATCCGAAGTAGCATTGCTGTCATCGGAGGGAGTGATCTTCTCGGTCAATTCGTTTCCATTCCCGTTGGTGTGTCGGAATGGTCCCTGTAAGGTGGCTCTCCTCGTTGATCGTTGGAAGTAAGATTGCAGATGTTCGTGGAACTCCTCATCATCGAAATCATCGGCGTCAAGTCGCCCTGCCTTTTCGTCAATCTTCTCTTGCATGCGAGATTCCCATTCTGCTCTCATCTCTTCGATGCGCTGCTTGTAGTCAAGGTCTGGGTCATAGTGTTTGCCAACGCCTCTAATACGCTCCCATAGACTCAAGTGCTTGGGATGGATGGCGATTCCATGATAGTCCTCTTCGCGGCCGGAGCGGATGAATGCCCATCGGCGCTCTTGCTCTTTGAGATCAAGACCGGTAGTGTCGGGCATGAAGACCACGTTGAGAACTAAACCTGCAAGTCCAAACCAAGGCACGACGTAGAACTTCGTCTGTGTGTCGATGTAGTTGTACAGGATTGATGCTGTGAGGGCACCTAGCTTGCCCACGGCTGCAGAAAATCCGTGAGCGGTTGCACGGACAGCGGTAGGATACACTTCTGCCGCCGCAAGGAATGTGACAGAGTTGGGTCCGAATTGATTGAAGAACGACGACAAGAAGTACATTGTCTGGAATGACTTGATGTGCTCCCTCGATGTGTAATACTCGAAATTGAAAGCTGGAATGATGAACAGAATGAAGTCCATCAAGAATCCTATGCTTTGCATATGTTTGCGACCGTAGAGCTTGTGATCGATCAGAAAGCTCGCCAGGTAGTAGCCGCAAAGAGAAACGCCGACATTGACCAAGTTGTATAACCAACCAGGCATGATCGAGGTACTATGAGGTGTGATAACTTTGATGAATTCGCTTTGGAACAACTTGTTGCCGTAGAAGAAGACGTCATTCATATACCAGGTACCAGCAGTCGCAAGAAGACGGCCACCGAAATGCCGGCAGGTAATCTTCAAGGATTCTGTATCGTAACCTGTGACGGAGGACTTCTTCTTGGCGATTCGCAATTGCTTGTTTGCTCCGCCTTTGACTTTGTATGTACGATAGTAAACCAGCCAAAGTGTGCCCACGGCGGGAATAGCAAACGAAACACGGAACGTGTACTGAACAGCGAGAGCGGAATATGGCGCATTTCCGCTTCCGTGGTGGAAAATCAACAGTAGAAGTATGAGCAAGACCTGGTTGAAGAATTGACCCCAGCCCTGCATCAAAAAGGCTGCACGAAAGTCAGTGAGTGTTTCCTATTTATCACCCGATTGGGGTAGCACTTACCACTGGTGACCTTACGGCCGCGGTGTAGACGATCATCTTTGGTGGAAACTTTCCCGGATCCAACAGCATTTTCCATGCCAGAGGTGGCTGTCATGGGATACTCTCCACCGACTCCGATACCGTAGAAGAACAGAGACCAAGTATAGCAAATAACCCAGCCGTTTTGAGTAACACCCCAGGAGGCTACAAGCATGATGAGACCAACAAACATGATGGCTGCATCCTGAATCAAGCCCCATCTCCGACCAATCCAGTCACCGATGATGCCGACAAGAATTTGACCAACAATGATACCACAAATTTCCAGGTACTCCACGGCATTCAACCAAGTTTTGTTGCAGATTTGATGCGTGCTCCAGCACTCAGGAAATCCTTTTTGAAATAAAGGCTTAAGGTTGCCAATGGAAAAGAGGACATAACCTTCAAGACCAAGACCGGCACCAGGGAGGACCATGTTGCGGAAATAATACGCCACAGGAGACAATGGATCGTTCTTGAACATTTCCCAGGTTGCTCGAGCTTCCTTTTTGGCTTCTTCATTGTTGACCTTGTTGACAAAGTTGATTCGTTTCAAAATGGGTAGATCTGCCCAATAGACTCCGTTCTCATCGAAGCTGTCATCGGGCTTCAGAACGGTACGAAACATGTCCTCTTCATTCTTGTTCATGTCGAACAGAGGATCTTCTAACGGGGCATGATGGCCTGTGACATCTGGTCCGTGTGGTGCACTGGGACCATAGTCGATGATTGGGCCATCGGAAGACATCTTCAGGGATAGACCTCTATGGAGCAGAGGAGATGTTCTGTAATGAGAGAGAGCTGGTGATTCCTCAGAGTCAACCGGGGGAATAGAGTCCTCTAATAAAGAAAACGAATAGATGGACGTATGCTTGAGATGGATGCCAAGGCTGGTTGATGGCTGACGGCCCAGCGATTGAGCGACAGGCTTAAGTGAGCATAAAAATGCTTGTCAGTCGGATCTGACGGATGGTGTGAAAGCCACCTGCAAGGGGATGCCGCAATGAGCTACACAAGCGATCTAAGGCTGCAGGAAAGAACCGCCTGATCGATGCCTCAGGGGAGCCACGAGCTTGGATACCGGGCTGTGATTGGCTCTCAGGCAACGTTGAAAACGGCAGACAAGGCGACGGCGTGCCTAGGCTATTGGTATCTGAACCTTGTGGAGACTTGATGAGTCCTGGAGAAAGCCTGCAAGATGATGAGATGACGACGGCAATGTTAGTAGTCGTCAATACAAAAAGCCGGAACCGGTGCTTAGGCGAACTTGGTATCGATCTTGAGTGGTAATAAGCGGCCCAATCTGAAATGTTGACACCAGTTTCAACAAGGCTTGCACCTTCCAAAGCTTGATGGGATGATAAGAACGAGCAAAAGGAGCAGCTGTTGGAAGACCAAGTCCAGAACAGAATCTGGGTTTGGGCCTTTTGTAGGAAGAATAGAGAAAAGATATGTAGAGAGGGTAGAAGAAGAAAAATCCCGGACAGAACGGCAAAAGCTGGGTGAGGGACTGTGACAAGACGAGGAGTTTACCACGGTCTGATGTTGATGTGGGATGCTTCCCTCAGAGTCGAATGGGAAGGCACAGGCGAGAAGCATTAAACCCACCGTTTACTCCATAGTTGTGAAAATTCCTTACCTCGTATGTGGTAACCGGCTTGAAGCGGCTTGATCGTCGTACAAAGGCCGAAGTGTTCTGGGCTGTATCAAGCTCTATTGCTAAGAAATCTTGAATGAAAAATTACTTGGTGGTGGCAATGGCGTAGCAAGTGGACGAGCAGGGGGCATTGAGCTGCGAGCAAGATCAAAAGCACGGGGGGGTATCCACCCACGTGGGCAGTTGATTGGCTATTAATCAACGTCGTTGCTTTGATCTCGCCTCGAAAATTTAAAAGTCCCCAATGATAGACGCCAAGACTTTGTTCAACGACCAAAGCGGCATTGAGGCACGTGCCTGCTTTCCGAGAAAGCCCTAGTATTTCGTACCTCTGGTGCCAGCTCAGCTCACCAGGCAACTTACTACAAGCAGGGAGCTTTGATAATAGTACCAAGAACTATGTCAGGCTGACTGCTCAACATTGTTGCTCTGTTTTCCTCACTGACTTGACTTGCTTCCGCATTTGACCAGAGAGTTCTAACCACCAGCAGAGATCGACCAGGCCACGTGTTGGACTGCAGATAAAGGCTTCGTATCTGCCATTCTTCAAGTGGTCAACCAAAGGCGCCGTCTTTCACTGTTTGAATGTAGCCATGGTCGATGAGACTGAAATGGATCAGCAGCTTCTATCGCACGGTACGTATCTGGCAAGGACATCAGCTTCCGGAGTGACCCGGACCGACACGCAATCCGAGCAAGAGTCAAATCGACAGTCTCGAACTTATATCTTTCAAGAGACTATTTCTTGGTCATGATCAGTATCTGCGCCTATACCGGCAACTGCCGGCTCCCCACCTTGGCTACTCCAGTCATTCACTAGAGGACTGGACTTGCGTTGGAGCGTGAGAATGCTTAAAGGACCAAAAGGATAGAGAGATAATGCAGGAGGTATGGGACTGTGTATTTCTTGTGAAGGCACATCGTCGTTGTGGGTAAAATTAGGTACGATCAACGAAGCAATTTGCCCAATTCTCATGTGATATATTGAAGTTGTTATTGTACTGCGCTGTTTGTTATATAATGGTGCAGCGTCTGGTATATCCATATACTGTGCTGCATCCTCTCGCGAGCTAATTCTTCCGTAAAGTAGATCGGGAGGTTGCCATCTTACAGGTGCACAGGGTCGTTGTTGGAAGCAAAATACACCTAGGCAATACCTACTTAGGTAATGTGTGGTGAAAGTGGTGGAGTATTCATAGCCAGGACTTTAACAAACCCAAAGCTTGGCATACTAGCATGCGGCCAGTAGCCTTGTCCATAAAAATTTGACCACCATGTTTTGTGGACACAATTCAGACACAGAATGTATTCAAGGCCTGCGTAGCTCAATTGGATCAGAGCGTCAGACTCTTATTAGATGATTGATCTGAAGGCTGTGGGTTCGACCCCCACCGTGGGCTTTTTCTCGTTGTCCGGATATTTGATATCTTTTTTTGCATTGCAGGCAGAGACGTAATCCTGATTAAACAATTCCAAGGACTGGACCAACGTGGAAGTTCAACAAAGCCCGTGAAGGCGTTCACTGGCACAGACCAAGGTCGTAGAGTTCGCATTGCTTGTTGCCACTATAATTCCTGGTGTGCTTGTCTCGGATGGATGACATGCTTTGTAACATAAAGCAGTCAAGGGACGGTACTACCTGCCAAAGTGCGAGGCTTGCTACCGTTGACCAAGATTGTTGATTTCAATCATTCACATGTCTCCAGCATCTTCTTGATAAAACTCTGAAGTGTTGGATTCCACAGCGCAGCAGCGACTCTCTCCTTATCGGCCAATTGCTTGTTCACTTCATCTGCTGTAGAATGTGTTCCCTCTTTTATCCGCACATCAACGCGGTACCGTGGAGGTAATGATTCCTCCAATCTGACTCTGACACCGAGACCAATAACCGTAGCCAAACTGCAATGTTGGATGGTCGGGGTGACCAACACCGTCACAGTCTGGAGATTTGAGTTTGGTCGATTTGCAATGGTAGGTTTGATTGAAATGTCCGGTAGCGAGACAACAGCCAAAGAACCCAGGGTGATGGGATGCTCTGGATCGGACATTGTAGAGACTAGATCGTAGATCTCCTGTGTATCGATCGGCTCATCTTCCGCATCGCTGTCGCTCTCCTCAAGCGAGGATGGACTGGACGATCGCATAAAAGGATCATTCGTGAAAGAGGGAGCGGGGTATGTGAAAGTCGCAGCGCCATGAAGATGATCTTCCTTGGTTGATGCCCGACTTCTCCGCGTTGGGAGATCAGACGGGTTGAGGATGAGAGGATTTGCGTTCTTTCCGTCTTCCATTATGGACGGTGTGAGTCAAGATCGGGCAGATATGGAGTGCACTTATTTCGTCGAGCTCGCGTCTGCAGACTTGAATGTGATAGCCTTTACAGAGGATGTTGTTTGATGGCAAGATGTATAAATGAGGTGGGGCAGTGGTCGGACGTGGGACAGATTGAAGGTGATGAGAAATGTTTGAACCGAACCATGACCTGGGAGTCTTTGGTGGCAAGAATCGGGTGCTGGCCTCGGGCGCCTCGGGCTCCCCAAAGCTGAAAATGCCCCGGGGGCAGTGGGCACGTGGCTGCCAGGCCTTGACTTGAAGATGAAGCAGAAGGTTCGGCTATGATTGTCCGCATCCGTAGGTCAGGCACTCCGGGTATCGCAACACCGTCCCTCCCCTTAACGATAGAAGGCCTGGGACCTTTTGATCAAGCAGCAGTGTGCACAGGCCTTTAACCCACAACGTCCCTTGTTTTCCCGACGGAGACGCCTACTTTATAGTACGGAGTAGCGAACTGTTGCACTAACACCTCGTCTTCGTAGGGCTTAAGACAGGTTCCTAATGGCGTGCACTCGGGCACTCCCGTGTGCCCACTACCTAAGCACTGAAAAGCAAATTCTCTCTAGCTCAACCGCTGGCAGCATCTGAGTTTGTGGGCAGAATTTGCTGGAATCTACACTAGATGTACCGAGCAGATACATCCAGACAATTCTCAGCATTGCTTCGACCTTATTTGGGATGCACACCATCAGCCGTGCCCACAAGTCCGTCCAATTTCTCGAATTCACTCACCAAGGCCGGAAAAGGGTTGCGGTTCAGAATTCGCGATCCAATTTACCTGAAATGGCCGAAACGGCAGTGTCGCCTGATGGCCTATCATCCTGAGACAGGGATCAATTTGCGGGGAGGCGAAGTTTGAAACCGTTCCCGTTAGATGGTTCCATGGTCCATGCTAGACCGTGTTACGATGTGAGTGATATTGCGACACTGAGGATCGATCCAACGTTATTCATTAGCCGTTAGAAGCCGCATGATCTGAATCGCTTTGATAAATTTAGGAGTGAGTACAATGTCTCGGTTCTTGTGGTGGTACATGAATTGAACCAGGATTAGCCACATACGGTGTCCTCGTTACTACTCGTAGGTAGGTCATCATGATTCATGACACTTGGTGCAGTAGGTCCACACATGGCTTCTATGATGACTCGGACATTTGTACCTTTGAAGAAAGATGCACCTATCAATATATGGATCTCTATGGAGAGGCTCTAGATTGAACATTGTGCACGAGGTACCTGGTACCTGAGTATCTTCACGTCAAGCATCCAGCATTCTGCATTATTCAGTGGGTCCTTGGGGCCCTCGGGGTGACAGTTCTGCGGATCAGGGTCTGGAAATCAGCCTCAATTATTGTTACTTGGGGAGGCCCTAAGAGGTACGAGGTACCAGCAGACGAGGACGGCGGATAAGACTCGTACTCGCTCGGCATACCCGGGACACTGGGCATCTGGGAGGGAAGGCGGGCCCGTACTGGGTGGTTGTAAGCCTCACGCTTGCTTGCTCTGGTTGGCAAGCTTGGAAGGTGGCGGGATGTTAAACTGTAACTAGGGGTAGTCATCATCAGCTGAACCATTGATAATTTGTCTCCCATTGATTCCCTCTCAGCCCCCACCTCGATCTGAAGTGGTCAATAGTACCCAGGTGTTTACCTCAAGCTCGGACCTATCTTAACTAGATTGCCTTGGCCATGTGGTCCATGCATTGGATCATACGGAGTACGAGTGTGCGAATTGGACTCTGGCGAGAAGGACTCAGCGATCGATGTGCATGAAATCTTGTTCGTCGAAATGTCTTGATCGAGGAGGCAAACCAGTTGAGCTCTTTAGCTAGGATGCCAGTGCGAAAGGTCACCACCGACACGGCGGCAAGTCTCGAGATACAGTTTATTCTGCCGGGACTTGCCATGCGTGCAGGTGGCCATGTTTTAATGGAACTGTAGGCACACAGCCCGTGGTCCTCCCGACAGGCGTACAGGCTCCAGGCTCCAAGGTCCCGGCATGCGACTCGGGACATGGACATCGAAAGAGCAGATGTACTCGTACCTGCTTTATTCCCTGGATTTTTGTTCTTGACGTTGCATTCAGATGCTGACGGCGTCTTCTCTTCCACCACTCCCAATCTTTCACTCCCAGTCCTAATCCCGTCATCGCACAGTTTGGGATCCAACCTCCACTCGACAACCCTGTAAACGTGTCCATCACTTCAAACCGGGGTCCATCACTGGTTCTTCAATGTGAAACCTCATTGAAAATATACCTCGATACTTGTCTGTACTCCTGAAATCCATAATAAATTGCCCCTGGGAACAAGAGCTTAAACTCTGTTCTCAACTGGACCTTGATACCCAAATCCCGATCTGCATCACCAAGGGCCACACCTCATGCCCGGATCAGCTTCTTCAATTGTTCCGTGAGAGTTCGGTCGCATAAGCGGAACCCTTGCGTGTCAGAGCCTCCACTCCCTTGGTTTACGCTACTTCCTTACTGGATTATCTCTGGTGGCTGTCGCATGCTGTCTCGACTCTCTCTTCGAATCTCTTGTATGGTGTTTGGACCAGTGTCTGACCAGAAGGCCATATCTCCTGACTCTGGATTTTGTTAATTCCAGCATCCCTTCCTCACTCAAGAGGGGAGCATATGATTATTGCACGTGCCGAGGTTCAAGTTTCGAAGTTGCGCCACAAGCAAAAGCATCTTCTCCATCATCCACCTGGCAATTGGTCCTAGTAGGCACGAATTCCTGACTTACATCTGCCGCCGACCACAATCTTTGAGTCTTTTCAGCCTTCACTCTTTCTTTGATTTCGGATTTCTGGATAGTCATCATCATATGCAATTCCGTCGACGACCACAATACCCCGGATTTGATATTCATTGAATCCCCGCGACTTGTAAGGCTCTTCACACACGGCACTCCACCTTAATCGAGGCAGCATCCCGTCTTTGCCCTTACCAAATGTGGTGTCTGCCCGCCCTGGGTTCGGATGATATGCCACAATGCAGACCTATTCACTCTCCACCGCCGCACCGCCATCTGGCCCCAAGAACTACGTCTTTGTCGATGAGCACAATCGACATAAGCGCCTCAAGGTTATGAGAGCCTGTGAAAATTGTCGCCGCCGGAAAATCAAATGCGACTCCGCAACAACAAACACCTGGCCGTGCGCTGCATGTGTAAGACTGAAATTACATTGTGTACCACCAGCAGGAGGCTTGGAAGGCGATGATGGTACTGATCCTGGATCGCTGTCGTTAGATACAATCGAAGCGACTTCTTTTACACAAGACTCCATCGCCTCTGTATCTCAATCCCAACCTTACCAACACAACCCCGCATTTCAGCTGAATCAAGGCGATGCCTTTCAGTACGATGCTTACGCTCCAAACTACCAAAAATCTCCCTTCCAGTTACTCGACAAACCGTATGGTAACTACTATCCAAGCTCACAACAGTTCCCCGGTGCTTTGAATGATCCCTACAACCAGGGCCCGCAATTGTATCAACCCGCCCAGCATGTACCGCCTGTCCGGCAGGAGAGAGCTGGCTCCTCTACGTCCGACCCAGTTACGGCTGAAGACTTGATGGAACATCTAGGTTCTCTGAAGATTGGCGAAAATGGAATTGCCCCATACGTCCGGCAAGAAAAGTCCGCTGGACAAGATGCTGAAATCCCGCTTCAAGAACCCGAGCCTGAACCCAACATTTCCGCGGCATTGAGTACCGGCGCAGGCTCACAAATTCGCATACCACCTGAATTAATGCCATCCCATGAGGATGCAATGCAGGCCTTTAAGACATTCTTCAGAGACGTCCATCCCTACGCGCCTGTTCTTGTCAGGAGTAATTTCTACAACCAATGGCAGAACGATCCATCTTCCATCAGCCCTCTGGTCTTGGAAGCAATCCTTGCGAATGCCGGTCGACTTTCAGATGATCCAGCGCAGGGAGCTCAGTGGCTGGCCCTGGCAAACAGTAAGTGTCGTCGCGGATGACTTGAGATCCAACTGACTGGTTCCAGAGCACGAAGCGTCTTTCCTCGATAGCCCGAGACTAAGTACATTGCAAGCCTTGATCTTGCTGTTAAAAGCAAGGGAGAGTGCACCAAAGAGAGGTTATTACTACCGCTCATGGATGACGTGCAAAACCGCTGTCTCAATGGCAAAGGATTTGGAACTGGATGAACACTTTGGAACTCATGCAGCGGGTGAGTCATGTGGGTCAGATCCGGTGGACTGTTTGACCAAAACACGCGTCTGGCAGACATTACTCGTCTGCGAGACCATGGTTGGAGGCCCTCAAGGTTAGTTTGAAATGCCACTTGTACTGATGTGGAGATGCTAAGTTGTCTTTCAGGTCGCACTGACCTTGGAGTTGATCCCAACTCTGTGGAAATCAGTACAAATCCGCCCTGTTCAGATATTGACGAATTCGAGAAGTCAATCTCAAGACAATTCGCCTATTTTGTTCGCAATGTCCGCAACATTCGAATGATAACAGTTATTTCTCAGAAACTCAAGAAGAAGAAAGATTGGGGATTGGACCAAGAATTCGTGGCATGTAATACGACTTTCAGGAAATGGCCGGACGACCTGCCAAAGGATCTCCAAATCATCCTACCACCCGATGGGACCGTTCCAAAAGTCTCTTCACATTTTCTGGGGAATATGCATTCACACTATCACCTCGCCATTGTGATGCTACGTCGACCTCAATTGTCAGCCTCCCAAAATTACTCTGCAGATGGCATGTGGAAGCAACATATGAGTGTGTGCTATCACTCCGCCAAGGTCCTTTGCAAATTGCAAGAAGGAATTCTTGCAAATTTTGATCTTACTGGCCTGTTGTGCATGCAGCGAGGGATCAATTTTACCATTTACGCCATTCTCACCTGCATCATGATCCATCTCATTGCTATTTCCTCTCCAGATACAGAGTTCAATACGGATGCACGCGATTTCTTCGTCCGCCATATGCGAATCCTGGAGCGATGTATAGCGGCCTGGCCGATGACCGAAACTGAAGCACAAATAAACGCACTACGTGCAGCATTTTCCGCGGATGTCACAAAACCCTTCGAATTGAGAGAATCTTTTCCTCTTGGATCACCCTCCGACCACTCGGGACCATCGCCTATTCCTCACTCGGCCCCACAGCCACAACCGAACATGCTCGATCTTCAACCACAGACGACCAATGCCTACATCCCTCAACACCTGCAACTAAACACAATGCGTGGGCAGACGCCGTATCTAGCGACTCCACCGGTATCAGCCTACTCCGCGACCGACTCGAAACCACCCACCCCTATCTATGCGTCACCATACGAACTCCCTGAGCACGCTCAGTACCCCACAATGCCAACCAGTGCAGGTGGCTACTACCCACAACCGACATCCGTTCCTGGCCCCGAGCTTCAATGGAATCCAACACCGATCATCCAACAATTCGATACAGCATTCGCCATTCCACCCTCTCAACTTGCACCACCTCCATCACTCTACGGTGGTAGCGGCTCCTCACCCCCGGGGGCGGCAGGAATGGGTTCATTGAATACAAGCTTTGCCACGACCAACTCTCCACCATTCACCACCTCGCCTCCAGGCTATAATCAACACCAGCAACAACACCACTATTTCGCCCAACACGCCCAGTCATTCCACCACGACACCAGCAGCCCCATAGCAGGCCAACCCGCCCAGCTTCCCAGCTCCGTGGCCCCTGCATACACTGCCAGTGGAGGAGGAGGAGGCGCCGTGAATCCTGCAATGCAGTTTGTCACTCCTCGCCAATGGCAACAGAGCGTGCAAAGCGTTATTGACCCATCCGGTCTGAAACGACGTTGGGACTACGATCAACATTAATGAGTGAAAATTATATGACGAATGAAAAAGACAGAAATCTACGAATGGAAAGCAGGAAAGGAAATATTTAATGCGTAAAATGAGATGAGGGTGGTGGGGGACGCCGTAAAGTTGTGCGCTTCCTCCAGTGCAAATACCTAAAGGAAGGAAACAAGGACGTTCGATCAAGGGGCCAGACGAGCCTCCGTCGCTACTCCGTCGAACCATGATGTGGCATGTATCTATACCTGTACCTGTAGCCAAGCCAAGCCAAGTCAAGCTGCACACTGGGTACTATTCATTTGATATGCGAGAAAAGGGTACCACGCAGCAATATGAGATGAGAGGAGATATGGTGAAATGCCTGTATGAACCAAGGGCGTGATTCCTCCTGGAGAAGACGCTCAGCCTTCAAATCATGAGAATCCACAGTGCTGCGTAATCTAATGCAGTGTACAGCGAAAATCGAAATGTGGATTCTGCTTGCGAGGCTATGACGATGAATAATGCAGCGAGCACTTGATGCTGTGACGGCGAGTTCAAGGTATTGATCACGAACTCAATAATGTGAATCAATAATGTTATTATGGCTGAGCCAGCTGTGGTTCACGCAACCACAACGGACTGCATCACTTCCGGATCGTGGAGTGTTTAGCAAACGCGATTCCTGGGATCCCTAGCATTAGGTAGGTACGGCTTGCGAACCATCGCGGCTAAAATGCCATTTGCCTTTCTATCGACAAATGATTGTGTCTGGGTCGGTTCACTAGATGTCAAGGAACATCTATCCACTTTCAGCTAGCTTGTCCTGTTCAGCATCGTGACGGACTAGGTGCCCAAGTAGTCCAAATCATTGAAGTCGTAAGGTCGCTCGATCTCGGTCGACCGCTGCGCTTGGCCAAGCTGTGGGGAGTTGCTGTTTGATTCGATCTTCAGACCATCATCCACCCTCCAAACCCCGATGGCTTAGATCTGGAGTGGGCTTGGCTGGGCACGCTCCGCAAGATCGTACTCGGGAGTGATATTCGACTTGATTCCATCTTGCCCCTGTCTCTGGTATTGAGAAAAGCTGATTTTCGGGCCTAGGCCAGTGAGTCTAATCTGATTCCTATGGTCTCAGGACACCTTCTCCTCCGTAGATTTGGAGCGGTGCTGTTCTCGTAAAGTCGATTCCAGGCTTTACTCCCATTACCGTCGAGTCAACCACTGGTTCAAACTTCTCTCCCACGCATCGATTCGTATGGGCATTTCCATCTGCCAAAAGGGGTTCTTGCACACATAATCTGCATATCTCTCGTAGACACCCTTCATCAAGACATCGGTATTGGGCATACTTGGGTCCGTGAACAATAGAAACTTAGTCCCACTCAGTGTCTGAAATACCGTCAATCGGAAGAAGGAGGACTCCAGAGACTCTATGCCGGAGGGCGCAACGGTGGGGTCAGGGTATGCCCAACTCCGAGACGAGGATCCGCTGGTAGCAGCGGTGACGGGTATACGCGGAGTCAAGGAACGTGTGATGGCATGGACACCGTGGAATGTGCCTGCTAGGACGAGATAGTCATTCGTAGTCAAGCTGCTTGTGCCTGGCAGACCTAATGTCCCCACAGTCTGAGCTTGTGTGCTGCTTCCGGCCGTTCCTGGGGTTGAGGTGGGAAATGTACGGTGGTATATGAGTGAACCGGCTTTAGAGATGACGAGGAGAGCAAAGACGGGCCTGGTATGGCAAGAATAGTATCAGACTGGCTGATCAAGAGAGGGTCGGCATGTTGTTCGCCGCAGACTTACATTTTGGAAACTCCTGTGAGTAGGTGGGCCGCCGGGCGGCTGAGGGAGTGGATTTTCAAGGCCTTTTCATTTCTATGTGGAGAACGAAATCAAGGAGAGTGAGGAAGTGTAGCGTCGACCATAGCCATACTATCGACTTATTGAGGGTGAACATGGATCTTTGGATGCTAGTTCTGGATGTCGGAGGAAGACCGCAGATGATGTCCTGCCAAGACAATTTCTCCGGACGCGTTATGGAATCCGTGCCTGGCAGAGGCAGGTGCAGTCTGCGTCTACATCTGTATCTGCGCCTGCCTCTTCCTCCACCAGCTCCAAGCCTGTCATCATTCCTGCAACAAAACATACTCTTAATACACTGCAGTTGAACATTTTCCTCACATACTCTGACCTCAACCACTTTCAAATAACTTGTTTGTCTTCTAAACTCCACCTATCCTCACCTTTATCCTCTCAATACCGCCATCATGCCGCTCGAGGCTACCATGATCGTTGTCGACAACAGCGAGACCAGCAGAAATGGAGACTATCTGTAAGAACGCTCTATTCATTCTCTCGAGGCTATTCTGACCATGTCCAGACCCAACCGCTTCTCATCACAGTCCGAGGCCGTCTCACTCATCTTCAATGCCAAAACATCCTCCAATCCCGAATCCGCTGTTGGTCTAATGTCCATGGCCGGCACAGGTCCTACAGTCCTCAACACACCCACAACCAACTTCGGCGCCGTCCTTGCAGGTATGCACGAGACCAAGATCAAAGGTCACATCCGGTTGGGAACGGCTATCAGTGTGGCAATGTTGGCCTTAAAACACAGAGCAAATAAATCACAAAGACAACGAATCGTCGTCCTAATTTGCAGCGCATTGGATCCGAAGTTTGGAGATAAGAATGATACGGAGAAGGAGCTGGTCAAACTGGCAAAGAAGTGTAAGAAGAACAATGTTTCGGTGGATTTCATCGCATTCGGTGATGCCATCGAATCCAGTACAAGACCCATTCTTGAGAAGTTTATTGAGGCTGTTGGTGGCTCCAATGGCGAAGGCAACTTCCTGGCTGTCATCCCTCCCGGACCTGGTCTCCTGAGCGACAGTATCATCACCACCCCCATAGTCGGTATGGGAGGTGATATGGGTCAAGGAAGTGGTGGCATGGAAGGTGTAGAAACCAGCGGCGGAGGTGGCAATGGCTTCGAATTTGGAATTGATCCGTCGGCCGACCCGGAACTCGCTATGGCATTGCGAATGAGTATGGAAGAAGAGACAAACAGACTAGAAAGAGAACGAAGAGCGCGAGAGGAAGAAGAAAGACGGAATTCGGACAGAATGGAGACAATAACCGAGGAAGGCCAGGGACAGCCATCATCAAATGGAGACAACCAGGATGGGGGTAATGACTCGAAGCAGCCGAGGGTGGAGGACGAGAGGAAGGATTGATGGACGGTGTCGAGGCTCTGATTGTACCAACATTAAACACAGTCTCCATCCAAATCGAGGCTATCCAGTACTCATTGTGGCATCATTTTTCTTGGGACACATTCCAGGAGATCTAGTGGATTCATAGACCAAAGATATCCAGATCACATCCTCGAGTGGGTCAATGATTTTCCAATTCCTGACTTACTCCAAAGCAAGGTATCTCGTTCCTATCATCCATGACATGTCACAAACCATTTCCCAGCCCAGTTATGACGCCTTACACTCCATCCAACCTCAAAATCTCAACCCTAACATCCCATTGTCACCTCGCATTCCCACCACCACCCGTCGCAACACTCCCAACACCAATCCTCTCCTCACGACTCCTCACAATCCGCGCCTTATCGCCCGGCAATGGCTTCAACTCATCATTCGGATCCACCGCCACGGCGCCTGACGCCGCTCGCTGTTGCTGTTGCGGCTGTGCCTGCTGTCTCTCATTCTGCTGGTCTTGTGCCCCTTGGCCGTTATTGTTGGTGATGTTACGGAATTGTCCTTCCGGATCTTCGCCGGTTTTCAGATAGTGTGCGTACGCGAGCTTGCGTAGGTGCGTCTCTTCGAAGGATGCGATGTCTTCGCTTGTTATTGTTAGGGCGGTCGGTTTGCGCCGGAGCATGGTTTGGAGGCTCTGAGAGTGGTGATGGTGGGTCACTGGTGGGACGGATGGATGGAGAAGGAGATGGTGAGTGACTGACGATTGGATATGGAGATATTTCTTCGATCGCTCTTGTGAGTTGCTGCGACCTCTGAACGAAGATATTGTGGGATGGATTGTCAATAAAGGCAAGGCTGCGGGGTGCCTCTGATATGCAAGGCTGTCTCCGTCCAGCACCCGGACTTTGGTTAGGAAGGCAAGTTAGGCGGCAGGATCACGTAATCTGGCCTTGTGCGACTCAAGTTGAAGTTCAAGTCCAGATCCTTCGAAGTTTCTATGTTCCTGTACAACTTCCGCCATGTATTAGACGCACTGGCCGTCAATGGAATATCAGGACTTGTTCACTCTGTCAGAAATCAGCCTCGCTTTGCTCTGCAGCATCAGTCCATTTTGTGCCGAGTCCTTCCACGATAAGCAAGTGAGCACCTGAACTGTCTAAGCTGGCATCAACAGGACGACGCCATGATGGTCTGTCGCGAACGCGTAAAATGCGAACTGCTTCTAATGTTTCTTCCTATCGACGCCCTAGGTCCAAGTGATGTTATGTGAAAGCGCCAGGACTATAAGCCGCAAGTAGGGGCCCTATGCCGGCGCCAAAGTCATGCAATCATATGATCGCTCTAACCGCTAGCCATGGTCGCCGGAAAAGGCTTTCGCGAGCATGCTTCAGACTGCATCAAAAGTGACAGCATGGTTTGGAGTCTGTTCCCACGCTATGTATGAGTGTACGATATTTCCTACTACTAGTAAATCTTGCAGCCAGGGCGTCCACATCTCTATATTGTCGAGCGCCTACGTGCAGATGCTTTGCCAATGTGGCCAATCCGTCACCCAAGCTATGTCTCTGATAGGCATAGGAACTCTATCAGAGTGGCTGAACAATTGACCAAACTCATGGCCGACATGCTCTTGTGTGAGATATGTCCGCTGTGCTTTTCCAAGCCGTATAGCCTCCTTTGCCGATCCACTAGCTTTTATCATTTGGGAGGAAATAGTAGGGATGCCTGCTAGCGATGTGCATGCTTTACATCTCAATGCTCTTTGCCTCAGTATAGTCGCTCCCTGTTGCGCAGTCTGCCTTGACCTTCATGCTCAGTATCGAACCCTCATCGTCGGTTGCAGCACTGTGGCCTCTGTTCAACAACTTCGTGCTGACATTAGCGAGAGCTGTGTGTGTCTCGCTACTGCATTTCAACGAGATCTCATGGCTTTGAGCCCAGATGCAAACATCTATAAAGGATTCTGGACAGACTGGTCAAGAGGGAAGATATGGGGCCTCACCTGGACGCTTCATCCCACAGAAGCGGTCATCTTCACCAACTGCATGGCTTTGTTTGTCACTCTTTTTGGTGCTCAACTGTGGACTATTGTCCGATACACCCTACACCAAATGAGTTCGCCAAATGAACCTAATATTTCAACTCCACATCTCAACAAGCAGCAGGTCATCCTGAGAAATGCAAGCAGTGGCGTTAGTACCGCACGACTGATGTTGAAATTGGCCTGGAAATCACGACGAAGCACGGGCAAACGTTCAAAGCGCGCTTGGTCAATCGGTCTCATTGCGATACTTTACGCAGTTTTGGTCATGGTCATCGAGCTTTTCTCAAGTAAAGCAATAGGAGTTTCACAGATAAATGGTGGGGATCCAGTCCTATCACGCAGTCGGCACTGTGGAATATGGAATGACACATACTATGGGATTGTGGTCGATCAAAGTTACACTACTGAGAAAGAGCTTGGACTTAGTGTCCAGTATTACGCCAATGTGGCAAGTGAGGTTCAACTCAGTTACGAGTATGCGCAGGAGTGCTACATGTCAACTCCAGTCAACAACCAGAAGTCCTCAACGTGCAGCACGATGAAGAAAGCGAAAATACCGTGGCAAGCCGCTGAAGGCCCTTGTCCGTTCGCAGAAAATTTGTGTCAGAGTGATTCAAAAGCCCTTGTCTTGGACACAGGCTATATAGACTCGTATAATGATTTGGGAATCAACGCAGAACCCAAGGACCGTTTGAAATATCGGAGGATTACATCATGTGCAGTCGTCAATGGAACTGGCCGCGTTATTGGGTGGGACGGTCAAACATCAAACAGCAACGATGATCCTGATTCTCGAGAATTCGCTTATGCCCGTTTTGGACCCTCCACTTACAAAAACACAGATTACACCTACTCGCTCTCAAACTTCGCTTCCTTCTACGACAATTTCACTGTTCAGGTCACCAATCCATATCAGCTGAATGTCCAGAGAGCTATGGGACTTGCTGATCCACAATGGAGTCCTAGCGATTTTGACCCCATCCCGGAATTGGCACAAGTGGGTGATCTGACACTCCTGTTCTTGAGTTTCAACGGCATGTACTTGGGTCAGGTCGACGATCCATGGTTCTCGGCGCATGGTGAGCATTCATTCAACACAAGCCTCCCTTTCTTGAATCAGCGGTATACGCGCGATGCAGCAATTAGTACCCTTGGATGTACTGAACAACATCAATTCTGTAATGAAGAAGATAGGTGCACCGGACTGCTTGGCTTCGACCAAGTTCAGAATGACAACTTTTTCAATACCGGACTGTCACCTCAGCAAAACGCTACATTCGATCGGATGCTACGTGCAGTTGTCGCTTCTACTCTAAGAAATTCCGTGGAGTACCTGGCTTTGACCACTACGCCAATTTTGGCAAGCAAATCAATAGCTTCTGGACGCAGCGGCGCGGTCGTTTCACGTGCTCTGCCTGATGACCAGTGGAAGACTGAATTACAATATTGGCATTCCGTCTCAATGTCCCATTTGCAGCGAACCATGGTACAATGGGTTACAGGGCAAATTGCCCCCGAACCAGAGTACCTGCAGGCTCCCATTGCTGAACAAGACATTTGGTTTTGCAAAAGCTTGATTATACCATCCGCAGTCTACTCTTCATTCAGTGTCATGTCGATAATTATTATCTTTGTCTTTGGGATCTTTGTGATTATTGCAAGTCTCAACGTTGAGAAATTGGCTCGTTGGATTCGAAAACTCTTGCGGAAACAGAAGTCCAAGAATACTTGGAATGACGACCACATGCTGGGGATAAAGGCTCATAGAAATAAATCACCGAAAACCACAATCTCGGAGAAAGACTATGAGCATCTTCATCCAATGGCTCAACAACGCGGGAGCGAAATCTTTGAATGGGAGAAGATCCCACCATTACCGGAAAAACAGGAAGACAAGATCCGGCCAAGGGAGGAGAAGGCCTTTCCCAGTTTCAAGGACCGCCTATCCCCATCACACGCCTGGTCTCCAGATAATGCTCCTCCCCGGCCAAGAAGAGACTCAAAGGTGTCCCTTCTCTTCAAAGAGTGTGAGATCACAGCACCGGAGATGCCTAAAAAAGCGATGTCGGGATCGAAAGAGAAGCGATACTCGAGACTGTACTTGAGACCATCCCTCTCTCCTCGCCGAGCAAAAGCGCCTAGCCACCTGGATGGTCAACAAGACATATGGATCTGAGAAGAACGAGTCTCTTCAGTTCGCACTGGAACACGGAAAGGGTGCAAGGAAGATGACATCTATCCAACTACGTCTTGAACTATGCAAGGGCTATTTGGGACCCACCACCTCTAGTCCAGGCCCTTTGCAAGCATCACCTTTTGGAAATCGCCGAACAGAGCAGAGGTCTGCTGATCACCAGGCGGGATGAGTTGTGTCAGCAATATTCCACACGTTCCGGCCGCACGGTCGATCCACTAAGAAACCATCAGTATCTGGGATCCCCAAATCGATTCCCTGACAACACTTACCCACTGTCCGTTCGCAATCCCACACCACCACATAGAGCCGTCCTTGGCTCGATCGGTAATGCCATTCATGGCCAATATCCCGCCGAGTCCCCAGTTCCACTCGCGATCCACGGGCATTCCTGGGACCATCAACTTTCCATACTCCGGGATAGCGAGATTCGCCTTCAGGTACTCAGCATTTGCAAGTTGGGGCTCGAACATCGAATTGACCGTGTCCTGCTGCAAGACTTTCCCATCGTTGCGCAACAGGCTCGTAAGGAGCTTGAGGTAATCCTCCGCAGTGCTAAATAGGCCAGAACCACCTCCGTCCTGCTTCGGGTCCTGGTTTGGGAATGGAAGTGGAATGTCACTGGTGAGTTGATTGCTGGGCAACTTAACTGTCAGAGGCACCACTGTAACGTCAGCTCTCTTGGCTGGATGAAAGGTGGTCGCTCTCATCCCCAGTGGCTTGCAGATTCGTTCGACCATATAGTCCTCAAAACGTGCGTGACCGGTTGCTTGTTCAATCATGCGAGCCGTGACGTCTAATCCGCCGGCATACGACCAACCGTCGCCCGGCTCATATACCAAAGGCACATCCAGATCATCAATGGGTTCCTGGGGAAGCATGTCAGCGTGAGACCATTTCCCATGAGGCAAGACACAGACCGCGAAACCCGCCGCCATCAACTCCATCATATCACCGCCCTCGCTCACGCTCTGCAACCTCCCGACCCCTGTCTTCCCCTGTGTCCAGCTCCTCCACCTCGCAAGCAACGGATGGGCCTGTTCAAGGGCCATGCCTGACGTATGAGTGAGAAGATGTCTCAAAGTCACAGCCTGGGTCGCCTTGCGGAACAACGGCTCCCCCGAGGTGTCATCAAACCCCGTCAAGATGAAACGATTAGCCCAGGCCGGCAAGATCTTGGAGATCGGCTTGTCGAGCCCGAACAGACCTTTCTCAACACACTGCAACGCGGCAACGGTGGTCAGGAGCTTCGTCATTGATGCAAGCCACATCACCGAGTCGGTTCGGAGGGGTGATGCATCGCCGTGCACGGTGGTTGTGCCGAATGCGCGGATGAAGGTGTCGCCTGTAGATGCATTAGTTCAGTCCAGCGGGACAACAGCAGCAAGACGCCTCATGGGTCAGTGAGGAGTATAGAGTAGGAGAGCACCTTTCACCGTCGCCGACGCAATCACGATCCCTGGCGCAACTCGCTCTGGGCCCGGCGCCACAGCAGCTTCGAACTTGTCGACCAGGCTTTCCATGTTTTTGCGCTATGCCTTTTCCTTTCTAGATAGATAGATAGATATGAGAGACAGCGCAATATGAAGAACAAAAAAACACAAAAACTTCCACGACATCCCCAGGAATCAAATGCCTTTATATAATTATACCATATACACGTAGATTTCCAGATCGGGCGACCAGCGCCCACCAATGAACGCAGAGCCTGATGCCAGAAGCGACCATGCAAGGCACCAGGCCACCCCTGTCTGCAGGCCGGTCTCCGATTCTCCCGAGTTTTGTACAGGCAACGGCTGGCACCCGCGAGTTTGGAGAAATTTTTCTTGAGCTTTCTCCATTCTATACTTCCCATCCTGGAAATCTGGGATTGGGGACATCTGCTTCCTCTCATCTCAGGACACACAACTGTATCTTCTTATTCTTGTCCTGCGGATCTCGATACTTGGTATGAAGTTCCATTGGTGAATAGTATGATTGATACCTTTGACAGGCAGAACTTGGGATGGTGGTGGTGGTGCTAAACGGTATGCGAACACCCGTGCTAATTAAGTACGAACTACTATATCAACTTTTCCATGATAGATGCTAAATTTCTTTCAGATAGATACACGCTACATGTTCGAAATGGGCTCACTACCACAGCTCTGTCTCCATTGAATACCTAGGCGGGTACTTTGGCGCACAACTTCTCAAATGGATCGGCCATGCGATTGCAGTTGTTGAGTATCGTCCACTTGGGACTTATTGCAGCGAGTTCGAGGAACCCATTTCCCAACAACTTCCCGATTCTTGACAACTCCATTTTCAACCATTTCTCGTGCTGAGGCTCAATCCCGTAAACACTCGCTGCAAGAGCCAATGGCCACACGATTAATCCCATCCTGGAAAGGACGGGTGGTGGTGAACGGGTGTGTTGCTCATCAACATCCTTGCTGCTTACCTTTTCGACGGAGAGAAACGCTGCCACAGCAGATGTCATATTTTCAGATAAGGCATGAAGAACCTGCAAGCAGTTCAGTCTTTGGTGATCCACGCAGCTTGTTTGAGTGAAATTTTGGCAGGTAGCCAGTCGGTCCAGGACTTTCAAGCTAATACTATTGACAAGCATTGCTGTTGCGAAGTACAGGATCCAAACCGCAGAATACCCTTGCTTGTCACATATCAAGTGCGTTGAAGGCAAGTATTCTGTGGGCAACATAGTGTTTGGCCTTTCCAGGTCTCGTCGTCGAAACGCCCACTCATCGGGGAAACCGGTGGTCCATCTCCGAAGCGCGCACTCGATTTCTCGTGCATTCTGGACGAGTCCTAGAGCCGATTCCATAAAACGGTCACATTGAAGGAGACTGTCGGCCTGTTGATATAGTGTGATCGTATCAATCACGATACGATCATACGCTAAGCCGAAATCGCACTCACCAAACCTTCTACCATTTATGATCCAATCTTGCAACGGTGCGTTCTGTCGGAATGAAGATTGAATCATGCCTCTCCTTGCAAATTTCATGATGGTGGTTGAAGGACCCGCGCACCCTTTAAGATCTTGTTCGCTCCACCGCTCCAAAATTATGAGAGCGCCCTCGTGATGAACCCATCTTTGCAACGCCGCCGAGGCTTCGTAGGCATGTGCAACATTGATATCGTTGTGCATTGTCGATTCATAACGGCCCATGAGAAGCATGGTCAAAAGATACGCATCAACAGTTTCTTCGTCATCGGAAGAAGTTGTCGAGAGAAGCTGAATGTTCTTCACTTTCTTCTGCATCATCCGGAGCAGACGACCATACCGCACAGAAGCGTCCACAGCGACATTTTGATACTTTTGAATTTGTGCAAAGACTGCGAGAGAGACACAGGCTAGAGCCGTATCGACCATGATCGATTTGCGTCCTGAGGCTTTCCATAGGGTAATGCAAATACAGAGACCTTGTGCCACGTCAGGGATGTCCTCGGTTAAATCATCGACATGCACAACATGATACAGAAAGAAGTAGTCCAAAGCACGTGCTTCCAAATCATACTGTGGGCGTAATATCGTCAGACTGGATCGTGGACCTCTCGGGCGTAGCTTCTTTCCACTCGCATATGAGTTTTCGTTGTTGATCATAAATCCAGTCTGCTCGATGACACTCGAATTCAAACATCTTCGTCCCGCTCGAAGGCATCTCTGACATGAGGGCTTCGTTTGGTCACACTGTTGTCTAAAGCGTCAATCAATGCATGGATAATGGGATCATGCGCGGCCAGAGCAAGTGGAAGCAGGATCACTTGCCTTGATTCGTCGAAGCTTGCATGTCTGACATGCTTTACTTGAAAATGGCATTGTTTCTTCAGAGTGATTGCATCTCAACGCTTCCCCATAAAGCTCGGATGCAAGATTACACTGCAAATGTCCCCTGGTGACTGGCTAGCCAGAGGAGTGGGAGAATGGGAATTGGCAACCATGGGAGTCAAGATATACTGTATCTCGAAAAGTATGCTTTGGAAATGGAAAGGTGGGCAAGTCTCTCATTGGAAAGGCTTTTTGTCCACTTGGGCCTCCTCGAAAAGTTTGGCCTGATAAGGACTGGTGCGAACTTTCCGTCTACAGTAGTTTCGTGGAGATGAAGCCAAGAAACCAGCATTCTAGAAGCCTTATGTCTCGGTTTAGGTAACCAACATTTAGATGGCTATAGAAGGTACCACTCGTTGTCGGGTACTGATACCCTTCCTTAGTTGATTTGTTTCTCAGTTCAGCAGTGAAGGAAACCACGTTCAATAGCCGAAAAAGTGAATCACATGGCAGGCGCTGCCTGCCCTCGACCCAGATCAGGCAAGTGCGCCGAGGAAGCGCCAAGAGAAACCGAATTTCTCAGGCCTATATATTTCTGCCGCCTATTCCTCCAATCCTGTTCTTTTCTCTCTTTATTCTAGGTAAGCATCTCCCACCGCGCATGTCCTGTTCATCACACAGCCCTTTATCTCCAGGCTTCATCCACTGTCTGCCTATTCTGTGTCACCAGCACAGTCATATCCAGTCATTGGCATTGTTGCCTGTTCCCTTTGCTTTCTCATATAAGAAGTCATGCAAATCGCGTCTGTCCTTGAAACTAACTCCCCATCTTAGTGCACGGGCTGTACGATTGTCAGTGAGGAGCCATCCGAGACGTCGTTATTGCTAGTTGAAAATAATACTATGACCGCTTCAGTTGGTCTTCGGATCGGCTGGGAATCTTTGGAATCTCATACACAAATCTTTTCATCGATCTTTCGAACCTTGGTGTTTGATTTCGGAGAAGAGGACCAAGAGCATTGGACGTGTAGCAGGCGAAGGGGAGTAGACATATACCATCGAGTGCTCTCCACGACTCAGATGAATTTGATGAGCTGGCAGATTGTTCGGATCCCTACTCTAGTAGTCCCAAGTTGTGAGAATAACTGTTTTGACGTAGTGGAAATCCTGACATGATAGAATGAGCCATTAACATCTCATACAGCCTGCTGTCAACTTCATACTTTCAACAAGGCTCTGTACACTCTTCACATATTCGGCAATCGAGCTCCTCACTTCGTCATCAATCACACAACACAATCGCTTGCATCGAGGTTTCAGTTTCAAAGCTCAAACTCCCCCTCACACAGCAAAATTCGGGGAAACGTCAACACCTCTCTCTCGCCCTACGTCTCCATTACCTCCCTCCTCTCCACCACAAGAACCATATCGTTTCCAAGAAGCACACAACATGCCACGAGCTCTAGTAACAGGAGCCACAGGCTTCCTCGGACGAGCCGTGCTCTCGGCGTTCCAAGACGCAGGCTACGAAACAACAGGGACAGGCTTCAGCCGAGCCTCGGAGAACATCCTAAAGCTGGACATTCGAGATGCACAGGCTGTAAACAAAGTCTTTGATGAGGTCAAGTGAGGGAAGCTCCATCTGTCTCCGACCCTGTGCCATCTCATCAAGAACCTCGATTCATCAGGTAGAGAACAAGAAAAAGATCTCAGGCTAACACGCAGTTTCTTCACACCCTCACAGACCAGACGTCGTGGTTCACTGTAAATAGAACACCCATCCCTACACCTCTGCCTCCTCCTCGAGAAAGAGTAAGACGGTAGAAAGAGTCCAGAGCAAAACTAACAGCCACATCCACCCGGGACAGGCGCAGCAGACCGACAACCGGACTCGTGCACACAAAACCCCGAAGCCGCACGGCAGCTGAACGTGACGGCAACCGAACACCTCGCGGCCGCCTCCTCATCGCACTCGGCGCGCCTGATCTACATCTCCACGGACTACGTCTTCCCGGGCACACGCGGCGACGCACCGTACAGCACGAGCGCGACGCCCAAGCCGACCAACATCTACGGACAGACGAAACTGGACGGCGAGCGGGCGGTGCAGAAGTACGAGGGCACGACGTCGCTCCGCGTGCCGGTGCTGTACGGGCACACGCACCCGGACGACAACCACGGCGAATCGGCCGTCAACGTGCTGGTGGACGCGGTGTGGAAGGCGCAGAAGGAGACGGTCAACATGGACGACTGGGCCGTGCGCACGCCCACCAACACCGCCGACGTCGCGCGTGTCTGTGTCGCGCTCGCTCAACACACCGGCCCGCTGCCCCAGGTCGTCCAGTTCAGCAGTGATGATCGAATGACCAAGTACCAGATCTGTCGCACCTTGGGCGAGATCTTGGATCTGCCCGTCGATCGCATCGTGCCTGTCACGGATGGTGGGAAGCCGGGCCCTGACGGCACGATAAGGCCGTATGATTGCCATTTGGATACAGGTGAGCTGAAGAAGTTGGGCATCAGTGTTGACACGGTGGATTTTGTCGCATGGTGGAGGCGGAAGTTGGGTGCTTTCCGCCATTAGGGCTGGTCCTGCGATCGGCCGCATTATGGACTATGTGCCATACAACTAAAGGTAGGGCGGTCTCAATACTTGAGAAGAGAATGTCACATGGACCATGGTTGATGAGAAGCAAGCTGGTCAGAATGAAACAAGTCAGGTTCACTGTTTATTGATCCTTCTCGAAGATCGGATTGTGATTCTGTTATCTCATGTTTCCCCCGGTCTAAATCTCGGTGGCCATGCAAGGAAGACTCGCTAAGTGCTCCAGGACCAGGGCTTTACATCAACGCCGCATTTTTGTTCCGTATCGAATTTTCGAGCGAGTGGGCCTTGATAGGCAGGAACTTAATGGAGACGACTACCATCATGCTCAAATTCCTCGTTCCCTAACTAACGCCGATGGAGACAGTCGTGAGTGCCTCACTGAAAGGCACGTTTGATAGCAGTGTCCAGATTGTCCCTACCACCTCTCCGTCTCTCCATTTGCAGACTTTGCCATTTCAATCCACTCCAAGCGAGTACAAGATTAAAAGCACGATTGCGGTCGGCTGGATGCAGGAGAAGTTTCAATTCCGATGTTGAGAAGATGAAATGCAATATCTCTCCTGATCGTGAACCAAGCTTGCGAAGGTTGTGCAAAGTCTTTTCAGTCTCCAGATCACTGGATTTGCGCATTTCTGATAGCGAAGAGAATCCCCAGAATTGTACGGCTACGTTGCTAGAGTATTCAATGCCAGATCTGCTGATTTCCAACTCTCCCTTTCCTTCCATGTCGTGGTGGACAAGAAACTTATGGGCCTCATCATTGGTAGTGTAATCTTGTGCAGACTCGTCTGGTTCCCGTAGCTCGAATTCCATGAAATTAGCGTCCCTGATAACGGCTTTTTCTTGCAATTGTAGGATAGCAAGCTCGGCATGTGTTGGGATATCCCAAAACATCAACCGCCAATGTGATACCAGCAATCGATATTTGGGATATCTCGAAGCAATCGGGAAGGAGACGAAGAAACCACCACCAAGGATGAACCAAACAAGTTTGACACAGAATGCCATGTCGGCGAATAAAGCGACTGCTAGACAACTGAGGAAGAAGAACAATGAAGCCATGGTTTTGTTTGGACGTTCGTGTCGATGAAAATTGATCAACACTTCAAGGAAATCGGCCAGGTCACCGAGTTGTCGTTGAATGAGAGGTCCCATGTCATCCAGCAGTGGCTCAATCCAATCCTGTTTTCCATGTTGTTGTAACAACTCACCCCAAGCTTGAACTTTGCTCCCACGATCAAACGCTCGAGTCACACTGTCTCGAATCCTCTCAACTGAGGTGGGCTGGAATTTGCTGCGAACGGTGGAATAAATGATCCAGAACCAGAAATAGGCACCAATATGCTCGGTGTACCACAGGCTCCAGAATAGCACTGCCCACTTTGCAGTGCATTTCGGATCCTTCCAAGTGTATACATTTCTTACTTCCATGAGAAATGCTTGCCATGGAGCACTGGTGATGGCCAATCTTTCAATGATTCGAGCGAGATCTTCGAGATCAAATGGAGCAGACTCGAAATCATCAACATAATGCGAGGTGAAGCCTTGTGTGTGGAAGAGAGCCAATCTTCCCAGATACTTCTCCCATTGAAGACGGGACTCACCATTCTCAATTGTTGTGTGATCTGATTGTTCAGGGCGGGGAATTGGATGAATAGCTTTGACACGATTGACATGACGACCAAGAATCCAAGCAGTTTGTACACTTTCTCTTTGACTTTCCACTTCGGCAACTCGATCACAGGCATCGTCTACCTGGTCTTTCCCGACACCAGAGCCGGGGTCGATATTTGTGGCGACATGTGCTAGAGTATCATGCGCATCGATGAGTTCTCGATCATGATCTTGAGCTTGAAAGGGGTGTCGAGCAGAACCGATCTTCTCAGCCGCAACACGAGTAGCTTTACTCCGCATGACCTGTCTCGGATGGGCGACCAGATACTTGAAGTCCTTCAGACCATCGGAAACACTCTCACGAGAAGTCCTATCTGGCTTTGGGGGAGATTTCTGGTCGAGGACTTGAGAAGGATTGAAAGCGGGATCGGCAAAGATTTCTTGTTGGGAGAATTCCCGTTGGGCGGGATCTTCAGGCAGGTGCATGATCTTGCGAGCTTTATCTTTGACCTTTTCCTTGAGGCTGATAGAAGTTTGGAGCAAGTTGTCGGCATGGACTTCTGCCTCAGCTTCGTGGTCAGGGTTGGTGGAGTCCATGGTGAACTTGAGTGTGATTTACATTGACAAGATAGAACGATGATATTAAACTATCGAGTGGGTGTGACCATGGTTTATCATTCATGGTTCAAGTCGTGTTGCGTACCTTGAGGCAGTCACATGGAGGTGAGGAAGGCGTGTAAAGGAGTCACATGGAGAAATGAAAGTAAATATCATCAACCTACCAGTAGATATGGTCCATGGACAGGAAAAACATCATCCCAAAGTTGGATTACTTTGACAGTTGGTCCATCAACACAATTCTCCCCACGGCATAGAAATCCAGGTTTGGGACACGCTTGTTCCACACGGCGGTCATGCCGAAGAGAAGTGATTGGTAGACTGGACCATCTAGATGATAGAAATACCGGGCAAGATCTGAAGAGAATACGCGAGGAGTTGGAGATCTTGATCAAAGCCACTGACGACAAATACAAATGCCCAGTGGGCGAGCCACCTTTGGCGGTGGAGAGGTCGGAGCTGAATCCCGTCGGTTCACAATATTTCTGCTACTGACGCGTCTAACTGTTTAACGCGTCAACGGTCTCTATTTTAGATATCATCCCAGAGTCCCCAAACCCATGATGCCCGCCTCTGGGTATGATGGCCTCGCGATCTACCGCTGTGCTTGTTATCCCCATAGTAAAAATAATCTCACCCCAGAATCTTTGTTGTCGTGGCACTAGGGAGAAATATCAGGTAGGTCAACCAGCAACTCGAGATAGAAACCAGGAGGACTCCAGGCACAACCATGAGTCTTCATCTTCACCCACTAACGGGCTATTGTTCATGTTTGTTATTGTGGTGCCGAGAGTCACAGTTTTCTAATTCACTGCTTTTGTGCACCAACAATCGGTGAGTCTCACACAACTCCTTCAACCCATCCTCTTTTCCCCTCCCCAAATGATCCAATCCTTCCCAATGTGTATATCTCTCCTACCTTAAGTCCATGCTTCACTGTTCGTCATCATGGTCGACCAACCTCCACCTCGGAAGAAGTCTCGCTTCTTCACAGAAGGGAAAAGCAAGATTGGAAATCTTCTTCATCCTTTTCGAAAGTCGACTGCTCACGATGAAGCAAACAATTTCAATCAGACAGCCAGTGCTGGATCTTCTACTCTCCCCAACGATACACAAAGTACACACTCCCAGACGGCTTCGCCTTCATCCTCTTCTACTCAGGCTCTTGCCCAACCATCAAGCGCTCAGTCACATCTGAGGCGACCACCAACTGCTTCATATCCTCCTTACAACCTGAGATCCAGGCAGGTTAACAATGAAACCTTACGAGCCCAAACAAGACACCAGTCATCGAGTGCCATGAGCGAAGATGACACCGACATCGAGAGCAATCATGGCGATGAACACCATGGGGAGCCTGATGAAAGCGACCAAGAAAACAAAAGTCCATCTCGTGCCTCGACAATCACACCAGCTCTTGACAGATTGGCCGTCAAAGCTCCTCGTCCAAGAGCAATTTATGGCGTAGAGGAGCTCGATCCTACAGGTGCACATGTCTCAATCTTTGGCCGTGGTCAACCTATAACATCCACCTCTGCGTCCAACCCACCTCTGCTACAACAAGGTCTGGAAACAGAACGCGCGCCATTCACCTTCCGGGCGGATCAACGTTTGACTGCGTTTCCTCCAAATCAGCAATCCGCCACACCTCGTGGTCAAATCCTGGCACAGATGTCAATGCAAGGTGTGCATCAAGATACTGGTCCACTGAGTCAATCATCTCGACCGCTACAAGGCCATCCTCCAGCCCAGGGCCCAGGCTACATTGACACAGATCGAGACGCTCAAGGAAATATTCTTCCAGTCAACCAACGATACGACCCGTGGGTCAACGGAAGACGACCAGTCAATCTTCCAAATACCGGCATTACAAGCCTTCCCTTCAAAACCACCCCACTGCACCTCAGCAATCCCGATGCAACGGTACCAGACAATCTATATACCTCACCAGGACGTATTGAACATGCACACATGTGGGCAAAGATCTCTCGCAAACGCAAAAGACCCGACACAATCCTCCCACCACCTGCATACGTGTACAAACGCACCAACGACCCCAACTTTAACATCCTTAACGCTATCCTCCTGTACCCAGAACTCGTCTTTGCATTCGCGTCGATCCTACCAGTCAAAGACCTCATCAACCTCTACGCAATCAGCAGAGACTTTCACACCATCATCGACACCCGCTTCACGACCGTAATCCTCGGCCAAGCCCTCAGCAAGGCCCGCGAATCCGCCCGAATTTTTCAATTCCGCTGCTACAATCACATGTGTCGCAACGATCCCGCAACACGCATGCCACATCCCAACATCCGTCTGGCGGAGCGAAACATCCCACGCAAAATCCCGTCCTTCCGTTGGCTTCGAATGATCTTGCATCGCGAGAAAGTGATCCACGAACTAATGACCGTGTTCGCCGAGGATGGCATTCCCCTGCCTGCCCGTTGTCGTCTGGCCCTGAAACGCATGTGGTTCCTGATGGACATCCCCGACAATGCCCGCCGCATCGGCTCCATCCACAACCGGAACTTCATGTCCGATCTCGACCTGTACTTCGCAGCCTGCTTCTTTACCAAGCTCGATATGCGTCTGAACGACCCGACTTCGGGCGAGAAGCGGGACGGGATGCGCAAGCTGCTACTCGGACAACGCAGCCTCACGACTGTCCTGCAGGTCCTCAAACGCGACATCTGGACGACGCGCTACGAGCTTATGCAGGAGTGGATCAAGTTCAAGTACGTACCTGCAGCGGACGAGGCAGGCATGGACATATTTGGAGTCCCTGCGGCGGAGATTGGCCGCGGCCACCTTGAGTACTGGGGCAAGCGCGGCAAGAAGGATCTCGGCCGGCAGCCGGAGTTACTGATGCGGCCCGACTCGCTGGTCATGCGCGAGGCACTTCGCCGCGGCTTCCGCTTCGACGTCCACTATGTCCGCTTTATGCTGTACGGATACGTGCGGCCCGACACGTTGGAGGACTACGCGCCACGGGAGTATGGACGACGCATCGAGGAGTTGAATGATGAGTACGAAATCGATGATATTGTCGGTGGGGTCAGTGCGTTGGGCGTCGGTGATGAAGGATACGACCCGCTGCTCGATCTTGGCCGGCCGAATCGACCAAGTGTGTCTACTGCAGTCCAGCATCCCACGACTAAAGAGGAATTGGACAACCGCTCTAAGTCAAAGGACATGGCGGCCTTGTGTCGCGAATGGTGGCTCAAGGAGATGCAGGAGTCTGGTCGCTTGGATCTGGACGACGACAGTGATAGCCAGGACGACGATCACGATGAAGGAGCCTGAGCGCAGAGAGGATCAGGCTGGTTGAGAGCTGGAGGGTGTGATCTATTCAGCCAGCATCTGAACTTGGCATTCCAGCAACGAACCACAACTCTCAGATCATGTCAGGATGCTCCAGGGAGGAGATGGACCTCACGTCATGTGGCGAGCACAGCAGCTGCTACCAATGACTGGATGGAGTCTTTCAGTGTTCGAGTAGAGAAGGAGCCCATTCTGTGGCGCAGGGATGAACGATGCACGAGGAAGGATGTCTCGTGGCACCGGCCAATGAATGAGTAGATAGACAGACCGATAGGGCATGTGGGAAGCGCGAGCCAGCCCTTCCCCGTCAAATGGACGCATTGAATCACATCTCCAGAGGAGCAGACTAGCCGGCAAAACCACCGCACAATTATGATTAATATTGAAGGCACTGAGCGAGCGACCTCAGCTGGCGCTTCTCAAACTCTAGCCTTGGCTCTGGCTGGCCCCCATTAAACGGCACTGCATACTACCTACGAGTAGGTAGGTAGGTAGGTAGTGATACCGTCCAGATGGAGATTTCCACGGCCCAAAGCTTTACTCGAACATACATATTTCACGAAACACCGTGCACGTCACTGCTGTCAGTCATACTTACCTTTAGGTACTATCCGTCCGAACGCGGCGAATCCACGGCACAGCAAAAAGTTCCGTTGGTATTCCCGTGATGAATTCTCACGAGCAGTAGAGGTAGAGGTACTTCGCTTGTTCCCTTCTTTTCGTGGTTGCACACCTGTTCAGAATCCACGTTTCGAGGCTACGGTGAAGAAGCCAAAGGCAAAGAGCAAGGGAAAGAAATGGGAGGACAGCCTCTTATATGGGAATGGTCATGAATTCATTACAATTGTTCGTATGTGTAGATATTCCTCTGATTCTATGCTTATCGTTTGTTTCGGAAAAGACAAGACTATCCATAAGATTTGGCACCATCACTTCCAAGTCACTCGTGCAAAGTCGGAGTCCGGAAAGCCAATGATTTGGAAAAGTTGCCACGATGGCTCACTCCCCAGACTCTCAAGTAAAAGATGAATGCGGAGTGTCAGAAGGGGCAGGTGTGCTTTACACATCGGCGTCCATTAAGCAGACTCAATGTCGTTGAGTTCCACTGACGCAATGATGGTCAAAATCGACGCGGATGCGAGCGACCGTGCGCCGGAAGGCATGAAGAGATGCGTACCTCATGAGTTGATAGGCTTTCGATGTGTAGGCAGCTGTTTCAAGGAGTATGACAGTTCGCCGGTGACGTATCGAGACCGAATCAACGCAGTTAACCTTGACAACGTTCACTCCTTTGGTCTTATCTAAATCTTCCAAAACTTGTCGATCAACAGAATTGTTCAGATTGAGACAAAAGCCTCGAAATGATCATGTGACGGAGTCCAATTGAGTGTGATACCAGTCAGAAGAATGAAGATGGGTCCCAAAGGAGAATGCCCAGCAAAATGTTGGCATTAGCCAGATAGTACCAAAGAGGCTGAGGCTAATCTAGCTTCAGACCCACATGAGACAGGGGTTGTTTCGACCAACCCACCACGGGAAACTTGGATCTGGAAGATCCCGCCAGCCACCCAGACGGCTGGATGAACCGTGTTCGTGCCCTGTTCAGACTGTGTTTGATAGAGCAAGGTTGCTGCATAATTGTTGAGTTCGATCGACAAATCTGGCTACCCGTGGTGCATTAGCTGTTTTGACACCTGGTTAATTAATAATCATTAAGCGGCAGAATAGGTCTAACCGCACCCTCTACCGAGTATGAGGCGTCGGGTACAGCAACTGAGGTTGTTGGGATTGGAATTGAGGGAGTTTGTCGAGGTCATGGTCAACCACTGGACGTTGATACCCTGTTCGGCTCGACAACTAACCCGTTGTGTTTTTGTAAAACGCAGAAAGGTCTGGTGCTTTGGATGTTGCCGTGATACTCGCTTCCATTTCGTGAAGGAACGAATGAGACATTCCAAACATAGCGATTTTGCTGAGCATAATTTTTCGAGGTCGAAACTTCATTTTTGAATTATACACTACTTCTCCGGAATCATCTCGTATCATCTGGACTCACTGGGGAGAAAGAGGTTGAAGCGATCGTCGATGCTCCGTTATCACTATTACTGAGAGGAGTGACATCTGAATGTGATGGGCGCTTGCTGAGTGGCTTGCCCTTTGCAGCCGCTAGGGCCGATGCTTTGATTTGAGACTGCACTGCAGTACCATCAAGTTCTCGTGACGGCCATGAATGATCGCCTGCCACTTCCACAGGGATCATGTGTTGAGGGGGTAATTCGACAGGCCTCTTTTTCTCGCTATCAGGAGGGAGCTCAGAGTATGGAGGTGCTGCTGGATTTCCATCTGCTTCGGCAAACCCAGTGTGAGGCATGTTCTTTCTCTTCAATCGATTGTTGCGTATGACGAAGTAGACGATACCTGCAACCAGAAGGACCACGAATGCCGCTGCTGCGATCCCGATACCAGCCTTTGCACCGGCGGAAAGACCTTCACTTGTGTCGTCTGATGTGGTTGTTGTATTGGTGGGGATAAAGACATTTGGTGGACTAGAAATCGCGGCTGAGTAATCTTGACAATCGACCGAAAATTGGTTGACGGTGGTGTCGTTCAGACAATCGCCAAACGTAGCGACGTAGAGGTTTATAGTTGAACTGCAAAATGCCGTATCACTTCCGTAGACACTTACTATAGGACGCATTAGCATATGCTGAAAGATGGCCTGATTTAGGCGAAGACCCTTCAATACTTACCAGAACAGGTTTGATCCAAACTCTCGACTCTGAAGCTGCCAAAACTCTTGGTGAGAGTAGGGAATTGGGTGCAAGTTCCATCATCAGGGCCAGTCTTTTCGTCTAGTAATTCGGTGCATTGAGTATCGGAGTAGTATGTGATGTTGGACAAAGCATAGGCGTGCCGTGAATAGAGAAGAGAGGCAACGAAGGCCCAACTCTGACACCGCATTTCTGGTGTTATCTTAATTGTTGAACTGTCAAAGCTCAAATTGGGATTCGGAAAGAAAAGAAGGAAGCGATCAGAAGTAACATGGAACAAACGTTTGTTGACAACCAGATCAACGTCGCAAAGAAACAGAAAATGAAGGAAACTGACTCAGGTATCTGGAAAGAAGTCAAGAACCTTTTGTTGGTGTGTGGGACAAGTCGAACCGGGAAATGGCAGAGGATGAAACGTCAGCGCGTTCTGCAGAATTGGGAAAGAACGGCCAAGGCTGAATACCAAGTCCTCGCTCCTCAGGTCAGAGGCTGAATCCGGTTGATCAAAAACAAGGTACGAGTAAGCAGTAGTACGGGAAATTGTGCCTCGTCTGACTATCACTGTCGTCCTGTTGTCCTGGACCACAGTAGGGCGTCTTGGGACGAAGAAATAATGAGTGGATTGGTTGGAAATGGGATTATAGGAGGAGGATCTTCCTCTTCAGAGTGGGATATGGAACCGTTACGGACCAGGTGGGATCCTATCGTTAAGTGGCGGAACTTTCCTGGTGGCAGATGGATACTCCATCCAGTGGACTCACCTGCGGTCGTGGATAATCATTGACTGGCATAGTCGTAATCGTCCGAAGTAGGAGTGATTGGCCTCGTATCCGTTCGGCAAGTCAAGGGCAGAGGAAGAGTATCCGTAGCAAAGTGGAGTGCAGAGTCAGCAACCACCCTGCAACATGCAAGGTGTGGTTAACATCGAGTCAGTGTCGAATCTGGCCACGACGATCTTGAGTCCTGACACATGAAAGTGTGGGTAGGGATGTAACCAGCTTCCCAACCCAGAAAGACTCACCGGACAGCTCTGATAGAGGGAGAATAATGCCGCAGACAGCGGACAAGTTTTCGCTTGAGTGAGATGAAACCAACGACCTGACGGGGCCGGCATTGCCCAGCAATACTCGGGTATCAAAAAGGGACCAAGGAATCAGCACCAGCCCATAATCTCGTTAGTTGATATTCAGGGGTTCCTTTGTGGAGTGCGATGGAGAACCCAAGCAGTCCTGCCGATTGGGACGCGATATTAACCGGCATGCGCACAGCCACATTGACAGCTTCTCAGCCACTAGGGTCTTTACCGCTTCGAGAGCTGAAGGTGGCTGAATGGAAATCCTGGTCGATGAACTACGGACAGGACTAGTGATGATACAGTCATCGTTGGAGTCCGTAGTGCAGAGGATGCATCTCACAGAGGGCGAGATGTGAGCGTCGTGAGGAACGAAAGCGAAAAGTTCTGGTTAGTACGCCGTAGATCAGGATACCTGGGTGCTCAACAAACGTCCGTTGGGAGATCCGTGTCATCGCCATGAGGAGAGCCTAGCTAGGTATCCGTGCTACTGCTGAAAATGGTGCGGAAGGATGAAGAAGGCATCGATATCTTAGGTACTTAGGTCCGTTTGGAGTTGCGCAGCCACGTCCACAAACATCTTCAGCCACCGTCGCAGAATCATGCACAACTGATCAAATAATCAGGCTGGGGTCTGGAACTGCGTCAGGTCTGGCTTCGGGTTGTTGATATCTAGAGGTACCTGGGCTAGGGAGACTGGGTTGTAAATTGTGAAGTCATACTGGGATATGAACCTGATTTCCACCTGCATAATCAATCCCTCGTTGTGGCAGCGATTGACCGGACACAACTCCCCCAAGCCGTCCGCCCACTGTCCATTTCGAGTTTCAACCCTTGAATACCGCGTCCCAGACCCTCATGCCAGCAGGGCCGTATGCATATGGAAAACCACCAACCAGAAAATATGTCTTCCAAGCGTGAAGACGAAGCGATGTTTCGGCTTTTGACCAACCCAAAACGCCTTCAATTGCCCCTCCAATCTTTGGTAATCAGTATCGATTACTCAACTCGGTAGTAGAGCTGAAATAATGCCACGGGAATCGCTCGCTTCCTTTTCAACCCCCGGGAATTCCACCGACCAACGCCAATGCAAGATGCTTCACTATCATCTCCTGCATAAAACCAGTGATTCGTAGCCTTGTAAGCACGTTATTCAGAAACCAGCGAGATCCCCCTCCAGAATGACTTTGACCAATGGCTGATGACCCAAATCCGCTATCCGTGATCCGATCAACTCACCCAGTAGACCATTGAGTTTCGTGCGTTGATCCTGCGCCGGCTCATACGCGTGACCATTCAACGTGGGAAGGTCGTCATCCACTAGCATACCCAGCGAGTTGATGATCGCTTTGAGCACCTTCTCAACCTCGTCGTTCCTCTTGCTGCCATCCTGTAGACTCTCCTGCAATAGTTCTCCGTACGCCTTGAGATTGGGAAGAATTAGTTGGCGAACGCCTTCTGCCCCTCCCACTGCCTTCAGACCCAGGATTGCCCCATAGTGGCTGCCTATGGGCTTTTTGGGGTCCAAGAATGTCTTGAGACATGACCGAGCCACTCGTGGCTTGAGGTTGTGGGAATACTTGGAGTATTTGTTGCAGAGGTGTCCGAGTAAGGACGCGGCCAGGTCTCGGAGTTCAAAGTGTTCCATTGATTCTGATCCTGCGCCGAGAGAGCGACCTGTTAGACATGTCAACACCGGTGGGATCATCGATGCAACCTAGTCATCAATCAGTGGTCGTCTTGACGTGGGGTAACAGTGCAGATGGCTCACGTAGGGGGTAAGGTTCAGCTTGGAGTTCCTTGTCAATGCCTCGGTGAGAAGCATCATCTGTGTGAGGACAAACAAATCCTTCAGATTATGTGTGACTTTTTCAGCCACAAATTGCACAAAGTATGGCACTAGTTGATGGAGACCTGGATCGTCCTTCAGACTCGCAAGGCCAGCCGTCTGGTATTCTGGTTGTGTCTCGTCCAGCACAGAACTGCACACCTTCTCGAAGTATAGCTGTAGTTCTTTCGATAGAATGTGTTTGACTTGTGGTTTGGTTGTAGTGCTGTCCGCACCAGTCATTGCTGCGAGGGCAGGGTTGGCATTAGGTCCTTTAGGCAATAGCTCAAGGTTTCTTGCTTCATTCGATGTGGGATTCTGTGGAATCGATGGCTGAACACCCTCAACGGCAAGCCAGTGTGCTAAATACAATCAGCGATGGTCTCACAGCCATCTTCATTCTCGTCTCACCAGTAAAAGAGATCTCCCTCGGCACCTTGGGTAGCGGCGCGTTGATCAATTTTTCAAAGTCCATCTCTTCGTCTTCCACGTAGAACAGTGGTTGACCAGGTCCCAGTGATGCTTCCCCATACTTCAGAGGTCTCGTAGATTCGTATCCATATAGCGGTTCGACATCGAGCATGCGTAGGGCGTTGGAAATGTCTTGCGACCACAGGATCGTCCTCCGCGCGTGCTTCATGAGTTTGAGGGCTTCTTGCAGCACTTGCGATATTCGGTATTCAACATCTCGACAGAGTGCTTGATTGACATCCTTGTTAAGGTTGAGGATACCGACTGATTCGGCAACATCCTTGACAGTATCTTGACCCCATAGAGTCATGATTGCGAATCGTCGGATGAAAGATGCGCAGGGTTGGTAAGTGGTAGTAACTGCGACAGGCGCAGCTGGAGATGAATTAGCCTGACTCGTGGGAAACATCGCCAAGATATATATGACTCGCGTCCATAATTCCTCAGGGCCCAGGATCAGTTCAATTCAGGACTAATATGCCAATGAAAATCAATAAGAGAACAAACTGATCGAATTGCGTTCAAGAGAAAAGGTACATGATATGGATAGACTGCTTGGATCTCAAACATCACTGGTGTTCCGCGGCATGATTCATCGGACGAGCTTTCAATTCTGAGCGGCTGCAATGCGCCACACCAACCTGGCACCACTGACCTCCTTATTGCGCAACTTGGACAATGCCTTCTCCGCCCTTTCCAGCAATGTATCCCCTTCCACAATCAATTGATCATTCGGTTTAATCACGCCCTTTTCTAGTAACGACGGCATGATCTCCGGCTGTAATTTGTCCGCCAGGAATTGATTGTCTAGATAGAAGTGCGTTCGCACCCCCCTTCGCTCCACACCATCTGCCCATGACACTCCCTCATCGACGTCCATTGACAGTTCTGGCTTGATACCAACAGCGGCATCCTTGACTATTACTGGTAACATGATTGCCACATCGGTACCGGGTTTTGCAATCTTCGATATAGGTGAAATGCTTGAAGTGCGGCTGCCGATGCAGTCTACGATGAACGAGATATGTCCGTTGCCGTTGGACTGCAAACTTATGAATTTTTGGACCTCATCGCTGACATCTCCATTTCGGTAGTCAAAGCACTCTTTCGCACCGTAAGTTCTCAATCGCTCGTGGTGAGCCTTGCTGGCGGTGGCAACCACGTTCTTGTAGCCATAGTACTTAAGCACCTGCAAGATATACTGGCCGACGCTCGAGCTCCCACCCCAAACCAGAATCCATTGATCTCTTGTCTGCGGCTTGTGGTTCTCAGGCTTCGGCCAAGGCAGATTAAGCCCTGCTTCTTTGGTCAAGGTATGCCAGGCCGTCACAAAATTGTTCGGCAGAGTGACGGCTTCTTGCAAACTGAAGCCCGTGGGAAGCTTGGCCAGGAGATACTCGTTCGTCACCACATATTCTTGGTGTGCCTTCTCCTCCTGGCTTCGCCATCCAAAGCCGAACACAACGTCCCCAACCTCGAGACGGGAGACTTCTGGTCCGATTTCCACGACGGTTCCCCCAAATCCATCTCCGAGGACCTGTGGACTCTTCACAAGCAACCCGCCATCGGCCTGGTGAAGGTCCAATGGAGTGGAAGCTGTCCATTCAGTCCTCAATTTGACCTGATTCCCGATCGCTTTGGGTGTCTTGACCTGGTGGATTTCCAGAGGGAGACCGGGCCCAATGGTGACGACGGCAGCGTGTGTGCTCATGGCTGGTGAGAACAAAATTCGTACTACAGTTTTAAGCAGACGAGTCGAGCAACTCTAGAATGGATTCTAGAATTTGGCAACGGCTGGTAATGTAACGCACTCTGGTCCCTTCTGTATATGCCCTCCTGCTGGCAAATTGAATACCTAACTGAAGAGATCAATGATTTTATATTCTTGTAGGGATGCTTGAGTAGAGGGCTGTGATGTATTGATCTTGGTGATTGTCGGACTTCGTACATTGGACATGGAAATGCTTGATTTGGTCGTGATTCGTTGGATGGTGGCGTGGTGTTTATTTGGGGTGGAATATTAGTAATACTCACGCCAACAGTTAGGCAACTTTTCGACGCAAAGTCCGCGGCACTACTTTTCGTATCGGTGCGCAATGTCCGAGACCGTAAAAGGCAAGAACTCTGAGGGATGTACGAAGTAGAGTGAATTGATTCGAAACCTTGAGCCAGGGTACGGGATGATCTGTTGCAAGTTCGGATGATATACTGTGCAGAGTTGGCCAATTCAGTGATCTTGATGTTTTGGTCACATATCAACCAGTCCTGGAGTATGAGCATCTTTCTTCACAGACGTTCCAACTTCGAAGCCTGGAATATCAGAAGCCATGCTAATCCGTGTTGCACCGATCTCTATCAACTTTCTGACAACCCAGTCTCTCTGATCCCCTGGCTCGAAGACCATGAGGCAAAGTCTAAGGGCAAAAGTGATGAAGAATGGTCCAAGAAACGACGAAGTCAGCATAAAGGGGGTGGTGCGGCATATCTCCATCGCAATTTCGTGGTTTTCCATGACATAGAGGCCATGCCTCTCTGGATGAGTTTCTTTCTCGGCCTCTTTCAAGATGATATTCAATAGCAGCATGATTGTCCAGTAACCAACGTTGTTGGATGCGATGAAGACATTGACGTAGACGTACTGCAATGGGAAGACTCGATCGCTTGTCATACGCGATGATGTCTCGAGCCCGGTCTTCTGGAGTGCTGCTCGAAAACGTAGATTGATCGATTTGAGAGCGTATCGATGTTGTCGAGTCCTCTCCAAAAGAGCCTCCTTGAAATCCGAGTAGCCATCAGTTGACAAGGATGACTTCATGATTTCCAAATTCCTTGCGTCCCGAAATGTACCTGGGATGTTGACATTCTCCAGATAGAACTCCTCCCCGAGGTCAAAAATTTCGCGGCGATCCGCTGAAATGGCTGAAACGCGCAAATCCTGATGGATCTGTGCTGCCAATTCGATCCACTCGGGCTTCGCCAGGAAGCACTCTTCATCCTGCTGAAAAGCTTCAATGACAATGGTGTGACGATATGCGAGAAAACAGTCTCGATCAAGACCATAGCGATGTCTTTCAGGCCCACGTAGACGCATGAGTAACCCGGCACCGCCAGCATGTCGCAGCCACGAAGCATTTGACGCCGATGCAAACATTTCATAAAAAGAAAGAAGAACAGTGGCTGAGAGAGTTTCGCTAGCCATTCCTTCACCTTGATCGGTCAGTGCCTTGTTGAGCAGTCGCAATGCATTGCCGTAAAATTGTCTTGATTCTTCAACCATGCGGTCAGAGCTGGTGACTCGACCAAAGTGGACCATAGAAACAGCACGGATAGCGGCATCTAGTAGTGTCTGTCCAAAGTGCGAAGGCAATCGTGACAGCCAACGACGATGGTTTTGCATCTGAGCTGGGAGTGTCTGTGGGCCAGCTGCGCCAATGGCTGATGTAAAAGTGTTGAGGAGCTGTTCCTGGACGAGATATGGTGAATATATTGGAGTATAAAGTGTCAAGTCGGATAGCCCTTTCGCGGCCTGGAGTGATTGATCGAAATTGGCGACCGGGTTTATTTCATGCTCGAGGAAGTGAAAGAACGCATTGTAGCTAGGGAGCAACTTCTCCGCACGGAGAATGGTCACTGCATCGGCTGCCTCGAAATCAAATTCATTTGTTCCTACCACCAGATCAAGGATTTCTTCTGGGGATGATTCTGACGAAGGGCCACCGGAACTGGGTGTGCTTTTGTTGGTAGCAGGCGACGTGAAGTCGAATTCTGCGCTCCGAACCACAAGTTCATTTTGCCCGAACTTCTTGCGAAGTTTGGAACCCTCATCGTGAATTCTGAGGTTCGAATCGTATCCGGGACATGGCCGGTTACCCTTCGCACAATTGTTGCCTACGTGAAGCAATAAACATCACAGGGTTCTAGACACACAAGGACCATCGATTATATCAACTTACATTTAGGTCTGGTCAAGTCACACTGTAAGAATTAATGTTAGCGGTGTTCCAGCATGAAAGAAGGCTTCTACAGTACCTTGACACGCCGCTGAACACAGATTCTGCAACCTTTGCTTCGTGGTACACCAACCATCCCGAGTGGATTTGAATCAAGGCATGAAACTCTCAACGGAACGCCAAGGGCAAAAGGCAAATGCGATCGACTGATATATTGCTGGGCCTCTGACAGAGTTATCTAGGAGAATTGTGATCTAGCGTGTGTGGCAGCCATTGGCGGACAAGACCGATATGGTTCAGGTTGAAAACGTTGATGCCTGATTCACCATGGAGTATCTAGTTGGGATGAAGGTGAAGAACAAAAACATGGTAGCCTTTAGCTCAAACCTTTCCACATGGGTACGAAATAAGGCGTCGTTCGCTTCAGGTGTGCTCGCCTGGTGTAATTGGCTTTAGGTGTGGAGAGGATCAAGGACGGAGGGGCAGCTGGGGGTTGATGACGCTGCCACCTCGTTAATACTTGGTGCTCCGTACTACTTTAGGTGGTTTCTCGTAGGTTGATGTTGGGCGAACCGCTGACACATCGATGCTCAGCCTCAAAATCCCTGTAGCCACAGCCACTTCAAAAGTTCAATTCCCTCGTGTCGGATACGGCGTCTATGAAGGAATGTCACGAATCTAATCAGGACATCAAACACGACAATATTGCAACTTGTTTCAATGTCTCCTGAAACGATTCACATATAATTGACCTTCCTAACTGGCCAATTCAATGGTGCTGGGCATAACAGGCTCCCGATTTGACTTGATCTTGTCCTTATTCTGCCTTCATATGCCAAAGCAATGCTCCCTCTTCCGTTATTGAAGCAAGAATTCTCGTGATATTTCCAGGTGGGCGCAGAGAACGCTGCGCTTTTCCATCCATTTATGCCCTTTTGGCTACGAACCCCAATAATTTTGCGTCCCTCCAAACCCAGATCTCTGAGCATGAGAACTAGTATGAGAGAAGTGTGCTGTACTTCAAGGTTGAGCTGCAATTCAAAGCGCTCAATGCTCTTGACTTAACCCTCCAGCTCATTCATCGGCACATCCTCATCATTAGAGCCCACAATGGCATCAGCCACCTTCCAGACCTGAATAAGGTTATCATCGGCCGCACTGCACAGAACCCATGGATTGTTTTTGTTCCAAGAGAAATCACTAATTCGGTTTGTGTGTCCTCCATGCATGAACAGTAACTCGGGTGGACCGTCTTCACTATCTTCAGGTGTTTGCTCTTCGCCCACCTTATTCAAGTCCCAAAACATTATTCGTCGGTCGTAGCTGCTTGATGCGAGTACACCTTCTTCAAAGGGATGCCACTCCAGGGTCGTCACGCTGTCGTTGTGACCTTCCAGAGCGTGGATTTTGTGAGTGAGGTTCCGGAGGTCCCAGATACCAATGGTTTTATCGGCACTCCCAGTGGCGACAACAGTCTCTACTGCCAAGTTGAACGCGATGGCATTGATCGCATCCTTGTGTTGGCCCTCTCCTGATACCGCGGCAGCCTTCGTGGTGTCCGGTTGCCGGAGATCTATGAGTTGCATCGTCAGATCATCGGAAACCGTTCCAAACAAGTTGGGAAGTGTAGGATGGTATTGGACATCGTTGACGATACTGGCATGATGTGTATATTTGCGGCTCTCTTTCAAGGTTTTGTTTGTCTTGGAAGCTTGTGTGATATCCCACAGTCTGACCGTCGTGTCTTCACTGGCGGTGACCAGGTGACCGGCATCCCTAGGGCTCCAGCTGAGTCCGTACCCCTCCTTCTCATGACCGCTCAAGATTATGGTCGGATCGGGGGTTCCAGTCGGCACACTCCTGAGCTTCGTCTTGTCCCATATTAGCACCCGGCCGTCCGTACACATGGTTGCAATGATGTTGGGATTCTGAGGTTGGTAGCGAGCCTTGTTAACCTCACCAGGGTGATCGATCTTTTGGATGATATTGAATTTGACTTCGATCTGATTCTTTGACGGGCCGCCACCATAGCCCCCGATCTCGCCTGTCTCTTCATTGTAGTCTTTGACATCGGGTTTTCTTGCATTTGGCAGCTGCACATGTGCGATCTCGAGGTAGTTTGGTTGGCCTTCGGCAGTATGGGTACCTATCAATAGGCGGTGTTTGGAATAATTTGTACCCTCAACTCTGGGACGTCAATTAGTAGATGAAGGCATCAATGCGATCGAGACACTGACTGTGAGACGTCTGGAAACCATTGTGTTGTGAGGGTGGGCCAATCCAAGGCTGTGCTGAGGATCATATCATAGAGAAAGGGGGCGTTCTTCTTCCATGTCTTGTATTCTTCGTTGATCACCTTTTGTTCGTTCTCAGCATCATCATGATTGAGCTCTTCACTCACTAGAGGGTTGTTAGATGAGAAGTTTGAAATTATGTGGAGAGGACGTACAATTCTCGTCCTCCTCAGCCATCTTGGAGCAATCGTGTGAGTCTTTGGCGGGAGAAGTTCAAGGGATGAAGATGCTTCGGCTCAAGGGATTGCTTGGGCTCTAGGTGCTGTTGGGGGGAGGTCGTCAATACAAGTCAATAATGGTTGACTTGCAATCCAGCCTCCAAGTTCAGTTGAAGCCAAAACACGCGCAGCAGAACGCGGGCGCGAAGATGTCCCAAAATGGATTAGCTTGGACTTAAGTGGTTCTTGGCATTTCTGGCCCCGGAATAGGACCTCACCTCGAATTCAAAATCGTCACCAAGTGAGGCGGCCGGTTCCTGATGAATCACAACATATATCACCATCAATCCCCTTTCTTCGTTTTTACCATTCTCTTGGAGTTGGTGTCATATAACTACATGTAACTCAAAAGGTTGGATTTACACACATCTCTTCATACCGACACCGAGTCTTGTTACTGCTACTGCATCCACCGCCACCATGGGTGTTCCAAAGTTCTTTCGATGGCTCAGCGAACGCTATCCTGCCATTTCGCAATTGATTGCCGAGAACAGAATTCCCGAGTTCGATTGTCTGTACTTGGATATGAATGGCATCATTCACAATTGTACCCACAAGGATTCTGATTCCGTCTCCTTTCGCATGACTGAGGATCAGATGTTCATCGCCATATTCAACTACATCGAACACCTCTTCGGAAAAATCAAACCAAAGCAACTTTTCTTCATGGCCATTGATGGTGTGGCACCAAGAGCAAAGATGAACCAGCAAAGATCTCGTCGTTTCCGAACTGCACTCGAAGCCGAAAAGGCCCGCGACAAGGCTATCAAAGAGGGTCTTGAAATGCCCAAGGACGATCCATTCGATAGCAATTGCATCACTCCGGGCACTGAGTTCATGGCCAAGCTCACGAAGCAACTAAAATACTTCATCAGTAAGAAGGTGTCTGAAGATGTCGATTGGCAAGGTGTTGAGGTGGTCCTGTCAGGCCACGAAGTACCTGGTGAAGGAGAACACAAGATCATGGAATACATTCGTCAGGCCAAAGCTCAGCCAGGTTACGACCCCAATGTCCGCCACTGCTTGTACGGTCTCGACGCTGATCTCATCATGTTGGGACTTCTTAGTCATGATCCTCATTTCTGTCTCTTACGTGAAGAAGTCACGTTTGGCCGTCAGTCCGGCAAGAAATCCAAAGAACTCGAACACCAGAATTTTTATCTCATGCATTTATGTATTGTCAGAGAATATCTTGAACTTGAGTTTCAGGAATTACAACAAGACGGCGCTCTCACTTTCCCTTACGATTTGGAACGAGTTATCGATGACTTTATCTTGATGGCATTCTTTGTGGGCAACGATTTCCTACCTAATCTTCCGAATTTACACATCAATGAAGGAGCGCTGGCGCTCATGTTTCAGAAATACAAAAAGATTCTTCCCTCGCTGGGTGGCTACATCAATGAACATGGTGTGATCAATTTGAAGCGTCTCGAAGTACTTTTGGACGAGTTCTCTGAGGTGGAACATCGCTTCTTCGAGGCTGATTACTCCGATGCCAAATGGATCAACGCCAAAAGAGATCAATCTGCCGAGATCGAACCCATCAAAGCCCGGGGCGGGCCAGTCAGAATTACGCCCGAGCAGAAGAAATTGTTCAAAGAGATCAAGAAGTATTTCATCTCACCTGTGAACAAAGACAAAACTACCAAGATCCCGCTCGACTTGCCGTCTATCCTCCCCGCAAGAGACCGCAAATTTGTTCAGCAGCTTGCCGCAGATCTCAACCTGCAATGGTCAACTCAGGAGAATTCCAACGGCGACCGATTCATCCAACTCCAATTTCCAGATACATTGGCAGGATCAACCAACGCTGATGACGACGACTCTGAAGATGAGGAGTCTCAACTGGCGATTATGCGAATCTTGAAGCGATATGAGAATGCCAAAGTTGAGGAAGCTACGGATGAACAAGCCCAACAAGATATGAAGAAGAAATACGATCAGAAATTCTTGGAGTGGAAAGACACTTATTACAAAGAAAAGTACCCTTGGGGTATCGAAAATGAGGCAGAACTGAAAATCTTGACAGAGAATTATGTCCAAGGTCTGCAGTGGGTGCTCTATTACTATTACCGAGGTGTTGCCTCCTGGCCATGGTATTACGCCTCGCATTACTCCCCGATGATATCCGACGTCAAAAGAGGTCTTGGCGCGAACTTGGACTTCACCTTGGGTCAACCATTCAGGCCATTCCAACAGCTCATGGGTGTCCTACCAGACCGAAGCAAGAAGATCGTACCCGAAGTCTACCATGAGCTGATGACATCGAAGGATTCACCCATCATCGACTTTTACCCACGTGACTTCAATTTGGATATGAATGGCAAGAAACAGGATTGGGAAGCAGTGGTCAAGATTCCGTTCATCGATGAGAAAAGACTTCTCAGTGCCATGGGACCGAAAGACCAACTACTTAGCGACGACGAGAAACGACGCAACGATTTTGGAGTCAGTCTGAAATTTACCTACTCCCCAGACATCGACTACACCTATCCTTCATCGCTCATCGGCATATTCCCTGATCTTCCGCATTGTCACTGCATTCAGAATGAATTTGAGCTTCCCACCATGGATGGTCTCGAACCATATGCAGGGTTGGTTGATGGTGTAAAGCTTGGAGCCGCCGCTCTGGCTGGTTTTCCGAGCGTGAAATTCCTTCCGTTCACCGGTTCCTTAGGGTTTCATGGGGTCAGTGTTTTCCAGCAGGACAGTCGTAATGAGAGCATGGTTATCACACTTTCTGGTACCGAAGCGCGCACAAAGGTCGAATATGCCAAACAACTATTGAACCAACGCGTCTATGTTGGATACCCATTCCTCCAAGAGGCCAAGATTGTCAAAGTCTCAGATGAGTTGTTCGACTATACCTTAAACGAAAATGGGCCTCGTCAGGTAAAAGCAACTGAGCATTCTGGCAACGAGATTGACCAATTCCATAAGAAGGTGGAACGTATCGACAAATGGTACAGCAAGAGGCTTGGAATGCTGATCGGTGATATTGAGACCCTTGTGCAAGTCGAGATGCTCAAAGGACTCAAGAAGCTCGATGATGGATCCACTGTCAAGGAGTTCGCCGAGCTTCCAGGGACAGAAACCATTCATGCCGCACAACTTGTGGTCGATCGTGTTATCAGCGAAGATGTACGATTCATTGAGCAAGCCGCCCTTCCAATCGAGGAGGAATTCCCAGACGGTACAAATGCATTCTTCCTTGGGGACTATGCTTATGGCCGGCCACTCAGTGTGACCGGCCATGAAGGTGGGAAAGCGAAATGTCTCGTTGCAATGTCCAAAGGGCAGCAACGAGAGTTTGGGCGTGAGATCGCTCTCCAAGCAGAGAAGCTGTCCCCATACACACCATCCTATCAGATTGCGCGCAGCCTGAATTTGAATGGCCTCGCGTTGGCCAAAATTACTTCATCTTTCTCTGTCACAGTTGATGGAGCCAGAGTCAATCTAGGCCTGAATCTCAAATTCGAGGCGAAGAAACTCAAGGTGCTTGGCTACTCACGGAAGAGTGAAAGTGGATGGGAATTTAGTCGTGCGGCAATCGAACTCATTCAACAATATATGATCAAATTCCCGGACTTTATTGCTGGCATTCACAACAACCCCCAAGGTGATATGCTTCCAGCAACCTCCTACTTCCCTGGTGATGAAGCAACTGCCAAGTCTAGGATTAGGGAAATACAGGCCTGGTTGAAAGACATTGAGTCCAAGAGCTTCGAGAAGGTGCCTCTAGAAGCTCAACAGTTAGACTCGGAAATTGTCAAGCGAATTGAACACGCTGCGGATGAAGCACTCCGAACAGAGCCACCCTCAATCAACAAGACCCTTGGTGGCGTTCCTCGAAATGGTCTTCTGAAACCATCAGACGCGCAATGGCGTCTTGGTGGCCAAAAATTCAGCCTTGGAGATAGGATTATTTATGTCGCTGACTCTGGCAAAGTGCCTATAGCCTCCAAAGGAACCGTTGTCGGGCTCACACAGACAAGCAGAGAAACTCTCTTGGACATTGTATTTGATGTTTCATTTATGAGCGGAACATCTCTGGGAGATCGTTGTTCCCCGTTTCGTGGCTCAACTGTTCCAACCTGGTCGGCGCTCAATCTCACACACCGTCAAGTGCTAGCATCGTCCAAAGCAAGTGCCAACCGAAACACAAATGGCACAATGACAACCCCACTCACCGTTTCTGGATACGGACAACCTGGGATCGATGGCAAGGGGCAGTATCGACCTGCGCAAGCACCACCTGCGCTACGGGGCTCCTGGCGTGGAGCCGTGGCTGGTCAGCCAAATGGTCGAGGTGCACACAACGGTACAGGGCAATCACAGACATTGCCATTCCGAAATAGCAACAATTCTTATGCGAATGCACACCAGGCCAATGGCACCAACGGCCGAACTGCGTCGAATCGTGGCTCAACACGTGGAATGGCGACTCATGCAACTCGGGGCGGCTATCAATCTGTTGATCGAGGTGATGCTACTACAGGCGTCATTCAGAACAATCCCAACTTCCGAGCTCGTTCTCAGAATAATGTTCCACCGCCAGCCAGCTTGAACACCCCTAACGCACCCCGCGGTCGTGGGAGAGGACGAGGAGGTCCACCAAGAGGAGGAGGCCGGGGTCCAACAACAAGAGGAGACAGAGGAGCTTGAGGTGATATTATGTTACATGGTCGTGGGTAAGGGTTTCCCCATGAGCCAGAATTGTGCTCCCAAAGAACCGATGTTTTGTTGAGAAATGGCCTGGTAACGGTAGTTGAGATATGGGCAAGGTGATACTGGTGAGTCAGGCTGGATTGTCATGCCAAAGAAGGGCTGTTATCGCTCCACTTTGGGAGGTGGTTGATAAAAGCGCAGCAATTGGTGTCATTGGCTCTGGATGCCGAGCTAACTTCGACCCTGCTTGAAGCCCCGCAATCGCAATCGGGAGTTCCTGCAACGCCTCCTTCTTACTCTTCAAAATCGTCTTCCTCTTCCAGACCATGCACCAACTTCACGGCTTTCAATATCACATGATGTCATGGCAATTCCAAACCGAGATATCCGCAGAATAGTGCTACAACGAAGCAAGACGACATGAGGGATTGAGCCCGTACCTGTCGGGGGCAGAGCGCATTACTCCGTATCAAGCAAGGATTAAATGCATGTCATTTGGTCTCCACGGGATTCGACGAACCAGCTTTCTTGCCAACACCCCCTACCCTTTTCACTTTGATCCATTGCACTCTTTAGTGCCTCTGCTCCGTGGGTTGTTTTTCCATTCACACATGTGCCTACCATTCTGCCCGTTCGATTCGTCTATTTAGAACTGTGTTCCTGAACCACCTCGACAAAGTCCACATTCCAGCCTTTTGGTGAGACCAACTGGGCTCCGATATCCCCCACGCTATCCATTCCAATCTAGACCAGTATTCGCCTTTGTTAACATTACATCACATCTCAGCAGTTCATCCATCATTCAGGCCTTCAGAATGAAATCTATCCATTTGTCCATTGACCAGTTGTCCAGGCTTACATGACTGACGCCTCAACCCATTGTGCTTCAAGCCCATTCAGATACGGTATTACGATCCGTCTTTGCATATTCCCGATCACATAACTGCAATCTCAGTTCGACCACAATAGTCCACTCCGAATTGCTTGGTGCTCAAACGTGTGCCTCGTGATTGCCCAACTTGGGTTACTTCCTCCTTCCCACTGTGGTGAAACTACGGGAAGTAGCAAGTTGAGGAAAAACCCGCCTTGTGGCCACCGGAAACGTGACAACACTTTGATCTCATCATACGTATTTCCAATTCGCAGACGTTTCCCTATCAGAATTCTGACCAAAATCCAGCAACCGAGAATCAGCGTCATCGCCATTCAGTTGCTCATGTGATTTGAGTCTCCACGACCTGTCTCACAGAAGGACTTTGCTCTGCATAATCTGCGTTTCCTCAAAAACATGGCCGCGTCTCAACTAATCATAGATCGAGCGCGGTTACCATTGTGAGATATATGGATTATCCCTACGGTCTTACACTCGACGCTCCCCTTGCCAGTCTGCAGTGGTGCGATTTTGTCTCTCAACCATATGCGCCCATTGGCCATATATGACAAATTGCATAAGAGTTCACGATTAGCTGTGTCCAGCATTTATATCAAAAAAGCATATCATTGCATTGGCGGTTGTCTTAACGTTGGCATCGGTTTGCCACATATCCCATTCTCGATTCTGAGAAGCTCCTCTTCGTTGTATTTTATCTGCTGTCCATCCCGTGACAGCTCAGAACAAACATCTTGCAAGCACTTCTGCGCAATGGAAAATTCCATGAATCTGATCTCGGCGCAAATATCGTTTTTAGTAAGTCTTCAACCACCTTTCATTCACAATCGATCTCACCGCAACCTCTTTGAACGGCAACGACAACGGTGTCAAAGATGTTCCAGTTTCCACCCTTCGATCCCCCCAATAGCACAGACTGGGACAGTGCAAGTGGCTGGGATGCAAAGGCAAGCACATCCAACTGACTCTATTCTCTGACCGTCAGGAAACACATTTGGTCTTGGTTCACATCCCGATTGAGCTCTACTCATTCTGTTTACAACCCATCTTACGTCTGCTCTTCGGAGAAGACCATGACGAGGACGCATCCCAGATCCCATGGGCCAACCGCCATGATTTTCTGAACGTGTCAATCACTCCTGTAGAGTGCTCCGTCATCTGCTCGAGGTACCTGGCAGACAGGTTCATCCGGCCAGTCGCGGAGTCGTTGAATGCTCTCTACCACAATGCCAGACTGTCTAACAACGGCAAGACACCCATTCAGATCAGCGAGGATGACTATATCGTCATACAGGTGGATGGGCAAGGGCTCGATGCAGGTCAACGAGTCTTGGAATTGACATCCCCATTGGCCATGGCTGGAATGTTAGTATGCCCTGAAGAATTGGAAAGGAAGCAAGTGGTAACTAAGAAATCAACTTATAGAAGCATATTTTTCATCACCACATATTTTTCGGACTACATCCTGGTTCCATCTCGATCGCATCGCACGGTCCAGACGGCCCTCCAGCAGCGAGGCTTTGTCTTCTCCCAGACCGTTGACGCATTTATTTCACAACTGTCGCCATCTTCACCAACTTTGACCCAGAGTGGTAGAATTACTTCGCCATTTCATGAACACTCCACTCCCTCCACTCCTCCTGCAAAGGACATACCAGAGCTGCAGATCCGAACATTCACCAAATTGACCCGCAATAACGTTAAACCTGTCGTAGACGAAGCTTTGCTCCTGATGAGCTGTGCCGGAAGCCGAGAATACGATTCACAGAAAGATGAGCGACTGAAATCTGATCTTTTGCAAGTCCTTCTCTCTACATCGTCACTAACGACCACCACGAGCACGAAAACTTCCTCAATTAATGGCTCTGGGCTCGGGCTCGAGTCATTGGCAATTTCGAATGGCAAATTGCCTGACTTTGCGGCCAGGTTCCTTTCTCTCACTCTCACAAGTTCAGAGCCGATTTCTGTTCTCCTGGAGCATAGACTTCTCTCGAGGCTGGGAGGGTCTTTGCTAGGCGCCAAATCAGAGGAGGATGCATTAATCCCGATCACACTTGATCTGCGGGACTTGCCAATGGAAGCCACGGGCATCGTTTGTGGGGTTGCTGGTAGGCTTGCCCAAGCTGGCAGTGAGGTGGACGAACTCGATTGGAGTCCACAGTCTGCGGCAACAAATGGGAACGACGGTGGAATAGTCGATATCTCCTTCTTGAGCACAGCTAGAGCTGGGACGGTGATAGTAAAGGCCAGCCAGTTGGACCTTGCAGTTGAAGCCTTGGAGTATGGTATGAGAAAAGTGGCGAGCTTGACTTAAGCAGCACGACGTTTTCAGCCCCAATATTGTCTCATGGTTTGGATGGAATGGAATGCATAGCGAAATGATACCAAGATTTCGGATGGCTCCAGTTTCAGCCCTGAGAATAAACCTTAACCACCCCATCAGCACCACCAGCTGCCAGCAGCCCTTGTCTCCCCTGAGCCTGACTTCCTTCTCGCCATTTGACAACACTGATGACTTTGCGGTTCTTGTTAAGATCGATACTGCCAATATTCTTGCCGGAAAGAACATCCCACCCGTGTACTTTGCCATCAGCTTCACTGCCGCTCAAGACCAGACTTTCATTGACAGCAAAACAGCTTTTCAGCCGTAGACCATCATTCAGATAGCCCTCAGCATTCCCCTCGGGAGGGAACGCTCTCAAGCAAGTCCCATCCGTACGATCCATCATGCGGATCCTGCCATCGAGACAGCCCACGAGAATCGTCTTACCATCCCTCGAGAGATCCAGACTTGTCACGGGGCCTGGCTGCACATCGACCGTGACCCTACCCATCCGGACATCATAGCCCCTCAGTCTCCCATCGATACTACCCGCGACAATCTCATATCCATTATCCGGGACCAGCAAGCTCGAAACCCCGTCCTTCGCCTCCTCCAGCACCAGCAGCGGCTTCGCATCTCGGCTCTTGACGTCCCACAGCCGCAGCGTCCGATCGTCGCTCCCACTGACAATTACACCGTCCCCGTCTCCCGCGAATGCAACGCACGTGATTCGGCTGGTATGCCCTTGGTTGGTGTTGCTCCCGAAACGCCGCACCGTGCCGTCCGCGTTTTGTACGTCCCAGAGGAACACGCTTCTGTCGCCTCCAACGCTTGCGAATGTCTGGTTGTCATGCGACACCGCGATGTCTAGCACGGCGTAGCCATGCGCCGCGTATTTCTGGATTGCGCCGGACGGTTTCTCGGGGTTGGTGGGCTCACTACGCGACAGATGCACTTGGCGGTCCGAAGAGCCGGTCAGGATGTAGGTGCCGCCGAGCGAGGAGTAGGAGATGGCGTTGACGGGCCCAGTGTGTGAGGTCAGTGTGTTCACCGCCGTGGAGGGGAGTTTGGCTGGGCTCATGACTTTTTTTCTCTCTCTAGTGATGGGTTCCGTGGAGTCAAGACAACTACATATCAAGCGCACGAGGATGTCGCCATAGCAGGGGATTATCCTTACCGCTTCTGCTCCAGTTTCATTAAGGAGCTCATGTGCTTGTAAGATATTCTATCGCACCCTGAAAGCATGTAATTTGCTGGAGTTGGGGTTGATGGCTACGGATCGTAAAATGCGGCAGGCCGACAAGGCACTGATGAAAGCGACTTGTGCCAACCTGCCGCTATTGTACCACTTGGCATATTACCGCTTTAGCGAGGTTTTAGATGCCGCCCTTATAAACCTTGTCCAGGCCTCGACTTCGTCCTCCAGCCTCTACCCTACTTCGTCCAACACCTACAACAAGAGTTGAACTTCTTCCAACCAAACTCCAATCGTGAGCCAACTAGCTAGCTGCTGCTGCTACTGTAGTCAAGACTATGTCCACTGCATCCTAGATTTCCTACTTAGCAAATCCATAAACGCTCTCATAACATCATTTCACATCAAACTCGATGTCGGCTGTGGAAATATAGCGACATACTTCCACTCAGTGTATTCATACCTTGGACTTCTCACCATAAACTACATGGCTGTCCGTAATGAAGTACTGCAAGGTTGGGTTAGATGTACGAGACGGAAGAAGGCCTCCCCACTTGCCAATGGGAAGGCAAGTCATTAGGAAGAATACTCACAAGTCATGTAGTAAGTGAACACTCTTCTTCAGCAGCTCAAGCCGGACATCGTCCAGCAAGGCGTAAACGGCCTCGACGCTCCATCCTACTATCTTGGTGACCGGGACTATTGTTACCGCTTTGAGCCCTTCGAGCAGCTGGTCCATGTTGAGAGCACCGACGCGTTTCTGTCGTAGAGACAATATGTCGTTAGGCCTTGATGTTCCATGGGGACCCTCCAGTCGTGATGGGCTCGAAGAGGCCATCGGTGAGCCTGATTCAATTTTCAGCCCGGGAATTGGATTGTTAGCTAGAAAGGCGTTTGAGGAATACGCATTCATAGCTGCTAAAGGCGAGATAGTGGACGGGCCGGGGCGAACTAGTGGTTTCCTTCCGCGATCTCCATGTGCCTGTCATGGACAGAAGCGCTGTGGAAGGGACTTACAAAGTACACTGTGGAATTTCTGGTGGTAACCCACCGCGAGAGATGCCATGTGGGACATGTTGCACCCAGGTAATTAGTAGTCACTCTGCTTTAACGTTCAGAGCGTCGAGACTCTCCAGTACCTTGTAGACTAGGCTACTCAATACTTGCGAGTATGCGTGCCTTGGTGAGGACTTGAATGAGAAACAACGGCCGGCGCGGAGCCTCCGAGTCATGAGAAAACCTTAGAACCCACCACTACTCCGGGGTTGAACGTAGGTGGTCTGCTAGCTAAATTCTAGTTAACTTAACTGGCATTAACCGAATAACTTGAATGCTAGTTAGTGGCGGCATTGACGGGTGGACGAACCTGATTATCACTCAGAGAGACAGATCATGCCACTGGGCGTCTTCCAAGCTAAGTTATACCTAGAGACGAGCTTGTAACTAACTAGACAGCTGACCTGATGCTACTGTTTGGTAAGTGCTAGTCTTCAAATCGACTGATTGACGAAATCAACGTTGATTGTGCGGGTGGACATATCTAGCTGTATCCGTCTTTAGGACCCACAGAGGCCACTACCTTGCTCCTCAGCACTGTCTGGGTGGCGTTCATTTATAGCGCAGTCTCGAACTACACGACGTGCTGACTTTCATGAGTTGGAAACCGCGTTCTCCTCCTAGCCTTGGTCTACGCGCTTTTCCTCACATACTCCACAGGTCCAATATAATGATGTCGGGCCCAAAAGGCGTAGTAGATCCCACCAATAATGAGCACTCCACCGTACGCCAAACATGACCAATTCATTGTCGTGATCGTGGGATGAGGTGCCCCAGGGAAGAAACTCATGACGAGGGCCAAGAGTAGGAAGGCGATAGCGCCGCCGTTGATGAGAAGCCCGAGTCGACCAAGGTCAAAGGAGCGGTCGAGCAGACGCTGACCCCTTACTCGACGGAGGGCGACGCAACATATCGAGATCAGGTATGAAGACAGCAGTGCCGCGAGTCCTAGTGATAGGATTTGGTTGAAAGCAACTGTCGAGCCGATGTTGATGAGCGAAAAGAGTGTCGAGGTGGAGATTGTGAAGAAGACGGCTGGTGTGTGACTAAGTTAGCAACGACGGCTTCTCGAAAAAAAAAATGTTTTGACGTACCATTCACGGGGATTTCCCAACGACGATCCACGTATGCGAACCATTCATGGAAAGGAAGTCCTTTATCACGAGCAAATGCAAACAGCTGGCGTGAGGCTGTAGCCATGTTCGTCATTCCGTTGGCGGTCGCGGACAGCACGAGGATGCAGGACATCGCTGTGGCGCCCCCTTTTGATCCCGTGACGTTGTAGAAGACCTGAATAAAGGGGTAGCCTGTTGGGGTGGAGAGAACACTTTCCAAGTCACCCAAAGTGTAGCAGAAGGTGCTGTGCGGGTGTCAGTGTAAGGCTCAATTCAGGAGTAAGGAAAATTACATGAGCATGACAAAACCAAGGGCACCATTGACAACAGATGTCCAGACCATAACTCTGGGAAGTGTCTTGGAAGCATTCTTCAGCTCTTCGGCCATATGAACGGCAGCATCGGCCCCGAGAAAGGCAGTCACTGGTGTGATCAAGCCGACTAGAGTAGCAAGTCCAGCTTTGATACTATAGTAAGCATTTTTCCATGTTCGAGATGACACGTTAAAGAGATAAACGACATACTTGAACCCCAACCACCACCGTCCGCGAAAACCGTCCAAATCTCATGCGAGTTACCGCGAGGACCCAGAACCCAGAGCGGAACCACGATGCAAATGAACCCACCAACATGTAGACAGAGGACCAAGCGTTCGACGAGAGGCAGGTGCCTGGACAAGAATGTATTGAAGAATGCAACGAAACAGACCACAGCAATGGTTAAAAGCGACCCATGCCAGCGTTCGTAGACGTAATTGTCGTTGTTCAAGACAATGAGACCTTGAATTTCGGTTGCCGCCAGGAAACATCCGATCGCTGTGCCACTTTGCCATCCTAATGTACAGAGCCAGCCGACCACAAAGGACAGGAACTTCTGCTGGCTTCGAGGAGCGAATTCTGATATCCAGTGATACTGACCGCCTGTAGGAGAGAAGAGGTATTGTTGTTAGTTGCAAGCTGAGACTAGGGACAATAATGCAGAAGTGAGCAATGGGACATTATAAAGCATCTTACCTGCCGTCGGCGCCATTGATGCCATTTCAGCCATGGAAATATTGACCAACGAGAAAAATACCACCACAATGACGTACATGTAGATCAGTCCTGCTGTCCCTCCGTTCCCAAGACCGAATGCAATAGTCCTAAAAAGGGAGTGAAAGTGATTAGCCAGGTTAAGTCTTGCCATACCATCAAAACATCGAACAATTCTCGTCACCGCTTGACGCTCTCCAGACCATCGCTAATTAGCAGCACCTAGATACTCACCCTAGCAGTGCCTGCCACGTATTCATAAGAATCATGGAGAACCCAAAAATCGACAGGAACCCGAAGTTTCGCTGTTCGCATCATAAAGCGTTAGCATCGTCCCTGGTGGAATGCTGGCAGACCTATCCAGCTTCCCCAATTGATAATTAGGTGGAATGCTTAGGTGGATTTACCCTGAACAATTGCTTCTTGCCCATCCGCTTCATATCCTCGATATCTTGCGCGGTTGCATTTTTCTCGTCGTTGTGGGTGTCATCAACGTGATATTGATGTTCGCTCACCGTGGGGACATGCGCTGGGTCTGTAGGATTCCCGCCAAAGTTCATTGATTTATTCATGATGATCGTATAGCGGCTGGAAGCTGTTGCCGTGGAGGAAGACGAAGTCAAGAAAAGCCAGAGCTAGACTGTGCCCGGCCAAAGCATATTATACAGAAACAGATAGAGCTTCAATAACATGCTAGATGAGATCCATGTAACGTCGGGGCAGAACTCACAAGAGGACCATTGTTCTGCAAGCGAGGCACAAAGGGGGAGGGATCGGCAGTCCATCTGCATTGAATCAACTAGCTCACCATGGCGAATGAGCTCCATCTCCATGCGTTGGAGACAGGGAAGCATGGAAACAATCCTCAGAGGCATCTTGAAGTGTCCCTGCTAACGCGTGTGCGAATATGCAACATGCACGATGAATACCGTGTCATTGGACTAGATAAGCAGGGCTTTCTGAGGGGCTTGTGTTGATCAATCATGAACGAACATGGATAGTCGAGGTGAGAGGACCCGAGAGTCAACTTAATGCCGACCTAGGTATGTATGATAGGCAGCTCTCACAAATATGGGTGAATGATCCTGGCATGTCCTTGAAAGAAGCAATCAAGGCTGCAAATCTGGTCGTTTGCAATTTAAGTACTCAGCACTCTCCGCGGTATTGGTAGCTTCTAGTTAATGAGCACGGCCAGACGGATTGACATCACACTTTCGAAGCTGCTGAAGGACGAGTTTAACTAGCGGGTTAGTCGGTACAGGAGGGCCGAGGGCTAGGCCCGGGGCCCCTTGGACCGAAACCCTCGGGCCCACGGCCAAGCTCCGGGCGGATCTTCTGCTGTTTAGGGTCCGGAGTACGACGACTAATTAGCTACGAGTAGCCAGCACAGGTATTGAAGCTACTTGAAGCCTAGCGACCAATTCCTACCAACTTCAGACTACCAAGTACAGCATCTATTGAGCAAGGCGCAGCTAGCTATCCTGCCTGACAAAATTGTCGAAGCCACATACCACAATATCTTTACAACTCAAAGCTCTGTTCGCAAGTACCAATAAACTCTAACATTGTAAGGAGAACCTTAAGAGCATAAAAATACAAGTACTCAATGCAGCGCTCAACACTCGGCATGTAGGGTTTCTTTTTAACCATGTGACAAAGACGAAGAGCACAAACATCGTCTTCTAGAGGTTGTCAAGAAACCAAGGTTTGCCAGTTCGAAGCCTCCTGGTACACACACAAGCAAAACGGCATTGAGCGCAGAAGGGAGGCATGTTCTTCTGCTTTGGATCCTTGGTTGGCGCGAGGAACTCTTGTCATTGGCGTGGTGTACCATGACTACCAGCTCCAGAAGCTCTCTGCGGATCTGATGCTGTGACGGCCACGGTTGACTGCAGCTCGGTTCCCTCGCCAGCCTCCATAGTGGCCGCACCATCAGTATTGCGCGATTTGCTCTTCCAGGGAAGGATATAGTCGATCCAAAATCGATATTGATCCCTGAACTCTGAATTGATGTTTCTTATTTGGTCTTCCTCTTTGAATTCTAGCTCTCTTTCTCCTTGCTTTGTCGTTTTGCGACTGAACCAGATCACACCAGAGATACTCACCGCGGTGAGAACGAGGCCGCCTACAGAGCCAAAGTATGCGAGGACTGCTTTGGCTGTTGTGGAGAGGCCTTCCTCTTCCTCTTTATCATCTGAGCTGGGAGATGGGCTATGACTGCCTGTTGCTGTACCCGAGCTTGAGGTGCTGGTTGGCGAGGTGGGAGTTCCTCCGGTCGAGGTCACAGTGTTAGTTGTCATGGTGCCAGAAGAGAAGGCCGACGACTGCAGGGTGTCTGCATCTGCGTTACCCATGACCACTGGATCGCAGTCAACGGTGAACTGCCCGAAGTTGGGGGTGATCTGGTCGAGAGTTCCTCGGTCGTAGCAGAGGTCGATCTGCAGCTGTCCGGCCGAACTTCCAGCGCAGCCCAGATAGTCATTAACGTGCCAGTTAACTGCCACACTCCTGTTAGTCGAGTTTCAAACCAGAGACAGACACGTCCGTCAACGTACCATTGCAGCTTGGAGTGGGGTTTGTGATTATCAAGCTTGAATAGTTCCCCAGAATATTCTCCTGGCAACGGCCATTTTCTGGAGGGGTGAAGACTTCGATGCCCTGAGCACATTTCGAGTCGAGATAGGTTGTGATAGTGGTGGCGGCGAGAACGGCATGGATTAGGGAAGTGGAAAGAAGCAATAGTCTTTCTAGCATGGCTTAAACCTGTGTGAAAGGTCAAGGATGAATGGATGTGAGTATAAGCACGGATTCCATGGTGACTTTATATGCTGCGCTGCTGAACACTCATCTGATGTATGCTCCCTGCTATCCAGCGAGGCGAATACTCCTAGATATGATGATATAGCGTTTCATGATTGTGCGTGTGACAAGCTGACCTAAGTGTCTAAGTGTTTCTTGTAGGCTGTGCAAGTCTGGCAAGAAAGGTATCCCCCCTACGAGGTGCGAGATAATGGAGGGGAAAATACTATTTTGTGGCTATGTTTCAGCCTTGAAGCATGCGGCTCGCACACCCTCCTCTGCCTTCTTCGCTAATCCATGAGCAGTGTCACCAATCAGGTGGTGTCCTTTCTGACAGCTGTTGGTGGAGACACCGTCCGTCAGGTACCAGCCTCGTATTGAGCGTGTGGCCGTTCACCCCTGGTTTCGTTTCGAGTTGGAAGTGGATTTTCGGTGGTCACCGACTGCCCAACGAGGTGCAGTATGCCCGCTACTGATTCATACTTTTTGCGGTGGTAGACGGGCAGTCAAATGTACGAGTACGTCATGTCTCTATGCAGGACTAGACAGATGAGAACAGCTAGCGAGGCCGTTGCCACTGCCCAACCCCAAGCAGGACTTCTCACTCGCCCGTAACAAGCTATGACCTCATATCTTTTAGCTCGTTAGGTGTATGCCTCAGTCAATCAATCATATCCTAGGTAGGATATACACAACGCTTAAAAGCCTTGTTGAAGGACACGCCAGCACGAAGTACTCGACAACATTGGAGTCAAAGTCCACGCAGTTCGCCTGTAGCTTCATATTGTCACAAGCAAACTGAACATCGAATGTACTGGACACCGAGCAGTTCGTAGCCGCACTGAGCATATGGGATCCGATCACTCATCCATGTCCATCGGCGTCGACAAACCTCCACCAACCTCTACCGAAGACCAGGTCCCAGACCAATCAACGGCACGTAGAGCTACCGCTAATTTCCCACAAGGCATCGACAGGCAAACTTCGCCACCTTCCCAGAAGCATACCCGTCATTTTCTTAGCCCACTTGCCAGCCATACTCCAAGTCCAAACATCTCATTCAACTCGACCCAACATCATGACCCATTAGAATCTTCCACAACTCAGCACCCCGTCCAGTATGACCACCGATGAAAGTCTGACCAACAACATTGACCAGCACAGAATCACGTCTGAGCTGATCAAGCAACTTCTCCTCGTCACTACCACGTGGGAAACACCGCCGCCACTCGCTCCAAATGCTGTAAGCCTCCTCACCCCAAGCCTTGAAACTCTCGCTCTCAATCATGGTGGGTGAGATGATTTCTTTACCGCGGAACACACCCCATGTGACGGCACTGACGCCATGGGCACCCGGAGTGCGCTTAGAGGTGGAGTTCGATGTGCCGTTCGTCGTCGTCTCGTGCTGCTGAGCAACCAGGTCGCTGGATTCGAATAGACCTTGGGCGTCGGTCTTCATCCAGCCTACCTTCTCCTCGCCATGCTTGATCAGTGAAGGGCGGAGGTGATTCTCCCATTCAGCCTTGGGGCAGAAGAACTCGACAAAAGCCTTCTGGAAGACAAAGCCTTCGCCGGGTGGGCCCCAGCCGAACGTCTCATCATCGCTTCTTGCTCCGTCCACGGCCGGTTGGCTGGCGAGGGTCCAGTATCCCTTCTTCTCGATCAGATCTAGGAGGTTGCTCTGGATGACTTTTGTCTCTGCTCGGAGCGCTCCTCCGCCCGTGCCGGCAGAATCTGGGTCGACGTCGTCACTCCAGGGAACTGCTTCGAGCTCACCGAGGACGACTCGACGAAAGAGGTCCGTCACGTCTTTGGACGATTTCGGTCGACCCCAGAGTTTCCGTGCAGTAACTGGCCCGACTTTCAGCGATGGCCCGTAGCCATCTATCTCGCCAAAAGCGGGTGAATGAGAAGGACCCCATCTTCCATTCGGAAAGTCATCCCAGGTAGCCTCGCGTCCAAGCGATCCCTGCCCCTCTGATATCAGGAGATTGTGCTGTCGGGTAGGCCCCGAAGCGGGAATCCCTGCCCCACGACCCGATGCCTCATGCTGTGAAGTTAATCTGGAGTCTTGAGAGGTCGGAGCAAGTGTGCCGCGTTGTTGAGGCACAGGCGTATAGTTATCGGTGATGACTCTGTTATGTGGTTGTGCATTTATCGAGCTTGCTCTCCGCTTGGAGAAACGTTGAGTAGGCTGACCGACCAGGCGCGAGCTCTCATACGCACTCAACTTATCGTCATCCACAACGGCATCGGAGTCGGAAGATTCGCCAGGGCTTGGTTCAGATATCGTCGGTATCAGACCCGTCCTCTCCAAAATAAATGCCACGGACTTCTCGAGATTCAGCGTGTAGAAATGGAACCCACGTGGAACGCCTCTAGGCTGCGGCGAGCCCTTGATATTCTCGACCAATTCGCTCAGCACATCCACACCAACCTTCTTCACCGCTTCATCGTCGGATTTTACAGCCTCAATCCGTTTCGAGATGTCATCCGGGATTTTAGCATGGCTGAGTTTCGTGATTCGCTTGATGATCTGATAACTCTGAATCGGCATCAAACCAGGTATAATAGGGATTCTCTCAAACAATTTATTCCCATCTTTCGTAACGTATTCCCGAAGCCTCTTCTCATATGCCCGATAAGCCTCGATATCATAAGTAAGTTGTGTCATGATAAAGTCCGCACCTGCCGCGACTTTCTCCTCCAGATACGGTAAATCATGCTCCACATTCTGCTTGCCAGCCTCAGGATTACTCTCATCAGCATGGCCCTCGGGATATCCCGCGACGCCTATCGAGAAGTAATCACCGTACTTCCGCCGTATGTAGCGCACCAGATCGACGGCCCATGTGAAATCCTCGTTACTGTCGGTACCGGTCCCGCCACTGCCATTCTCATCGGTATCCCTGTACTCCTCGCGGGGCGGGTCACCTCTCAGGGCCAGAATATTGCGGATCCCGACTTCTTTGGCACTCTCCAGGGCGTCGTCGATGGCCGCGCGGTTCATGTTCGTGCACGTCAGATGCAGCACCGTCGGCACGCCCAGCTGGCGCTGGCACACCTCGGCGAGCTCGAGCGATTTGCTCGCCGTCGACCCGCCCGCGCCCCATGTCACCGTCACGAATAGCGGGCGGAGAGCGGCTGTCATGCGCACAAGCCGTGCTTGGAGGTTCGAAAACCCGGACGACGTTTTTGGCGGGAAGAACTCGAGGGAGAAGTAATTGGAGGATGGGGGAAGGGCGGCGAGAAGAGTGGGAAGCCGGTCGTCGTCCATGGCTGTATTTTATGTTCTGTTATAATGTCAGGTCTTTTCGTAGACTGTCAACGGGGATTTGTGGTATTTTGTTGGGAAAATCAAATTGTCGCATTGAACAGGCACGCGATGGGTCGGTTAGACTGAACACGACCAGAGGGAGTATGTGTCGAGTGTCTGTAGAGTGCAATTCAGCAGGCACACGCGCAGACAGTTCTTCCCTGGTTTATTTGGAAAAGTCAATGCCGTCGAGTAGAAGACTAGATATGGACACTGCCTGTGAAGTCACACGCAATTTTGTCAATAACAACAAAGAACCACAACTTCACTCTTCAAGCTCAAGTTTCAAAGCTACGAGATCGTGGCTGTCTCACACGAAAAAAATGCCCCGCGCAGATGTGGGAGACTCTTTTTGGAGATGCGATTTTAATGCCATCCAACTACCGAGACCTCGATGACGCCAATCGCACAGGGGGGGGCAACTGGAGACGAAGGGGGGCCGAGGGGCATCGAGCCATTCAATCAGCCCCATAGAGTCTTAAGGTGCCCACCTATTCCAATCCCCTCTAAGCATGCGCCCTAAGCCCTGGAACAACCGAGCCTATTAGGGCAAAAATGAGCGTGTCTCTCCATCGGCTAAAAGAATACCCCATGATCAGTATCCGTACTCCGTACCTGGAGGACGCTGCTTCTCATCATATCAACAGCCCCTCTATCGAGTATCTCGTCCTTAAATCCTCCAGGCGGATCGGGGCTTCCTCGGCCTCGACTCTCCAGTGCCAGGCATGCCCTCCTCCACTCGAACCCTGCCCTGACGCCGCTTAGCCTTGTCTGGGGCACTAAAGCACCATTCCAGGTAAACTTTTCCTTATCCAGAAGTCAAAACATGCAAGAAACGCCCAAAGATGGGTTTCTTGACGCTGGACCTTCTGTGAGCTGTTGGAAACAATCAATCAACATAGTGACTCTTGCAATGTTCATGCCCTACAAGACTTTAGACTTTGTGATTATGAAGGTCTAGGTAGATAATACGCAGAATCTCAACCATTGGTTAGCGTCGAGGTCTTGAAAACTATTTGACTACCTTGTAGGTTTTTCGGATTGCTACAATCAGCAAAAATCCCATGATAATCGTGATGATACAGCCTGTTAAGATCCGAAGGAGAGAAAGTCGTCGAGTGTATCATATCAGCAAATGCTGGCCCTCCTAATCACACAATGCTTTGCCATAACCATGAAAACTTTGTCCACCTGCCCATACATATATCACTCAAGGGTATCAATGTTCCTTTTGGATAAACGCCCCTTCTCTCAAGACCAAATACTAATTCGGTTCGTCTCCATTGATGAAGTCATCAAAATTCTTCGAAACAATATCTCCGTCACCCTCATCAGCGGGCTCATTACCAGGCTCATGACTGGCTGTTCGAATCATGTCGAGAGCTTCGCTCGCGTGACTCGTTTCCTGCTCGAGGCTGGGCACGGTCTCATGGGTGCCATCCACATCATGATTTGTCATGTCCATGAACATGTTGTCGTACTCGCCCCCTCCGGCAGGTGATCTGTCGTGCGGTGTATTTGTCTCGCTGGCGCTGACATTGGTCAAACCGTTGCGAAGATCGTCATCGCCATCTAAGCCTAACCCCTCGTCAGGCCGAAACATGGGAAAGGACGCATCAAGGTTTCGCGGTTCTGCGCTCGTCTCTCCTCTGAATGCCGGCATCATCGGATCCCTCATTCCCTCCGGTGGTTGATCTCTGGTCGGGCTGAACATAGGCGAAGGGGACCGAGGAGGGAATGATCCTGGACGGTGGGCTCCAAAGGCGCCGCTGTAAGGTGTTGACCCAGAGAGATACCCACCCTCAAATCCTCCAGCAGAGGCTGGATTGCCCGTCGAACCTTGTCGCTGCATCGCCCCTGGTGTTTCAGCGTTACCAGCTGTATGACTTTGACTTGGGCTTGCCGCAGATCCTGGAGCCGATGGTGATTGAGTGGAAGGTTTGGGAAGTAACGGGCCTGTGACGAATGATTCTTGAGTCTTCCTGCGCACATAAGTTTTCGTCCTGAGATGAGGAGGGAGGTCTTCGGGTTTCTCTACTCCGAGCTCTTTCATCAATTTTTGCTGCTTAGTTGGGCGTGGCTTCCGGGTTGACAAGCTCTGATCCAAAATTGGCGGTGGTTCAGGTGCAATTGGCTGCCACGTATGAAGCGCTTGTCGGAAGATATTTGTCTCATAGGCCAGAAGTACCTCTGCACCTTCAATCTTTCGCAGATAGAAGAGCATCTCCGGCATCTCCTCGATGGTCCTACAGAGCTGATTCCCGCTTGTATATTGTTGTAGAAAGTCTCTGAAGTTCGAAGCCTTGTCCACAATCCGTTTGAGAAGCTCTTCCTCCTCAGGTTGAAAGGGCAAATCAGCGATTTCTGCTTGCCAGTCCAAGAGGTCTTCCAGTTTGGGCCGGGCAGCATCACGAGGAATCTTCACACGCCAGTCACAAATGGGGCATGTGAACATCTCTGTTTCCTTTACCTTGCCCCTCGCCAGTTTCAAGCACTTTGCATGGTACCTGGATCACAATATTAGCGGAACTCTTGTCATCTAGACTTCTCTTTCCTTACCAGTCATGACAGATCTCACATTCAATCATGAGACCTGCTTCAGGTTGTCGACAGATACAGAACACCGGCTTTTCATCGTCGCCAATTGCATTCCTCTCCTGGCCCTCATTGGGCGTTGCTTCTCTCGACGCTGGTTCCACCGGTGGTCGAAACGTGTCGTTCAGATCAAAGCAAAAATTGTTCTTCTCCTCCACAAACTTCATATGCTGCTCAAGAATGTGAAGTGGAGCGTTCGCCTTGCCAAACAACTTTTTGCCCCTACGCATCCAATCTTCATGTCTTCGGAGCTCCTTCTCTAGATCAGCGGCGCCATGTGGCTTACCATTGAGATCCTCGAAACCCTTGACCACGTCTCGAACATAGACATATTCAGGCCGCTTTCGTAGATCCGGATCATGACTTCGCTCGACTAGGGTGATGATCTGTCGTTTCGCTTCTCGGTTTCTCGCCAAGATCGCATCCATCCGTGCCAATGTATCCTTGTTGACTGGAAATTGCTGATTTTGGACCTGTGAGTGTAGCGACTCTAGTTGAGGATAGTGAACATCTTCAGCAGCCATGACTTCTTCGGCTTTGATCTCCCAGAAATCTCCCTGACGGACCACTTCTGTCAGATACACCACCTCAGGTACCTGGGGTAAGATTTCGAGATCTCCTATCCGCTTCAGAAGATCTCGACACTCGTTCAAAGTTCGAAGATTCACATCTGTTTTCACAAGCCGAGCTTCCTCAAGCCATTGGGTGCGAGCGTGAACCTTTTCGAGGCTTGCGAGCTCAGGTACGCCTGCCATGAATCCTCGACCTTCCTCCAGGAGTGTGTCCAGCTCTTCGGTATTGGCTTGCATCATTCCTGAAAGTATTCGCTTGACATTGGCTCGCCAATCGTCTATGACCTGGACCTTCTCCTGAAGACTTTCGAGCTGCGGCGCACTGAAGCTGAGTTGCTCCCCATCCTCGATCAATTCCTTCATGCGTTCTAGTGTCAATTGGGGTTCGTCTTTTTCATCAGCTTTGCCGTTTCGAATGGACGATCTTCGAAGCGTCTTGTCTGTCTTGCGTCGATTTTGTTGTTTGCGAGTTAGATAAAGGTTTGCTTCCTCGACCCATTGATCACATCTTTTCACAAAATCTGCCAAGTCGTCCAGTCCATTGAGATGAAATGGGATCTTCTCTCCCTCAGTCAACAATGTATGCATTGACTTCAGTGGTGGCGCCGCATCGTCTGTGAGAAGCGCTTCAAGTTTTGCTTCCCATGCTTCGGGTACATTCGCCTTGTCCACAACCTTCTGTACTACACTATTCAAATCGTGATTTGTGTAACGCAGCAACAGACTGTGGTTAGGTCCCAATAGTCTTTCTTGTGGAGTTTCGGCACAGCAATCAGCCACGTCAGGATGTAAGAGACAGGTGATTTTACGACTGTGATGGCAACGGAATTGAGAAAGATATGAGAGGGCTTTGCAATGGCAGCACTGATATTCCTCCTCTTCCAATTCAACGTTCTCGACTTTTATCGTCAAACCACAAGCATAGGGAGGTTCCGAAGCAAGAGTGTCAAACGTGCAGTCATCGTGAGGGCGCAATGATTTGTGCAGCGCAATGAACTTCTCTCGCTCGACCAATTCTCGATCTCTTGTGCGCTCCAGGGCTGGTCCCAGCCACCTAGCAGTCTTGATGGTTGTATCTGATGCAGCTGCTGTGAACAAGAGTTCGTCATGCGAAAAGCATGGCTGACGGCGGAATTCCTGTAGTCTCTGTATGCCAGCTTCTCCAAAAGGTTCCCAATCGGCGGGAGCGAAGTTGACCGCTTCATTGAAATTGAAGCCATGGTTGAATCCCGCATGATACGCTTGAGGGAAAGTGATGACAAATTGGCCGGCTCTCTGGTCAAGAGCATAGACTTCGACCCCTGCCTTCCTCAGTTGATTGGGAGGGAGGATCGTGACGAGTTGGAAGAGTAGATCAGGTTGTGTCTCGAATAGCTCGGGAACCGCCTTTCGCATAGCTGATTCGAAGGCATGCGCGTCCTTACCAGGTATGCCGTACCAAGTTTTCGTAGCACCAAAGTGCTGGTAGTTGGCTGAATACGCATAGTGGTCTTCGTTATGCCAGCAGAATGTAGAGAAACACATTCCCACGTAGAGCCAGGGGACAGTCATTCCAGATATGTCACCCTTGATATGTCTGAAGAGAGACTCTTCCAGAAAAGGCATGACATTGAGATTCCACGGATCTTTTGAGTAAGGGTTCAATGGCGCCTTCTCGACACTTGGAAACCCACTTCCATGCGTTGTGGAATGAATGTCGGCGCCGTATTCCACCTCAACAGATTCCGTAATATCTTCAACGAGACGCCAAAATTCTCGCTCAACATCGTCTTCGGTCAGCCTCCGTTGAGTGTTCGTCACTGGATCAAAGGGCTGCCGAGTGCTGAAGTAGTTGTCTCTGAAAGCGTTCGCCTTGTCCTGGAATTGCTTCAACGAGTAGACACTACCTTCCTCGAAGCCGTAATCGTTAGTGCCAACCAAGCACTTGGAACAATGCCAGTCAAACTCGGGTAACTGGGTCAGGCGTGGTTCGACACAATGCATGTGATAACCTAGGTCGCAGCTATCACAGAGTAGAATGGTCTCTCTGTTATCAGATTTGCCGCACTTCTCACATCTCTCACCGTGTCTCCTGACTTGAGATTTCGCCCGTACTTGTGGTGTTGATGAGCGCATCGCTGGAATATGATTTCCTGGAATCACAGGGGGGGCGTCTGTGTCACTTGGTCAATATCAAAAATTCGGTCTTTTAGGGCAGACCTTGCTCACCTTTCTTCGGGCGTTTGCTCCTTCTTCCATTCACACCGTCCAGCTCGGTGTCCAAACCCTCAGAGCTAGACTCACCATTGAGACTATCATGGCTCATGGTCCTTTTCAAGGGGTTGGAACCATTCGTCATTGCGTTATTGGGATGAACGGTCGTTATGACTGGACCATTGATGGAGACGAAAGGACTTGCTGAATTTTGCGTCATAGGTTGAACACCATTTGCTTCGGTCTTGACGATTGGAGGAGGGAGGTGATTAACTGCTGTAAACCCCCCTGGGTTGTTGACTGCCGCAAAGCCACTGTTGACAGCGGTAAACCCAGAAGAAGATATAGGCCGAGGTTGCGGGCTGGGCGCCGGTAATTGATGGGCAATTGGAGGAGGCTGTTGAGGTTGTAGCGGTTGCTGGGACGGTGGGAGAGAATGTTGAAGTGAAGGACTTTGAGGCGCTGCGGGCTGCATGGCAGGGGAGCCAGTGGCCATGACTGGAGGCGCGGAATGCGGAGCTCCTGGATGGCTCATGGGAGATTGGTGAGGTTGTACATGTGGTGAGTAAGGACCACCGAGATCGCTCTCGGGTAGTTGGGGACCGCCGAGTTTGACCCGTCTGAGATATTCTTCATAGGGATGCAACCACCGCTGGTATGAGTTCTTCAAAGACGTGGACAGCGAAGACATAATCTTCCCACTGTAGCCCAGATCTCTCCCAATCTCGGCCCATTTCTTATCCTTGCAAACCCTTTCGAACCCACCACGGACTTCGACGGCCTTCTTGAGCTTGTACAGATCAAGCGGTCGTTTGTCGACACTTGGGAACCGATTAAGATGAGCACCCTGTTGTTTGTGAAATTTGGCGAGCTGATCCAGATAGTTGAGATTAGTCCGATTTCCTAAAATATCTGTATTAGCCACGGGCATTGTGGTTTGATCAGCGTAGTTAACTTACCCCCCTCGACTAAATTGATTTCCTGCCGCCGTGTTCGAAAATGGAATCGCTGAAGACTCGTTAGTATCCGGACTATACATGGTCTGGCAGGCTAGCCAGACTTACCTCGGTGTCAATAGCGAAATCTGGGTTCCAATTCTCGGGCGGGATAATTTTGCAAATTCCATACTTGCTAGCCTGGTCGTATATGCTTCGAATATACTCCATGGGGTCGCGAAACTCGGCTTCGGTTGGTCGATAGGTAGGTGCTTCGGGTAGATTGTAAAGACGGCTCCTCGAGGGAGGATCACGACTTGAGGGGTTGCCCTTGCGCTCAACCGTACGTAGATCAAGAGGAGGTGCATGACGCGCACTGTAAGGAAATGATGGAGTGACCATATTAGGGCCAACACCGTTCACTCGAGGGGCGGTAGCATTGTTGACCGATGCAGCTGTAGGTGCGACACCACCCGTTGCGGGTGGAGCGACCATGGCTGCGGAAGTCGCTATGGATGTATGTTATTTCAATCGTGTCTGTTGGATGACCTCTATCTATGCTATCGATTCGAACCCGACTGTTTCGAGAAAATGAGGAGGGGATATTCCGTATAGTGATAAGACTTGTTTGTCGTGGATAAAAGGTATGCGTTGTCAGAAGCAAGTGAACGAAGGGCAGGTTGGTGGAGATGCGGGTAGCCTCGTATGTCGCACGCTGAGCTTTATGGAAGCGGGCGTAATGGAAGCGAAGTGCTAGAGAAGCACTCCCAAAGCAGTGTCTCACATGCGGGGGTGAGAGAAGGTGGAATTGGTTGATGAAGGGTAGAGTTTGAATGTGAGAAAAGAAGAAAGAAGTACGGGTCCTAAGTACCAAAGCGTAAGGGCAAGTCAGGAAAGAGCGAAGATCCTGAGGGCGACTTAACGGAACAGATACAGAGAGGATTGGCGGATGGGGTCTAGAGACAAAGCCATACTAGTAGTACTCTGTACTCCAGAGTAGCGCAGGGCAGCGAGAAAGTACGACTGAAAGTAGAGCAGAGCAGAGGGGACAGAATGACCAGATAGTGCCAAGAATGTACTATATCCAAAATGGTCAGGCTTCAAAATAGGTACCTAGGGAGATAGCCCCTCTGGATCACGTGTGTACCCGAAGATACAGTGGGAGCCTGCAGGTGGCGTGTCGACCATCACCTTACACGTCCAATACGGTCAAAATGAGATCTCAATTCGTGTCCGGTTTCAATTACCTAGCCCTCTTGATGTTATGGTCATTTGTGGTCAATCCGAGAACCCCTAGTACTGATTATCCATAGGTACATTACTCGGACTCGTAAACACCAAAATATGAGCGTGTTTTGAGGAACCTCTTTGGTGCTTCCAATCACCACTCACTCCTGGGCCGCGAGACTTCCCATCAAGGGCTAGTACCCAACTAACTATTGATATTGGAAACTTGCCGCCACATGTTTCGCGATTTCCCAACATTCCAAGACTGAGACTGCAAGATCTGCTTTCTTACGACGCGTTGCCAAAGGTGGTCGATGAGAAGTTGGCTAGTATGGACATCAAGCCCATTCCGGCCTTTTACTGCTGCTATCTCCTGCGCTCTACCATTCGCCATTCGAGTGTTTACGTGGGATCCAGCCCCGATCCTGCTCGTCGACTGGCCCAACACAATGGTCGTGTTCAAGGTGGTGCTGTGCGAACGTCGCGAGCCTCCTTACGTCCATGGGAAATGACTTGCATTGTGGCTGGCTTTCCCTCCAACATTGCTGCTCTTCAGTTTGAATGGGCGTGGCATAATGCGCACTTGACGCGACATATCACGCCCACAGAACGCATCTCATTTGCAACCACCCGCACTAAAACCTCAAAATCGGGCAAAGCAACGCGCCGCCCGGGAAGGCCACGCACTTCCTTGATGGATAAACTTTCCAATCTTCACATTCTGCTCCGCACCCCATACTTCTCTAAGTGGCCCCTCGAACTTCGGTTTTTCAATGAAGAGGTCTATCGTTCGTGGGTCACCTGGTGTGGAAGGGTAGATGCTTATCTTCGTCCTGGTATCTCAGTCATTCTTGATCCAGCACAAACAAAACCCTTGTTGACGGAAGAATTCACTTCAGCACAGCCATTATCAAGAAGCAAAAAAGCAGACTTGATAGGGAAAGGTGGTGCTGAGGGTGTTGATCCGACGTATGCCCGCCTGTATGACATTTTCCAAAAAAGCCAGTTCCTGCTGGACGAGGACGATAGTCACAATTGTTCGGTGTGTTCCGAGAACTTGGACATACATCGCAGTTTATTCATCCTTTGTCCTTCAGATAAATGTTACGACACCTCTCATGTCGCATGCGTTGCGCAGAAATCTCGTGTCGAAGATGAGCCCAGTGGGATTGTTCCTGAATTTGGAGTCTGTCCCTCCTGTAACGAGAGCCATCCATGGCCTGAACTCATGCGACAGGTGACCCTAAGGACGCGAGGCGAGAAAGAAGTCCAAAAGCTCCTGTCCAAGAAGGCTAAGAGCCGTGCTGCCACTGCTGCTGCAATATTGGAAGCCGAGAGTGAAGAGGAAGTCATGAACCAGGATGATTTGACTGCTCAAGATATTGCTGATGAGGAGGGTGGTCTGAGTGACTATGTCAACTACGACGACGATGACGATGCCTCCGTAGCCTCCATGGATTCAACCTTCAGCAAGAACTCTAAACAGGTCTTGGAGCTTTCTCCCACCAAAAAGCCCTCCAAGCTGGAAATTGTGATAGAAGATAGCGAGGATGGAGGATGAATGAAGCAATCTCCAATCTAAGTCGTAGTCGAACTCAGTAGTGGACCAAGTTTTCCCAAACTCTCAGTTAGCGGACCATCGCTGGACACCTTCGCAATCGCCGCGAAGATATCCTGACTGACCACATCGATGGCCCGACCAGCATCAACCAGCCAGACATCGAGATCGTCAATCCTGGCGAACAGCTCCTTAAACAGCGTCCGAACACGAGCTTGCATCTTCTCCGTCTCGTACCTCTCGTCGCCGTAGTTGCCCCGCTTCGCAGCCTCCTCAGGCGAGATATCCAAGAACAGCAGGAGATCGGGCTTCAGCAATCCAATTTCAGGGTACCACGCCCAGTCCAGAGATAACTCGGGGTTGCCCTTGGCGGCAGAGTAGACAGCGCCAGAGAACGAATATCGGTCGATAATTACGTTGATACCGTTGCTGATGTCTCGCCCGATGCCCTTTATGGCCTCCCAGCGATTTGCTGAGAACAGGAGGTGGATCGAGTGATCGTCTTGTTCCACAGAGCCGGTCAGGTAGCTATTGATCATCTTGCCGGTCGGCGTGGTGCGGTCTGGCCAGGAGCAGTTAGAGAAGATCTTTAGTCATTGAAGTAGATTCCTAGGTAATCCAGGTACCACGAGACTGGGTTGACAGACCTGGAAACTTAACATATCGAGCTTGTCCTCCATTCCCGACAAGGTGGTCATGTAGTTTTTGACACTGGCTGGATTTCCCGGACCGGTCAAGTCCCTCAATTACTATCAAGATACCCCGCGATTGGCTTTCCTGTGTATCATGCATCTTGTCGATCAGTATTATGACTTTTAAGTTATTGAGCTGGAAAAGCATATGATGGAAGGAAGGCAGGGATTGTGGGCATCGAACGCGCTCTGATGTTTGGTGATCTTGATGACTCAGCCACATCTACCTCAGCCTCCGGGTGCCTGCCAGTGTTCAGATTGGCCAGCGGGTGACTTGGTTCAAGATCAAGTTACGGACCAAGTCTACTTTTTGCTGTGTCACGAAAACCGGATTGGGACGTTCTCAATTTGAATCAGGAAATGTGAAAGTGAATTGTTTACCTGACTATCTAGGTGTTGGGTACGTAGTAACCACTCAGATAGGCACACAACGATGCTCAATGAGATTCAACGTGTTCCTCCTAAGATATCCTCATTCGCTTAGGAATAGCGGCTTCTCATGCAAGACCTCAATAGGCACTCTTCCACGCATTGCTGTGGCATCCATCTGCGACACCCGCTTCCCACCACGGGAAAGTCTTTCGGACAAACGTCATATATCCTAGGCCAGCCCCAGGGGATTCTCCTCAAAGTACTCTTCCAACGTGGCAAGCTTTCCTCGCGAATTCTGAAGCGCCCAAGCAACTAATTCCTCCGACTTAGGACCCCAATAACCAAGCTCTTCCAGAGCGGTGAATGCCTCGGTGAAAAGCTCGCCCATAAAAGGAAGGCTGTTCTTAAATTCTTCCGCTGAGATTCGTTTGTTGATGACAGTCTTTCCACTGGTTTTGGACATGATAGCAGCCTGCTCTTCCAAAGTGTAAAAAGCCTGCGCAGCACAGAATGTCTTGCCTTCATACTTTTCTGGCTCTGCAAGGATAGCGCCAACAAAATTGCCTGTGTTCTTGACAGCATCCATGAACGGAAATTTGGTCTTGGGGGAGATGTGACGGACCAGAGCCCAGGTTCCATCAGATTCTAGTTGTGGTTTCAGAAATGGTTGGGATTGAAAATTGTCCATGAAGAAACCGGGCGCATAGAAAGCACTCTTGATGGGCAGAGTTCGAATGTACTCCTCAATGTTTGCTTTTGCATCAAAGGGTTTGACTGCAGTGTATTTACCACCCGAGAGTTTGTTGAGGGACGGCAGAGTGCTGAAGATGATATACTCAGCCCCTTTTTCAAGGGCAACGTCAGCGATTGTCTTGCCCGCTTTGTATTCGATTTCCAAGGCGTCTGGACCAAAAGCAGGTGTGGTCATAGAGAACACGGTATGTGCGCCAGTTAAAGCCTTCTCAAGGGATGTTCGATCAAGCGCGTCGCCTCTAACAACTTCAACCTTGCCCTCGAGTTGCTTGGACTTCTCTGAAGTGACATCACGCGTGACAGCACGAATCTTGTATTTCGCAGAAAGCTCTGGGTCGTTGAGTACATAATCGATGAGTGAAGCACCTTGTCGACCAGTGGCGCCGAAAACTGCAAGTATTTTGGACATCTTATGACTGTAAACGCAAGAAAGTTTCTTGCAAGGTTCAAGATATATAGCTGGCGATTCTCAATGAGAGGCTTCGTGAATAATGGCCTTTTGGATGCCGCGATTGAGATGGGCAATCATGATGATTTTATATCCAGACAGCATCAGTCTTGGGAAACTGTGCTCAGCTCGAATATCTCCTACCACGAACGACCGCCGTTGTGGTCCGGAGCCAAGATGGCTAAGTGGATCTTCAAACTGCACACGACATCAACTGTGCCTACCTGCTCAAAGAATTTGCGGACTATGCTCCTGCATAGTCAAAACAAGAGGATGGTAGTACTGTTTGATACTGTTCCATCGTCGAGGGATATCACGTGTTTCGGTGCATGCACCGGACGACAGCGGACGTGACCCGGAGCTGCTGCTTGACCAAGTTATACGAAAAGCGGGCTGGGGCTGCTTGGATCTCGCCATGGCAATTTACCAGTAGTAGACCGTCGTAGTGCCATTTCAAGCATTCTGCGTGCCGGGAACACTAATGTTTGGTTCGAGCGAAGGATCTTATTGTGAATCTGTGATAGGTCGTCGAAGAACTCGCATGCAATCCCCACCTTCTTCTACAAGACCATTTGTGAAGGAGAAATCGCGGGTTAGATAGTGGCGAGTGGCATTTCGCACGAGGATAGGACTGAGTTCCTCTCATTCAGATCATGCTCAAATTTTTGTAGATGGAGGAAGTAGAAGGTCAACGCGCTTTTCATCGGAGATGAATCGCAGACCACGTGATCCACCTAGCAGCACGTAACATCAAAAACTCTCAGCCTCAAAATATTTGACGCAAGTCGCAGCCTCGTTGTTCAACCCAACATCTTCAGTATGGCAATATGGCTATGCCGACGGTAAATGGTGGCTCGCCAGCCCACCTACCAGCCGAAATGTTCAGATTCGTCTTTCAACATGCTACTCCATCTGAAAGTGGTGCCCGGCTTGGGCAGATGGCTTTGCAACAAAAGCATCACATCAAAACACCTCATTACTTAGTCTCAACATCACGAGGAGCGGTGCCTCACCTATCTCCGGATAACCTGATCAGACATACGCGAATTTCCGCGGTATATCTCGCTTTGGAAGACTGTAAGGCCCCAACCTTCGTGTTAGCCCAGCGCTACCATGCTGACATCTGGCTTACAGTTGATGGATAGTCATTGAGAAGTCATCAACGAAATCACCCATCTACAGCACCCCAATCAAACCTGGCGAGTCTCGTTTACGGCAGTATGCCGGCCTCCCCGACCAAATCTTCTCCATTCTAGGACCTCGTAGGGTTCCCAGTATTCCAACGCCTGCCCATAATACAAACTCGTCGATTGCGATCTCGACATCTGTAGGATTTCGTTTCCTCGAAGCCAAGCACTACGATGAGGCCCTGGAGGCTCTCCGGGCGGACCTTTCGATGAGTCTCGCCGATGTGATCTCGAACGATGTTGCAAGTGTGAAGCGAATCGAAAAGAGCGTGGATCGGACGCACGCATGGCTTCGGGATACAGTTGAAACCGAGGGAGCGCAGAGAACATCACCATTATTCGCATCGATCCCTCCCCTAGAACCAGAAAGGCTGCAATTCTATTTATCAGATATAGAGGATGACTTCCGATCACAGATCTCAGGATTAGCAGTGTATGCCCCAGCCACAACTGTGGGATTTTCACAATCACTCCGACAACTACCAGTCATCTGTCTGAGCGATCCATCCACACCACGAGCTGTGCTCTCAGCCATCCACACAGGCATTGACATGATCACCGTGCCATTTGTGACACGAGCGTCCGAGCACGGCATTGCCCTGTCTTTCTCATTTCCCGGCCCTCCAGATTCCTCGAACCAGCCACTGGGCATCGACTTCTGGTCCTCGGGCCACGAGACAGATCTGTCTCCCCTGAGCCCTGGATGTAAATGCTACGCGTGCCAGCGCCATCATCGCGCATACCTACACCATCTCCTCCAAGCGAACGAGATGGTTGCGTGGACACTTCTTCAGATTCACAACTTCGCCATCATTGATTTGTTTTTCGATGGTATCCGACAGAGTATTGAGCGCGGAACGTTCGAAGAGGACATCAAAACTTTTGAACGCGCTTATGAATCTGAATTACCGGATCAGACTGGTCAAGGACCCAGAATCCGGGGTTACCAGGCTAAAAGTATCGGTGGAGGGGAGCCTAGACGTAATCCAAGAGCATATGGAAAACTGGATGATCAGGTCCAAAAATTGGCCGAGGCCGAGTCTGGAGTTGCAACTCCCGAGGGCGATGCGATGGAGATTGAGGAGCACGGTCTGGCAAAGAGAGTTGATGAGAAATGACTTGACTTGAAGATCAATTAGCTCGAAGGTCTATGAAATAACATAAGTCTTGATCTATTAGCACACATTTCTAAATTTCTCAGCCTCGTCTTGATCGAGAGGCATCGTACATCACGTTAAACTCTCGTGGAATACTCCTTTGAACCCCCATGCTCCACGCTCAATCACGTCATAAACTCTTAACAACGTCCCTCAGCAACGGCGCAACCTGCTTGCGACTCTTACTAGTATCGCCCATCCACCAGACCGCAACATTCACAAATCTCTCCCGTAGCAGTTTCAACAAGTCTCCATCTTCCTCCCAGCCCTGCAACCGCAACTCGACACCGCCCTTCTCAAACGCCTCCACCACACCCTTCACACCCTCATCCATCACAATCACCGCGGCCTCCTTCTTCCCCGTACCCGTGCGCGTTAGCATCGCAAACACGCCCAGCTCTCTCGCAGGATCTAGCGCAAATTTCTCGATCTCGTCGACGAATTGCTGTCTTCCACCAGCATGTTCGATCAGCCAGGAGAGCGGCTTTACCAGTGATGTCGTTCCAATATTGACCTTTTGGCTGTTAGACGAGCCTGTCGTCACCTCCACCCACGCTTTATAGTCGCGATCGAAGGTCTCTTGCATCGTGAGCAGGGAGAGAGAATTGGATTTCGCCGTCGAGATGGCGTCGTACTCGGATGTACGGTCCCATCGTGATTGCGATTGTAGTTGTGATTGCTGGTGCTGCTGTTGGCGAGAAGATGACGATGAGGTTGCGACGTCCTGGGCGCTACCGGTGTGATTCGAGATGACAGTCTCCAAGAACCGAACCGCTTCACGATCTGTATCTGAGCATTTATCGCCTCTCGCACGCAGGTTCGACGTGTCGATGAGAATAGGAGCGAGCGCAAGCTTCGCAATCTGCAATAAGCCCTCGTCCGCATTACCTTGTTCCCCGTTGTCCCTTGCACTCCCAACGTCTGACTTCTCTGACCCTCCTTCTGGCCATAACCCCTGCTGTCTGAGGTGCTCCACCACGAGACTTGTACAGCTGCCAATCCCAGTAGTGACGACTCTAGGTTCTACGTCTTTAGGCACATAAGCCTCATCGATGTGGTGGTCAACACAGCCAACGACATTGAAGCGTGCTTTTATTGTCTCGTCATCTAGGCCCGGGATCGAAGGTGAGTTGTGATCGACCAGTAAGAGCGCCTGTTTTGACTGCCCGTCAGTTGTAGCCGCAGAGGAAAACACGGACTCTGCCGCCTGGCCAGGACCCGCTGCTTTTGAAGAGAATAACGCATGCAGAGTGCTTGACTCATCGTCTTTCACGTCCCCGATCGTGATCACCTGCTCAAGCTCTTCAGGACCCTCTTTCCCGCCATTTGCTTTTCCATTCAATCCGTCGCCCTCGCTCGACTGCTCTTGACCCACAGGCTTCCCTAACGCGATTTTCAACGCAACCGCAAATTCCGGCCGTTGTCGCCATAGATCTCCAGATCTGACCGCTGGCAGATTCAATATCGGCACGTATAGCGTCGGCGCTATAGGTGCCGAGGACTCTGAGTGTTTGGTGGTCCCCGCCGCTGTTCGACTCTGCCTGTGGTTGTAGAAGTACGAGAGCACGACCGCAGAGATAAAGCTATCGAGGTCAGCGGATGGATTTCCCATCACCAGCGTGACATTCTTGTTGTTGATTTGTGACGATCGCAGCGGCGTAGCGATCGAAGACTGGAGCCCATAGATGCTATCTGGAAAGACTGTGGTGCGTAGGCGGGATAGATATGTCGATAGTGGTGGCATGGTAGTTTCATCCGCCATCTGGATTAATGAATACGTGGTTTGGAAAGCCTGTGATGGCTACCACGATACAGTTTCGTTTGTTGTTCGACTAGCAATTTACCGCTGGTTGAAATGGAGCCACAATCAAGGTTCAGGTTACTGAACTACCCTCACTGGTAGATGTTCGCAATAGATAATCTTGATCGTCTTTATCCGGTGAGTCTGTTTTTCGGGATGCTGCTTTATCTAGTGCCTATGTCATCATACCGAACTAGATCGAACGCTGCTTTGGCAGAACAGTGGTCGACTAGGGGCGACTAACAGTCTGAGTTGAATTCTGGTGCCTAGAGATCTCAGCTGCGAGGCTTAAAATTGTTTCTGCTCTTGTCCAATATTTCACGTCTGTGGTGGTGAAGCATGCCGGGTTGACGTCATATGGCGAATATAAATTGACGATACGAACTTTGAAATCATCTAGGTACTCAACGTGTTAGGTATGCAACGGAATCAAATTGATAGCGGGTATGCAAAGTCATCATTCAATCATCACAGCTGAAAACGTAGTCATACAATCCTTGGGTAAACATCACGTTTCCCATCTAGTTCCAGCCAAAGCAACCTTGGAACCCAATCCGAAATCCCCTTGAGAATATGCATCGTTCAATCCAGAGCAAAATATCAGGATACCCAAGATTCTCGAATATTCAAAGCAGACCGGCCAATTCCCTCCATCCATTAAAACTCATGTCATCGGATACGATAATCGTCGCCATCTTTCTGAAACATCATGCTGCAAGACAATAAGCCTTTTGCACCCAATGGTTTGCTAAGAACGCGAAACCGTCCTCCTATCTCGTCCTCAGACGCATTCCCATTCTGCCCAAACACACCACCTTGCACTGCGATCGGCAAGTACCAAGCCTCGCCAGACACCCCGTTCTTGTATCTTCAGGTTGGCTTCCCAGACACTGCCCAGTACCTCACCGTCAACCTCTCTTGTAGCGATGGCCTGGTGCAAACCTTCCACTTTGCGATTCAAGCGAATGATCTTCCCACTAGGACTTTGTATTGCCAATTTAGCCGGTTTCTCCTTGACTCTGACACCAGCTCCTGCAATTGCGCTGTTTCCTTGTTCGCTGGGATTGCTACCGGCGGCGCTACTCGTCATACTCATGGCACTTGCGGGTCTAACCATGGGATTTGGGCTCACTGGACGTAAGTCGAACCCACTCTGTTCGTTGGCTGGAGTTGACACCACCGAACCACTGTGCTGTCTCACGCAGAAGACGTATGTTTCGCCAACGCCAAGCCTCCAACACTGCGGTTGCACAACATAGAGGTCTTGTCTTGTAGCATGTGGTGTTGGATGTCTCATAACAAAGTCATAGGTTGGATTGTCACCAGAGTTGTACAGAGGTATCGAGAATGCCAAGGGATGAACGATATCTCTTGAACTTAACATCAGGCCTTTCTTGCCAGCATAGATTTTGAGAGCTCCAATACCTTCGTCACCAGGAAGGATTGCTTTGATGACATAGCGCTTTTGCATGATCTCGGTGTTCGGTACTGTCCTGTACCAACTGGGTTGGGCCAGAGCTCTCTTCTTTGTCACTCCATCAGTGTCCTCGTAGACATCGCCATCTTGGTCGCGGAGATACTTCCTCGCCTCAACTTCTGCAACTAGCTCCACATCTGCAGGTACATTAACAGTGATGGTACACATCTCAAGACCGTCCATCCGTATGACACTAGTATCATATGCATGCATCGCGAGGCCTTGCCTGAAGAAGGGAGGACAAGCTCCGGGTAGACCGAGTAGAACATCTGGACTGATACTAGGAACCATGTGCTGCTGCGCCTCATCCAGAGGCACATGTGTCCAACAGAGCTCATTGGGCAGGGTGAGGAAATACCAGGCTTCGGCAATACTGGTGCTGACGCTAGAATATAGTAAACGCCGAGGATTCGTCGGGCTAGCAAGACTCGCGTCCAGCATTCTCCACTCTCCATCAACGAGGATTGCATTCCAAAAATGATTAGGTCGTGATAAAGCATCCAGGTCAAGATCTTCCCCGGGAGATTTGAGATAGCCCTGAACCATTTCAGCGTGTACTCCAATCGCCGTGCACATCTCCACGACTAATGCTGATATCTCTTCACTGGTGGCTCTTTTTGTTTGGATGATCTTTCTGGTGTCGATCGATCGAGCATAACTGTATCTGTCGACCTCGTGATCTTCTTCCCAGTTGATTCTTTCAGCACACCAGATGAATATAGCGCGAAGTCTTTGGACAGGGCTTCGGTATGGGCGACAAACGTAACCACTTGCCAGAGTTGCTGCTGTTATGCTGCTCGGAAGGCTAGTAATGAAACGTGTCGCTTTGTCCACCTGACTGAAGCTGGGGTTGCTGAGTTGGAATGGGTGATGGACGGGAAGGCCATCAGCATCCTCGTCTCCTTGGAGAGTACTGTAGAGTTCTTCGACTGAGCAGATCACTGGTTGATCTAACATGTTGCAACGATCTGCTCTTTCCTGCCGTTCGGATGGACCCGGTGTGTTTGAGCGATTGACATCTCGTCTAGTGAGAATATATCCGCTGGCTGCACCGCTAGCAAGGCCCATCTCTCGAGCAGCATCCCTTCCGAAAGCATCGGACTGTTTGGAGTTTCCCGGAAATTGGGCGTTAAATACTGTGCCTCCAGCGATCCCAGTCATTTTCGTAGGGGAGCCAGAGTTGCTTGATGCCTGATTCACTGATATCGTGCTCCGAGCACTAGCTGCCCCTGTTTTCGCACTGTCCATCAACTTTTTGAAAAAACCTGGTTTCTTAGCCTTTGGAGTGGTAAAGCCACCTAGTCCACCAATTGATTCCGATCTCGCATCGTCCCATCCGACTGCAGATCTAGCGCCAGATCTTGAGTCAGCATGGCGTGAGTGGAAAGATACAGTAGAGGTTGGCGTTTTGGGTCGAATATCAGATTGCTCCCATTGCTCATTTCTGGTTCCTGCACTTGTCATTGGTCTCGCTATACGACCTCGGATACTGCCCATCCTCTTCCTTGCAAGGCTACCAGCGCTGGTGGCACTGAGACCGCTGGCAGAAAAGCCGCTCATCAAGCTTTGACTTGTCATGCTCGACTGATGCGAAGTGTTGGTCGCCACACTTTGCGCACCACTACTTGAATTGGTGGAATTGGTCTTGGTTGTGAATGTTCGGCCTAGACCATCCCCACCCAACTCGAATGCCGATTTTCTCTTTCGCATTGAAGGCCGACGCGAAGCTGCTGAAGAGGCTGGCCGCGACGCCCAAGGCGAATTCTTGGGTGGCGGTTCTGGTGGATCACTTCCTACGGCCTGTGGATCACTACCTTCACGAGCTTGCTGCATGCGACGGAGCCGGCTTTCCATCCGCTGAACATAAGTTTCTAGTTGGGTTGAACCGTCTTGAAAGCGGTCAGGACTGTTGTGACGGCTGCTATAACTTACTCGCCCTTCCGAGTACTTGCTGCCACCATTTCCAAAGTCCAAAGATGTCATCGGGCGAGTATTCTGAATGCCGTTAGGTCGACGGAAATTATCGAATGCTTCAGGAGACCAGGGATTGAACTCTTGCTCTTGCTCTCGTTCGTGCATTGAATCTTGCCGCACAAGGGTCATATCATCAAGGGAAGACATCACGTCGTCCATTGCGTTGCGTATCATGGGTGGAGTGTGTCCGTTCATGGATGGAGGGGCCGGGGACGGCGTCCGAGCGATTCTCTCATAGCGGTCATTCATCTCAACTGGTAGAGGTGATGGAGCCCTTGAGATTAAGCCATTCTGCCCTCCAAGCACCCGATGAGGCGGTGGAGGCGGGGGAGGAGATGATCCAATTTCGTGGTGAGGTAACGGAGATGGTGAGCGTGAGGGTCCTCTTGAAACTGGCCGTTGCTGCCACAAAACTGTAGATGGGGGGTTGTGTGTATCGTACTCAGGCTGTGTTGATACTCTTGTTTGTGTAGGAGCGGACTGTACAGCAGCAGCACTCCCACTGGGGCCTTTTGCAGTTTTGTATCCTTGGAACGGCCGCCTTGATTTGGCCCGCTCTTTCTTCTCTTGAATGTGCGCAAGCGAATTCTTGCTATTACTGCTGCTCTTTTGCAATTCAGGCATTGGGCTCACGGATCGACTCGTGGGGTTGAAGGTGTCTTCAAGTACGACAACGAAATTTGATGGGAAAAGGCCCATCATTCTCTTATCTCTGCGTAGCCTCCCCATCCACCAGGAACCGTCCCCAGCGTTCAAACATTCAATCAAATCACCCTCAATAAAACCCAAGTCTTTGTCAGTCTCACCGCCCCAAGAGTAGACCGCGCGACACCAGCAGGGGAATCTGGGTGGCAGCAATCCAGCCATGACGATAAGATATGGATGTATTTGATCGCTTTAACAAGAGTGTCGTTTGGGTATATGTCGCAGTTTGCGGCATCTAGGTTCTTGAGTGGAAGAGGATTCTGGCGCTCAAGGCGAGCGCTAGCCTGATTGAACGCAAGAGCCGTTAGGCGCAGATGATTTGAGGTGTTGAATACATAGGCAACGGGTGGAGGAACGAAATGATTGAGGTGGTATAGCTTGCAGAACAGAACAGCGAGCACAGCAGTATGCACGAGTGCAATGGTACTCCAGGCTGGCTGCGTTGAGGCCATGTTCTCTGCCAAGACATATTGGTAAATAAAGATCCAGATTAGGCCTAGTGTAATTATTATGGCTGCTTTAGTTTTTCTTGGAGGAAACGGGCTAGCGCTTTATCGCACAAAGCGGCGGCATGAGACACTCAGCCTTATTTGCTGAATTAGTGTTTGAAATCCATATCTGGAGAGTATGATAGTGCAATGTCGTTATGTTGATTAATCAATATTCCTCAGCAGTACGAATACGCATGTACTCACAATCGCTCATATTAAAACTGTTTTTCACCCATATCGATTTGACTTTCTTTCGATTTTGTTACCTGTACTCAGTCCCCTCCATATTGGAATTTTTGTCTCCCACCACATTTGTTGCTTCAATGTCGAATAATTTTCGTCCATGGACAGTCGGCAGACTCGACGACTTGACTATTGTGAGAGAACACGCGAAACGGGAAGCCCGAGCTCTGGCCTGCGTATCAAATTCTTCTTGTGAATGCCTGGACCTCGGCCATTGAGTATTCCTGCATAGACACTCTCAACTCCACGAGAGTAATATGCAAGCCAGGCCCCTACCTATCACACCTCTGGAGTCATTTTTGAGCCTCGGATGTCGTCGATTGTTTACTATGCACCAAAAGACTCTCCTGGAAAGTTAAGACTTTAGGTTTCTGCAACACGAAATTCTCGTATTCGAATACCCATGCTCAAATGCATCACATCATGGCTTCAGACAAGACTCTTCTAGCCGATTCTTTGCCGTCACTGATTTACCTAGGTAAGTTTGTTGCTGCTCATTATGTCCTCGTTGAGCTGAATTGAGGTGTCGGGATCGGGTGGGTGTAACGTGGGGTAAAGCGAAACCCATCCCGATTCCTGACTGGGAATCAAACGGAACCCTGACCGACGCCAGTGGACGATGGGGCATGTGCCATTTCTAGACTTCCAGGCTCCCAGCTCTCCAACGGGTGTGCCATTCTTCTGCAACCCTGCCACCGGCTTCACTTTTCTGGCTTTCCCACCTCCCACGGCCACTGGCAACCCACTCTTCTGTCAATCATTGACGCGGTCAGCCAAGCCAACTTATGCAGTCTGAGAAATCAAAGCCTAATCGATCGAGTTGCCACAATGTCCGATCCTTTTGATACGCTGCATTTCGACAACTACCATCAGCCTTTATCAGGAGGAGTAAGCGCCCGAGCAAGGGTTTTCGCTTCCGATGCTGCAGAGCTCAACTCTTTGGTTCACAGGGTGAAAGAGGTTCCGGTCATGCTGAATTACCTGTGCTGCCGAAAGTAGTGCAAAATGCGATGCAACTTCGATGCCCAGAAAATGGTGGGTTTATTGGCACACTTCCAAGACTTTGTGGTGCTTGTGAAAGCCAATAGGCCCCTGAGTAGAGTTCTATTCGGACCCCAGTCCCGCACCCCCTGGGACCCCGAAGCTCATCTCGACTGCTTATTCTCCAGTGCTTGTGCAGCTTGATCCCGCTTCATCAACTTTGTCCCCTTGGCTATCGACCTGGCTTGTATCTGCATGATAATACAGGTACAGCATTGTTCGGGTTGTGCAAGGCAGGTACATACCTCGAACTCTTGCATTTCAACATCGACGCCAAATTGACGTTCTGTGGAGACATTGTACCAATCTGGCTGGGCCATTCCATTAATTTGGAACGATGCAAAACAACCATGTTGACAATCTGCTGACTGCCAGTGCCCACATGGTCATACCCCGGACTCCACCGGAGACACATCCCATCCTGGGGTGATTTGAGTCATGGTCGGCTTGCTGGGAGCGTCTGGCGATGATCCATTTCACTAGTGTCTTGTCGCCTGCACCATGACCAGGGTGAGAAAATCACAACAGGCCAGGAAGTAAGTTACCCATCCTGGCCGCCACTTTCTAGACCATGGATCTTTGAATACGAAGGACTCGATATGCTTCCACCATCCAACTGGAAGCTCAGACCACACCCTTTCCACATCCACAGCACGAGTGACGGCCTACCTCCTCTTTGAGCAATAGCGTGCATAGTGTAGGCATATAATAGTCCTTCACTTCTCACATTTTCCTGTTATCTACTCTTTCTTCATTCCTCAGTCAATAGCTTTTGGTTCCCAAATTTCTTCTCCAACAACCGCCACCATGGCCACTCACTCACCTGTGGAAAAAGAACTCGGCGTGGATGAGCTTGAGCGCGCAGATACTCCTCGCAAGGTCTCCATTGATATGTCTGAGAAGAACAACCATGACCTGGACGAACGAATCAATGCCTTCACCCCGGAAGAGCAGAAGAAGATCATTAGACGTGTTGACAGACGGCTTGTCCTCACCCTTGGATTCCTTTACTGTGTATCTTTGATGGATCGCACCAATTTGGGTATCGCCGTTGTTGCTGGTATGGGCGTAGATCTCGTCCTAATTGGCAACCGCTACTCAATCATCGTCCTATTATTTTTCATAACATATGTTGCACTACAACCACCTGCTACTGTCGTCCTTCGAAAACTGGGCCCCAGGATATTCTTGCCAACCATCACACTCCTCTGGGGTCTCACTATGATTGCCTTCGGATTCGTCAAGAATTGGAGCGACCTGGTCCCCCTCCGACTTGTCCTAGGTATATTTGAGGCTGGTTTCTTTCCTGGTAAGTCTTTGAATGAAATCCATTTGTCGCGCCAAACTAATCTTTGTCAGGTTGTGCATATCTTCTCAGCTGTTGGTATCCTCGCTACGAGCTACAAAAACGAAATGCTGTCTTTTACCTGATCGGATCCATGGCTTCAGCATTCTCGGGGATTCTCGCCTACGGTTTCTCTCAGCTCAAGAATCACGGCAGTGGTCCTGTCTGGTGGGGTCAGCACTATGGCCCTACAAAAGCAAATCCGAACATAAAGCCCGGCATCCTACCCGGAATTGCTGGCTGGCGTTGGATCTTTATCTTGCAAGGAGTCATTACTTGTGTCCTAGCACTCGGGTCTTATTTTTTGATCGTCGATTTCCCGGAATTGTCGGTCAACACCTTCGGTTTCAAGTTCTTAAACCAGAAGGAGGCCGATTTTATTGTGGCTCGCATTGAGAAAGATCGTCATGATGTTGCTGTTGAAAGATTCAACATCAAAAAATACCTTGTCCACGCCTTGGACCTGAAAGTATGGGGATTTGCATCTCTTTTCATGCTCACTACCACAAACACCTACGCAATCGCTTACTTCCTCCCTATCATTCTGAACTCGGGTATGGGCTTCAATGTGGCAGCTTCTCAATGCCTAGTCGCTCCTCCCTACGTCCTGGCGGCTATCGTTATGTACGCCTTTGCCTGGGCTGGAGACAAGTATCACCTACGCAGTCCCTTCATTCTCGCCAACGGCTGTCTACTTCTTATCGGTGAGTAATTCTACTGACAGATGGCTCAATCTTGTCTAACACACTCTACTAGGTCTGCCACTTCTTGGTTATGTCAAGAATGTTGGAGTTCGATATTTTGGAGTCTTCCTCGCAACTACCGCTTGCAACGCCAACGTCCCATGTGTCCTTACATGGCAGGCAAACAATATCCGTGGTCAGTGGAAACGTGCGCTCTGCTCTGCTACCTTGGTTGGAGCTGGTGGCATTGGTGGAATCATTGGAAGTACTGTCTTCCGTGAGGTAGACAAACCCGCCTATCATCCTGGAATCATCACCTGCATGATCGCAAGCTCTTTGATTATCGTTATTACCCTGGCAATGGACTACAAGTTCTATCGCGCCAACAAGAGAGCCGAGGGAGGTGGCAAGCCAATCGAGGGTCTTCATGGATTCAGATATACATACTAACTGAGAGGTGATGCCTCAGCAGGCTCTCCTTGAAAATCAACCTAGGAGTGGGCATTTTCGGTCAGATATAGCAGTATGTGGCAGATGATTCGCCATGCAAATGCTTGACTAGGCAAAAAGAAACCACGGTCACACATGAAAAGTTCCGTTATTTCTTCCATACGATTTTCTGAATTGTGAACTCTGCCTTGAAACCTGATGGTATAAATTCGTTGACGGCCAAAAAGATCCTGTCAAGTTAAACTACTTGTGTTACTCTGACTCCCTTACAGCTCGAAGTATGTTTTGAATGATTGCGTGAGCGAGTATCAACCAGTGTCTCACAGCCAGCCGTGTTCAGTTAACAGCCATCCATTCTCGTATCTGCCTCAATAGCAAAATCGGCCATGAATAGTATGATAGTGTCTCGTAAATCGAATGATGCGTCACCAACCCTGTCCGAGACAGACTCGGGAGCGGAAGTCGCAACGTTCCGTTCTATATTTCATAAATTGGTTAACGCCTTAGCCCTAGTAGTTACTAGTCATGCGTGAGTCGGGCTTCTTTTCTTTTTCAGAGATGGCCACATCACTCGGGCGAGTACGACATGAATTAGTTAAAAACTTAGGACTGGCCTGAAGGATGGCTTTCTGCATTCCCCCACAAGACTAGAACCCGGCGCCCCCGCATGGTGTGTGCAGTACGAATAAGATGGAGCCGACAATAGCCATACCCCTGCCACGCTCATTTGCCGTTCCAGACAATCTGGAGTCATGAACCCAGCATTGACGATTAGGCTGATGCTTAAAGGTGGATAGGAGCCCCGGACTCCCCCAACCATGCAAAGTGACTCTCGCTTGAGCCGCCTGGAGTCAACTGCTACGATTCCATCAGCCGGTGGCTGGCCGGTGGTGCTACCATTGGACAAGAACCCCAACTGCAAGCAGTGATCAACGGAGAGGTGCCTTGAAAGGGCAAAGGCCCAGAAGGACCAACTCGGCCAGAGCGATACATCATTCCTCAACTTACTCCTCCGCTTCGAAGTCTGGAATCGATGATGGAGAACGCGGGGCGCGGAGACTGTACCGAGCACCACCGACCCGATCGATGTTCGAGTTGATGTCCACTGGTAACGCCTGACCATTCAACGGCATCTGGTCAAGACATGCCAAGAACCTTACCTGCCCTCTTGGATTGCTGAAACTTTCTCCTGTTAGGCGTGATTTGTTGGACCGTTATCCTCATGCCTATTACAGTCTATGAAGCTTGAATACCAAGAGATCTTGAGTTCGGGCCAATCTCTTGGTATGCGTCCAAAGTACCTCGGCTGTGCTTCAAATGGACTGTGCACAATTCCTACGGGGTAAATCACCTCTTCCGCACTGGGTATCAACTGATGGTGGTGGCCAACTTAACATAAACCTCGATACCGTTCTATATTGTGGAGCGTCACTAAATGGCTGCCCGATGAAGGTGGATCAATATTCATGATCGCAATACAATACCTCGAATCGAGGAGAAAGGGATGGTAAGTCACCTTCTAGTTGTCATCCCGACAGCCTTCTGATATCAGGCATCCGCACTCTTTGCTGCAGGTGACCCGACCGCTGGTCATAATTGGTCCTCGCAATTGTTTCCCGAAAACGACGCTTAGCATGCGTACCCTGCTCATGTCCCTGCACCTCGTGGGTGCAGGGCCGACAGGATTGCGTGTGCTGAGCGTCGTGAACCTAAGAAGACCCTTGTATCTCTGGGCCTCTCACTTGCAGGTTTGTGCGAGTTACTGAAATTTCTAGCTCATTACGGCCTCTGAGGAAGGCTGTATTGATGGACGCCACGAAGCTCAACAAAATCACCCAGGTATTGATGAACGGAATATATCGGTTTGCGGTATGCAACTATGTACACAACCCATGGTATGGCCGAGAAAACATCGCAGATTCGGTAACAATTGCGAGCTAAGCTGCTGTGAACAACGTGCGTAGGATCCTCATGGAGTGCTCATCAGAGCCTTTGACTTCCAAGCGATTGTGTGCTCATTCTACCTGACCATGACTTGGCTCGTGAGCAATTCGTGTTGTTCGCTGCTGTCTGCGACAATGATGGTGACAGTCCGAGTTGTTTGATGATATTGAATGTTGCCTTCGGGCGGAATCGCTCCCTTTCGTGGTTTACTGAACCCCCAGAACGCTGACATTTTTCGGAAAGATTGAAACATCAAGTCATCTCAGGTCAGCGAAGCATTAACTCCTTGAACGATTACCTTTCCTAGCAATGCTCATTGTCAGCCGTCCTCTGGCCCAAGTTGCAACCCCCCAGGTTGGTCGTCGGTGGCCAAATCGATTGCCAGTCAGACTTGGTTTCGATGCTCCCTCCCTCCGGGAGTCTCGGGAGAGCTGCGCTCGAACATCCATGGTAGGGTTACCGTATTGATTCGTTACCACACGATCAATATTCACACCGAGTGGTTTGCAGACCACAAGTCAGTTCACAACTATCGCCTGGTCGTCTTGCGCTTGGTCAAGAACATCACAATACCAAGTTCCCGGACTTCGCTGCTCTTGCAGTGCACCTTCTGAGCATCTCTTCACTTTACATGATTTCCATGCATTTCACGTTTCTTTGCCCCTTGATAGGGACGAATGAACTGAACCGCAGCTGAGCATTGGTGGGCGATTCGTAGGGAGAGATCCCGGCCCCCACTTCAAATGGGAATCAGACAAAGCTGTTGGACTGGGCATCCGCGAAATCATGTGCTTTACAACGCCCGGATTGAAGTGCAAAGGTTTTGTCGACGCGGCGAACTTCGTTGTTGTATTCACGGCCAGATACCCAAGGCCCTTTCTTTTTAAGCTGCACTTAAGAGACCCATCATTGGATTAGTCCTGTGGGCGGCTTTTCTTTTTGAGATCTATATTGTTAACTATCCACTAGTCGCCCTCGCTACTGCCATAGAAGACGTGATTTGGGAGCAGCGATTGGCCGATCTCGATGTCCCTGAACCCTTTAATGTGACACACGCCTGGACCTGGCATCACCAATTCAGGTGTACGGAATCTCGAATGACAGTTTCATCTTGACCTTTCACTTGGATTTACAGCTGCGTTGCCCTACTGTCTCAGCAACAATGAAATCTTCATTGTGGGAGCATCGATCAATTCATCCGCATTCAGCCTTCGAGCTGAAATACCCCCAGACACAATTTAACAGTGGCGATATTCGAGTGGGCTTGTCAGGTAATGATCCCAGCTAGTCATAGTCGTCAACCAGAGGTGACATTTACGTGTTTCAATGAAAGTCTAGAACCCTTATCAGAAGGCCAAATGCCGGTGCTTACTTGGAAAGTCGTGTCAGTGTGAAACTAAGGACAATCAAAGGCCCGTAAGTTCGCTATGGAAAGATCTGCTTCATTCCAGAAGACAAAGGGCTGTCTGTCTACTTACTTGTAGATGTTGTCTTCAAGTTGAGACATTCTGAGCACCAAGCATTTGCTTGGCCTTCGCTACGATGAAACATTGTTACTACACACAGCAGGTACGAATACCTCAGTAGCAAAACGACGAGGCTGCGACCAGCCAAGGAGCTACTGTATGCAAGGCACTTTGGTCTTGCGATACCTAACCACCAGTTCGACACCGCATCCACTTGAGGCCGACACCAACCTCCCCGGTCTCTCGATCGACTTTATTTGGTATTAGGTTGTGTATGTCTTCCCTACTACTGGGTGCAGCTGTCGGTCCTTTGGTAAACCCAGCATGGCTTCCAATGCAAGATATCCGACATCTGCATCAGATTGGCAGCCGTATCGGGCTCTGATCACACGCCTCTACAAGGATGAGGATCGCACATTGGAAGATGTCATGAAGGTTTTGAAAACACAATATGGGTTTAGAGCAACGTAAGTCTCATGCATGATGCACATCCCCCATCAAAATGGGTTTAAGCTGGCTGGCAGGCATCACCTAACCCGATTACATAGCAACAAAATGTTCAAATCCCGGATCAAGAGCTGGGGTCTCGATAAGCATAACAAAGCTTACGAGGTTGAAGAAATACTCCGCCTTCTGGCAGCCAGGGAAACAATCGGGAAAGACACGGTCTTCTTACTTCGAGGACGGCCCGTAGATCTCGCTGCTATTGAAAAGTCTGCACGACGAAAACGATCCCGAGTGGCTGGGAGGTCAAAAAAGCCCGCCCACATCAACATAAGCACGACACGGACAGTCATAGACCTGATATGCCTTACGCCACCTCCAGTCCCGTTATCTTTACTTGATCCAGATAGACTCCGCAATGCGCACTGCTTCTTGCACTTCTCCCAAGCCTTCGTCCAGGATTCACTGCACTCTGGGAATTGGACGCTGCACAACGATCTACTGGGGTTCGCATGCCTACAATGTCCGATATATCCCACGGGTGCCCCAAATGCGGTTTTTCAATCGATAGAAAGAGGCATCAGGTGGTACACGTCTGGAGAAGTCACCCAGGCGTACCGACAATGGCGACTGGCTTTCTCACAACTGCCATTGATCGTTTCTTCTCCAGATCCGTCACAACTGGTCGGTCTCATCGATCTCATTAGCCATCTGGCAGCATGTGAAAGTCAAGTTGCGGGCCTGTTGCTTCGATATCTGGGCGAGCTCTCCAGCCGTGACCGACACTGTTCTCGCTCGTCACTGGCAATGCTTCGAAGCCTGAGTCGACTGGAAGTCAAAGACTTGTCCGAAATCGCTGAACGATCCAAGGATTGCTTTCTAGAGATTTTCGGCCGCCACTTCCCATTCGACACGTTCTTCTTCGTAGATTCGGGAATTATCTTGATGAAGCCGAATGGAAGGAGAGAAACGGCAGGCTCTGGAACGTCACAGATCGGTGACATGACGTTGAACCTAGGGTCCTACGACGGTGAAGACATTCGGGGTCCCACACGAATTCTGGAGATCCTGATACCTCCAGAACAGTATCCAGTCGCAGAAGAGCTTGCATTGGTGCACATGCAAAGGCTGAGGCAGATGAAGCTTGACGAAAGTGTCGCTACGGCCATCTCACACGTTCTCAGCTGTTTGGTACATCTCTACTTATCCCAACGAGACTATGAAAAAGCGCATCAGGGTCTCATGAATAAATTGGACCATCATTTCGAGATGCTGCGAGCTCAGCAAGCTGGCCTCTCTGAGGAGTCTATGCTCTCGACATATTCTTTGCTGGAGATCTTGGCGCGCGAACTCGGAAGGAGTGAAGATGTGTCCAAATGGAGCCTCGCATACTTTCAACTCAAGAATCAAACCGACGTGTTGGCCGAGAACGAAAAGTCAACTTTGCAGGCAATGAGTAAAGGGAGTCACCAGAACACAGCCATCGCCATCGAAGTTCAAGATCCACCAAGATTTCCAACGCTCGAGATAGAACCACTGGCACATGTTGACGATAGTCATGATGCCTCAGCTACCAACCCTTCGTAGGCCGAGTCATTGACCACAAAGCGTCGGAACACAAGGCGAATACCCCACAATGAGCACTGTTGAACTGTGAAGCTTTTTGCCTGTTCTGATATCTTAACCTAAAGACCTCATGTAATCGAAGCCTAAAAGACCGATCTTGGCTGTGAGGCTGATCCAGGACGATTCTTGCAAAGACGGGCAGACAGCGACCTCGGAGACGCGAGAGCGCCGCAGTGGTACGACAAAGCCCTGCCTATAAACCATCAGATCGTGTATCCTAGCAGAGAAAGTTCTAGTATGTCTCTTGGACACGCACAGCTGCATACCGTCATATCCGTGCGTGCGCATCGGTGCAATGCCTCACCCTCTCGGACCGCAATGAATCCTTCGGCGTGTAAATCGACGCAGCAAGAATTCGACCGTATTTATGCAGGAGCCCTGACCCATCGCCCATTACTGACCATATGCATAGACTGGTTGAGCCTGATATTCATTAATCAGCTTACGAAAGGATTGGTTGAGAGATGATAGATTTCGTCCGTGTGGTCACGTGAGATTGACCTGTGGTATAATGAGGGCAGTTCCGAGCGACAACAGTGGATGGGCCCTGGTTTCCAGCCTTGTCGGACGAGTACGACGGACAAAGAAGTGAGACTGAGTAGAATATGAGAGTTCTTTCATATATAAAACGAGGCCCAGGACGATAGGTCTTTTACAGACGCCACTATCATACCTCACTCAATTATCAAAAGACCCGGAGTGAAAAGCAATTGAGACGCCGTGAAATATGTCGAAACAGTATGATCTTCCTGCAGATGCTGTCTGGTTTAGTATGCACACTTAACCCTGGAGGTCTAGCGTGTCGAGAGATAAGCTAACAGACGTGTTCTTCACAAGTAACCGGCGGATCATCTGGCATTGGGAAAGCGTTCCTCAACCATCTAAGTCGTACGTCCTATCGCGTCGTCGCGGTGGCACGACAACTCTCAGCGCTAGACTATATTCCAGAATCGACCAATGTACTCAAAGTGATCCTCGACGTGACTTCGCCAACAGCCATCAGGGCTGCTGTAGCAAAAACCGTTGACAAGTTTGGTCGCATCGATGTCCTGGTCAACAACGTGGCTTACTCGCTCCTTGGAGACACAGAGACCACGACCGATGAAGAAGCAAGGCTGTTATTCGATACCAATTTCTGGGGAGCGACAAGTCTCATCCGTGAGGTGGTTCGGGTTATGCGTCAGGACAATCCCAAGACGGGCCAGATTGGTGGTGTTATTGGGTTCATGAGCTCGACGGGTGCGCGCGTGGCTTTCCCTGGAGGCTCATATTACTATGCAACGTGAGTGTACTCAACACGAGCAGTTGGACATTGGTTTCGGTGAGGCTGTTAGGCCATGGCGGAATTTGCTGACATCCAAAATGCAGAAGGTTTGCCATGGAAGGGTTCATGGAAAGTTTTCAAGCGGAGGTCAGTCCTGCCTGGAATATTCATTTCATGATCGCAGAGCCCGGAGGTGTCAAGACCGATTACCTACAAAAAAGCGTCGTTTTGACAGAGAGACACCCTGCATATGGAGATGATCCGGCTGGAGCAACGAACCAGTTGTTGGATATGCTCAAGAACAAGGCCATGGTCGAAACTTTCCCAGAGCCCGACACGCTAGTCGAAGTCATCATTGACACTGTGAAGAATGGAATTGACGGCTTGGGCATCCCACTGAGACTTCCACTTGGAGCAGATTCGTGGACCATGTTAAATGGCAATTTGGCAAAGTCCATGAAGGATCATCAAGCCTTGAAGACGACTGCGTTCAGGACGACAAGCGATGCAGGTGCATTGGGGGAGCTAGGGAAGGCGCTGGAAGGCTCTGCCGGATCGAAATAACTGGATCACTTTCCCAGAAGAGGCCAGCTCGATACGTGGGTGTGGTGGTCGATTTGCAGAGCACGGAGATGTGTGCACTTCGTGTAATAGGCCCCGGCAGTAAATGTGAAAAAGCGGGGGAGAATGTCAGCAATAGCGATAGACCTTGACTATTCCGATCCTGCCCTCTATGAGCCTTTACATGACCAAGTGCGTGGCTGGAAGTGCCTTCCATGTCAGCGTAGTCACCTCATATTTCCGTTTGAGAGCATGCCTCGAGATGGGTGATTCTCTCAACATTTGACCGTCGTCCTTGAGGTATTTCAGCCCTTCCCAAGAGTAGTCTTTTTGTTGACCCGTCCATTCCAACACTGTTCCGTTGGCCAGAGGAAACTTCCAGTGCTTGGCTCTTGCAACGACAACCTCTAGCTGTTCTTTCTTGTTCAGATCGGTCTCAAACTCGATTTCGAGTACTTCCAGGCCCTTGACCTGGCTCAGCTGTCCCCCCCAAGTTTCCGGAGTCATACGCTCTCTGATGTAATTAATATCTGGCTGCTCAGGTTCGGCAATCGTTTGGTGATGCGATGTTCTTTCAGTGCGCCATGGACAAATACCCAGGCGATCACTAGAGTTGGGAGGTGACTCCCATGACCACCAATCGGAGTGACGTAGCGTCAGATGTAAGCGCTTTGCCGATAGATCTAGGGGCCCAATGTCGCCTCGGTTCCCCAGAGCCTCGAGATGGAATTGTTGAACAAAGATGTGGATTTCACCAATCGAGGTTTTTTGGTCCTCATTTAGACGTGAATACCACGCTGCCCAGTTGGCTGTATGCCGAGATTGCTTGCCAATGGATTTCCATGGTCCATTGAAGAGCCAAAAGACATGTTCATTGGCGGACAGTGGGAAGAGTCGGGCTTCGAAATAGGCACGCTTACATGTCAGGAGCAGTGAACAGTTGATCTGTGTGTGAGCTAAATAACCCGGCCGATAAAATGCGCGGTCCGCCCGGTAAGGTCTCTTTTCGTCATGCTGGGCAGTCAGAGCTAGTTCGAAGATGGTGTTTCTGATTTCGCTTGGGAGGTCTGAGAATAAAGGACTATCTTCTTGATGGTCAATGGTATTGGGAAGGAGGGAGATGGAAGTCATCTTTGCCCACAACAGCAACCTGAATTGGTCGTCGGCCTGATCTCAAGCTAGTTACTTGTGATGGCGTAAGAGGTACGAGTAGTGTTGTGGACCTCGGACACTTAGGCTTGATCCCGGATCAAGGTGGTGGAGCTACTGTTTCAGGTTGACTTTGGTGCATGAGAGAACCCAGAGCTAGGCAATGTCACCTTGAGGGCAGCGAGATTGTGGTCGAAAGTCAGATGTGAATGATTACGCTGCCCGATGATGAGAGTTGCATGTTTTTATATTTTGAGACTGTTGATGCCTGGCGACTGAGGCCCCCAGGCTGCTGCCTACAGCGATTTGACAACCCCACGGGCTAGATCAGGATGGAAGTGCAGGTCTTGTTTCGTATTTACTTAAAAGTTAAGCGTGAGCAATCGGCAGCCTGGACACGAATAACCCCTGACACCTCTGGTGGTCAACCGGAGAACCTATGGCATTTATTGCAATTTGTACGGATACAAGTTCGTCTCGTGGCCGCCACGAGGCCCAGGGCAGTAAAAAGGGTGCAAGAGGAGCCAACATTATTAGCTAGAACTTAGGTGCCGCCCGCCCGCTGAAAGTATAATTAGCCCGGGGGATCCCCTCTAATTCATGTGATAGTTAAAGCCAAGCTCCTTGAACACACCACCTGCATGCGCTTAGGGACACTTTAGTGAGCGCCTAGCGAGACCTGGAAGACAAGGCCTTTAGCGATCCATGGTTAGTCTCGGGGGCTGCACGATATTGGTCAATAGCCCCAAGGGCCATGTGCCTCTCTTTCCCCCTGGATGGGACATTTTATCACGAGAATCTGTAGACCAGAAGCGAGAAAGACCGAACTTTGACTTGACTGAGTCCCGTCTTTGCGTTGGCTCATCGTCCTTGTAGGGAGGAACTAGACAACGCCAACGTGTTGGAACCGATGCACCAAATCCCTTTCCTTGGTCTGCAAGTTTGGGTCCAATCTCAGTTCTGCCTCACCTAATCCGCTGCCAACTTGACTTTTCCGCTAGCCTTTCCTTTACGACCTCCTTCGCCAACTTCCGGAAACCTGCCAGACTTTGTCTTCAACACAAGATAACTCGACTGTTTTCCTTGTGTAACAATTGAATCTTCATCCAGGCATCGCGTGTCACTGGCACATGGCTACGCGATCTGCTGCTGAACAACCCCTTGCAGCTTAGCCCTAGCCGCGCACAGCCGATCGCCTACTTGCCTCCTTTCATTGGCTTGTGGCTTGACGCGAGAAAACTGTGTCACCGATACCGATAGGGTTTCTCCGACTCCGCCATGATGGGCATCTTCAGGAAAAAGGACACCAAGTCATCCTCACACGACCCTTCAGGAACCAAATCTTCCTCCAGGACTGCCGTCACCGTCGAACGCATCAACACCTATTCACAAAAGTCCCCCAAACTCATCTCGGACAAATCTGCTTCACCAGCCATGTCCGCCTCGATTGCTGACGTTTCAATCCCCGATCCACCGGATCCAGCCACAAAGCCTGCCGCTTATCTACGAAGCATCCATGCTGTCAGACAACGAACGAGAGTCGTTCTCGAAGAGGCCAAAGTCAATGCCCTTAACCATTTTGATGTCGACTTAACCAAGTTCCAGGATACTGCTGACTATGTGGTATCCATTATCAAGGTAAGTACACGTCCGGGACATTTTTGGGTAATTCCTTGTGGAACATCTTTCTCATACCCTCCAGCGTGACTTTGCGGGAGAATATTCAACCATCCCGCCCCATGGCCGTTGGCAGCATTTTGAAGTGGGAGGACGGCCTCGGGTAACCCAATTACTTCAATCCTGGCCAAGCACCGTCGACAACCAGGAAAGAACACGGCGCTTAATCGATCTCTTCCTGGTTTCAGTCTTGCTTGATGCCGGCGCCGGTACCAAATGGTCCTACAAGTCCAAAGAATCCGGCAAGGTCTACACGCGGAGCGAGGGATTGGCCGTCGCAAGTCTGGAGATGTTCAAAACTGGAGCTTTTAGCAGCGATGCCAGCCGGCCCCACCAAGTAGACGCTGCCGGACTTCACAAGCTGACGGTAGACACGTTAGCCAGAGGCATGCAAGTCTCGGAATCTAATCCCATGTCTGGATTGGATGGTAGAGCAGGACTCCTCATTCGACTGGGCACAGCCCTCCAAAATCCAGAGATTTTTGGTCGCGATGGAAGGCCGGGTAACATGATAGGCAAGTTGATGAAGCCGACTTGAACCCATTTACTCGATCTAATGGGCATAGATTACCTGATTTCGCATCCCACAACCCAGGCTTCGTCCGTACCTGTCATTCTCCTACCAACCCTGTGGAGCGTGTTGATGGATGGACTGTCAAGTATTTGGCCAGCCACCAGAACCAACATTCAGGGAGTACCTCTTGGTGACGCATGGCAGTGCCAAGCAATGCCAAAATCACCACCAGCAAGTCCATGGGAGACCATTGTTCCCTTTCATAAACTCACTCAGTGGCTCTGTTATTCCCTGATGGTCCCAATGACAAAGTTACTGAATGTCCACTTTGCTGGAGCGGAGTTGATGACAGGCCTTCCAGAATATCGCAATGGTGGACTCTTGGTCGATACTGGACTTCTCACATTGAAGGAGGCTGATAGACAAAGAGGATTGAAGACTTACCATGCAACAGTGGGCGAGGGCAAAGCTGTGGAAGTCGTGCCCACCTTCGAACCATCAGATGATGTTATCGTAGAATGGAGGGCTGTCACAGTGGGATTTCTTGACGAGCTTCTGACTGCTGTGAACAAAGGCCTCGGTCTCGTCGGACACGATCAATTGACATTGGCTCAAATGCTTGAAGCTGGAACGTGGAAGGTAAGATAACATCATCACCCCCGCTTGTTCCCCACTGACAATGACCCAGGGTGGGCGTGAGATTGCGCAAGTGTCGAGACCTATCACCAAAGGTCCCCCGATTGGTATCATTTCGGACGGAACTGTTTTCTAAACCATCAAGAGTTTTCTTTCGGCATCACCGCTTTCGGCCAATCGCGCCCATTTGGTGGAAAAGTGAACATGTATTAATGAGGCTATGCATGGGTTTTATGATCAGATCAAAATTCTAGTTCACAGATTCAATGCCTAACACACTAGGGGGATTCGTTTCCGGGTTAGCGCGTCAATGATGATGGTATGTCTTCACGGTCCAAATCCTTATACATACACATGCTCAAGTGGAGTCCGTCTCAATCTGCTTGGACCTTGCAATTTGGCGACGCTTAACTTGGAAACCCATGGCGAAACCCATGGCGACATGTTAGAGAATTATAGGGAATTAAGCGCGATGCACGTGAAATCTCGCTACAGGTAAAACCCAGCTATCTGGTCGATTTGCTGGAAACAGAAAACCCCAATACGGGTGAAAATGCCTTTCCATTGCCGATGCATCAGCTGAAGGAGCCAGAGTGTTGTCCATCGAATCCTTTATGAAGCACAGAGCAATGAATGTTCATAAATATACGCGCATGTGCGGGATTCTTTTCGTTTCTGAAGCACCAATCGGACAGGGCTAACCTTACTAGATCTCTACCACTCATTGGTATCTCATGAACACTTCCTACATCAACTGCCGGGCATGATGGTCTTTCTGGACGAGGTTTCAATTGGTTTCAGTCGCCAGTCTTCCAAATAAAAAGGTTTTCGATCATCGATCACATTTTGCAATAGTCGATCTGACCACTGCGGCACTTCTTTCCACGACCCCTTGAAGTTCCTATTCATTGAAGTTGCTTTTCATCAGATGTCAATCCTGGTCGCAAAGACAAGAACGGACGTGGTCCGCAGCTGGACCTCCAAAGCACGCAAGTCTTGGCACAAATAACGAGATATCAAGTCTGGCTCGTGGACCCGCGAGGGTCCTACCTATGAGACGACTGCAAATTCCCTTATCACTGATTGCATACCAAGACATCTCTTGGCCTGTGACATCTACATCCGCCACCTTCCAGAAGTATACTGAAAGCCGAGATATTTTGCAGCTCAAAGGATGTCGCTGTGAGCGCTATCAATCCACAATGTTCTCAAGAAACATTGGCATCTCCTGCACCCAAGCTTTGCGAGATCAGCCACAGGTATGGTGTCATGACAAAAATTGCGTTGTCGGAATTGGCATTCGATACGTTTTCGAGGTAGAAAAGGTCCGGCGGCATGGCCAGGTCTGGTGTCCGCGGAGGTTGTCAACTCTGGTCAATTTTTCTTACTTGATAAAACCCAATTCGGTAGAGACGGCGCCCTAAAATCGAGGTCGCTGCCATGTCTGTCCAACAAGGTGCTACCGACAGAGCCCATGAAGAGCGCAATGTCCTTTCCGGTGACTACGGAAAAGATACACCAACCAATCAAGTTGACAGCGACGACAGTAGTTCCATTGAAGACGTCGATGGTGATTATGGCTCCTACGGAAACCACGTTTTCTCCGATCCCAAAGTTGCCGAATACTGGAGAAATGTCTACGAGACCGCGACCTATGAAGGTCGACACCGATTTGATCCCGCTTTCACCTGGTCCGCTGCCGAGGAGAAACGATTGAAAAGAAAGGCTTGTTTTGACTACAACGATGGCAGGTTGCGGCGGGTGGCTGATGATTTCAAACAGGTTGACTTTCGTATTATGTCATGGTGTTGGCTGATGTTTCTTGCCCTGGATCTCAATCGACGAAATATCAACAGAGGTACGTTTTCACCCCCGCAGACCAGGCTATGCGCCAGTCTCCGGCGAGCATTTTTAGAGACGTGTTCCCAAATCTGCGAGCGATTCACCTTGATCGATGCTCAACTAACCCCCTCCCCCCCCCTAATCTTGGTCGCCTGGCTGATTTACGAACAGCAATCAGTGATAATATGCTCCCAGAGCTGGGCATGAATACCAATGACTTCAATTACGGACAAACCATTTTCCTGACATGCTTCTTGTCAGCCGAGCTTCCTTCTGGGCTGATTTCCAAAAAGCTTGGTCCCGATATGTAAGTGCATCCTATTCAACCGGGTCAACCAATTGAACTTGACGTAACGATTGCAGTTGGATCCCATTCATTATCACAGCATGGTCAATTGTGTCTGCGGCTCAGGCTGCTCTTACAAACAAAACAGGATACTATGTCTGCCGAGCCTTACTAGGGCTTTTAATGGGAGGTTTTATTGTGCGAATAACTCCCACTTCCTGCTTACGAGTGCTAACGAGCTTCAAACCAGCCTGATACAGTTCTTTACATAACTTATTGGTACAAAGCCCGCGAACTCCCGATCAGGCTTAGCTGGTTTTGGACTGTCCTCAGTACTTGCAACATCCTTGGATCACTTTTGGCCGCTGGAATCCTTCAGATGAGGGGCATTCATGGTTGGGGTGGATGGCAGGTGTGATTTCCGAAAGATTTTTATACTGCGTTGTAGACGCTAACCAATGCCAGTGGCTCTTCCTCATTGAAGGAGTCATAACAGGAGTGGTAGGGATTGCCAGCTGGATACTCATGCCAGCAAGCCCCTGCCAAACTGCCAGTCGTTTCCGTGGCAAGAATGGATGGTTCACCGAACACGAAGAAAAGATCCTCGTCAATCGACTTCTACGAGACGACCCCTCAAAAGGAGATATGCACAACAGACAGGCAGTCGGACTGCAACGTCTCTGGAAGTGCTTGAAAGACTACGATCTGTGGCCTCTCTACTTGATCGGACTCACCAACTATATCCCGCCGAGTCCCCCTTCGAACTACCTCGCATTCATTCTTCGACAGATGGGCTTCAGCACTTTCAACGCCAATCTACTTACCATTCCATCGCAATTCATGTTCGGAGTCAATTTACTTATCATCTCCCGAATTAGCGAATGGGTCAATGAGCGATCCCTTGTGTCGTCAACTTCTGCCATCTGGATCTTCCCCTGGCTTGTTGCACTGGTGGCTTTAGGTGCAAAGGCAAGCAATTGGGTTCGATATGCTTTACTAACTGGCCTCCTCTCATACCCATACTGCCACGCAATTCTCGTTGCTTGGAACTCTCGCAACTCCAACGCTGTACGCACGAGAGCGGTGTCTGCAGCGCTGTACAACATGTTTGTTCAAGCAGGAAATATTGTGGGCTCGAATATATACAGAGACTCGGACAGACCTCTTTGTGAGTTTCCTCACTGTTGACGCTGGATTTCCATCTAACTGTGTGAATTAGACCTACGTGGAAACAGAATTCTTCTCGGCATCTGCGCTTTCAACATCACGCTCTTCTTCTTCGTCAAGTATTACTACATCACACGCAATAAAAGACGAGAAGAGGCCTGGAGCAAGCTGACGACGGACGAGAAGCATGACTATATCCACCACACAAAGGACGAGGGATCGAAACGACTAGATTTCAGATTCGTTCATTGAGGTACATATTTAGACCAGGCATGTCTGGAACTGGTAGACGGCATGGTGATCACTGGGCATGTTGGTATGACTGCCGCTTGAAGTAGTCGAAGTACATAAAATTTCCAGGGACGAGTCCGTACAAAATCGTTTCTTGTTCCTGATAACGGGCGCAGAAGCAGTCTGCCATGTGCAATCTGGGGAATCATCGTGAAAAATGGCTCCTCGAGACTATCTTATGGCTTAGTCATCCGTAAACTCTATCCAACATCCGGTATCGGTTGCTACATTTTGTGGATTGGGTACCTTAACCTACGTGCCTACTTTGAAGTACCAGTCTTCAGATTTCATCCAGGTCACCGAATCTCAGAGTGGAAGATTTCAGCACGCAGGAACTGTACTGACCAGCTGATGTTAAAGACGCAGAGCAAAGTCGTCAGGCAAATTGTGATCCACATCCCCAAACCTTTGCTCACTGCTCGGCAGTCCAGATTGATTCCGAGCCCACACTTGTTTTCACAACACCACCAAGCAGGCTCAAACACCAACTCAACACACGGACCACTAGTCACCACCACTCCAACCATCAAGATTCAAACAACCACCGCCACCGCAGCAATGGACACACGCCTACACGTCTACTATCCGCGGCGGACGCTCGTGCTGTCCGAATACATCCCACGGCTCAACCTGACGCAGCCACGACAGGAGCAGCACCAGCCGCCCAATGTCCTGCTGTTCATCGGTGGCATGTACGACAACTTCCGGTCGCCGCGTTATGTCGACGACCTGGCGGCGTTGTTCCCCCGCAACGAGCCGGATCAGAAGTGGAGTGTCTTCCATGTTCAACTGAGCTCGGCGGGCAAGAGTTTTGGTTTGGTCGATTTGGATCGTGATGTATGTTGGTAAATTTCTTTGGTCCTTTTTTTGTGCGGTTGTTTTTCAATCTTGTATTTTGTGGCGAGACTGGATTATTTGACGGACACTATGCTCGAATACGATATTCACGATCCTCACATTTTCTAGGTCGAAGAGGTCGGCGAGGCGATTAACTATATCAGAAGGTCGATCACGAAGTCAGCCACCACACCCGTGGTCATCATGGGACATAGCACGGGCTGTCAGGACTCGATGCATTACATGTGCTCAGCAATCCCATCGTCGCCAACATATTCGTCGTCCTCATCTTCATCCTCGTCATCTTCTTCATCCTCATCATCTCAATCAACATCAACATCAACATCAACATCAACACTCCCGAAACCCATCCGGCCCACCATCTCCGGCCTGATCCTCCAAGCCCCCGTCTCCGACCGACAAGCGATCCTGGATGCGATCGACAAAAAGTCCGCCGTCGCCGACGCCTACAAAGAAGCACTGCAGCTGTGCGCCTCGACGCCCAAGCCACTGCACTCCAAAGCCCTGCTCCCTTGGCACCTGTCATACCCACTGGTCGGGTCGATTCCCATGACGCTCGCGCGGTTCCTCAGTCTCGCGTCGCCGGAAAGCCCCGCGTCACCCGCCGCCGACGACTACTTCTCCTCGGACCTCGGCGACGACATCTTCCGCGGCACGTTCGGCAAGCTCGCGGGCTGCGGACACGTGGTCCCCTCGAAAAAGCCGGACGCGAAGGATTCGACAGAGGCCGCGCAGAAAAGCCTCCTGGTGCTCATCTCCGGCAGCGACGAGCACGTCAACAAGCGCATCGACAAGGCGGAGCTGATGGCACGGTGGAAGAAAGCCATCCTCGCAGGCGGAGCGGGTGAGCCCACAACTCCCGCTGTCGCCTCACAAGGACACTCCGAGCCCAGGGCCGTCCTCTCGCCGCATTCCCTCGTCGTCAAGAACGCGCTGCACGACATCTCGGGCGCGAGTGTGGAGACGCGGACGGCGCGCTTGGTCGACATGCGCGGTGCGGTGCTGTCGTATCTGAGCGATGTGGTGGGCGATCTCGATGGGGGGAGGGAGGATGCTAAGACTGGGCCGTGGAAGATCTGGCGCGATGATCGCGATGCCATTGAGGCTGAGAGGGCCGTTCAGGGGATTAAACTCTAGTTACTGCTTAAGGTGGTCATATAGATATTTAACTACCGTTGGATTTTCCACCCACAGTGTTGGGTTGAGTGGAGACCTGCGATGGAGTGATATCTTCTTAATATGTACGTGCTGGATCGTATCGACGTCGGGCGCGGGGAAACTATGCTGCACTACTTTACTAGCATAAAGATATTGGTCAGTTGTTTCACGATGTCAAGCAAAAGTGGGAAAGGCGAGCTATTGGGAATTGAGTTCTTTATAGTGATGATACAGAGGAGGCATCTATCTATCTATATAAAAACAGGAGGCCGTTATGTAGTTACATGATTGGGGACGCTTTTTGCGAAGGGCAACCCCTTTGAAGGGGTTCGAACAAGGCAAGTCCAACCAATACCCACCCCATCGGTGAGGTGGAAAGGTGAATGACCAAGGAAAAGAAAAGAAATACCACCCTCAACCCATTACCAGTGTCGCTATGCAAATGAGGTCGTTAAAAAAAGACAAGAGGCTTAAATCCCATATCAACCGCCTCACTTAGTTCCGACGTGCAAATTCAGCCATGATCAAGAGAGAAATGTAAGCAAAAGCAGGTAGTCGCTTTCGTATAGTGCCGTGCCACACTTACGTGGATGTGGATGGACGGAGAAAAGTGCGATGGTATGGTCAACGTGACATTCATGTGCTTCGCAGCGTAGAGTGTGCTTTCCGCGCACCGATGACATGCATATCTTAGACTGCAGGCCATCTCACTCTCAAACCTTCGCACCATCTGTCGAATAAAACATCTGCGATTTGCCGATTGTGTTCCAACCCGCCTTTGAAACCCTCAACGATTTCTCTCTCCAAATCGGCATCTTCATTTGTCAAAGAAGTCTTCTTCTTCTCAGGACTTTTCATACCACTAGTATTGAAGCTGGTGTCCCTTGATCTGCTGATGGCGGCTTGAGCGGATTGTCTTCGTCGATGAGACTTCAAGTGGGGGTTATTCTGTGCAAGAAGTAATTTTGCACCAACATTTCCTCGAGTCGGTGTGCTGGGTGTGACTTGGCGACTAGCATTAGCGGAAATAGGAGATGCTGATACACTGTTGTCAGGTTTGCTTGGTGAAGACATCTGCTGTTCGGATTGTGATACAGCAGCTGATGGCTGAGTTGTGGTCGAAGACTGTGGTGCTGGTGTTGAAGGCAGCATGTTTTTCAGATCGCTATTCTCTTTCATATTCTTGATGATTGAGTTCATGATATGGTACATTCCATCAGGATCAACATTTTCGAGATCTGAGAACGCCTCAGCCAATCGAGCAATGGCTTCCCGCTTTGCTTCGTCACCTGTGTCATTCAAAACATCTTGACAAGATATTCCAATTGCATTAGCATAAAGTTTCCGGCCAAGCTTTGCCTCTTTGGACTCGGATACAATGGTGCTTGCCGTGGATGGAAACCGGGAGGTTCTCTCAACCTTTGACTCTTGAAGAAAGGAGTGGTCCATATCTGCAAATTGGGGCAAAGCTGGTTTTGCTTTTGAGGGTGTCCTTATAACACTAGAACATGGATCCTCATTTTCTTCGTTGGTGTTGCTCAAAGCGCTTGGTGACACTCTTCTAAATTGTCGAACAGTGCTGGGGCTGTTGCCGAAGGACATATTGACTCCCAATGGCTGTCGGGCTTGTGCGCTGGATATTCTCTTCTTTGCTGTTCGCTTTACCGAAGCTGTATCGCCTGATACCAATTCGTCACGTCTGGACTGGGAGATCTTGCGCATTGTTGATTTCATCGGACTAGACTCGACGTTTCGATCTTGATTCAGCGCAAGGTCTCGCATCATCTGTGTGGCGCTGTCCGTAGGACTATCACCTTGGATATCAACACCGGGCCGCTCAATCTTTCGTCGTTTCTGGGTTTGAATACCACGGAGATCAACTGTCGGTACCGCCTTGATCGTTTCGAAAACCCAATCGTCATCATTTTTCTGGCTTGACAAATTTCTGAGTGTTTCGGCGTAGTACTTCAGATTACGTTCGCCGCCCTTGCCAGCTTCCCAATCCTGTTTTCTGACAATCAATTCTTGAAGTCCTTCAATCTTGCCGGCAGATCGGATAAAGCGATGCTTCAGCAATTCTTTCGCACTACTTCTTTTGTCGACATCTTTGGTCAGACATGTTGCGACGAAATCTCTGAAATCTCGGGACCATTGACTTCCTTCTAGTCTTGGGGCGGATTGCTTGGGAATCAAGAAGAGAACCTTCATTGGATGAACGTTGGCATGAGGCGGTTCACCATTGGCCAGTTCCATAGCTGTAATGCCCAAACTCCATACATCGGCTTTGGCATCGTGACCTTCCTGTTGAATGACTTCCGGAGCCATCCAGAAAGGTGTTCCGACGAATGTGTTCCTGACACTCTTCAATCCAACCAGTTGTGCAGCAACACCGAAGTCCGCTAATTTGACACGTCCGTCCATACCCAATAGAACATTTGCAGCTTTGATGTCTCGATGTAGTTTCCCTTCTCCATGCAAGTACGAGAGACCAAGCAGAAGTTCACGGCATATGATAGCGATGTGAGATTCAGATAGGCAGTGAGGAGGGGGTTTGAGGAGATCAGCGCAGGATCCACCACCCAGGTACTCCATCACTATCCATAGAGTTTGTCGTCGTAGGAAAGCTAGCCGATATTTTGTGACATGAGGACTGGCGCAGGAGGAGAGGACTGAGAGTTCGGATAGGATATCTGAAAGGTCCTCTTCGGAGGATTCGAGATCTACCTGTAGGTTGTGGGTCAGCGTCTAACCTCTCAGATGTTAGAAAGGAACAGTCAATACGTACATGTTTGATTGCGACGATTTCTCCAGTGGCTTTTTCGATTGCTTTGTAAACAACACCGAACGAGCCACTACCCAGTTCTTCTAGCACTTGATATCGATCTGCTAGTGTGTCGCCGTCTGCTTCGTCGTGTTGAATCTGGAATGGTGTCTGTGACGCGGTTGTTCTTGCCTCTCGTGGCGCGGCTTCCGTATATGTCATCATAGTGGCAGCTCGCTCCTTCCTTTCTGATGCGCGTCCACTTCCTGCCTCGACGATTCCTCCTCAAAAGTCGACAGTTCCGAGTCAGAGAAGTTGATATATGCTCTTGCACACCCAATGTCCTCGTCGTGGTGAACTCGCATGCAGAAACACTAATGATCGAATTGTAGGTATGCAAAGTACATATGCCAATGGTAGGTATTGAAATGGTCTATCCGTATGAATGCGAATGCGCCAAACCAAAGATGCAGCAAGAACACAAGTGATGACGGTGAGAATAGTAGTACAGCATTGATAATGGGAGGCGGAGGCAGAAGAAGTGGAAGTCTTGCAAATCCAGGGTTGTGAATGTAATAAGAAGAATAGCTGTATCACCCCAGTGAGTGGAGAGGTTAGGGCGAGACCGAGGAGGAGAGCGAGATGAGATAGCGTACTGTAGCAAGCCTCATGATCAGGCAGAGTTCGGCACGATGTCCTCGATATCCCATTTCAGCTCGAGAAACTCTTTGGGCCGCGATGGCGGTGCTGGAGTTCGCTTGATGGTGGTTTTGTTTACCATAGCAACCTAGTCCCAAAGCGGCAAGGTGGCACTTTAAAGGAAACGGGGGAATCCTGGTGTGGCTGCCGAGGCACTAATTTCTACATTAACGGGTACGCTAATGCAGGGGCCAACAAGAGAGACACTCTCACTTTCAGGCTTGATTCCGAGAGCTCCAGAGCTCCCAGCTTGGGCTTGAATGTGACATTATCATTTTATTATGGAAGGCTCCGAGTACCTCGTACCCACGGTTTACATTCGGACGTCTCCAGCAGAACGGGTCTTTCATTTAGGTCCATCCAAATCTGATTTAGAAAACCAGATTTGCTTCCTCTTGACCCATCTGTTCATCTCTTTCGGTCCTCGGATAGATGGCCCTTTTGCCCTAAGCCACCTTAATGCTCGTCATCTCTGTTGTCGTCAAGGGGTTCAATTCAACCCACTGTTTCTAGAATGATTGACGCAGCCGGTTGCTATGGATACATTGCCACCGTTTCGGTACATCAAGGATGTGTGCAGTTGAAATCATACTATGCCGCAGAATGATTTACAGCTAAAGTTGTAGATGCATCGTCCGTCTCCAAGATCTGCTTCAGCCCAAGATCTCAAACTGAGTCATGGCTTTCTGGATGTCCACGGCCTTTGCGGTATCGATGTGATGCCACAATGTGACACTTGCCACGCAGCGTGTCAGAACGCCTGGTCGACCAGATGGGACTTCGTGCACGGTTCAAGTCTTAACCTGGTTTCTTGTCAAATTGGACGCGCAACCTAATCTACTGACATCATGGAGTACACTTGAAATTGAAATGAGATCTCGTGATGTTCTATTTGGAGGGTACTCGAGCCCCTAACATGCTCTGGAATATGTCAATCTTCACAGAAGTCTGGGGTAGTACTACGAGTTCGTCACACGACAACACCCACACAAAAGGCCGTGTGTCCAAGTAAAGTCAATAAATTGAACATAGAGCACTGATGTTGTTTTCTGTACCCCAACCGTGCCCTGGGTAAGGAAAGCAAAAGCTGTTGTGCCTAACCGTTGAATGGACAATCGTAGACTTTAGTGCAGTTCGAATGTGGCGGATCTGTGTTGTTCGTGGATACCGATTGCGACACTGATTTGATCGTGCCAAAAGTGAGTGAGCGTCACGCAGTCTAACATGAGCGCATACTTTGGGCTTGATGAGCCTGACTCGTCTTCAAAGCATGATGCGACATCTCAGACAGGCATCATCAACCCGTAGCCTTGCCGTCTGTATTATGTTATACCAGTCTTGTGCAAGAGGGCTCGGTCACGTGAGAAGCTAGTGGGATGACGTCACAGGGTATATAAATGTATCTCGATAGATTGCGCGGTAATGCAGATAGCGACCTGAGTTGATGGGAGGTTAGGGCAGCCACCTAAGCATGCTGAAGTCCTCGCAAGATAGTACTTGCTTCACGCCCCAAAATTTAATGCTTTATAACTTCAAAAAGTCGCAGCGTCGGTTACGTTGCCTGAAATAGCAAGGGCGTGCCTTGGCAACATAGGAATGATTTCTGTGTGGCAGCTCTGATGGTTCAATTCCGCATCCGAGCTCGGCGGCGAGTCCCGGGCAATCGGCCGAACTTCCCAACTTTTTCCCAGTCTCGATGTCATGAATTGCCTTTGCTGTATCTTAGAGTTCTCCTCTGCCAATTAACCACTGCGACGACGTCGACGAAAACGTCCTGAATGAACTTCATGTCTCATCCTTGAATTGATTCTTACGGAATATAACGCCTGCAAGCGCTTGAATGTCCCTCTCCTTCTCTTCAAGTTCTGCGCATCTGCTTGACCACCCCAATTCCTCTGAACAAGCACTCGGGCATGATGCTCAGTTTCTTCCAGAAGGACAACGGCATGACAGAGTTCTCTTCAAGGAACAGAATACAAACGAGATGTCGGCCTCAGATCATCTCAACATCACCACTGGCCAGCGTATGATATCCGCCACATGGGGAAGTGTGCTCACATCACTCTTGGGTACGCATTAATTCAAACACGCTTGCCGATGATCTGGTTTTTTAACAGCTATTAGTGACCCCCCTCGACGTGGTTCGCGTCAGACTACAATCCCAATCTCCTCCAACTCCGCATAATCTCTCCCGATTTGCCGCTTACTCAACCAACTTCAAACAACTTCCCCCCGATTTAGGCATCAACTCCTGCTGTCGAGAAGTGTTCTTCGTAGGAAACAATGGAGAATTTTGCATTGCCGGCCATGGGAGTGCACAGTCTGCCCAAGCGGCTGCGGCTGATTGTGCCGTTGAAGAGACACAGAAGAGGACTTTCAACTCTACTTTGGATGGCATGAGGAAAATCGCGAGGAACGAGGGCACTCTCACTCTATGGCGTGGTCTTAGTCCGACCCTTGTCATGGCCATTCCCGCCAACGTCATATACTTCACAGGCTATGACTGGCTTCGTTACAGTCATATCAGCCCTGTCAGGCGCGTGTCGAACGATACATATGCCCCCCTTGTTGCGGGTTCAATCGCTCGAGTGGCGGCAGCACTTGCAGTATCTCCAGTAGAGATGTTTCGAACAAGGATGCAGGCCACTCAAGGAGTCTCAACTGGAATTTACAGGGAAACATTCCAAGGATTACGACGAATGACACAGACTCAAGGATATACATCTCTCTGGCGTGGTCTGACCTTGACCATGTGGCGCGATGTCCCTTTCTCTGGCTTCTACTGGTGGGGCTACGAGGCATTGCGGAATAGTTTGACCGACGCCAGGGCAGCTTCGAGAGGCCATAAACTCGATCCTGGTCGATCCTTGACGAGCGGAAGACAAATCCAGACCGAAGAAACTCATACCACAACATTTGTCGATAGTTTCTTGGCCGGTGCCGGATCTGGAGCGGTGGCTGCTTTTGTGACCACTCCTTTTGACGTCGGTAAAACACGCCAACAAGTATATCATCATGCTGGAGATGATGCCGCTTCGATGGCGGCGGCGAAAGAACTCGCCAGAAGTGGCAAAATCATTCCCGAAGAATTGTCCATGCCTCGATTTCTCATGCACATCGCTAGAGAAGAAGGGTTTGCCGGGTTATTCAAAGGATGGGCCGCGAGATGTCTGAAAGTGGCACCAGCGTGTGCCATCATGATCAGCAGCTATGAGGTCGGAAAGAAGTGGGCCAAGGGGCAAAACGAGAAGAAGGCGGAGAACGTACATGAGTGATCGATCGCCCGACCTTCACAGATTCAATGTACCAACACAAACTCGAATTGTTGTTTTACCGCGCACGGTGTTCACAGGGAAATGCATAGCAACGGCGTTTATTCTTCTCCACGAGATGTCCCTCATGATGTGGACAATAATGTATAGAGAAGGTTCTATTCAGCTCGCAGCTCTCAATCATGTAGCTATGTACTAGGTCTCAGTTGGGGCAGGCGATTGATTATTGAATACAGAGATACCTAGTCTACTCCCACTGCATCCGGCAACCGCCTTCAAAAATCAGAATCAACAATAAATGAACCATGGCCCTCAACCCACCGTAAACAAGAGTCACCTCCAATGTGCAGAAGTCCCTACCAACTCACCTCGATAGCTACCTAGGTACTTAGTGACCAGCAGCAAAACACGTTCAGGATTTTCTCTTCCGTCTCCCGTGAGCCGACGGGATTCTGTCCCCCGCATCCCTGGAGATACTGTAAAGGACAAAGAATCTCGTACCCCGCGCCATGACAGATATCACCATCACCGCAGTGGTTAAGAGCCTGTAGGCTTCCCCCCTCGATTACTGACTCTTTGCGCAATCAATGGCCAATTCTCAAGACTTTTTGTGCCGAGTTTCCCGATTGAGAACCACGGCAAGGACAACAGCGTTGGACAAAGGATAATAAGCGTATCTACCTAATGTCTGGAGTGAAATGATGTGATATCCCATTCTTGGTTTATATTCTTGTCTTGAGTTACATTACTTTTCACACCTGTAATATCCCAAGATTAACACATCCAGACTACGATACGTCTTCTGCCCTCGCCTCATACTATTAATTCAGCGAAACGACTAGCAGTCCAGTTGCCGAGAGAGTCAACCAACCTTACGAAAGACCTGCGTCATCCTCCAACACAAAATGGCACCCGCACTGGACGTCTACGATGCGAATTCAACCGAGAACCGCAGCGTGCAAGCCCTAGGCAAGACCAAGTCCGGCAAGACGCTGAGAATCCGGTCATATCCGAAATTTGACTCCCTAGAAGAGGAGCGGTTGTATCGCAAGCAGCATCTCGCAGCTGCATTTCGAGTCTTTGCTGATCGGGGATTTGACGAGGGTGTTGCCGGTCATATTAGTGTGCGAGACCCTATTCTGAGGGATCATTTCTGTGAGTATTTTTGATTCTGTCGGTTGATGGGCTCCTTCCTACCTTGTTGTCTGTTGTATTGGAAGCGCGTTCGGTTCTTTTCATGAGGTGATTTGGTTTGAAGAGTAGTCATTATCAAACATTACAATATGCTGATACACCTCCTACTTAGGGCTCAATCCACTCTCCACACACTTCAGTCAAATCAGCGTCTCAGATCTTATTCTGGTCAACGAAGAGGGCGAGGTGGTGATTGGCGACGAGCCCATCAACGCAGCGGCATTCGCCATTCACTCGGAAATTCATAAGGCACGGCCGGATGTTGACGCGGCATGCCATGCACACTCAGTGTACGGCAAGGCATTCAGTGTGTTCGGTCGAGAGCTGGACATGATGACCCAGGATGCCCTACGTTTCTGGAAGTCGCATGCCGTTTATGACAATTTCGGTGGCGTGGTGTTGGATCGCGAGGAAGGAAAACGCATTGCCAAGGCACTGGGTAATGGCAAGGCTGTTATTCTGCAAAATCATGGCCTGCTCACCGTTGCCAAAACGGTCGATGCTGCGGCCTTTTGGTTCATCAGTCTTGATAAGACTTGTCATGCTCAGTTGTTGGCTGATGCTGCGAGTGCCGGTACCGGGTATAAGAAGATTCTTATCAGTGATGAGGAGGCCGAGTTCTCCTTTGCGTCCGTTGGTACGGATGAGAAGGGTTGGCTCGCTTTCCAGGGATATTATGATGAGCAATTGGCGAAGACAAATGGCAGTTTCTTGAAGTGAGGAGGGTCTGTGAGAGAGCGCACTCCACGTGTTCGAAAAGTGGTACTTGCCAGCTCGATTGTTACACGATGAATGATTCATGACCGCCGCCCTTAGTATGTCGAGTGATATTTCAGTTTCACGTCATAGGAGCTTACGTATCTGGGCTCACATCAAAAAATCGTCAGTGGATTTACCCTTGCTCATCCAACCGGCATTCCAAGTATCAAACTTCCACACTCAATGAAAGAGAGATCAGAACCTGCTCTGTGGTCCGTACCTGCCTGTACAAGGCTCCAAGCTCCTGCCCACTCACCCTGACGCTCCTTCCGATATGGAAGACTGTTCCACCATTCACCTACTTACATCTCGTTTGCTCGTTCCAGCTTGGGGCGTCCTCGGATAAGTGAGTGAGATTATGAGAAAGAGAAAGTGCAGCTCCAATGATGGCAGGGAAAGGCATTAGCAGGTAGAATTTGCTGAACTCGTTCACGGTTCCCTCATGAGATCAATTTCAGTCGCCCGCAACCGATGACAGAGGCAAGGAGAGGTCTGAGTTGAGGATCAAGTGAGCTCCGCAAGCGATAAGCCGTGTCCGACTGAGATTGGATTATATTTCTTATCCGAATACGTGGAATTGCATGTACCAAGATAGTAGCAGACGCATCAGCATCGATATTGGTGTCAGCATCAATGAAAAGAACGATGTGATGAACGAGTCCACGCGAATCCTCCACTCGCAGCCTGAGTTGACATGCACAAAGTCATGTTGCTGCCTTTATCCATATTTAAAGCGGCGTAGGATATTGCATTTACTTACTAGTAGGTAGAGAAAGCACGCGCTAGGATTTCGGGAAGTCCTCCAACCCTTCGTTCTTTCCCAGAATACGAGACGCTGAAACAGGTTTCGTCGTTCGGTGTCTAGCTAAACTCCAAGGCACCTATGTGCCCTAATCACATATGCACAGCTAATGTCTGACTTGTGTTCTCCGTGACGTCCATCCAATGATGAAAGCCTCGACCTTTCGAAACCTTCAACTAGATCTGTCGACTCGACTAACCTGACTTGTCCATTTGCTCCAGAACCCAGAGAACCATTCTTAGCTCGCTGCATCCGATCATGAAACTCAAAAACCCCGAAAACAGTGCATCCGTTGGGGCGGATAAAACAGATCTGCCCAGACCACTGGATATTCAACATGGAGTCAGGTATCTGACCAGGTGGATAATCATCGAATCCCTGTTTGATCCCCGAGATCCAGGTTCAAGGCGTCGAATTCAGGCCAACCACGACTCAGACCCGGAAGAACGAATGCTTTGTTTCCTTCAAAGCGACGATATGATGGTTTCCGAAGACCTGCACAGTTCTGCACATACCGCTGCATATCAATCTGTTGATGTCCGTCATTAGCCTGAAGCAGAATCGGTGATCTCAATCGACGTCATGCCGACGACTGAACTTTAAAAAAGGCCGTGCTTTGGGAAGTTTGGCAGCCGCCCCTCCCGCAGCCCCTCATGCATCTTGCTTCTAAATTTCAAATAATTGACCTCGGATCCACGTCTCCAGTGATTCTGGGTCGCTGCGCAGGAACGATCAGAGTTCTGTCGTCCTATCGCCGGGCCTGCGTCAAAACAATGGAAAAAGGGCGGAAATGAAGTGGATTCGAGGGAGGGGGCGGTCGAGCGGGCGATGAAACAATGATACCAATACTTCATGTTGGTTTGTTCATTCAATGGTCACTTTGCCTAACCTGAGGGACTAGCCAGAAGTCTCTTGTCTGCTCTGGCCCAAGGTTTAGTCTTGACTTGAGTTCGGTTCGGTTCGTCATTAAGCAGTTGGTATAAGTAGTTCGTGAGGGCACGCTGCATCGTCCTCGTAGATCGCTTTCATCATTCGCAGATAGAACCTCCAAAAGACAAACCACCCAGATCCTTGCCTACTTCGAAACAAAATTGAAACAGAAATACACAACTCACCAAGAGAATCTATTCCCTACCCACAATACCTCACATAACCAACCACTCAACATGCCTTCCGGAAGTTGTTTCTGCGGAAACATCAAGGTCGAGTACTCTGGCGAGCCGGCCATGACGGTCAGTAGTAGTAGCAGTCTCGCTCACAACAGAGCATGCTAGCCCTCTAGCCCACTCAAACCCCATCAACCAAAAACCACAATCTCTCGATCCACGCACTAACTAACAAACTGCACACAGGCGCTCTGCCACTGCGCCGACTGCCGCAAGATCGGTGGGGCCAACTACAGCAACAACATCGTGGTACCCGTGGCGAACTTCAAGATCCTGAGCGGCAAGCCGAAGGAGATCTCCAAGACGGCGGACTCGGGCAAGTCCATCACCAGCTCCTTCTGCGGCGACTGCGGCACCACGCTGTGGCGGCACGGCGACGCCTTCGGCGGCGTCGACGGCATGCGCATCATCAAGGCGGGCATCCTCGACGACGTCAACGTCATCAACAGCATCAAGCCCGGCGCTGAGCTGTTCGCGCCTGGACGCGTCAGCTGGGTGCCGGCCGTCGAGGGCGCGGGCCAGGTCGATGCTATGCCGCCTTCTTAGTTGAGAGGGGAGATTTGGTTAGGGGAGAGTCACTAGGGATTATGAGTGCCCATGAGCAAGAAGGGAGGAAGAGCTGCATGGGTGGTGAGGCGTACATACGAGTAGTTTGCGTCGATATATCAGAGTTTAGTCATCAGAACAATGGTATGTATGTCACATCAAGTATATATACCCTCTTGATTATTAACATTTCGTGATCGATCAATCACGTCTTCATGCGACCGAGCCGTCTTGATGACTAACCAGGGGATCTGATCTGTATCACTTTCTGCTACATCAACAGAAACTTGATACTCATCCCCCAACGGAACTAGCAACAATAATTACATTGAAGAACTCGAAAGCTGTGCTACACAAAAGGCCATTAACCAAGAAAACAAGACGTGAATCATGGTCCAAAGCAGGCCGTAAGAAATAATCCGGATGCCTAAAATATGCTCGCCCCCTGGAGATCCCAGTGAATGCCGATTTGCCAGAAATAAACGCTATACTGATAACGAATGCGTGGGTATCATAATCCTTCTTTCGGGGTGGGAAAACTTGAAAAATTCCGATGTTATAGTAGGAGTCCAGCCAGTCGACTTTTGGTGGGCTTGGTTCATTGCTGCAAGATCTCAATTTGCAGTGCCGTCTTCATCGCACGTTGAAAGAGCTGTCTTTCGAGTAGGACTGTCTGCTTCGATCGATCCTTCCGCGGCCGTGTTCTTGGTGGGGCTTACCAATGGACTCGGTGCGACGAATCTTCGGGCTGGGCTGGGCATGGGAGGAGCGGGAGACCCTCTTCTTGCTGGACTCGAGAGTGGGCTGGCCATGGCGAGGCTTCTAGCGCGGGCATGAAGCTTTCGTTCTTCGTCTCCATTCCAATCTTTGGTAAGTTCGGCTCGTACTCCACGGCTCCATTCACGGACGACATCCTCGAAGGATGCCCAGACAAGAGGTTCTTCGTGTTGATTTGCGACTGCCATGACGTCCAGTTTCATCTTCAGTTCCCATCTCAATTCAGCAGCCTTTAACCAGTACCGTAGATTGTCAGCCCGTCGATATGGCTTATTGGTGTCATTGTGGCAAGTATTGATGTAGTGGAATTGGCGTTTCGATCGCTTGACGGCAGCATTGTGCATTGAGATCAAATCCTTGCCATCGGCGAGGTTGCGGAAGAAATTTGGATACTCGTCACGAAGAGATCTCAAAGAACTTTCACACTCTCCGTTGAGCAGAAAAAGAAGGAAATTGATATCTCGTTCGCTTTCTCGACTAGTCCATTTCCGGTCGTCCATCCAGTGCCAGTCTCTTCTCTCGTGTCTGTCTGCCTCTTCCAGCTTGGCTTCTCGATCGATCATCATGCCAACATCACTGACCCAGACCAAGATTGCAAGTCTCTCATCTTCACGGAAACCACCTTCGAAATTGCGAGAGGTACATTTCTTCAACACATCAAGAACTTCATGCAGATCTTTGCGTAGTTCGTGGTCCGACTTGATCGAGTTCAATCTCTGAGGATTGGGATGTAAAGTATAATAGAGTCGCGCCGCTCGAATGGCCAAGGTCGCTGTGTCAAGAATATGAAGACCCTGGATTTCGTGGAAACCTTGAGTGCTCTCTTCAGGATCATCAGTCAAATTTCTCTCACACGATTCCACCGCTTGTAAAGCATTTTCGAGAGCTTCGACCAATTCACGTTTCATCGTCTTCTGGTCCGGGGGCGGAGCAACATCATTGGAACGATGTCTATAGGTCGAGACATTTGGAGGGAGCATGACTTCCTGGCCATCTTCCTGAGCAGCCTCCCACATTGCTTGTGCTTCGTCATCGATCGGAGACTCAACGACATCCTGGTTCGCGGCTAGCGAGAACTTGGGGATGTCGTACTCTCCATTTTGTTTTCTCCTCGCCATTTGACCACCCTTTCCTTCCAGTAAACCTGTCCGAGCAAAGTAGTACTGAAGGTGGGCTATGCTTCCCAGGCTCATGACACTTTCCCGTTTTATTGCTGATTCGGCAAAAGAACCTCCTTGTGGACGGACATAACCTCGTCGACGGGGATACGTGCTTGATCGGGAAGCAGAAGAGCCATTCGAATAGGCGGAAAAGTTTGATATCGAAGAGACAGCGGAGACGGATCGGTGTGAAACGAGACTTGCAGAGTCGGGAGTTGCTAGAAGACTTGGAGAAGTCGAGGGGGAAGCAACAACCGGTATTGATGATGATTCCAGATCGACCGTCATGATGGGGGGAGAAGGTAGAAGGTGGTGATGCCTGGCGTAAGTGAGGTGTGTTACGTGGTGTGGTGGAGGTAGCACAACCGTGGCAGCGGAGACAGGGTCGGTGGTGTCGTGTCGTGTTGCACCGCTTTGTAAAAGACTGGCTGTGGCAGTTTCTGGAGATGGAAAGGAAGGTTGTGTAAAGAGCAGGAAACTGACCCAGCAGGTTTCACGAGGAACAAGAATGAGTGAATGAGTGAAATGAATGTAGACTGCTTTCCACAACGCACGACATGCAGTGGGTGGTGATGGTGGGAGCGTCAGAGCACGGGACAGGTTAATAGAGGCACTGGCAGTCTGGCACTGCGAAGGACGCCGGTGGCGGTAACAACGACTTGGGCTCTGGGAGACTGGGAGATGACAGTTCCGGGATGGGAAAGATTAGTTGCTGGTGAAATTGGATGGCGGCACTAACTGGAATCCGTTAGATAAGAGTCTCTCTTTGCTGAAGACTTGGAGTCCAAGTCAGCAGAAAGGGGTTCATCTCGATTCATGCCTAGGTAGTTCGATCCATGATCCAGAAAGAGCCCCATCGGATAATTCGACATCCAGCTTCACAACTACGAGATACTACCGGCATCATCCTTGGCTATCTGAATCTCGGGTTTGACAATTTGTGAACAACTCCTCACATGGTCTCACTTGGATGATTTTCTTGACGATGAGCTTGCGGTCTGGACGATTTCGAATACAAACAGGAAAACCATACAGCAAATGATGCTCAACTTTTTTTATGTTTATTTCTCAGGGGTGGGTTTGTTGACATTCTGAAAGCAGAACGCGTTTTGGTGCCCCGAATGCCGCCCGAAGCCAATGCAATAATAAACTCCCAGGTGCTCCCCTCAGGCCTCGGACAAGACCACTCCTAGTGGACGTTGCCCCGAGTCACTGCCAATAATTAATCCGGCGCCGGAGCTTGAAATCGTGTGGCGTCATCCTTACGCCACGAAAATGCCCCGCATCAACATTTCACCGGTTCAAGTTGAGGCAGTCAGTGAGAATGGATGATAGGCATCGAAAAATTGTAGGTCAATAACTACATGTACGAGCAATAGTAAATTGACTGCAACATGTCGAACCGCATAGCTTTCACAGTCCATGGCAGAGTGCAAGGCGTCTGCTTCCGGTAAGCAAGGTTCTAATACCACCACCAGTCTCACATCAAATGCGAGACAAACAGTCCACTTCAGGATCTGTCTAATTGACACTACTCAACAGCGACTTTACGCAGAAGAAAGCGAATAGTTACGGCATCACTGGCTTTGTCAAGAACACAAACGACGGAAAGGTACGTCCAGCATCACGCCAAGGCAATATCCATGGCTCCTGGCCTATTCATGAAATACTAATGCACAGATATCTCGGGCAGGTTGTGGGCGAGGCACAGGGAAATGAGGACGCATTGAAGAAACTGAAAGGTGATCTTAATGAAGGGCCTCGGGCGGCTCATGTCGTCAAGCTTGAGATTAAGGAGATTCAGTCGAAGGACGGAGAGAGTTCTTTCGATGCATAGTGAATTGATGTTGAAGAAGCTGTACCCTCATACCAGTTGACTGCTCTTGCTACCAATATCAAAGCTGAGGGGACACTTGGATATACAATGTTGGACAGCCATGGTTCCCAATTCGTGGGGGTTTGGGTCGGCAATTGAGTTCCCTCGAAATCCTCCCAGATCCAAGCCGAAATCTTACCACGGTCTTGATGACCTTGACAGTCTTTCTCCAACTTCTATGTCTTCTGCGAGTCAGGATCAGCATTCTCAAGCGGGAGTTAGTTAGGTCCATGACGTTCGCTTGTGCACCCTGAGCCTATGCCGAAACTTAACTTGGGCGGACAAGATGCCCGTTTGTCGGACGATCTGACCGAAAATGGCACGAAATCCTGTGGGACCACCAAACAGGAATTGGACAATCGACGCATGCACGCAGACGAGGAAATGTAAAAGCAAGGCTGTGGATCTGGTCCTGAACAAATTTGCATTGACGGCAGACAGGCCGCTCATTATGATATCCGATGCCACCCGATACTCCTGTGCTTGTCACCACTCGGTCATTGCAGTCTTATTCTCACTACATCACTCATCTTAGATATATGGCAAACGTGTTGTGTCAACTAACTCACCGTTCAAGTCCTCAATTCTCGCCATCATGATAGGAAAGCTCCCACTGCGCGTGGGCAATGTCTCAGGCGCGACAGGGGACCATCCTCATGCCATGGCCCGGATGGTCAAGTCTGGAAATGTCGACGTGATTACCGGTGACTGGCTATCAGAAATGAACATCGCCTGGAATGCCATCATTAAACGCGACACGGACCCCGACCTTGGTTATGAAGATGGCTTTTATCAGCAGCTGGACGAATGTCTCGATAATATTGTTGAGAAAGGTATCAAGGTAGTGACAAATGCCGGAGCGCTCAACACGCTCAGCTTGTACAATAAAGTCCAAGATTTGTGCAAACGCCGTGGACATGGAGACATTGTCATCGCTGCCGTCCTTGGAGATGACGTGACCGATATCATAACGGATTCCCAGAGACGAAGTCAACTACAATTTACTCACTTGGACCATCAAGACCGGTTGTTGGACAATTGGGAACTCAAACCATTCTGTGCAACAGCATACATCGGATGTCAGGGTATTTCCAAAGCCTTAAAGGCTGGTGCCAGCATTGTTATCTGCGGACGCGTCACAGATGCTTCACCTGTCATGGGAGCTTGCGCTTGGTATTTTGGTTGGCAAGAAGAGCAATATGACGAATTCGCCGGCTCGTTGTTGGCTGCACATCTCATTGAGTGCGGTCCATATGTGGTCGGAGCGAACTTCTCAGGATTCAAGGATTTCCTTCCGGAATTGGTCGATCTTGCCTTCCCAATCGCGGAGATTGACTCTGCAGGTCGCTGCGCTATCACTAGGACAGTCGAAGGAGGCGGTCGGGTAACAGCCGAAACCGTCAAAGCACAAATGCTGTACGAGTTACAGGGTCACCTATATTTGAATCCTGATGTTGTGGGAGACCTTTCTGAAGTTCATATCGAGGCTACCGACAACGACCCAAACCGTGTCCGTGTCTATGGCGCACGTGGTCTACCACCTCCATCAACAACAAAGGTCATGTTTGCAGCTCCTGGCGGCTATCAAGCAGAAGCAACATTTTACATCAACGGATTAGACATCGCTGAAAAAGTGGCCATGATGAGAAAACAGCTGGACTATGCTTTCCGAGACAACAACTTCAGCAAATTGAGCATCGAACAGTATGGTGCGCAGGTGGATAATCCGTCAACGCAGCAGGCTGGAACAGTACAGTTGCGGGTATTCGTACAAGCAAGGCAGAAGCATGATATTGCCCCATCAAAATTCAAGATTCCCATTTACGCCTTACGGATGCAAAGCTATCCGGGCTATCACATGGGTCTGGATTTTCGCACAATGGAGCCCAAAGCGTTCATGGAAATCTTTCCTGCCACAATCCCGATCTCTGCGCTTGATCTCAAGGTCCAATTGAGTACTGGAGATGTTCTTGAGGTCGCACCACCACAATTCACCAAGTGTTATCCAACGATTAGACCGTCTTACGAAACCGCCGAGCCCGTGGACCTTAGCGTGTTTGGCGCGACTAGACTCGCGCCCCTTGGGAGTATCGTCCATGCAAGGTCTGGTGACAAGGCTGATAATTCCAATGTGGGATTCTTTGTCCGAAATCAAGATGAATATCCATGGCTTCAGACGTTTCTGACAGTGGATCGACTCAAGGGGCTGTTCGGTGATGACTGGTTCAAGTGTGATCCTCAGCGCCGAGTCGAGCGTGTCGAATTTCCCGGTATCTTTGCTGTTCACTTGTAAGTCAAATTCGTGATAGGTCCAAGCTCGTTACTAAATCATCCTTAGCCGTATCCTTGATAACCTGAATGGAGGCATTGCGTCATCCGACAGGATTGATGGCCTTGGAAAGGGAATTGCTGAGTATCTTCGAAGCCGACACGTTGAGATCCCCATCAGCTTCCTCCAGAAAGGTGCCATATGAGCCTCCGTGCTGTACACTGATATCACGCGAAAGACCGGGGCTAGCTGCCATTCACCAATAGGTAGTACCAAGGTCTTTGGATTCCCAAAAGCCAACCTTGCGAAAGTGCTGCAATAGCTGTCACTTCAGTGTTGATCGGTGCATCAATCCTGCAAATCGCCAAGGCGGTCCTGCAGAGTGCTATCGACCGTCATATACCCCAATCCCCTCGGGCACGTTTGACAGATCAATCTCAGGCATACGGGTGGCTGACATCGGATTCATCATAACGCCCAAATCAAGAGCGTGACGACCAGCCATGGCATTGGGAAAACTTGCGCCTCTCCTTTGCGCCCCCAACCACGTCACTCAGAACTGCGTCGCTCAGCTTATCAAATAACTTGTGAATAGCTTTTTGCTGGAAATTCGCCAAGCTAAGAGAAGTGATAGTGTGGCCATGCATCAGGTCAGGCTGTGAATATCAACGCATTTCTGGTTTCGCAAAAATAGTAAAATCAATCTTCAAGCCAGGACTGATAAAGGCTACCCGATCGGGCCAGCTTTGCTGGATGTTCTGGGGCGATGGAATGGAACACGCCAACGGGCACAATGGCATTGGATGGAGAATCTTCACGCCGGAGCATTTAGCCATGTATCTGACCTACTGGGAAAGTTGGAGAAGGATCCACCTTTGTGTGCTGTCGAGTCTAAAAGCCGATACGAAGGATTGTGGGTGAAATGAACCAGTCAATTAGCTACTTAGTATCAAATGAGCATATCGGCAACCGGGACCGACGCCCGATGACAGGCATGTTTGACTTTGGTCAGCCACTGAACCTCGGCAAGTCTTAACTTGACCCAAGATTGCTTGCGTCTTGAGCTTTTGTTGAGAACCGTCCTGTTCGTCCCCTCTAAATCACCACCACTGGGAAAAGCTAACCAATGCATCGGCCATAATCAAAATGCGTATCATTCATTCCAACCAGGCCAAATAGCTTCAGATAAAGCTCGTACGAGCTCCAGCTTCTCCCACATCCTCTCCCTCGTCATTCCGACACCCCCTTCAGAATGATCACTGGCAAAACCACACTGGGTTGAAACTGCGAGATTATCATGAAGCGCATCTTCACGTTTCCGCCCTTGACCTTCGGCGATGACGTCGGCTGCTTGATAGACCTTTGCTTTGAGCTCGTCCAAATTCTCCATTTCCGAGAACTTGGTTGTGACCACGCCAAGCACCACCGCTTTAGCGACGGGGAGATACTTCAGCGGGGTAAAGTCTCCTGCTCGAGGACTATCGAACTCGAGATAGAACAGCTTATAGCTGGTTTCGTTGAAGAGCTTCCTCGATATCCGTTCGTAGCTTCCACTGGCGAGCCCGACCCCGTTGGGAAAATTGCCTCGACAAATATGGATGCCGACATGAAGGTCCGATGGCAAATCCTTGATCGCGTCGTTGTGAGATTTGATGTATAATTCCAAAAGCCTTTCGAGATCGACGCCTTCTGACTTGCAAGTCTCGATCCATTTTTCATCACAGAAGAAGGACAGATTCGGATCATCGACTTGAATGACACGCAAGCCGTGCTCGTAAAGCGTCAAGATTTCCTTTCTGACCGCCGTGCTCATGTCGGCCAGCAGGTCTTCGTCTCTCGCGTATATTTCCTTGTCGTAAGGCTGCTTCAATTGTATGTGCCACCAGCCAGGTGGAGGAATCGTCATCTTCGCATTCTTCCATTGGTTCTCTGGCAGTAGGCTCTTTAGGTACAGCCAATCGTCAAGATATGCACTCCTGTCCAGAGATACCTTGCCAGTGGGATAGCCTGCAGGCCTTCCCGGAACACCCCATTCCAGCAGAGGTCGATTCGTAGGAAAATCCAACTTGAAATCCTTCATGGGGGTGTATCGAACCTCAAATCCAGTGAGGGTTTCGAAAAATTTGTCGTAAAAAATCGTCCGCTCATATTCACCCGTCACAATGGGTAAAATCTTCCGGTTCAGCTGCTCCTTGACAACTTCCTCGATTGCACGGTCCTGTTCGACCTTGACGGACGCAGCAGGATTGGTTGCTGCTACATCTTCCGAGCCGAGCTCTTGGTCACCCTTGGGTTCACTTCGTAGTCGATTTTGCGGTGATTGCAAGCTTTTTCGTGCTTTGATCAATGCTTCTGGTCGTAGAAGTGAACCCACTTGGTCTGCACGAAACGGGGGAGCCATGACTGATTCCTGTTCCCGTTGATTTTTGTAGAAATGTCTTTCCCATATATAGCTGATCTCGCCATGAGCTGAACGAACAGGTAACCTCGGCGAATCGCCGAAAACATTGAATCCCATTGGTCATGGTCAACCCAGCTATGTGAGGGGAAATGCTTTGGCGGAAAAATACCGATGCAGGTGAGATCTTGGGAGATCGAGAGCAGCCAAGAGATGTGACCATCTTGGAATAAACAAATATTCGGGAAGGTAGGTACTATCTATCGTATCGTTCTAACCGACACAGATTAATCTGCACACTGGAAAGACTCCCATTTATCCGAGTTACTTCCCACCAACCTTGCTGTCTGCGGTCAGGGGCACAGTTTCCTTGTCCTGTTGCTGTGGTCTAGCGGCCCAGAGCTTTCAATTTGAAGAGGTGCTGTCCCATTCTCCGCCCACGCAGTCAATGCATCCAAAACATGATATGTCCCTGGTGTCTGTGGATATGGAGCAGATGCGCCACAGTGACCACCTCCAGGTACCATGAACAATCGATAAAACTCCGATGCGTTACCTGCAAAACTGCCCAGTGAGGTGAGGAAAGCATCCGTCTGTTCTAGCTGCTTAATCGGCCAGGTCGGTGCGTTCAGCGGATCTGCCCAACCTTGATATACGATCAACTTGCCACCTTTATTCTTGTAAGCGAGCAGATCAGGAGAGATTGAATCAATATAGGGTGAGGCCCTCGAGTCCACCAACTTGAGATCCTCCGAACTGAAATTGAAGGACGTATAATCATATTTCAGATCTTTGAACACCAAGTTCTGGATGATGGGCACGGTGTAGTTGAATGCCAACACTGTCTCCTGATATAACCACAAGCTTTCGGATCCTGACTCAAACCCTGGATACACAACCCTTCCAGTATCAGATTCTTTGGGGCCAGCTCGGATCGCTTTATAGGTTGCGATTTGCTTCTCAGTGAGGCATTGAACTCCTTCCGTGGTATTTGGTGCTTGCCCAGAAGCACACTGGAGCTGGGAGATATTGAACTGACATTCAAGAGGATTCTCGATGACTCCGTCCATGACTCCATCTGCACCATCACAACTTTTAATTGTTGCATTTGCAATGAAGGTAAGGGTATCCTGGGCAAGTAATGCATCTTTTGCTGCAAGATAGTTCCACAGGAAACTGAGGATGAGGTGGCTGTACCAGTTTCCAGGACATCCTGCAATGATGCCGTCAAATAGTTCAGGATGATATTGAGCAAGAGCGAAGCCTTGTGCTCCACCAGTCGAGCATCCCTGGAAATATGAATGCGATGGTGGCTGCCCATAGAACCTTTCCACCAAGTCACGCGTCGGCGTGGTCAAGGAGGCGATTGATTGACGTATCCATTCGATTGTTTGTTCCTGGTCCTGCAGGAAAGGAATATTCTGTCCAACTTCCGTTGTTCCATTGCCATTGTTCGATAGAAGATGGCCAGAGTCTCCTGCTGCGACTGCATAGCCTGCATTCACCTCTTGCAACATGCCTGCGTAGTCGATGACTCCTGCAAGTCCTCCATTGCCTAGAGGAATTAGCTGCATTGTCCTAGTATTGGCACGAAGTCAACCATACCAACAACGAGATATCGGCCATTCCATTTCTCAGCGGACGGCATCCACACTTCAACTCCAATCGAATTGTTCAGTCCATACCCAACTTGGCCCTTGACACGACAGAGTGGCAGTTCGTTGGTAAGAGTACTCAAAGATGGGAAAGAGATACTCTGAGCAGACACTTGGCTGGAGTTCGTGATGGAAAAGCTCGAGTAATCAGCAACATGCATAGCCAAGTCTTCACATGCATGTCCTTGAGCCGCAAAGCACTGCAAGGCATTGAGCGCCAAGGTCATATACAATTGACACATTCTGGGAACCATAATTAGCTTCATAATTGGCCGACACTGGTGAATAGCTCAACCACTCTGAGAATGTGATCAGAGGGACCAAGACGAGCCAAGAGCCCCAGTTATATACCATCTTTTCGGTCGAATTGGCCGAAGGCATAACAGCAATTGACACTCATGCTTTTGCAGAAACGGGGCTTTCATATCTCACAAAAGTAGGTAGACTTGAACCAGGTGGCCGTCCTTACCTGGAAAAAGCCGCAGTACCAGTGCCTTTGCGAGAACCTTTCCTAGCAAGGGCGGACTTTCAATATGGGTTTCGTCATTGTCAAGTGGGCCAGAAACGCAAGCAATCCTGGATTGTGTAACTCAAAGTTCGTTTCTCCAAATCGGCAGTTCGGGTAGTTTTTGTAGAAACTTGTGAACCCAAAACCAAACAGACATTTATCCGGGCTGCCCTCGTCACGAGAATTCGAACGATGTCCGGCATAATCCCCCGATGCAGACTAGTCAAATCATTGTCGATCTTCTGGGGATGGCTTTCAGTGTTGTGGGAGGTATTTGTGGGGGTTTGATATCCCCCAACATTTTTCTCCAGTCATCAAACCATTGCCTCTGACGGTGGTGGTCGATTCATACAGACTTAGCTTAGCTGCGGCCTGTTATCCGCTCGATTTTGCTTGTCGGACAGTCAGTCCGATGGCTCCTTAATCGCTTCAGCCTTGGCCAGCCTTGGCTCTGTGGGGGATTGATCCATACCAAGGAACAGGGTATCATTCCTGACTCTCATCTCCAACTAACGGCTTATCCTTTTAGACGAAGATGATATATAGCATGATGACGGATCTAACACGAGTGGTGTTCTCCTCACCGCTGTTGGTCTACTCCTCCTTCCCTCGATCAATTTTTTACAACCTTGATCGTTTTCACACCAACAGAAGCCATGTCAAATCAACAACCAAAAGACGAGGATACTCGCTCTTCACTTGAAAAGGCTCCCCATGAGTCTACTCTGCATGTGGAGGAGCTCATGCGGGGTGGTCTGACAGAGGAAGATGCTCAATTTCTGCACAACGTCCCCCCGAAACAACAAAGCCAGATCTACCACAAAGTCGACATCCGTCTTGTACCAATGTTAGCTCTTCTCTATTTAATTTCTCATCTAGATCGGGCGAACATAGGGAACGCAAAAATTGAGGGACTTGAGAAGAGTCTTGGTATGACTGGAACGGACTACAACGTTGCTTGTAAGTATTTCATTACTGAGGAGTCTGGTTTACTAGATTATGGTTTTCTGATGATTGTTTCTTAGTGGCGATCTTCTTTGTGCCATATGTGCTTTGCGAAGTTCCCTCAAATCAGATCCTTGTTAGATGTCTTCCATCATACTACATTGGATCCCTTGTTTGTTGCTGGGGCCTCGTGATGACATTCACTGGCTTCGTTCAGGGTTTTGGTGGTCTAGTCGCGACAAGATTCCTGCTTGGATTGTTCGAGTACGTCGAAAGCGAACCCTTGAAGTTAATTTGCCTCTTGCTAATTTGAAATAGGGCAGGTTTTTTCCCAGGCGCTATTTTCCTCGTCGGACAATGGTGAGTTCTGTTACTTCGCCATTGCTATGAGCCAGCTAACTCAATATCCCAGGTATCCTCCGAACAAGACGCAGAGTCGAATGGCGATGTTCTACTGCGCATCAGCTCTTTCAGGGGCATTCTCTGGACTTCTCGCATACGCCATTGCGAAAATGAACGGGCTAGGGGGCTATGAAGGCTGGCGTTGGATCTTTATCATCGAAGGAATCGCCTCCGTTGTGATAGGAGTTATGTGCTTCTTCACCTTACCCGATAGTCCATCACGAGCCAAATGGCTTTCCCCAGACGAGGCCCGCTTCCTCAACATCATCCACGTGTTGCACCGTGGACGGAAGGAGAAGGAGGCGTTTATCGAAGGCACCAACAAGAAGAAGCCGTTCAACTGGAACGTATTGAAGCAGGTTGTCACAGATTGGCAGCTCTATCTCCAAGCCATAGTGTTCATGTCGAATGCTGTACCAAACTACGGCTTGAAATTCACTATGCCCCAGATCATCAAGAACATGGGTTTCACATCCTCGAAAGCACAACTTTTGACAGCACCACCATACACGGTAGGAGCTATTTCGGCTTTGTGCTCGGCTTTGCTCGCGGATCGGTTTGTCTGGCGCATGCCTTTCATCGTGGGTGCACAGACGCTCCTAATCGTCGCCTACACGATTCTCTTCGTGAAGGCTGAGCATATTGCCGACAATGTCCCGCTGTGCTATTTCGCCGTGTTTGTCGCTTGTGCTGGAGTCTATCCAATCCTTCCTGGATGCAATGCTTGGACGATCAATAACCTTGCTGGACCAGCCAAGAGAGCACAAGGTATTGCATGGATGATAGCGATGGTAAGTTTTCATCCGTTTTGCCTTTTAATTCATATCCAGAAAAATTGCGCAACTAACATGCCTCTCACCACCAGGGCAACTGTGGCGGCATTGCAGGATCTTTCATCTTCATTGACAAAGAGAAACCGAAATACCCGACTGGCTTCGGCAGCTCCCTGGCATTTGCAGCGGCGGGTATCGTTTGCGCCCTGACACTTGAATCCTTGTTCTGGACCATCAACAAACGCAACGCTAGTTGGTCGGAGGCAGAGATCCGGGCCAGATATACCGATGCTGAACTCGAGAAGATGGGTGACCGCTCACCATTGTTCAAATATGCGTTATGAGAGCCGCTTAACGGCAAAGCTAGAACCTCGGAAAACGGGTGCATTCGTTGGCGAGTTTTAACCCTTTTAAAGAGCAACAAGAGAAATAAGTTATACCTTGTGGAGATACTGGCAAGCTTGAACCCAATTTTCTGAATCAAGGGTACTTGTATTTACATATATTGGATAAAATCCCGCACAGAATACAGGATAGAATGCTTTGTATCTGTATGTCTCGTAATACCTTGCATGCTAAGGATCACCTTTTTTCGGATGGGTTTTGGTCAGTTCGGTGCTCCTGAGCGGATAAAATCCAAACAAAGCCGTATCTATCAACCTTCGGGATACACATTCGAATCGTAAGTCCAATCTGGTGAACATCCTGCGGGATAGGCCTTGTCTGCTAGCTCGGATCACGGAGTGGAAGTTCAATATCCACGCCGTGGCGCTGGAGGCTGAGTCGAAGTGTTTTGAGTACACGAGACCGTAGGTTAACCAATTGACATCTGGCGCCCAGCTAACCGACTTTGACTCAATTGTGTCTAGCCTCGCTTTTAAATAGAATGGTACAGGGTCTTCATTCGAAGTTCGAACCCGGGTCTACTCTGGCTGCTACGCTAGTCTCTAGCCACAGACTTTACTCAAAGAAGGATCTTTTGCTTGACTCCGATGATTTGACTCCAACAAATGAGTCCGACAATCTGACTCCAACAGTCTGACCACGATAAGTAACTCTGACAGACACCATCATTAATCCTACAATGACTGAGGCTAGAGCACCAGATCCCGAGCCTATGAGTTGGTTTATGGACTTATGGTTGTATACATCTCTAGCCTGCGGATTGACTCCTTTTTTCGGACACAGGCCCAACCTGATCTTCCCAAATTCCATCATCAGAAGTCCGCCACTGAGGATGGTGGCTCCACCTCTCGGATGGGTGTATCCATTCATGCAGTTTGGGTGCAAACTCCTGGCAGCGTTCAACGTGAAAGGAACAGAAGTTCGGGCTGGGAGAATACCTCGCAGCCAAAGCCCTAAAGAAGATAAGTTGGTCGACAAGCCCTTCCTTTGCAGTGCTTGGATACCCTCACTTCTGTAACTACCCAGAAAAGAAAAAGACTCCCGGAAGCCGAGTGAAAATCGTTGTGACCCAGCTGCTGGATTGCTGTAAGGTAGCTTGTCAATTTCATCATGCCCCTGTTTGCATCGACCCAACGAAAAGGGGATCTCAAAGATGCGTGGGGCTATCAATTCCGATGGACAGAGAATCATCAGACTGCAGAACAATACAATCATTTGAAGTATTCTTGTGATACTCTCGCTGAAGAATGCTCCATCATCTTGAACGGTTGGCCTTCTTCGGAAGAAAAATATCGCAGCTATGGGAAACAGGAAGTCGCCTTGGGAGAGTCGCCCTCGAAACCAGACGAAAAGAAAAGTGCGAGCCCCTCAAATCCGCCGAAACGCGATCTGTACCGTCTATTCCAGGATCACCATAAGGAAGACGCAAAGTTGCAGCAGCTTTGGGACGAGGTGAACACGATTCCGCAATGGGTGGACTGGGACCAGATTGGCCGAGGCCAAGACGTTCTGTATAGATATGGAGGTGCGACCTTTACGGGCTTGACATATCAATCACTCGTGGGAGGCACAGCAGGCAGCCGAGTGGCCGAAGTGCTCTCACGCACCGGAGGCTTCGCAATCCACACGGTATTGCGTCGGCTTCTGGAGACGACGTTATATATCTTGGAATGCACCGACAACGTCGAATCCATCAAGCCTGGAGGCAAAGGGTTCGCGAGTTGTCTACGGGTGCGATTCCTCCACGCCACAGTCCGTCAACGGATCCTTCAGCTCACTTCCAAGCACCCGTCCTACTACTCGGTGGAGAAGAATGGTGTACCAGTCAACGACCTGGATTGCATCGGGACTATTGCAGGGTTTTCATCGACGATAATCTGGCAATCCTTGCCTAGACAGGGTATTTACCTCCGTCAGCAGGAAATAGAGGACTATATAGCGCTTTGGCGTCTTGTGGCACACTATATGGGCACACCGACCGAACACTTCTCCACCCCTGCAAAGGCCAGGGCAATCATGGAGTCGATATTCCTGTACGAGTATAAACCATCGCCAACATCACAAACGCATGCACAAAACATTATCCTCGCCCTCGAAAACACGCCCCCGGCTCACGCCAGCCGCCCCTACCTCGAAGCCAGCGCACGTTGGCTCAACGGAAACCGGCTTTCCAATGCCTTGGGTCTTGGCCGGCCAGGACTCTACTACTCATTCCTGACCGTCTGCCAATGCTTGATGTTCATGACAGTCTATTACACGTGCCGCGCAATTCCATTACTCGATCGTGCCCAGATAAAAGCCAGTCGCTCCGCAGTCTGGGCCGCCCTCAAGACTTCGGAATACGACTTGGACAGCCGTTTTGCCTTTGATCTCAAATATCTTCCCAAGTTGGAGGGCCAACGCAAGACCGAGTACATGTCTCCGAGTGAGCGACGCCAGGCCGATGTTTTCTGGACGGCAGACCGGAAATCTCTGTTCATCTTAGCTATACTCGGGCTTGCCTCCGTCGTGGGACCTTGGCTATCTTGGAAGGTAGTGTACTGGGCGAGCAGAATGACCTCTCCAGCAATTTTCTTTTTGAATGGAAACTGATAGGGTTTCCCGACCTGTGAATTCACTTGACTACACGGCAATTTCATTACTCTTCGCATATCAGACTAGTTTTTCCGTATTCAGATCACCTGCATCCATTAACAATCCGCTGAAGTCCAAAGGACCGTAGGCGATTTTTTGTGGCTCAACATCAATGCTGAGAAACGAGTAACCCCCCTGAAATTTTAGCATGGAAGCACTTTTCTCGCTTTTGTTTTTCGTTATATTGGAGCAATCAGACTGGTTCGGGCGCAAAACGCTGGTATAATTTTAAAGGAAAAAGAATTGAAAACAAAGATGGCACGCAATGCTTATCTGTGCAGCATTATAGTCGTATGACACAAACTTAGAGCAGAGTCAGAATACTCCAAATACAGATTTAAAGGATGTCCCAAGCCCTAGTCTTCCCTCCTCAATTGCTTCCTGTTGCGCTGAGTGAATTTTATTTATAGGGAAATCCTCTTCCTAGCCGACATTCCACTTGAGTTGTAGGATGTTGTAGGAGGAAACAACTGGAAGCAAGAGAGTGAAGGTCATTTCATATGTGCACTTCATAAGAAAAGTGAAATGTCAACATCAAAGTGAAAGCCCAGAGAATTGCATTCTGATCCAAGGGAGGCTATTTGGTATCTAACCAGTCTAGTTGTCTGCATAGGTCAGGCTTGGACTTTGAATTGTTCCCACAAGGCGGACCCCTGTGCCGTGACTCCATTGACCGTGCCTTCAATAGAGCCGATCCAGCGAGTATAGAGTCCGATGTCTATCTGAGTGGCTCTCTCCGTCACGATCGCATCCAGGATACTTCCATCATTGAGGGTCATGTTTATGGTGAGCTGGGTCGGATTGGCGGTGAGTAATGTCGGTGGATATGTTGTACCCACAGGTCGAACTTGTAGGCCACTCGTGCAGGTGGAGCCAACGACTTTGCCATCCTTTAGCACGTATCCACCAACTTTCTCCTTGTTCGAGGGATCAAGCATATCAAAGAAGACAATGTTGTAGTCTCCAAATGTTCCGTGGCCCCAGTACCAACTGTGGAGGGCAGAGGTGAATGGCACATCACCCCAATTCTGAATTGCAACCGCATTGGTCAGCCTCTCATTTTCGATACCATGAGTACCATGGGATCAAATCCTAGCCAACGCATCATTTTTGGCGCAAGAGACATACCTTATCATGATAGCCATTTCCGGAAAACTTCAATGATTTGCCCAAAATCTTAATGTCGACCTGCGCATCAGCCGCGGGCATGACGTTTACCCAGCCTATATGAGGAAGGACTTCCTCAGGTTGACCACCTTCCAACGGACCACAAACGTAGTGACCTGGGCCACGCTGGTTGTTCCTCGAGTTAGTAAATACGTCACTTCCTTGGAGATCGATCGTAAAAATCCGCAAAAGATGATAAAGCATTTTCGGGAACTCACAGTCTTCAACTTGAAAGTGCCCTCGATCCCTAGATTCAGTGCCGTCTTTTGGAACGTGACAGTATATGTGCTGAGGTCTGGTGCGCCTTGGAAACTGATGCCACTGCCTTTCCAGTCACCGGTGGCTCCATTACCATTGGTGGCGACTGTGACTGAGGTGGCAGCAATTGGAAACGATATGCCGGGACCCGAACCTGTATTGGCAAAGACGTAAACGTTCAACGGGTCAACGGCATTGAGAAGGTCGAAACTGAATCCGATATAGGAAGAGGTGAAGAAGATTACTGTCAAAGCTTGCGTGCCATCGTCCGACACGGCGTCAAAATACCACCAGTCGAATGTCGTCGCGTTGATGGGGAAGACTCTAGGGCCATCGGCCTGAGAGGCACAGGATGTGAATTGAACCTGACTGGGGCCTGTGTAGAGAACTGGCGAGAATGACAGATTATCAGCGTAGCATTGGCTGAGCCCTCCTGCAACCAATCCGTGGAGTACCGATGAAAGCTCTAGAAGGAGACCTTTCATGATGTATAGCTTGGTATGTCAGCGGAGAGTGCTTCAAGGCTTGCAAAGAGTATGTCAGAAGAGTGTCGAAAGCAAGGTGCGATGTTGTTACACCCCCCCTCACCCGAGGAACTGGCCCTCATATAGTCGACCATAGAGGGCATATAAATCCACAAGTTCCAAATTAAGAGCTACGTGTAAAACAGTGCAAAGCATGCTGGAATGGATGTTGAACTCATTGAGAAGTCAGAGATGCGACCAAGACGCCGATCGTACTCGAGTGCAACTATAGAAGTGCAGTTGGCTACCATCTGTGTCAGAGAACTTGACTACGAGAGTAACGTTGTCTAACTAGAAATGTGAGGCGTAGAATGCATAGGAAATTGGAACATGTCATGCTACTATGTTGCTAGCTATGGATTGGGAATGGCCTAGAAGCAGACAATTCGACAAAGTTTGGGCATTGGGCCGGCTTAACGGTCTCAGGCCTGAACCAACGAAACGCAACAGAGAAACCCGCCCACCAGTGACGATCACTGAGTCAGGCAATCTTAAGTACATTGAGAGGTACAGGATACTTCAATAGTGCCGGGCTCCATGTATGCAGCGTCTGTTCCTGGCAACATCCTCCCCCAGATTTGGGTAAGCGGGTTAATGGAGATGCCTCCAGCGTCCTTCAAAGCTTAATTGTTATGCCTCAGGAGTGTGGCTATATTTTGGGGCACTTCAACTACGGGTTCGGGCCTCACATCGTTGAGTGCTTAAATGTCGCCAATATGGACCACGAACAACCGATGTCGCCTCCGAGCTGATATTCCGCACCGGAAAAGTCCAAGCCACTTTGGAGAAGCCATAATATCTGGAGAAAATGTGCCATCAGTAGCGCATACTTCTCTGCTTCAAGCCACTTGGAGTGTTCACACAAACACTGCCAGGGTTGTGGTAGACAGTCGACTGAATTGCATTCAAGCATGTCTACATAGGAGTGGTGGGTAGAAATGCTGGATAGTGCGATGGCTCAATGCGAGTTTCGTTACAGGTTGGGCTGCTAGAATCTATGCAGATGAGAGGCAGATCAATAGCAAATCGAGATACACAAGTGCCAGTATCTACTATTGGAGCAAAAGGTCTTCACCAAACCAGATCCCTCCCCAATAACCATCCCAAGCCTGAGTCTGCGGGAGTCTCTCATGAGGTGTATTTGAGTGTAGAACCTCCTCAACCAGATTTCCTGCCCAATCATCCTTCGATTCCTCCGCAGATTGTTGAGGCGACAAGGGGGGTAAATATATCGAGACAGCGGGAGATTTCATGTACCATGAGTCCAGATTCTCATAGACGTCGTTAAAAATCTTGGAGAATGTATACATACCCTTTGAGAGCTGATAATTGCATGTGTCCCTCACATCGTATGACCATTTCAATCCGATGTCAGCTGCAAATTGAGCGGCAAGGCTCTCAGGGGCGTAGCTAATCCCACTTACTATCAAGTAGTCGCGAACGTCAGGCCTGGAATGCTCATTAGAAAGGAACAGGAGATCACAGAAGGATAGAAGGATAGGTCGGACTCACCAGACGAAGAAGTCCACCAGCCTCGAATGCTCAACCTGAGACTGCAAAGCGCTACCTTCTGTTAGAGAGAGAAAGAACGCTAGGGAAAAGTAAGAGGGTTTCCACCTGGGATTCATGTAGGCTGGAGGTCTCCTTTCTGGAGGGAGCTCCGGGTTGATTTTGGCCTATTTTCAGTCTTTAGGAGAAGTAAAGCATATAAGGCTCATTGAAATCATAAATACCATAAGTTCAGATCTGATCACACGAAGAATAGCGATTCTTTCAACCTGCCCACTGCGAAAGAAAAACCCCTCGTCCAGACCCTGCAGCAATTGCCATCCCACATCGAGAGGGTTCTTGGCTCTGGCGGCGTCCCAACCGTGCAGAACAGCCCTAATATTGATGTCGTCGTCGACATCGGCACTTGAGAAGACGTGCCGGGCGTGATTGCGCTCAATTATCTGGAAAGCAACGTCAAGCACCTGGAAATAATCTCGTTCCCGGTCGCCACAAGCAACGTCGAGCATGGGATAAAGTTCTTGCAATGACTCCTGATTGGGATGAGAAGCTGGGTTGAAAGTGTTCGCGGAGCCAGATTGGCCGGAGGAGGGAGTCTCCTTTGCTCTGGCCGGATCCTTTGCCGACTGGGTCTTGTTAACGGAACTGCCAATGCCGGTGGCAAGTTTTGCTATGCGGGCGATGGTGTCTCTCAGTTCGCTAATCTCATCGAATTGCTCCTTCAATTGTTGGGCGACTGAAGAACCATGGTCGCTGTGCATCTCTGTCAACCGGGCTGTGGTTCTCTCCAGATGCGCTATGTACGCCTTCGTCTTGGCTCGTGTCAATTGTTGCGACATGCGATCGCTCGCTCTTTTCAGTTGGAGACGAGTGGGACTGAGCGCGCTGCGGCGAGTAGCCTGAGAGTTGCGCAGGCCGCGCTCCTGGCAGATTATATCGCTCTGTTGCTCCATTGCAACGCCCTGTCCCTGATGACTGCTAAATCGTCCTAATAGAGGTTAATTAATGCTCCTGACTGGCGTTACGGCAGAAGAATTTGCACTAGATCACGTTGTAGGATGGATATGAAGCTGGTGGTAGAAACGTTGAAGGCTGCAATTTCCCCGGCTTTCCCCGGCTTTCCCCAGGTGATTGAGAACTCGCTTCGGTATGGAGGTGCTGTGGGGGCACACACAACTCTAAATGTTTCTCCGGCATGGTTGGTGCATGAAGCTTTGCCGTTCTTATTTTAACTAGGCGAGCTGTGGCATGGCTGAAGCTAAAATGTCCCGAATAACCTCTGAGACACGGTTGAAGTAATACTACCTATCATATAATATAAGCAATTCCGTGAGGTGCGAGCAGCCTTTTCTTTTTTCTCTCCTTATGTTCCTTGAGGATTGCTTGATCAATAAATCTTGAGAGCCCCTGGAGGAAATGCAAGAGAACTTAATCATTCGTTGTGACCCTTATTTGCGACGACCAACTATGGATTAAATATCAGCCGTGCCTATCAATGTAACAGCATCGCCTTCTACTACCTTGTCCACTGGATTCTCTTTGTAAGGGTCCTGTATTTGACCAACCAAGGGAACAAGACAGAAATGTGCTATACCGTGTGAAGATATTGGCAAGCTTGGAATGTGACTCCCTGAGCTCTAAGGGCACCTTCCTTTGCATTGATATGGTTTGGCTAACGGAATGCTTCTTGTTGAGATCCCTCAGAACGTCCTGCTGCTGAGGGCCATCATTTTGAGATAATGGCCATAACCTGCTCAATGAAATCGAGCGTACAAATCACCCGGAAGATTAACAAACCCCATCGTACCCTAACACTGGTTGGCGTGACGGGGGCGAAAGAATCAATCAACAGTGATAGCATTCCATGAGCAAAGGCTAGGAGATTACGTGTGAAAGTATTCCGCAGAGACCTAAGACAGAATAGAGCTGTAACTCGAAAGCATGCAAAATAAAAGAAGGGCCAATCTTGGTTGCCTTTTACTTCTTGGTGGGGTGAGAAGGTAGTTTTCTCAGTAGCTTCGCAGAAGTTAGGATATTCGATTTGAGCGTGATAAGATGCAACACAAATTTTGCAGATCGGTCGGAAATGAACGGATCCTGTCCTATAGCTACTTGGGAATGAGACCCATGTCAGAGCGCGATGTATGTTGAAGAGACCGGATTGAGACACAACAATAGGTGCTAGATATAAGAAATTCGCAAGGATAGAAAGCGCGCCAACAAGACATAAGCGATATGTAATCAAAGCCATCCAAACAACAGGCGCCCCGGCTGATTTATCATTCCATACCGTAATGGCTGGCATGGTATGAGATTGACTAGAGGTTGTAGTCTGCGAAGGGCTATTCGTGTCTGTCACTTTGTGGTCAGGCAGCAGATGACCTCTTCCGAGCAGTGTTTCCGAGTTTTGCCTTTCCAGTACCACTCTGTCTGCTATGGTTTCTGCATTGCTTGTACTACTGTTGCTCGGTTCTTCGTTTATCATCCCTTCATTCATGGATGTAGCGTGTTTTCGCGGTTGCTGGAGGTCCTGCTGGTGCAGTTGCTCTTTCCGAGAATCGACATCAAGTCTTTGGCGTCCTAGTAAAGTGCTTCGAACTCTGGTGATAGATAACCTGTCGCCAGACCACAGGAGCGACCTTGTGCATGACATTTCGTGCACATGATACTCTACGCGAAATCATTCACCGCGAAACTCTGGCAATTGTCGAACCAACCATGGTATCTCGGAGCATGGAGGATCATATCATGGCCTATAGATATCATGAGATATTAGAGCTGCTGTCTGCTGAAAGGATTGACCATGAAAGAGCGAAGCATGCTAACCGAGTTTGCATAGATCCGCGTCGCTGAAATGTGTACTGCCGATGGCAATGGTCTGTACAACTCGACGCGCATCTCGTTTCTCCGGTGAGCGCGGGGCTTGAAAGTGCGGTTGACCGAAGAAGCCACCACCTCTTTTGAGGTCATAGTACGATTCTCCGATTTTGAAGCCCCAGTGAGTCGTGTTGGTGCAGCTCAGCACTCGAAAGAGGCTCGAACGAAGTAAACCAGCGGTCCACCACTCTTCCGACTTGGTTGTGGCCACGCAAGAAATCACAACCTCCACTGGACGAGACTGAAGCGCCGAGAGACTCTCAGGCAGCCCCCGCCGTATTGCTCGAATCGTAGCCTCAGCCTCGAGGATATCACCAGTGGGGTTGACCTCTTCATCCCTCTGGAGATCTAAGTGCTTCTCGTATTGCACTTTCTCAGAAGCAAGGAACAAGGAACAACGATCCCAACAATTGTGCTATCGTAGTCGAGTGCCACATACGAGGTATATGCAATTTCATATAAAGAAAGATGTTATCCGTGTGGCCTTGTACCCCTACCAGGTCTTGGCGGGCGAGGGGTGGCTTTCACCGACCGCTTCATCTCAAGCTGCGGATCGCAAGGCAGACAGTTGCTGGGTGCATTGTGGCTGACGAGTTGACAAGGACATAGCGTGACAGCATGCAACTGCAACTTAATGTGGTTGCTGTTACGGTAAGTTGTGACGAGTGTGCTGCTCCAGGGCACCCGCGACCACATGGCTGATGTCGAACAATACTCTCGCAGAGCACTTTGGTCGGTAGCGTGGTTAGCACGAGCCTTGCATGGCCAGTCATAGCATCTGCCGACCGGACAGGGGTCGCAGCAACCTACAGTGGTTGGCCGCTCCACTGGCTGTGGTACACGACATTGATTTTTGCCATCACTTCGACAGCCTCGGCCATGCAGCTTGCGATCTTCCTCCATCGCTTATCAACATATCCTGATGGATTGCAGAACTTTCGCAACTTGCTCGGTGAACAGGTCGTCATATGGCAGATTCCAATGATGTTACTCAATGGGAGCGTATACTGCTTCTTGACCGGCCTTGTGTGGCTGATTTATGTCGGGGCCGACTTCAGCCGTGGGTGGGAATCTAGAGATACCAAGGTTTGCTCATACTTTCGATTGTTATCTCTTCATGATGCATTGGCTGACAAAATCTGCTAGATATTCGCGTTTTCGATACCTGGAATTGCTTTCTGCGTTCTGTGCTATCTCGTGCTGAATGCTGGGTCGTACGGAAGGTTAACTACACTTTGAGCCAGGGAGCAAGAATCGAGTTCATAGCTGTTCAAAGGGTCTCGCACTCATTCGATGCAGATTTCACCAGCAACAGCATGACACAGTTCGACTTTCATTCCTGCTCCCAATAGCACAGAGATCCATAAGCGTTGGGTATCGCTCAACCGATCATTCACAGATTTGACTTCGGCAAACATGATTTCTCCTTTAGAACGATTCGCACCAGTTTTGCTCTCCTGCTGCTGTTGGTCATCATACGTCTTCCAGAGTACTAGATCAGGAACGCCGCCTCCACGGGCCTGATACTCTTGAGCCATGACGAGCATGACGGTACCGAGAGCACTGCCGTCCCAACATTGAATGAGTTCGAGGAGGTCGTCACGCTCGAACCCATCCCACCTCACGCCTATGATGTATGTTTTTTTGTCGAAGTTCTCGTCCCACACGCGGGTAGCGATCTCCAATGCACCACCGTTGGAGATCTCATTCACACGCTGTGTGATCTCGTGGACCCGTGAGGAGTAGAATGAATCAGTGTGGAGATCTAGTGGACATGTTTGATATGCAGTTTGGAAAACATTAGGGATATAAGGATTGAAGAAAAGAATGTCGTGGAAGAGCAGACCGAATAGCGTGCGAAGAATGCCTCCTTCCGAGTGATAGCCTTTATAGCCCAGAATTTTCCGGTAATGCGAAAGGCACATGGCTTCCACGGAGACATGCTCTTCTGTGTCAAGCTCATCGAGCCAAATGGTTTTGGCACCAGGACCGCCACCAGTACTTGAATGAGATTGCAATCGCGGTATCGCAGCAGGCTTCTCGTTCGGTGTATCGACTGTGGCATCCTTAGGCTTTGTCGGTGTAGTATTGAGACTGTTCTTGCGGCTAAGACTGAGACTTCTCGACGGTGTGTCTTCGCGCCCGCTTTCGATCTTGATTCCAACGACATCTCTCTCAACCGCCTTGCTCAGCCTTACATGTCCAAAATCATGCTGTTCTCGCATTGGAAGGCGGAGTTGCTTTTCCAATTTCTTGATTCTCTTCTGTAAGTCGTAATGGTAGATGATATGGCACTCCTTGTCTTGTAGCCCTTGCTCACAAGTACTCAGTGCTATCCGTTTCCAATGCTTTTTGTTCACTTCAGAGCTTCGGCCATCATCAGGCACCAATGCATGCATATAATGTTCTTCTAGAAGCGCTTTTCGTTGATACCATGCGCCTCGCCGAGCTGCGTGGAACAGACGCTGCTCCAACAACTCGGTCAAAACCCCATGTTCACGAAGATGTTCTTTGAACCTCGCCAAAGGATGTAGACCTTTGTGAACGATGCGGGTATAAACCCAAGCCGGGCTGAATCGTCGAAGGTATGCTCCTTCGCCACTCTCATAAACGCGGTCTTCTTTGCGCTGTTCCTCTTGGAGCAAAACCTTCCATCGCGGGTAGACCGCCTCAAAGATGTCTTTCACCTCCTGAAGAGTTAACGAGCTAGGCGTCCCGTTAAATTCGAGAAAGTTGTCCATCTTGAATTGTGTCCGAAGGCTTGCCTCAAACTCAAGTAGAAGAGCTCTCGACTCGAATATGGTCGAGGATCTGCTGACAATATACTGTGGGAAGTTTCGACGCGAGATTTTCGCAAGAATCAATGTTGTCAAACTCTTCTCTGTCCACTCAGTACTCCGGTAGAATACAAGATGCACGCGCTCAAATAGCTTTAGGGGTGTCAGTGCCAGACGAATGCATCGTCCTGTTCGGTCGAGAATCTTTTTTGTGAAATGTGCATCACGATTCGTGATGGGCGTCCTCGACCCACTACTATCCCATTCATCTTCGTCAACGTTCGACTTACCATCTTCCGATATGGCACTACCAGTAGATTCTTCAGTCTCCGTCCGCCGCAGTTCTTTGAATCCTAGGCCAGACTGCTTCCCACTGGTACGTCGAAAATTCTGCAGCAATTCTCGCTTGTTCTTGCCTCGGACTTTGGCATCTTTGGCCAGAGACTTCAATTCATCCAAGAGTAAAAGCTCACTCGCTTCATCGAGGGTCGTGATTTGCTCAGACGAGCATTCTGCAAAGGTGTATCTATCATCCAAGACCATACCCTCTGGCGGTTCAAATTCGCCTGGGTGGAACACGACCTCAGGAGACACATTTGGTAAATCTCTTTCCTTTTGCAGTTCGGCGACCGACGCATCGATGTTAGAAATATCACTGAAATAAGGGAGATCTTTGACACGGAACCATTTACTGGTTTTCCGCAAGAACAACCGGACATAAAGATACTGCGCTTCGTAGCCCAGATCACGCCAGTCTTGGAAGAGCTGCATTTCAGCTTCATTGAACAAGTGGCCCTCATCCTCAAGCACTGTATCCAGAGCAAGGTTGAACGCATCGACGTACAGCGAGCTTCTGCCTCTCACCCACGATCTCGTCTCAAGCCGGGATTGTGTGGTGCTGGAATCTTGTTCTTCTCCCTCACTCAGCGCATTTTCGCCCGCTTTATACGCTTCATACTCTTCAATCGCTTCCTCATCGCTCTTGATCGCCGGCAACGCGGTTTCCAATTGGGTGGCTCTTGGTGGCTCCGCTAATGCAGTGGGATGACCATCGTCCTGCTGTTGCTCGTCTTCGGAGTCTGGGATTTCATTTTTGATACGCTTCCTCATCCCACCTTTCTTAGGAGAGCCATTCTTGGCATTGTTGCCAATCTTGGACCCCGTATTGAGTCTTGCGCGCTTCGCAGGAGGGGAGGGGAAATCACGATCGCCATTGAAATTCGTGCTCGGGGGATGAGGAATTCGAGTGCCCATGGAGCGGTTATGCAAGGAGGGCGATTTAGGTTCAAGAGCCATGTGGCATTGACTTCGTCATTTGTGCTCAGTAGAGAAAACTGAGAAAGAACACTTGAACATCGAGGCTCCTGCACATGGACGAAGAACGAACGGAAAACGCGAGCGGGGGAAAGCTCTGGGATGATCGCGTCGCAAGAAACGCGAGGTCACGCGACTTCAGTAGGAAAGTGCTTGCAGCTCACGTGATGGGCCTCTTTTAACAGAACGCTGATGGGTGATCTGGACAACACGAATCCCCCCTCATCTCCTTGACTCTTCAAAGACAGCAAGTGGAAGATAGACATTAGGCGCATGGTGGAGCCAGGTGATTCACATAAATAAGTGCATCATATTATGAAGAGGATACAGAGGGTATCAAACCAAGGGACATAAATGCGAGATAGGACAGTTATCAACAACAGCGTTGAATCCGGCGATTGCCTAGCCAAATGATGACTTCCTCCTTGGGAATCACTATAGTAGACCAAACGGTATTGCGTGCGACAGTCGTTTGGGAGGTTTAGACCTCAATTGCCTTATCGACCGACTTCATGGGAGGTAAATTATCGTTGCCAGAATCCGAACCAGCGTCCTTCGCGTCGATAACGTTACCTTCTCTTCCGAGCATCGCATGTTGAATGTTGACTTTTGGTCCTTTAAACCACTTGTGTGCTGAAACTACCCACCAGATCAACACCATCAACATCGGACCTCCCCATACCAAACATGTCCAGTTCATGAGCGATGCATCCAAGTTGCTCCCCGTAACGCTGGGCAAGCAGAGAATCGGGATCATCAGAGTGGTGAAGCAGGTTGAAGCAACACCGATTGGGTAGGAAAATTTCCCCAAGTGCCACGGTCCGGGACGGAATCGGTTTCCAACGAAAAATGTTCGAATGGTGATAGGAATGGTGAATGCGACAAATGCAGCGATGGCGCCGATGCTGAAGATTGCATCAATTGCAGAACCGCCGAATAGGAGTAGAGTAAGCAATATTCCAACAACACAGTTCAACCATACAGCATTGACAGGAGTTTTGGTGATTGGATTCACTTGTTTCCAGAGGTTGGAGAATGGGAAGCAATCATCACGAGCGTAGGCGAATGTGACTCGAGATGCGGCAACCATACAACCCTGACCCATGGAGAAACCACAGACGATGGTCATCGAAAGTATAGCTAGAGCAGTGTTCTTGGGCAGGATCTCAATAAGATATGACGCCCACGGCTGGCCAATTTCGGAGTCGAGCACCGCCTCAATGTCGATGACTGTGTATGCAACAACCAACTGTAAGAACCAGCCCATGAGTCCTCCAACGCCTGAAGTCAACACAATAGCCCGGGGCGCGGCGATACTTGCGTTGCTGCATTCTTCAGCCAGATGGAATGGTGCATCATAACCAGACATGGTCCAGATTACAGCGATAAAAGACATGAGCATTGCAACACCATTGGGAAAATCGGTTCCTTCGTAGAAATTTCCCCACACAGTACTGCTTTTTGTGAATCGTGGAAGACCCTGATCTGGTCGTGTAGTTGCAGCTGGAATAGTGATAATGGTGATGATCAAAGCAAGAATATTAAAAGAGCTTCCGTATGAATTGATGGTGGCGATCCATCGCGTCGGCGCAGATGAGATACAACCATGGAGAATCATGATAAGAGTGGTGAGGAGCCACACCTGGTAGTTTTCTGGGATATAGTCTGGCTTTTGGATGGATACTGCTGCAAGGATCATTGAAGCAAGAGCATAGTCGACAGACGGCGCGCCTGTTACTTGCACAAACCAGTTGGACCAGCCAGTAATCCATGCCGCAAGTGGTCCGTATCCTGGAGGTGCAAGAACAGCTGCAGCGTAGTAGAGACCACCCGAAGTGGGCATTGACGAGCACAACTCAGCTTTCAGAGGGTTAGGAATTCGATTTCAAAGATATCAAGCCGAGTGAGCACTTACCCATGCCCATGGCAACACATTGAATGAAGCTCATGGCAATCAGCCAACCCCAAACCATGCCAGGGGTTCCTGCATAACCCATTCCATACCAAAGTGTTGATGCGAACGATGGGAGCAAGCCCAAAACTGCGAAAGAAACACAAAACGTCGTCCACAGAGAAAATTCACGTTTGAATTCGGGGCTGTTCGGAATTAATACAAGGGCAATAGATGAAATGTGCCGTTATAGGACGTACATATAACCAAGCGCGGCAAGTGCCTCCTCATCGGCATCATACTCTCGATCATGAATAGGGACCTCTCCAGGCGCCAGGACTGAAGTCACAGGCTCCTCTGCTACCGATTTACGACGGTGCCCAGAGGTCACGCTGGCATTTCTTTCTGCGTTCATTGTCGCGACAGGATGGTTCGAATCTTGGAAGCTTTCTTTACTCAAAGTCGCAACTGCGGGCGGGTCATAAAGTTAAGAATGCGGCAGGTGTGCATGAGACTGCCGCTTAAGAGAAGCCTCGTGGTCGGTGGCGCGGTGTTCGGCAGGATTGACGTTTTGGTAACGGCGTCAACAACAATTTTGACAATCCAAGGTCAGGCCACAGTACCTATACAAAGGAGGAGAGATGTTACAGCAGGAAGATCGCGAGACCCTGCCGATGGTGATAAATATAACTGGGAGACAATCAAAAGCATCGCGTCGCTAGCTTGGATTGATTACGAGCATGGGCAGAATAGGGCCTAGGATGAAGGGAAAGCCCGCTGCTCAACAGGCGAGCAGAGCAGGGTTCTTCAGCAAGAGCAAAAGATGGCCATAATTCCTTCCCAAAAGCCACCTCGTAGCCGAGTTAGAGTGACTTGGGTGTGGAGAAGGGGTTTGGGCATGGCATGGTTATCGCAAGGGAGGGTGAGAAACGAGTCTCTCAAGCAATCCATCAGCAAACGCAGCGGATGGTGAGTGGCTGGTGGTTCGCGAAGCAAAGATAAGAGAAGCCCTAGTGTGTTGTAAGAGAGTCAAAGCTCCAATGGTGATAAATTGAGATTGGGGCGTTTGGTGACACCAACGGGTTTGCTTTGACTCCCGCCAGGCCAAGATGTATCCGTACTAGGGAGATGAGAGGCGACACCACTTTTGCCTGGGGGCGACGAACAAGTTGGCAACTGGCCTCTCACATCGTCGGGTCATGTCTTCTCCTCCTCGGCTCCCCTCTTTGCCTCGTGTGCCACGAGGTCAACATCCTTGTACTTACACAGAACATCAAACCTGGGGGCGTCCTCGCTCGGAAACGGACAGTCGAAATGGTCCTTCAACTTGCCTGTTTGAGCCTACAATAAATATATCAAAATCTGGGGGCTTGGAATATAGATCTGGCAGGGTACAGAGTACGGTAGGTGTCAGAGAAGGCCTCCTGTTGATAACTATATTGTGGGATACAAGAGGCGCATGGTGCCCGTGGACCCATTCTTCATCGTGTCAAACAACACCGTATCTTGCTAAAGCTTATCGATTTTCGTTACTCATCTTTATCTATATCCTTACTTCAGGTTGAGATGAAGTGAGACGACAGTAATCCGTTGTGTGATTATCATACAGAATGCCATCCGGCTGTTCCATTTGGCGTGGCCGTCATGCGACTGACCGTCTAAGAGAGCATAGGTAACGGTAGAGATGGAGCACAAGTACCTACCTAGGTACTACTAATGACACTGATCAAGAGGCGTTTAAGTCCGCTAAGTCGGCAGCACCCTCTCCTGCTGCCTGCACTGGTCCCTGAACACTGTCCAAACCTCGCCCCTCATGTTGATTTTAGTCAAAAACCCACTTTGCTTCTGCCGCCCAATCCACTGGTAGGGTCGCAGGAATTACGAGGTACTCGGTACCTCGTACAGCAAATCTGATGTCACACGATCGCCTGAACCATTATTGTGTGTTTCATAAAGTGGAGCAAATGTCTATCCCGCATTCATGGAGATAAGAGCGGCCAAGTAAGTTCGCATCAGCCTTCCAGGTGTAGCAAAGGAGCTACACGCTCGCCGACTCCTGCCGTGTGTTATCCTGCAACAATTTGAGAATATGCATCCATGTACAATATTTGGATCATTTATGTGAGAAAATTAAATACCCGTCTATCCATATATGCGTATAGTCGTCGCAGAACGCCGCTCGCCGTCGCTCCCTGTGTGCTTCCATTTCATGTATCCATAATCATTGGTGCTTCCTATCCTTCTGCTCGAGGACCTGCCCGCTTTGTAAAACATCACACTGGGTACCAGTAACTTTTCGACAAATCTTCCTTGCATCATCCGGCATGGTTTGCCAGAGCACCTGCCTGACCTCCTTCCCAACCTGATCCACTGAATCCATGGCCCAGAGGACATCCAAATGCTCATACTCCTCAATGATCTTGGTATGGACAAGGTTGACATAGGGTTCTCGCTTCCTTTCGAATCTCCTGAGCAGGCGCCTGCCGTCTACTAGTTCGTCTCGACCGCAGATCCAAAGTGCCATGGGAGGAACGTGCTCGTCGTACCATGCCGTTCTGGTCCGGTTGGAGCTGCGGGCTTCTGATTCCTCTTTCTCTTCCACCGAGTCATCGTCATCCTCCTCCTCGGTGGACAAGATGCACTTATGTTTGGCAAAGCATTCTCGTCCTAACCACCAGCGCATACTCTCCGAACTTACGTAAACCGGAGAGAACTGAAACAAACGATCACGAATGCCTCGATCCCATCGTGTGTCGGTCCAATTGAACAAGAATGAGAACACTCGGTACCCCATTGCCCCATAAAGCGACCCCGGTAGCACCCGGTGCATAGTCATCATCAGCGGGATGAAACTGTGTATTCCAAAGAAGATGCGAAACATTCCGGGCGAGATGATACGCATGAACTTGAAATACATTTTCCCGATGAGGGGCCCCGCATACACGGCTGGTGCAAGGGCACAAAAGACACTGATCCTGTCTCCGAGGTCTGGTCGCTGCTCCTTGGCTAGAGCCACGAAGGTCTCGGTGGTTCCTTGACTGTGACATACGAGACCGAGTTTCTCGAATCCGGTCTCTTGAAGGACTCGAAAGATAAAGGCGGGCAAATCCATGACTCCCATCTGTCGGATATTCCATGCCCACATCCTTGGATCCGAGTATCGAAGCAAGGTATGTTCCGGATTGAACCCACATCTGTTGTTTCCGAGCCAGACATCGTAGCCAGACTTGCAAAGGAAGAATGCCAGGCTATCATCGTCATTCGTACAATATGCACCAGCACTTTGCATAAGACCATGGACCAATAGAACCGGAAATCTTCTCTGACCGTCACGGTATTGTGACTGGACGTGTTGATGAAGGCCGTCTGCATTGTCAGTGAAGATATCGGGTGATGTAGCTCGTCGTTCTGTTTTCGATGCTGGAACGTATTCTCTAGGATTGTAAACGTGCCAAAGAGTAAGGATGAATCCATCCTCGGTTTGCACCTTGAATTCTTCAACGTCCAGGCCAACCCTGCGAGCATAATAACCAACATCACAGATCAACTTATCAGGCCCTCCCTCGAAAGGCTCGTAATCTTCTCCAGGAGGTGACGAAGAAGGCTCCAATGAGCCTTCGATTCCCGAAAGCCGCCGACGTTTGGTCTTTGACCACTGTGTTTCTTCTTGTTTGCGAATCTCAGCTCGTCGCTTCTCTTCTTCACGGAATGGCCGGCGATGATGAGGATCACGGAATGTCATTCCATACCAGGCACGACTCATCAGGTGGGGCAGAGAAGTGAAGATAGAGCCTAGAACGATGACACCGAGAAACGCTGTCGATAGGTAGAACGCCGTGATGCGAAACACCGTGCAGTGAAGCTTTCGGAGCAATGACGGAGGCCCATACAAGGGTAACGGTGGAAACAGCGGGTGCGTCCTGGTTGGCGGAATGGCATCTGACAGCCGAGTCGAATCTTGGGTACGCTCTTCTTGAACAAGAGTTTGCTGATCAAATCCGTCGCCGGAACTATCAGACTCGCGAAACCTGCTGAGACCACGTGGAGGAGCTGGAGGCCGTCGAATATCTCGTTGCTCTGCTCGATCTTTCAGCACGTTGATTTTATGTGCCTCGTGAACAGGAACTGCAGGGAGCCGATTCCCATCCGATGTCTCTATCACCGGATCAAGAGGTGTAATGAACTTGGCTTCGACGGCGACGCCATGCTGCTCTGCATCACCAACCTGATTCAGTGGCTCGAGAGACAACTTCTCAACCTGGATCTCATAGTCGGTGGATGCATGTGATGCGGGTGACTGTAATTGAGTTTGCGACATGCGAGTCTATATGGGGAAACTCAAAGAAATGTGGCGCGGTGGGTTTGTTGGTGAGTAACGTCATCAAAACAGTGAAGGGAGTTGATTTCGCTGGTATCTTACACTCGAAAAGTGAAAAGAGTTGTATTGTATTCAATGAGAATGCGAATGAATGAATAAATGTCAAGATGGAAACTTAGATGAAACTGGAAGGCCGCAAGTGTAGTTGGCAGTAAATGCAAAGCCTTGGAATGGCTGATCTTGAAGGCACCTGGGCAATCTTGCGCCGTCTTTGAGATTGGTCGAGACCCTGGAGAGCACGGCAGAAGTGGGACATGTTCATACGGACTTGATACCCGCAATAAAAAAACCCCATCACTTTTGAGGAGATGAACGAAGATCAGAATGGGTGGATTGTTCTGGCGCGTAGATTATTGGTTGCTGATTCAACGGTGCCTCTGTTGGGTGAAACGCAACGTCGACATCATAGATCGGACTTTTTCAGACGATCAGAACCCAATTTCGTGATGGAATCCGCCACAAAGGGCACAACCCGGAGGAACAATGCAGAAGTAGCCGAGCCACTTAGAGCGCCTGGCGCAAGGACTGATTGTTGGACAGAACAAAGCCCATGATAACAAGAATTGTCAATAGCTGAAGAGCATGTGCTTGACCGACTCTTGAGAATCACTTAGCGTAACTTCTGACACTGCTGGCTCATGAAGTGCCCAAGTCGGAAATCATCTGGTCTGGAACGGGAAACGGGGAAGTTGTTTGCGACCAACAAAACAAAGCTATACTAGTTAGTGCTCTCGGAGATTCGGCCATACAATAGCGAAAATATAAAATATAAAATATAATATAATTATATTTCGATGTTGGGTCATGAAAACCCATGATAGGCAAGCATTGCATCCGTATTAGGAAGTCTGATAGAAGTGCTCTCGGGATTTCGGGGATGCTGAATCTACCAACTTCAAGGACTTGGGTTCACATAAGAATCGGGAACTTGAAGTTTCAGTCATGGAATGTGTACGAGGAACTCAGTTTCAATTGGAAGAAATGATCTCTGAGGCGAAAGCGCGATTAAAGGAATCGATCGCAACGCTCAGTGTCTGTAATCTTAGCAGTGTTGTGAGCAGCCCAATGGTGGAATTGCATCCCCCAGAGGAGGCAGAGCTGGGCACTAGAGGAGCCGTGACCACGAGTGACCAGGGCCGCCGCTCGATGGGAGCTTTCAGCAGGAGTTACAAAAGTTGCACTGCATTTTTAGCGCACAGGACTGCTGCTCATCACGATCCCCGCACTATACCTCGCTACTCCAAATCACGTGAATAACCTGTGAATTTCCACTGCCACTGCAACTGAGAAGCCTCCATCTGGAATTCGCGAGGCAGACACATGGAACAACCTGATAACATGAACCCACGAATCTAGATTCACGCCCACTTGATAGCACCAGAGTCATCCCACGTCTGCTGCGCCCTCCTCGGCGCCTAAACACTCGCCATGCTATTCTTCAGGTACGGCCCTCCAACCCTGTCCCAATCCCACTCCCAATTCCTTGAGCAGTCGAACACCCTCATCCCATCCAATTCAAATCTCACCCCTCTCCTTGACCCATCTACTCACTGACTGACCTCTCTTCGCTCAGCTTCTTCAAGACCCTAACTCAACAGACCGTGACAGTCGAGCTCAAAAACGACATCAGCATCCGCGGCACACTGAAATCCGTCGACCAGTACCTCAACATCAAACTCGACGATGTGGTCGTGTTGGACGAGCTGAAATACCCACATCTGAGCTCCGTGAAGAATATATTCATCCGCGGCTCCGTCGTCAGATATGTGCATCTCCCGCCGGATAAGGTCGATCGCTCCCTGCTAGAAGACGCTTGTCGCAGAGAGGCCGCGGCGCAGAAGGCCAAGGGGAGTTGAGTTGAGTTGGGTTGAGTTGATGAGATATTGCGACGCGGACCGATGCGCTGCCATGCGATTTGTTGAGTTGAACATTTGGATCGGTGGCCTTCTATTATTTTGCTGAAGGCTTGGGTGTGCGTGCAACTCGAGATCGCATTGTGCGTGGATGGGGATGGAAACCGCGATACAAGCACAGCATTGATGATACACTCACCGAATCCACAATGACTGCGGCTGGTCGAGATTTGCTCTCCTTTCATCGCTGCCAGGCAGGTCTTTCGGCTATATCCTGCTTGAGCACGCAGGATGGCTATGCGATGGAAGCATGCTAGGTCCAGGCGGAAGCACAGCGGATTTGAAAGTCTCTTCATGCGCAATTTGCAAATTCGCCTGCTGCAGTGGACAACAGACAACTGGGTGGTGGTCGGCTATCAGAGACATGTTTACTGGTTTTATCCTAACATTGCCAATTCAAGGGCCATTGTTCAGCACAGACCTGAATCGTTTTGCAGGAAATCATTTACATCTCTCAAACATATCATATGGTTTCATACACCGTAATTGAGTTTCCCATCTCCAGAGCCCCAGCCGTCCCCTCCATTCTCGACTTTGAACAGCCCATTCTTGCGTTTCTCAGCGTCCCATTTCTCAATCCACCCTTTCATTTTCTCTCGACTTTTCGCGCTTCCAACATTAACCGTCGGTATAATGCGATTGATGCGTAAAGCGCAACAGAACATCGTCAACTCTCGAAAAGAACTGTGTTCTGAATAGGGTACGCCGAAGCAATTGGACTCTTTAGTGCTGCCTCGCTGTGGTGCAAGATCTCGCATCGTGAAGCGACTCTTCCAGCCATCGGAATTCAGGACCGTGCTCACGGCAGGATTCTCGGTGAAGCGAGAAGTTGGTGGTCGATATGACCAGCCGGTAGGCCGGAAGCCAACCACTCGAGCGAAATGCCCTTTGTAGGTCATCATGTAGTCGTGTAAGGTTTCCGCCCGAAGCTCCATTAAAGTCTGCATGTGAACTTGTGCCTCCAACGGGTTCTTGGTCAGGCGTGCATTAAGGTCAGGATCCTCAAGGCATGCACAGATGCGCATCTTGCCGGGTGGTGCATAGATCTTGGAATTCAAGGCTTTGGCTATGCCCAAGCAGATGCGTTCTTTGCCGATCGAGTAAGTGCCAATCACCACAAGAAGTCGACCTCGAGTCTTCGTCTTTGGCGACTGCTCAACTGGGCCCTGATCTTTGGCACTTTCTGACTCGCCTTGTTCCAGAAATTTCTTCATGGTGCTACCTGCCATTTCCGCCTTGGTCGTTTCCCAGCTATCAGACGAGTCGACCATTTCCTTGGATAGGCTGACGCACATTTGAGCACAGGCATCAATGACATCGTATTGGCCTGGAAATGAGTACTTGGGCGTGAGATATGTGGTGTCTAAGTAGCAGGTGTCGATGACCTGTTGTTTCATTTGTCCCGTGATACTGTCCATCACATCAGGCCGTAGCAGAGGATGGCTGATATGAGCAGGGCAGGCTCGAAAATCGCCGCAATGCAGGATTCGTGTGGCTTTGGGTGATCCATCCCTGTTCTTGCCCGTAATCTTTTCGAAAAGATAGAGCGATGACCCAGGACAATGGTTGGCGGGAATCATGGTCACAAACACACCTTTGGTATTGGGAACCTCAACCTTCTTTTCGAACTCTAGTGGGACAACCCACTTCGGATCCACCCTCAATTGCTGAACCATAAGATTACAGGTAACCTTGCTGGCATAAATTGGACCATGGCACCAGGAAGAAGTAAGTCCAATGTAGTGATCACTGTGGAAATGACTGAGGAAATACGCATTCTGCCCATCAACCTTTCCATACCTGAAAGCATCCACACAGATGTAGAAACCGGGCATGATCTTGTAGAAAGGACAGGTTCGCTGATAAGCGGGTTTCCCGCGTGATTGAACTTCATTGGTGGCTGCCGCAGCCCATGCTGCATCTTCTGCGTGCCCAGACATCAGTCTGGTAAAGGCTGAACCTCCTTTGCTTCCTTGTTTTACTGCAAAGGGGTTTGATTGTGCTGGGCGCGCGATCGCTGCACGCTGGAATCGTTTAGGCATATGGCCATCCATCTCCTTAGGCAGTATTGATGATCCTCCACCTTCTGTACTCGGCGCTTGAGGCAAAGCCGGCGCAGTCCCATCTAGGCACGCATTGACATGTGAAGATGCTTGTGCCTCTGAGAGTCCTTTCATGTTCCCACTGCATATGGGACATAGTGGAACATTATCTGTTGTTGTTGACTGGGTTTGTACGTTTGATTCATAGAAGCTTCCCGGAGTTGCAACACTCTCCGTGCCACTCTCCGACTTCGAATCCTCATCGAGTCCCATCTCCATCTCTCGTTGTTCCTCCATCCACCGTCGTTCCATGAATTCTTCACCTTCTTCGAAAAATTCATCGTTCTCGAAATCTTCCTCGTCGTCAAAATCTCCAGCATTGAACATGCTTGTACCTTCGCGATTTAGTGATGGAATAACCACTCCCGTATCCTCTGTAGGTCCTTCAATCTGGTTGTCAGGCATTCGCTCGGTCTCGGCGTCTGTGTGATTCCCAAACTCCTTCAGTCCAAGCCCGGGTTGTGTTCCTAGATTGCGTTCAAGATTTTCCATACTTTCCAGGTCGGGAACTGCTCTTACTTCTAGGTCGATGTTGTTGCCAATGTCACCTTCCTCAACAACTCCCCCATCTTCTTCGTCACTTGAGTCGTCCACGAAGCCGCCGAATCGTTTCGGAGTCCGATCTCGATCTATCGAAGAAATATCCCCGATCTGCTTCTTTGCACTTTCCAGCCCTACTGAGGGCTCAGGGGAGGGTGTCCGAACCTCCCAATCAAGACCTGGATTGTCCGTTCGCCTGCGCTTGATTGGAGTATCGTCTTCATTGAACCTCGATTGGTCTTCCTCTCTGCTTTGCTGAATGACCCGCTCAACAAGTTCTTGCTCTTTGACACTATTTTGGGAGTCCTTGAAGAATAAATGCACGTCTGATTGACTGCCAGTTGCATCAGCTTCGGGCTTGTCCGATTTGGCGAAGAAGTTCAGAATGCTTTGATTCTGCTTGAACCCAGGCTTTCTGGAACTGGGTATCTTTGAGCCCACCTGCCTCCCAATAACTGGTGTTTTCGACATTGGTAGATTCTTCTGAGGAGGTACAGCGTTTTGAGCTGCGAAAAAGGGAGATGAAACTACTTTGGGCTTTTCGGTACCGATGGGTGGTGGAGTCGGGGGTCGCCCTGTGGAAGGGAGAAGGGCATTGGTCGCATTCAGAGTAGTGTTCTCACGGGGATTCCTGAACATGTTGATAGCATTGTCGTTCTTGGGTGCATTGAAGGCTTGAGTGGTAGTGAGGGTCGTGGCGAACTTCTCAGGCGCTGTCGGCGAGAGGAGTGTCTGGAAAATCCCCGCAGACGGAGTCGACGACGCCTAAAATGCCCAGAAATGACGCGCTCGATCACCAACCGCGTAAAGTGGTTTTTGGCGGTATGGAAATACCTAGATTTCTCAACTATCAAGAGACAATATTTCGGTCGTTCTTTAAACAAGGAAAGCCTTCCTGCTTCTTCTCGAGATCATAGTAGATAATGAAAAGCAAGCGTTTTGTCTTCAATCCCGACAACGCCAAATTTACGCCCAGTCACGTGATCAAACGCATGGCAGACGACATCATCGCCAACAATTTCCCAATGTTTTGAGACCAAGATTTCTCGAAGACGAAGGTTGTCATCTCCTCCCTCCTGTCTACCATCCGTCAATCAACCAAATCTAATAACTAATTCTGCTCTCGCGATCCACGGTTGCTGCCGCGCATCTCTGAGCGCATGTCGGCGGTGCAGGTCGCGCGACTCAAGGACGAGGTAAGCACGAACCATAGCGAACAGTATTGTTGGGCTCTCTTTGATAAAGACGATTGCAGGGCACGAAACAACAAGTTGTGGTAGCTGGAGCGGTAGCCGGGCTCGTGTCGAGGTTTTGCATTGCCCCATTAGATGTGGTGAAGATTCGACTGCAGCTTCAACCCCACTCACTATCGGATCCATTGTCCTGTGATGGCATCAAAGGTCCGATTTACAAAGGTGCATTCCGCACCCTGACCACCATTGCACGACAGGAAGGTATCCGCGCACTATGGAAAGGCAATATCCCTGCCGAGCTGATGTACGTCTGCTACGGCGGCATCCAGTTTACGGCATATCGATCCTTCACCCAAGCTCAAGCCCTGCTCCCTTGGCGGCCACCACCTTCTGTCGAGTCGTTCATTAGCGGTGCATGTGCAGGAGCTGCTGCGACGTCGGTGACATACCCACTTGATCTTCTACGCACGCGGTTCGCCGCTCAAGGTCCGGAGCGTGTGTACAGAGGTCTGCTTCATTCTGTCCAAGACATCACACGACACGAGGGACCGAGAGGATTCTTCAGGGGTCTCAGTGCGGCAATCGGCCAGATTGTACCGTACATGGGCCTCTTCTTCACCAGCTACGAACTCTTGCACCAACGGATTGGTGGAACGAATTTACCTTTCGGGTCTGGCGACGCCACTGCCGGAGTCTTCGCCAGTGTGTTTGCAAAAACAGCTGTCTTCCCACTCGATCTCGTGCGGAAGAGACTGCAAGTCCAAGGACCGACGCGGACCAGATATATCCACACGAACATCCCCGAATACCGAGGCGTGATTCGAGGTCTCATCATGATCTGGCAGAGAGAAGGAATCCGCGGTTGGTATAGGGGGCTGACCGTCAGCTTGGTAAAGGTAAAAGAAAACACTTCATTTTCCTCTTCCTCCTGTTGAGACACGATCTAAAGTTTTGGTCACAGGCAGCACCGGCATCTGCAGTAACGATGTGGACGTACGAGCGCGTCCTCAAATCACTGATAACGTCGGACAAAAACGATGAGATGTGGGAGATTTATACTGGCTACGATGATGAAGATTATGATGACTGAGACTTAACAGACACTGAGCGGCATTCGCGGACTGTCCGTTTCGACACTGCTCTTTATAATATATTCACTTGCACAGCATAGCATAGCACAACGCAGCACAAGTCGATCAAGCCTAGCAAGAACACGGCATAACACCTCCGAATCAGCCCTGGGGTAACAGCACAGCTCAGATTGCTGTTCGTCCTGAATGACCCTAACCAAGATTGGAAGCACATGGCTGTGTTCGGGACAAAATGCGGCACTATTCCACTACTACCATTACAGGCCGTCTAAATTTCTGAAAACTGCCACCTGTCGCGCAAATTGAGGCGTTCCAAAGAGCGAAAGACTCCCTCTGAACACATTGCATGATGGACGGCCACGCAGAGACTGAGCCAGCATCTCAACGGCTTTTCCCACAAACGAAGGTACAAATATAGCTTGCTTGAAGCAGTAAGTTCCAGTCCCGAAACCTACTCATTATGCCGACAATGACTGATCGTGCCCAGAGACAGGTCCTATCAAGAAGGGACAGAGATACGAGAGGTGTGCAAATATGTGTATGAACTCCAGTCTATGACGGAGGCGACTATCCCAGGGCCCACAGACCGACCCATGTTGAGGCAGAGACTGGGCTTTGGAAGTAAATTTGATCGTGTACCTTTGAGCGCATGATTCGATGATGGGATAGAGCAGGGGTAGTCAAGCCTTGCCATAAGTACTTCTCTCGAACCCTTAATATTAATGAATAATACTACACTTCTTATACATCTCAAAAACAACATCAATAATCAGTACATCGTCTAGACTCGTTGCAGCGATTGTGATTCATTTATTTAGGTACACGTATGTACACATATTTTGCTCATGTATGTGATGGGGGTATTTCCTTACAACCTACAATGAAAGCCACCATTATCAAGTGACCGATCGACTCCACCCACCAAGGTTGGAACCACACCAGCAATGCAAACAGGATGCAGATCAGACCTAGTACTCGTAACTACCGACCAAATCTCATCTCCGCACCCGCGTACCGCCACAGCCCTCTCAGAAATCCCTGGTACTCGACCCGGGTGCTGGCGCTCCCGCTGACATCGCCACCCGAGTCACCGACGCAGAAGATTTCGCTCAGGCGCACTTGCCAGGGAGGGTAGCCATCGAGCTTCACGTATGGCCCGAAAATAATGACTAGGTCCGGCTCGCCTGCATCCACTTGTTTGTTCGGGGAAAGCGGTGGTGAGAGGCTGCCATTAGCGAAACTCTGGCCATTGTGAAGTTGTGACTCGGTGATGGAGGTTGTCGCACTGATCTCTGTATTTATGAGGTTCGGGGTAATGTCCTTAGGGGTGATTTTCCCTGCTTGTGCCATCTCTGCTAGAGTTCTTGTGAGATCGACCAGTGTATCACGCCCGTCACTAGCGGAGAGGATAAGAAGATTGAATTGTGGTCTTTTGGGGGCTGCGGATGATGGTTCAAAGCTATTCGAGCCATTCGAGCCAGGGTTTGAGGGGGGAATACGTGGTGATGGTGCCGGTGAATGCGAAGGTGTCATCAGGGAGGAATGATTTGGTGCAACGACCCTCAAACTCGGCGCTGCCGGGGCAGGACCAAAGTAAGACTTAAGCTTCAGTGTGACCAACTCCTGTACCGCAGGCATATGGGCCTTCAAAATGCCCGATCTTTCGTAGACACTGAGCAGCGGAATGCCTGCAGAGGCAGACCAGGCGCAGAGTTCTGCAACTTCGTCCATCAATGCTTCTAGGCCACCTTCTTGTTCTGATTTGAGCTTGAGGATCACGCTCAAGTGCTCGGGTATTCTGTCAAGGTTCTTAACATCTCGTTGTATGTACTCCGGCGTGCGGTGATGGTAATGCCGTATAGCCAGTAGTCGATCGATCGTGGCATGGTAGATCTGTCGCACCCGGATGTAGATGCCAAAGAGGAATTGAATGAGGAAGAAGATCAGGAAGTGGATTTTGGCTTTGAGGAAGGGCCGAACTCGGCGTCTGTGGCCAGCACTGTTGGACCGTGATCTCTGTTGGGAGCCTCCATGGCTGCCATTGGAAGTGGATGATCGACTTGCGTCCATTGTGGAATGTGATTTATTCATGGGTTCCGGGAGGTATGGTTGGAGTAACTTCTCACGTTCGGCGGCGGAGAGGTGAGAGCCTTTGTTTGCGACATCTTTGCGATATGTAAGCACGTCCTTTTGACTAAAGGGAGCCATGGTGAAAGAGTGACTGGGCAGCCAGCCCAAGAATGTGAAGGTTCAAATTGAGGAGGCGCCCAAAACCATGCAGCGCAGTGAGGGACAGTGATGTGTGAAGTGAGTCGTAATAATCCAGGGACAGCACCCTAACAAATACTTTGAAAGCAGTCACAAGTCTAATATGGTCTAATGAAATGTAAAGGCATGTCTGCATGCATTGAAGAGACGTGCGATGATAAATGCAAACTTGAAGTAGTCGATATTCGTTGGTAGTGGGTAGTTCCAAGCCACAGTATACGAGTTTATTATTTTGTCGATGATCAGCAATGGGGATGGCGAGTCCCCCAAGGAAGGTGCCGCGGCCTGCCTGACAAAACTTGGAGGCTGAGGGGGCAGGTGGAACCAAGCCTGATACCTGACGTGGCTTGCCCACTGCAGCCTTACTCGTAACTACCTGTTAGTTAGGTGGCGTAATAATGCAGGTACTCGCCTAACTGGAAAATTCAAGGAACGTGCCGCCGATGATGCTGCCATGGCCCAGCATACGTAACCGTCAGGCTGCCACCATGCTGGCCTCTGTCTTATGTCAAGCTACAGCTTCAAAACAGGCTCTGAGTTAGTTGGCTTTTTTAACTTCAGACTTCGCACCCAATACCACCGGCATATCAAATCTCAGCGAGCCTGGCCTTTATCGATGTGATATTCAGCGTAACACCATTTACCAGTGGCCCCAAGGGATCCAGCGCGACATCCAGACCAACCGTACCCAGTAGGTTGTACACTCTGCATACCACGTATACCACGTGTGGCCTCAATCCAAAAATGCTTCGGTGCTCTCGCATTTTCTTGTACTGCTCCTCGGTCACGCGAAATTGAGTGCTGCAGAACCGCTCAGTCGTAGCATCGACCAATATTAGATATGTGACGGTTTGATCCCTGAACAAGTGAAATTCACCCCAATTTGGAGGAAATGGCATCAATTTCGAGTACTGCCGCAAGAAAGCCTCAAAATCTCCGCTGCTGGCCTCGTAGAACAGGTCCGCCTCCTTCTCAGAGGTGCCCAACCCAAGCCCATTGTATTCTGGCACGACGTTGACGCGGTCTCGAATTCGGCTGACCCAGTTGGTGGTAGAGAAACCCGCCAGATTCAGGGCACGCAGACGCTCAAAGACCTGTAATCAAGGTTAGTAGTGATGTTCCATTATGGCGAATGGGTTTCAAATTTGCAGCCACCTGGCCACTACTTACGTAGAGCTCGCCAGCTGCGTTGATCTTGTCCTTCTTCACCGTTTTCTCATGCCTCAGCCCAAGAAAATCTCGAATGCTATCATTATCATTCTCGAAGCTCCACTGCGTAGCAGACGCGGGAGAACATCCACCACTGGCTTCTCTCGCGTGTCGAATGAGCCTTTCCAGGAAACGTTGGTACACGCTATCGCAAGACTTCTCTGTCGAGGCACGGTGGGAGTTGTTCGGAACCCTGGCTCCAGTCGCCGAGCCAACATTAAATCGGCACGTGTTCTCAAGCCATGTCGCGGGTGCAAGATCTTCCTCTGCCATGATTCTTTCCAGTGCATTCGGTACGTCGTTGATAATCCGGTAGAGTTGCTTCTTCGCCTCTGGATTCTCGATTCGCAGGACTTTCGCAAGCTCCGGTGGCAAATCAGTACGAAAACAGGTATGGATGTCGGCTAAAACACTCGGTACAAAGATCTCGATACCTTCCTCCGCCTCCTCGACCATCAGAGAAGGCCTTGCACTGTTTACTGTGATGGGTCTGCCCTCAAAGATGACCTGGAAGTTAGTCGTCATTTTGTCACACGAAATGACCTTAGCTCTCATCAATGACTCGTGGGTCGTTTTGTTTTTGTTGAAATATCGGCTGCTCTGGTGGGATACCGCACAACTGAATAGATTTCAGTCTCCAATCAAACCATCGAAACCGAGAAGAGACGCTTACCAAGAGATAGCATATGCTCTGTGTCGAAGGTAAGAGGTGAGTTCCAGGTGCGTCAAGCTCCTTCCCTTGGCTACATTCGCATTGATAACAACGGTAACGTGCTGCGACAAGGATGCCCCCAACAAATCGAGGGCATCAAGAAGAGGATACACGAAGGTCATTTCAGCGTCGTCGAAGTCCAGGAACCTGAGCTGGCCGGAAAAGAGAGTTGCGTATCTTTTGTTGTCGGCAATGAAGAAAGCACTTCCAGGTTTGTTAAGCGATTTGAACTTTCCACGGGTACATGGTAGGAAGCAACATGCTTTGAGCTTGTTTAAACAATCTTTTACCTCTTCGTCCCGTGTTGTGACTTGAATCACTTGGCCCGTGACAATTAGTAACTCTCTAAGTCGTTTGAAAGTTTCTAGATCAAAAGAGGCATCGGTGCTGCTTTTGGAATTCCTCTCAATTCGTTCTGCAGCGCTCGCTATCTTTCCAAGTAGCATTACTACATCCTGGGTAACGACTCCGATATCTTTTCGAAAGAAGTCCTCGAGGTCTGGATACCAGGGTCCAATGGTTGTCCGTCCAGTTAAGTCGGCAGTGCCTTGCCAAATCGTTTCCGAGGTCAAGAGCCATCTGTTACCAGGAGCATATATGTAGCCGTGTTCGGTGAACTCATGCCTATATCAATCAGTTAATTTCATATAGGGCTGGCGACAGATTTTACCTAATCAGCTCTTTGGTCGCTAGATCCTTACCCAGATCTGAGAGAGTCCGGTAATGAACAGAAAGCAGTTCGACTGATGGACTACCGTTGCATTTAATCTCTTCGATCTCAAGCAAAACGTCCCCATATGATGGTTCGCAAACCCCAACTATCTCAACAAACAATCGTCTCGCATTTGCATCCCCGTGATTATATATCTCGCGCAGGACAGGTTTTAAGGTAATGCTTTCACCACTCCAAAACAAGTCTTCAGGGGCACACCAAGGGTTGACTTTCCATGGGATGAATATCCCCTTCATTTTTGAAAATTTGGCCTTCCTATGTCAGAACCACCATAAAGGCTGTATGAATGGGAATCACTTACTCTCAAAATCGACGATTCCTTCTGGGTCACAACATCTGCGATGTCCCTGTATATCTTACTGCATGTACGTAAGCCCCAAGCCAGGCAATCCGCGCCTTCCTTGCTGCGTTTTTCAAGTTCGTCTTTCGTAGCAGCGAGTGCTGAAAAGTGATAGTCCAGGTTGACGTCGACAGTGACACCAAAGCATTCTAGAAATCTCCACGAATCTTCCATTTCCGGGTCAATCTCCACTGGCAGCTTGAGGAACGGGAGGGTGCTGGAGAGATCAAGCCCCTCACTTCTTGACAGCAGCGTTGTCGTTGGAAGAATCGTGGTGCTCAAGCATTGCTTAGTCCCGTTCCGACAGATCACCAACAGCTCCTTCAGGGTTGTCTCAACTTCAGAAACTTCCTCCAGCTGATAGCTTCCTTCCCAGTATTTGTGTAAGCATCCTAGGAATTTCACGCTGTTGGTTTCTGCCGTCTTTTGTAATATTGGGTGCAATTTATTGCTGCTATCCAATAATGTAGGGAAAGAGCAAACGCCCGAGCATTCATTCAGCCATGAATGCCACGTCTGACCATGCCGGGAAGGAATACTCTCCGCAGGATTCTCAGTGTAGGATTGATGAAGAAAGCCGTACGTGCCTGGTACAGCATCAATAGGGACCTCTCCCAGAAGGTCCTGAACATCGTATTCCTTATCTGTTCGGAAGAAGAGCTTTGTGGACGGCAAGGTCTTGCAGTCTTCACTGACTGCATGAAAGCAGGACTCTTGTGGAGGAGTGTCCTGACCCAGCCAAAATAGTATTTGGAATTGAGCAACTGAATCTTTGACCTGTCTGGGCGTATCGCCGATACTTCTGCATCCAGAGCTGCTTTTCGTAGAACAGGTTCGGGGCAGGTGCCAATACCCAAACTCTCATAGAAAAGTCGTCTTTTATCGATCGTATAGCACTCCGGATGGAGACGTTGTAAGTCAAAGCTGTCAGGTATATCGACCTTGAAATGTGGTCCGTCGATTGCTCTGGGCAGATAAGTGATGTCACCGCCTGTCCCTTCTGGTAACACCCACTCTACAGTTGCTGGATAGTCAAGGCGTGTTATCAGGGGAATGATCTTCTTATTCAATACCCCAGATCCCCACCCCAAATCTATCAGGTACTGCAAGATACCGATCATTGCTGTATGCCAACCGTCGGCAAGACATTTTTTATGAAGACTGTTCGGGGTTTTATTCCATAGGACTAGCAAAAGGCGTCTGAACACCTCAACCGGACTGATTGTCTGCACTCCGAGAATCTTCAATCTCTTCACATGCTCACGTGTGTAGTGCGGCGATAGATATCTGAATTCATCATCATCACCATCATCATCGGCCAGATCTGGTAGAATGGGCTCGTTTTCAAACATCATTTCGGGTGGGAGGTCCATAACGCAGCGTAGCGACTTCTTCTTGCCACCCTTAGTGTACAAAATGCGAAGACACGCCAATTGTTTGTGAATATCTTCATGAAAACTCTCCCAAAATAGCTCCGCGGATGAGACAGGGAGGAACGAAACCCATTTATGGCTCAGCGGATCTGCAGGCTCTGTGAACTTTTCGACAGCTGATACGAAGCACTGGACAATACCATCGCGCAAGGCATTGTTCCACCTATTCTTGAGTATAGCATTACGGTCAGGGGCAAGAATGAAATCTGCCTGCACGAGGAACTTTGCTGGTCAGCGCATGAATCACTGAAGATTGTAGACACTCACAGGCAGTTGTGATAGCCGTTGAACCGGGACGAAGGCAAATGCATGCTGACCATTGTCTGGTACAATGGGAAGATCTGTGTCCGGGCGCACAGGAAATCCTAGAGCGACTAGATTGCGGTCGTGATCTCGTCATAGCTTGTCACAATTCAATGGGACTCCGGATACTCTGCAGCTTATGGTTCTGATCTTGATTTCCGTGTCCTTGTTCATCATCTCCTTATCGCCAGTGGATCGGACATGACGCGAAATCATAATATGACCATCCGAATGCTCCCCAGTTCTTACCAAAGTTTGTTGCTCGTTGCGTCCCAAGACATCTTCGTAGATTATCTCAATCTTTCTCACTGCGCGTAGGGCAAACAGAAGTGTAGTTGGGAGCTCGTCAAATACGTTAATCAGTTCACCCAGGTCTTCAGGATCACATCTTTCCAGCGACAGTCTTATTCTTGTGGTATAGCCAGAAGGTAGTGGCTCAGTTGATGGTTCAGTCCACTCTGGTGTCGCGATTGCCGATGCGTTCCTAATATCGAGCTGGTACCAGAACCTAAAAGACCAATTGTTTGACTGTATGTGTGCCTTGTTAGCAACACTAAACACAGATTTGAAGCCAATGCCCTCGTCCCCTGTAGTCTGATGATTGTCCTTCTTTGAACTCTCACCAACAGAGCAGATCGAGACCACATCGGCTTGTGTGAACCCTCGTTCATTAGACTCGATCAAAATCTCTTTTGCTCGAAGCCGAAAGATCAAAGATGGAATGTCGTTGCCTTCGTAAGCTGCATCATCTGCATTTTGCAACAGTTCCGTTATGAATCTGAATCTCGAAGAACACATACGTTGCAAAGCACTGGGACAGGTTACAAGATTTCTGGTAGGCCGAAGGTGAATCGACTTACATTTCAGAATCTTTTTCCAACCTTCTGTTTTTCTGCTCGGACATTTGTCGATAATGGTCCTGAAAGCATTGCTCTGTTTTTTGTAACTCTAGCTTGTAACAGGGGTTGATTCCCAGTACATCCCGTCTGATGTCTTCGATTATTGCTTTTGCTTCATCCCTACTGACTTTATGGGGATCTTTAGGAACTGTGGAGGCCATTGCTAGAAGCGAATGTTGGTCTCTGGTTTGCAGTGTCAGTCACACACGCCGAATGCTGGCACTGACATTGATCGGGGTGTGAAACTCGGGATGACAACATACCTAGATGTCTTGAAATACTAGCAGCAGGCGTAGAATATGGTGAGAGTCTTAGTATTATTGTTCGCAGCTAGCATCCTCATGGAGGTGTTCATTAGTACCGGCACCAATGCACTAGCTATGGCCACCGACCAAAACGTGGCTGAGTACCACTGAAAGTAGAATATATCAGTACTCGATACAGTGCTGGTCTGCAAGTGGACAAATATGCGATGAAAGAAGATGTGCACCTCGAGGCTCGAACTCATTCAGCCATTGTGCAAACAATGCACTAGTTTCAGTTCAGCGTCCAAGGGAGATGTCCTGCACATGCCGGTAGGCGCCACGTGGGTGTTCCCCATCCGATGGGATGGGTCAACCACTCACGGCCAATTGGTATCTGTTACGAGGCCGTACCATTGATATGGAGTAACGTCCTTCGAGTCGAGCTCGATCACTCCGGCCAGGGGGGGCGCCTGCTGAATTGAGGTCTACTGGTAAGATTGAAAATGCAGTTACAGGGAGCATACTTGCAGGGGATAGAATCGCATACTCAGGGGCGCGCGAAAAGAGCAGGCTGCGCTTGGAAAGATGGCAAGGTTCTCGTTCTGGTCTTCTTCATTTCTGGGTTACCTTGGGCTTGCTCATGACTCAAGTGAACACGCCACCAACTTCCAGTAGATGGGTGCATGTTGTTTAGACGACGATTTAGGCCTAGTAAAAGGACTTGATACTGCAGCATAGTGGAGACTGCTCACGACGAAGGAACAGGTTTGGCGCATCACAGGTCCATGCGCTTCGACAAAGCCACTAGTATGGAGCATGCCAACTCAGGAGAGAATCCAATTTAAAAACCTTCGCTTCAAATATTGGGGGGCAATGGTATAACATTCTAAGGCAAGTGATTCCACGCCTCTGTCATTATGATGAGGGTGACAAGGACTCGGAGAGCAAGTTTGGTTGTTGATGGGAAGAACTGAATCGTTCATTTCCGCGGCACGGGCCGGAGTTTTCTCAAGAACCAGAATTCGCCCCTTCCATTTGAGATGACTTGATTAGGTCCTTGCTTGCCAAGCAAACCATCAAACGCACTTGTTGCACAAGCTTGAATAGACGTCAATCGTAGTAGTACGTATCGAGAATTCTTCATTATATGCTCCCTACCTTAGGCAAACATCCTTTGCCGTTAGTAAACCTCCTCTGTGTGGTTGATCGATTCCTCTAAGAGCGGTGAATCTCCTGCTCCCCACCCAAAAGTCTCTGAAGCGGGCTTCAAGAGTTGATTTGCCCGGAAGTGACTCTTCAGCTGGCGGAGAGCTCAGGCTTGGTTCAACGCTGTGAAAAAGGCAACCGTCCAAGCTCCAGGTGGCAACCAAATGGGCCATAGCGGACGCCTTCTCCATGAATCTGAACCCCCTCGGCTGAGGAAGCTCTAATGTCTGGACTGAATGATGGGAGACATCCAAAATAGCTGCATGAAGGCATTGTTCGAGATCCGTAAGTGTTGATGTCTCACGTGAACTAAGACCTGCATCGCAGCTTGCTCGGTTCATCAGATCAACTTGAGCCTCGAGGGGAAGAAGAGCAATGTGACGTGGATCATATCTCGAAAAACGCATCAATGCCAATTCCAGGACCTCCCGATTCAATGGATTGGCAGTGTCCAGGCGTAGGGCAGCACCAATCTGTGTCAAGTGAAGGCCTGGGAAGATCTCATCACATGATTCAGTGTTTGGGTGTTAAGCATATTAATTATTTTGCTCAAATTCACTCTCACTAACATCGGCCCAGCAGAAACTTAAACGGTCATGGTGACTCAGTGGTCTCGATCTTGTCCGGACAAACTGGCACCGGGCCAGAAGGCATCAAGATCCGATGCACTGAGTTCGAATCCCTCTTCTGTCAACAATCCGACGACAAATTTGGTCCCGATCTTGTCCGGAAAAACTGGCACCGGGCCAGAAGGCATCAAGCTCCGATCTTCGAACCGACGACAACTTGATCCCGGTCTTGTACAGGTCACTCAGGCCCCGAGCCTCATAGCAGCAGCAAGACCCGATCCCTTCGAACGAACGAGCGAGCGATTCGGAAAAAACTCCCCCGAGGAGTTTTCCCTCCCCAAGACCCCCATTTCAAAGGGGTTCTTGGGAATAGGTTTTTGTATTTTTGAGCCTGGTTCTTTGTTTACTATTCTCTAAGGTTTCCTCTCCCTTGGAGAAGCACCTTTATTCTTTATTCGTTATTTTTCGACTTTTTTTTGCCTAAAGAAAAGAGGTATCTTTCTTTATCTGTAGTATCTACGTCAAACTACCTTTCAAAAATAATAATTTAGAAACTTCTCTGTCTCTACTCCCTGTGGGATTGATATCTCATAGCACTACTCTATGGAGATTATAAGTTCTTATATATCAGGTAGAGGCCCAAGATCTCGCAGCTACAGTGCTCATTTCACTTCATTTTGGAACACAGAAATGAAGGGCTCCAGCTTGTGAAGACAAATTCACTCCCTTCTCAGGTCTCCCAATCTTTCTCTGATTTCACTTCATCTCACCAATCTACAACTTCACTGTTGGTCTCCAACCTTCACCTTCTCTTCACTGAAGAAAATGTGGCAGGCTCCTGCTGGGTATATATTCAATCCTGAAAACCTTCAGACTTACACTCCTTCTTATGACGCGTACTCTGGGTTTTCTGATGAGAAGAAGGAGCCTTCAAGGTCAGTGAAACCGTTCATTCACAGTGTTATCTCCTACGCATCTCGTACCTCTCCACCTTCACACTCAGGGCAAGGACAAAGTGACGAGATGGTAGCTGCAATGAAGCGCAATGATACTTGGATTGAGCGCAGGTCTGAAGGACGATATTATTGGGTCCGGAAGAAGTCTGCTCGCAGTCAATTGTCTCTGCGGCACCTGCTGTTTGAAGCCCTACGTCCGCGTGCTCGCTCATTCTTTTCCAGGGATTCACGTCATAACCACCACATTCGATGTTCCAACCCCGGAGCACCTCTTCTCCTACCGCCACCCACTTCCTCTCCTCCAGAAGACTCACAGGAATACACGCCTCCTCCTACTGATCCTTCCTCATATCAGGCTCAACAGTTGCCACAACAAGTCAACATGAATTCTTTTCCCCCATGCCAGGATCCTCCCAATATTGAGCCAAATGGCATCTTCGCAAAACATCATGTCACGTCTCATGGCCAACTTCCTCTCTACCCTCCTCCACCTCCGATCATGCCCGTGTCGATCCCTTATCCTGTGCCCGGCCATGGACTACCATTTATTCTCCCACAACCGCCGGTGGTACACCAGGCACCATGCTTTGCACCACCTCCTCCGCAACCAACACCATTTGTTCTGCCACCTCCGTTGTCACAACTACACCATCAGCCCCAGCCTCAGCCTCAGCCTCAGCAACTACCACTCCCAGGCTTGAGCAGCTTCTCTAGCCTGCGATACAAGTGTGATAACTGTGGGAGATTCCGGTCTGCTCGGTTTCACAAGAGACACCCCATACCACCCGGTGCCATTCCCGCAAAGACAATTTGCCAGAGATGCAGAGAAGTGGCTACCGACACTGAGGATGACAGCAGTTCAGACGGCTATGCGCAACGTGTTCACAGACGCCATAGCTTCGGAGCTCGAAGTCGGAATGCCTCCAACATTCGCAGTGCGAGAAACAGAAACAACCCAAGAGGTGCTCGTGGTCAGTCTTCTGCTGGAGAGTGGTTGAATGAAAATAACCATGATGGTTTTGCCGGGCCTCCCTACTCTCCACAGACAACTCCCATTGATTTGAGCAGAGGGCGAAGACACAACAGAAGAAGCTCTAGACACCATCATCACGAGTCCACCGAGATGGAGTTGTCAGCAGGCTTCCGAAATCTCAAGCTCGTGCCACAGGAGCAGATGTTCTATCTTGAGTCTGAGGACGAACATCGCCCGAGTTCCAAGTACTACAAAGATCGAAGTGATCATGACTCTTGTCACAAGTGAGTAATTTGCCATACCACGATTTCATGAGGTCAGACATGAAGCTAACGACCTCAGTCCTCATCCATACACATCCCCGATGGCCAGGTCTCGGTTTGCTGGACCGAGACCTGCAACTCCGTTTCATCCTAATCATGTGAGGATGAATTCTACTGTTTTGCACCACCACGAAGAGATGCCCCGGGTTTACGATGGGGCAGGACAATCCACGACCAAACATTCATCACGACCCTTTTCGTGGCAAGAGCAACATCAGGCGAGGCCATTGGAGCGGACAATGCATCTCCCCTCCCCACAGGCTCATGCTCCATACCTTCGGAACGAGAACAGTGACGGAGATCTGTCCGAGCATGGTAGAATTCGGAGCCAAGAAAGATCGAGATCGACTCGCCGTGGTCGCAGTAGGGGCAAAGGACACGGGAGGAGAAGAATTGGTAGGTTTATCCGGCAACGACTGATACGCTCTCTCACTGACCGCATGGAAATAGGAGAGGAGCATCCTGTCACTGATCAAAACCCTCATGCGCCTAGCCCACCACCTGCTCAACGACCCTCAAGCACATGGAGAAGAGATTCTGAACAAAGTGGGTACGAGGAACAGCCTCATCGGACCCCTGCTCGTACTAAGTCGTATCGTCCGCCGCCTTCTCCCTCAGACGATGACCTGGACCTCCGACCTAGAGACATGGTCACATCGATCGAAAAGCAGCGTAGTCCCGCCAAAGCAGACTACTATAGGTGGGATGAGGATGGGATGCGAGTAAGGGTTCGTGAAATTTGAACCCTTACTCCAGACATGGGCTCCAAGGAGGATGAGGGACAGGGTCCAAGGATTGAATCAAGAGATTGTCCACACTGGATGGCTAAAACAACGTTGAGCTGAAGTCGGATGTTCAAGTGTCGCCAGTTGCAGGGAGGTCTAAACTGGATCAAGGATTGCTAAACGGAGGATGCCGATGAAGAAAGTCTAGGCCAGCTCGAACATGACCGAGATGGATGTCGGTGGCTCCCACGCGATACCTCAATGGGTAGCTCAAGAAATCATGTACAGCAACTTGAGGCTCAACTTGGAGGTACTACTAGATGTCTCGACCGGAAAGCAGGTCCAGGTTTGCTCAAACTGGATAGATGCTACACCTGAAAACATACTCTAATCCACATTGGGATGAAAATTCTTGACGTAAAGAACCCTGGAGTGCTCCGGCGGTCAGGTGGCGTCTTCGAGCTTGCGCTATCCCATTGCCGTCACCATGTCCCAGGCTAAGATGATCTAGTTAGTTGCGCGTGTCCCAAGTTCCCAGCTCCCAGATCTGAAGCAGTGATACGGAGTAACTAAGTAACTAGTGAGGGGAAACCTTGGAAGTGTCAACGGTGAACAATGGAGTATGCACCGTGCCTAAAAAGCCCAAGGCTAATAGATAGCCATTACTAAAATCCAGAAAAGCATCCCTGAACGACACGTGGACTATTAACGGCGTTAGGGGGGAAGTTGGGAGGCGAAGAAACAAAAAAGTATTCATCAGTCCCGACTCGCTCGGTAGCGGGAGCGGAGAGTGGGATTCAAGTGCAAGGATCCTTTCTGGGGAATTCATCTGTTCGTATTAGGCGACAAGAGGATGAGGATGCTCCTCAAAATCCGTACAGAGGATCCGTGTTCGAATGAGTCGAGTCTCTGAGGGTCGGCTTAGTATTGAACATTGAACATTGCACATTGACCAGGGTAGTTGAATGAGAAGGTGTCGATTCTCTCTAACTAGCGCATAAGTCAGCTGCTCTGGAGCAGGTCGTCAATTAGTTTTGGAGGTACGAGGGGAGGTGGAGGTGATCTCGTCTCTACTGGGTATTAAGCGAGAAGGAAAATGGCACTACTAACTAATGACTATCTCCCAACTTCAATGATGTGCCAGCTTCGAATTCAGACTCACGAGTACGGATACAGAGGAGCTGATATAACGGCATCCCCAAAAATAGCCGTTTCGTTGTGTCCGGGTGACAGGGTTTGTTCCCACGGTAGGAAAGGCAAGCACACGACTATTCGTACAAAAGACAAGGAGAAGCAACCGATTACCAGATTTGTTCACACCATCAACGCAGCCCAAGTACAATGAGGAAATTTCGAGGACGATCAACGCATCCGGCTTCCTCTACTGCACGTTTGTGAAGAGGAGGTGATGCCAGATGCTCCTCGATCGAGTGTCAGGTTGTTCAGGTCTGGAGCACAGAACCAGGATCCCTGCATGGCTGGGGACTAATGGGGTGATGAGAAACAACCCTAGGCGTCCGGATCTTGTTCATCACAATCCAAATCTTTGGGTCCAGTCTTTCGGTTGTTTGCCTCTTTGCCAGGTGGTGCCTTGCTTGTGCACCGTACAAGGACACGAGGATTGATGACATCGATGGACCGCGATCCAAACACGACCTACGGATACCGCTTAGAGGATAGGCTTACTTCGGACTTCTGGGAGGTTGGGACTTCCAACTCACGGACAACGAAGATCAACCCTCTCAGTAATGCTAGGGAGGATTGGACTCGGAAGGACGAGCACAGCTCTCCCTCTCCTCGATCTTGGATTGGCGGAATCGCAGACGATAGAAGGTTGTCTGGAGATGACGATTTGTACTGGACGGGTGTATCTGGTCGAGATACTCTGTACCTCGTACGCTCGTTGCCCACAAAGTGTCGACAGCCCCTGGTATCCATCTGGTCGACATATCCATGATCCTGGTCTACACAACCTGGAAAACGGGGTAGGACCGCCGACTGAGAGGTAGCTGGAGAAATTTCATGCAGCCATTGCCAGCACGACCAGATTCAAGTACTACCTACTGGGTGTGAAGATTGTGTTGTTTCACTTCACACATGACCCTCGAACGAATATTCAGAGGCACCTCAGCATCCGCATTCGACCCCGGCTCAGGACTCGTCTCCAAGGATGAAGGTGTTGAAGCCCACTCAGTATTCAATGTTACCATGTGGCTCCTCCCTCGCCCCTTTCGTCTCGAGTCGAGTCATGACTCTTCAGACGCCTGAATTCGGTAGCGCCTGGGAAGCGTGCATGGTTAACATCTAGATAGGGTCTGATTTGCTTGGGTTAGGGTTCAGGCCTCAGGCATTGCCGCTCGCGAAGGGGCCGAAAAAGGCTTCTGGGGGCGCGGCCCGTCCTGGACTGGCTGGAGATTGCCGGTAAACCACTTAATCATCCTTATTCATGCTTGCACCATTGCCACGGGCCATTGAAAAGATCGGAAGCAAATGCTGGACTCTCGAGTCTCGATAAGTGGGCCATTCGCTTGCGGCTTGACTGGCAGGGCATATTTTCTGGGGGCTGAGGTTTGGGGCACTTTTGGGGTTTCTGGAGTTCTGGGCTTCTTGGGCGTCTTTGAAGTTTGGCTCTTCGATGCTGCGCGTCCTGCCAGTAGGCATCGGCTGACTTCAAGCCCTGGGCTGACCGACACCACCGTTCACATCACTCCACTTTTGACAGAGGGGATTCTCTGAAAGAATGGAAACAGCCGCTGATGATATGTACCCTGCAAGTCAGGACAGGGAACAGCGACGGAACTATTGTTGCTTTCTGTGAGTCTGATTCCCTGATTCCCTGTTTTCTCCTGACCCAACACTCTCTGACTACTAGCGTCGACTCTTGCCTTATTCGTGCGATGATGATCATGCTGCCTTTCAAGGTTGTCTCAATCCATCCACGCCAGAATTTTGCTTCCCGCTCCCACAAACGAGGCACTCCAAGGCCAATGCCAACCATGTAACTACCTAGGTAGGAAACTTTTGATACTTGGCCTGTCCTGCTACCTGAATTCATTTCGGATACTGCAATACTGCAGAAGAAATTTCTGCTAGGACCCGGCAGCATTATTGAAACCCAACAACCAGCACCGAACTACTGGTTACGCTGACATGGATTGATAAGTCATAGATTACGAAGTATCCCGTCTACTCTCCAGAGCAGTCGTCTAAGACTCTGGTGGAGTACCTAGCGGACCATTGGGGCTATCTCTGCATCCGGCGCGATCGCCCCCAGGTTTGCCATGGGCGCTCTCTTTGATTTAGTGTCTCCGAAACTCCAGATTGTTCAGATGGCTTTGATTGATCGTCAACTTCAACAGTTACGAGTAGGAAGAGCCGTTCTTTCCGCCAACGTCTCAGGATTTATCTGCCACTTCCCAGCACCGTCTTCCACGAGGCGACCCTTGCAAAACCCCGTTTTAGTGTCCGCTTTAGCTTGCAAAGGTACCCAAGATTGGCGCACAGCGCCTCCCCAATGCTCGCTCCTCTTCGTCAACCGCAACTCAAGATCTCTAGTTAGTTCGACTGCGGGTCACTGCTGTGAGGTGCTCCATACCTACTCGTAGGTATCAACCAGAGACCATATGAACAGGCCAATGATTCCCTAGGTAAACAACCTCATACTTGAACTTGAAAGTGAGGTGGTCCAAGCATGTGCCCATCCTCGCTTCCAATTCATCAGGTAATAACTGGTGTTCGGCTAATCTCATTGGTAAACAATTGAGGTGAATGGCACGTTTCGTCTATATCTCCTAATCATGATGCTATAGTCAGTTAGTTTCCCCAGTTCGGAAGGAGTAAAGTCTGGCGCAGGGGCGCCTTTTCTCGTATTCCCTAGCGCACAAAAGGGCTCTCAGATATCTTTAGCACTGACCGCTTCAATCACCACGCAGCAATGCAGCATCTCATCGCCGTGTTTGCGGTAACATGATTAGTCTCAAGCCTCCCGTTCTCCCTATCACCCGCGGAGCTGCATCATTCAATCGTCCCGAGCCTGTCTTTCGGGCCCACCCATTCACTAGTCTCTGGCGTGGTGGTGTCTAGTCTCAAGAAAGGGACTTCTGCTCAATGCGCGCGTTCAACTACGAGGTACTCCGTACGAACACGCCCCCAACCCACAAGAGTTCTTGTGAAAAGCGGCATCACTCATGGTGGGCAGTGGCCACACTAACCTCCACATTTCAAGTTGCACGGAACATCGATGATCATTGCCATTATCCTCCTCCCTGCCAGCGTGGAGGAGCAGGATGAAACACAATCCACTACCACCATAGGACATGCATCTCTTACTCTCAAGCCACCAACAAGCCACGAAGCTCAAACCAGGTCATGAGCGTTTCTGGAGCGCATCTGCGAGAAGTCCGCACCACGAACTGTTAAAGCACAAAAGCTTTCTTCCGAGGTGTATCAGTCAATGCTGGGGCGGAGTAGAGCGTGGGGGATTACCTTCATGATCTTGCACCGATTTACCGGTGTCTGCCACAATCATCATATTTGAGTGGTGGCAGTGGCAGCACAATGTCGCCTTTTCCAAGACAGTATCAACGAGTAGCAGGTCTGCTACTCCTGAGTGCGTCCTAAGTGCATCCAAAAGGCAGCCAAAAAAGGCTACCAACACCCCAGCCGCGACCAAGCTTCGCCCTGGTACAGTACACCGGTTCTAGTAACGAACCAATTACAGCAGCTCAAGACGCCATCTCGGCCAGGGTCCCCGGTAATGCGAGTCTCTCAACCATTCATAGCGAGGCATAACTCAACCTGAAGCGTGTGACACCTCAAAAGACTCGACCTCACTTAGACTGGTGTTTTCAGAAGAGGCTTGACGCTAACTCTTGCGTGAGTTAAAGGCTCAAGCACGAGAGAACTGAGTTAGCGCTGCGATTCCTGGGAAGTCCACGAGGCCATGCGGCTCTGCTCTGCAAGAACTAACCCTGTTGTTCACACCCTTGGTCGAGGAAGTCATGACCACCCGAGAAATTGATGCGTTTGGGCTGCCCATCCCCCCCATGTTCAACAGCTCATCACTGTCGGGTGGCATTATTGTGGTCTGGATTCATTTCTAGCCCCCCTCCCAACTATGTTTCCTGACACCATTATAGGAGGAAAAGATAGTCCTCTGCTTCTTCGTTCCAGAGGAAAGGGAGGGCGGATCCACCCAACCATTTCCACTCACATATGCCTTTTTCTTAAATGCTCCCCTTTCACCTCGCCCAAATACCCTTTCATATGCCAGCCAGTACTACCCAAATCACACTGTCTCTTCTGATAGATCAGACTCCTTTTCCCCATTTCAACGTTGGTTGCACCTATCTTCCCAAGATTGTTCTCTGGATGATCAAGTGCCATGGAGTATAACAATTCGACCTACCAGGACCTACTCGGGAGTGAGAGGCCGGAGTATGCTAATGAGCCGTATGGTTACGGAAGCCACCAACCTGTTTGGTCCTTCCCAAGTGAATCATACGGTATCGATCCTTACCTTGATGCCCTTCCATCTCATGGAGGGTTTATGCCAAGCCATTATTACAATAATCAACCAAGAGGCAGTGGTCCTGCCTATGATCCTGTTGCTCATGGCTTTGGCCTCTCACCTCCAAGCATCACTCAAGAGCGTGAATTCCAGTTGGGTATGTGTCCACCTAGCTATGGAGACATTGGCCACTTCCGCTACACACGGCAAACGTCACCACCCGACTGTGCTGGATTTGCAGCATCCAGTACCGAGTCTACCACAAGTGACTATGCACTGAGTCCCGACATAATACGGCCAACTTATGAGTTACCCCTCTCTCCTCAAGACGGTGACTTGTTTAGAGTATCGATCGGTTCTCCTTTCAATCACAACAATTGGAACCCACAGTCCAATTTGATCGCTTCCCTACCAAGCTCCATACCTACTGGTCGGACACCATTGAGGATGAGCGACCTCCAAGTCACGCCAGAGCCAGAAGGTGAAGACGATCTGTTGGACGTCACCGAAAGTCTCCACGCTAAGCTCATCCCTGAAGAGCTTGAACTGTCAGAACAACTGGCTAGTCCAGCAGATTCGGGTCTTGGACTGTCTATCCACGATGACGACACCATTACTGTCAAAGACGAGGAGGATGTTGGAGCAATTGAGACTGACAATGACTCTGACTTCTATCCTGGAGCAAGGAGATCTGCTCGCGGAAGCACCAGTCGACTGAATCGTGATGGTACCCTCAGTCGACGCCTCTCGGGGACCAGACGCAGCTCCACTGGCAAAGGTGTCCTTGGTCAGCCCAGAGTCAGCAAACCCTTGAGTACACGCAAGAGTGCACCGGCACACTCACGCGAGAAGAAGAAGAATTCAACCAGCAGGACTAGGGTCAAGAAGTCAGAGAACCTAGAGCAAGTCATCAAGTCTTTTCCTTGCACATTCCATCACTATGGGTGCAAATCTACGTTTGCCAGCAAGAACGAATGGAAGCGGCATGTGGCTTCCCAGCATTTGCGTCTTGGTTATTACCGATGCGATATGGGATCGTGCTCTGCAGATGATATCCGCAGTCAGCAGAGAGGGTTCAATGACTTTAACCGGAAGGATTTATTCACCCAACACTGTCGACGAATGCACGCACCTTGGTCTGGAAGCAAGAAAGGCGAGGAAGGTGTCTCCAAGAAGGAAAAAGACAGCTTCGAGAAACAACTTGAGACTATCCGAACCCGTTGTTGGGTCGATCGAAGAAAGGCTCCGGTGCAAAGCAGCTGTGGTTTTTGTGGCGAGTCTTTCATCGATACCGAGGATGGGAAGGCCTGGGATGCCCGCATGGAGCATGTTGGCCGACACTTTGAGCGTGACACCCATCGTCTTGACCAAGAAGCTGTCGATAGCGGGCTCAGAGAATGGGCAATTAAGGAAGGCTTGATCCAACCGGGGAGAAAGAAGGGCGAATGGTGGCTCCTAGATCATGAGCCTGCCGGAGCTACACCAGCTTCAGCTGACAGACGACGAAGCGGAAGAACCGTCCCCAAAAAAGAAGAGAAAGGCCAAGAGGAAGATAGCAGCGACACAAGCGATGATGACTGCGATGCCGACACTGACACCGAAGTCGATGCTGAAGCTGAGGCTGAACAAGATGACACTTCGATGCAGAATGGCATCGTCGAAGGTGATGAGGATGCAGAAGGCGAGGATGAATAAGTGTTTCTTCTTTTGCGTTGGGTCCTCTACGGGGTGTTGATTTCATGATTAATGGCGGATAAAGGGAAAATTCAACTCGAGGATCTACGAGTTCTGGCATGAACAATTTGGTGATTGATGGAATATAATGATACCCAACATAGTCGATACATAGTATGAAAATGAGGAATTCGGATTGTTATCAACTCTTTTAACCTGAGTGTTGCTGATCCATCGAGGTCTTGAGAGTTAGGACAGAACCACCCTAGCGGTTGGGCTATTGGGGGTTGCTCAGGGGGGGGGACTACGGCTCAAAACATGTGCAGCCTGAACCCCAAGCGAACCCCCTACGGAGCCCACTTGGCCCGAGAGAGCCCGCCCTCGCGCCCCTTTGACCGCTACTGGAGTCAAAGTTTCTCCCTGAAATCCTCGTTGCCTTCTCCCTGCCACTCATTCTCCTATTAGGCTCGATTTGAGGCAACGTCTCTACCTGTCATCCGCGGTCAAGCTGACACCAATGAGCTTAGACCGTATACACGGTTGCTAACATGGACGCGATCTGATGAAGTCGATGCCTTTATTGGCTTTGGCAAGAGCACGTTCAGCGCCACTACTCCTATTGTCTCCAATCCATGGCCTCCTTTCAGGCCTTGTGAGGAACAAGGCGATTGCTTGTTCAAGCTTATAATGGAGCTCCCGGTCGCTTCTTTGTCTGGTAAAGTATTTTTATAGTGTCGTCAATCATTCTACGGACTGCCTCCACCACATTCCTTTGTTGTTTGACTATTCACTCGTTTGTTGTTCAATTGATATAATCTCGCTGGTCGTGATTTTATTACTCGACGAATATTTACTATCATCTGTTACGCGGGAATTTGTTTGAACCAAGAAATCGAAGAATACACTGTTCAATCGAACATACGATACTGAAAGACGGCACAACAAATACAAGCACAGCAAGATGCATTTCATCGGCAGCGTAAGTGTCCTCATGATGGCGGCAGGCACCGCCTTCGCCATTCCACATCCCTCCATCAACACCAACAAACTCAGCACTCGCGCAAGCGACCCAGTCCAACAACTCATCGCCATCGCACCAGGCTCCACCACCTGCGACGGCGCCTCCTTCCCAGACGAGTGTGCTGTGTCTTCAACAGAAGTCGTCAATGCCCTTGTCTCCGGCTTCGCGAAATACAACATCAACACGGCCGCCGAACAAGCCGCCCTCCTCTCGTGGATGGCCTTCGAGTCCGGCGACTTCAAGTTCAACCGCAACCACTTCCCGGCGCCCGGACGACCCGGCCAAGGAACACGCGCGATGCTCATGCCGAACTTCGTCCAGGAATATGCCGCCAGCATCCCCGAGTTGAGCGCGCAGGTCGCGGCCGCGGGCTCGGATCCGGCGAAGGTGTTGGATCTGGTTCTGTCCGATCAGTATGCTTGGGCGGCCGCCTCGTGGTACTATAGTACCAAGTGTTCGGCGGCGCAGAAGGCACAGGTTCTCAATGGTGGGCTGCAGGGTTGGCAGGATGGGTTTATTACCGGCTGTGTCCAGACGACGAATACTCCAGAGCGTCAGGCTTATTGGTCGAGGGCACGCCAGGCGTTGGGTGTTCCTGTCTAGATCGATCTACGATGCCACGAACGGGGAAGCTATCAGAAATTGTGTGGACTCCCCCGCCTCTTTGGCGAGATATGGTGCCTCATGCAACTTTCATGAATGATAAACATGAGATATGATTAGCATGTTAATTTTATGCTATTATACGTGCGACTAGATGAACATAAAATGCCAAACTTCTCCCCCTTGATACCAATTAATTTTGATTCAAAATAAAAATACCTACTCTCCTTAAAAGAAATAGTGCCTGGGTATGTCTTGCCCACTGTGACATTTAGCTACTCACACAGCCCCCACGGATGTCGGAGGCGATTCGATCAACGTCCGAACCGTTTACACCACTTTACCTTGTAATCGTGATCCTTAATTCCATTCACGGAAGTCTGGCATCGTTCAAGAGACTTCAGGTAGTCATGCCTTCTTGAGCCTCATCTACCAGTGAGCACCAGACATGTTTTGCCCGGCAAGCAAGAGATGGCGCATGGAGGAAGGCAAGTGCGCAATATGGCACACTCCATGTGGTTCGCCCTTGACCCTTGAGCTGGATTGGGGGCGTTCCCTGCAGCCTCATGCGACCAGCAGGCATACTTCCTGCCTTGATTCGTCTTGACCAGCACAGCCCTGGCCATTGGTGCCCGAGTCTTCAGCCCGATCATGCCTTTCATCTTTCTTCCTTCAGCATGCGGCTGTGAGGCTAGATTGTTGCGTTCACTGCACAGATCCAACATCCCGCATTTCGCAAAGATGAAGTTGAAGATGTGGAAGGTTGTTTCTCGAATGGATTAGCTCCTGTTGTATGCTCTTCAACCAGTACTATGGCTTCCCGGTCGCAGATCGAAGAGCCAGGGAATGTCATTATTCAGCCTCAAGCACAGAATGTGCTCGACATTCCAGGCAGCCCCTCTCAAAAGAGACCTCTACCTCACATCCTCGAGATCGGCATCACCGAGTTGTGGTGCCCTCCTGCCCCAACGGAGATCCTCGCCGATATCTGTTTTGTTCACGGCCTCAAGGGCCATCCGTTCAAGACCTGGTACGATGATAGAGGCTCTGGGACTGAAGAAGCCAGGACAGCAACAAAGACTAAGAAATTGAAGTCCTTTTTTCGCTCAGCTCGAACAAAAGAAGACCAAGTTGTTGATGGCGATACATTGGACCCCAAGAAGGCCACACGAAAACACCATGGGTATTACTGGCCCTTCGACTTCATTCCTAACGATTTCCCAAACGTCCGAGTTCTCACTTATGGCTATGACTCTCACCCGTCTCATTTCTACGTGGGCAAGACAAATCAAATGACCATTACTCAACATGCACAGACGCTCCTTCAGAAACTCACCAATAATCGCGTTGACTGTCTGACAAGACCAATCATTTTCGTTGCACACAGCCTTGGGGGCATATTAGTGAAGGATGCAATCGTTCAGTCCAGCAAGTACGAGAACCACCTGAAATCTCTCAGTCAATCGTGCTCTGCGATCTTCTTTTTTGGAACGCCGCATCATGGTGCAAGTGCCGCTAGGTATGGTGAGATCCTGACCAATGTTGTAGGTACGCTCCCAGGCGGCTTTTCCATGTACAAGGAGATCCTTAGAGGACTAAAACCCAACGGAGAAAAGCTCAGCTTGGTTGAAGGAGATTTCAACCAATTTCTCAACCAAAATATTCCTGCAGAAGAGAAGATACAACTTTATAGCTTTCAGGAAAGCAAGCCGATATCGTCCGTGAAGCGATTCGACGGCAAAGTTGTCCCTGATTTATCCTCCTTCTTCAACCGCAAAGATATCGAGCAATGCTCACATATCAACGAGAATCATATGGACATGGCACGCTTCCGATCCCCAAGCTCTTCAGCTTACGCGGATTTCACTGCAGGAATAAAGGGTTTCCTTGAGAGGATAAAGCGTCGCAGAGAGCAGTCAAAATCTATTGTACAGGAGAGGGAGCGTGCACGTCTGGCAACTGAACACAAAGGTGGGTAATCACTTAAGTGCTCCAGAGTACCTAATATTCCTTTCTCCAAACACCGCTGATTTCATCACCAGTCTTGATGGAAATCCTAGACTTCAAAGAACGATGTGTCCGACAACAACAGGTCAGCAGCACAGAAACCACACAAAAAACATTTGACTGGATTTGGACTTCCACCTTCAAAGAATGGCTTGAACATGAGACCCCATTCTTCTGGATCTCTGGAAAACCAGCAAGTGGAAAGTCCACTCTCATGAATTATATCGCGCAAGCGAAAGAGACAATCCAGACTCTACAGAATGCTCACAACAGGCAATGGAAGGTCATCTACTTCTTCTTTGACTTTCGCGCACGCGATGGAATAGGCAACAACATGGAAGGGTTCATCCGATGCCTCCTTTTTCAACTGTGTCGCGACTTGCCCGATCTCACTCAGAACATCCCGGAACTACAACATTTCCTCGACAGTTCAACACGTGAGCAATCAACGTTCACGTCCGAAAGGCCTCTTCCGATCGAGTCCTTAAAGAAAGCCTTTCTTCAGTGCCTTCGAAATCGTTCGGAAAACATCATCATTCTTGTTGATGGCCTTGATGAATATGAGGGTCAGAAGGTGGAATTGACCAATTTTCTAAAGTCCCTCCGCCGGCAGAACATCAAAATATGTATTGCGAGCCGGCCTGATCCCCCATTTCCAGACGCCTTTGAGGGTATACCCAAAATTCTCATGCAAGAACTTAACTTCGATGCCATTACGTGTTTCAGCTTAAACGTGTTAGAGCAGTTCTACTCTTCGCATCAGCATACGCCCGCAGCATTACATTCGTTGGCCAAAGATGTCGCACAAAGATCTCAAGGTGTCTTTCTATGGGCTCGTTTTGCAATTTACGAATTGATAGAAGGCCTGAGCTACGGCGAGAGCTTGGGTTCCCCAGCACTTGAAGAGAGATTGGAGGCAGTTCCTGAGGAGATGGAACATATTTATTCCCGAATATTCAAGCGCTACTCACCCGCCTATCGAAAAGCGGCAGCAATTGTCTTATTGCTGATCTGCTACAAAGTCCAGGAAGTCACTATCGGTATGCTTGAACTGGCGGTTCGTTACCACCCTGAAGCATGGCGTGACGTTGCCGATCACTGGATGCTCAAATCTCCGGAAACCAACGACAAGTCGTTTTCCAAAAGGCTCCTTGCCCTGACCGGCGGTATTGTGGAAGATTTGCCAGCTCAAGGCCGATTTATGGGTATGAAGTTCGATTGTAGCCTGCCTCGCTTGATTCACAGAACGGCAGATACCTTTCTGGAAGCGAATGGCTGGAAACTACTGCTAGGGGATGAGTTTGCGCTTGAACTCGGCCATGAAATCTGGCTGCGTATATGCGCCGAAGCGATATATCGGGAGGGCCCCAGTCTTTCCTTAAGGTTCCCGCCTAACCCCGACGACGATCCCTCTTTTTACGGTCTTTTTTTTGGTTTACAGAAGCCATTAGAGGTTCTGGAAGATGAGTCGAATATAGAATCGAGCTCATCTGAAGCACATTCTGAGAAGCCCGGCTCTGAGATACTTCTACTCGCTTACGCTACTCGGAGGATGTTTCGTCATGCTCTTGACTACGAGAAGCTAAGCACGCTGTCATCGCGTACACTTCTCCCGGCTTTAAATACTGCTTTTATAGGTATACATGCTCGCATGGGTGATGGTGTGTGCGATTGGATAAGCATGGACCATGTCTCAGAAATCTACGATATGGATATCGAGCCAATTGACTATGCGGTAGTCCATGGTCTGTTACTCTACGTGAGTGAATGCTTTCGCGATGGTCTTCAGCAGCAACAGCAGTTCAGAGTTGGCGCTAGACAATGGATTGTTGGCAAATTCTATGGCCTCCTAGGTCATGAGACCTCCAGTAGCATTGCTGGGACTTTCAACCGGCGTTTGAGATTCCTCAAAGCTTTGTTGCTGTGTGATCGTCATCTTGAATCTGATCCCGGTCACGATACCGCCTTTTCGATGCTCAAGCTCCTCTACGAATACAGTCCCGTGGTGGCGGATCATGAGCTTTTCTGTGCGGTGGTCAACACCAGCCCGAAGATCGTGCAGTGGCTGATCACACGACGCCAGCATCTGGATATGAAAAACCTAGATATAAAGCTCGTTGGTCCTGGTATCGATTTGGACATTAAAGAGCTTTGCGGCTCCAAAAATATTACACTTTTGGCCGCTCTTGGTTTGCGTATCGCTGCTGGAGATTGGAAGGACACAAGAACAATTCTTCACTATTTGGCAGAGCGTGGGGTGACTATATCCGAGAAGTGCGGCCCATTAGGGGGCATTCTTCAATACGTAATTGTCAAGTATGCCGACGACATCGACGAACTCTTTGAAGGTCTTAAGGTACTCGTCGAGGAGGGCGCTGATATTAACCAAGGTGGGATACGAGGCAAGCCTCTGGAGCTACTCTGGGAAGTTGCGAACCAGTCAGATTACTCTAGCATACATGATGTCCATTACGCACGCAGGGCGATTGAAAAGCTCCTTGACCATGGCGCAATCAACGAACGAAAAGATCCATACGGGCAGGTTCCTTCCAAGATCCAGATGAAACTGTTTGGGTGCAATTGGACCGACTACCAGGAGTGCAAGAGATATCATCAAGAAGGACCGCGAGTCGCGGGTAAGACGTGGCCGGGACCAGTGCCTCTGAACCCAAGTGATGCATTTAAGTTGTACTCACCCTATGAGATCCCTTACAAACAGGCGATGCGGCGATATCGCGAAGCTATGGGTATAGAAATACCCTCAGATGAAGAGGAAGAAGGGGAGGAGTAATCGACAGCATTGTCCTCGGATCTAGATGAGCCTGAAATGTCTTCAGAAGAGGAAGGATAGATGCACCATCACCTGAGACCCGGAATGCAGATGACTCTAGCAATGCTGATGGCGTCCTCCAGCCAGATGACTCTTTGTCTAGAATGTTCATACGCGGACATTTGATTGCGGTTCTAGCTGTGCTGAGCCAGCAATATATACACCGGACTCCATCAAGATTTTCTTTTGGCGCCTTTTGTTGGACATGCTACACCCCAGACACTTATTCGGTTCTGGATAGGGGAGGAAGTGATCGAAATAATGACGTGAATGATGATGACATGATGCCTACCTAGTAATGCTTCAACCCACTCTATAGCCTACTCTAAGCAGAGTCTTCTATGGTAGGTCGATGCCTGAGTTGTGCATGCAGGACGTCAGGGAATATCTCGTCTGCCGGTGCCCAGGTAAGATGTGTAGTTGGAATGGCATCTGAATGGCTACCCTACTCCTGGCGATGAGGAATTGGACACATGTCTCGTTTACATCGTGATTCGCGCATAAGATCTTTGGACACGGCGTACCTAAGTGCTCAAGACATGAGCTGTTGCAATATCATGGTTAACCATGTGCTCTACGTCGAGTTCGTCAGGGCGGGTTTCCATCAGTCATTTCACATTTGCCTGAGAGGACGGGCTTCAGTTTTATTTTTTAATGTTTTGTATTCGTGTTGTGATACAATGACTACCTAGTTAGGCACGGTGTCCCCCTGGTACGTAAGGTACGGGTAGGCAGGTAAGGTAGATAGGGTATCAATACCATTGTCCCATGTTCCTATGCAATATGCAAAAGCCGGCACAAGGTATGACCAAGTGCAAATCGAGGCCAATTTCCCCACCCATATGTGTGTGTGTGCCCATCTGTCTGTCTCTAGCTCCCTTGCTGTCATGAAAAATCTGCGATTAACTGATCTTGACTTGTTTCTTCGAACCATTGTGCCGGTGAAGTGAATTAACCACACTCAATTAGAGGCCTTTCAACTCATCTTAACTTTTCTCCAGCCACGTGCCGATGAGTGTGATCCAATCCCACTCAAGAAGACTTAGCTTTGTTAAAGCCAGGTAGCTTCTTCCACGCACTAGCAGCGGCATCAGGAACTCGCACACGGCCAAAGTTATTGTCCAAATCGAGTAGAATCTTCAGGGCGTTTCGGCTTCGTAGGTAGGGGAGCGGTGCCTTGGCCTCTCTAAGACCGACACCGGGTTCCATTTTTCCAGCGGTGGATTTCTGCAATTCGGCCTCTTCCGAACCGGGGAATGGGAGCATAGTGCTGAGGACTTCGTAGGCGGCGAGGGTGAAACCGAACTGGGGAGAACTTCGTAGGATACGTGCAGGACCGCCTTTGAAGAATGCTTTGAAGCCTTCGTCGCGGTAGACTTTGCGAGCACAATCGATGAGACCATTGTAGGTGGCGTCACCCTTGCGGGCTTCGACTTGGAGTCGGGTCTTGATCACATCACATGGGGTGGTGAGGTATGCGGCTGGCATGCCTGCAATCGCGCCTGCGGTGAGGAGCTGGACGACGCCGAGCTTTTTGGTGGGTGATTCACCGAAAAAGTCTTTCTTCAAATGGCTGTAGGTGGGGAAGTATATAGCAGAGAAAGGAACATCACGAAGCAAACACGCTGTGACACCTTTGTAGAGACCAAGAATACCCAAGTTACGGACAATCCACATCGCACTACGTTTGGGGACGTCGGCTTTCTTAGCCAATTCTCCTTGGACTTGAAGACGGATTTTGACGATTTCGAGAGGGTTGGTGAAGACCTGTTGTCAATTGATCAGTACACACTCCCAAGGGACAACTATGAAACCGCGATCTGATTACGAAGAGCGGACTTACCACTTGACAACCACCAGCCGAAGCACCTGCCAGAATCTCAAACTTCAAAGGAATGGTCCCAGTCTGTTTGTCTGTGAACCTTCCACGCACAAGGTCGTTTACTGTGAGTTTGATGGCCTTCTCTGGCGCCACACCAACCAATTGAGGGAGCACACCGGAGTACAGGCCACGGAAACCCTCATTCTTGATAACTTTCCGAGCACAATCAAGTGAATTCTCATACAGCCTTGAACCTGGATGGGAACTTCTCTGATTTTGCATACGAGTCTTGACCAGATCAATGGGGTACACCATGAAGGCGCCAAAAGCACCAGCAATACTGCCCAGACCGAAATGATGAGCTGATTCAAGCATACTCAAGAAGAACTGCCGAGACTTCGACACTGCTCGATCTGCGACATCAGTCATCGCACCTAGCTTGGCGCCAGCTGTTTGATAGCTTGCGTCCAACACTTTTGCGAAGTCGTCGAGGGCCAATCTTCCAGATGGGGTGTCCAAGCCAGCAAAGTGGAAGAGAATGTCAGCCTCCATTGGAGTGTACAGCGAGAATCGTGTCAGTCTAGCAGCCTCATTAAGGAAGTCTGTTCGATCGATCCTGCCGTCGCCGGATTTGGCGGTGGCGTTTCTGATGATTAGATCAAGCAAGTCCATCTCACGAATGACATTTTGGAAGGCGCGGACGTTGGCATATGAAATCTTTGTGCCAGTCGAGATGTTGCAGAGGGTAGGTAAGTTCTCCAAGAGATGGTCAGAAAGCTTATGTCCTGCAGTGGCTCGGATGATGCGCTCAAAGTCTTCAGGGTCAATGTATCCATCTTTATCCTTGTCATATAGATGGAAGGCTTGTCTTATCCGTTCACCTTGCAGGCCACGCATCATCTGGGCAAATTGTGGGTAGGTCATTTCATGTCGTCGTTGCTTGCCACCGATGTACAAAGAGGCCCATTCCGAGTTGAAGTCAAACGGGATGCTGTCTTGACCACGGTTCTGATCGTATATCTTTTGGAAGGTATCAGCCTTTATGGAACCGGTCCCATCAGTGTCAAAGAGTCTGAATGCGATTTCGTATTCAGCGTCGGACTTTGCCAGGAGGTTATCGAAGGAAGCCCATTCGGACATGGAGATCTTTCCGCGTCTGTGACGATCTGCGACACCAAAGAGGATACCATATTGTTCTCTCTTGATCTTGTGCTGTTATTGGGGCCAACGCGTCAGTAAGTGTTCAAGGTCCCGACACAGATCGGTGGAAGGGAAGGAAGGTAATGTGACGTACATAATCTTCTTCCGGGGGAGCAACGGCGTTGATGAAATCCTCCTCATTCATGTACAGCTCATCATCCTCACCCCGTTGAGCGTACTTCAGGAAGGTGGCTTTGGATTCGGTGGAAAGGTTGGTTGGAAGGGTGGAACCCAAGAGGGACTCCTTGACCGTTTCGGCGACAGTGGCCATGATTGCCTGTTGAGGAGGGAAAAAGAAAGATGCGATGGACCGAGATCGATGTCAAGGTCGAGATCGGTGTTCACAAGGTTGAAGGGATGAATGCAATTGTCAACCAGTGAAGGTCCAAGACAACCACCGACACCAGACACGACGGTGGACAAGAATAGAAAGTGTACCGGGTCTAAGAATTTTGGGGAAGAAAAAGAATGTCTTCTGTAGATAGAAAGAACAATGGAGAAGAAAAGGATGGAGGATAGGCCAGCCACAGGGACAGATGCTGGACGAGGACGAGGACGAGGACGAGGATGAGGATGAGGGCAAGGAACAGAAAGCTAATGAGCGCAGTCTGGGGAAACGGAATGGAACGACGTGTGTGCAGTGCACAGTTCAAGTCAACTGCGGCGGTGTCCCTGGGGTGGATATGGATGTCTGGATGATGGGATGAATTTTGAGAAATTTCGAGATTGCCAGACCGGGAAACCTTCTGACCGGGAAGCAGCACTAAACGACCGCTAAAGAGCTACAGACTACTAATACAAGGAGGCGGCCAGGCGGTTTCGGATAAGCAATCCACCACGCCTATGCCAGCGGCCCAGGGACCCAGTCGGAGTTGGCGGTCAGTGGAATCTCACAGGTTTAACAGCTCCTAATGGGTGCTAGCTGCTCCCTGATGCTTTGCCAGTGGTGTCAGTGATTTGGAGTAAAAAGTTCGAAGCACCGAGGGTTCTTTTTTTTGGTGCCCGCTTGGATCCCTCTCCCTCCCTCTCCAACTTTTTTCGAAAGTCAGGTACCGAACAAGGAGCTTGAATCCTGCACTGCTCGACGGGCCGGGTGACCGTTCGGGGTAAGCCGCTTGCACAGCAAAAACAATGCACAATTCTTGAAGCTTGAACCACGGCGTCAAGCTACAGGGGTAAACAGGGATATATGTCTTCAGGGTTCAACTCGACTGCCCTGCTTTTACTGTGCATCACAGCGCGCATTTATCATTACTATGCCCCAGGAGTAACGTCCATTGTCCAGGGCTTCACCGCGCCTACCAAAACGCATTTTCTAAGCTCCCGCCACGAGCAAGATCTCTGTGTCACTCTCGGGAGCCATACCACAACAGGCTAGCCGCCTCCCACCCACCGTGGGAGCACCTGCAGCCTCAGGTCACCTCCCCGGAAGAAAAGTACCTAAGCGTGATCTTCACAATTTATCGTCTCGACTCTCGAGACTGAGCCTTCAGCTACATACATACCTAGGTACCAAGCTACGAGCCCACGACCCCGAGTACATAGGTAGGTAGATAGGATACACGGGTACTTTTACTTTTCGTCAGTCTAACCTCCACTAACTACGTATATCATGTCATGACCATGTCATGTGGGCTTGATTTTCGGGTGTGCACTGGCAATCGCAGAGTGCTGCCGGACATAGGCTAATTTCGGGTGAATGGAGGGCGTACCTGACTTGACTGTTTTGTGGTCGTGGGCGCGCTGCACCAAAGGAAAGGAAAAGGCTTCGCGTCCACGCGTGGGCTCCATACCTAGGTACTTTCGATCATGACACTACGAGTCGTGACCACCGGGAACAGGGACCGACCTGGACCACGCATGCTGGATGGCGCTCCTTTTTCTTTTCTTTTTCTTTTTTACCGCTCTTCCGACACCTATCTAACTCGACGTTCTTACACACCGCGAGTCTCTGACCGCCCGGGAGTTCGGTCTCGTAGCCTGTTGTTGCTACCTCAGGCGTGTCGCAGGCATTCCACGCAACGTTGTCAGCGTGTTGTGTTGTCTTGTAGACTTCGGGCGTAGAAGAGCAGAGTGGTTATTAACTTTCCGAAAATGAAAATGAAATAATAAAAAAGGATGTTTCGTCATTTCATAATCCCTGGCTCAACGCAGCCTTATTTATGCTGCGCATGAGTCAGGTTTGTCTTCTGCACTGGTGCCGCTCCAGACTTTGATTCCAAATCCGTTTCCTCTCTTTCTTTCCGATCTACTGAGTAACCGGCGTGCGTGATGCTTGGAAATCCCATTGCCAGTGGAAGAACACCAACGTCACATGTTCCGGGCTTGCTTTTTTGTGGTGAAACATCATGGCGGCCGACAATCCATCCGTCCCTCCCACAATCCTATTCTGGTTGACAATCGCCCTTCTTGCCATCAACAGTCAAATCTCTGTGTCTTGTCCGTATATAACGCCATGCATCTCTGACACTCCCCCCAAAATTCCAATGCAGGTAGGTAGGTGAGTGGGCGGAGGAAATCGGCCAGGACAAGTGTTCGTACAGGGTGCGCAAAAATCAAATATCGCAAAACATACACGCTCTCCTCTCATACACCAGTCAACGGACACCTCCAAACCTAGTCCCATATTACCAGACTCCTCGGACCACTTCCGAAGACAATAAAGACCAAAAGCAAATTCGTTTCTTCATACTGCTCTGGATCGAATGACAGGATAACCCGAAAAGACATCACACTGTTGTCGTGTTCCTCTCCCGTTCTTGTCCTCTAATGCCCTCTCTTTCAATGCGTATAACTATATCCGTTGCTAAGTCGAGAACTGGGATGATATCCATTGCCACTGTGCGTGTCAGAAGAGAGGTAGTCGTTCTGCACCTCTGAGAGGATGACGCCGACGCTGGGAAGACTAGTGGTGGTGGGGACGGCAGGGTTGTGTTGTTGTTGCAGGACGTTCCCGCCTACCAGCTCGGAAGTGCGTCGGCTATGTCCACCGTGGCCACCTAGGGCGATGCCACTGTCATCTGTGTGGTCGAAGTCATCTGGAGATGATGTATGTTCATGCTCTCCATACATGGCTGGGATGGGACTTGTGCGCGAGGTCGCTCTGCTATGTTGTCTTTGACGACCTCCCGCACGCAGAGTGCGAGGGCGTTGTTGAAGTATCTGTTTGAGATACCTGGTTAGTCGGTTTGGACAGATGGTCACGGAGGACATTGAAACTCACAACTTTCTCCACATCTTCCCACCTTTCTCCGACTTCATTAGCAATCGTCGTCCACATCTCCTGTCGATGGCGACCATATACGACCAGCAGATTGTTGACACGAGTTTCGCTCCAGTTGGTGTCACGTGCCTTGGTCAACAGTCTTTCGTGTCGTTTACGACAAGCATTTCCTGATTTCCCAGGGAAGTGCCGATTATGGATATCATCCCAAGCCGAGCCTCGGCTTCTCTCTTCTAGAAGAATGGCATCTTCATCTGCCGTCCAAGGTCCGCTTTGACCTGGCCGTACGGCACTTCCTCGCTGCATTTGTGGTGCTGGATGTGATAGAGGTCTGACTGGTTGCATGTAGGACATCATAGGTTGTTGGGCATAGTGTAGTTGAGCATCTCCCCAGGTCATGTTATGATGTGGTTGAGGTTGAGCCCAAGACTGAAGTGTGGGAGGATTCATGATTGCGGCCATGTTGGTGGTCGTTTGAGCCGAATGGCGAAGGTCGTATGGTGCTGTTCGTTGTACAGTCTGTCGTGGAGCGGTGCGCTTCTTTGGCATTGATTCCAGAAGAAGACGCCTGGTCATATCCCGAGGCCAAGGAATGGGTCTTTGAACGCCAGGCTCAAAGGTCGAAATACCGGCTCGTTGGAGTGGGGAGATTGGAGGGCAGAATCAGGATTATGATTACAGAAAGGAAAAAAAGGTGAGGTGCAACGAGCGTACACGAAGAATGGAGGACAGATAAACAAAACGACCGAGGTGACCTCCTTGCAAAAGGTTGAGGACTGGATACAAAGAAGACTTGTTGGTCCGGATGATTTGAGCCTGACCACAGGTTTATGAATGATTGTATCCAGCACACATCGGCCTCGCAGCAAACTTGAAACGTGGGGCGTCAATCTCAGATTTGAAGAAGAATAAAAGAGACGCGAAACTCGATACCCTCAGATCAAGTCTCAGAAGTACCATAAAACTGACGATGAGCCTCACTCCAAGCGCACGCTCAGGTAAAAGCGCCTCATGGGAGACAGGATATCGCTCGGTTCATTGGCCAGCAGCCGTGGTCAAGGTTGAAGGAATCGACGCTGCAGCGAAGATGAAACTTGAGCCTTGCGCCGGAGAAGTTGTTTGTGTGGACCTTCCATCCCACCCATGCACGTACTCGCTGTACATATATTTGGTACAATACCCTAGATGAATGTCAAGGAGTGAGCCACTTACAGATGGTTATGACAGCGGCTCTCCTAGGCGAATCTCCATAGCCGCCGGGAGACATGGGCAAGGTAGGTATGAAAAGGCTGACTTGTTATCCATCTGGCAAGTCGTGGCCACATGTAGACCCGTTGGGTTAGTGTAACTCCCATTGCCCCAAAGTGCCCAACATAGTACGAGAGGTCAAGATGGGTATTGGTCAACTCATGCAAAAGGTCATAGATTGGGGTATGAACAAACCCACCTACCTAGGTAGCCGCCAGATCATGACATGCTGTGGTGGTTTCTTTGATACAACCCAAACAGGATTGGTGAGTTTGATACTTGACAAGAAATGGACGAGCACTCCTCAACTGAGCATAGAGTGCACAGTCAAGCGTCCCCAGTCTCAATCAACAGCATCACTGACGTCTTCCAAACGCAGATCCTGAGTAGATATGATTCAATAGCCGCTCACCTGAGGTTCGATGAAGATGCGAAACATAGGTTGTCTGCTTGTGTGTGGGTGGTTGGCAAGCGCTTAGAAAGAAGATCAGAAATGAAGGGTTCTATAAATAGCCACGGTAACCTCTTCAGGCAGTGTCAATACCCTTGCAACGCGCCGGTTGGTCACTGGGATCGACGAGTTTAGCTCTCTGGCTCTCTGGAACTTTAATCGCGATTTAAGATAGTGGGTGAAAGATGCAAGGAAATATGGTAGAAAGGCGATGGTGGAACAACAACATGGAAGGAAGGCATCTGGGAATGCCAAGCCATTCAAGCCTCCGGCTGAGGGGCTTTTGCCTTTCATTACCTTGGAAATTGTGTACCTAGGTACCTACCTATCCAAAGCCACACCGGGTATGATTGACATCTCTGCGACCTGTAGTGAGAGCAGAGGATGGCATTCACGCCCGAGATAGAACACGGCGGTACAAAAACTCCAGTAGATACATCCACTAAACATGTTTCTGGGTGACAAGTGATATCATCTCATTGCCTATGTCTACGAGATAGTGGTCTGCACTTCTCTTCCATCCCCATCGAGCCTTGTGAGTCTGTTCTTCTATGTACACTTCAAAATATTGTCCAAATCCACAAAGGAATCCAACGAAGGATGTTTCGATGCCCTGCATCCAACAGGGACATCCACTTCAATTACCAAAATTTCATTGGCTGATTTCCAACCGAGCCCTTCTCCGTCATGGAGGTTTGTCGTCATATCATAATAATTTCCAATGCAGCGCTGAGAAACCAATAACCAATACATCACGTTCACATGAGACCCGCTGGTTCTGCTCATCTGCGAGTCCATCTCCGTTCGTCTCTCGACATCTTCTTGTTGTGCGTTCCGTAGTAGTCTTCCTCCTCAATCGGGGTGACACAATATACGACTGGTGTCTCAGACCAAGACAACTGTCGTCGTGTGGATTGAGAGCTTGGTGTCGATTGAGAGGACTTTTTCAAGATGCTTCGTGACGTGCTGGGGTTGGCATATGTATATGTTGGTTGTTGCATACTAGTGGTTGAGTAACCCCGCTGGTTCAGCCTTGTGTTTCGTACTGTGGGACTGATTGGAGATGGTGAGACTGGGGCCGGAGAAAGTGGTGGTCGCATAGATGTCATGCTCATGGGTGATTTCAGCGACAATGATGGTCGGCTTGTCTGGCTAGTTGCAGTTGAGATGTTCAAGGACAACTTGGGCTTGACGGCTCTTGAGGCAAGCATGTTGACTGTTGTAGATATTTGATGGGGAGTTGGTTGAATATGGTTTAGACGATGAAGATTTGGTTGACTGTTCTGAGTTGAATAGTTTTCAAAGGTAGAAGCTTTGAAGTGAGGAATTATAATCGATGTTGTTGTTGGACAATATAGACTGTGTATATAGGATACGTTAAAGCGCGGGGTTGTGGTTGAGATGTGGGTTGTTGCAAAAATAGAAAAGTGGACCAGCCAATTTTAGATTTGCAGATGTCAGTTGGACAAGACAGAATAGAGAAGAATACGATTAGGAAACGCGCCAGAACAATCAATGTTTTGGGATGAAGAGGAAAGAGAAAAGAGGTCGCAGAAGAGGTCGAGTGCAGTGGGCGGTTATAGATATACTTGAAACTCGGGTAGATTCTTCTCCAAGGTTGGAAAGAGGGCCATTCGCCAACTTTTGTCCAGGTGGTCCGAGCGTCACTCCACGACTCACCAATAATGGCCTGTGTTCAGGCGCCCACCATGTGGTGAATGTGATACCACTTGCAGCCATCCCGTCTCGGTCCAATAGCGAGTGCATTCTTGTACAGACATCACTGACGTCCCGATCGTTTGTCAGTGAGCTATTCGACTTTGAACACAGCTAAAAAGCAATATCACAGCTCGAAATAACACCTAGCTGTACATTCATTTTTCATGATAGGCTGGCATTGCAATTGCAACCGCAGAGTTCCCTCCTCTGAGTACTCAACTGCATGCTTTTATTGATTTTTCACTGACCTCGCCTGTCTGTTTCGGGAGCAATGCAGGGCATTCCCGAGGTGATCTTGGACGTGATGGTCCAGTTATTGATCGACTGCCCGAGATGAACATGCACGATCGGTGATATAACCATGAAACGAATTTGAACTTGATCCAGACAAATGCTTGTACAATTATGTGGACTCGTGAGCGGATTACTCTTGAAGGCCCAATAAGCCTCAGACTGACATTGTGACCCAGGACAAGCCCAGCCAATTCTGGAAGAACGGCAGTATCCATGTCCATTGGGCTTCCAACCACCAGTTTGGTGCTCAGGTGCAGTAAGCGGACAAGTACTACGACAGTGGAATGGAGCAATTGAAAATTCGTCTCTGATTAGCAATTGGTCCAATCGGCCCAAGCTTCACAGACCAAGATGGCCATGAATCGTTGGAAATTTGACCAGCGTTGCAATGCCATTCAACTGTGAAGCAAGTGTAGTGTTGCTTGACGAGTGGTCTCTCAGATGGTACAGTACCTTTTCGGTAAGTTCATTGGGCACCAAAACGAGCATCACGTACTGGTAACCAAAGGACAACCTGCCATTCAAACCTCCGGATGTGACACATCACCCATCGGCGTCCTAAACAGCTGCTGCGATATGATGTCCAACATGTTTTGGTATCTGTAGAGTTGAAGTATAGTGTATTGTTAGCAAAAGACCATTTGGTTCTGGACACATACTAATATCTTTTTGATCTCGGAATCTCCATCGGCCATGTGTTATCGGCCCTTGTCGAGAAAAAGAAGTCTTGGATGACCTAGCTCTAAGAGTGACAAGCGTTGATAGCTTAGCTGCGTTGAGTCTTCGATACAAAGTTTTTGGGTCTCGACGTTGGGATCAGTTGGTCAGGTTAACACTCTCAATATTGTAACAGCAGCAATGTGCATAGTTGCCATATACCATTTGTGCTTGGTGCAAGGTTGAAGGGTCATCAAAGATAGGCGAGGACTGAAAAATGCACTGATACTTGTCGGGATGTGTCAATTCGAGGGACGTGGTCTGTGCTGCGGTACAAGAGAGTCGGATCAGGATGTTGTCAGGGGAAGGGTTGAGTGCTGGCATGTAGTGACAGGAGTGATTAATTGAGCGACAGGCGGAACTACTGGCGTGTGAAATCATGGCGTTAGTGGCGGTACATTGTTATTTTGGATTGCAAGATGCCTAAGGCACAGATTCTGAGTCGATCTTGACGTCGAGTCTTGGACGGAAAGGCGAACTATTGAGGGCGAAAACAGGCGCTGAATGAAAAGAGGCCGACTGCCGCAACATCTCCATGATGACTTTAGTCGAGTACGAGAAAAAGACCCAGGCGAAAATGGTTGTGATACATGTCGACAATCATACCGTCGATCAGGAAGCAAATTTTGACCTTTGGTCATTGATCAACCATGAACCGAATCCCTGCTGCGCCGCAAAGAACATGGACCATAACCTGCAAGCCCGGATATAACAAGTGTGCTTTTGTGGTCGCAGCTGCACAGAGCAAAGCGAAAATACATCGAGTTGACCGAAAAACTTGTCATGGCTGGCCGATGTTTCAAGCCCGAATGTAGGAAAATGTGTTGAGACCAGAACAGACCGACATAACTTTACCTACCGCCATAACGGTCTTCGCGGGGATAATCACGACCGCCAGCGTATTCGCCGCCGCCGCCACCGCCGCTGCCGCGAGGCGCCTCGTCGCGAGGAGCAGCCCCATAGTTTCGATCTTCACCGCCTCGATAGTAGCCACGACGCTCGCCGCCGCCACCGCCGCCGCCACCTCCCCCACTGTAGCCGTCATCACGTCGACTCTCGTAGCGATCGATGCCGCGACCGCCGTAGCCGTCGTCTCTCTCGCGACGGCCACCTCCGTAACCGCGTCGATCGTAGTCATCATTATGACGAGAGCCACGATAGTCGTCACGGCGAGGAGGGTAGCCTCCACGGCGATCATCAAAGCGGTCACGGTAGCCACCGCCACGGCCGCCACCGGGAGGTCCACGGAAGTCACCTAGAACGGATTAGTATCAAATATCACACAGGACCACATTGTGCTCACCACGTTTAGGAGGTCCGAAGTATTTGCCTGGAGTGGGTGTTCGGGGACGAGCACGGCGAGCCTTTTCGATGCTGAGAGTACGACCTTCGATGGTTTCACCTTGGAGACCTTCCTTGGCAGCATCGGCTTGTTCGGTAGTGAGCATCTTCACGAAGCCGAAGCCACGAGACTCCTTGGTGTGGGGATCCAACATGATGGAGCAGCTTTCGACATCGCCATACTTTTCAAACAAACGAGAGACATCGCCTTCGGTGAGCCGAGGGTGAATGCCAGTGACGAAAAGATTTGAGCCAGTATTGACAGCACCCTCATCTTCCGGAGCGTCTTTCATTCTTGTATCTGACGGAGGTGGAGGACTGAAAGAGAAAGTCAGTGGGAGTTGGGCGAAGATGAAAGGAAACTGACGGTCTATCGCGGCCATTGGGTGAACGGCTGCGGTTTCGATCCTCACGATCACCTCGGGGTGAGGCAGAGCGGTCACGGCGTTCATAGCGTTGGTCATCTAAAGGGTAGACGTTAGAAGTGAGGACTTGATCAAGTGAGGCTGTGTTGGATTACCTTCATAGCGTGCGGCAGAATCTTCAAAGTCAGCCATGGTGAGAGCTGAGTGGGCTTGCTGGTGGCGATGAGAGGGGTACGTTTGTGATGGTGATGAAGTGAGGGAAAGGAAAGAGGGTAGGTGAAGATGATGAACGAGTAGATACCAGCCTGGCAAGAACAGGATGGAGCAGGATTGATGAATGAGGCTGCAAGGGGGTGAGCCGGAGGATGATTTTGATGCTGATACCAGAATCCGTAGTAGTGGCTGATGGCTGATGATGTCTCGCAATTCTGTAAGGCAGTCAAGCGAAAAAAAGAACGAGACGCGCCTTTTTTTGGGGAAGGACGGGAATAGGGAAGGTGCAAAACCTGGAAAGTTCAAGGTGCTGCCTTCCGTGTGGGAGTTTTTGTGTCTAGTTGGCGCTAAGCCTAATGCGCCTGACGCTTGTACTGTTTGCGACTCGCCGTCACTTGCCAAGTACAAAACATTCAAGGAAAGAGTCCGCTTATCTGTCAGCCTCAGGGACATATTGATTGATGGCTTGCCTCGTAAATAGGGGTCTATCCGAAGCAATGTAAGACAGCAATCCAACCGATCAGAAATCATGATCATCATACGGTGAGGCTCAGGGTGAGAAGTCCTACATCTTTACAACAACGATCCACCAAGGTAGGTATGGAACGACAAAGTTGCCTCAACGGCGAACTTCCAGGATGGGACAATAAGTTACATATACCTAGGTACACGATAGGACTATTCCTTTGGTTGGAACGTTGTGGGGCCATGCCTCGCAGTGTGGAGGCGAGATGCACGTCGGATATGAAGTTAGAGAAGCCGTCCTCTGCTACCTAGGTACTAATATCCACAGCCCAGATCTGGGTGTTTGATGAATATGATACATACGAGTACTCTGCATCCCTTAGCAATAACTTGTGGCACAGCAAAGCCGAACCCGATGCTCACATGAGACTCGGTTGCAGGGGGTCTCAGATGAAGTCTATGCGTAAATGATTTCCTGTTACGCTGATGGAGAAGGACATTCTAACATCTCGCTAAATTATCCTTCAGCCTTGCACGTGGACATGATTCACGTGATTCAGCCTCGCCTGATGTGATAAACCCGGGTGACATTGCGCCTTCCTCAAAACACCAGCCATTCGAGCAGAAACAGCCACAAAGTCCCGGCATGTCTCAGCCACTCGATTACCATCTATCAAGACCTTTCTGTTGACGATATCATCAATGTCCATGTTTGAAAGCCAAATGTCCTTTGCTATGGCGAGCGGCTACAGCCATCATCGACCAACCCTGACCCGGTCTCGATCACATACTGATCCAACACGGGCGGACGTCCCGCCCGAACAAGAAGAGGCCCACGCACCTCCCAGCGGAAAGCCCTCTTCGAGTCGACCACAGCATGCTCGATCCAAATCGTACCTTGCACCTGGTGACACCAAGTCTCACTCTCGAACTGCGATACTTGCCGGTCCGGCTACAGCAGCTCTCGAGAAAACTGCGGAGAAACTTCCCCGTCTACACCTCCCAGGCTCAAGTCACCGACACCACAACCACTCCTTATCCCATTCACAATCCGGAGAGAAGCACAGCTCAAGCAAGAATGGACATTACCGACGGCACCGCACAACTCAAAGCGAGGCCCACCCTCGAAACTTTGACTATAAACAGGACAAGGACAAACCATCAGGGCTCAACCTCCCTCACCTGGTGGCAGGATTGAATGCCGAAAGAGAACGACGTACACAGCAAGCCACATCACTCAACAATAACAATTACACCTCCAACAATCTCTCGTCCTCCTCCCCTCTATCCGCGCGATATGGCGACATCCAACGCAACTTCGGACCCTCTGACAGCAACTACGCCGACTATGCCAGCGGCGGACGCTACGACCTCCGGCGCCGTGCTACCAGCGACCCGGACCGAGCCCCTCTCGTTCGCAAAACCTCCTTTGAACTCCTTCTAGAACGGGGCGAGCAAACCCGCTTCGCTCGACGCTTGTATGTTAAGAAAGATGAAATCCTTCGCCGTGACGATGAGCTCGCCGCTGCCGAGGACGAGATGCGCAGTCGAGTCAATGAAATCACCACCACAGGCGTCGAAATGACCCGGCGCCTCGATTACGGGTACTACAACCTACTGGAGAAAGTCAACAACCTCGTCGGCACCATCACCTCATTCCAATCACTAGCCAAGCAGACAGGCCAGCTCGTTCACAACTTCGAGAAGGAAACCCACCGCCTAGACACCGACACCCGCCACCGCGCTGACGTATTCAAACAGACGTTCCAAACACGCGACCAGAAAGCCCTCACGCTCAGCGAGCGCGGAAAAGCAGCATCCCGCCGCGCTGAAGACCTCTCGCAACGACTGGAAAACGCGCGCACAATCCTACAGAACTGGGAACAGCGGGAAGCATCGACACGGCGGTCCTGGGACCGCGTGAAATCTGTGTGTTGGTATACCGTCCTCTCCGTGACGTTTCTCCTGGTGAGCCTCATCCTCGCGAGAGAGGCATGGCTCCACGGTGATCCCGTGAAGACGGGTCTAGGCGTGCACAGCGAGGGATCCTGGAATAAAAGCCTCCGCCTGGGTTCCAGCGGCGGCCGTGACAGCGCGCTTGCAGGCGGACACGACCCCGCAGCCCTCAACGAGCAGATGCTGCGCACCAACGAGAACATACCGCAGGATGTCAAGAATCTACTGCTTGAGATCGCGGAGCGGAACCGCGAGCACAAACATCATGTACTACCCGGCGTTCCGGAAGGGTCGTCTTCGCGAGAAGAAGACAGGGCAGATGGGCGCTCTGGTCCTGCTGTGCGCTACGTCCAGCAACAGCAGCAGCAGCAGGAAGATCGAGAAGATCCGAGATTAACGACCTTCGACGAATTATGACTGATATGATATCACCTGGCAGCATTTACAACTTTTCTTGGTCTTGTATATTAAAAATAACCTCCAGTTATTATTATAGAAGAGCGCTTAATCAAGGTTGAAAATCCGAGATTAAGAAAAACCCTTATTCCTCTCGAGCGCGTATTCTCTAGCTGAATGCCTGCCTCACATTTCAGACCTTTTTATCCTTGACTTGACCAGGCTGGGCTGGCTCGCTTATCCAGTTTGTTGCCGTGACGCATGAACTGTCCGAGGAAAAGGTTGCAATAACAATAAGATAAGTCGCCAGCTAGCATGCCTGTCTGCGGATGGAGGAGAAGGGTATTGCCACGACAGGAGAGTTAGTTGGGATGTGCGATGTGATGCACAATCGATCATGCAATATTATCATATCGATATTGATAAGTGTGAGTTCGAGTCATTAGGTCTATCTTCTCTGCCACTCTGGCAGATTTCCAACCCCCCTTTCATCGCCAATATCATTGTGCGAAGAATAACGATATCCAAATCGTTAAGCTGAAACAACTGGGTGCTGCACACTCGAGCTGACCCGCCACCCGAGGTGTTGAGAGCCTGGTCAAAATACCTCCTTTATGAAACATATCCGACGATGATTCCCGTGCATGCTGTGAACATGGCAAATCTTTCTGTTCTCGGTTTGCTGCTGGAACATTTCGGTCCGCATAGGATCAGCAAGCCGCTTACTAGGGCAGAAAAGGAGAACCATCAACAACGCTAGAGCTGTGTAGTGATGCCGAGTGATTTGCTCAAGATATGAAATAGTGTATCGAGATTTTCGGCCCGTTTCTCGATGCGCTTTGACGCGATGTTTCCTCGTGTCCGCTCGCAAACAGACGAAACGTGCAAAGGTAAATGGAGAAGATCCCGCAGTATCAGAAAGTGACAAATCTCAAGTACCGACGTGCAGAGTGCGAGATTTATGCCTCTGATGGAGAGCGAGATGGGTATCATTATTAGAATATGAAAATCTCAACAAGTCGATTCAAAGAAAAAGCCTTTGTCGAGTAATTTCTTTTGGCGGAAGAAATAGCGGAAATCCTTGACTTATCGCCGTGAAACCGTCGTGCCATTGGCACGGTAACCTCCATTGAGACCGTTGTTGATCTTGGGGCCAACAACAGCCTTCTCGACTGCTTGAAGGACGTCCTTTCTCAAATCGGCCGCATCTTCTACACCACAGCTAAGTCGGATCAGATCATCAAAGACACCAATCGCTTCTCGCTGCTGCTGAGGGATTCCTGCGTGTGTCATTGCACTCGGAACCTCGCAGAGACTTTCAACGCCACCCAAACTCTCAGCGAGCGTAAAGATTTTGGTCGACTGGCAAAACAGCTCGGCAGCAGCATGCCCTCCTTTAATTCTGAAGCTCAGCATACCACCTCCCAAGCCATCTCGGTGCTGCTTGATGGCGATGGCTCTTTGCTTGTGAGAAGCCAGACCGGGATAGTTGACGGCGATGACATTAGGAGATGCTTCGAGCGCTGTCGCAACGGCAATGGCGTTTGCACTGGCTTCGCGGGCTCGGAGATGTAAGGTCTTAAGACCTCGGTGTGCGAGCCAGCAGTCGAACGGAGAAGGGACTGCACCGATGGCATTTTGTAGAAAAGTCAGACGTTCTTTGAGCTCATCCGAGTTGAATGCTGCCACTCCCATCACGACATCGGAGTGACCATTGATGTATTTCGTGACGGAGTGAATTACAATGTCTGCGCCGTGGTCGAGCGGGTTTTGCACATATGGGGACAGGAAAGTATTGTCCACCACCACGAGGATACCGTGCTTGTGGGCAATGCTAGCCACTTGTCTGATGTCCACCAAACTCAGAGTCGGGTTCGAAGGACTCTCAATCCAAATGAGTTTGGTTTGTTCTCTAATTAATTCTTCAATGTCAAGTTCGATCGAGGGAGAAAAAGTCACCTCGACACCATGAGCAAGAGCCACTTTTGTGAAATAGCGATGGGTTCCACCATAGACATCGGACACTGAAATAACATGTGAACCGGCAGCTAGGGATTGAAGGATGGTCGCAGTTGTAGCAGAGCCCGAAGCAAAGGCGAGGGCATATCTCGCATGTTCCAACGCAGCCACAGCCTCTTCGAAGTTGGTCCGGTTGGGGTTGGAGCTGCGACTGTATTCATAGAGACCGACAGGCTTGCCAACGGCTGTCTGAGCAAATGTGGTGGAGAGTGAGAGAGGCTCGATCACTGCACCAGTGGAGGGGTCATGGGGGGATCCTGCATGGACAGCGAGGGTGCCGAAATTGTGAACGGGGGAGGGGGCTCGAGCGGGGGTGTCTATGCCACCGTCTTCGTTTGTCAGAATTCGTTCATCAGGACGCAGAGGTCTAGGCGAGAGAGGAACGGTCATAATGGCGGTTGAGGGATGAGATCCAAGGTCGTCCGGCACGCAGGAAAAAACGGCGGGGTGGGATGGAAATTCGAGGGAATTGGTGACGAGGGGGAGAGACAAAAAGTGAGTCAGAAGTTCTCTTTATGTATCACTGCAGTCTATTCCAGCCCTGCAAGGACTGGTGAGTGAGCTTGCGTGGGTTTTATTCTCTCAAGCTCCAAATCGTTGATGAGTGCAGCTCGCAGAAGTTGAGTGACGAACGAAGAAAAAGATGCAATAATCAATCCTCGGCAAAGAATGAGGGTCCAGGGACTCATTCGAGGGGCGATGACGATGACGTGCTTAAGCAGGTGCCCACCAGTGCCCACTGTCTAACGAGTTAGTTGCCCAACTCACAGTTGAGGCAGGTGCGTCCAGAACCCCCGGATTTGAGGAATTTAGGGGCTGCTTTTAACTGGAATAGTTTAAAAAACTTCTCGGAAATGCCGCCCCTTTAAGCTTCAAGTTTGACTTTCGCGTTGGGCACGCAATCACAGGGCGTCCTGCAGCAGGCCGAGCGCGAGTTGCCTGGCGTATTCAAGGTGCCAACCCCGCTGACAAACTGATATTTTCCTCGCTGCGTTTGCAGCGGAGCAAAGAGGAAGGATCACAGCATCCTGGAACGACGATTACGTACGAGTACGACTCCACTAAATTGATTGGCTTCTCTAAATTGCCAGGGACAAGTATTGCCGTACTCATCCTCGGATAGCCGTATATCAAATACCCCTTCACCGCTCGTGCTCTCCATATGGCCACGCAGTGTTTCTCTTTTCCAAGTGAATTGTGGAAGAATCCGAGGCTGTCGGCAAGGGATGTTGTATTGTATATATGTCTCGTAAAGAGTTGTGTGTGACTAGATTAGTCTGGTGCTAGTCCCTTATGCTGTTGAAATACTACCTTTCTTTCGAGGCTCTTGAACAAGCCCTTTCTTGACCCCGAGAACTGATGGTGCCCATGGCCTGTGCAGAGGGATCAGCCATCGATGTTGGCCGCGATATGTATATGTCCATTTTCGAGAATCTCGTCTCGATGGACGATGTTCACCAGTATATTGAAAGTGAAGCAATCGTGTCTGCCTGTGTCCCTAGGATTACCAAGGTCATAACTCCCCTCCATCTCGAAATTCGATCACAGCCCAGCAAAGTCGTTTCAGCGTACCGTAAATGACCACCCCGGAATGATAAGTTCGTCCATCGTTTACGCTGGATCAAGGTCAATCAGCGCATCGCTCATAATTCGTAATATATGGCAAAACTCGGCCACATTCCATTTCCCAACGTCCTCCAGAAGGTAGACGTAATCCAGCAGCACTCGCCGAGCAGAATAATATCCGCCATGAAGAAGAACACCCGAAAATGTTATTGGGCCACCCTCCCTGATCCATGTTCTGGCCGGACAGGTCGTATTAGCTTCGGGTAGTGGAAGTTTGGCGAAACCATCATCACCAACGAGATTCCAGTTGACGCGATCCAAGAGCTCAAATGCTTCGATCTCTTGTGGTGGGTTGGGCACAGCGTACTGTGGCATCACGAACACGTACAGGCCGAGCACGAGAGCGGAGAGGACCAGTGAGATTTCTGCCTCGAATGAAGTACCACTGTTGACACTTCTCTTCGACATGATGAAGAATGTTTGTGCCGCATGGACACACGCCCGACGTGCCGCGGCCGATGATGACCAAATGATGATCTTCTCCAAGGCACTCTTCGCGCTGTCTGCGCCACTCCTGCCGGCGGCCAGCTCAAAAATACCAAGGTCCGCGGTAACTGCAAGGCACAGGTGGTGCCAAAATGCCTCGCAATTCGGGTTGATCGTCCCAATGGACTCACCGTAATGTTGCCAAACTTGTAGAATCAGAGGGATAATTGATGCTGCCTGGCTGTCATTAACGAAAACCTCGGCAGGAATCAGCAGGCCAGTATTCTCGGGTGTAGCAAGGTTGAAACGGTATCTGGCTTCTCCAATCCGGACCCAGATTGTTGAGAACAAGCCGAAGAATCCAATTGCACTTGCGTCTGTCGGTGGTGGAAGTATTGTGGATTCCAACTGTGGTGTTAACCAAGGCATAATTGTAGCTGCTCCAGCAGATATCATTTGCGACCACCGTCTCCCATTGGCGGCTTGAAACAGCTCAGTCTTGCATGGGAAGTAAAAGTGCAAAAGCTCGGGGTGAATTCGAGGACTGTGACCTTCGAGATGAGAATAAAACGAATCGGTCATTATGAGGGTGACAATCATTCGTTTGACAGACTCAACGCGAGCCCAAGCCTTCCATATCACATCATCGCCCGAGAAGTTTTGGAAAATAGCTGCCGAGAGTTCCTCGCCCTGTTGAGGAACAAATAAGCCGTGACGATCCGCAATGGCCATCGTCTCGTTGTACAGAAGGCGAGTATATTCTGCAGCGCCATGTTGAGAGCTGACTGCTGCCAGGGCAAGAAGTAACATGGAAGACGCGATGGCGGTGAGTAGCTCGCCCAATTGACCCTCCCGGCGTGAGCTTAGAACAAGGTCAGTTCGACACCTTTCAATTGCGTCAGGCAATTGTGCGTTGACAAATTTCTTTGCACGGGCGGAGTCCAGAAGAGTCAAGCCAAACAGACAAAGAGGAAATAAAAGCGTGCTCGATGTCTTTTTGGCCGTGAATGTAGGCTCATGAATGAACGGCATCAATGGGTGAAAGCGACGAACTAAGAGCCATTCGAAGGTTGAATTAGCAACCATACCTCCACACGAAGAACCAAGAAAGGAACGACTCACAGTAAAGATCTATGCTGATGTCTAGGATTTGCGTTGATGGAAACTTCGTGCCAAAACTCTGAATATCTTGACTGCTAGATCCAGAGTCACTGCGTGTATCAGCTGAGATCCGCCGATCGATGTGTGTCTTGTCGGAGGGCACCTTTTGCAGAGGACGACAGTCATCGATCAGTCTTGCTCGTCTTGCATCGTCGAAACCCCATCTTGACTCGCCACGCACCGGATCTTCGCCGGTCGTGCTCGTTTCGTCGGGTCCGTCATCGCACTCGCAATACATATTGTCTGCTTCGTAGTTGGCGATATCTCGCCACAAGGTCTGAATTAGCCGGCGAGCAGGTTTCTTCCTGCTAGGCCATAAACTAGCAATTTTGGCGTAACGCTCGTCCGAGATGTTATCCTTGGGAGGCGATGGTTGCATTGCGCGAGATGCGGTCGGGGATGGATAGTAGCCCTGATTCATGCCCATCATGTCTAGCTGTGGTAAATCGTCCCACATGCTAGGATTACTGGGTACGGAAGGAAAATCCTGTGCGTACCCGTCTAGCCAGGGGTGGATGTTGTTGAATGGTTCTGGGGCTATCCTCCCTTCCGTTTGCAAAAACTGATAGTTTGGAATATCGACAGGCTTCTGCATGGAACGAGGCATCGCTGCATACATCATGTTGGTATGCCCCAGGTCTTGAGGACTCGGACGCATGTCTGGAACGTTCATCGAGTAATCCAGCCTCAGAGCTGATTGGTGAGGTGCCGAAGTTACCGACTCAGTCGGGGTAGGATGCTTGAAAGTAACCTGTGCTTGAGATACTTGCTTCACGGACTGCTTGGGCATAGCTGAAGCAGTGCCACTGATTTCCGTAGCGTTCTGAGGGGCACTCGACGTAGCAATTGTCTGGTCTTGAAGGACGTCGTTCGAAGCCTTCGGTTTGACGTCTTTTTCACTTTCGACATGCAAATGATGGTTTCTTATATGCCTCATAAGGACATCGCTATTAGGATCAGAATTTGTTGACAATAAGGTGGGGTGAAAAGCATGAAGTACCTTCTCGCGTATTCTTTCAGACAGTACTTGCATTGAAATGGTCTCTCTCCAGTATGAGACCTTTGATGACGACGAAGATGCTCGGCTTTGACAAATTTGCGATCACAGTAGAGACATTTCTTATTCCGTGCACCTTTGGAAAGCGCGGAGTCCTCTTCGCTGTCCTTCATAGGCATCATGCTGCGCAATGCATGACGGGTAAAACCGCGGGCCTGCTAAACAAGTGAAGCACCCTGAAGGTCAAGACCAGTAAAGAGGTTATCAACTTAGACGCTGCATTTGTCGGCTGGACCGAGAAGGGTTTCAGATGAAAGCGTCAACATCAACCATTGCAAGACTATCCTGGTAACTTGGTTCTTCAGCTTTTACCAAGTACACATTACGAAGTGGCATAAGGGCCAGAGGCTAGACTGAATAAGCCCCAGAAGTCGTAGCGGTGGGCACAGGCCACTACCAATTAAACCAACCATTGCATTCGTAAGTGCAGCACGCCGCGGACGCTTAAGCGGGGAGTCCTGGAGGTGGATGCTCCCTTCCGGTGCCCTATGGAAAAGCTGGGCTCAGGATCTGATACCAAGAGCTGAGCTGCCCAAGATCTGCGGCCATCCCGCTCGCGACTGGTAGCAAGCCAAATTGACGTGCATAAGTCCCTCCCAGTAGCAGACAATCGCCTCGATTGTCAATTCACTTTTTCAGAGTAGCGGCCTACGGGTCCTCGGGAATGATCCGACAACTGCATCTTGAGGCTTTAGTCTGTGTCAGAAGTTAGGACTTGTGAATGGCGAGTCACACTGGCGACTTTCACACGGTTGACTTTATTAATGGCCAATAAAGCCGAGATCGACGATCTTGGGAGCATTGGCAGGGACTTTTACTTGCTCTGCTACCAATCGAGCATGAAATATTAATTACGGCACTCGTATATCTTCCTGCCAAGGTGATAGATGAGGAAGATTGCAGTTCCCGTACCCAGGGGCGGATGCAGAATCACCATGTCGCTCAGCCTCGAAGGTTGAGGCGACACGGATAGATCCTAGATCCCGGTCTGTGTACTTGTCACACTTTTCCTATAGCCTCTTGACATCGCGCATCTGCGTCAGGCTGTAACCCTCCATCAACGACATCTGTCCTGAATGGTGGCGAACAGCAAGGAGAAGATCACCATTGCGTCCACGTGAGCGTCCCAAATTTCCTACCGTGATGTATAGATACTCATGGAATTGCTCGTACAACACTATCGGCCCTGTCCTCCTGATGCTCACATGGACAACCTCAGGACGCTTTATCAGTGTCGGAACTTGACGGAGCCTTAGACTCCTCACGGTATTGTTGATTGCCATGTTCGATGTGCTCGGCTGGTCCCACTACCTCTTTCACCAGGTGAATAGCTGTATGATTGGTGAGGTACTGTGAAGGGTCCTTGATGAAGCATGCGCAAACAATGGCCAGGATTCCGAAGGGAATCGAGGCATAGAAAACTCGGGTAAAGGCATAGGCATAGGCCTCTTTGTAAGCCTGAGCGGCAGCTGCTTCAATCGCGGGAGTGATCCCAGGTACAGTCGCAAAGGAACCTGGAATACCAACAGCGTTCATCGCAGTAGCAGGGATCAGGAACTCAAGAACATCAAGGGACAGGTTGTTCTCAAGAGCCACAGCAGCTAGTCTGGTTGGAATTTGATCTTTCACAACACCATTTAAAATAGTGTTGAATACTAGGTCTTATGTCAGTTTTTATCGTCCAGACTCCAGCTGAAAGATTTTGGCTTACCTGCGTTGCCAACGCTACCTCCAGCGCTTCGGAAGGTTCCTATCAGCCCAGAGGCAAGTCCCAAATGTCTCAATGGTACATTGAGACCTGCAATGACATAGCATAGCAGAGTGATCAACGCAAAAGGGCCCATTCCGAAGAATTGGAATGCTGACCATCCTCTCCGATTACCAGGGACTACGCCTGCATAGGCAGCGACGAAGACGGTCTGGACGATCAAGTAGAAGATTACTTGAAGCTTCAAGTGACCAACTTTACCCATCAGAATTGTCAAACAGCCTCCAAAGATCACCTGCGCAATACCATTCGGTAAGGCAATGACTCCGATCTGAATAGGGTCGCTCGTGAACATGTAAAGTGAGCCCTGTGGAAGAAGACCCGAGAAGGAATAGAAAACCGCGCCTGCGAAATCAGTCTCAGGTGTGTCGGAAACATATTTCAAGGACATCACTTACCCGCTACAAACACAACCACCAACAACATGGTGAACTCTCGGACCTGGCGGAATAGTTGTAAGGGGAACAAGGGTTGTTTTGGAATAGTGAAATCATAGATGAAGGTGGCGATTAAGACAACAACTCCAACGATGATGGGTGCAATAGTTGAGGCAGACTTCCATGGGTGATCGACGCTGCCGGCCCAGGTAAGTCCGATTAACATGATTGTCAGGCCAGCAGTGAAAAGAATGAAGCCAACATAGTCGATCTCCTTAATCTCTTGCCATCGAGATTTCTCAAAGTCGTACTGTGGGCGAGGAGGTGGGTGATAAAATACAATGGTTCCAATCATGCTCAGGACACCATAGATGATACCGATATAGTAGCACCATCTCCAGCCAGCAGCAGTGTTTGAGTTCAACGACGTTGCAATGAGCGTTCCGGCTGCAGCCCATGGAATAGTCATTGCTATGGCACCGGTAAGCAAATGACTCCCTTCTCTTCTAAGGCTAATATCTTACCTAGCTCGGTACAACCGAGCAGCCCACGCCATTTGTTAGGCACAATCTCCTGAATGCCAGCATATGAGACGAAGATGATGCCACAACCAAAACCAATAATGGTTGAACCAGCAGCTACCGTGAGGGTTGTCTTCGCTGTACACGCAACAATCTGTGGTGGTTTAGCTTATAGTCAATTAGCCTGGACAAGTGTGCATACCGATCCAATAATTGCGAGTACCTCGCCAGAGACGATAGTCCATCTCCTACCGAAGATATCCGAGGCAGAGCCTGCAATGCAAAAGCTAACGGAAGACGCGATGGACCAGCCACCCACGATCCAGGTGATATTTGCGGTATCACCGTCAAGATCTGTTGCGATGGGCACAAGAATGCTGGTGACCAGGACAAAGCCACAGGAAATCGGACAAACGTATGACAGTGATAATGACTGGTTACGGTTAAGCAAGTGACAGTCAACCATAAGGGGCACGACTTACCAACACGGCCAGAATTGTAGTCCACGTCAACTTTTCGGCGTGTTCAGGGTTTTCTTCAAGTGCGGCACGATGTGGATCATCCAAATCCGTAGGAATATAGTCGGAATGCACATGACGGGCTGTTGACCTTGCAGGCTCACTGACCGCAGACTGTGCGCCGTCACTCTTTTCAGCAGCCATGTTGACGAGCTGGAAACCTTTGATGGACCACTCAAATCAGAGATGAAGGATGAAGAAGATGGATCGAAGGAGGAGGAAAATCTAGATCGTCGAAAATGGATGATGATGAACCAGCGCGCATACTTGTACCTACACCTGGTCAGGGTTTCTGGGGTTATGGAGGACTCGTGCTTCACAGTTAGCTCCGTACAGGAGGCCCATCTCCCCACTGCACTTAATAGAAGCCCTGAACCCACAATGGCTAGGTCTGGGGCCAGAGGCTTGCCTAAACAGATCCACCTTGTTCGCGTGGAACAGGAATTTTGGCTCGAAAAATGGCGGATCAAGCCTGTCTAGCCCCTGGTCTCTAGGCGACTGGGGAGTCGAGGACCACTTTTCGCTGGCAAATTTTAAGTTCAGTCCTGACCCCAGGCGCAGAATGTAGCTAACGAGCTCTCTTCACAGGCTACCTGCCCAGGTATACGAGGCACGGACTATCCAACAGCGTGATCAGTACAGTTTCGACCACGAGCTATCAACATAAAAATTGTTCTGCCTTTGTTTAACTTGTGTTCGGCAGGTAGATGAAGTGCCGGATCTTTCTGTACCCCCACAACTCCAAACCTATTTTATGTGTGCTCCACCATCACCATTGACGGGAGCACGGTCAGCTTGCATTATTGCCAGCGCTCCTTTGGTAGTCTCCGTGCAATGTCACTGGTCATATCTCATTCTGTTTGCTTTCCTCTGGGAAGCCCTGAGAACGAATGTCTTGGTCCAGAATTGAATTGAATTTGCCATTTCGGATTCTTTTCGATCCTCCTGCAAGCTTCGCTCTCCATATAGTTGTTTCGTTCTACCTCCTCAAGGTTTGTCTAGACTCAAAGCTGCTTGATTGCAAAGCCTCATCAATCATGCTGTGAACCACTGCTTCTGTTTAACTGTCTACTGAGATGAATCTAATCAGTGTGTCCTCCTATTCGAGTTCTGGAGGCTTGTTCCATGCAAAGCATGGAGATCCCAAAGGGATACGGAGACGTGCGATTGCTCCAATTACTCCTCTACCTAGATCGTTCATCATCACCCTACTGCCTAAGAACTTCGCGTGGCAGTCAAGGGGTCAACTCTGGACCAAACTGGTGGGTTCGGCGGCGCAGATTCGTATGGACTACGATGAATCATGAAGAAACTTCCATGTCGAAAATCGTTTAGCGGTGGAACACTTCAAGCTTTCGTGGGTGAGGGGGGTCTGGAGTATGAATCTGGAGTATGTGATGGGTCATCCCCATCAGCCCCACTGCCGTCAGTCATTACTCTTACACTCCTGGGCCACTTTCACTTATACTTTAACACCTACCACATCTCTGGGTGATACATCTATTTCCGCAATGAGCTCGACTCCCCTCGTTCTACAATCGGAGTATAGAAAAACTTCCGGTTCAATCGAGGAGAGATGCAGAGGTGGAGCCCCACCAAACCCTTCGATACCTCCACGCTCCATCCGTGTCGCAAGGCTCAAACCACAGCCTTTTCAGGACCATCCCACATAACTCTCCACATGGATTTCCCACATGAAGATGGGTGCCACATTGCATTGTCACTTCTCCTTATGTTTAGGCGACCTCAATAGTAGGATCACTATTGGATTGATCATTGATGTTGCCATCGAATTGTCAAGTATGTCCCACATACCGTCTGTTATCGCAGCTATCGCCATGAAGTACTTGAGGTATATCTACCACTCAGGCAATGCCCCTGCTGCGTGTTGGCTCGTTAAATAACACACCTCTGGAACTTTGAAGCAGTCACAACGATGGGAATTGTTACTGCGACCGATTTCTCATTGGTGAGGACTTTGGTTCCAGACACACCTCAGTCCTTATTCGCAGTCGGGATTATCGCTCTCATAGCCATCCCGTTTGTCTGGTTATTTATTGATTATGTCCGAATTCTCCGACTTCGCCAAAGGATGCCCCCGGGCCCATTTCCTCTACCGCTGGTGGGAAACTTCTTTGCCATTCCTAAGGTTAAACCCTGGATTGAATGGGAGAAATGGGCTGAGTATTATGGCAATCCCATGATCACTATCTGGAATGGACATAGACCAATCATCATGTGTAATGACATCTGGACTATATCAGATCTTCTCGACAAGCGCGCAAGCATTTACTCTTCTCGTGCGAGAATGATTGTTATGGGAGATTGTCTGAATCAAACTGAATCCAACCAGGTCAATTTGGTCTATGGTGACAAATGGCGTTTACATCGGAGGTTGATGGTGAGTTTGTATGGCTGATTGTGTCCTACACTGGTGGCTGAATCAATCCAAAGCATACGGTCGTGGGATCTCATGCCATACGCCAACACCGAGACTTCCAAAGCGACGAGTCCAAGATCCTACTCCGGGACCTACTAGAGAAGCCTGACGACTTTGTCATGTCCATCGAGAGATACTCATGCTCCGTGGTGTCAATCATCGGCTGGGGACGACGCATCGAGCGTATGAACGACTACGTTGCTCAATGTGCGCTTGGATTCATGGAGGGCGTAGACTACATCATTCCAGGCCTCTTCATCATGGAAGCTGTGCCGTTCCTGGCGAAACTCCCAGGCTGGATCTATCCACTTCCTTCCAAAATTTTCAACACGGCCAAACATTTCCAACGCTATTTCTACGCTTTGAGTAAAGAAGGCAGCGAATATGAGAAAGACAACTTTGCAAAGATGCTCCTGGCACAGCAGGAGAAGACTCAATTGACCAATGAAGAAGTCGCTGGCATGACTGCCAATCTAATCGGGGGTGGTGTTGATACCACCAGTAGTTCGACCATTAGCTTCGTGCTGGCGATGTGCGTATTTCAAGATGCGCAGAAAAAAGCACAAGAAGAGCTCGACCGTGTTGTGGGCAGGGAACGAAGCCCGAATTGGTCTGACGAAACCTCACTGCCATACGTCAAGGCCCTGGTCACCGAGGTCCTGCGTTGGCGGACGGTGACGATCCTAGGTGGCATACCACATGCTCCCATCCAGGTATTTCGCCCCTGGTGCTCCGAAGCTTTCTTATCCCTTCCCTTCCCATTATCCCCTCGTCAGTCATTCGTGCTGCCCCACTGACACAACTTCTCACCACCCAGGACGACGAGTACCGAGGCTACCTCATCCCCAAAGACACATCCATCACGGGCAACGTTTGGGCGATCCATCGCAACCCTCGAGAATTCCCCGAACCCGACACCTTCCGCCCAGAGCGCTTCCTCAACGGTCTCGAGCACAATTATCCCAATAAACAAGGCCACAACGCCTTCGGCTGGGGTCGTCGCGTATGTCCCGGACAGCCTCTTGCCGAGCAAGGTCTGTTCATGACCATCGCACGCATTCTCTGGGCATATCACATCCAGCCCGGTCTGGATGAGAACGTAAGTCATGCAAAGCTGATATGCTGTATTGTTCTCCGTAAACGTTCGACTAACTCAAATACCAACAGGGCAAGGAAGTCAAACTAGACATCTTCGCATACACCAAGAGTGAAAATATGCGACCTGAGCCTTTCAAAGCCCGCTTCACGCCACGCACACCTCGCATTGCCGAGATTATTGTTGAGGAGGCCCGCCAGGCGCGAGAGGCCCTGCGTGTTTATGATGGCGAGACGAAACTGACGCTAGAGAATGTTGCATGAGGAGAGTAGAGAACAGGGGATGGCGAGACATGTTGCTGAGTGAAAGAGAGATGCTGAACAGTTGATTGATTGGAACGGAGAAAGACCAGATGCTCTGGTGGAAATACATACTGACATGTACATTTATGAGTATGGGGTTCTACGATGAGATGACTTGGTGATGAACATAGGCATGGGTGGCATTATACATTCTACGACATCACTGCCTCTTGCTGCTTGTAGAAGAGAGGTCAATGGGGATTGTGCATAAAGACGGATTTGAGGGTACTGAGGTAGTAATGAAACGTCTGGACCAGTAAGCAGCCACCTCATTTAAGAACACTTATAGACAATGATAAACAATGATATAGATGAGCACATCTCCAGATCGAAGCTGCATTGGTAGTCTGAAATCTCTAGGTATGGGAAAATCTTCACAGTCCAAGCGCGCAAATTTGGACGCAGCCTTGCCAAGCCTTTTTCCCTGCGACGAGGCTTTACCAAAATATCTCTTGACATGTTCCCTTCACTGTCCGTGGTGTTGAAAACGCAAGGTAATAGGCTTAGCGCCCCTAGGCCTAGCCTAAAGCAGCGGACATAGCGACTAAACCACTTCACAAGGATATGAATTGCAATTCATGAATTTTTTCTCGTAATGCCTGTTATGATTGGCCAGGACTTAGCCTTTGCTTCGTTATTCCCCAGCTGATAGTGGGTGGTTCATAGGGCTGGGGACACGAAAACGCGCTAGACGCCTGTTTGCGATGAATTCTCCCTTTGGAGGGGAACCACACGGTCTCGAGATTTGGAGTGATCTCCCTGTTGATGCTAAAGGCGCGCTGATTACCCAGAGACTTCGGTCCACGGGGGTCACCGACAAGCTGAGTTAGCTGAGGAGGGCGATCACCATTTTTTGTTGTTTGAGGGATCGACAGTGTAGTGGAATTTTTGGTTCGTGCTGTTAGGTCCGGGGTTCGAATCGTCCTCTTGACACTGACTCTTCGGTACCCTTTTTTTCATTACTGGTTGCGACCGAACGTATTTCGATGAGTAAGCATAGGTGAGGCACTGGCAGTGAATGAACATGCCGAGGTTGAGCATGCCAATACTGTATTGATGCTGGTTTGAAGAGACAGTAGGACATACGAGGGCAGACAGGCAGGCACCTAGGTAGAGAGGTTACGTGGTGGAATTACGTCGTTTATTCCGATCGGACATCGTAGCTCGTTCGTTTTGAATAGTGGTTCGGCTCGGAATCGATCACCATCTGAAAGATACACTGCCACCAAAAGGCGCCTAGTCTGAAAGTCAACTCGGTGACACCGAGACTCACAAGTAATGATGAGTGTCGATAAGATCTTGCCCATGATCACGCCGTGTCCATCGCATCGCCGTTTGTCCCATTGGTACCATTGATGGCAAAAGTGACATCCCCTGAATCACTGATGAATTGCTTTTCATACTCATTCACCAGCTTGATAGACCTTGCCGGGTCATAGAATAATTTGTAACTCCGTTGAACGTCCTCAATACTCACCTCCTTGGCCCGTCTTTTCTGGCTCAGTAAAGTTGAGGTGGTTATTATGTTGCTCGCATATCGCAAACCAGACTCCTGTCCGATTTTGGTGAGAAGAGCCAAGGCATCGGGAGATAGGTCGACCTCTTCTTCCTGTGCGCGGATAGCAATGATCTGAGAAATCTCTTCCGGCCCATAAGCCTGTGTGCTGATGATCACAACTCTGTCCAAGAAATCCAGAGGTAGGCCGTGTGGTGATCGGTAATCTGTGCCTCTGATACGAGTGTTGCCGCGATTACTGGCCATGATGACGATGGGAGCCAGGTCAGCTTCGAGGGCTCGATTGATGTACGAATAGCACTCAATATCGAGCATGTGAACCTCATCGATGAAGAGAACACCGGGAATGATCTCCGCCTTGCCCTCTTCCTTCCACTCGGCTACCTTGGTATTGATCTGGTCTCGAACCTCGCTTCGGATCTCTCCAGTATCCCCAGAGAAAAGTGCTAGAAAGCCTTGTGTGCGGGAGTTAATCACATCAATCTCATGCAAGCTGACTGTGTGAACAACCTCTTTTCGAACCTGTAATTCGCCCTCCGGACATTGGACAAACTTGGTATCCGCACCCATAGCGTCGTAATCTCTTGATCTTGTGTACGACCTTCCGAGCTTTACAATTTTCCCTGAAGATTTGTCGATGGAGATGACGTCTCCAGCCATGACTCTCTCTTTGGTCATCGAGTCGATCATCTTCGTTCCCATGTCATATACAGTCTCCATATCGGTGGTTTTGATGGTCAATTTGCCTTGCTTATTGCCCTGTTGCACTGGTTAGAAATGCCACTCTAGAGACCGGACCACAACTTACACCGGAGACGCTTCTGTCAATCTGAATCTCGACAACTTCTCCCTCGATTATTTCGCTCTCCTCTTTGATCCGGACCCCAATAGACTTGCGAAAAGCTTGTGTCAGAGCCTCGGTTTTTGACATTTCGAGAGAAAAGATCTCGGAGGAAGCCAGTAGTGTAAAAGGAACGTCAGGACCAAGAGACTGCGCCATGGCCATAGCAATTGCAGTCTTGCCAGTGCTTGGTGGACCTGCAATCAAGACTGCCCTCCCTGCAATCTTTCCATCTTTGACCATCTGTAGAATAACTGCAGCAGCTTTGCGAGCCTTCTCTTGCCCAATTAATCCCTGAGAAGAGCCCCTCGGTTCAAGAGTGGCCAGATCGACACCAAGCCCTCGAATGTGGGAATGGGCAGCAATGAGGTTGAGGCCACGGACTTCTCGGCTCTCCGAGACGGTACTGATTTGCTGGAAGTCATTAGCAAGAATATAACAATCGGGTCCAGGACTGCATACTGCGGCCATAATGGGATAGACTCTGGCTTCTCCTGCTCAATAGGCAGGCAAGGGAGCGAAGAGGCTACGGTAGAACTTGCGATTTGCGACCAAGATTATGTGAGTTCGTGTGGGTGGAAGAGAATTGCTCGAGGAGTGATATGCGACCGCCTAGATATGTGAGAGAAAGTTGGAGTGACAAGGAAATTCCAACATTGGTTGATGGGATGTTCGGCTTGTTCTATGGGAGACTCTGGGGACGTGGAATGGCTCTCTAGGTCACCGTAGCGTAAATTCTACCTCCTAGAATAAAATCCCCAGACGCGTCGCTCCAAATGGGTTTGATTGGTGTATACATACCAGCATCAGTAAAGTAGCGAGATCCCACGTGACAGGTTGGCTAGCAGCCTTGGCATTTTGTTATCAGTCACTAGCGTAAGGCGGGGCGTCAGTCTTTCTGCACCGCAAGTTGAACTCCATCTTGAACTCCAACTCGAACCAGACTTGAGCCAGACTTGAGCCAGACTTGAAGTTACTCACTCCACGTTCATTTCAAATACAACGTATAACTTTCAACAATTTGGCGGTGTAGGATACTGAACTGCTAATTACTCCTCTCTCACACTTCCCTCACCTGACTCAATCACCACCAAATCCTTCTAACCCACTATCACTCTTTCCTATCTCCTCCCTCCTCTGACGCCGTTTCAGATCGCCTTGAGCCTCGCATGGTTCGGTCGCTCTGACTGCCAGAGTGACCCGATGCCTATTCCAGCAAGCACACGTCTGCTACTGGCTACATCCATGGGTCCATTAGATCTACCACAATCAATCTAATGGATCCGAGGTTGACCAGGCTAAAGCCTATAAATGCGACTGGCCGTCCTACCGACCCAAAGTCCCCATCGCAAGATGGACGGACACACTTCACAGCTGATTCGCCTGGCACTGGATCAGGCGGATCCACGCCGCTGCACTCATACAATTTTGATCACAACCCAACCTACGTTTCGTATGACGATGCTAACCAAATGGTGAACGCATTCCTCAAGTTGGGCATGAGATCCGGCGATGTAAGCCTGTACCGAAAGAAGAAACAACATCTTAGGGAGGAATCGAAGACTACGGCCAACGATTTGAAGCGCGCCGAACAACAGGCCGCTCAATTCCCTATCATTATCGAACAAGCGCGAAAGGCTCAGACCAGCATTGACTCGAAGCTCGAACGCACCGAGAAGGCTGTACGTGATTCCTCTGAGGCTGAATCTGCCGCTGCACATGACTTGGTCCGACTGCTCTTCGGTCTTATCAGTCGCGACAACCCTAAGACAAAGTCCCAGGATCAGCACGACACTTTGAAAAGAGATATTCAAGAAATGCGAACTGAATACAGTGCGAAACTTGCTGAACTCGACACTCAAGTAAAAACCCTCACTGCAGCAAATTCTGGTTATAAAGCCCAAATAATATCTCTTGAGGATAAGGTCAGCCAGTTACAAAGCCGGCCATGACCAGACTCTCACAATCTAGCCAACTCCCTCGAGATGGTCCGACGTGAGGACCAGGAACAAGCCCCCAAGATCAAAGACTTACAAAGGCTACTGGGAAAAGTAGAAAGTCTACTGAAAGAGCTGACTGTCCAATCAGAGAAGGCCACGAAGAGAGCTCATACTGTTGACTCTAAGATTGAAGATCTTCAGAAAGAGATGTCAAAGAAAGGCAGCCAACTTGCTATTAAGGGTTTGGAGGCCCAAATACAGTCTCAGAAGATCAATTTCGAGGCAGCTGGCCAGGTCCATGGCGAACTGGCAGCAGAGTTGAAATCTCTCAAGGAGCTCCCGACAGCCTCCACTCATGGTAGCTCTGAATCAGTCACTAGCCGAGAGTTCGAACAATTTAAACAAGAACTCACTGAACGATTCGATGATTCGAATCGTACGCGCAAGGCTGAGATTGAAGCACTACGCGCCCAAAACAACCTAATCCATGTCTCAACAACTTTAGCTCAGCTGGAATCTCTAGATGTCTTGGTTGATACACATTCGAGGGACATCAACTCGATCCAAGATAAACATGCCGCCTTGGTGGCATTAGTCGATGAGAAGATCGCAGTAATTCCCAGTCACGAATTCATCACTGAAGTTCACAAAAAACTGGCGGAAATTCAAAATCGGCTGGCAGCACTAGAAACTCAACCATACACGGAGAATCAGAAAGAGCATGCGACTGCAGAATTACGTTCAATGCTAGAGGAGTTGAGGCGAGAAAAAACCGATCAGATCGAGGCATCTCACGATCTCATTACTCGTGAGATAGAAGAGACCAAAGGGAAAACTGCCGTACTTCAGTCACAGGTCGATGCTCTAAAGAAGGTTCCCGATCAACGTGACGGCACTCCCACCACGATCAGCGATGCCAGTGATGCCGCCAAAGTTATTGCAACACTATCTTCTCAAGTTGAGGAGCTGAAGCTACAAGTCGAAAAATTGCAAAGAAAACCCACAGGGCATGATGAAAAATGCAGTAGCATTGAACCCCGGATCCAAGCTTTGAAGGATGAACTTTCATCACATGACAGAATGCTAAGTACACTTTTCAGTGCTCAAATGTCGAGCCAGGACCGAGAAGCACTCCAGTCGGCGAGAATGCTGGCTGGAAAGATGGAAAGGGCCGAACATCAGCACCAGTGGCTAAGAACTCGCTTTGATAACTTGACAACTGAAACTCTCCATCGACAAATTATCGGATATATCGCACCAGTCCTGCCGAGACTTGAGCAAGGTTATGTTCGTTTGGAATCGAAGACTGAGAACCTGGAAAACATGGTAAATGAGAAGTTCACGAAGCTTGAAGCATCTACGTCAGACGCGGATAACAGATCGCAGTCGTTGGAAGATAGCTCGACTACCTGCATCAACAAATTGCAAGAACAACAGGATACTCTCCTCAAACAATTCCAAGAGGGCCGCGATAGCATGCGCGAAGAGATAAAAGAACTGCAAGATTGGAGAGTTGAAGTCGAAGCACGAGATCAGAAGCAAAATCTGGAGGCTGATGCGTTTAAGAGACGTACTGGATCGTCCGCCAGGTCTGTGCGCGATTCTTCGACACCTCGGAACAAACCAGTGCAACCAGGTTCGATCCAGAAAGCGAGCAATGCCGACTGGGTCATCGGCGAGAGTGATGATGATAATGATGAGATAGACTTGACGAACGAAGATGCCAGGGACGCATTGGTCCGGAGTTTCCAGAAGCCTGCAGAGCCTAGAGCAAGTCCCTCCGAACGCAAGAGAAAACGGGACACTCCATCCACTAACGGTGACGGTGGGCACCAGGAGTCAGGAGACGATCTGTCATACCTCAATGCCCCACGCAAGCGAGCGCAGGGCAAAAAAATTCGATGAGTTGATGATCTTGAAGCTGTAATGGTTGTCAGCTTGTGGCAATCTCGGGGATGAACATGGGAAAACGAGGTCAGGGTCAGTCCTATCTTCAGACCAGTCTTGCATTTTCAGCGGCATCGGCCGAATTTGAATGCCAGCAGACGCATACCACTGGAATTTTGTTATGATTGAGATACCCCCATGGTGTGTATATAATAGCGGGCGTATGAGTTTGCAAGCACGTTTGTTCGATTAGCGAAGCGAGTGCATATCACGCGAGGCTGGACAGCTCCGCCTCAAAATCCTGATGTCTGATAACATAATAGAAACCATTACCTAGTAGGTAAGCAGTCACAACTACAAGCTGCGAGTCACTATTCAAAGAAGCATGCGATTGTGGTACAACCCACATTCTCCAATCAGTAATTGTTAGAGCTTCAAAATTGCGATTTTTATCCGTATGCCCAGGCAATCAGGCGCGACGCCGAGAGATATCGCGTTTCCAAATTTTGCTTGATTTGCTTGTGCAGTCAATATTAAGCAGGCTGACTAACGAGCACAGACCACCGTGACCCACCCCGCTTCCCAGATGCGGTTAGACGATCATCTCAGCCGCTCCGCGGAGTCAGCAAGATGGACCTCACTCATCTCCGGGCAAGATTTCTTCGATCGTGTAAGGGATCGTGGGATATTTGGTCCTTTAACATCTCGACTCGTCGTAATCTTGAGATTTCCCCGAGATCTCTTGCTAAACAAGCGAAGTCGAGACTCGTGAGCCGTGACAAGAAGATAGCAGATCATGGCTACTACCGCTGAAGAAGAGGCCAAAACTGGTACAGACACGCCTGATCTCGAGACAGGAACAGCAACTCCACAACATCATCACCACCTTCATTTCCCTCACCCACACTCCAAAAGATTCACCCAGTTCATTCATCCTCACAGTGGAAAGACCGTCCACGTTTGTCATTCTCCCGAGCACTTGGGTTAGATCTTACCCCCATGCAACGTTGTCGACTCCACTAATAGTAGCTGTAGAACAAAAGAAGAAAGAACTCCTACAAGAGAAGAAGCCGGAAGAATTTGATGTGTTACTTCAGGGATCGACTGACCACTTGGAAGTAAGTCTATTTCATCTTTACTCGCGCATTGTACTTCATGTTGACAGCGAAACTCAGGCGATCCGGACGCTCCATGACCACCATCAATCACGAAGAGATGAGCTGAAGGAGCAGCACGGCGAGGTCTATTCCGATATCGAACACGTCAAGTCGGAGCTCGATGCTCTGGCTGCAGAGCTGCATCACCTCACATCGCACGCTGTAGCTCTCGATGCCAGTTTCGATCGCTATGGTTATTCTGCCCATCTTCGGACGAAAGATGAGGATTCGGAAACCACTTCTCTCCACAGTGATCACCCGAGCGCGAGCGACAAGCACGCTGATCGTTCCACTGAGGCGCTCAGATTCCTGCACCGACCTGTGGTGAGGCAGTATTTCCACAAGGGGCTTCTGTGGCGATCTGCAAAGGCTGGCGAAGTCGCGTCATTTGAGCTCTTCGTGGACCTTGTCTATGTGGGTGTCATCGATATTATCGGTGAGACTGCCGTCGAACACCCAGGCGGATTGGCATTGCTGCACTTCGTGATTGTCTTTTCAATCGGTAAGAATACTGAGAAAGCCTTCTCACTAAATGATGAAAACTAATTTCTAATCAACATAGCCTGGAAAATCTGGTCGGATCTGACAATGATCATCAATAATTTCGAGGTCGACGATATAATGCACAGATTCAACGTCATATTTTATCTCGTCTGTCTCTTTGGCTTCACCACGGTACGTGCTCTCCCAAGCTGCTTGTGATACAAGCACGTTTCAAAAGCTAACACCAACGAAACAGAATATTGCCTATGCTTTTGAATCAACCTACACTTCCGCTATTGCATTTTACATCACCCAAAGATTATTCGCAGCGTGCTGGTACGTGTGCGTGGGCATAGCACTTCCAAACATACGAGGTTATATGCTCTCGATGTCTCTTTTGGTACTATTCTCCGTTGTCTTTTGGATAGGCAGTATCCATGTCGAATGGCCCAATCAACTGGCCCTTATTTTCATCGGTCTCGCAATTGATCTGTTCGGCGGTATCGGGCTGATATGGTTGATGAAAGAGGCTACCAAGAAGTCAAAGACGCTGCTCAAGGCTGTTTCCCATTGGTTTGACTTCTTCCCCGCGATCAATATCGAACACAGAGTTGAGCGCAACAATGCATTTGTGTCCCTGGTATGTGTATCTCAATCTATTATCTATCGCGCCTCAGAACTAATATTTTGATTAGGTGTTCGGTTACTCCATTCTTACTATTCTTTTCCAGTCAAAAGCTTCCTTTGGTATCAATGCATTTTTCGGCAAAGGCGTACTTGGTTTGATTCAAGCTTTTACCTTCAATTGGTATGTACCGCATATGACAGGCGCCTCTTATTTCGTTTACTGATTTGCTCGTAGGATATACTTCGAGATTGACGCATATAATGTCCATGTTCACGCCATCAGGAGGCATTGGGTGAGCAGCTCTGTGTGGATCACCGCCCACCTTCCGTTTATTATGGGCTACATCCTGGCGGCTTCTACACTTTCACAGCTAGTGCTCGCCCACGACTGTGAAGATGCCGACGAGCATGACCTAGGGCACCATTACGAGGACCGTAGCGTTGAGGAAGTACCTCGATCCCTGCGATGGTTTTACTGCGGCGGACTGGGAGTGGCTCTCATCTGCATGGCTATAATCTCGTTCTGCCACATCCACAAACGATTGGAGCGATCCCGCTTGAAGAAGCGCCCGCGTCTGGCCATCAGAGTCGCTGTGGCCATCATCATTATCTGCCTGCCCTTGGCTGAGGCTCTAAATTCGCTGCACTTGATCTCCATCACGTGCGCACTGGTGTTCTTCGTGCTGTGCCTCGACCTGTTCGGGAATTCCTGCGAGGGAGACCAATTCTGGACTGGCGGCTGGTGTGCGGAGGAAAAGAAGAAGTGTGCCTACACGGCGAATTTCAAGCTCGGTCGGCGGAGGAGGAAGGAGCTTGAGCAGGCTTTGCAACGTGGCGAGAAGCTCTCTCTCTCCGACTTGATGAAGAGACATTCCAGCATGAGCAGCCTCGAAAGTCAAAGTAGTCGCGAGGAGGCATGGCACGGTGGGCATTATTGAAGAGAAAGAACTACTAAGTACTCAGTAGATCTATCGATTTTGGGCCTGCTCTTGGTAGTTAACACTTCCTCTTGAGAATGACAGGCGCCTTGTGTTCGATGCCTTATGTTCGATGCGCGTTGTTAGTACTGATGCAGCTCATCACACTCATAGATCTGCGTTTCACTCATAATTAAAGCTCAAGAATGTCTGGACGGATACCAGGTCTGTAAACAAACTGAAAAGACCAATTTTCTGCATTGCCTTTGCTTTCCGAGAGCGCCAAGCATTCACTGCTCTTTTCGAGTGAGACCTTGCCCTGCGTTCTTCGTTTGTCATGGAAGGAGCGTAACTGATGTTCTTTCAACTTCACTTCACTTCACTCTTACTCTCCACATGACTATGGGCCCGATGAGGCCGATGAGCCCGATGAGCCCGACTTTCAAATCAATCATCTTGTACTGAGATTCTCTATCATGAGAAGATCCTTTGAACGTAGTGTGAGTGGAATCAGTAAGTTTGTGGCCTCCTAGTTTCCCCTTTTCTTTGTTTGTGGCCGACAATCACATGGAGGCGCGATGAACACAATTATCCAGTAACTCTACTGTGCTCAAATCAAGTGTAAAGACATTCTGAGGTTACGTGAGGCTCCGCAATCACTTTTCTATCGCCTGCAAGGCTGTGCCTACCTAACAAACATGACTCACGTGGGAGCCTATATTTGTCGATCAACAAGTTTATCCAACGCTTCAATAGACCTGACTCTTTCTCTTTCATCTTGCATGTCACCACTCCTGAACCCTCTGAGCTCGAAGTGTTTTTCTCATTCAAATTGTGTGCTCCTTTTCTACCGATCAACGCCTGTTCAGCGATAATTTCCAGCGCATTGTTCTTGGAGACTTCAGACTTCTCTTCCACGGTCTGTCGCCCGTCCAAGATGGCACTTGCACAACGCCTCCTGCGAGACATCGCAGAGCTCCAATCCGACCCGTACCCATTCATCAAATGGATTCCACATGAGGATAACATTCGCAAGGCGTGCCTGATTCTCACACCAGAGAACCAAGTTCCCATTCACCTCAGCGTCACCATCCCTCTTGAGTTTCCCCTCCAGCCTCCGGCAATCAAGTGTGACACGCGAATCACTCATCCCAATGTCTTCGGCGACTACATATGTGCCACAATTCTCAACACGGCTGAGGGTTACACGCCTGCATACACACTGAAGGGAATCGCCATCCAAATCCTGAGCTTCTTCACCAGTGAAAATCTCGAACAGGACCATGGTTTCCAAGTCGTCAATCTCAAATCATACTCCGAGAGACACGGTTCTTCTACACGTCAGTATATTTGTTGGAGTCGTGAGTGTAATTCGGGAATGAGAGTCTCTCCAGTCATAGTCCCTCGCCACATTAACCAAATGGACATTGATGAGCCTGTCACCACCGCTACTCCAACGTCAAACGAAGGTCAGGATGCCACACCAATCACTGATCCCGCGACAAACGAAAGTCCCATAGCGACACTCTCAGACGAGATTCTCGTCATGCTATGCGAATCCCTAGAAGATGAGACCTTGGTCAATTTCTCTCGCACGTGGAATCGGATTGGTGGGCCATCTGGCCTAGTCTCAAAGTTCAACATCGTGCGGAACCGCGAGCTGCAATGTTTTGTTCTCAAGAAGCCATTCCAACAGACACAACTCGGGGTCGGTGTAAGAGTCGACTTCCGAGGCAGGACAGGGACGATCGCGAGCGAATTCGACCTCATCTCTAAGGATGCTTTCTTCGTTCATGGAGTCCGAAAATCAGTTCAAGGAGTAGGTACTGCATTGTGGATGCCCCTCCCGCTATCTCGGTCTCACTACTCTCGAGTACAGCAATGCACCATCAACTACCTGAGAGAGATAGGAGATGCCGCCCGAATGGACAATCCTTCTTCTGCAGAAGTCGTGTATCACTTCATGACAGACATTATCGTCAAATTGAGCGATACAACCGTTTCGAACTCACACCGCCAAGACCAAAAGACAACGCTGAAGCATGCTTCCGAAAAGGCCATTGAATCTTACTTCCATTTGTTCCACATTCTCCTCTGTCTCGCAACATGCGATAATTCTATCGTACAAAAGGCGAACAGCATGTTGGAGAATTTTCTTGATGGTCAGACTTCCAAAGTGCATTGTCCCAACCTTAGCCACTTGCTCTTGGCCGTGCTCATATCAGATGTCGACTTCACTCAAGATCTACTGGTGGCGATCATCACAGAGACTATCACTCGAAATGTAGTCTGGATGCTCGACAGGAAAGGGGCCGACATGCCAGAGCTCGCTTATCTCGAAACAGATGCAGTTTGTGATTATCGCCTGTCCAGGACCTTCCAAGCATCTGCGACATCGTACCGTCTTCTAATGTTCTTCAATCTCTTCCGTCGAACAATTGCAAGAGCTACAGGTCCAGATCGAAAGTCTCTGACCGTGATGTGTGATGCATTGTTTGATGCTCATGGGGCTCCTCCCTTTGGCGCTGCTGCTCAATTGGCGGCGCAAGTGAAGGATATCCAAAAGGTCAACGACTTCTACGGTTTCCTCGAGATCATGGATGTTGAACACATGCCGACCAAACAAGAGATGACAGAGCTCTTGAGAGACTGTGTTGAGGCCAGCATGGAATACGGTTACAGCGTCTGGGGTATTAGTCAGACAGCCGCAAAACGCCTGAGAGATGGTTATGGAAGAAACTATGCCGAAATCCATACTTTTTTCCGGGGAAGATCTTCTGGTTGGCCCGCTAGCCATGGAAATGATCCTCGCGGACAGGCCGGCGGACGTGGGCGTGGTAGTGATCGAGGCCGAGGGCGTGGACGCAGAGGTGGAGGTGGCAACGTAAGAGGGGGCCGAGGTGCTATCAGAGGTGGACGTGGTGGCGGAAGAGGACGAGGTTGATTGTGGCTCTACTTCAGATCACATCTTAGCCTCATACCACGAGTATCACTTCCACAAACAAAAAGAATGGATGAGTTGGAGACCAATTGGATGGTGTAAGATTGAATAGTCGGTGCCCTACATCAGCAATCAAGCGGAGTTGAGTATGATCCTCCCTTTTTCTTCTTCACACGGAAGATCAAACCACTACCTATGTATAAGTAATGACGAAAACGAAATGCGTCTTCAACTCAGGATAAATCGTGGCTTTGATGTTCGATTTTTCTCTGGCAGACTTCAGTAACCCCTTAATGACCATCGTGCTTGCAATGCTCCCTACGTAGACACCAAACATTGAAGCCGCACAGCCTACCACAGACTACAGTACCCTAGGCTTGCAACGCGTGGTCACTTCTTGACTAGTTAGTTACAGGGATAACGATGAAACAGATGAGAAGAAAGAGTAAGAAAGAGAAGGACACCAATATCTCAGTTCTGCACGCACCCACGCACCCATGCTGTGTAAAGTACTACCTTTGTAACGAATGACTATTACCCAGCTGCCATAATTGTTGTGCCTATCCCATCCTGTCCTATGCCATGCCGATGCCAATCGCTAATCTAGACGAAACGCGCTGGAAAGGAAATGCCTGGCCGGGAAAAGTAAAGAGAGATCATGTTCAAAATGTGTATCACGCAAGCAATGCACGCTCCCAAGCAGCCAGCCAGCCAGCCACATTAACTTCGCTGGCCGTCACGTCAGTCATAGATGGTCATTAAGCACATTTCACATCGAGTCGTTTCCGCGTCTGCATTCCATTGCGCTCTCCACACGGGTCCTCGTAATAAGGGAAAATAATAGCAGTCTCAATTCACCACTTCACTCTCCTCCGGCGCCGCAGCAATGACAGGGCTGGCTTCGACTTCTTCAGTCTTGACCGTCGTCTCGGACTTGCCGTCGTCTGCTGGCCCCGGGACGGTCTCATTCTCAGGGATGACCAGGTCCTTCTGGCCACCGGACTTGCGGTTCTTTTTCTTGTTCTTCTTCCCACCACTGCTCGCGCTGCTCACAATAGCGACGGTAGAGGCTTTGTCATCGTCTTCGTCTGCCGTTCTGGCAGACGTTGGTGATAATGGCGATTGCGGTGGTGGTGTTGCGGCCTTCGAAGCCAGTAGACTGGCCTTAAGCTCGTCAATTTCGATGGCCTTGTCTGCTAGCTCCTTTCGCGCGGAGTCGAGTTCTTCAGTCTGACTCTTCAGCTGTTCTTGTTTGGCGGCGAGGTCTTTATCGGACTTGTCGGTGGCGGAGGTTACTGATGCTTTTAACGAATCGATTTCTGTTTGCAGTGTCTCCAGTTTCGATTCTGCATCTTTTAGATCCGACTCGACGGCAGATTTACTTGCTGTAAGGGCTTGAATCTCCTGGTTTTTGACTTCGAGGTCCGCCGCGGCGGTCTCAACAGTGCTCTGGCTGGCTTTCAAGGCCTCTAATTCTTCTTCAAGACCTTCTACTTTCACTTGCGAAGCACTATACTCTGCGCGCGATGACGCAAGCTCTGCTTCAATCTCTTTCACGCGAAGCTCTGCTTCGGCATCTCCTTTATTGGTAGCGGTAAGCTCTGTCACCTTGGATTCCAGCTCAGTCTTCGAAAGTTCAAGCTCCTTGACAGCTTTCTCTGCGGCACTCTTTGACTCTTCGGAGAGCACCAACTTTGCTTCGAGGCCTGCATTGGCATCAACCAGAGATTTTGCCTCTTCGAGTTGTTGTTGCAGTGCTGCAACTGATGATTCGGCAGCTTCTCGAGCTGCTGTCAAGTCCTTCACGGTTGCCTGGTGGGCCGCTTCGGCTTCAATGAGCTTGTTTCCGCCATCGGCTGTAGATGCTGCGGTTTCGTCTTGCAGTTTGGCCAGGGCTTCTTCAGCTGCTAGCTGGGCGGCATGGGCAAAGAACAACTTCTCCTGAGTACCACGTTCTAGGTCTTGACCGCTCTCGTGTGCTAAAGCGAGAGCTTCGACAGCAGCCTTTTGAGCCTCTTGAGCCTCAGAAAGCTGCGTTTCGAGCTCAGATTTCAATGTCTCCGATGCTGCCTTTGAGGCTTCCAACTCTGCCAAGGTCTGCTTATGAGATTCCTCGACCGCGGTGAGCTTGCTCTGCAAATCAGCGAGCGATGCTTGTGCATCAGTGTTTGCCTTTTCTAGGGCTTCATGGTTAGACGTTGTAGCGGTTTGAGCAGCAAGTAATTCTTTTTCGATTTCGGAGCGAGCAGTCTCAGCAGTTGCGAGATCTGCTGCAAGCTTCGACTTTTCTGCTTCAAGAGTACTGATAGTGATTTCTGAAGAGCCGCTGGCCGCCTTGAGAGCTTCCAGCTCTTGAGCCATGGTACTTCTCTCAGACTCAATACTTGCTAGTTTCTGCTCTGCAACATCCTTTGAGGTGGTGGCGGCATTTGCAGACTCCGTCAGGTTTGTGATCTGGGTTTTCAGAGCCTCTACTTCCTCGGCCAATGTAGCATTTTGAGCCTGAAGCAGATTTGATTGTTCTGTCTCCGTTTCACCTGATGCTTTCAACGCATCGAGCTCTTCCTTCAATTTGGAAACATCAGCTCCAGCAGTAGTCGCGGATTCAATCATCCTTGACTTTTCTGCGTCTGCTTCGGACAACTGTATCTCCAAAGCGCTCTTCGCAGCAGTTACCGCTGCTATTTCTTCAACCAGTCGAACCTTGTCAGCCTGGGTAGACTTCATATCAGCATCGGCAGCTTTCACAAGTTCTTGGGCTGCTGTCAGATCTGTTGTGAGCTTTGTGTGGCTTGTATCTAGCTCAGTCACTTTCGTATCAGCAGCCAGTTTTGCTTCTTCGAGTGCAGCTATTGCAGCTCTCACTTTCTCGTATTCGTCTTTGGTAACACCATGGTTAGAAAGTTCACCTGCAAGCTCTGCTTTCAAAGCTTCCAGCTCGGTAGCAAGTGATTGATGATTGTTCTCTGATGCTGAAGCTCGAGCTTCCGCATCCTGATGTTTCTGACCAAGCTCTGCAATGGAGGCAAGATGAGCTTCGATGTCATTGGTGAGATTGGCTGAACGCTCTTTCTCAGCCTCATGCTCGGTCTTGAGCTGAGAAAATGTGTCCAATTCAGTTTGAAGCTCCTTGATCTTGGCCTCCGCAGCTGCTAGGGACACTTTGGCACCTGCGGAACTCTCAAGCTCCTCGGTTAATTCAGCAACTTTAGTTGTAGATGCCTCAAGGTCTTGCTTGTAGGATGTTGCAGTTTCCAGTTCCGAGCTGAGGTGGAGAACCTTTGCAACAGACGCATCAAGGGCAGCCTGAACGGCGGAATAGTCCTCAACTTGCTTTGCCAGGTCTGCCACTTTGGCTTGAGACTGAGTAAGAGCCTCTTTAACTTCGGAAAAGTCTTCCAAGCTTGTAGTGAGTTCTGCGATCTGGGTCTTAGCAGATGCTAGATCATCCTCTAGCACTTTCCGGGCTGATATACCAGCCTCGTCCTTGGCGGTGGCAGCAGTGAGGGATTCTGTTGCCACAGAAAGCTCTCCTTGTTGCATTTCAATTTGAGCTTCTAATTGTGTTTTGGTAGATGCGAGTGATTGATCAGCCTCCTCCAGTACTTGCGCCGAGGAAGCCTGAAGCTCTGCGTAACGTTTGACATGCTCGTCGATATTCAACTCGGCAGTCTGAAGTCCTGACTGGGCACTTGATAGTTCTGCTGTCAGTGCGGCAATCTGAGTTTCTAGTTCAGATCGAAGGGAGGATGTAGCATGTTGAGATTGTTCAAGTGCTTGGGTGGAGACCTGCTGCACATTTTTCAGGGTGTCGGTGGTTTCTGCCAGAGCACTCTTGGCAGCTTCAAGATCATTGGAATTGGAGGCCACTTGGGCACGAAGAGTCGAGATTTGAGACTCATAGTCGGCTTTGAGGAACTCATTTCCAGCTCTTGCGTCATGCAGCTCTTGAGTCATGATAGCCACTCTGGACTTGTATTTGTGGTGGATGCCGTCCAAACTGGCTTGGTGCTCCTGAGTAAGCTCTGCTCTGACGGCTTCCCGCTCAGCCTTTTGTGCATCTTTGATTTGTTGCACGACTTCAGTGACCATGTTCTCCTCCAGTGTTGCCTTTCTCTTTTTGAGTGCATCCTCTTTCGCCTTATACTCCTCTTCTCGCTTTTGACGGATCTCTTCTTGGAGCGTGATTTCTTTGTCCTGGGACAGAACCATCTCCCGAGCCTCTTCTAGATCTTTCCGACATTGTTGCAATTCCCTCTGAAGGCTATCGATCTGAGATGCGGGTGACTGTGGTGGCTTCGAAGGTTCTGCGGAACTCTTTTGTTCGGGCTGCTTTTCGGGAACTGATCTGTTGTGCTTCACCTCTCCCTCTGGGTGGAAGAAGTAGTTGTAAGCGCGGCGGATGCTGGTGGAGCGTTTAGGACCGTTTGCTTTGGGGCTTGTTGGAGAACGCGGGTTGGATTGTGATATCCGACGAAGGCGTTTTTCTGAAGCCATGTCGTGGTGTGACTGTGTGTATGGTAAAACTGATGTGCAGGGCAGGTCGACAATGAAAAACAAAGTGAAATTGCTCGCAACTTGCGGTGACGCTGAAGTTGTTTCGAGGCGGTGGAGACTCTTGCTAAGCGAGTAGAATGGGTACTCGTGAGCCGTAAATAAAGAAGATTGAGAGTGTCTCGAGACGCGGTTTCCCACGAGGAAAAGAAATATATACTAACCGTATGATGTACTGTACCTTGCTCGATGAGCTTTGATCTGATAGTGCTCGTGACTGTCCAAAAGACCAGTCATGGTACATTTGCACTTCACCGATGCGTCGGTTGATGTGTCGGGCAGCAAACAAAAATTCATGGCGTGGGGCATGCAAAAACACGTCGCGGATTCTGAAAGGTCTGCCAAGGGGATGTAGACCTGGGATAGGTTGCTTCACACATCTGGTAGCAGCGGTAGACCTGGCCAGCAAACAGAAGTGGAGTGACAGTGGTCTCTCTAAAATTCTCCGTGTTGATGCTGAGTGGTGATTGATGTGATGGAGGGTGCAGACTGACGCAGGTACCAACGCTTGTGTATGATCAGCATCTAAGCAAGTCTTTGGGGTTGTTAATCAGGGTCTTTAGGTGCTCGGCGTAGATTTTTTAGGGGCGGCCCGGGCTACCCGCAAGGCCAGTCTGGGTGTCACCAGAACCCAAAAGATTTTCAGTATTGGGGCACCGTGGAGTCTTGACGTTGCTCCAGCTTCAATTTCAATTCAAGAGCGAACTCTTTGTCGCCACGGTGATTACCTGTTTATCAGGCCAAAGAACTACTCTTCTACTCTGCCGATGCAGGATCTGAGATTTGAATATCTAGTCACCCTTAATGATGTTTTTGCTCTTATCACTGCCCTTGAGGTTGTGCCCAGAGTCCGGTTGAAGCTCCAAACACAACCTGTACCTGCACTCCTCCCACGCTACAACCAGCACCTTCGGTAGTGCCTCACTCCATCCACAAACCGTTGGAAATACTAGTGATCACTTTGTTCCTATGTAGTATAGGCGAAACAGCATCCTTTCTAGCGTGCTTTCTTCTTCTCCAGAACGCTGCTCAAAGCAACTATAATGATGAAAAAGATTGTGAGGGCCAAAAAATACGCGGATAAGAGCCCCGAAGGACACTTAATAACGATCTCCTCCGCGCTGTGCAATGCAGGGACACCGCTATAGCAAACCCAATTCTTGATCTGAGTCGCTCCCACAAGGTCTATACAGATGTTAGTCATTGCTTTCGTCATTGTGTAGGGGTGGGAAGGGAAAGCACGAACAAGTATGCCCGAGTCAACCAGGTTGGATGGAGTGAAATGGTTATATAGATCGAGGGTTGGAAATGCCAAGACAGGTTTGCATCGTTTCCTTGGCAAGTTTGTTGGTCTTGTGAATAATTAGGTAAAATAATGAAAGATCTTCTTCGCTAGATGCCTCGCTTACGTACAGATATATTTAACCCAGGTATGTTAGGTAACCAGTTCAACAACCACAAATATCACAGTACTCAGTATACAGTCGTATCGTCTCCTTGTTCACTTGGTTTAATCACAAGCATTGACGGCACTGCCAGTGTTGCCACACTATTCTTGAAACTCAATGACCTCAGCCACTGCTCACCCAGGAGCCCACCAGTGGCAAGTGATGCAACTGCCTGCCAGCATTCGACTTACCTTGGCCGTGGCTGCCACTCGCTGCCACAAAGTCTAAATCACAATGACGTATGGGAACCATCCTCATGACCTGGACTCGTAAACTTGATTTCATCGCCCATCCCAATGCCTTTCTGCTGAGTTTAATCCAAAAGGATCATTCTCTAATATTTCAGCTACTAAGCATTCGAGAATAAATTTTTTGGATACGTCTTAGTTTCCACTTCGAATCACAGATTCACAAGTAATCTTGCAGCTGAAATGCCACCGAAAAAGTTACCGCCGAAGGCATCTCAGAAAGCGCCGACAAAGCCCCCGAGTCAAAATGCAAATGTCAAACCCAAGAGTGAGAAAGCACCACCCCCTACTAGCAGTCAACCAGCGATCCCTGAGCACGAAATAAAACAAAACTCGTCAATGAGCGCTCAGCTAGCACTCGAAGCAGCAAAGAAAGCCTACGAGTTACGCCAAGCAGCATATGGTGCTGGTGACCCTAATGCTCGTGAAGAAATCCTGGCCAAAGCCATCAACAAAGAAATTGAGGCTGAATCATTCGGTAAGGCTGCAAAATATACTCGGTCGGGTGCTTTCCAGGGACTCGCGGCTGGTGCAGGGCTGGGTGTCCAACCAGGTGCTACTCTCGGAAAGATAACCGGGGCACTGGTTGGTGGCGTGGTGTCTTCTTTGGGTGCTGTGCTAGGTGGTGGGATTGGTTCTGCCTATGGCGCCATGAGTGGCCCATTTTGGGATCTGGGTGAGATGGCAAGCCATGGTGTGAGAAGTATCGTGGGCGACTTTCCAAACTGGGAAGCTACGTCCGCCCAGAAGAAGGCATTTGAGAAGATGGTAATGGGGGCTCAGCAAACAAAGGCACCAGATCAAGAGGAGCTGGAGCAGATGAGAGATGATGATGGAGGAGGCACTCAGGAGGACTATCAACAGTTCGCAAGAGATCTGACGAGCTGGCTACCTTCTATACCCTCGATGCCATCGATGCCTAGCATGCCATCGATGCCCTCGATCCCCGGATTCGGAGGGCAATCTAAGCAAGGCAACCCAACATTGGCCCCAAAGAAGGCAAGTACGACTGCATCATCCAACCACAGCCAGCAAACAAAGGCACCAACGACGCAAAAAGCACCTCCCAAACCTCAACCTACCACCGCGAAACCTCCTTCCCAGGCTTCCAGTCCAAAACCGGCCCAGGAGGCGGAGGGGAATGTGGTAAAGAAGAAGCCTCCAAAATTGGAACCAAGGTCAAAACCGTCGACTCCACCGTCTGGCAACCCTCCTGCCCGGAAGCCTCCGCCAAAATTAGAATCCCGAACCAAACCCACAACGGCAAAGGCGTGATCTTGGGACAAACAGCGAGGAGTGTTGAAAATCGGCACAGGCTCCTCACGATGTGTTCGTATGGAAAACAATTGGTGTGGCCTGATTTCTCCCTCGCCCATCCATTAGATCTCGAAATGTCAGGATGAAATTGAACAGGATGGTCCTGGCTTACAGCATTCAGCCAGCTGAGAGCATAGGATCACACCTTCAATCTGGAAATTGGAAAATATAGATCGAAGGGACGAGCTAATTGGACTTTCAGAGTGTGGTAGAGGAGGGGAGACGATATGGCGATATCGTATTCTCATCTCCCCTTGTCACGAGTACCAAGTCATCGGCTCCCCCGTACAATGCTTGTCGCATTTCTGCCATATTCACAAATATTATTGTATGGGCTATCCATAGTAAGTATTCGGAATTATGCAAATCACTGGCTCGAGAGATGCTGTCCAAGCACCAACCACACCAGACAACCACGCCATTATGAGTCTCATCGATCCAGATAAAGACACCGATATTTCATAGTGTATGTGGCAAACAATCTTCCCCAAATGGTCGATTGAACATCAGCGTCTGGAAAAGATTCTGCAGCAACTTCCAGGCTCTCATTACATCCACGAGAAAGAATTCTGTCTCTCTTTTCTGACGGTGGATCCCTCGGTAAAATCGTCGCAGTTGGGGATTTGCTAGAGTTCCGAGGCAGAGGACTTGGTTCAGCCCTGTTGAAGAATGAACAGGTGAGTTAGGAAACATCACGTCTATTGATGGAACGGGAGATCTGAAGTCGCTGGAGATCTGGTCTGAGGTCCTCGCTTCTGACCACAAATGCCAATCGACCTGCCACTAGAGGTGAAAGGCTTTTTCCTTCACAGGGGTGCATCACATTGCTCAGCAAGACTCTGCTCGGCACAGGGGGCTTATGGCATCCAGGCCTCCACAAATCCGCAGAAGCGGGGGCCGAGCCCTCTACAAGGACATCAGAGGCTCAATTGCGCCCTCTGAAATCCTTGAGCGAATCTCAAAGCCGGATTTCAGATTCTCTCCCTGGCCGCCAGAGCTGTCTGAAGAACATATGACCAATCAAAGGGCCAACTTCGTGTGTCCGCCCTTATGTACAGGCAGGATACTACTAATAGTGAAGACTGACCTGTGTCTCAGAGCTGGTGGAAAGGCTTACGAAGGCCTCGCTGCCTACGATCAATTCCACAAGGTGATGGTAGCTTTCGACCCTGACAATTAAATAACGCACGGAAGAATGGACGCTAATGCATTCCCACATGGTCATCGTCTGGGACATGTTTGCTATCCTTGCCCATAATGCCATCGAAGGAGAAGACAGGACTCATTGTCGTGGTTGGCGTGTACAGTAGTGCGAGAGGGAAAGGTTTCTTCGGCTTGGCGTTCATGGTCAATGCGATGGAGAGCATGAGAGATTGGGGCATTGAGGGCGTTTTTATCTACTTTGTCGTGATCCAGGACTTCTATGAGAAATTGGGATGGAAGACGTTTCGGCGGTAAAACTGGTTTGGTTGGTCTGAGAAGTAACTAATTGAAGGGTTTTTCATTATAGATGATAAAGGACGGGACAAGATTAATTACAGTAAAGTTACCAAAGTTGGCGTAAGCGTTGGCTAACTTAGATCTGGATTGTCTGGTTTGAGCCGCTTTTGCCGAAGGTCAAGACATGCCTCGTTCCACTTGTAGGTCGTTGAGCTCAAAATACGTACATGCATACAACTGACAAAGTGTTACATATGTCAAACTTTCTCTGTCCAGTGTGATCTTGCTTGTTGCATGGATGAAAACCTACTTACTTCCCCACTCCTAACTTATTGGATCTATGTGCTGTAGGTAGCTAGGTATGATACTAGTGTTCTATAAGTACTTAGTAGCCGCCGCCTACTCATTCCACCAAGTTACTACTTCTTTAGCTTGCCATATCAAGTCAACACCACAGAGTACCAGTTTCTATGCCGTGGTCAAAACAGAGCACGCAGGACCAACGATGAAACTTTCGTCGGCCACTACAAGGTATACAGATTTGATTGTAGCAACTGAGTCATCAAATTCTGACCAAACAGTGTAATTGTCATCTTGTTTAACGGCAAGAGCTAACAGGATAGTCCCCGCTGGACGCGAGTAAAAAGGTCTCAAAGAGCTGATAGAAATATCATAGAGTGTGAAGTATGCCATAAAGCCGTCCAAAGGCAGCATGAGGTACCCGAGGTCTTCTATCCATGTCTATGAGAAATGCCTGAGGCATCAGCCAATGTGACTACAAATCCAGGTCTAACGAAGAGCCAACAATAACCATCGCTCCAATGCAGGAGACCTTGCAGCCTTGGATCCAAGGGGAGGAACATACCTAAGTGCTTCCGTTGGTGCCGGAGCCGAACTTATAGCAATGATCGACTCCGACAATGACCTTGTGAGCAGCTTGACCTGGGATGTTCCAAGCTGCTGGGTAGATCTCCGTTGCAGGTTCGAAACCATAGGCCTTCCATGGCTGAACCTTGGAGATTGTCGACGATCGAGCAGCATCACAGAGGAGGACATCAAAAATGTCTTTTTCAATCTCAAGGGCAGAATCCTTGGTTGGCTGCTTGACGGTTACAGTACTGAAAGCCATGGTGGCAAAATTTGAGGGTTGTGGTTGGGATCTGGATGAATAGGACCGTCAGATAGAAGGAATTTGATAAGAGAAAGAAAAAGGTGAGAGTACTTGGCCAAGGATGAGAACCCATTCCTATGTAGGTGCTGATATATACATCTGATGGCCACCGTCAAGATCCCCCACGGACATTTCCGGCAAGCGCACAAAGATCCAGTATCACACGCTGTTCGTTAGTGTCTGCTCCGTGACGCCCAATCTGGGTGAATGATTGACACATCATGTGCGTCGCTTTGTACAATGCATGTGCCCCTGTAAGGTAGCACAAGAGAAGGTGAGGCAAAGGATTGATGTGGAAAAAGGAGGTGCAGCGAGATAACGTGGCTGAAAGAGCGGTCTCTCATTGGGTGATGTTGGTTGATGTTCCGGGGACGGGGTCGTGGTGTCTGCCTTTTGTATCAGGTCCTGGTCTGTTGATGACCCTCTGCGCCCGGTTTCGCTGTGTGACTGTGCTGAGATGCCGCGGGTGAGCTGAAAAGCAAATATTGGGGTGCCGTCGTGTTTGCTTGTGTAAAATACCATGTAAAGCATCGTCCGTAGCATGTCAGACGTGTAGAGGCCCAGCAATTTAGTCTCCAATGATTTCATCCGGAAAACAGTCAGCGGCAAAGAGTGCCTATCCATCAGTCCGGCTTATAGATTGTGTACCACAAGCGAAGTTACGTATGAAGCATCGTCGTATAGAAATTTGGGCTCTTAACGATGCGCAATTTCTCCCCATGGCCACTCAGTCTCCGCTGCTTGGCAGCCTAGATCTGCGTTACTCTCATTGAGTCTATGTAGATACAATCCGGTTCGGTTGCGCAAGGGTGGGAACGATTTTCACCAGTATTAGCTGCTCTTATTGCAATCAACGACTTCTCATGAATATTCAAGCTACACTTGCTCTTGTGATCACAATCGATCTTGTTTCGACGCTTTCCCGAGGAGGTGCATCTGCTGCTGCAAGCGGATTCGGAAATGAGACGTGGGGACAGTCTGTTAGACGACTCGGTTGGTCAGATACGTTAGGGGCACGGGAGTAACTTCTCAAGTGCAATATCCGGGGGATCCACGTACATTCAGCACCGCCATCTGGGTGGGTATCATACATGAGCATCATGAGTGTCTCATCGGGCGTCTGTCCGGGAAGCCAATACCATCTCTGATTCTCGTTGTGGTGGAAATAGTAGAGCTCTGTAGATCTGTGAGGATAAACTCGATCGGTAGGGATGGCATCATTGGGATCGACCGTCCGAAAGTCACAAAAGGCAAGCGGTCGATCCTCTAGCTTTGAAACCATAGGCCGCCAGGTGCTGCGCCACATCAGCGGTATCAACTAGGCGAGGTGGCCAAGCGCATACTTTACCACACGAATCCTCGATCCAGGTTTGAGATATTGTGCTTTACCATGTTCTTTCAGTAACGTTCGGAGGATTTTGGGAGCGTGGTCATATGTCAAGTCTTGTGGGGTCAGAGCGGGTCACTTGGTGCAAGGCTGGCATGATTTCTTACCCACTGTTTTGGCGAGTCAGAGATGTGCAACCTAGTAGCAGTAGCAGTCGTGCTTGGCTCACCGTGAACACCAGTTGGAGGGCCTTCGACTAGCAGAGGATCATTGACATCAAGTTCCAATACCTCCAATGGAGAGTTTCGTCGGTACTATAAGTGTCTCATCAGCTCAAGCTTCATGAGTGCCATCAAGGGGTGCCTTGCGCGAAAGTCATAACAGAGTACAGCCTCAGCATCCAATATTTCTCTCAGAATGCTCTCTGTCTGTCCTCGGTACGCCAGCACTGAAGCTTCATCGAGGTCAAATGGTCCAAAAGGATGATCAAACTTTTGGAAACCATTCACGGACAGGCTTGACTCTTTTCGCATGCGCATGTCATTGATAATCACTGGCACTTGGGAGAATTCGAGGTTTTCGAGACGCCGCTGCTCGGCCGGTTTCTCACCACTTCCCTTTGGAGGTATGACGATGTATGGCTTTTGATAAGTGTATAGCGGCAGTCGAGATAAAAAGGCCAGTGGGGCTGTGACCGGCTCCATTTCACAAGTCATTGCTCTAGGAGAACTGTCCTACAACGTGTGAGGAAGGATATCAATTTGGACGAGAACACAATCAGGAGACTCAAGATATAGTATGTAGGACCTGAATGGAGCTTGTGAACGCTCCGCTTCTTCGATGTGCTAGGAGTCGTGAAGAGGAAGGAGTTCCGACTTCATTGCGCCGAGAGATGCCGCACCTTTCAAGGTGGAGGAATGAATACAGTGCGTGTACTCTGGTAGGATACCGACCTACCTAAGATACCTAGTTACTGTACGCTTACCTAGTAGGTGTTCAGTCCTTGGACTTGAAATGACAGTGCTGAAGTAATGAAGCAGGACCAGTCCGCATAATTGCTGCGTACGCGGGTTTCCTCACTGATTCGCGGCTAACAAAGTGAGGCTGTTAACCGGTGTGACTGAGCATGTGAAGTGCATGATGCCAAGTTGAAAAAAAGCCCCAGTGTCTATCTGGGTAAGTTGGTATCCATGGATGAGGAAGTGGCATGCACCTAATCTGTCAGGCTAGGTTGCTGCCCAACTTTGTTCTTCCTGATTATACCTGGGTATCTACATCCCGTCCAGCACCACCGATCACCGCCAAAATTAGATTATCACTCATACTATATAGCCCTCTACGACCTGCCGCCCCGCGTTTTGCCCGACCCTCACTTTAGCTTCAACAGGCAAATCCATTTCCTTTCATGGGCAGGGGCGATTGGCTACATCATTTGTGGGGCTGACACCCCTTATTCCATTCGCGTCCCATTTGGTTGATCCTTTAAGGCTAATCTCCCTATCATCGACCCGCAGTAGCACACTGGTCTTTGGCTCAACTGGACGACAAAGTCGTGGCGAGATACGTCTTGACCACGGGGAGAATCATAGCTGTGGAGTGTTCACTTATTACGCTTATTCACTACGAATTATTTACACTTGCTCACCAGAAAACCAAAGTAAGGACTTTGTCCGATCTCACCAATTTGCCTGAGGGTCACAGCGTGGTGTGCCTGGCTCCTTTTCCCGGAGCCGCAGAGGACGCAATAGGTATCGCATCAGAAGTCGAGTCACTAGTAACATGAAGGTCATGCCGAGTGTAAAAATTGGGCATGTGGGTGTCTAAGATACTTATCTTCAGCGAGTCACCATTTGTCAAGATAGTCCAGATAAGAAAGATACCAAAATGAGTGAGACAAATGACGATAATAAGGATACAAACAAGCATTAGAAAGCATTTATGCTCACGCGTTGACTTGATTCAAGCCACCCTAGTTCTCTGATCCGACACTCTTCAGATCCCTCTTTCGAGCCGCCAGACCCTCAACGGTTTCCCCATTATAACCCGTGGACAAACTCGTTGATAATGTCAGACCTTCGAACACGACGTTCGGTCCCGTGAACGTCTTGCGCTTCGCCAGCCACCAACTCAACCCAATGAACAAAAGTGCACCAACTGCGATCACACTGAGGTAATTCATGTTCTGCGCCTTCACTGGGATGAACGTTGGGAAGCAGTAGAATACGGTGTACATGGCGATCCACAGGGTGGAGAAGACATTGCAGAACAGGCCCGTGAATTTTCCCAAGGCGAATGGGCGAGGAGGTAGGACATTCTCACGACCTCGAATGGCGACAATGGCTTGAGGGACAGTGTACGAAACATTGAGACCTAGAATCGACACTGATATGAACGAGTTGAACGCCGTCGTGGAGCCGACGTAGATCAGTCCATATACGATTGCAAAGGCTGCAGTCAAGAGAGTTGCGTTCACAGGCATTCGGAGTGTTGGATGGACTTTGCGGAAGAAACTGCTATATGGCAGACCGTTATCCCGTGAGAAAGCCCAAACGAGTCGTCCTGATGTGGCGTAGCAGGATAAAGTGGCCGAGAAATATGCTGCCCAGAGCCAGACCGTGAAAAAGAGTGCCACCCTGGTATCTCGAATGGCCTGGAAGTAGACAGTCATGTACGGTGTTGGGCTTGTCATCACCTCGTCAAGATCAGAGACGGAGAACATGAATGCTACCGTCCAGGTGATGACCGTTATTAGCCCAATGACCATAGTCAGAGCCATTGCTCTAGGAACATTTACTCTTGGGTTGGGCATTTCTGTTTTGAATAGCCTTGTCAGCGCTAAGATTCAAATTGGAAGGGTTGATAGTGTGCGCGCCTACCTTCGGCAACATGAGTAGCAGCATCAATCGCAATGAATGAAAACATTCCTTGACCAACACCAATCATGAAGGCAACTCCGTTATTCCAACCGCTTTGATTGTTCCAGTCTGCAAATACCGTTCGCGCTGTCTGCTTTTGGTCACTTCGCGCTAGGACAGTAATCGTCGACACCACGAAGCCTAGACACGTCATCCAGAAGCAAGCAATCTCGGCACGCGGGAGCTGCTTGGGAAATAGGATGATCAATGCTATGGCGACGAGTGTCAGAGCAACATATATCAGGTAGACCTGCCACTGCGTAGCCACGTAGTCCGGAGAGTAGACGGTCGCCATTGCAGCAACAGCTTGCGCGCAGAATATACAAGAGCCAGTCGAGAGCATCCACCAAGAAAAGACACTTATCCACCCGATCGTGTATGACACTGCGGCTCTGTACTTTGGGGGTGCGACCATGAATGCAAAGCTAGATAACAAGTGTCAGCCACGACTCACTCGGCATCAAGATCTCATGAGTGAGGAGCTCTTACTGGTACTGGCCACCAGATGTTGGGAACGCTGACGACAGCTCCGCCAAGCCAAGGGTAATGATACTGCATACCACGAAGCCAACAACCAGGCTGAATATCACACATGGTCCTCCACCGGCGGTAAGTGGAATTGCAAACACCGCTGAATATGCAATCCAGGAATTGGTGATGGTGAAGGCAAGAGACAGCGTCGACAAGGCACTGAACTGTCGTGGTAGTTCACCTTGGTGGCCTTGAGCACGAAGTTCCAGCTCATCCGCCGAGAGGTGCTCGGTGTTGGCGACCTCCAGCGCGGATGGCTCTGCTGTCGTCGGCGAGGAGCCCATGGTGGACAGTTGGAAGTGTGCTGTGGAAAAGCTGTCCAGGACGAGAGGTTATGTTTGGCTGATACCACTTCAAGCAACCGAAGGGTGAGTTGAGAATGATCCCATTATTCCGCCGCCAGCTCCTGACTATATATGAAGCTTTCCAGACTTGACCAGGCTGAAGATCAAGCGATACTCCTGTCGACTTATCTCAAGCGTCGTGACATGAGCTTTCAGTGCACATTGGATTTTGTGGGGAAATGGAACATGACAAGCGAGATCGAACGACAAGGGCCAAAACGTGGACTTTGGTCCCTAATGCGTTAGCATAAGCGTGCTTATCGCTGGGACCGTGATCCGATATTCCAGGGCTTGGTGGAGTCCGAAAGCTCTGATCTTTGACTGCTGAATGCGGCTAATCTAGGCGGTCCACATGAGATAGGGTCAACTTCACTCGCCAACTACGAGGGGCCTCATACCTCGGTTGCCATTCACAAAGGACGGTAGAAATCAAAAGATGGCAGCTAGTGGTGTTTCACAAGGCGATCAGTGGCATGCACGACCACACTTCCCTGCATACGCGGCGGAAATTCCACATGTGAAATCTGATTCCCCGTGCGACGTCAAGAACCAGCCCGATATGCTTATCTCACTATCTTTTATCAATGGTATACTACCGACATGTATCTTCTGTAACCGAGCATTCCCAGAGCTCGATTGATGGACAACCTTGAGTACCGTGCTTGCGGCAAAATCTACTTGATTGGGAGTCTAAAGGCGTTGACTATGTTTCGACATCTGAGATCACCGCATACACCGCTAGCACTACTGTGAAGGCTCGCATGCCTCCTTCTGTCACGACTAATCCGTATAGTGTGTTGACCGTGTGAGCCGATGTTGAAGATGTGTACCGGTTTACAGATCTCCAATGCTTGATGAGACAATAAATTTTTGACGTTTTGAATATATCTAGTACTAATACTTGTGCGCAGGTTTGGAGGGCCATCTGGAAGCCTCTCCCATACTCATCGAGATCGAAGTGCTTGTGATCTGAAGGAACTCTTCACAGCCAGGAAACATATTGCATAGCCCCAGAATATGCCGAGCATAGAACTTGACGCACTTGTGGTAGGCGCCGGATTTGGCGGCATCTACCAACTATACACACTTCGGAAGCTCGGCTTCTCAGTCAGGGTTATTGATAGAGCTGGTGGTGTTGGGGGAACATGGTACTGGAATCGTTACCCTGGTGCCATGAGCGATAGTGAAAGCTTCGTGTACAGGTACTCATGGGATAGGGAGGACCTGAAAACATGGCCTTGGTCGCATCACTATCTTCAAGGACCGGAAATTCGGGAGTATCTCGAACACATAGTTGATAAACACGACCTTCGGAAAGACATCCAACTCAATACAGAATTGCTCAGTGCAGACTGGAATGCTCAACAGAATGTTTGGCGGGTAACGACCAGCACAAACGAGGTATTCCAAGCACGATACTTGATCACTGCGCTAGGTTTACTCTCTACGGCGAATTTACCAAAGATACCAGGATTGGATGACTTCCAAGGGGAGCTGTGCCACACCTCTCGCTGGAGGGATGATATCGATTTGACTGATAAACGCGTTGGTGTTCTCGGAAACGGATCAACAGGCGTGCAAGTGATCACAGCCATATCCTCACATGTCAAGTCGCTTGTCAGCTTCCAAAGGAGTCCTCAATACAGCGTACCTAGTGGCAATAGGCCGGTCAAACCTGAGTATCGACAGTGGCTAAACGAAAATTATGATGAGATCATGGATGGCCTCCCTAAAACATCGACCTGTTTTGGCTTTACTGAGTCGACGACAACCTTCGCCTCAGTCGACCCTAACAAGCGTGAAGAGGTCTTCCAAGGCCTGTGGGATCAGGGGAACGGCTTCAGGTTTATGTTCGGTGGATATTCCGATATTGCCAGCAACAAAGAGGCAAACGAAGCCGCCTGCAAGTTTGTCAAAACAAAAATCGCTCAGATTGTCATAGACCCCGAAAAAGCAAGGAAACTGATGCCCACGGAGCCTTATGCGAGACGGCCTCTCTGTGATGGCGGCTATTATAAGCAGTTCAATCGTCCAAATGTCGATATCGTCAATCTTCAGGATACTCCGATCGACCATATTAGTAGCACTGGAGTCAAAACGACAGATGGCAAGTTTTACGAATTAGATGCTTTGATACTGGCTACGGGATTTGACGCTGTCGAGGGAAGTTATACGAGAGTTCGCTTCCGTGGGAAGTCCGGCGCAACACTTGCCGACCACTGGAAAGGTGGACCTAAGAGTTACCTTGGATCATTTGTTCCTGGTTTCCCTAACCTCCTTATGATCAGTGGACCTCAAAGTGCATTCACGAATGCCCCACCAAATATCGAAGTCCAGGTCAAGCTGCACTGTGACCTGATACAACGAGCAGAGAAGTTGCGGTCAGCTGGTACGAACACCGTCATTGAGCCACTTCCCGAGGCTGAGGCGGACTGGGGTGAGTACTGCAATGAGTTGGCCAATGCTACCTTGTTCCCGTCTGTCCCATCCTGGATATTTGCCAATATCCCAGGGGCACCGAGCCTTATCACTCGTTTCTTCCTCGGTGGTCTGGCCAAGTTCATTGAGATCCTAGACGGTGTGGCACAGGCCGGTTATGACGGGTTTGTAGCTCCTCTAGGCAGTGGTCGCAAGGAAGTCCACAATGGTCCATCGAAAAATGGTGGGCTGGAAAATGGCTCTGTGAACAAGGCCACAGTCGAAGTGGCGCTTGGTTAGTACAAGGGACGAAGGGGAATGATAAGTAGATACGGATATATATATTAAGTAGGTAGACCGCTGGCAGGACTCAAGTAGGATTTTGATATTGAGAAATTTCACGACGGTGATCATGTGAGCTTCTTCGTGTTCACATCATGAGAGCCATTGTGCGAGGCTATTTAACTAGAGAAGTGAGCTAACTATGGTAGTTAAACGTGCGGGGGAAGCATGCCCATGACGTTAGGTGGTGGGGGTCGAGGGAGGGGTCAACTGTAGTACCCAACAGGTACCTTGATTCAGTTCGGCTGCTAACCGGAGCCTGGACACCACCGAAAACAGAGCATTTCTTAGCGGTTGAAACTGATATCGTGTTCACCTTCGCCCTAAGCTTTGGCCATCGTCGTACTTCTCTTATCTTTAACCGAACCCGCCATACTGCCTTGGTAATTCTTCGCATATTATTACTGAGAGATAATGACAAGAGAACCTTGTTCCTCTGTATCTTCCTTGCGTTGCCATCAGCCACCGCATTAGTCGACACATTTTCTTATCACTATGCTTCTACGTTCAAGGGGTGAGTTCCAACCCTTCCAATTTCCATGAACATCGGACTGATTCAGACGTGTTTAAAGCGGGTTGTCCGAGATGTCGTTCTATGGTTCGTTTCTCTTCTAAACTAGCGATCTACTTCCTAACCATAATAGAAAATAAAATGTGATGAGACGAAACCAAACTGCAGGCAGTGTTTGAAGCGTAAAGTCATTTGCCCAGGTTACAAGCGTGATCTGAGATGGAGTGACAAGCACGAAGTCTTCAGCACTGGGAGGTGGGAGGATGCTTCAGCACAAGATGTACCAACATCACTTTCAGTGAACGCCTTGGCCACAAGAACACCAGAGATGCCTGATGAAGCATTTCACCCATCGCTGGAAAGGCAGCAGGCTCAGATGCTTCCTGCACAATCGCTGGGCTCGGTGACAGATGCGGCTTCCTCATCACAAACACCACCCCAGCCTGTCGATAGCTCAACCTCTACAACATTTCCAGCTACTGGAGACAAATTCATCAGTTACGAGGACCGATCAAGCACAGACATATTCCGCGAAGATCTTCGGGAGTGGCTGGCGAGTCACGAGCCGATTACTCTCCTGGAACAACAGGACTGGACCTGGACGCTGAATGGTCTTCCATTAAGCTGCGATGAGCCTTCAACACTGGTAAATACGCTCGACTGTCGCGTTGCGGCCGCTCCGCAGGGAAGCGAGTTGAATCAGTCCTTGGTACAGTATTTCTTCGACAACCTTTGTTGTATTCATACTGTTCTCGATGATACCGCGGAACGCTTCAAAGCACTTGTCCATCGATACCTCACCTCATCTCCTCTTCTCCACAAAAGTATCGTGTGTATGTCAGCAGCCCATTGTTTTCAGGATGATGAATCTATGCTGCCGATGTGCTTAGAGTGTCATTCAGCGGCGGTTAGATCACTCTCTGTTGCGGTTTTCGAGATCGAGACCGTGATTGAGGAATCGAGCGACTCTCCACGAAATGCAGCATTGGCCGAAAATAATATGCTTCGCAAGTTGGAGGAGACACTACTGGCGTCTATCATCCTTGGATTCTGTGCGGTAAGTGCTGTGGTGCTTTTTGATGAATGAACCAGTACACTCACGCGAAGAAGCCTTGGTCTGATCCACGAGATCTCGCGCTGCCACACCTACGTGGTGCAAGAAAGTTATGCGAATATCTGATAAACTATGTCACAATGGACGGCAAAGCGCCTGAGAAAGCGTTGGCCAACACAGATCACCATTTTCTGATTGGCGCCATGGCTTACTGGGAAGCATGCATGGCTTTTGTTGTTGACCAGCCAAAGAATGTGGTGCAATATCTATATCCTTTCTCTCGGCCAACGGAGATCACGTATATTCACATGTTTGCTGGCATCAGCTTACCACTGTTCGTTACACTCGCCAGGGTTGGCATTTGCGTACGCCAAAACAAAGTGCTGAGGAACATGGCTGCCTTGGGCTGGAGAGATAAAGATGCCTATCAATCATTCGCGTCCGAGGTATTGCAGGATGCAGTCGCGCTCGAACAATGGGCTGTCGATTACCATCTCCCTGCTGACGAAACATTCGATACTAAAAGTCTGGGTTCGTCCACCTATCACCAGTTAAAAGCTTTTGCACACATGTGCAAATTCTCAATTCTGCTCGAGCTGCTCCGGAATTTCCCAAGTCTTTTAGATTCAGAGGTCGATCATGCGAAGCCTTCGCAAACGAATAATCTCTCAGTATCACAAACAACAAGACTTGACCGTTGGTATTTTGACCTATCTGGGGCGATTCTCAAGCACGCGAAAGACATTCCAGAGGGATCCACCTGTGGACTATATCAAACAATACTATTAATAATATGTGGCAGCGTATTACGACCATCCAAAGACACGAGGACTAGCTTCCCCAAGGACATGAGGGCAAACGAAAAACTCGAGGCTCAAGTACTTTCAACGCTTGCACGACAAGACGAACTCGACGAACGTCGTGCCTTTGTACGAAGACGGCTACAGACAAACTGTGCGTCATTCGGTCTGCGACAAGTCTACTCGCGAGCCGAGCTTTTGCTTGAAGACGTCTGGCGCGAGTTTGATTCCGGATCAAACGAGGCTGATAATCTGCCGTCAAATCGTCATTGGATCGATGTGATGACCGAACTCAAGTTGGAAACATTCTTCGGTTGATGCATATTGCTTTGGCAGTTCCACATTTGACTTCTTTGAGGGCCGCGATGCCACAGCAAGAAAAGTAGCCACCAGCTGACGAAAGCAGTCTGTTCGTATCTTTTCGGTAGCGCATGTCTCCAAGTCTGCTGTCCAATTTTATCGATTGCAATTGCCTCGATTTAACACTGTCCAGTGGTGCCATACTAGGAGGGCTTCAAATGAAATATACTCAGTAACATCTCGCGTCTTTTGTGTGGGTACGGCTGGGCATGCACTTCGTGGTCGTTTTCAGAGATTTACAAGAAGAGCTAGTAATATTTGTATTTCATTACTTGGTAACCTCAATATCTAACAGATCCAACCTCCATCAACGTTGTAAACAGCACCAGTCACAAAGCTAGCAGCATCAGAGAGCAAAAAAGCAGCCACATTAGCAATCTCAAACGGATTTGCCTTGCGTTTTTGCACTTGGGCTTTGATCTCGTCTGAGTTCTCAACTGTATCATCCGCCATCATCGGGGTATCTGTGCAACCTTTTCGCGTGGGTTTAGTAAAGGTAGTCAATTCCACAAGCCGGGAAAGGTGATGACTCACCAGGAGCGATGCAATTCACCCGAATTCCAACGTGTTCTTTGGCCGCACTGCGACTCAAGCCAATAACGGCATGCTTACTGGCGCAATAGGCTGAAAACGCCGGCCAACCAATCTGCCCATCTGTGCTTGCTGCCGAAACCTAGACACACCAGAGTCAGTCAATGGGAAAAAGTGTTCATAATCAAGAAACAACTCACGATGGAGGCACCATCCTTCATGACGCGAAGCTGCGCCCTGACGCAGTTAAACACCCCCTTGGCATTGACGCCCATGACAAAATCCCAGTTCTCATCTGTCTCCTGCACGATCGGGTTGACTCTGATGACTCCAGCCCAGTTGGCGCCTCCGTCCAGTTTCCCAAACTTCTCGACTGTCTTTGCGATCCAGGAATCAACAGATGCGCTGCTCGCCACATCGACCTTTGTGGTGATATGCGACGATGAATTCTCGAGTGACTCGATCGTTTCTGCGAGGCCCTTCTCGTTGACATCGGCCAGCGAGAGCAGTGCTCCTCTATTGGCTAATAGTTGTGCGAGCGCACGACCTTGCCCCGATGCTGCTCCTGTGATGGCGATCTTGTAAAGGTCGATATCAGCGCTAGGGATGTGAGAAGAGTGCTTTGCGCTTCTGTACATACCACTTTTCCTTCGAAGTCCGACATGTTGCGTAGGTTGTTCTGATTGGAAAGTGAAAGCAAGGATAGCAATCTGTCAGTGCGAGTGACTTAAGGATCCAATGCAGATGAATTTTCAACGATATCTCTTTTGGATCTCTACGCGTAGTTTCAACAAAGCGACTCTCCAGTCTATATCATGTAAACGAACAACTTATTCGGGTCTAGTGTCATCAACTCACACAGCATCGCAGATGAGTGAGATATGTGATGGCATCGGATAAAGCTCCACTTGAGCGAGCAAAAGGGCGACACTCACAAAGAGCCACAGCATGCAGCGGACCATCCGGTACATCAAAAATTGACAACGAATCGCGATGCATTCCTGCTTGCACCGGTCCTTTGGATTTTGCGGAGAAATGCTCAATCCTCCAGTCGAGGGGAAATGCGCGGTGGACCACCCTTATTTAGGCCCGCCTGTTACTTCCAAATCAGGTAATCGAAGGCGTGCTTGCATGATCGGCACCTCTTTGGGGCTGATTGACTCTCGCATCTCAACGTCGTTGCAGATAGGACGAGGGAAACTGTCCAGAAGAGCTGAAAGATGAACCAGCAAATAGTTTATTCGGTCAGCTCGGTGCAAATGCTATGCTTGATTTGTTGCTCTCGAGGAAAGGATAGTTCTTGGGTGGATTCGAAGGTTCCTTGGAGAATCGAAATCGACTCCCCTTGTGTACCCCACAAGCTTGCTCATGTAGACCGCGTACACTAGCCTTAGTTAGTGATTGTTATCAGTTCTATCTTGCTTTGTATCTATGCGAGACCTGATGTCTGTGAGATTGGCATAATCCTAGTATGCAGCGACAGCATTGAGCTCAACAGTGGCTGGATGTGTCTCAGGCAAGTGAATCTCAGGCTTCAACCTGCGCTGTGCTGCCGTAACTAGGAACGACTGGACCACAATGGACCTCCATCCGAGACTTTGACTTGATCCGAAGGGCGTCAATCTCGTTGTACTGTCACCTGCCGCGTGGAGTGACAGAGTAGATGCACACCATCCTGTATGATCTCCAAGAGCATTCTATGACTTCGCCTTTGCCATATTCAAAAGGAATACTTAAGTTTGCACAGGGTAAGTTTAAGACAGAATCCCTCGAACCAAGTCGCCTATGCCGAGAAGTGCCGTCACAATGCCTCGTCGGCAGCTTGAAAAGTCAGACCCCATCGTCATCGTTGGTGCAGGAGCCTTCGGACTGAGTACATCTCTCCACCTTGCTCTCCGTGGCTACAAGAATGTCACGGTCTTTGATAAGCATGACTATGAGATCAGCAAGTATGACTACAGGTCTGGTGCCGACTCTGCTTCTTCTGGTGAGGCCGACTTTGCTTGATTTCCATCGTGCAATCGACTAACGTGAGCTGACGCAGATTTGAACAAAATCATTCGTTCTGCGTATGGATCGCAGACTGAATACCAAGACCTCTCCAAGGAGGCAATTGAATGGTGGAATGCCTGGAATGAGGAGATCAGAAGTGGAAAGGACTTGCCACCCGGATTACATCCGGAAGACAACGTGTACATCAATAACGGAACTCTTGCATTTACCGACAAGGACGAGTTACCCAGTTTCGAACTCGAAACCGTTCGAAACATGGAAGCCGCTGGTCTTGGTGGAACTCAGCTGATTACCATGAACCCAGATCATGTTGAGGTTGCGAAACGTAGAGGTCTCGGCTACGGGATTGACCCTTTCCGTTGCGAAGAACGGAAGAAGGGGAATGTTGGTGTGTTGGACACCACGGGTGGCGTTGTTGTGGCAGATAAGGCTTGTCGGTTTGTCCTCCATAAAGCACAGACTTTGGGTGTCAAATTCGTCTTGGATGCCAAAGCAGGTGCTTTCGAGTCATACTCATATGATAGCGCCGGGAAAGTGATCGGCGTGAAAACCAAAGATGGGAGAAAACATCTTGCAAAAAAGGTCGTGGTTGCATGTGGAGGCTGGACGCCCACTCTTGTGCCTCAGCTTGACGGGCTCTGTGAGACGACAGCAGGATCTGTGATCATGCTCAAAATTCCACACGATTCTCCTCTCTTTGATCGATTTGCTCCCGAAAGGTTTCCGAGCTGGATGTGGAAGCTTTGGGACGGTGCTGATGGAGGACTTTACGGATTTCCACGGGACGATAAGGGATGGATGAAAATTGGCTACAGAGGCAGGAAGTATACTAACCCTCAGACGCAACCAGACGGAACGGTGCGCAGTGTTCCAGTCACAAGGTATACTCCTGAGAAGAAGGTCACTCAGATACCACAATCCGCTATGAAGGTCTTCAAGCACTTCCTGGCTGAATATCTACCTGAGTTGGCGGAGAACGGAATTGACATCGAGCTCACACGCTTGTGCTGGTACACCGACTCTTTTGATAATCATTATGTGGTTGATGATGTTCCTGGACAAGATGTCGTCATGGTTGCCACGGGTGGAAGTGGCCATGCTTTCAAATACCTGCCGAATATCGGCAAATGGATAGTTGATATCATGGAGGGTGTAGAGATGGAGAGAACTCTGGTAAAGCGTTGGCAATGGAGAGCACTGGAGGCTGGTGTGAAACCGTTCAATATTTTGATGGAGGGCATCACAAGTGCTAAAGCTTTCGAGAATGTTGCGTGGTCGACAGATAGTGACTTGAGACTAGGTAGTAAGCCCCGACTTTGAGAGCAATAAAACGCTTTCCCGGTATTGTTGAATTGAAAGACGTAGCAATACCAAGCATACTGTTCCGGGTTCTTCCCTCAGCCTCAGCATCATGCTCAAATCAAGGAAGCCGATCAGATTTTGGTCTTCGCTGAGACTGGTGTGTCCAGCGGTAGCTTTCGTTCATACCGGGTAAAATTACGATATGAGGTAATCAGGGGACCTTTGAGCTTCGTACCCCATAGCGCGAAAGGTATGTGACCACCATCAGTCGCAATTCCATGAAGCCTAGCTCTCGCATAAAGAGCACCCCATATATTCAAATATTGCCTTACCTTTGCTATCAGCGAATAGCGAAAGATCGTCTCTTAACAAAACCTTTGCAAGAAATGTCTTTCTCTGCATCGTCGTTGAAAGATCCGAGTCTTTTTGTTGAGAGAGCGTATATAGATGGACGATGGGTGTCTGCAAAATCTGGCGAAACTTTCAAGGTTTCGAACCCGGCAACCGAAGAGAATATCGGATCAGTTCCAGAATCAGGCTTGGATGATTTGAACGATGCAATTCAAGCAGCGCATCGGTCCTTCGAGAGCTGGAAATCTCTCTCCGGTCGGCAGCGTGGTCGAATACTACGAAAGGTATTCGAGCTCCTCACCGAAAACAAAGAGGATCTCAGCACAATCATTAGTGCAGAAAATGGCAAGGCGAAAGCAGACGCCATGGGGGAGGTGATGTGAGTGGGATGTCTCGATTTCCATAGGCAATCTGCTGATACGTCATCTGTCTTACAGGCTCTCCGGAAACTTCTTTGAATGGTACTCGGAAGAGAGTGCTAGGGTTTATGGAGACGTTATCCCACACACGACTAGCAATGCCAGGATACGTGCTCTCAAGGAACCCATCGGTGTCTGTGGTTTGATCACACCATGGAATTTTCCCTTGGCCATGGGTGTCCGCAAGATTTCGGCGGCTCTAGCAGCAGGATGTACAGTAGTTTTAAAGTCCGATGGATTGACGCCTTTCTCTTCAAATGCGCTAGCCGTGCTCTGCGAGCGTGCCGGGATCCCCAAAGGTGTCTTGAACATTGTCACATCCCTCCAGAACACGCCACAACTCGGGGTTGCTCTTTGCGAGTCCGACATTGTGAAGAAGATCTCGTTTACCGGTTCGACAAGAGTTGGAAAATTGTTGTTCAAGCAATCTGCTAGCACACTGAAGAAACTCAGCCTTGAGCTTGGAGGCAATGCAGCTTTCATCGTTTTCGATGATGCTGATCTCGAGATCGCAATTTCCAGCCTGCTGATCGCCAAATTCAAGGTGACAGGTCAGACCTGCGTATGCGCGAATAGGATCTTCATCCAGGAAGGAATTTATAACAAATTCATTCAAAGATTCGTTGAGGAAGTCAGGAAGTTCCACGTTGGAAATAGCCTTGAAGATGACTCGGTCACTCACGGACCGCTCACTAATGGCATTGCAAAGGTCGAATCCCATGTGAAGGATGCAATCAGCAAGAATGCCAAGGTGCTACTGGGCGGTAACAGTTTGCCCCAGATCGGCAAGAATTTCCATGAACTCACCATTTTAGGTGATGTTGATGACACGATGCTGGTGAGTAGAGAAGAGACGTTTGGTCCAATCGCTGCGTTGTTGAAGTTCTCGACTGAGGATGAAGTGGTGAAGAGAGCCAATAAATCTGACGTTGGGTTGGCATCTTATCTTATGACCTCTGATTTGGCAAGGTCGTACAGAGTGTCCGAGAAACTAGAAACTGGAATGGTTGCGATCAATACTGGAGTAGTATCAGATGCCCCAGCACCATTTGGTGGGGTGAAACACTCTGGGTTTGGTCGTGAAGGCAGCAGATATGGGATGGACGATTATCTTACCCTCAAGATGATTGTTACTGGAGGAATAGGCAATTGATCTGGGGTTGTACCAAGAATGCGCGTCCAAAACAGGCAAACGAAGAAATGAAGTTCGAAACCCAGTCCAGTTGAAGTTGAACTGATCATAATACGAACAAGTTTGCCTTCAATCGGCGCTCTTGCCTACCTTTTTGGAACTCAGTATATGTGCGGTAATACCCCTACTGTTGGTTTCCAGCCTGTCGTTAGAGGTGTCGTATGAATTGAGTCAGATTTGAAAAGAGGCCTGGCTGGATATAGCAATATGTAAGAAGATGACTCTGATGGGTGGTCTAGAATGTGTCCAGAAAGGGAGACGCGTCGCGTTTGCACGCGTCAGTGGCAAGGGTTACGTTGGATTTGACCTCGGACCTTCATTGGCGTATTCCGTAAATGCTGATGTGGATGGGACTTCACACGGTGCAAAAGTCTTCAAGCAGCGAGAGGAATGTCAGTGCCATTCGAGCCAAAGCACGAGGAGGAACACCAGGATTAAGAAGCAATCCGAGTACGAGCCGATCAGAGCTTGCCTCACAGAATGACAGGGCGCTGCCGCCGCTGAGTAAACACCTAACAAACACCCCGCGCCAAGGCGAAAGAAGAGGTTTGGCCCCCAAGGGAGTCTCAGCTGAGAGGAATGTGCAACCTCGAAAGACTCACAAAGCACTTCAGGAACGAGCATGAAACTTAAACGACTGGAGGCCTGGCATCCTTCTTGACGCCACTACCAATCATACTCAACGTGCGACATAGCCCGTGCCACCTCACATCTCTCATTGGGTCCAAAGACAAGCAAAGCATTGCCCAATCTCGTGTTCACCCCTCGCTATATAGCAGTTCTGAGAATTCCCCGTCATTCCGTGATCACTTTCTTCATTCAGGTCTCTCCCTTGGCGATACTAAGTACGTTCATACTTCGATTCGGAAAATATGGCGTATCAAGGCCAACCATATAATCAAAACCCTGCGTATGGCCAACAGTATCAAGGTCAGCAGCAGTACCCACAACAGCAAAATTACAATCAGCAGCCTGGTGAGGAGATATGAAAAACAATCACCAGTCACGAACCGTAATACTGACGAGAAAAAGGACAAGGTCAATATGGTCAACCACCTCAACAAGGTCAATATGGACAGCCAGCTCAACAAGGTCAATGGCCTCAACAGCAGCCTGGACAAGGTCAGCCTGGATTCCAAGGAGACCATGGCAACTTCCATGGAGGAAGCTATTCAATCACGCATCGTGATACGAATGCTGTCCTTACCCTTGACCTTGCACAGGGAACTACCATCAAGGCCAAGCCGGGAGCGATGATTCACATGGCTGGCACCATCCAGCTGACCGGAAAGATTAATTTCAGCATGAGGAAGATGTTCACTGGAGGCCAGATGGCTGAGTCGACCTATGCTGGCCATGGCAAAGTGGCACTGGCACCAACATTATTTGGTGACATCGTTACTCTTCAGATTGATGGCAGCTCTCAATGGCTCATCGGGAAAGATGCCTACTTGGCTTCGACTGCCGACGTTCAAAAAGAGACCAAGAGCCAAGGAATTGGAAAGGCGTTGTTCAGCGGAGAAGACCTCTTCATCTACCGTGTGATCGGCCAGGGTCTGGTATGGTTGACCAGTTACGGCGCCGTCGACAAAGTTGATGTAAGTTCAAACTCAATTCCATACAGGCCATTACTCCAGATGCTCACAATCGGTAACAGCTCAAACCTGGAGAACACTACATCGTAGATAACGGTCACCTTGTCGCGTGGAACACAGAATATAAAATTGAGAAGGCAGGTGGCGGAGCAATGACGAGTATGAAAACCGGAGAAGGTCTCGTCTGCCGGTTCGTAGGACCCGGAACAGTGTACATCCAGACAAGAAATCTGGACGAATTTGCATCATGGGTTCGCCAGGTTGCAGGCGCTGCACAGTAAGCACGAATTCTGTTTACGACCATAGAGGACCTGGGTTGGAAGGACCAAGTTGAGTTAGTGATTCACACAAAAATCAATCATCTGAAGAACCGAATACCCTACCGTACAATCTGCGTCAACTTCAGAAATACTCCTCTGAAATAATGGTGAAGATTACGTCATATCAATTCGGTGCAATTTTCTACTTTCGTGTCGGTTTTCCCGCATCGCGCATCCGAGGGGTTCGTTCACCACTTACTGCATGATGTGATGCTTCGGATGATGAGCATTCCAAATACACTTCAATTTCTTTCATCTCCCCTTGTTTTCTCTGTATTAATACTTGTCTTCTGTATGTTGCTTCGCTCCATTTCTCGTCTTTCCCGATCTCCTTCACCACCCAAGATACCAGAAATCGCACGGCCAGTTACGCGAATGCGACTTGCTCAGATGTCATCTCATATATCTAATGGCCATGCCAATGGTGGCGAAAAATCCAATGGCTTCGATGAAGCAACTTCTACACTGGCCGATATACCCAAGTCGAACAATTTTACCTCCAAGCTTCCTCCAGACCCTCAATATCCCACCCCGCAAGAGTCTCACCAAGCACCCAGGCAAAAGTTGGGACCTCGCATGGTGAGGGGCGCACTATATACATATGTCAGGCCTGAGCCCACGGAAGAACCTGAGTTACTTGCGGTCAGTAAAGCAGCGCTTAGGGATATTGGATTGGCACAATCCGAGGCCGAGACAGAAGATTTCAAAGAAGTTGTTGCCGGCAATAAATTCTATTGGGAAGAAGAGAAAGGTGGTGTCTATCCTTGGGCACAATGCTATGGTGGATTCCAGTTTGGCTCCTGGGCTGGTCAGCTGGGCGATGGCCGTGCCATATCGCTCTTCGAGACGACAAACCCCAAGACGAACGTCAGATATGAATTGCAGTTAAAAGGTGCCGGAAAGACACCCTATTCACGCTTTGCCGATGGCAAAGCCGTCCTCCGATCCAGCATCCGAGAATTTGTTGTATCCGAATATCTCAACGCTATTGGGATTCCAACAACTCGAGCCCTGTCATTAACCCTAGCTCCCAAGTCTCGAGTCGTACGAGAACGTCTTGAGCCAGGAGCAATAGTCTGCAGATTCGCACAGTCATGGATAAGATTCGGAACTTTTGACATCATGCGTTCTAGAGGTGACCGAGACCTTCTTCGAAAGACGGCGTCATATGTTGCAGAAGATGTATTTGGTGGGTGGGACAAACTACCTGGGGTACTCAACCCTGACGACAAAGATTCCCATCTCAATCCAGCACGCGGAATCTCGAAAGAGGAACTGCAGGGCAAGGAAGGAGCCGAGGAAAATCGATTCACTAGACTTTATCGAGAAATTGCACGCCGTAATGCCAAAATTGTTGGCATGTGGCAAGCATACGGTTTCATGAATGGTGTCCTCAACACAGATAATACGTCGATATATGGCCTATCCTTGGATTACGGGCCATTCGCTTTCATGGACAATTTCGATCCAGCCTATACTCCAAATCACGATGACCATATGCTCAGGTACAGCTACCGTGCCCAACCAAGTGTCATCTGGTGGAATCTCGTCCGATTGGGCGAAGCCCTTGGAGAATTGATTGGTGCAGGAGAACGCGTCGACAACGAAATCTTCGCCGAGAAAGGAGTCGAAGAGGACTTTGCTCCAATTCTGATCAAGCGCGCCGAGACGATTATCGATCAAGTTGGAGACGAATATAAAGCCGTCTTCCTCAGTGAATATCGCGATCTCATGACACTCCGTTTGGGACTCAAAACCCAAAAGGACAGCGATTTCGACAAGTTATTCTCTGAGCTCCTGGATACAATGGAGGCACTTGAACTTGACTTCAACCACTTCTTCCGCCGTCTATCCTATGTGACACTCGACGACATCAGCACCAAAGAGAAACGCGAGAATACTGCCGAACGATTTTTCCATGCAGAAGGCGTGACAGGCCTGAATGAAACCAACGCATCCGGCCGTGAGCGAGTCGGTAAATGGCTCGAATCATGGCGCGAGCGTGTCGTCGAAGACTGGGGCAGTGAAGCGTCGGCTGACGAAGAGCGGAGTAAGGCCATGCAGTCCGTGAACCCAAATTTCGTGCCAAGAGGCTGGCTGCTCGATGAGATTATTGACAGGGTGGAGAACAAAGGTGAACGAGATATTCTCAAGGGCGTCATGGAGATGACGCTCAATCCATTCCGGGAGAGTTGGGGCTGGAATGAGGATGTCGAGAAGAGGTATGTTGGTGATGTACCGAGGCTGCAGAGAGCTATCCAGTGTAGTTGCTCTTCATAAAGCGCATTGCGCCATGAGAACCATGGCCATGGGGGCACTAAAAGTGTCCAGACAGACATATAGCTGTACGAAATCATACTCAAATATATTCCAGCGTCCTGATTACACGCCGAAAGATAACTCCATCGCCTTTTTGACCGCAGCAACCTCTCTCTCCAACTCACCTTCCAAACCCCTCGTCACTACCATATTCGTTGGTCTTGCTGTACTATTCGCAGCAACACCTTGTTTCCCACCGCCAGCCCCAGCCCCATGGCCCCTCCCAATCCGATGCAGCTTTAATACCCGCTGCCACTGCCCGATCAACCACGGCATCTGACCCTGTCTCAACAATGATCCGAGCCTCAACACATCGTCACCTCGAACGCCCGTCATATCGAGAGGTTCGCCAGCCAGGCCGAGCAGAAACGCCATAGGCCCGAGGATGTTATATCCACCCATCGCGATGTTCTGGCGTTTCCGCTCGTCGGGGTTCAAGGGGATGATGTTGCGGTATTTCGTGTATTCTTCGTCCGGCTCCGTGTCAGAGGGTTGGTGACATATGTAAGGATTCTTCTCCGGCAGAGGCCAGGGATAGTCAATGCTAGCGGTATTTGAGAAGTCATGGATGGAACCATATCCTACACGGCTTCCGAGGTGGAAGGGTATTGCGGCACAAATCTCGTCGAAGCAGTGTTGCAGGGTTTCTGTTGCGGTTTTCCTCCACGAGTCCGACGGTGGTAGGATTACATCGTGGCTGCCTTCCTCCCGCAGATCCTGCACTGTTTGGTCGGCGCAGAGAGTCATCTTGACCAATATCAGTCGGTAGCTGTTATAAGCATGCCATACACCTGCGAGCTGGACACTTGGGTAAACATTGCAAAAGTCACCATACAGGCCTGCTTTTCGGACAGAGCCCGGGACCTCGTGTGCGGGGACTCGACAGGGTGCGAAATACGACGACTGGGAGCCGGCCCAAACCTGTAGGCGCTGGTCGATGGTGGTTGCAGCTCTCTTGAACGATGCCATAACCCCGACATCCTCGTCCGTCAAAGCCTTCTGCCCATTGGCAAATCCTATCTGCAGTGTCGTTTTATATCGCTCATACAATGCCTGCAGTTGAGCGAGATCGATCGCGATCCTGTCGAGATCACTCGCAGGGCTGATTGGTAGAGGGTCGGGGTCGTCCCATACGGCTGGATCCATGATAACTGGTTGACGAGTTCGAATCGCCTCTGACACCATCGTGCTTCGCACTTCTTGCAACAGTTTCTTTGAGGCTGGGGTCCGGAAACCCGTACTTTTCCTGTGAGTGACGACCGCATACGCACCTCTCTGGTGACTACCATCCACCTGACGCAATTTTCGATGAGCAACTAGTGCTTCCCGGAATTGTAGGGCAATGATCGTGATCAACACCACGTCAGACTCGTTCTCGTCGGATGTCTCGACCATGTCCTTCAATAGTCTGATCGCTCTGGCGTTGTATTTTCGTGACAGCATGGAATCTGGATCCTGTCCCCGCCACAGAGCGAGCATTGTTGCAGTGAGGGCGGCTGTCGCAACTGATAGCAGTGAATTGGTATCAGTTAGTTGGAAATAAGGTATCAGGTGTTCAAAAAGGCCTCGTGAAGATTGAATCCCTCTATCGCCAGTCATGTAATGACGGTGAAAGAAGCATAATGAGGTGAATGCTTCGTCCTCGCCAAGGTTAGGAAACACTGGGTTGGGACATTTATGTGTTTTCCCATGCTCAGTCCTTCCTTCATTCTTCGTCTTGTGGAATAGTTTGATGACCGCGCTGGTCTCATCCTCGAATCTGATGGACGGTGGGCATGGCACGCCAGGACAAGGAATTTTCCTCTTCCTGCAATTTTGGCACAATGGCCGAGTCCCGTCGCATTTCACACGACGCTTTTTACACGTTGCACACGCAAGCGATGGACCGGCATAAACCATTTGCAGGATGAATTCCTGGTAGGCGTGATTGTTAATGATAACCTAGGATACTCGCATATTCAATCGCGATAGTATAAATGGTACTCTCATGATCTGTCATGATCCCGAACTCCGAGTAAATGGTGAAAGGTTGGATTCAGCCTTGTCACCCCAAGCGTTGAGGGGTCATCGCGGACTAAGATTCTTGGCTTCGATTTTGGCCAATCGGTGCATGGGCTATGTACCCCAGTTTCTCCAGGTGAGGCTGATTTCAAGTACGATCGATGGAAGCCTAGTACAAGTACTCGGATTTTTCCACGAATGAAGACACTGACCAACCTATTTCTGTTTTTTTGATCTTACGATGTAAAAGGCAATCAACAAGATACTGTAAAGACACTAAGTGGAGGAGGATCTAATCTGAATGTCATACCTCCCGGGCAAGAAGAAGGACTAACAAAGGTTCCCTCTTCTCCTAGGCCTGTAGAGCGAGTCCTCTTATTAGTCTCTTGAGAGACAGGGCACACATAGGTTCTACGTTTGTACCTATTCTTTGCCTACTTTACGAGTTTCTGTGAACTAGATTTTGAGTTCGTCGCGACCGCCACCCGCCGTCGGTGGGTATCCCGGAGAAGCTTGTATTTGTGTCGTCCCTTTTTATTGTGCGCTTCTCGCTTCGCCTCTCTCACGCCTTCTAACTCACCAGCACTTCAATCTCAACCCTATTCGCTATCGTCCGACTATGATCATTTAACTAGAGATGTCAACACGCTCAACATATGAAGTCTCTTCTCAGAGTCCTAGATACGGACTACGATATATGTCTACTCTTTCATCCCTTATCCTCCCTTTCCCCTCTTCTCATTCTTGTCTGCGTGCGTGGAGTCTGGAGAACTTTGGTTACGAATACTTCGAACTAGAGTTAGTCATGGTATTACTGTTCACCCGTCCCATCCTCGCTCATAGTGTGGTCTTTGAACCCTGGTGGCTCGAGTATTCAAACGATCCGGGCACGAAACCTGAAATGAGGTTCATCTCAGGCTTTGAGAACGGGGCAAATCCATGTCTCGTCTGGGGCGTCGCTGCTGCTTGCTTACACGATGGTATGACTAACTTACTCGAAAAGCATCTTTCGAGAAGCCGCCTTGATGTTGATAACGCCCAAGACATTGATCTCGTTATGAGAACAAAGACATGAACAAAGAGCTCTCTGTTCAGTTGGATGGTTAATCACGCTCTGAGTAGATCTAGAGGATCGCATGGCCTCGTAGCGTGAGCTTAGTGGCTCACAAGAACGCTGCCGTTTGCCTGGCGTTGACGTACAGCGGACACTATCTTCTGAGAATGGCCCTCACCACTGAGCTTTTCGATCGGGCCAAGGTGGCTGTAGAACAGTTCTGCGGTATCTTAAAGAGCGCAGCAGACCTACACCTGGACTCGGCCCTCGACATTACCTGGGTAGATTGGAGATATAGGCAAGGATATCTCCTAGCAGGCACGGATTAGGTGGAAGTACATCTAGTTTCACCGGGAAGAGACGTGGACAAGTTGTCATTATCTCTTGGTGAAGTCAGAGTCCGTATGCCAGAGACCTAAGACAACTTTACCAAGACCTAGCTCACTATTAGTTCCTTGTCGAGGGAGTGCTTGGTTTAACAACATACAGCAACATGTTCAAGGCATTAAGAACATGAACCAGCACGGGAGACCATCCGCGCCCTTTGCGGCTATACCTGAAGTGTTTTCGTCAGAAACAGCCATTCTCGATCAGGCTTCTGTAGATTTCTACATTGTTAAAAGCTAGAGCTCTGCTGTATTTGCTTTCGGTGCGGAACGACTAATGGATCAAGTTAATTAACGTTAGTTTTGAGTGCTGATCAGAAACGGGTTTGCGTTTAGTAATAGTACACTAACTCCCTGCTGAGACCCACATTATAACAAGGGTGTTAGTGTAAAATACTATTCTAGTTAGTATAACCTACAAGAGCGTCCGTGACAGAACTGGTAGAGAAATATTAGTTGTCCAAGCTAGAGAGTATCAAGCCTCCGCAAAGAGAGGGAAACAGTTATTATAAAATCAGAAGAAAAGTATAACTTTTCCTATTACCCCGACATACTCCTCTCGCATTCGTACCCTCTCTTCTCCTTACAAAAAAGGGACATGTGAAGGAGAATGTTTCCGCACTTGCCAATGGTTTTCAGTACGCAAATTGATAGGGACGGCGTTATGTTGCGTATAAGATTATGTAGGAGCATCCGGTGCTCATCACGATGATATTATTGTTGTTGGTTTGAGAGCAAATCCGAAAGAGATGAAGGAGCCTGAACAGCCAAGAGGGTGGATTACCACTTCGAGGCTGCGAATCATGAACCAACGACGCTGTTCACCAATACATTTTGTTTGTGCTTAAACCAGAAAAGTTCCACAAAGGTTCTGATTCCATCCTCAGTCGTGACAACGTGGTGTCGGTCCATCATACGGATATGGGGGAATGCCTTGCTCAACATGGACACTATCAGGACTTTCTGCACCTCGGTATGCTTGTACTCCAAAGAAATGATGCCCTCGTTTCTAGCGTGGATGTCATTACCACTGACAAGATCAAATTTTGTCAGGCGTACCACTTTATAGCTACTCAGCCATCTTTCGCAGTAGTGTTGTTTCCTCTTTCGATGAAATCGCACAAGATCCGTGTCACTTACAAGTAAATAAACCTAGTTCGTATACTGTCAATTTGAGCTATCCACTCTCTCTGCTTTGGCGTCATACTCGAGAGCACCCCAAGGTACTTCGACGTGGAATCACAAGAAGCCGAATGCAGAGCCGGCGATCATAGTAAGGTATACAGCGAGAGTAAAGGTAAAGCCGTAAATTGCCCGCTTTCGGGGACGCCAGGATTCACATCACGTGGGTCGATGATGGACTGGGCTTCTTGGCAACTGAGCTTTTACGTTGCCGAGTTTCTCTTGGTCTCCTCAATCTAAGCGCATCCCCGTGTTGCTTTAAGGCTCTAACCTCAAAGCCTTCTTTCTCACTCGCAGCACTACCTACCGTACACACTCCAGTGATGGAAGAGATCAACATTGATGAAACGTCGGCGTCCGTGGCAGAGGCATACCCTGAGCGCGGCGTGAAAGCCTACAGCGTCATCCTCGGCGCTTGGCTTGCCCTTTTTCCTGCGTCAGGACTACTTAACTCGAGCGGCATCTTTCAGGCGTACCTCGTCGAAAATCAATTGATGGGCTACTCAGAAAGCGAAGTCGGCTGGATCTTCAGTACTTTTGCGTTCTTCTTCTTCTTCGGAGGATTGCAGGTCGGACCCATATTTGACAAATATGGTCTGGGAATATTATTGCCCTCCGGAGCCACTGGTCTCGTTGTTTCTCTGATATGCACAAGTTTCTGTAAAACGTACTACCAATTTCTCCTCGCTTTCAGTATCTTGGGTGGCATTGCCTCCTCTATCCTATGGACCTCCAGCATCGCTACTTTAGGACACTGGTTCCAATTGAATCGCGGACTTGCGACCGGCCTTGCAACGACTGCTGGCGGTTTCGGCGGCGTCATCTACCCCTTGCTCTTCAATCAGCTCACCCCCAAAACTGGTTTCGCCTGGTCGATCCGCTGCTTTGCCCTACTCAGCGCTTTCTGCTTCCTCCTTAGCTTGCTGCTGTTGAAGACACGTCTCCCGCCAAATGGACAAGCACGCCTGATCACCGACTGGCGCGGTTTCAAGGATGTTCGCTTCGTACTCACGATGACTGCCATCTTCATCCTTGACTGGGCTGTACTTGTTCCGCCCGCGTACATCACGACTTATTCCACTGCCCACGGCTTCAACAGCATCTCTCCTCATATTCTCGCCATACTAAATGCTGCTTCAATCTTTGGTCGCGGCATCCCCGGCCCAGTGGCTGATAGACTTGGCCGTTTCAACATCATGATCCTCTGCTCGGCCCTATGTGCGCTTTCAATTTTTGGGCTCTGGCTCAATGCTGGGTCAAGCGTTGTGGCGATCATCGCATTCGCCATCCTCTACGGATTCTTTAGTGGCTCGGCGTACAGTCTGACGCCGGTGTGTGTGGCGCAGTTGTGTCGGACAGAGGATTATGCGAGTCGCTATGGCACGGCGTATGGGGTGGTCAGCCTGGCGACATTAGCCGGTATACCGATCTCGGGGAATATTCTGAGTGCGGGAAAGGGTGGGAACTACCAGGCGCTGATACTTTTCTGTGGTGCAGCATATACAGGGAGTACATGTTTGTTCGTCATTGCAAGAGGAGTCAGTGGCGGTTGGAGGGTGCAGACAAGGTTTTAACCTGGAAGCTACTCCGCTGTAACTTGTCACAGCGTGTCTCCAATCTAGATAGCACCAAAGTACGATGATTTGACATGTTTCGGGGTCATAGAAATAAATAATACATACATTTAGGTGCGGTTCGTAGTTCTCTTCGTTGCCCATAGTTAGCTCAATCTAGTATCAAGGCACCCTACCTTGGTCAGACCTATTCGCAGATCGGATCATAATATACGTAAGGCTAATATACTCCTGTCCGGTTGGCCGTACTACACGTAGAAGGATTACCAAGAGGCACAGTTTACTGGGGAATATGGGATGGAAAGTGAGGCTTAGGGTAGTCGAGGAGCTAGTGTTATTGATTAGGCTTTTGATTTCTGCAAATACTTAGATCGTCGTCTCGCTTCCGGCAATGACATATAGGAAACCGCATCCAGCTAAAACGGTTTCTATCAAGGCTGTACATAAGCCCCAGTGGCTCCAGTGAAGAATTAATTCCAAGATGATACTTGCGTAATAGCGCAATCTACTAATCTTAGACTGATTATCGAACCATCCACTAACTCTATTCACAGTCGATGCTCTGCTTCGAGTCCAGTCACAACCCGATAAACCCTGGCCAAACGCAGCGTTCTCGTCTCGGCTTCCTTTCCTTTACCTGTGCTCTGGGTCCTCGTCCTTCTCAGCGGCCCCCGTCTTCCGAGATCGTCGGCGCCAGTGTCTTCGTCTTGTTTGTTCAAATTTCCCTCTTGGTGGACCAATTAGGGTCGAAGCACGAATAACGCTAGATGTAAATGGCGGCCACCCATTCACAAAAGACCTAAGTCGAACAGCAAAAATTGCAATATTTTGTAAAAACAAGTCGATTGTTGAATGGCGATAGTCCTCGACATGCTCGAGAACCATCAAATACTGGGAATAGTTGGTAGCTTACTACAACGTAACCGTGCTCTGAGTTGACCTATCATTCCCAGAAACAACATCCAAGAGAAGGGCGGCTACAAATTGTGAGGATCGTTACTAATTATTCTGTCCGAATATGACTTGTCCGTACACCATTGACATCATGTCGAGTCCTTGGGAGAATGAAACTGAGTTATCAAATTCACCCCGATTATCACGGGGGATTCACAAGAAGATTTAAATCTTAACATCACACCCCTGTATAGGTACCTATTAATCGCCTAATTCCTGCTCTCAGTCGCCTATGCTGATGTCGAAAAAAGTAACAAGGACGATATTTAGTTTAGTAGAGCAGGATATAGTTGTTAGCCGCGAAGGCTTTTAGCCTTCATATTAACTTTAGAACCTGTTCGGACTAGCTCTCAAGGGTCTCCAACCATGATAGGATGCCTAAGGCGCTAGCGGAAGACCTCTAAATAGACCTATATAGTCTACAGGTCATCCGGACCGTTATCCTAGAACCCATGTGCCTTCAATAATCACAAGGCCGGACATATATCGGTTATAAAACCAAGCCAGCTACTGATCAGCTAAAGATCCCATCACACACTATTGCACTTTCAGGCCATAGTAGTGTTGTAATCAACCCTAACGATCTGTATAATTGTTCCGCCCTGTCTGCCTTTTACATTCTGGTAAATTGTCGGTACAATACTCCCGCTGATTGTAGCGCGCTTTAGCTCAGTGGCCAGCATCATGAAAACAATCGGTATCTTAGGTGGCATGTCGGCATCCTCGACACAAATTTACTATCGCGAGCTATGCAATCTCATGAGGGACCGTTTCGGCGGGCTTCACTCACCGGAACTACTTATCCGCTCCCTCGATTTCGCTCGAATCGAAGGCTTACAAACGAATGGCAAATGGGACGAGGCTGCGCAGATTCTCAACAAAGAGGCACAGGCCTTGGAGCGTGGAGGGGCCGGTCTTATTGTCCTCGCGACAAATACAATGCATAAACTTGCCGAACAAATGATGGCGGGTGTTTCCATTCCCATGCTTCATATTGCCGACGCCACTGCTGCTAGCATTCAGGGTGAGAAACTTCGGTCCCCGGGTTTAATGGCAACGGCGTTTACGATGGAGCAAAGCTTCTATGTCGACCGGCTGGTTGCGGCTGGCCTCACTCCCATTATACCAGACGGCACTGATCGCGCGTCGACCCATCGCATTATTTATGAGGAACTCTGTTGCGGAATCGTTAGAGAGGAGAGCCGGGAGATTTTTGTTTCTATTGCCAATCGTCTGATCAGTGAAGGGGCTGACTGTTTGATTCTCGGATGCACCGAGGTCGGCATGCTCCTCAATCGCAACAATGTGGCTGTGCCTGTGTTCGATACGACACTGATACATTGCCGCGCCGCATTACAAATGGCGCTTGAAGGTTGATAGGGGTAGTGTGTTCATCAGCCGGTCGAGTCTAAATTTAACCCCTTCTCTTTGCCTGGTTGATTGATAAGAGGGGCTTACTCTACTTGGGTGGTTGACAGTTCATAACGGGTATATCTAACTGGCAAGCGCGTGATAGATCCATGGTAGCATGCAGGTTTGGCACAGGTAATTTTGGTATTCATCGCCGCTGCCGTATCTGAATTGAGGCGATTTCGTTACCTATGGTGACGTTTGTCTGACAGAACATACGCTCACATCAGCGTTCATTGCTGGGCAGCTGAACAGATCAAAGGGCATCCTAGAGAGGGTAGGATAGGTAGATGGAATTGCGATCCCACCACTCCAGTGGATCCTCAACATCTAGATCAGCCTCCGTAGTTCTGGCCATAAAGCTGTGCGCTTCTCGCCTCGGGTAGCTAAAGCGGTGGTGGCAGCAGAGCCGCTAGCAACGCTTACGAGCTTATTGAAGAGAATTAAGCAGCACGCTCTTGTCAGCATTAGCCTCCTCCTGTTATGCCACTTATAATATCCCTTCTTGCGCGGCTACTTCCGCCATATTGCAATAACGGGGTGGATTAACGAGGCGGACGCTACTGTACAATATATTGCAAATGGCGAAATTGTGAATTCAAACACGGCTTTGAGCCAGACCCTCCGAATGATAAGGCTCATGGATGGCACCCAGAGCTCAATGGTTTGATCTACCCACAAGACAAGGTGAACGAAGTTGAAGGATAAGCCACACACATCCTTTGCAAAGTTTCCCATTGTAATCATTTGCAAATCTTCACATCGTGCTCAGCAGCTCAATCAATTCTCCATTTCCAGTTACATATTCGCAAGTGGTCTCTCTCAGTCGAGCAAGATCAGGACTTTCCGGCTCAATATGTCTCAGGGTCTTGACACACACCCAAAAGCGTTGGACAGGACTCCATTTTCCACCAACGGCGTCTATATCAACTTTAGAATTGATTAAGCGACTTCTGCGAGCTGCGAAGGGTATCAGATGTCTAGAGGCCGAATGGCGGCAAACCAGCCGGGAAACGTGACGATGAAGCTTTGGACCGCCACTCTGTGTATTCCTAACAGTATCACAGCAGCGCTCCTGGAGATACACATCAGATCGATCATCGCCCCGATGATGGTGTAGAAGAGGACGAGGTTGTGGTTATTCTCGAAGCTGGATTGTGCCCAGATATTGCGACCGAATCTGAGATGAGGTGTTCCAGTCTTCGGCCTTGGTACACAACGGGAGAATCCAAGAGCAGAGCCTCGGATCTCGAACCAACTTGCCGGTCGCGAGGTACGTGTCGCGGAAAGCAAAAGTTGGGGAGTATAAATTCGGCCATTGGGAGAGCGAGAGGACGGCAAGTGCTGAGCCTCTAGATTTGGATCGCTGCGATGTGAAGAGAGCTGCTTGCGTACGGTTGAGCATTTATATAGACATATTGCTTCATTTAATATTCGTTCTTGCAAACTCTGTAGAAAATGGCATGGCACAATTTCTTGGAAATGGCTAAGGATCCTCTCTGCCTTGCGCTCAGCCTCGAGATGAGGCATTGTGGGTTTTGGTGTACCAAGATCTACGTTGAAAGAGTGACTTGGCATGTCAATTGAGTTTCAGCATAAGTCTCTGCCAGTAAGCACCAAGTATATTGTAGTTGCCTTCGAGTTGAGATCGCAGCCAGCGTGGGCGAGTGAGAGACGAGTTCTGATGATTGGATGCTCGGAAGTGCGCTTCTCCAAGAGACTTGAATCACGTTAAGCCGTTTTCACTCGACTTTGCGAGAAAAGGGCGAATCAGAACGAAGAACATTCCCTTTGCCCAGGCTTGATGAAGATGACCTGGTTGCACGGCCAATTGAAACAACGACATGGTCGAGAAATTAGCCTTTTGATGTAAACAAGAATAATCTCCTTGTGTTCGTTTCCCAGAAAAAGTGCCATCAAGGTTTGTAGCAGACTTCAGGACGTGGAAGGCCAAAGATTTTGTCCTGCGACTTGTCTCGTTCGTGCTGATTCGGTTCTGGAATCGATTGACGGTGGATGCTGCACTTACGACTCCGCATTCACAGTGCATAGCATAGAGAGCCATGCCAAGGTTGGAAGCCACTTGTTGAGATGTCGTTGGTGACAGCGGGTATCAGGAGGTGGAGCGGCTGCTTGATGCGGCGTAGATGCATTTGTCTGCGCTTGATACCGTCCTGCGTATAGCTTTCCCGTCCATCGGATTCTTTAGTCTATGCCTCAGTCCCGTGAATGATGGGGGCATGTAATCATTAATGCCGCAAAGCGTTGGTGGAGGTCGTACTGTAAGCAGCTCAAGCGTGGTCCAGGTGTGGTTCAAATGACGGAATTTCACGCCCGGTTGACGAGCTGCCACCTATAACCTCCAGGACTCTCGCTCCATTCTCATTTTTGGTTTCCACCGTCCTTGCTTATTATGAGATTTGTTCCATTCAAGCTCTTCTCACTGACACACTGAAAAGCGCGAGTTGCCAGACTCTACTGATTCTAAGCGTCGAAGAGCATCGTTGATCAGCATGACTTCATGGAGATTCAGAAAGTGAGAGACAATGGTTCTCCAACTTGTTGAGTCATACAGACCACCTATGGCCCAGAGCCTATTTCGCGACCTAGAGTGTTCTAGCATTTGGTTCTAAGACTCCAACCATACTTCTGCACACGACCTGTTCCAAGACACAATGCACCCAACGCCGTCGCTAAACCAAGTCCAATCTGTGCCGACGTATATCCGCCTCTGCCACCTCCATTCGTGTTCAAAAGAGCACCCCCAATCGGTGGGCCAGCAAGAACTGCAAAGCTGATGACTGAGCATGCCATACCCAGCCGAACACCATTTTTGGTCAGATCCGAATTCAAACTTGTTACAGTTGTCGGGAACAGGCATTGGAAAGCTCCACCCGAGAATCCATAGATGGTGGCAAATGCAAACATTCCACTCCTAGAGTCGACCGCTATCCAGACGAACCCAAAAAGCGAATTCAGGAGAAGAAGAGGAACCATTGCGTTCAAAGGCCCGACGAACCGATCTGCCATGTATCCAGTCAGGAGGCGAACCGGGATTGCTGCTGCATTGAAGACGATCAAGATTGTTAAGGAGTCGGCATAACTCACACCAATGACCGTGCGAGCAAATGATGAGATGTAATAATAGCTCCAAAAGAGGCCGCCAAAGACCAACGACATTCCGAAAACAACCAAAACGTATGGGAGTTCTCGAAACGCAGCCCATTCGACAATTGGTCCCGACTTCCTGGGAGGGAGACGTGGTTTGAAGAATGCGAACGAGACACCCAGTAATGTCATGTTAACAAATCCTAGAGTTCGCATGGTCCAGCCAAATCCAATCTTAGGTAAAAGCTGGCGAACGATGACTGGATAGATTGAACCTCCAACTGATCCACCAGTCGACATGATGGCGATGGCGAGTCCTCTGTGCTTGGTAAAATACGTGGTGACGAGTCCCAGGGATGGAGTGAAGAATATGCCACTACCCAAACCGGTACATATCCCTTGAGCAAGGAGAAGCTGCCAAAATCTATGACTTATGCTCGTCATGAAGACACCCAATATTTGCAATGCCGCGCCCAGCAAGAAGGTAGGTGCAAACAGTCCAGCATCAAGGGCACGACCGGACCATGTTCCTACAAAAAAGACCATCCACAATTGAATCGAGCCAATCCAGGAGATGGTTGACTGTGTTTCCCCGAGGGTGTCCATATAATAGGCCTGGAACGCACCAAAAGAATTGAGATATCCCCTACGATGGCCCCTAATGTCAGTGGTGATCTTGAAAAGAGTTCGAGTTTCCACCCAATCAATTGAGCGACGGAATGCAAGGCTCACCAAGTTGTTAGACTGCATGTCCATAGTGCAGCAACCTGTGTCCATGCTCTCAAGCCACCGTCGGGTGCAGGGCCTGGATCCTTTATGTTACGTGTTGAGAGACGCGAGATGGCCTTGTCGAGGACATTGCTGGCAGTTTTCTTGAGGCTATGCCGGGAGGAAGCTCTCGACGATTGCTTGGTAAGACCCGGGGCGCCTGGGTTTCTAGAATGGGGATCATCTTGTTCTATGACGTCCTTCTCCGGCTCGAAACTCGACATGATTGATCGCAAACGATTGGTTCATTAGGGCACCAAAAGATTGAACGAAGTTTCCAGGGTGAATTGTGGGCGTCGAAAAGAGCATTCACTTGTTTTGTATGAAGTCTGAGGGCGAGAAAAAGCCATTTCAAGACGTGGGACGATCTCCAACCACAAAGGCTGAATGACGAGAAGGGCATTGGTGCTGTGTACCATTCCACAAAGTTGGGGTTGATAACTGTGCCGGATAGCCGATCCCGTTGCCTTAGGCCTCCCCCAACGGTGAGGTGGGAGTTTATTGGAGAACAGTCTGACATTCCATTTTCAGTGGATATCAAGCAAACTGTACCCTGACCGCTTCACATATCTGCTGTCATGACATAGGATTCTCCGCGAACAACACCGAGCTTGGCAAAGGCTTTGGAAGAAGTCCGAGTAGCCGTTCATCTAGTGGTCGCTTTTCGTTTTAAGATGTGAACGCTGGTCAACATACAATTTGAAACTCACCAGTGCAAAAAGCATTATCACATCGACGACGATCCCATCGTGACTCAGAATGTTCTTTAGCGTACAAGTGTACGCGCCTTGCACAGCACGAAGCCGACTTTGGTATTACTGGCCCAGTATGTTTGATGAGATGATCAGGAGTCAAGGGCTGTTGCATGAAATGAACACTGCATTAGTCATCGACTTCTTGCCCTATTCGAGAGAAATTGACTGCACGCCCTAGGATCAATATAGTTGTGCCCCATGTCATACCCTGCAGCATCTTCAAAGCTTGACACGCCTTTGCGTAGCTTGGCCTCTGTCCCAGCCGAGCAGGCTTCAAGAGTGTTCTTCGTGGTGAGTAAATACTGGCCGGTACCTTCTCCGCTCATCACCTGCAGTGTGTAGTATTGGATACGTCAGGTAATCTCAAATACAACCAGGTATCAGCGCGGTAAGTCTGCCATATGCATCTCAGGTAGGTGAGGTACCTGCCAAGTCACCCGGTTACCGTCTTCAAACAATTTGGGCCTGCCATTACTGACTTGCGGCTGTCTGTTTTTCCGGACCGGAATCGAACACTGCAAGCATTTTCGTTGAGATGCGATGGGAACTGAGGACTTGAACTTATCGAGGTCATGGCTGCCCGCCTGGCATCGACAGAGTCGGGTAAAAGCCATGCTCTTTTTGTGTCCACACCACTGGAACTCAGAGGAGTTGAGAATGTCTGCTATGTTGATCTTGTTAAGCCGACCTCCAGGACATTGGCATGATGGAAGTTCAATTCAAGGCGAGCAGCTATGCTGTCATCATGTTGGCGTGGCAGGAGCATTCAGCTTTGAGACTCATGGTCGTACCTTCCTGTTCAACTTGGAGCTGCACTGACGGCAGTGACTCAGTAAGGCTTGACTTGCACTAGTCGTGGTCTCGGCGATATCATGTGAATCAACGCCGAGCGAAGGATGAGTAGTAGTAATTGATGCCTTGATTGTCTGTTGTTGTGATCTGTTGTTTCCACCTCGCCGCACATCCATTCAACCAATCCCCACAACAAGACTCTTTTGTCTCTTGATAGTATCTTGTTACCCTCACAGCAATTCACCTGACTGTCAGAAGCTTGTCCCTTTCCCCAATCTGTGCAAACAAAAACGAGACAATGGACATCTCCAAGCTGCCACCAAACACCGAATTGTCCCGCTTGTACAAATTGGTGAGAAGACATACCCTTCCCTTTTCCCTCACCAGCCAACCCAGAACTAACAAGTCCCATCAATCCAGGCCCTCGAACGCTCCAGCGCAGGTGACCGTACCGAAGCATTCGATCTCTTCTCCCTTTGCCTCGACCATCCCGGTGCCACCAACCTGTTTCGCGCAATCGTGCTATTCCTCCTCTCCCTCGAATTCAAATCCAACGGCCTTCACTTCGTCCGTGCCGGCATGCACCTTCTCAGCCAGTACGCCCGCGATCACCCCGACCAACTCCTCGACCCCGAGTACCTCGAGGCAGAGAAAGACTCACGTGACTTGCTCAAATTCCACAATCAGCGTGCGACGACTCAGCGTGCGGCGGCCAGAAAGGAGGCGAGGAAGGACCGAGCTGCTGGATTTGAGGATTCTGATGATGATGAATTTGGCATCAAGAGTCCCATGCAGAAGCTCGCTCTCGGCACCGAGATTGAAGGTCGTCCTACTACTGCTAATGGCAACATTTTTGGTGGTGAGGTGAAGCAGGCTGTTCGCGGTCGGGTCAAGGTCTAAGCGTGACCAAAGAATGGCTGGATCTACACGTGTAGACTTGCGGGAAAGTTGTGTGTTCATTTTGGCTTCAGCTCAATGAGAACCTGATTACCTTGTACGAGCTGTAAGGTCGAGACATGAATGGGGAAAACGTGTTTTTAAAGAAAACATGCAGATGTACCACAAAAGAGAGATATGTCATGTCGTGCATGAGATTCCAATTCTGCGGAATATTTCCATGAACCATCGATGTCATGGTGCACACCGGGCCACGGAAGCCAAAATACCATTAATCAACGAAGCATAAATCATCAACATCATCGTTTCATTTCGTTTCATTCATTTCATCTATGCTTCGAATATTCTAATGGCTGATTTCATTTCATGTTTACTTAATCTTCATACTTGCGACTTTGGGAGGCCCAGAACTCGCACTCTGGCAAGGCCCATTCATCCAGCACGAACTGGGCGGGCATGCCTTTCGTCTCGCCGCCGGCGCGTTCATCATTACCGAGGCCGAAGATCAGGGTTCTGTTTCCCTCCTGAACGGGCAGCCACTGCGGGCGGTCGTCAGACGCGCCATACTCGGATCCGCGGTTCGGATCGCCCGAGATGATGAAGTTGGTGAGGTAGCCGTGGAAGGCGTCGGCGATGGCCCGCTGCGTGGCGGAGATGGACCGCACGCCCGCGTCCATCGTCTCGTAGGGCACGCAGTCGCCGTGCGCCGCGCCGCCCAGCACCGTCCGGTTGACGGCCCAGTGGTACAGGTAGACGTCGGCGTGAGAGGAGGAGGACGAGAAGACCGATGCCGTTTGCCGCACGGCGCATGAGTACGCGTACTGCCCGTATGCGGCCTCGAGGCGCCGGAACTCCTTGCCCACGCTGCGCCACTCGACGTATGAGTCCTGCGGGTACGCGTCCGAGATGTCTTCGTCGGGCGTCACTTGCGGGAGGAGGGTGGAGAAGAAGGAGTCGAACTGGCCCTCCGTCGACAGGTTTCTCGGCACGTAGAGCGATCCTTCGTTGGTGCTGAAGCCCGTGAGGATCGAGATGTTGGTGCTGCTCGGGAGGTGTTGGTCCAGTGGCCGGCCGGGGACGAGCTCGCCGTCGATGACTGGCTGCCAGGCCCACCGGAGTGATGGGTTCCACTGCTCGAAGACGAGGTCCGACGCGTTGACGAGTTTGGTCTCGTTGACGCTGCGGAGACAGGAGATGTCGTGCTCGCGGCAGCCTACCAGTGACATGAATTTGCTGCTTTGTTGCGTGTTGAGGGTCGAGTTGTAGTGGTGCAGGGCGCGGGAGTATGGCCCGCCGGATTCCATGATGACGCGATGGAAGGTGCTTTTATGATTGAGGAGATGGTGTCCGACCTGGGTGTTTTTGTGTTAGCTCGAGCATGCTCTTGTTTGGAAGTGATGTTGAGGTCGTGGAGACTTACAGAGTGTGCGCCCGCTGACAAGCCCATGAGGGTCACCTGGTTGGGATCACCACCGAATGCGGCGATGTTCTCTTGAACCCACTCCAGCAGCAGAACCTGATCGTGCAGGCCTAGATTGAGGATTCCCTCCTCTGCGGCAAGCACCGAGTTCAAGAATCCTAGAGCACCTAGTCTGTAGTTGAATGTCACGGCGATAAATGGGTCGGCCCAAGCCACCATCGCCGCGGTATCGTGGCTTTTGGAACTTCCCCTGTTGAAGGCTCCGCCATGGAAATAGACCATGACAGGGAGCAGACCTAGAAATTCGTCGGTGCTGTCCGTGGGTCGAAAGACGTTCACCGTCAGACAGTCCTCGCTGCCATTGTCATTTCCATCTGGAAGTGGTTTGAAAGGTCTCCCTGGACATCTAAAACATTGCAGAAGAAATGATTAGTCTATATTGTGTTGTGAGGAGAAGTAGCAGTGTCGGCCACCACCACCGTGAAGTTGGGATCTTACCTTTGTCCAAAACTTGACGCTTCAAAAGTCTCGTTTGAAGGTAGGACTGGCCGTGGCCGAGCAAACCTCAAATCCCCAATAGGTGGCAGGGCATAAGGAATCCCCAAATGAGCTTCCACCTGCTTGGGGAAGTTCGGTCTATCGATGATAATCCCTTGGAATGTGCCTTGTCGCAATGTGACTTTCGGTATCGAGCCTCGTGCCAACACCCAACCCAGAACTAGAGTCAATGCGGCCGCTATGACTCCAAAGACTGCAAAATACACAACCACCTTGCCGACATTAGACCTTAGAAAACGCCTTCCCCGGGTTGTGGGCGCCTTGTCGTTCTTGGCCTCCTGAGTTACGGATCCGGTTGTGGGAACTGGCAGATCGGAAACTACCTTGCTGTCGGCATTGAAGAGAGAATAACCCATGGCTGGGCAATTTTGGGGAAAGATCTTGTGGTGAATAGATCTGCGCCCATGGCGGTTGGCTATGACGACGAGGGAGGTGAAGACATGGTTCAAGATGGTGAAGCACTGTGTCCCTACAGATTAATGATAGGGTTGTTTAGCTGTGCCCTGCAGGGGTGATCAGGCTCCTAATGTTGAAGGATTGGGACCTCAGTCGAAGGCAGGACCACGACGTCAAAATACAGGAAGTGAAGGATCAACAGACATTGTGCCCCGAAGCGAGGTTCATATCTGTCTCGACAAGCAAGCCACCTAGGCCACCGACCAGAAAGTCAATTGCCGGCTAGAATGAGTGATGAGGAAATACCCTGGTGAAAGCACGAAAAAGAGCTCCATTCGAATGTGGCTTCAAATTGCTTTGTCGTCAGTGGTTGAGACGATTCAAAGTTCCAGAACCAGACGCTCAATGTGGATTCGCCTCCGGTGGCGTGCCTTTTTTAGTTGAAGAATAAGAAGACTATCGGGTTATGAACACGGGTTGTCCATGGCGTTGCTCCGTCTGGACAATGGGTACTCCGTAGTCCGTAAGCTTCTACGGATAAGTCTTTTTATTCTTCCCCAGAACCGAGGGTGATGATTACTCCGTACGGTGAGAGTCACGGGCTTTAGGCGGGGTAGTTCACCTATTAGTTAGTACCCGGGTAGCCTAAATGCAGGAGCGGACCTGAGCAAGTTGCACCCACCGCTCCTAACTGATTGATGTCTACCTACCTAGGTACCATTGACCCTAGAAACCAACCGAACAAGTCCATGAATTGAGTGAATGAAGACAGTCAAAGGTGTGCTTCTCACATATCTGTCACTGCAGGGACACAGAAGAAAAGCTTCTAGAAAAAATCGAGCATGCAGCACGCTGAACTGAATTGCTTGATTCTTTCTTCAAGCCATCACACCCTGTCTATCAAGCATTTCTCGCGAATCAGATCGGCAAGAGATGTGTCGTGCTCGGTCTGGGCGCTTTTCTTTGGCTCTTGAATGATTGGGAGAGGCGGGGGCTCCCCGTGTCACGAATGACGCTTAGGCTGTTTAGGCTGTTTAGGCGGGTCCAGGTGCCTGAGCAGACCCCCAACCTCCCCATTCAGAACCAAGCTGCCGCTAAGTACCACTAAGTTGCCTTCTTCGCACCGCCCGAGCTGACCCATCTTTGGGCCTAGACTCTGCCGTGTCGCTGCCGCGGAAAACAGTGACTCGATGACGGATACGTTCTTCGTGACTTGCAATCTCATCATTCCAACACCTGCTTTCACTAACCACGTGCATGATGTTATCATCAAAAAACTCTTGGGAATACAGTACCCGTAGACCAGACTATGGAAAGCTGAAAATCTCAGCTGCAGCAGACTGGGACGAACGCCATGGCAATCGTGGAGGGCTCAACTAACGAATCCGTAGCTGTACTTGTGATGGCCTCATCGATGGCTGTTATTCCGTGCTGTTCACACGTGTACCACCCACTCATGCCGCAGCATCACCCCCGTGACACACCTGGGAATTCATGATGCCAAGCCTTTCGACGTCTGGTCTCCGTTTTCTCACTTCTCCAACAGTTTCTTACTTATGGACTATTCAATCTTATGTTCTTAGATCATCGATCGACTGTCAAAGGTCGATTTCTCGGAACAAGTTCTGTACTGCGCGGCTGCAGATGGCATCAATCCATAGATATGTGCTCATGATCTGCTTGAACGCGTTATAATTCGCCATGCCGCACCTTTCAACCACAAGTTTCAGCCAACGCTGGAGTTGACGGGTCGTGTCAGCGTTGGTCGGTGTGTTGGTAAGTCCATAAATTACTAGCAACCACAGCAGCACCTCTGGACTGGTTGTCGCAACGTGCTGTTGCATCGCACGCTTGACCGTCTTCCCATACTTGTGCTGAAGCCAAGCAAAGGGCAATCGAAGGAGACGCCATCGTAGGAAGATCTTTCCACAGAAAGGAAGTATCCCGAGTCGCAGGAGCTCATCGGTAGAATCGGCCCTTGTTGACAAGTAAGATACTCGGGATATATGGCGTGTGCCATGGTCATGAGAAGCTGTTCAATACCAAGCTTTTTACCGAGCACAACCCTTTGTTGCTCGCAACGCAAAATCCGCAAAGGTGGTCCCATATTTTGGCAAGCTCTGTGTCCGTCTAGCAGACGGTTTCAGGAAACCAAACAGTGATATTGACGGTCCGAGATTTTGCTGCGCAAAGAACAACGGCGCTTCACCCGCTGCCAGCCATACAGAAAGATCACATCGGTTTCTAGTCAGCAATGTTTCTAGGCTGTGTTATTTTCCTCGGCTAGCTTTTCCTGGGTTCAACTGCACTAGGCCTCAGCCCCAGAATGTCCAGAATGTTCACCTATTGGCTTCAATCACTTCCTCAGAGAGCCAAATAAATAGCCCATCCTCGCTCGCCGAAACTCTGGAAAATTGACACCCATCTACTCCAACGTTTTGGCATCGGGCACAAGAGCCATCAACCTCCTGTGGTCCATCATATTTCACCTTCCGCTTCCGGCACCAGCCGCAAGCAACACCAATTCGCCAATTTTATCTTTCATTGATATGAGAGAGTGCCAGGGCCACTGATGACTATGATCTGCTGATGCAAGATGGTTCAACGTGAGTGTATATCTAGCAGATGTCTTCCATTTTCACTGTCGAAAGTTTTCCTTTGTTGCCCATTCTCTTACGGATGTTAAGACTTACCCCGTTACCTGCTTAATCTTCGGCCCTGATCCTCAACGATGTTTCCGAAAATGAAGGCCGAAAGAAATCGTAAGCGGCGGAGGCACCATCACTGTCGACGTTGAGGGAAATGGACTCTCGTCATATGTTCCCTGGAATGGGTGACATGCGACATGCGTACGCACCACTCTCAGCACATTTAGCCGCCCATGGCTATACCGTGGCCTGCATGGACAACCGAGGGCACGGTGACAGCTCGCTTTTATTCGATGGCTACAAATACGGAGATGAAGCAATAGCACAAGACTTCATCAATATAGCGCTCGATTTCGGAAAGGGCTGCCCTGCTGTACTAGCAGGGTGTTCCTTCTCCGCAGGCTCAGCTACTATCGCTGCCGGTAAGCGCCCTGATTTGGTTGCCGGAATCATATTGCTGGCACCATTCCTACACAATCCGAAGGGGCTCGAAGATGCAGTGGCGCCGTTCTCTCATGCCGGCGATGTTCGCCAAACTTTGGGGTCCTTCAGTGTGGGAGTCATATGCCAAGATATTATGGCCAGCGAGGAAAAGGCAGCGAAGAGAGCCACGGCATCGAGAACTTCGCTAAATCAAGGCTGGAGGTGGAGAGCATTCCAGCAGATTGTCAAAGGCCTCGATCATAGCGTGGTCAGGCCATGGATAACTAAGGTGAATGCACCGGTGCTTGTGTTGATGGGGGATAAGGACCCTGACTGGCCAAACCCGATGGACGAGGCAAACTGGGTTGTTTCAAATGTCAAGGATGATCGATCGATTACAGTACAGGGTACAGGGCACGCGCCTATGCTGGAATGTCCGTAGTTCATTGGTGGCGAAATTCTGCAGTTTTTAGGCAGATTGAAAGTCAACAAAGCTTTCGGTTGAAGAGACAGAATGCTTCACGGACACTACTGGACGTGATCTCAACTTCACGAAACTTGTTCAGCGAGCTCCAGCGTGGCGTCCCGTACACTTGATGGTTTTTATCAATGTTAGAGCCCTGGTCAAGATGCCATAAGATGTTGATAAGTACGAATATACCGACACCTAGCGAAGTTCAATTAATTTTCAGGCTTAGGCAAGATGAACACAATCCATGGGAGATGATCTCCTCAGTGGAGCTGTGAGAGACCTGGAGACTTAAGGTCGCCTAGGGAGTAATATGAAAGCCATTAGTATAACGAATGAAAATGAGACAAACATGAGGCCTGTCATTCTGCTTATGCTTCTTTCCCGAGAGGACTAGATGTCAGGCATCTTGATTCGAACTGCTGCCAAAATCTACTTCGATTCGGGCCTTGTGTCGACAGTGTTATCGTAGCGTCAAACTACCAAGCTATCGAGTACTTCGTACTCGATATGATTATTATTATCTTGAAGTAAAAACTCGGAGGCTAGAGGCCGAGATGCAGGGCAGATCAGGTGGTTGATGGACAGGCAACTTGCTGGAGTCGGATTAGGTTGGATGCGTGGAATCAACAGTCCGCCGAAGCCACGTGAATTAGTGAACTTGATTAGCTGGGCAAGAGCTAGCAAGTCTGCAACTACTTGGGTATCAGTCCGACTAAGAAGGCTATTGCAACATATCCTTGACTGCATGGTCGTATTCGCTGCTCCAAAGCAAAACCCGAAACGATTTTCGAGATGGACGCAAAAAGACCGAGGTGCCATCAGGGCAGCAACTCTCGTCTGGGGTAAGGGAGGCCAAGAAAGCATTCGACCCAATTCAGCATCAAGTCCTCAGCCATCCCGTAAGCTAATCGCTGTTGACCCCAGGGCTAAGGCGCCCAAGCTTGGAGTATCCTTGTCGAGAGGGGTCGATACGGCGGGTGCAACATCAGCACTTTAGCGAGAAGACAGTCACCCAGAAAGTCATGAGATGTCGAGAAGTAATCATGTCGTGCCTCGACAGTTGCCTTGCCCGGCACCTCGCGGCACAAGGTGGCGGAGGCTGAGCTGAGCCAACATGAGAATGCGAACACGAAACTCGAAGCAAGCGTAATGGGTATTCGAGATGATGATGCGGCATATTATCTAACCTTGTACGCCGAACGGGGTTATTCCTTTCTGCGGGGTATGACGAGGAATAAAACTGTACAGGGTTATTTTATACGCTAGAAGGATGCCCAGCTGTGGAGAAGATTCTTACTCGTACATTCGACTTGGAACCTGCAGACGAGATTGGAAACCGTCCTTTTTTCCCAACCGGCAACCGGCTGGTCAATACCAAACTCCCAGTGATGAACGAGATCGGCATTTGTGACTTGACGCAGTACCTTTGTGCGACGACAGCGGAACAATTGTCTGTAAGCAGGTCCATGCCGGTTCGATCAATATCAACTGCATAATTACTCGTACAAGCGACGAAGAATATCTGCGGTTACTGGGATGACGGAAACGTAATCGTCAAACGAACCACCTCCAGAGAACACTGACTTTGTTCACAGATCGCCTATTGGACGGATTGACATTGGCAATCGACCTCCAGAAAGTCAGTAAGCTCATTCAAAATCAACCTTTTGGGAAATCCGGGCGAACCGAGCTCAACTGTCAGTCAACATCGTCATCTATTGGGCGCTTGGGCCGGTGCCGAGAGGCAAGATAGATTTACAAGAAAATTAGAGTCTTCTCTGAGATGGATCAATCAATGTGCTAGTTAGGACGGCTTAGACGATATGTTGGACTGCTTCTCAACTGTCACAAGGCTCCCTAGAAGGATGGGTGGTCGGTCTTTGTTCATCCTGTGCCACCGAACAATCCTAATCCTGACCACCCTCGGCGTCGCTCCACCCGAGTTTCTCGCACAATTGCAGCTCGCGAACAAATCACCTTTCACCGTGTGGTGTTACATGCTCTCTAGGCAATAGCCTTCAACAACCCTGGGCAGTCCTTCCTGCATCTACTCGGTACTACTACTGAGTATTGCCAACCAAATCTGTCACATTTTATTACTCAATCTGACTGGTTCGTATGCGCCCCTCCCGACTTTACCTTTTTCTCCGCAATGGCGGAACAGGACCCTGATCCATTGTCTCCATGACCTTATGCCAACGAACAATAAAGCTCCAGCCTCCTCCCAATTGCGGCTGACACCATGCCACCTCAAGTTACTTCGTTCACGCCCTTCTGGCTTCATCAACACTCAAACATCAGGTATTATGGCTGATAAACACGAATCTCCAGCTTCTACACCCCCAACGACCCATGTCGAGGGTGTGCAACCACATCACTACCGTCCCAGTACGGTCGACGGCCAACCCGCGTATGCCGAGCATGGTGCTCTAGTCGACCATAAAGGTCCGCAGGAAGAACTTGTTCAGTCAGAGCCTGATCTCTTGTGGAGCAGAATCCGCCATTACATGAGAGAGCCTTTCTCCGAATTCTTTGGTGTCTTCATACTCATTCTCTTTGGCGATGGGGTAGTGGCTCAGGTCGTCCTATCTGGCGGGAAGAAAGGTGACTATCAGTCTATCTCTTGGGGCTGGGGGTAAGTTAATATGTGTCATAGTCTACCTCAAATTACTGACGTTTTCAGATTGGGTGTCATGCTCGGCGTTTATTCCAGTGGTATATCCGGTGCCCATATCAACCCAGCTGTTACCTTTGCAAATTGCGTCTTTCGAAAGTTTCCATGGCGCAAGTTCTTCCCTTATATGATCGCTCAAATACTGGGAGCAATGTGCGCTTCGGCCATCGTCTACGCGAATTACAAATCGGCAATTGATGTCTTCGAAGGTGGTGCTGATATTAGGACAGTCCCTGGATATTCAGAGACAGCTACCGCCGGTATCTTCTGCACTTATCCTGCTCCATTCATGACCAAAACGGGCCAGTTCTTCTCTGAATTTATCGCCAGCACGATCCTCATGTTCTTGATTTATGCTCTCAAGGATGATGGTAACATTGGAGCCGGGCCGTTGATCCCTCTTTGCTTGTTCTTCGTTATCTTCGGCATTGGTGCGTGTTTCGGTTGGGAAACCGGTTATGCCATTAATCTTGCCCGTGACTTCGGCCCAAGATTGGTGTCGTACATGATCGGTTATGGCACCAATGTATGGAAAGCAGGAGACTATTATTTCTGGGTAAGTACGACCCTTGAGATCATAGGACAAGATACTTATGGTCTTCTAGGTTCCCATGGTTGCCCCATTCTTTGGATGCACCTTCGGAGGCTTTCTCTATGATACATTCCTCTTTACAGGAGAATCTCCAATCAATACTCCAGGCATGGGTCTAATGAGGTTCACACAATTGAACAAGAAAACGTGGTCGAACACCTATCAATCCGCGGCTTGAGAAGACAATGCTATACACTAAAGCGGACGATCTTCTTTCACCTTTCTTCTCGGATGCTTGCGGACAAACTTGGTCCATTAAAATGGTGGTTGAGGAAAAAATTATCAGACAAAGTGGAAGGACCTCGGAAAACATCTTATCAAGGAGAATCACCTTGGAGCTATGACGACTCTGATGCTGGTTCAAAAAATGAACATTACATAAGAATGATATCGCTGTTATGATGCAAAAGCACGTCATGTGAATCTGTAGATGTATCTAATCATTATTAGGTACTGTACCTCTACCTAGGTAGGTATGTATCTAAGCTATCAAGGCTAGTCATCGATATGACGTAATAGGCCACAAGCAGCACGAACACACAGCTTACCTCCACCCGCCCTCTTGCTGTAAGTTGGCCAAGCATTCTAAAACCACAGTAACACGTGGCCGCATCCATTCTAGCAGCCGTTCAATCGCTCTATCTCATTTTCGGTATCTCTTATACAGATACCTTCTCGGAGAGGTCTTTGTTCACCTGCACTAGAGCCGAACCGCACGTGATTGATGCCAAGCCCTAACTCGGCAAAATCTCCGAAGCGGTGCTATTCCGTATCTAGTTAGGCTGGAACGCGAACCGTGCTATCTAATTTCCCCAGCCTTCTCTAGAGTCTTTGTTACACCTCTCACGACCTCTAAACAACCCGTGCGCGTCCGCGCTACAAGGTCAGCCACGGCGGCAAGATCAACATTGAGTCATGGCGTTGCCGTCAGATGCTCATCACGCTTGGAGCACGAGTATGTGCGGCTCGATTGCGTGTCCATCTAGTAGTGAGTAAATGAGACAGCCACTCCGGGTATGCCCAACACATGCCCAACACTTGCGTCACTTCCTCGTCCATGCACAAGAGGAGGGCATCTCGACTCACATCTCCATCTCTACGTGAGTCTATAGCTACACCTTGATGTGGCAATATGTGGGACAAGTACTTCTTCGTATTCTCAATCCCAACCACAAACGTGGCGTTGCTACTAAGACCCTGAGCGACTAGAGCCTCAAGGGTGTGCTCAGGTACCCACTAAAAACATCGACAGCGTGACGCCTCTACCGAACAGGCCGATCGAGATAGGATGGAAATAGCCCGAGACAAGATTGCCGACCCAAATTGTGGGGGGTGTTCATCTGGCGCGAACCATCGCCATGATTGAGTTTTCGGGGCATTTTCCAGCCTCAGGCCTTAGGAGTTACACCAGAGCGACCGCAAGGCCAGCAAGCTTAGGTCTCTACGATGTCTGAGCACGACCAACCACAGCGTTGCTGAGACCACCTTGTGTCCACTACATTGTCCCGAGGCTTGTCTCCCAGCATGCGCATTTTCTTTTAACTCATTGTTCTCTCCAGCCTTTCTATATCGACACAATGAATACAGCATATATGAATACGGGTTACAATCCCAAGTATCACAATGGCGTGCCTCATAGAGTTCTCCCTCAGTCACCTCTTCGATCCCAACATACCTCCCAAATTACCATCAAAAGCATTCCAAAATGCGGATCGCAATTGCTTCCCTCTCACTTTTAGTACCAACAACACTGGCTGCTTATGCCCTTCAAGATGATTACGCCGGGTCAGCATTCGCCGGAATGTTTGATTTCTTCACAGATAACGATCCTACAAATGGTTACGTCAATTATGTCTCCCAATCAGAAGCTCAAAATTCAGGACTGTACCAAATCCAAAATGGTGCTGTCTATATGGGTGTTGACTCCACGAATACTGCTTCCGGTCGTGGTCGCAACAGCATACGTATCAGCAGCAAAAAATCATACAATCACGGTCTCTTCATTATCGACCTTGCACACATGCCCGCAGGTGCCTGTGGTACGTGGCCAGCATTCTGGCTACTGGGACCTGACTGGCCGAACAATGGCGAAGTTGACATAATCGAAGGAGTCAACTCCCAATCGGCTAACAATATGGCTCTGCATACCGATGCTGGCTGTAGTATTACCCATACGGGCGCCTTCAGTGGTGATCTCATGACTGACAACTGCGACGTTAATGCTCCAGGACAGGGCAACAACGTTGGATGTTCGATTCACAGTGGCGATTCAAGGAGCTTCGGAAATGGTTTCAATTCCAATGGTGGCGGAGTCTATGCCACGGAATGGACAAGTGAAGCAATCAACATTTGGTTCTTCCCTCGAGGAGCTATTCCCTCGGATCTCACCAGCGGTACACCTGACCCATCAAACTGGGGACAGCCCTCAGGCCAATTCACCGGCGCCTGTGATATCGACGAGAAATTCAAGGATCAAAAGATGATCTTCGATGTCACATTCTGTGGTGACTGGGCTGGCAACGTCTGGTCAACAGATGCGACTTGTGCCCCTAAAGCATCCACCTGTCAATCCTTCGTTCAGAACAATCCTGCTGCTTTCAAAGATACCTACTGGCTCGTCAACAGCCTAAAGGTCTTTTCTCAAAATGGTGCAGCGCCCGCTCCAGCTCCCACTCAGTCTCAACCTGGTGCTCCGGGTGTGACCACAGCGACTGCACTTCCCACGACCGCTACGGCCGCCATTCCAACGACCTTTGCAACCGTCACCCAATCGATCCCTACTGGAGCTACAGCAACAGCCACTGTTACATACCCTACAAATGCTCCTGCCAACACCATCGCACCCACGAACACCGTTCCTGCCCCTGCCCCACCCGCGAATACTCCTGCTTCTCCCATTGTTCCCGCTCCCACCGATGCTCCAGCACCCAACAATGGAGGCGGTAACGGTGGTTGGGGTGGTAATGGAGGCGGCAACAATAATGGAGGAGCTGGCTGGGGCGGCTATGGTGGCGGTGGTGGCAGACCAGGAGGCGGTCGTGGTGGTCGAGGAGGACAATGATCGTCACTGATGTGATGGTTATCAACTCTCGGCCCCTTTTCGATTCTTTTCCACTGTCACCAATACCTGTACAGCATATTTTCCCTTTTGATACTTTCGACAGCGACGACACCATTTGACATTTATTTGCATTACGCCAAAGAGCACACCATTTTATCATCACCAAATTTACGACATATCAGGAACGACAGAACCAGGACTTACGAATTTGTACACATTTCATCAACCCTTGGATATAAATTGCGCAGCGACATAGAGGAAGGCACGGACTTGCCATTACATTTGAATTTGTATCATATGAGCATGGATATATAATAGATGGACATGAGTGCGTTACTAGGTCTCAACATGGGCGGCCACGGGTGAGATACTTACAATATCTCCGCAAATTTGGGGGAATTTTGGCATATATAGACTACCCACCTAGGGAATTAGTAAGGTACCAGCGTACCTAGACCAAAGATACAATGGATCTGAACCATTGTTCTGCATAATGGAAACATCCAAACACAAACATGTTCTACGCTTTCATTTCGAGCAACCTTCACGTCTTCTTGGACGGCATGTAATAAACCGGGAACCAAAACATGAGTAAAGGTAATTGAAAACCTGTTACGGCAAAGCGATGCAAGTGGTGGAACTCTCCGATCAACTAACCCTGTCTACAACCCAAAATCTTGTTCCTTAGCGCACATGCACTGCATGAGAATGTCATCCTCTCCCCGTATCTCGATCGATACGTAATCTCCACGGAGTCGAGCCTAACAATGTTTATGCAATTTTCGTGCGGTCCACGAAACTAGCTACTAAGTACTCTGTGAGGGCAAAGCCATGGCCTATTGTTACTGCCCAGAGGCTTTATCTTTGTTTCTGCTCATCCAGACCTTGCATTTGTGTGTCGCGGGCCGAGGTACGAGGTAGAAGGAGGAGTGAATCATCATGGATGCATCAAAAAGTCGAATGACATTAAAATTAGATTTCTAGTAAAGTGCCGCTCCTGGGACAGCGTGAGGCAGCAGGTCTAGTGCCGTTTCCCCATTTACCCTTCAGTATCGTACCGAAGAAACCGAATAAGTCTGAGCGGTGCAGTTCCTCCATATGCTCCTGAAACTCCTCAAGATCATTTTGGATATTCGGGGACTAAGGACCCTCATACATGTCTGGTCGAAGGTAGACAAGTCATCCTAAGACTACCATTCCCAAAAGATGCAGATGGGTGCGACAAAGTACACGTTTCCAAATCGGCCCAGTATTGCGTGAACCATATGAGGCATCGTGGCGTTTAAGAGACACACACTCCACCAACCTCTGCGCTCCAGAGTCCGGAGTTGAACTCGGAGAAGACTGTCTTGATCTGCCATCCGGCAGTGGTGGCGTTCAGGTTGGAGGCCTTGAGGATGTTGATACCCTTGATAGGCGTCTGGGGACCTAGGGTGGCGGCCCATCGGAAAGCAATGGTGTCACAGGTGACGGCATCGATGGCCAAGACGGAGAATCCGATGGCTGGCTGGGTTCCCTGGCCGCCGATGAATGCCTGCTTGGAGGGGAAGGTGGTCGAGCCCAAGGGGATGCCGGCCAGGAAGTTGATCGAGTCCGAGGTGTCGGTGAAGTCGGAGGCGAGGAGCTTGTTGGCCACGTTGACGTCAAACGCGGTCAGGAGAGAGCTGAAGCCGCTGACCAGGTTGCTGGCGGTGGTGCTGGTCAGGCAGTTGACGGGAGCACCTGGAGGGGGTGCTGGGCCGCCAGGGGGTGGTGGTGGAGGGGGGTTGTTTGGCTTTGGAGGCCCTGGTTGAGGAACGGCGGCGGCGACGCTGGCCAAAGCCGCAACGATGATGGTGCTGGCAGAGAACTTCATTTTTGGATTTGTGTATGAAGGGGTGTTGATGAATGGGTCAACGAGTGACTAGGGTGAGATTTGCAAGAAAGTGAGCAAAGCGTGTTTCTAAAGAGTGACTAGGGGTCGGAGCCTAATTGATGAAGTAAGTGCTTGGGAGGGAAGAGATCTCATCGACATCCGGCTCCTACACAATTACTTATACTCACCCTTCGTCACGGAGCGTGAGGTAGCCGTATGGTGTCGGTAAACATATTTACCACGTCCACGTCCACAAGAATCCAAATGAAGAACACATACGAATGTGGAAATGAGCGACCGTCAGCTTGCAAGCTGGGTTATCGGGGATATTGTTTTGAGTTCGTATCCGACGTGGCCGCCAGAGGCCCAGTTGGCCGCTCCGGTCTGGTTCCTTTGCCCTTGTCCATAACGAGGAATGTACAGTGGACATGAAGCAACATAACTAGTCATCTCACAGGAAGAGTTTTTCTAGTGATGTTGGATCTCGTGATATCAAATAGTCCGAGTTCTAAATTCGGATTAGCATGCAAATTGTCTTTCGTTTAAGCCTTTTTCTGGCTGCCCCTGGATTTTTGGCGCCTTCTGTGGTTGGCTCATTCGACCATTGTTATGCGAGGCTGATGGTGGTGGAAATCACGGACGTTCTCCCCTTTGCATTTTCTCCGCTCGAAAACAGATGGCATTGAACCACAATAATAACGTGGGTTTGGAAGGGATCATGCGGAGATTATCAGTACGAAGTAATACTGATTACTCCTTGCATCTCGTTCGGAATTTCGGATGCACTCCACAGTCAAGTTTCTGTCATATTTGCACGCACGGGAGTGCGAGTTCCAGACTCTCAGAACGTCTAAATCCTGACAGCGTGGAAACAGCCGAAAAGACGCGCATCGTTAGAAATATCGTGTACGAGGTGAGAGATCTCCACAAATATAAGCATCCCAAATCAATCAAAGGCTTGTTGCATAAGCTTCTTCAATTCAGTCCACAAGCACTTCTCAACGACGAGCCAGAAAGCCAAAAGTTCCAGACACTTAAATTTTGGGTACCGGTAAAACGAGACTATTATTGAATAAGGCGAGCTGGAAGCTGGAGCGGGCCCTTTGGTCCATGTCAGCCCCCTTAGCGAGCAGGATCCGATGCCTTCTTACTACTGCTTTGGCAAGTGTTTCTGTACCTGCGGTTTGGAATTCGTATTGTAAGTAGTATACGGATACATCCATCGAAACAGCGGACGTCCGTGAAATATTACCAATAGCTCCAATGACAATAATAATACTGCTTTGCCGTCGAGCGTTCGAGTAAGGCCCTGAGTTCCTAACCTCAAAGCTCAATTCTCAGCTCCGCCACCCCGTCTCGGTTATCGCCTGCTGGAGCATGCACGGATCGCCAATCGTGAGTTCCAGGCACTGGTTTTCGCCTATTTTCAATGACCATCTACCCTATTCTCATTGCGCAAGATTCGGCCAACTCCGTAAGTGTACGTGGTGGGTGCGTGGTATCTATCAACGCTCAACTCCAAGTCGTAAAGCTGCTCGTGGTTTTGTTTCCATGATGTCTCACTCAAGCAACGACCCATCAGCTTTCACGTAAAGTTCAGCACAGTGCACCACACGTGGCGCTGCGCACATTAAAATTGCATTCGAAAAGTACCAATGTAACCTAATATATGTTGAACGAAGTTTCTTAGAACCTAGCTGGTACTCCATTTTTCCATTGCGCTGTAAGGTCAAGCCGCAGAGCATATAGCTAGTCAAATGATGATAAAGTCCAGAGAGCAAGGGAGAAGTCGCCGAGCATTATTTCTCATGAAGATTGACAGTTCTGTGCTCACACATCAAATTATCTTTCGAACAAAACATACAGATTTTCGTGATACCATTAGAAATTTTCATAAAGAAGGAAATTGAGAGTCCGGCGTCAAAAGAAGGAAGATAAATTATTCCCATATCACCTCTCCCCCACAAGCTGAAGGAGCTCTTTTGCCTCCATCACAGCCTGGCATTCCGGTGCCGCGGTCTAAATCTTCTGCGAGTAGGTGGTGGGATTGTTGTCGTCCCGTTAGTGGGAGCATCGCCTGATTCTGGGGCTGGTGCATCGTTCTCGGTCGGTTCTACAGTCTCATCACCTGTGGTAGTCTGCTTCGTGGAGGTGCCGGTGGAAGTTGTGGAGTCGTCGTTGCCTTCATCCGAAGGAATCGTCTCGTTTTGAGGCGGCTGAGCAACAGCAGGGGCAGTCAAGTTATATGTAGGAGGGGCGACGACAGGGTAGGTCAGGTTGGCTGGAGGGAACGAGAAGTTACCGTTCGCAGGTGGCCCGCCAAAGGTAATGTTTGAGGGAGGCCCTGCGAATGTGCCATTGGAGAACGCCCATGTCCCGTTGCTACCCCCTAGACGAAAATTGTCAAGATCCAGAATAGGTGACTCGGTTTCAGCACCGTTGCAGCTGAATGCCCAGGAGAATGTCGATGTAAATTCCTTGATCTTGAATTCGTTTCCAGTTTTAGTCCACTCGGTCGCGGAGTCAAGTCCGGACACAACTTGCAGCACACCTTCATCGTCAGACACAGTCAATGAACATTCGGCTGGGGTGTCTCCAGACGCTGGGACTCTGTAATCAAATGAATACCAATAGCTTCCGTTTGCTGCAGCTGTATAGAGAGTCTGTGAAAGTGTAGCAATATCAGACGATGAACTTGGATGCAGACGAGCAAATCCCTTGCCGTCTGAAGCAAGATCTGGAGACGTAGTATCACGCTTCTTCATCTTTCTCTTTATCGTTGGAGCTGCCATTCCTCCCCACACGATATCTCCTTCAACTATGGCCCAGCCACCTAAAGAGCACTCGAATGAAGGATTCTTCAAGATTTGAGATGGCGGTGTGGGGTCACAACCATTTTCGGCCCACGAGGAATTACTGCTTGGATAAGAAGCATTGCTAGATGGGAATGAAGGGAAAGACGAGTTGCCTTGAGTGCCGTTGTGTGGGAACGATGGAAATGAAGAATTGCCTTGGGTGCCATTATAGGGGAATGATGGGAACGAAGTGTTGCCATGCGCATTGTAGGCTGGACCGGTAGTTGTTGGATCGGCGGAACTCATGGTGGTGGTGGTAGTCAGAGATACGGTGCTGGTAGTAGTCGTTTCTACAACTGCAGCGCTGGTTGTAGTTTCATTGTATGGCCAATAGTGAGTGCTGTTTCCCGGAAGCGTGATATTCCAATCTGTCCAGTGCGTTCCATTGGGAAAAGAGCCATTATAAGAAGGATACGTGGAATAAGCACTGGTGGTTACATAGAGTGAAGTAGTGCTTGTCTCAGTTGGATCCACGAGTAAAGAAGTGATAGTTGTTGTAGCAGTCTCACTCGTGGTGGTTGAATTATAGATCCAATCATACCAGTGAGTGCCGTTTGGTAAAGTACCGTTGAAGGGGAGCGTGATGTTCCAGTCTGTCCAATGTGTATTGTTAGGAAAAGTTCCATTGAAGCCTGTTGGATATGGATACACGGCACTGGTTGTAACGTGGGCGCTCGTAGTGGTGGTGGTGGTGGTAACGGGGTCCACAAACAACGGAGATGTAGTTGTACTGATCGAGGAGCTTGCCGTGTCGTTGTGAACCCAATCTTGCCAGTGAGTCCCGTTGGGTAATGTTACATTCCAGTCAGTCCAGTGAGTTCCGTTAGGAAAAGAACCATTGTATGGGATGCCACTGGGATATGCACTAGTGGTCGTGATATATGCATACGTGGTAGTGCTTGTGGTAAGAGAAGTGGGATCTACAAACAGTGTAGATGTAGTTGTACTGACTGAGGAGCTTGTTGTGTCATTATAAAGCCAGTCTTGCCAGTGAGTTCCATTTGTCACATTCCAATCAGTCCAGTGAGTATGATTTGAAAAGGTCCCATTGAAGGGGTACCCTGAGTAAGCAGTCGTAGAAGTTGCATAATCACTTGTGGTAGTAGTGGCTGGGTCAACAAACAAGGTCGATGTAGTTGTACTCAAAGGTGACGTCTCATTGTAAAGCCAGTCATACCAGTGTGTGCCGTTAGGTAGAGTTCCATTCCAGTGAGTCCCGTTCCACAACGTACCATTCCAGGGGTTTGTGGCTGGATACGTAACTGTAGTCAAATAAGCACTGGTCGTGGTGGTTGTCTCAGGATCTATGAACAACGTTGAAGTGGTGGTCGTGGTCAGCGAACTGGTTGTCTCGTTGAAAATCCAGTCGTACCAGTGTGTGCCGTTCCACAACGACCCATTGAACGAGACGGTGGGATACACACTGCTCGTTATAATGTAAGCTTGGCTAGACGTCGTAGTAGTCAAAGGATCGACTATCAATGTCGAGGTCGTGGTTTTAGTTGTGATCAAGGCGCTCGTTGTTTCATTGTACAGCCAGTCGTACCAATGAGTGCCGTTCGGTAGTGTCCCATTCCATAGATGTGTTCCATTAAAGGGAGGTGCTGGCGGATGTGTAGCTGTTGTAGTCGAAGAAGCACTAGAAGACGTCGTGGTAGTTTCCGGATCAACATCCAAAGTCGAGGTGGTGGTTGAGGTTACAGAGCTCGAAGAGCTGTTGTAGAGCCAGTCAAACCAATGAGTACCATTCGGCAATGTTCCGTTCCACGGGTGACCTGCATTGTAGGGAAAATCTGATGGGTAAGCAATACTTGTTGTCGAAGTACTCGAAGTTGTTGTAGTTGCCGGATCAACGGGCAAGGTGGAAGTCGTGGTGGTGGTCAATGCGCTTGTCGACTGATTGTACAGCCAATCATACCAATGCGTAACGTTGGGCAAAGTGCCGTTCCAAGTGTGAGATCCATTGTACGTGGGGTTGACCGCGTGGCCGCTTGTCGTTGCCGCCAACGAGGAAGTGGTGGAAATGACGAAGGGGGTTGTGCTCGAAGTTGTGGCTGGATCAACCGATGAGAGAGCGATTGTCATGTCATGTAGCCATGAATGACCAGGTGTTGAACGTGTAACAGCCTCAGAGCTTAACGAACTGGTTGAGCCATGACCAATGGGATCGATCAATGAAGAGCTTGAACTTTGAGGTTTTGTCGATGAAGTTTCATGAACAGGTTGAGTGGAAGCTCCGGTTCCCCATCTCGTTTTTGTTGTCGTCTCACTAACATGAATCGAGCTCGAACTCTTCGAGGTAGTTGACGATGTTGACGATCCGATGATGGAGGTGCTGATCCTCGGACCACTTCCATGCCAAGGATGATGGTGTTCCCATGAGCCTTTGTCACCCGCACCTTGGACACCCATGGTTGTTGAAGCAGATGCAGAACTGCTGCTCGGGTCTTGGCCACGTTTTTCACCAGCCCACGTGCATGTGAAGCTGTGAGAGATTGTCCAATTGGTTTTTCCAACTGTGCTCCCGGACTCTGTAGCCCATTCATGGCCGATGGCATCACTGTAAACATCACAATATTGACCTTGGTTCACGCCATTCTTCAAGACAATATAAGTATTGAAGAAGTTGCATCCTAAGATTTCACATTCCTTCGAGCAAGAAGCCGTGTCAAAGGGACCATGGAAGATTTTGGAATCGAGGAAATAATTGGACCCTGAAGGTGGTCGAATGGCTTGGTTGCCCACGTACGAGGGAACATCGAACCCATCTGGAGTACTCAAGGTGGTGTTCGTATATCCATTCAGACCTGCGATGAGAGCGTTTGCACTGGCTGAATCGGGAGCAGCAAAAGCACCGGCCCAGAAAGCAACCTTGATGACAACCTCAGAACCCTCCTCTTTCTCAAAGTATATCTGAAACGATGAACATGCTTCCAGGGAGTCGCAGAGGAGAGCACCGATGGAAGCATCATACTCTTCAAGCACAGCCACTCCGAGGAACCCATCACCTGCTGTCCATATATGAGCATCGGTGATCTGCTGCGAATAGCCAGCTGGAGCTACGGCGGAAACAGCAGTATCGGAGAAAGTTTTATCGTTGGACCATGAGGCGGCGGCTGGATCGCTACAGGAACAGGTTGGCTCAACATTTCTTTGCAACAAGTTTCCTTTCATTGGTATATAAGCATCCCATTTTCCCAAAGACCCCAAAACCAAATTAACGAATAGAAAAAGGTGAAAGAATGGCGGCATATTGTATGGAGCAATAGCCCTGTAGAGAGCGGCTGTGCAAAGAAAAAAACGAATGGACGCGTTCGAAGACGCAAGGAGAGCTTATGGAAAACAGGAAGAGAAGCCAAAAAAGTGTCCTACCTGGGTACTTACGCAGAATATCTGATGAAGCAAGCTCTGGCTTCGTAACGGCTGCGGCATGGGCCAGCGTACAAGGGTCATGGCTGTAGGAGAATCAAATGTGTGCTCCAAGCCTGCTGCTGCACGCAATGCTGCGGGATTCTCTGAATCTGGAATCTGGCAAGTCCGAAGCTGATGATGCAGCCACACTGTTTTGCTCATTCGAGAGGGAGGGGGGCTTTGAGAGCATCTGATTGAGCAGACCCTGGTACATACGAGAGATGATAGTGGAAGCTGGAGGAGACGACTACCTGTTTCAGTCCCAGAAGGAATCCGCAGCCAGAGAGCCAAAGCAATACGGATAAGTTGCGGTCGAAATGTAAGCAACCAGGTTTAGTTGCGCTTTCTATCCAGACGAGTTCCTGGCGCCATGACGGCTCAGAAGGTCGCAATTCAGCCACGATGCACGACGATGGTAACTCTGTAAGAAGATGAGGTTGAAATTAAAGGAGAAGGAAGTGAAGTCTAAGCCCAAAGAGGACTAGTTGATCTACTAACCCTGATATTGGTTCTTGGCAGCATGTGGCTTGGTGAAGAGATTAGAACTTCCTGGGGGTTGCCACCATAAAACATCTCAAAGTTGCATCGAGGTCTAAATGCAGAGGGTTTCAACGCGGGGTTCCCATCAAGTTCGTCCCGCGTGTACTGTTTGTATCTACTCGTGTCACAGTGTGTCATCAGAACTCAAGCTGGATCTCACAAGAACTCCTGTTCATGCCGCATCTCTCGTAGGAATCAGAGGACTGCGGCCCGCAAGACCGAGATTCCTGTGTACAAGTACTTCAAGATGATCGATCATAATGGCGAGCCGCTCATTTAGCACTCGACCAAGACTCTGGAGGTGGTCGGAATCATCCCACTGAGACACATGCCGTCTCTGACTCGTGTTCACCCGGGCTGTTCGGTAACACATTCTTGGCGGTCAATCATCCGACAAACCTTATCTTGGAAGCGAGAACCCACCTGGCCAGAATCGGAATATCGATATAGGGGATGCACATTTGCTCATCAAATATCGATCGAATACGGAGTAGTGGCACCATTCTGCGCGCTTGGAGCCTATTACGCCTGTTTTCCAGCGATCTCTTGGTTGCACAACTGAACACGGATGAAAATCCCGCCAAATGTCTCCTCCTTGAGATCTTGTTTTTGATCCACAGAGTCGCCACAACGGGCAGCCAACTGAGGGAAGGTTCGGAGATGCCTAGGGTACATAAAATGCACCAAGGTGGTCTGTGTGCACAGGAAAGATTAAGTTGCAGCAACTTGGAGGGATGAGATATTTTGATCATGAAATGCCCATTTTCCAAACAAGAGACACGGCTGATTGATCAGCTGTTGATGTCAAATGAACTGCAATTCTAGTTTCACCTGAATTGGTGGCGATTGCAATGGGCGAGCATCTCCAGAAATTCCGAAAGCCACGATACACACCAAATTTGCCCTGTAGCATGGGATGGCTCCCAGTTTGGAAGATACTCGAAACGCTTTCGTATTCCAACAGAATTTTCCTTTCCTTGTTGACTACCTAGGTACGGAGGTATGCAATGGTGTAGTGATCCTTGTCAAGTGGCAGAAATACAAGCGTCACTACATTCATTGCACGCCATCGCAGGCAGGACTATCGACCTTGGCTGTGGAAATCCAAAAGTCCAGATTACGAGGTGAAATACGAGGAATAATAATGAGTTCTGCTCCAGATCTCTCAACCTGTAAACTTTTCACCAGAAAAATTTTGAGAGGGTGTACGAGGTATTTGCCTGTCTCGAGCGCATTTGAGAGCGTGCGAGACAAAATCTCATAGGAGATCGTGGAATGCCTGCAAGCATTTCCTACCTGGGTGTTGAGAAACACATGTGCTGGACTTGTACGATCCTCATCAAAAGCCCACCAATCTAGACTTTGTCGATGCATCTCTCTGGGCCTGGGTCCTTGTTCTGGTCGATTGTGCTCCCTTGCGTTGTAATCGTGGCTACTGATGAAATCTCACAAAGCACCTACTAGTAGGTACATGGGTAGGTGCCTAGGTAGGTAGCATTTGGAGTAAAAGCGTGGTAATGTGGCCTAACGATGGATCTGTCTACCACTCCCCATTTATAGTATTTGATGCCGTTGCTGTAGATTTATACCGTCCAAACGGCTTTGACAGATTGACAGTGACAACTTACGACTGTGTGACAGGGTATCGCACGGAGGTGAACGCGTCTGTACGACTCGTCAAAACTGGGATGCTGAGTCAGACGCGATCTGGCCTTGGCGGGTTTGGGAGGGACGCCCGAGTCAACAACTTGCGAGGTACTCGTACAACCAACATCATTCAACCGAGGCCCGAGCAACAAGACAATGACTTCCCCAGAACATCAGCCATTCTCCGCACTTGATGACAGGAACATCCGACGGGTCATCAGAAGATATCATGAATAGCTCCAAGAATATCATGAACTGCTCATCGAGGAGCACTCACCTCTGTCTTATCTGAATTTCTTGTTTGAATTTGACTCTGCTTGATCATAAGTACCAATCTGTCGTGCTTATTGCTGCTTGATCCAACAAGATGAACTTCGAATTACCGCCCGATGTCCAAGCTCATCTAAAACGCCTAGACACATTCATCAACGAGAAGATCATTCCCCTCCAACACAAAGATGACAATAATCGTTTCTTCGACCACAGACGGGAAGCCTCGCGGACGCAATGGGACAACCAAGGCCTTCCCACACACGACTGGGAAGTCTTACTAAGTCAAGCCCGGAAACTGGCTGACGAGGCGGGGTTCTGGCGCTTCTCATTCCCTACCGAGTTTGGCGGTGCTGGAAGCACCGAGCAGAATCTCTACATGTGTGCCATTCGGTACCATCTGGCATCACATCCAGTCTACGGCGGCGGCGTCAGCCTCGCCAACGACCTGCAGAACGAGCACAGTGTAGTCGGCAACAATCCCATCGTGATCATGCTGCAGCACTACGGCACACCCGAGCAACAGAAGACCTTCATCCCCGCGAGCATCAAGGGCGAATTCCGGTCCACGTTCGGGCTGACCGAAATCCACCATGGCAGCGACGCAACACACATGGACACGACCGCCAAAGCCATCACACTACCGAACGGCGAGCCGGGCTACGAAATCGACGGCAACAAGAAATGGCAGACCGGGATGCACAGTGCCACGCACTGCCTCGTGTTTGCTCGAACATCCGGCAAAGCAGGATCTCCACGTGGTATCACGGCCTTCATCGTCCCTCGCGAAACCCCAGGTGTGGAAGTCGCATCATACCAATGGACGCTGAACATGCCGACCGACCACGCGACCGTCCTATTCAAGAGCGTCAAGGTGCCAGCGTCTGCGATCCTCGGCCCGCTGGACAACGGCCTGGCCATCGCACAGACGTTCACGCACGAGAACCGCATCCGACAAGCGAGCTCCAGCTGCGGCGCGGCACGATATTGCATCGACCGCAGCGTCGAGTACGCCAACAGCCGCAAGGTGTTCGGCAAGGCGCTCTCGTCCAACCAGGCCATCCAGTGGCCGCTGGTGGAGCTCGCCACCCAGCAGGAAATGCTGCGCCTGCTGATCCTGCGCACCGCCGTCGAGATGGACCAGGTCACCGCCAAGGCCAAGGCCGCGGGGAAGGCCCCCTGGGTCGCCATCGAGCAGCAGCTCGGCCACAAGATCGGCATGTGTAATTACTATGCCAATCGCCTGTGTACCGAGGCTGCCGACCGTGCCATTCAGGTCCATGGCGGTGTCGGATATTCGAGGCATTATCCTTTCGAGCATATCTGGCGCCATTTCAGGAGGTATCGCATTACCGAGGGGAGCGAGGAGGTGCAGATTCGGAAGGTGGCGGCGTATCTGTTCGGGTACAAGACCACGGGAGAGGCTGGAGAGAAGAAAGGTACGGAGGAGGAGTTGAAGAAGAGTGAAGCAAAACTGTAAATTGTATGAGTCCTTGGTAGTGAATTATTTGTGTTCATTCAGGCAAACAGGGTGATAGTCTTGTTCTACCTGGTATGTCCTCTTCTAGCAGACGTCTTCGATCACCAATTTTTCTCCACTCGGCTCCCCAAGATCAAGCTTGAGGCGACGGCCAAAGACTTCCAACAACATCTCAAAGCAGACTTTACTAATCGCTGGATCGTATCGTCCCTTGCTCAACTCGTCTCTAATGAAAGCATGTTGTGCTCCGAAGACTTCATAGAACGAAAAGTCGACACCCTTTTCATGCAGTGTCTTCCGGATCAGATCCCTACCTTCGGGCGGCACATGGTTGTCACTCTTTCCGAAAATCATGACCAGCTCGCCTTTGATATCTCCAGCTCTTGTGAGACTGTCATCACTTTTTCCCTCTCCGAGACTATGACTGTGGATATCTGTTGCAAAATAGCAGACTGCAGCCTTGACCCGTGTGTCCAGTGCGCATCTGTATGCCAGATGTCCTCCCAGACACATGCCTGTGGCTCCCACTTTTCCGTTGCATGTCTTGAGACCTAGAAGGAGGGACACAGAGAGTTCCGCGTCTTCGTCATAGGCTACGACCTTCTTGGCTATTTTCCATTCGTTGCCTGCATCAGTTCCTGGAACATCGTAGGCAAGAGGTTCGGGGCCGGTGAATTCGTGGTAAGAGGAGGGTGCAGCCACAATGTATCCTTGTCCTGCGATCTGTCTCGCGAAGCGGGCTACGGGACCCGTCACTGAATGCGCAGCAGTTTTAGTCATTTTGCTCCTCGTGAAATCCCATCTGTGTTGTTTTGCAGACGACCAACATCTGCAGGTGTAAGGACACGGCAACATACCTTGGTAAATCTCAGAGAAGATCACAACTCCCGGGAACTTCGCGTTTGGGTACCCAGGGATTGTGGGATGGAACAGATAGATGCCTTTGAGGATAAATCATTGCTCAGCCTGGGTTACTGGTGTGTTTGGGCACACAGGAGGATCTCACGCATTGAGCCTTCTCCTGCGGCACTTGTGGGCACATCTTTGTGAGATTCTTGGATCAGCATCTTGATTGACTCTCGATGAGGTACGCAGGTGTTCTGCTAGTTAACTTCAAAGTGATTCGAGAGCAGGTAGAAGCAAATTGGATTGAAGGAAAGCGCAACCCCTCCAAATGAGGGGTGACTTCCGTCTTTTGAAATAAAATATCTCGACGCGAACGCGTTTCCTTTCTGGCTCTTCCTTTGTCATCATCCAACACTGACTCAGATTTCATCATGCCATCTCATGCCCTTCGAGAGATAGAGACCGTGTGACCGTGTGAACAACTGTTAATTATATTCTTCTGACCACCTTCAACCTTGCACCATGGAAAGAGGGTACTAGACCAAAGTCTCGTCAGTAAGATGAATTTAGCAATACTCGGATCGTTCTCCAAACTTCAGAATTTGAGCCACTGACCCACGTCCTTTGATTTAATTCTAACCCCAGCTATGGGACGTTCGCTTAAGCGCTGTTAGAAGAAAGCAGAAAAAACTAAGCAACAGGCCTTCGTGAGACATTTTGGGGCTCAACTGAGATTCTGGGACAGCGTCTAGCTGAAATAGCTGAATGATGCTCCAGTACAAACACCGGAGGAGCTTGTGTGGGTGAGAGGCCTGCGACATCTTGCCCTTGATTACTATCATCCGTGCTACTTCGACTTATTTAAGACCAGGAGGAGGAGTGTGAGGTTCCCATCATCTCACTTCCTTTATGCCACCATGAGCTGCGAGGTGGGCTTGCGGCTGGGCCGGGCATCGGCTGTGTACTCTTCCATCTCAAAGAATTCTCACCCTGGTTTACAAGAAAACCCCCTACAGAGAGCAACTCTTCTCCAAAGCCCATCTCAAGGATGAGAAAACAGTGATGAAAAGGAAGTGAAAGAGCCAAAAATTCCGCAAGGGAAGCGCCCGAGGGAAACTTCGACAAAGCCACCTTGAACCGCTGTGCAATGGTAAGATGTCAATGTGGCAAACTGGATACTTGATCTCAGTTGCCCTCGCAAGGTAAGTATGGAAGAGGGAAAAGAAAGTCGGGAGGAAGAGAATGTGAGGAGGAGGAGGAGGTACTTATAAGCATGGGAATTGGTGAGGGTTGATCTGGTGGAAGCCGAGCAAGGTAAGTCACTACCAGTGATCAAGCCAAAAGAGGCAGGTTTGGCTATTGACAGTGAAGTACTGTCGGCGATCAAGTCGGACTGATCTCGAGGCAGGAATGAAGAGTGAAGTAATCGGCTGCAAGGTTGAATTTTGCTGTGACTGACACACCGCAAGGCTGCGAGGCTCTGGGACAAGGCTGCTCATGACTATGCCAGTGTTCTTCCCGAATCCGACATGCACCTCAACCTCTTCTGTCTTGCCGTTTGCATCATTTCATACCTACCAAAGGTGGATGCGTCTGTAAGGTTTGTCTCCTGCGGATTCCTCACCAGTGGGTCACTTCATGCAACCCCTAGAAGCAGAGCACAGAACACAGAATCTTGAGGAAGGTCACACCCGAGGAATAGCATCAGAGGGTTGCAGAACAAACATAGCTCGGCCAGCATACACCTACCATATGAATTAATTCGCTGTAGTCATAATCAAGGCATTCAGCATTCTTGAGAGTCCATAAGCTAAGTTCTTTGACTTTTTGGCTCCATGTCATTGAGCAGAAGAAAGCGATGCGGTTGCCTCATGCTTGAGAGGAGGCAGAAATCAATAATTGACCAGAAGAATGAAAACGCAATTTGCCATACCCATACAATAAAGTCCCCCACTAGCCACAACGGACCACTCATAAGCGGAGGAAGCCAACCCAATTCATGAAAGACATGTGTGCATGGTGATGACCTAACCACAGAGTCAGTACCCTGCCACCCACCTGCCGGCAGAGTGCATAGCCGGCTGCAATTTGTATTTGCAAGCAATTCGACGCCCTTTAAATTACACGGGGATATGTACCTACTGTCGCTATCAACTAAGCCATCGTTAACTGGGACGAGTTGGTACTGGTCAGCCACGGCTTACTACAAGTGCCAACATGAGTGTTCTATCTCAATCTTACTCATACGGGACATCACCGTTCACATCAACCTCATTTTCGCAGCGCCTCCATATTCATCTTTTTGGAGGAGCACAGATACAACATTCACTTTCGCCCCTAATAAATTCCATTTTCTTCAAACACGCTGGCGCATCATGGACCTACGATCTCTGCGAGACTACCGACCCAGGCCGATTTCTAGATGCTGTCTACAGAAGTGATTTCATGGGTGCAAGTATAACCATGCCGAACAAGATCAAATTCATGTCTTCTGTTGATGTCATCACCGAAGAAGCTCGAGCAATCGGTGCCGTCAATACTGTCTTTGCTCGACTCAATGCATCTGGCAAGCGGATCCATGTCGGCACAAACACGGACTGTATCGGCATTCACAAGACTCTGACAACATGTCAACCCGATATCGCCCAGACCACAAAAGGTCAGCCAGCACTCGTTGTCGGTGCTGGAGGAGCATCCCGAAGTGCAATTTATGCACTGTGGACTTGGCTTCAGCCATCTGAGATATATATTGTGAACCGACTGAAGTCCGAAGTTGATGATCTCATCTCTGAAATGCAAAAGTCCACACCTGGAATTAAACTCAGGCACATCGAAATGGTCAACGAGGCGCGGAGTATTCCAACTCCGCAGGTCATCATTGGCACCGTTCCCAGCGAGCAGCCAAGAGACCCTGGGGAAGTCCTCGCTTGGGACATAACTCACGCTTTCCTCAGCCGAAATGCAAGCAAGGGTACTCTCCTGGATATGTGTTACCACCCTCTGCGAACGAGACTGTTAGATGTAGCTGAGCAGAAAGGCTGGAAAATCTTGTTTGGGAGTGAGGTTCTGGTCCACATAGTTGCAGCCCAAAGCACACTCTGGCTTGAGAGAGCGCCGAGTGCAGACGCGGTGCAAGAGGCTCTGATGGCAGTGCAGTCTCACTCAACATCTAGATCAGTAAAGAGTAATCGACTATAAACTTAGCGAGACAATCCAACTAACCCTCGATGGGTCTTGGACGCATTGAAGGGTTGGTGAATACCCACTACCCCGCACGACCATGAGTTCCTCGCACTCCCACGTTGATCGGTGCATTAATCAAAGGCCCGAGGCCTGGCATGCAGGATGACCAGAGATTTAGAGCCTTTCTTCCGAACCTCGTCCACAGACATATCAAGCTTCAGTAGAGATATGTCATTGACAGAGTTTAAGTAAGCCTAACAGCTGAAGTCCAAAGCCTGCCTTTTGAGATTAGGCACTACAATGTCTGGACGCATACTCTCCATTGCGCGACCAATATCATGGCCACCTGAAACCATCAAGAATGAATTTGGAATTGCTACTCTTTCCCTAGGCTACAGTAAGAAGCACAAGCTGGAACCACGACTGCGAGCAGCTGCGGAAGCAGGATACAAATGGATTGACCTATTTGACGAGTGCTGGGAGGCATATCTCGAGGAACACGGTCTGGATGGGAGTCGACTATGGGAAGATACTCCTGAGAATCTCGAAGTTGCTCAAAGGTTAGGAGACCTCGTGAAGTCGCTGGGTATGCGGGTCGCTTGCACACAGCCACTACGGAAGATCGAGGGTGTCAAAGATGCCCACGAACGCACTGCAACCCTCGAGCTAGTGGCAAAGCGCTTCCCATTCATGCGCGCTTTCGACACAGACTTGGTGTTCATGTGCGCCAGCATCCGCGCGGACGCCGGTGTTACCACCGACTTGAATGTCGTTGCACGAGACCTGGCCGAATTGGGCGACATGGCAGCATCATTCGCCCACACTGATGGTGGTCGTATGCTCAAAATAGGCTACGAGGGTCTCTCATGGGCAACACGTAACAACACATGGTCCACATCCTGGGAGGCAGTGCGTATGGCCAATCGACCAAATGTCGGGGTCGTGATCGATGCTTTCAATGTACTCGCCGTCGAGTGGGCGGACCCTTACAACTCTGCGCTTCACGGCCGCATATATTCCACTCTGGAGGAAGCGATTGAAGTCTTGTGTCTCTCCATGGCCTCACTCGTTAAGACTTTGCCTGCTGAGAAGATCTTTTTCTTCCAAGTCGGCGATGCTGCATGTGTCGACCCTCGCACTTTCCAACCACCTAAGGATCAGGACACGCCACCGCTGTTGCCCTGGTCTCGCGTTCATCGTCTTTTTCCTTTTGAGACTGCTCTGGGCGCTTATATGCCGGCGGAGCTGGTGGCCGCCGCTGTCCTCGCCACAGGTTACACGGGCCCCATGTCGCTGGAGATATTCAACAGCGCTTTTGATTCTCATAGAGAGACAGTGCCTGAGAAAAGTGCGACTAGGGGTATGGTCTCTTTGAAGAAGTTGAGTGAGGTAGTGAAGCAAGTGCCGCCGTTCTGGGACACTCCACAGCAAGTCGCCATCAAGGATCTAGTGCACATATACTCATCTAATCGCCAGTCCTAGCCACTTGGGTGGACAGCTAAGAACCCTAACGAGCAGTGCAAGGTAGAAAAAAGACCCTAACTTGACCTAACTAACCTAACTGATAACTGCAGATATCCCACAAAAATCTGGCGAAACTCGGCCAACTGTCTTGTCCTCATAAGTGTCTACAATCTGAAACATATGACTATCCTCGACCCTTCAACTTTCCACTAAATGAAATCTCTCTTCCACGCGCAATCATACCTTTCAGCATAAACTCCAATACTGCCCCAGCGGGCAGCCGCTCAATCCAAAGCTCAGGAGCGATTTTTACGACTCAAATCCTCCAACGACCGATCATGGGTCCCCCTATCTTACACAACAAACCACGCGCTATCCAAGTCGTGTTCATCTCTCCAGGACGACAACCTCGCTTCTCACCAAGCCACTGCGGTTTCAATACTGACCATGCCCGTAGATACACCTCCCATCTTCGCATCTACCTTGCTGCTTCCAAATTCTGCAAGGGCCTTGGCGTGCAAGAAGCCATAGTGCATCGAACTCAGGGTCGGTCAACGGGAAATGCGAATGATTTCTATCGCATCCACGGCATTCACCCCGCAGAAACAGCCAATGGCAAAGATTGAGGCTTCTTATATCCTTCAGTAAGTTCGGGTCGACACTAAGTGGGACATCACGCCGTTCTCCTCCAGAGTTGAATGAAGCAGCGGCCAACTTTCTCGCTTGCTGCGGCGTCATCTCAATCTTGAACTTCTTCGAAGGTTGAGATGGTACATTGCTCGATTTCAGACCGCAGAACACAGAAGGAAAACTTGTTGTCCTGAGATTCAATTGTTGGAAGCCGAAAGCGACAGAGTCCCCTTCGATCAAGGTCACCCGCTCGACTCGCGAGTCTTGAATCAGGTTTTCCAGAAAGGTTACATAACCTCCATCATGGCAACAAGCCAGAAAAATACGCTTGCACTGTGGCATGTCGAGATAAAACCTGACGTTTTCTGCAACAGGTCACCCAGGTATTTAGCAACCATTAAAGAAATACGATGTCTCGATCTGGGCATTGGAAACATACCTCTCACTTTCTGGTCTGCTCTCTCCTTGCCATATCCCACATCAATGAAATCAAAGAATGTCGATCGTTTGTTAAAATTCGCGACAAAGTGCCGGAGCTGCGACTCTGAACGAATTCTTCCGTTTGCTGTGAGTGTGGATACCAACTTATCCAGTCCAGCAAACGCTTTGACGATAATCACAAAATCATCTGAGTCTTCTGGAAAAGTACGTAGATACTCGCGGACTTTCTTTTGCAATTCATCTGCGGCAAACTCTCCGCCCTGTTCAAGCAGTGTGGGATGAAACTAATGCTCAAATTATCTGGCCTTGCAGTCAGTTCTCGGGGTTTGAAACTCTTACCATATATGGATCTCCATCCGCATCAATAACCACAACGACGAACGAACGCTTTTCCTGGCATCGGGTCAGATGTGTAAGTTCTTGCCCAGGGTATCTATGTACCGCTGCTTTGACCTGTTTCTCGAGGTTCTGGATTTGTTGCTGATAATAAGATTTCATCAACACCTCGACCTCGCAATCCTCCTCGGCTTTCTTCAACTTCGCCACAACTTCTCGTAACTGAGTTAAAATATCCTGGGTTCCCATTAAAATGCGTTGAATCGTCAGACCCGCCCCAACTTACCTCTGTGAACTTACTGCGGCCAGCGTCAAGGGCCTGGAAGTCTCTGGACCGCCGGCCGAACTCATCCAACACCTGCTCCATGTTCCTGATCGAACAGGTCACAAGAACACGAGACAAAGTACTGTCAATCTTATAATGGCACAAGGCTGGAACGCAAAGTTTGTGTAGCACATGTGAATTTGAAAAAGTATCAGCCTCCCGCGTGGAGAAGGAGGGGGTATGAACGTGTGTCCAGATCATTGGTTGATTTTCCCACCGGTTTGTGGCAAGCAGGGGCACACTTCTCTTACATCAAAGGCTGCTCATCGCTACACAAATCCAGACACTTGCAACACAGTGAAATGTCCAACAGGGGTTGTTTGACTCCACTGGGGCAATTGTGTATTAAAGAAAATGCGCACACGCTTGTGACTCCGAGCAGACTTCTGAGAAGGGTAGTCGGTGCGACAAGCTCCCGATGTTCATCTCGCAGCCTTGTCAATGAACCTCTCCATCAAATCTCAGGTTTCTCTCGTGCACACGTAAGTGTGGAAATCAACCTATGCTGTAAGATATGTACATTGATGCTGAGACCATTTATCCTGAATAACGAAAATGCTTGTTCTGAATATCCGTTTGGTCTCTGGTTTTTGATGTTAGTAAGTAATGATCTTCGGCTAACTCAGCCAGACAAGCCTCGTACCTAAGACCAGACATTTCATCGAAGTTCTTTTCGCCGGCGGCATACTCCGGATTGGTCATAGCCTTCTTGTCACGACGATTATTCTCAAGTTTCAGGAAGAGTGCCGTGGAGTATGCTAGTACGATAAACACAGAGAGCATCCTAGAAGACATCCGAAGTCAGCACAATTACATGAAAAACGCATGATGGTAGTGATCATACCCAAGGACAAATCCGAGACCAGTATGGTATCGAGGTGACTCAGAGCCCAAGAAGGTCTGAGGCGTAATAATGTTGATGACGCAGTAGAGGAAGAAAGCCATCGAGGTCGAAAGCTGGCGCCGCGTGAATCCAGATGTGTTGCTACCAATGGTCGCCATGATGGCTGTATAATTGGGAGTGTGGAAGGAGATGATGATGCATGACGCCAACCGACGAGTCTTGTACTGCTCCTCAGCCGGTGTCACGTACAATAGGACAATCCCTATCACGGCGACAAGGCTGGCCGTCGCTGTTATGACTTGCTTCATGTTTCGGAACCGTGGGCTGAGTGATGGCGGGGCGCAAACAACCAGGACCATTGCGAACTAGGTGGACATCAGCAATGGCCTACCACCAATATCACAGAGGTGGTCATAAGTTCTCTCACCTGTATGGCGAAGTTTGGAGCTGTGTATAGCTGTGCCTTCAATGCTGTGTATCCAAATCCCTGCAAACGCGATGGTTAGTGGCCATCCTGAGTTCCAAACCACTTTATGCTGAGATACTGACTTTGATGATAATCCCGAGGAAATTCGTGGTGACGTTTCCTGCGGCCTGGGAGAAGAACATCTGAAGAACCATCATCCAGAACCGCCAATCGGTGGCGCATTCTCTTGCTTGCGCCCATTTGAAATGGGCTGAATTGATTGGGTTAGTATAATGAGTTTTGGACATCATGATATGATGATCTTACTGTTCTTGACTCCTAACTGGTCATCAACTAGACGTTTCACGGCAATGGTCTTTTCTCTCTCGCTGAGCCATTTTGCCGTGATGGGTGAGTCTGGCATCCAGAGATACTAATCGCCTGAGTCAGACAAGAAGACTTAGACGCTTCTAGGGGGCTTCAACTCACGAGGATGGCCCCAGTGGCACAGCTCAATAATCCAAGTAACAAGAAAATCAAGCGCCAGCTGGTCTGGGTGATCATTAGCGACTTTTCAACGTGAGCAGGTGCTTGAGCTCCCTTACCAATGGGCCAGACTCAACATGACCGAGACCTGCCAATGGGCTGATTAGCCGAGACTTTTATTAACAACCTAGTGTGTGTGCACCCACCCCAATAGATGACCAGAAAGGGAACCGGCAAAAGCCCATTGGTGGCAGTCCAAAGACCGAAGCGAAGTGATTGTTCTCGCTGTCTGTACCACATGGTGGTGCTGTGAAGTAAGAGTTAGTTGCAAGTCACAAATGTCTGGATTATCAGAAAAACCCTACATCAGTAACAACCCAGGCACGAGAGCTGACTCGAACAGTCTAAAATCCTTCGTGTTAGTCGTTTCTCCATTGGCTCCAAAGATCGTCTGATTGTGTTCCTACCCAAGCAGGAATCGGAGCGCAAGCAACGTTCCGAAGTTTTTCGCACCGACGCATCCCAACAAGGTGCAACCCCAGACGAAGTAAGCAACACCGATGACCTTGCCAGCATGGAAATACTGCAAGCATCGACCAGCCAGGAAGGAGCCTGCTAGATAGCCGAAGTAAAACATCTGGACGTCCTCGTCAGAGCTAGCCCTTTACATGTGCGGAATGGAGAACACTCACCGAAACACACCAGGAAAACTCCTGGCCCACAAGGTGCAGGTCGTCACGAAGACCGTATGTTGCTGCAGCTCCAAGTCCAGACTGCAGACTTCATATTAGTGAGTTCCCTCGTTTTCGGCTTTATCTTGATGCTACCTGCCTTGTCAACATATTGAAGGCCGCAAGCCCAGGCAGCGAGAGGAATGATATGCCAATCGATCTTCCTGAGAACCTTCTTCTCCTCTACGAATTTTGTTAGTACGTTGTTCGGTAGGTCAAGTAGTTCTCTGCTTACCGTCCTCAGTGAAACTAGTGTCATGATTCTGAATCAAGCTTGCACCGACATCCAGATCACCTGCTGACAGGGTCGCAATGGGTGGTTTCTGGATATTGGCATCCATCGTCTCCACTTCCACTGGAGGGATTGTCTTTTCCTGTGGCTGGCTCATGCTATGAGATGTTTGTTTCCGAAGCGACAAGGTTGAGGAAGACGAGGGTCTATCAGCTGTAATATGCAGAAACAATGGCAATATATACACATCCCAAGTCGTCCGTCTCTAGATGAGCTTGCGAGGCACCATCTTCGCCAGGACACGGCACACATATGACCCACCAATAAGCTAGGTGTTCTGGTCCCCATCGCGGAGTGCATCTGTGCCTCAGTTCTTGGAAAATCTAGGCCCCCCGCAAATCGTCTACCCCAGCTCGGAAAAGGTACCAGAGGAAATAGTCATATCCACTCCATCGGCTAGCAGCATTCGCAAGCAATCAGGCCAATTGTGGGATTACCGTTGAGGCACCCTATCCGTGCCCATGGTATAATTCGGATATGATGACCACGACAATAAGCCACGTTACGGGGAAATGACAATGCTCTTCACCAGCACTTCTAGAGTCAAAAGGGTATTGTAGTACAAGTCGAAGGCTGGAACACGGGAAGATGCGCAAAGCTGTCTCATCATTAGTCCGGCCCGGAATAGCAATAATCTATTCCGGAGGAGTGATACTCCGGCCCCTGTATGTCCAAGAAACATCAAGACTAGGCATCAAGGCTGAGATGAGGTATTGCACCTGCCAGGCGAGTAAAAACTGTTCGGCACTTCACTTGACGCGAAACCACTGCCCTGAATGCGCTAACCCTGAGATCGTTACCCGAAGGCTTGGTATTTAACAGGATGCGGAGATCAATCGATTCTTGAATGCCGCCAAATATAGACCGAGAGACGCAACGATCGACCTTTTTGAAGTTCTTGGAGCCCTTGAACAGGCTGTTAACGTAAAAAGGAATTCTGTGAGGGGCACATGCTTGACGAATGGTTGCACTGATCACGCAGCAATGGCGGACGAGGCTGCTGTCACAAATGACTCGTCACCACTAGATCGCTGTCCTGGGGATTAACCTCTGGTAGGCTAAGCTCTGGCAGTCCCATATCTCTGGAAACTTCCCTTGCAGCCCAAAATCCCGTAACAAATGCGAGAGCTAAGCCACCAGCATACCCTACGTTGCTGAACCCTCCTGCATCAACACCAGCGGCCAATAGGCCAGGTATGACGATGTTGTCAGGAGTCAGTGCATGCCCTTTTTCATCGATTCTGATGCCTCCGTAGGTAAAGGTTATGCTATAATTGTCAGTATTGTATCGCTTCAGTATCAACCCCTGTTTCTCTTACGATGGCTGGACTTCCATGGCAAAGAACGGTGCTTGACCTCCAATAAGACTGGCCGGGGCCGTGCCTCCGCGGCCGACTTGTGGTGCCAGCGAGATATCAGCTTCTCCTCGGACGACCGCTTGGTGATACTGCTTGATCGTGCGATGCGTCTGAGCTCCATCAATACCGAGGCCTTCTAGTAGGCTGACAAGTCCTTCTATGGTCGATGCGCTTGCAACATTACACCCCCGAGATCGTGCCAACTCCAGTCGATCGATATCCCCAGCATTGGGAAAGAGCGCAGTGAGACAATGGTCACGTCTGGTTTTATCGCTGCATTTATGAAGTAATCAGCTTTGTGGCTGTCTCCGCAGACAAGGACATCATACTCAAAGAGAAGGAACCCACGACGGTTCTCCTGTCTAGCGAGGTGTTGATTCACAATTTCATCGCCAAGCGACTCGTCAACAAACCGCTTCCCTGCTTCGTTGAGAAGAAGGCAGTGCTTGCTTTCTGTCATACCATAAGTCTAGTATCATAGGCGGTGGTGAAGCACAGAACCTACGGTACTGCGCCAACGAGAGAAAGTCTTCTGGGTCAACGTCTTCTCTGCGAAGTGGCGCTGCAAGTAAGTGTCCATAGAAAGTGCCCATTCCACGACTCGTTCCCGCCCCAACCTGGGATGCAATCGTCAAGCCATCTCCAACGGAACCTTTGTTTGACCGAACGAAGATGGTGTCCGTCCCAGAGCCAATATATCTTGACCTCATTTCAGAAGAGCCCTGGAAGCCGCCAGTCGCAAGAATGACATTCTTCGCTGTTACTTCAATGTAAGTCTGAGGGGCACCTTCTGAGGAAGGAGCACACCTGAGAATTGCACCGATGACACGAGATCCAGGAAGGCCAGGAAATTCCTGAAGCAGTCTCAATACCTGTGTGTTCAACTGAACTTTCGAACCATTCTTGCTCATCTCAATACGTTTCCTGTGCAGATCGTGAAGATACGGGATCTTGATGGGGTATCCAACTCCTATGATTACTGTTAGGCGGACTGTGCAACTTACTATAAATCGACGTACCAATTGTCATAATGGGACTGAATCTTTCAGAAACCGGGACACCAACCTGTCGCATCCATTCAACTGCTCGTGAGTAATCGTGGAGCCATGCTCGTTGCAAATCCGCGTCCCCATCAGGAATCCAAGATCGAATGCTTTCATAGTCTCGTGGACCCCAGCTAGTTCGAACTTCTGGTCAGATTTACGCGTGGTGGGAAGAGATAATTGAAGAACTTACAACATGCCAGCAGAGTAGTTAGATGAACCTCCAACAAGCGATTGCTTTTCTGCTACTAGTACTTTGGCTCCCGCTTCTACAGCGAATGCTGCGCACGCCATACCAGCCATGCCACCACCACATACAAGGACATCAACAGTAACTTGCTCCATGATGGCCATCTACTCTTTGCGGTGCGCAACTTGTCTTACCAGATAAATCGTAAGAATGGATCAAATTTGCACTCATATACCACTTAACTCACCCCGAGAAGTCCGTTAACTGAAACTTCTTCACGCAGTGGTTTGCATCATGGTTGGAAATTGCTACCCCCGGAAGCCAGATCAAGGTGCCGAAGGGGCCTGTTGCCGATCTACCTATTGTGCTTGAAAAAGAACCACTGTCAACTTCGATGACTCAGGCCTTACTTGGTGGTGTGCCAATACAGAATACGTAGTGGTAGCAGCTGTCGTTACCTAATCCACCTAAGGAAGGTATTTTGAAAGACTATTCGCAAGAGGTTGCGCGGTCCTTCGAGGAGGTCTTACTCAGGAAGCGTTCTTGGGCTGAGGGGTACCCCTTGACAGTGCTTTCGGCAAGGTTCAGGCTTAAGGATCTCGGAAGTTGATCCGTTTCCCCTAAAATCTGAGTTTGCCACCAGGGTCTTTCTTAGACCTCATCAAACTCGACTTTCGGGTCTCTCCCATGCTAGCCCACGCATTGCTCATCAGTACAGGCAAACTATTAATTGAAAGCACTGTCCTTTTTGCCATCTTCTACTGATATTATGACTTCCGCGTGTGAGGCATGTCGCAATCTGAAGGTGATATCCTTGCCAGCAGTCGAACCAAAAATTGGAAAGCCAACTGAGTAGCTTAACTAGATACGATGCTCGAGGTCAGGCGCCACGAGCGCAGCGGGCGATCACGAGACTCCCTGTGATCGATGTAAACGCCACAATCACCTCTGTAAGATCCCAGCCTCACGCCCCGCTGGCCGTAAACCAGGATCGCGAGGACGGTATCAGGGCGTTGAAAAGGCTTTTCGGAAAATGCAACAAGAGCTTCGAAAAGCAAAGATGGGTCCTAACTCCGATCCAGAGTCCGTTCGGAACGCGAGCCAGCTTATCAATGACAACGAAGAGCTTGTTGAGCTTATGGTGCCCAACATCGATGCCAGTGCTCGGCCACCGCCCGCTCCGATAGGGCTCGATGTCCAATCTGGCCTCTCTGATCGCAGATCCACATTAATGGCTGATGAATATGAAAATGAATATTCTCCGACAATAAGATCTCCGTTCGAGGCTGATATTTCGCACGCGGAACCTGTTACCAATCCATTGGGCGTGGTCGCTGATGCCTGTCGTGAGACTCTCACCCCAAATCAGGCGTCATGTTCTACAACATCGTCCCTACCGACCAATGCTAACTTGCTCGTGCTCTCCGAAATTGGGGAACACGAACCAAATTACCAGGCTTCTTCCTTGCTGAGTCGTCCGGGGTATATCTCTCTGGGTCTGAAACTAGATCGGACGATATTGGAGCAAGCGCTTGACGTTCTCCTCACACGTGAACTTTTGCCTTGTCATTATTCAGACTACTTCAAGCCCCCCGGAATCGCGAGGGAGAGGGACCTCGGGCCACACCTAGATCCGGTTGAACTGGGTCTTTTATCCATTCTGGAAGCAGAACATCTCTTCGAGGTGTAAGTTAGCTCCACCGTTCGAATACAGGGAAGTGTATGCTAATCCTCATTCTAGCTTTTTCACCCGTCTTCATCCTATCAATGGTATCCTCGATCCACACCTGCACAGCTTAACATTTGTACGAAGTCAATCGGCGTTGCTGCTTACTTGGATGCTAGCAACTTCTGCAGAGTTTGTACATGGAGCAGAATTGCTGGCCAAACGTCTCCGAAATCATGGTAATTTTCTATCAAGACATGTCCACTCCAGCGGATATCAATCAGTTGAAATCGTGCAGGGGTACTACATCTCCATGCTATCTCCCACACCTAGCAGCAATATGGCGGACGAGAGGACTTCGCTCTATACTAACCATGCCTTCGGGTTGGCCACTGAGCTGAGACTGGACAAATCAAGATGCCGGCCGAACTTTGGGTCCCAGATGGCATCATCTTCTCTTGAACAGGATCCATTGGGCGATCCCGTTCTAATCTCCCAACAAAGACTTAATATCAATGATACAGGAGCAGCCCATACCGAGCGTCTTACTCGTAATCGAGAACGTACCTGGCTACGAATTCTGCTCTGGGAGCGAGCGCACAGTGCTGCGCGAGGACGATTAGGTGGATTCCCGGAGAATGAATTGATTCGCAATATTGAGAAGTGGCACTTGCACCCACTTGCAGATCCAAACGATAAGTACACATGTGCCTTCATCTTACTCCGGCGCCAACTTACTGTAATGCTCAATGAAATCCAAAAACAACAACAGCTTCACCATCGCATTCGCCACTGGGTGAAAGACTTAGTCGACAGTACATTGCATTACTGGTGCCAAACTTGGATCTCAAGCCCTGAAGTGCAGTTGTCTCCATCTGAACTCATCTCAAACATGTTCTTGAAGTACGTTCACATGCATGCTCGGTTATGGATATTTTCATTCGCACTTCATAGTCACATCCAAATCTACAAGTCGCCCGAACATCATTCTGGGACTAGTTCGATCAGGGAAGACTGCTTTGAAGCCGCTATCAACTGTTGTGAGACGGCTATTCGTGATCTCACGGCCGTGGGTGAGCCACTATATCCAATGCTCGCCCCAACCTGGGCGATGATATCGTATGCAGCTGTCTTATCACTGCGTCTATTCCCCTTGCTCTATGGCAATCGGCCGGGCGCAGAGGTTGAGCTTCTCGCCCTATTGACACGTTTAGCGCTGCTGCTCGAGAAGGCCGGAACGACACCGGCCCATCGGTCTGGAATCGCCGCATTACTCGGCCAACACCTTTTCAGGATCCTTCATGTGCGTGCAGGGGGAATGAAAAGCAATATTGGTATCAGCACAGCATGTCAGCCCCCAAGCCAGACAGAAGTCTCCGTCGTCGAGAATACTGATCTCGACTTTGTGGCAGAAGTCACGCAACAGAATGACAATATACCTTTTCATGACATTTTTGCCGAGTTTGATACCTATCTTTCAATGCCTTTTCTCCCTGGTGATGAAGGCAGCATGAACCAAGGCTTCACTGCACCACTGGCAGACTGGATGAGCCAAGGTTTTGGCAGCATGCTCTGAGATGCTGCATGCCTGTGCACTCCAGCTCACCGCTCTGATGCATTGAATACTCTCACCTTCTGAGAACGGAGAGACAGCGCAGAAATCGGTCAACCAGGACTTTGCACAATTTCCACTACCAATCGACCTAGCGATGATGTATTCCCTAAGTCGGCTTTCTATGATGCCCGCGACAAGACAATAAAATGGGGAGGGGATAAACGCTGTGTGCATTGATAAACACTTTACCGATTATACTCCCGTCTCCATCTCTACAAGGACGAGGAACATTTGGCTGAGTACGTTGCTCGCTGTGAAATGGCTTAATTTCACACCAGTAGTGCGGGACCTGGGTGAGGAAGTCCTGCACTTGGAGAATTCAAAGTGCACAATTATGCTTATGTGCGACTTTGAAAGTCCCTGACCAGTGGGATTGCTCGACGATAGCGATTGAGGGTGAAAAAATGGATATCGGTGCGACAGGCTGTTGCCAATTCATATTCTCACACATCTCAATCTTGTAGCTCACAGAAACTAGCTCTGAGGCACGACCCAAGTCTCTTCCCCAAGTTCTCATACTCCATCTTCTTGCCGTCACTGCCGATCTCGCCGTCTTCCAGCTTCTTGAGCCTTTTTGGGTGGAATCACTTACCGGCTTAGGAGAACGACCCAATTCTTGCTCATTTTGCGCAAGCTCAGCCAGACCGGCAGTGCGAATAACAGCCTGTGGGGCAAGACTGGCCTCTGCGGCCATTCATATCTCTGCGAGCAGGAAGATGAAGAACGAATTCCTGTGGGGTTCAAGCAGATCTGCAAAACACCCAGTTCTAGCAGATGGCATGTATGGATTTGTTGGGCGACGGAGAGAATTTCAGGAATCTTTTTTAGGATAGCCCATGTCACCTCGCATGGCCTTCATTGAGACGAGACTCTACTGTGTAGAGTTGCGCAGCATGGTCAAGGAAGATCACTGCAGTGGTGCTGGATAAGAACAGCTGCCTCGATATTTTGGCATATGCCTGCCGCCTTCACACGGATCAGGGATGTTTACACTGAACAAAAATAGGACATCCAGGGGCTCTGCTATCTACCTAGTGGTTTCGTACCACAGGAGGGTTAAGGTCTGTTTGAATACTGGACTGACCCAAGGATCGCTGTTGCATCCGATTCTTTTTGCATTTTCCATCTCAGACCTCGTGGGTTAGTCAACGATTTGTTTCGTTGGGCCGTCAACCTTCTTTATTGATTGGCGAGAAAAAGAACGGCGTCCTGTTTCGCATCGACGAGCATCCGAAGAAAAGAGGATGTTACGTGTTGCTCTGAAGGGGTCACTTAGTACTTAGCATCATTTCCGACTCCAGCCCTACAGTCTACTCATTCTGATCTGACTATTCAGGGCTTTTGCGACAAAGTTTGGGTCTTCTCTCAGTGTCCTTCCTAACCCGATCATATCGACATCACCAATCATCACTGCCTCCGCCATAAATTGTGCATCACGCCAGCCACCAGTTGTTCCAATAATAGCACGAGAAAGTACCTTCTTCATCTCCGCTGCCCACTCAACAAAATAGCTACCACGAAGCTTTTGTGACGGCCGTTTAGCAAATTCTTTCATGATATCACCTCTCCAGACCGGCGACTCATAAGTGCCACCAGAAATATCGAAGAAGTCCACACCCGCATCTTCTAGCCATTTAAGAACCACGCACGCCTCAGCAAAGCTGAGGCCCCCATCGATGACTATGTTTGTATATATGGACCTCGTTAGTTCAGGACTAAAGATAGGGAGAAGACAGTAGAAATGAGAAGTACTACTTGGGTTGAGTTGACAGGAATAAGAATTTGAAGGATGTTTGGCTGCTCACAGTCTTGACAGTTGAACTTGGCAGCAATGACAAACCGATTCGATGGAAGCTTCTCACTGATAGCATGTACGACCTCCAGGATGAAGCGTGCACGATTTTCTAAGTTCCCACCATACTGAGGAAGAATACAATATCAGTGTCTGATTTCAGTTCTTTGGCAAAGGAACTTGCCTCATCTGTTCGATGATTGGTCAGGGGTGAAAGAAATTGGTTGTGAATATAACCATGCGCAGCATGGAGCTACAATCTAGTCAGCAAAGGCACACCAGAATAAACAGGTCTTCCGATATTTCTTCAGCTTACAATGATTCCATCAGCCCCGGCCTTGTCCAAAACTTGAGCCGCCCAGACAAATCTGTCCACCAATTGCTTGATCTCAGTCAGGTTTAGTGCCGTTGGTTTGCCATAAGTCTTGTTCAGACATGGTTGCAATTGCACATCTGATGCCGATTTTGGGTGTGGATTGAGGAACTCTGGCACCTGGCGACCCGGAAACTGCAATTGGGGAAGGCAGATGGCGCCACGACTCTTTGCCGCACGTATCGCTGGTGCAAAGGCAGCGACTGGATCCCAGGGATTACGGGGATCGAGAACTGCATTGTTGTAATTTTCGAGATTGTGCCTGTCGATTGGAATGTTTCCAAAACATATCAACCCGGCACCACCATCGGCAAGTTCTGGGAATGTTAATGGCAAGCCGTTGGCACTCACACACTGTTGGGGTGAAGGGGACAGCTCGAAGCCACACACATACCTTGGTACAGTTCAGCATAGCGTGGTTTTGGGATTCCCGTTCTCTCAACATCATCTTCGTCATACGTGGAGGCATACTCGCTTAGGGGCGACCGGTAAAGTCGATTTGGGATGGCTTTGCCTGAAAGTTGCAGCGTGATTGGCTGCAATTGCGTTAGATCGAGGACTTCAGCGGAATGCAAGCTTACTTACCTTGCCTAGATCTGAACGAGCCATTTCATAGCCACTATCAACTTGTAGCCGCTGACTTATTTGCAAATGACAGACACTAAGAGGCAATAGAGTAAGTACTTAGTGGTACTTCTAATCCTTAGCGCGGAGAAGAAAAACTACGAGAGACAAGTGAGCTGGTAAGAACTTGCGTTGCACTACGTGAATACTGAGTGACTAGTTGGGGAAGTAAGTATAAGGTAACTTAAGTATTGATTGCGACCCGGGACAGACTTTAGCCGTGCTCACATTCGACAGAACAGACAGAATAAGCATGTTGCGCCCGGTCAATAATTCAATCGTCCGTTCTGAGGGCAGGTATCCCTTACGTGGCCTTTATGGACAAAAGTACTAGTATAGGCTCTAGCGCTGTGGATGATCGCATACTACTCAGTATTCTATACACACTGTAAGTGTTTAGAGGAGAGCCGAGTCTCGATGTCCACAAAGCCAGCTTATCTCCTGGAATTTCATGTAAGTTGGTTCAGCCGAGGTTATTCTGACTCGTCTAGAAGAGGTCGAAACTTTCACTTTCGCATGTTCTAATTTTTCGAATGACACTACCCTCGGACAGTCACAGAGCACACACTTGTACTAATAGCTTTGCCAGACGCCTTGTTTATACGAGAAGGGTCTCCATAGCAAACTTGAAATTAAGCCTATCTTGGGTTTTTCGTGGGTTGTTAACGGGAGCGGAGATGCAGAGCTACCGGATCTCTCGAATCTTTTTCACTTCGATTGTATGCTACAGTCCGTAGTGGTTAATTCCTAATCTACCACTGGACATATCGGGGCCAGAAAACATGAGGCTATACTTATTATATTTTGAAGTGAATAGTAATGGACTTTTTTTATCGATTCGAATAGCAAAAAGTACGTACTTACATTTACCAAGTACCAGACTTCAAATTTGTTGAGGGGGAGCGTCTAGATCGCGAGATAAAGTTGTAGTTATAAAGTACTAAGTACTAAGTACTTTATGCCTTTAAAATTACTATATAGTTAAGTAGTTTTTACGCAGTATGAGACTCGTAGCAGTAGTTACCTGTTAAGTACAAAGTATCCTATTCAAGTACTAAGTAGTAGTACTTACTTAATATCTTTATAGAATAAACCTCACCTTCTAGCAATACGACGTAGACGTCACTTAAGTAGTATTGAGTACTTACTTACTACTTAACTTTGTAGCTTAAGATGCCCTACCTACTAAGTAGTTACTAGTAGTCGAGGTTCAAAGCATTATAGAGCTTAACACATTCTAGATGTTGTCTCAGCGAAAATTCAATTATGGCGATCTCAGCCACGCCTCAGTTATGTATTCTGCAAAATCAGAGCGAAGTCAGCAAGTAGTTCAAGGACTCTAGGCTAGGCTAGAGCGGTCTCTATGAGTTAGCCAATAGTATCGGGAGCGAGCCCAGAGCTCCTCAGATACTCTCCTAGGCAGTAATATCGGAATATTTGGTATCGTAAATGAACTTTAAATCTTTGGATATTCTATATACTTAACTAGGACTATGAAGACTACTACTAAGTAACTACTAGTAAGTACACTTAGGCAGGTTAAGTTAGTATTTTGGTGGCACCACTAACTTGCTCTCAATTATATCCCACTTGCAGTACTTTAAGTTTACTATTAATAAAAGTCAATTTCACTTCTACTTCTGCTTGTCCCTTAAGAACAATCTTCATTGTACCCAGTTTCATTCAGTGCGAGCTCATCGCGAATCAGCACGAATCGTACCAGGTACTTTGGCTACAAGTAATAAGTAAGTACTTACTACTATCAAGCGAATACTACCGCCAGCGATTTACAGTAAAGTCTGCAATAGAATTCGAACACGATGGGACGACAGGATACCCACATCACGTTGTGAGGAACGAGTACGAGGTAGTAGCACTCGAAATCTGACATGACCAAGCTTATAAATACTTACTCCCTTAGGACGTCCGGGGCCCCAGAAACTCGATTTTGCCAAGGGCTTACATAAAAGATTCTAAGTCTGGAGAATAAGCTGAGTACCAGGAAATAATTTCGGCCCGAGGATAATTCGCAAGCCTCCCCTCATTGGAGATGGTCTTCAGGCCAGAAATGGGCCCAAGCCATAGAGGTAGTCAGCCACTCCGACATCCGAGTAAGTGTAATCGACTCATACGAAATGTGCTGCACGCGGCTTTTGGGTCACTTTCATAGATTGAATTCCTGTACTTAGATACTCTGAATTCTTCTTCGTAGCAACACTCAAGACCTCTCCCTACGATCATATAAGTACTACTCTAGTGCAGTGTCAGTTAATCACCAGCGTACTGAAATGGCCACCGAGGTTCAAACAGTCGTTTGCTATCCCCCTAATCCAGGTCCTAACTGGAAAGTGGAAACTACAAAAGTTCTAACAAGTCGACCATTGCAAGAAAATGAATTGAGGGTTCGAATGGTAGCCAGCGGGATATGCCACACAGATGTATTCGTCTCCTGTATTCCAGGAGGAGTTGCAGGATTGGAATACCCTAAAGTGCTTGGCCACGAGGGAGCAGGCATTGTCGAGGAAATCGGGTCTGGGGTGACCACTGCTGAAGTAGGAGACCCGGTCCTCCTTTCATACACCTACTGTTCAAATTGCGACCTCTGTGGTGTGAGCCAGCAGCCTTATTGTCTAGATTGGCATGTCCTCAATATTGTGGGTGACAAGACTCTGCAAACTGCTGGAGGCGACCATATCCAGGCTAAATTCTTCGGTCAATCGAGTTTCGCTGGCGAAAGCATTGTGAGTGAGCAAAGCGTTGTCAACGTGAAGGGTACTGTCAATAATGAAGAGTTGAAACTGCTGGCACCACTGGGCTGCGGGTTGATGACTGGTTCCGGAGCAGTGATCAACAATGCCAAAGCAAAGCCGTTCGATATTGTGGTGGTCACCGGAATTGGTGCGGTCGGGCTTGGAGCTATAATGGCAGCCAAGATAGTCGGCGTGAAGGAAATAATTGCGGTCGACCGAATTGGCCATCGGCTTGAGGTGGCCAAAGAGCTTGGTGCAACCCAAATTCTTGAAAGCAAGCCAGACACCAACCTCACCGAGGAGCTACAAAAGCTGGCTGGTGGAGGACGTATCTCGTACGTTTTTGAGACGACTGGAGTTGTGAGCGTTATTCAGGCATCTTTGGAGGCCTTAGGCAAGCATGGGAAACTAATCCAAATTGGCGTTCCATCAATGGATGCTCAACTCACGCTTCCATTATATCCACTCCTATCTCAAAACAAAGGCTTTGAGTGTATCTACCTGGGCGACACTACTGGTCAAGAGTGGGTGCCAAAGATGATTCAGTGGTGGCGAGAGGGGAAGTTCCCGGTCGAGAAACTTGTCAAATTTTATCCCGTAAAGGATGCTCAGGAAGCTTTGCATGGGATGGAATCCGGTGTGGCCATCAAGCCCGTCCTCGTTTGGTAGAGACATGGATATCAGAGGAATAAGACATTATGGCAGGGAGTCAGTCTGAATCGACTTAATGGCCGCAATAACCACCTCTGTGCTCCAGCTTCCCTGAACTGCTCTCCGCAAGACATCTAGTTCGCTTTCCGGTGCCATACCTCCCGTCTCAGGGGGTCTTCGGTCAAGATTTGTCGGGAACGGGTATCCCTGGGCGATTGCTTTCAGGATTGCATCTACCTCCACTGTCAGGGCTTTTTGCTCTTGATATAATTGTAGCACACTAGGCCAGCTTTTCTTGATAACCGTAACCGTGTCGATGCTCTCCATTGTCTTCCCAAATGCACTGCTGATCTGCAGGAGATTCGCACTCCGTTCGATTTTGGTGCTGGTGTTCTCTCCCGCGGCGTGGAACAACGCCGGATTGAAGAAGACCGCATCGCCCAGCTCCAGGGCAATCGAGACCCAATTCCTGTCGAACAATTCTTGAAACTCCTTTAGACGATATGCCATGTAGCCTTCCTCGAAAAGCTGGGAGAACGGCAGAAAGCGCGTTGGCCCAGATTCCAATGGCATGTCACTGTGTGCCACTGCTCCCTGCAAAGTGAGGAATTGACTGGCAGTTTGCGTGGCTTTGGGAAAAGTTGAGCACTGGTCTGATGTCTGGAAACCCAAGTGATAATCGCGATGGCTTACTTGAGGTTTTCCTCCCGGTTTGACAATATTGACTTGTGCCGTGATTTGATACGATTGCCCTAGCCAGGTCTCGGCGACAAGGGCAAGCCACGGATTGCAATAATACTGCACGAAGGATGACGAGTCGCACACTGCATGCTTCTGAAACGAATTCCAGATTCGCACGTTTTTGCCGTTTGCAGCAAAATGATCCCCACCAGATGTATTCGTGTGGGCTTCAGATTCGATGATGTCGCCGAAGATATTGTTCACCTTCTGGAATAGCAATTGGGTTGACGGCGATGAAGGGTATAATTTCTTCAGAACGAATACACCAGGTCCGGAAAGTAAGATGTGGTGCCATTCATCCTGGATTCTATCGACATTCTCCTGCTCTGACCCCGGTCTCGGTAGTAATGAGATGTCGTACACAGGAATGTTTGATACAATGCAGGTAGCATGTTGATACAATGATGGGTCTGTCTTGCGGCAGACTAAACCCTTGAATTCATCAAGCGAGGGCGGGCAAATAGTCGTGTAAAGCCTCCTGGGAACAAGCCGGTCAGTATCTGTAGCTCGAGAGATTCCTGATCCTAAACCAACAGTGCCCGCATGGGTCTCCTGAACAGAATGAAATTTTGCCGACGAGACAGGCATAGCTGTGTGAGTCAGATGTGCCAGGCCACCTGGTAGCACAGCTATCCCGGATTTCTTGATTGCCCAAAATCAGTACAAGCCTCGGAAACAACCGACTAGAGGATTTAAGGTCAAAAGCTCCAAACTAACCAAACAAGATGACCTGGATGACTTCGAGTGCAGATCCATTGATGAGATCACAAAGCATCTGAAAAGGAGTCTGTCGGACAACTTGCCTATCGCATCTAGTACGATTTGTATATCACGTGGGCGGGGGCACGGCCGGGGCTAACTAACTAACCCCCCAAGTTTGTCGGTTGTTTACTCCGGGTGCAAGAGGAAGACTGCAGGTGGACAAGATGTTGTCCAGAATCTGCCAATCTTGATACATAACACCTGGGCCGCAAAGTTGCTGTCAACAGTGAAAATGTTTCCATGCTTTCAAAATTCACTGTGAGCCAGAAGCACTGCTTCAATGCGGGTAAACTCCAGATGTTGATTACCCGCCTCCGGCCAAGCCAAATCCATGCGATTTGGGTCGCGCATCTAGTTACACCAAAGGTGCTTCCACAACAGCGAAGATTGCTAGCGCATTATTCTGATGAGCCATTGGTGGGTTCATAGATAGATAGCTAGTCTCTGCTGCAAGGTATTTGGAATCACGCCAGATGTCGATCGAATACTACCCGAGTGTTGTTGGCATTGGCCAGAACGGTGGTGTTGTGGTTCCGTCACTCGCTACGGAATTCATGATAAGCCATACAGACTAGCTTCCGAACATATCTTGGAGTCCTAAGTGTTCGAGACGCGGTCCGACTCAACTCAGAAAGCCAGTATCAGTCTTATCATACTGACCAGTATGAGACCCCACTCTTCATTGAAGACCCATTATTCAAAAGAACCACCTTTTCGTCTTTCCAATAACTCTTCGCCTGAAGAAGTGCTATCAAACACACAAGCACGAACATCCCCAGGTCCGCTTCATAGACAACATCCAGCCATGGAAATGGAAAAGGCCAGCAACAGCTCGCTGAAGGACCAAATCAGAGAGGTTCAGTCAAAAGAAGAGGGTACTATCGATGATGCACAGTGCGTACCAGTTGCCCGCCGTCAAGATCTGAGATTCTAACACATCATCAGGACACTTATCAACCAGCGAGAGAAAAAGCTGAGATTGAAGATGGATCTGTGGATCCTGCCAATTGTCACTCTTCTATACCGTGGGTGTCTAAATGAGCAACATACTGCAATTTAGAGTAAGCACTGACATCCAGCTAGTCTTTTGTTTCATCGATCGGTCCAACATAGGTGAGCACATCTAGACCCAATTCAGGGCCAATGACTGACTGAGAACCGTAGGCAATGCTCGCATCGCAGGTCTAGAGAAAGATTTACATCTGAAAGGCTACGACTATAATGCACTCCTTTCCATCTTTTACATCTCCTACATCCTCTTTGAGATACCTGGGAATGCCCTTTGCAAATATATCGGCCCAGGTTGGTTCATACCAAGTTGCGTAATCGGCTTTGGAGTTGCCTCCATTGGGGCAGCCTTTGTGAAGGACTTTGCACAACTGGCTGGAGTACGCTTCCTGCTAGGGGTGTTCGAGGCCGCGATGCTGCCGGCGAATATCTACTATCTCTCAAGGTGTGTCATATCCAAGAGTCTCACACCTCACTACTAACAACATGCAAAAAGATGGTATACAAGAGACGAACTTGTGTTTCGCATCTGCTTCTTTATCCTCTCAGCATCATTGGCCGGTGCATTTGGTGGACTGCTCGCATCAGGGATCTTGACTCTGGACCAGGTTGCGGGCGTAACCCGCTGGCGAATGATCTTTTTTATCGAAGGTAAGCTATCTATCTTTGACTAGTGAACCAGCTGACAAGATATATAGGGATCATCACCGTAATTCTTGGCCTTATTGCGTTGGTCATGATGACAGATCGCCCAGAAACCGCCAGATGGCTCACTTCTGAGGAGAAGCAACTGATCCTGGACCGTGTGAAGGCTGAGCGAATTGGAACAACTGAGGTTGTTGACAAATTCACTCAGAAGAAATTCATCAAAGGCTTTACTAGTCCAGTGGTCGTTGCAACTTCGCTGATGTTCTTCTTCAACAACATAACAGTATCCGGACTTGCATTCTTCCTTCCCACAATTGTCAGGACTATCTACCCAACTCACACGGTCATCAGCCAGCAACTACACACGGTTCCACCTTATGCTCTCGGCACGGTTGCTTGCTTGGTCCTTTGCTATGGCAGCTGGAGGATGAAGCGGCGAAACATCTTCATCACACTTGCGGCCGTCCCAGCTATGGTGGGATATATCATATTCCTCAGCACAGACAAACCATCAGTTCGTTACGCAGCTACTTTCCTCCCAATGCTTGGCATATTCTCCAATGGGGCGATACCCGCATCACAAGTATCCGCGGCCGTCGTCTCGGACACTGCACGGCTCTCGGCGGTTGCTATGTATGCCATGATTGGCAATCTGGGAGGACTTCTTAGCACTTGGGCGTTTCTGCCATTCGACTCGCCAGATTATGTCATTGGCAATGGCCTGAACCTTGCAGTTCAGGGCATGATTCTGGTTATTGGCATAGGTCTCTTCTTCTGGGCTGCCTGGGACAACCGGAAAAGAGATGCAAAGGATATTGATGCTGAACTCCAAGGGAAGACTGTTCATGAAATTCAGGACTTGGACTGGCGACATCCAGGATACCGCTGGCAGCTGTAAAGATGTGTATCATCTTTCAGAAAGGGGTGAGTTCCGTACGCCCTATGTTCAGCACTACCGGCATGAAGTTCAGGAATTTCATACCTCCCTTTTCATAGATAGGTCTCAGTATATGCACAAATAATTAGGTATTTAGTCCAAAGCACACGGCCAGTGGATAATGTCTCGACCTGTTAAACTCCAAGGCTTGCTCTCAGTGATACTAAGCACCTTGAGTTGACCAGCGCAGTCAGATCGCCAACTCGAGATAAACCGAACAGGTGCAATGGTGTCCGCATCTTTAAGTATGTACGTGCCATGAAAAATCACTCTTCTACGGCTACGTCTAGTGAGACATCTAAGTCTGTAATTCATGAGCTATGGAATTTTAGAAGATTGTGTCAATTGATGTTGATAATCTATCAATGAGACTTCCACTATATGGATTGACAAACCCTACTTGAAGTCCATTCATACAAGCACATCCTTGATCAATTACCCTGGTGCGATCAGAGATATCAGCACTGTACCCTTCGTGATATGAAGCAGGAGGGCGATGCGCGTACGCTAGGAAACCTATAGACGAGCCTTCTGGCTCTGGGCAATGAGGGCGTTCATCTTGTCCGCTGCAGTGACAAACTTCTTGTAGTTAGGAAACAAACCAGCAGAATCCCACTTCTGTCTAATTTTGAGGAACTTGGCCAATGCCGTGTCGGACAGTACCTTCATCTGAGGGGAAATTGTCAGCTCAATCTTTGCACACCGGGATTAATTGCGATCACTTACGTTTGCGTCATCGTTGTTCATGTCAATCTCTGTAATGTATTGTCCAACAGCTACTGGCCAGGCGTTGAAATACTTCTCTCGCATGGGCTGGTAGATGGCAGGCTCGAGCTTGGGATCGGTCCAACCAGTGATGGTGGAGATATAAAGGTCTTGGACTAAGCTCAAGGCGCCGTCTTCTTCGTTGGGCATGATATCACAGTGGCACATGAAGACAGACGTTGTTCTTGTGGGGAACTCAGTAAGAGCAGGTTTGATCGCAGCCAGCAGCTAGGGAGGAATTAGTCTTCAACACTTTCGGGCATGGGTCAAACTATAGGACGTACCTTGGGTAGCGGAACCTTGGGATCATTCATGATGCTGTTGATCTGCCATCTCTGTGTGCTATCATTTCCCAAGAAGCCTCGCTTGCGATCAAAGACTTCTTGGAATGTCCTCTTCTCAACCGGTCTCATCTCAATGATTTGTTCCCGAACTGATGAAGGGATTTTATCATATGCGCCTAACAATGTCCTAGCCTCGCGGAGTGTGTCGCTATAGCAGAGCAAGTTCAAGGTCAAGACGAGCTTAGCACCAGCCGGGATGTCATCTGTCGTGTATGATGGGTCATATTTTTCGGCAAAATCGATAGTAAGATTGAGGTCGGTTCCATACTTTGGTGTGTCACGGCCCCTTTCAATTGCCCAGGTCATCAATTCCTCGTACTTGTTGCCGAGCTCGAATTTGAAGATTCTTTCCCACATAGTAGAGGCGGGGATAGTCCTGCACCAGAAGCGAGTGACTACGCCGAAGAATCCAAGACCGCTGCCTCTAGCAGCCCACCACAGGTCAACATTTTCTGTTGGGCTTGCAATCACAGTCCGACCGTCCGGAACAACAATTTCCATCTTGTTGATCCATGTCTGGTTGGTTGCACCCCAGCCTCGCAAGAACCACCCTTGACCACCAGCGAGCAAGAAACCAGCAGCCCCGACTGTTGGTGCGTGTCCGTGAGGAAAGAACCTTTTGACTTCTGCGAGTTTAGATGATAATTCTTCAGTTCGACACGCAGGTCCAAAGCAGATCTCATGTGATACTGGGTCATAGTCGATATAACGATTCAGGTTGACGGTGTCGATAAGAATGCCGTCTTGGATAAGGTTTCCCATGTTCATTATGTGACCCGAGGACCGAATGCCAATTTGTGTGCCCAAATCAGTCGCACGTTTCAGTGCCGTTGCGACCTCCTCTGGCGATGTGACAACATGGATCTCTCGTGGATAACGCTCTGGCGTATCCGCGGTTGGGTTGTTACGACGACAGCGTTCATAGTCTGAGCTTCCCCGCAGGAGAATCTTACTCGAGTATGAAGGGGTAGTTGTGTATCTCGCCATTGTGATGGAGGAGCGGTGCAATCTTCTGATGGATGAAGAAACTTGGAGCTGTTGGGAATTGCAAGAGGAATGCTTTCTTAGGGTTTTGTTATCGTAAAAGATCCAGTGAAGGCCTTGTAGCAGCTGTTGCCATTCCCAGCTGGTGAGTGACTGGTCGGGTGGACGTAGCCGAAGCTAACTAGAGTTCTGCGAGGCGATATCTGACAGTGGCAACGTACCGAACGGAACGGCGGAAGATTTCCGGCCACTTTCCCGACATGCCACCAACATGGTAGCAGCAGGGGGTCACAACACGACCTAGGCCAAACGCATGTCCACAGACGGCCTGGCAGGAAGACGAGGCACTAAAGTGGTCACCAATGGACAACAACTCGGACAAACTTTCCCCGTGATCATATGATTTTGATGGTTCGTCTGTGGAGGTCAACATTACAACTTCATCTATCAAACACATAGAACATTGGGGATGGCGAGAAAGATTTCAGCGTCAGAACTGTTGCTGCACGATAAAGCGGATGACATATGGATTGTGGTTAATGGCTATGTTTATGACATGTCAAGTTTTGCCGATGAGCACCCTGGAGGGCCAGACAGTCAGTAGCTGCAATGGAGATTCTGAATGTGACGTGCTAAGATTCCTGCAGTTATTCATAGCTATGCAGGGAAGGATGCTTCACAGGCCTATAACGAGGTTCACGCAGCAAGTCTCATCAAGAAAACGCTAGATTCAGATTTCCATTTGGGAGTTCTTGATATTACAAGTGTCCGAGATGAAATTACTCAAGCCGTGGAACGTTCCTCAGATGGTGCTGACCTCAGTGGAGATTCTACACTGGACTCGGTCATCAATCTCTACGACTTTGAGCAATTTGCTCAAAGATCACTTGCTGCAAAACCATGGGCCATCATCAGCGGTGGCTCAAATGACAACATCACCCGTGACGCCAACCTGTCTATGCTTCGAAAGATCTGGCTTCGCCCGGCCATATTGCGAAATGTTGGAAAGGTATCTACGCGGACTCGGCTATTTGGTTGCGACCTGACTCTGCCTATATACATTGCGCCAATGGGTGGTGCCAAAGCCGGAGGTCCTGAAGGGGAACTGGCAATGGCAAAAGGGGCATCTACTTCCAACATTATCCACTGCATATCCACTCCTTCTTCTTTCCCTCACGATGAGATCCTCGAAGTCACGCCGAAGCATGCTTTCTTCCAGGTTTATGTCAACAAAGATCGGCAGAAAACGAAAGCAGCAATTCAGGATATGGCAAATTCTGGGAAGGTCAAGGCAATATTCGTGACTGTCGATCTGCCCGTGATATCCAAGCGCGAGGCTGACGAACGAATCACGCCAGACACCCCTGGTGGGAAAAAAGACAGGAAGGGAGGTGGCTTTGCACGGCAGGCTAGCTCTTGGATTGACTCAAGCTTTACATGGGACGATTTGCGCTGGATGCGAGGTCTGACAGATCTCCCTATCGTGGTCAAAGGCATACAGCGAGCTCAAGATGCTGTCATTGCGATGAATCTAGGCTGTGACGGAATTGTCCTGACCAATCACGGCGGACGAGCAGCTGATACTGCACCACCTGGGATTCTTACATTACTTGAACTCCATAAAAATTGCCCGGAAGTATTTGGACGAATGGAAATAATTGTTGATGGCGGCTTCCGGAGAGGCTCCGACGTCGTCAAAGCTATTTGTTTGGGGGCTTCGGCAGTCGGCATTGGTAGGCCTTTCATGTACGCAATCAGATATGGCTCTGAGGGCATCGATCACGCTGTTGAGAGTAAGACTCCCTGGACTAATTTTATCGCTGATGTGGAGCTAACAGAAGATACAGTTATCAAAGATGAGGTCGAAACGGCGATGCGATTATGTGGAATGACAGATCTAATGAGGGACGCTCATCCGGACTATGTGAATACTGCGGAAATCGATCATCTGGTACCAAGTCTAAAACACCCTTATGCCCGCAAGACTGTAAAGCGAGACTCGAAATTGTAGACTAGAGTGCATGCGAAAGGGTATATATTGTAACATGGATTCTGTATGAGGCTCTTGAAAAGCTATCTGTCTCCTAATTGGCACTCAACTCGATTAAAGCCAACACACCTTCTTATTCTAGCCACGTTACCGTCTTGTAGTACAAGAACTCCTCCAGTCCTTGGTATCCGTTGAATCGACCAAAGCCACTCTTCTTCACTCCGCCGTGAGGTAAAGCGAACTCATCGTGCACACTCATGGTATTGATGTGCACCGCCCCAGATTCCAGGCCTTCTGCAATACGGAATCCTGCTCTCAAGTCTTCAGTATAGATTGAGGCCGATAGTCCGTATTCTGTGTCATTGGCCAGTTCCAGTGCCCCTTGCTCCGTGTCGAATGTGTAAAGTGAGACACTGGGGCCAAAGGACTCGGTAGCGTATATTTCCATGCCTTTGGTGACATTGGTCAAGACCACAGGAGACATCTTAGTCTCCAATTTTCCGGTGACGTTGGTGTTACCAAAGACCGCCTGTGCGCCTTGCGAAAGTGCATTGTCCACGAGCCCTCTGTTCCTTTTCGCAGATGCAGCTGTTACTAGAACAGGAGTTGCTTCTGCGGAGCCAAAAACATTCTTGATGGTTGCCTGGAGAATGGATTTGAATGATTCTACTATTGAAGAATGAACTAGAATTCGCTCAGTTGACATGCATATTTGACCAGCCTGGAAATAGAAGTTAGAATGTGACTGAAATGATCGTGGAGTTATTCTAGCACTCACATTTAGGAAAGCACCCAATGTACACTGCAGTGCCGCGTTCTCAAGATCAGCATCTTTAAGGACAATGGCGCTCGCCTTCCCTCCCAGTTCCATCAAGACGGGTTTCAAATGCCTGCCAGCGGAAGCGGATATTATGCTGCCAACCTTTGAGCTGCCAGTGAAGTTAATTTTCTTGATGGCAGGATGAGCAATCAATTGCTCCGTAACGGCGACCGCGTCTGAAGGGCGATGGAAGATAGTGTTCAGAACGCCATCTGGTAAACCTGCCTCACGAAAGACATCTGAAAATCCCCAATAGCATTGCGGTGAGAACTCTGGTCCCTTTAGAATTGCAGTATTTCCGGTGGCCAAGGGAAAAGTAATAGAGCGTAGCCCGAGGTGGAAGGGGGCATTCCTGTCACTATGTTAGTCTTAGACGCCTAATGGTGTCCAGCTACCTTACCAGGGTGCTATACCGAGCACAACGCCATAAGGTCTCTTCAGGACCATGGCACCCATTCCTTTATGGATGGACGTGGGGACCTCACCCGTCACTGCTCCAGCGATTCTTCCTGCCGTATCTTTCAAGCCTTCAATCGCCAAACCAATGATAAATTCTTGATATTCCTTGCTAGCGCCAATTTCTTCGTGTATGTAATGCGCCATTTCATCCTTGCGTTTTGCGAAGATGTCTGCTGCCCGAAGAAATATATCTCGTCGCTCCGACGGTTTAGTCGCGGACCAGCTTGGAAAAGCTGCGCTAGCAGACTCAACAGCATCATGAACATGCTGAGGTGATGCAGTCGAGCAGTGAGATATCTCGGCTCCTTTCAAACATCCAGTTACCGTAAAGGTCTCTTCCGTCGTTACATCTTTGCCACTGATGATGAGTGGAACCGTGTGAAGATTGCGCTTGCCACCATTACTTTGACACCTTGTGACTGAACTCCAGGATCTATCAGTCAATCGACGCAGTTTACTTGCTCTTCGAATATTGTACATCATGCTGACTGCAACAAGATAATGGAAGTTCGCTGAGATTGGTATTTGTTGTTTTGGGAGTCGTCAAACTGGTTTGATGAGCCACAATATCAGTTTGGGTTGCAAGACTGATCTGTGCCAAAACATGAGAACGTGATAGAGTAGCTTGAGCTAACGCAATGTGATGCACCCGCCCTGATTCAGTCTGCCAAGTAGACTTCCAGTCTAGTTTTGATGTGTACTGTAGAGCTGCTTAACCTAACATCAACATGGTTGGGTTGAATCCCTCATCCGCCGTCGGAACTTGCTCTGGGACTCACTGGTGCTTTAACGAGCTTATGGACATGGACTTATGCAGCTCCGGGTTCCGATCTAGCCTCAAATTGGCCCCAGTCAGATTGCGGTGCTGGTCGTTATCTTGATTACCTGCCTGCATCGCCGGGGCAATTTCTCCACATTAGCCTTAGTAAAAAGTAGATCTAAAAGGCTAGCCCGTTTCTGTTCTTGGGTTTTGAGCGGAATTTCCGACGTGCCATTCCTTAGTCGCCCAACAAACTTGGGTCAGTGAATCGGGCGTGAAGTTGGACAGCACTTGTGCCGTACTGGCTGCAATCGATCAGTGATTTGGAAATTTGCGGGGATTTCCTGATGCTCATCGTGGTGTTTCGAAATCCTGACACACGTGTTCCGCAGCATGCACCTAGCTGCAGCACATGTGCATAGTTACCTGCAAGCTTCCTGGCAACAGTGTGATGTGCATATGGCATTGATCGCGACGAGAGTCACCTAAGTACCCCTAGACAGTCTTCAATTGGTACAATCTATTCTGAAGGTGCCCGAGGATGAGCTCATAATAATGTTGATCTACTGGGCCCTTTATTATTGGTAGCAACAATTTAAGTAGGGCGTAAAACATGCGCTCATGACCTGGTCCTGACTGTCATACACAAATCGTGAGTCCCTGCTCCATGGCAGGGATGAACCAGAACACCTCCAAGATATATCGAGTGTGAGCTAGCGATTCCGAATACTTCTCTCACATTATCTCATGATTCACCTCCATACACCCTGTTTAAGCTTGAGGATACGGCTGAAATCGTATACCTTAGCAATGGCCACTTGCACGACAAATAAATCCGAATGTGACATGTCGTAGCATCCAACAATCGCAAATCTGCTCTCTGTGCTGATTTGGTCCACTGCAGGACCCCTGCGGTATAGGCATAGACAATGAATCATCTCTTCGTCTAGGTTGATGGTATGATCTCCGGGCATGGATTTGTGATTCTTTGGCTCATATTTCGTCCGTCTGCACCAACATGTGATGCTCGTTTTATTCGAGGGTAGAGACAACCTTGATTAGAGGACTTAGCTCGAATGGCGTGACCTCGACTCCTGCTGTTTGTGGCAACTGTGCCTAATAGGCTAAGGCTCTTTCGGGGTTCCGCCAGGTATTTTGTCTTTCTTCGATCTCTCAAACCCGTTCCATCGATGAAAATTATCCAAGAAAATGCCCATTGAGTCAAGCATCCTACCGACACTCTGGTTCACCATCTCGTCGAGGCTCTTGGGCTGTGTGTAGAATGCTGGTACAGGAGGGAATATGGTTGCTCCTGCTCGCCTCAAAGCGAGCATATTTTCCAGGTGAATATCGCTGAGTGGTGTCTCTCGCACAACTAGCAAGACTTTCCGGCCTTCCTTCAAGCTCACGTCTGCAGCACGCGAGATCAAATCATCACAGAAGCCAATTCGTACGGCTGCAAGGGTTTTCATGCTACAGGGAACAATCACGACTCCATCATGCTGGAAGGAGCCAGAGGCGATCGGCGCAGAGAGGTCTTTGGCAGTATAAGTCGCATGGGCCAGGCCACGTATTTGTGCTTCGGTTAGATTAGTCTCGTACTTGAGAGTTGCAAGTGCCCACTTGCTGATGATGAGATGAGTTTCGATGCCAAGTTGACGCATAATCTCTAGCATTCGAATGGCATAAATTGTGCCGGTGGCTCCTGTGATTCCCACGACAATTCTTCTGGGCCGTGGAGGCATAAATGTGACAAGATCTCCATCTGCGCGCGTGATGGTGGTGGCGGGAACAGAATGTGGTTCGACGCCAGATTTGTGTGACCCTGAAGTCGTATTGAGAGTGCTCGCCTGGCTAAAATGTTGCGCTCCTGTTCGTCGGCCACAGTGCTGCGTAACGGCGGTCGTGGTGATCTGCATTCTATACACTGGCACCCCAGTAAATCTGTGGCTAAATAATCTTAGCATGGTGATACTATTCAAGAACTGGTGTTCCTGGAAAGTTGCAGATTGCTTCGATGGAGAATTTTTCGCACACTGCTTGGACGTCTAGATGCAAATTACAATACAAGATGCTGCTAGATCAAAGTGGAGGTTATTTCCACATCCATATTGAAATTCCCATGATTGGAAGGGCCTCCTATCCGGGTTGTGAGTAGTTTACTCATTCACTAGTGAACCCAATTTGTGGGCTTGAGATTAACTAGCGTAGTCGTCACCCGATCCTGCATTCCGTTCCGGACGGTTGCATGCACCACATTTGCCAGGACGGTGGTTGAGATCACAGTTTCCTCATCTGCCGTATAGTCCTGGATCCTGGTAACAGAGATAATGATCAATATCTCTTCAGACCTTATAATGGTTCGCAACGGGTCAAGGATGGTTTCTCGGAAACTTTTACGTTCATATTTACAACCATTTACACAACCAAAGGGCATTCGCGCTTGGAAACACACCGTCAGCATGCCTCCAGACCCATTAGCCGCCCAAATTGATTTTCGTACTTTCATTGAGGTCCTCCGCCATGACGGTGACTTGGTTGAAATTGATCGAGAAGTGGATCCACACCTGGAGGTGGCAGCTATTGTTCGAAGGGTCAGTGAACTAAACGGCAAAGCACCACTCTTCAACAACGTAAAGGGAGCAAAAAATGGCCTATGGAGGATGTTTGGAAACGCGGCAAGCCTCAGAAAGAACGAAAACGAAAGGTACGGGCGTTTAGCCAGGAATCTTGGGTTGCCGACCGATGCTAGTTGGAAAGACATTGGAGACAAGACCCAGGCTGCCAAAAAAGCCACGCCATTGAAGCCAAACGTCCTAGCAACGGGACCGTGCAAAGAGAACAAGTTATCGGCCGACCAGATTGATTTACATCAGCTCCCGGCTCCCTATCTTCATGTTGGTGACGGTGGAAAGTACTTGCAGACTTATGGCATTCACGTTCTTCAAACCCCCGATGGGTCATGGACAAATTGGTCAATATTTCGGGGTATGATCCATGACAGCAAGCATCTTGTGTGCCTGGTAGGCAGGGGACAGCATAATCAAATCATTCGCGAGAAATGGCGGGAAGCAGGCAAGAGTGAGATTCCCTGGGCACTTGCTTTCGGTGTACCTCCAGCTGCAAATTTTGTTGCTGCACTTCCGATCCCAGAGAATGTTTCGGAGAGCGAATACGTTGGTGCCATGACTGGGAAGCCACTCGATCTTGTAAAATGTGAGCTGAGTGAGCTCCTGGTGCCCGCAAACAGCGAAATTGTCTTCGAAGGTGTTACGTATCTGGACCAAACCAGGCAAGGGGATGAAGGCCCCTTCGGTGACTATCTGGGACTGGTTTGCGAAGACGACAAGCACTCGATGCCACTATTTCGAGTTGATACGATCACGTACAGAGATGATGCAATCATGCCAATATCGGTGCCAGGAAGGATAACAGACGAATCAGTAAGTTATTCGCACATACGTTGACTCATGGGTTTACTGCTTGCTAAATGTCTATGACCACGTAGCACACAACCGGAGCACTCGCAGCAGCGGAACTACTCACGTTTTGCAAGAAGCATGAATTGCCAATACTCGACGCGAACGCACCACTAGAAACCCATGGAACCTGGTGTGCGCTGACCGTTGATACAGAAAAGCTCCGTTCTCTCAAGACCAACTCTCAGGACTTCTGCAATAAACTCGGAAAGATCATTTTCAAAAACAAGAGTGCAATGCTTGTCAACAGAGTGATCCTCGTTGGGGAGGACGTGAACATCTATGATTTGAAAGACATAATTTGGGCACTAGCAACGAGATGCCGCCCTGGTGTCGATGAGTTTGTCTTCGAAGATGTCCCAGGATTCCCATTGACACCGTATATGGCCTACGGCAGAGGTCACCCGACGCGGGGTGGGAAAATGATCCAAGACTGCGTAATGAAAGCAGAATACGAAGTTGGCAGGCCTTTTACGAAGGTTGATTTTGAGACTTCGTATCCAGAAGATGTCAAGGCAAAGGTTAAATCGACTTGGCGAGAGATGGGTTTTGATGAACCTTGATTGATTGAGACGGGAGACTCATGTCTCATCTGACGATGCGAGTCAATTCGATCTCAGTAAGCTTATCTGTGCCATCCTTAGAAATCCGAGTTACCCAGCTACGCGGAGCAATTCATGATAGAGCTTCCGTCGCTGAGTTATCGCGGTCCGCTACTTCGGAAAGGGTCTGGAACTTTTCCGCGCAGCCCCAAAACGGCCCTTGGCTTTTGACTAGTCCCGTCTTTCCATGATAATAGAGTGGTTAAGCTAGTATGATAATAGTGACATGTTTGTCTAGTGTTGAGACTTGGTGGAATCGAATATAGACACCTGATATCTTGGGAACGAGAGCCTACAGTTCATTCATATTCGTTGGGAGACAAACATCTTCAATCAGTATTCTTCCTTCTAAAGCAAAAGCTTTTACAACTATTTAAGAACCATGGGTGATGCTAGTGTAGTAGAGAAGATCTATGATCTCGTGGTGATTGGTGCTGGTATGTGGTATCCGCATATTTTATATTCTTGACTCACATAATTTTAAGGCTGGTATGGACTTGGGTCAGCTAAAGCATATATCCAGCTTCATCCCAATGAGAAGATTCTGGTTTTGGAGGCAGAAAACAGTTGTGGAGGTACGTGGTCAAAGGATAGACTGTACCCTGGGTTGAAGTCGAACAATTTATGGGGCTCGTACGAGTTCCCCGATTTTCCCATGGAGGAAAAGGTGTATGGTGTCTCAGAGGGACAGCATATTCCAGCAGCCACGCTGCACCGCTATCTGACCGACTTCGCGAAGAACTTCGGCATCTTTGAACGAACGCTGTTCCAGACGAAAGTTGACTCGGTCGAGGCTACCGCTAACGATGAGTGGGCCCTCAATGTCACCTCGAATACCAGTACAATTCAGCGAATCCAGACGAAGAAACTGATAGTAGCCACTGGGTTGACTTCTCAGCCGAATATGCCCTCATACCCAGGCGAAGAGTCCTTCGTTCCACCATTTTTCCACGCTAAAGAGTTTTGCAACCGAGCAGATACTGTCCAAACCTGTAAAAAAGCGACAGTTGTCGGAGCGGGAAAGTCTGCCTTTGACGTTGCATACGCATTTGCGACCGAAGGTGATGCACAAGTTGATTTGATCATTCGTCCTACAGGCCAAGGTCCAGTCTGGATTTGCCCACCGTATGTCACACCACTCAAAAGGAAGATGGAAGAACTCCTCTCTACACGTGCATTGACATTTATGAGTCCATGCCCATGGCAAGGCGAGGATGGCTTTTCCATGGCGCACAGCTTCCTCCATCGAACTGGTGTCGGGAGATTTATCGTCAACAACTTCTGGAACCAAATCAGTTCTGAGGTTGTCGAGACACATGGTTATAATGATGATCCTGAAGTATTCAAGTTGAAACCTTGGAATAGCGCGATGTGGACTGGGAGTGGTGTTGGCATCCACAATTACCAGACCAATTTTTTTGACCTTGTCAAGGAGGGAAAAATCAGGGTTCACCTCGCGGACATCGTGAAGTTAGACCAAAATACCATCCACTTGAACAACGGGGAGGCCTTTGAGACCGAAGTTCTGATATGCGCCACTGGCTGGAAGAAGACATCGGAGGGCTTGAAGTTCAAAAACTTCAGCAGCGGCTTGTCATACACAACCTCCGACATCAAACGCCTCAGCAAAGAGGCTGACAAGAAGGTCCACGAAATGTTCCCAATTCTCAAGGATCAACCAGTGCTTCGTGGCCCTGTGAAAGCTGAGGAGCCGCTACGAAATTATCGGTTTATAGTACCATCTGGAGCAGTTTTCAAGAGAAATATCGCCTATGCTGGCATGGTTAGCACTGTCTGCACCTCCATCTTTTCAACAGTGCAAGGTCTCTGGATCTCTGCTTTCCTTGATGGCAAGCTTCAACGCGCACCGAAGACAGAAGATGAGGTTACGAAGGAGATTATGCTTCACACACAGTTCGAAAAATGGAGATACCCATGTGGATATGGTGCATCTCTGCCCGATTTTGCGTTCGACTCCATTCCCTATGTCGATCTACTTGTGAACGACTTGGGCCTAAAGAATCACCGAAAGTCATCTCCTATCTTGGAATTATTGGAAGCATATAAACCGAAGGACTATCTTGGGCTGGGTGAGGAATGGGTTGAAGCTTATGGAAACCAGTAGGCTTGAGGGGCCGAAGGAATAGTTCGTTGATGTATTGCAAATTAAAAGACTCTTACAAGGTGATGCCCAGTGAGATATGATAAATTGAGCGAGGTGAAAGTGTTTTCTTGGGTATACGTACTGTAGACGAAATTAAATCAATATTCCCGAGTTTTGAGGTCAGTCAAGGGCTTTCGATGCTCCTATAAGATACCATGGGTGTGAATGATGTGGAAGCCCCATTCGAAGCAATAAGGTAACCACGAGTCAGGTGTGAGTTTCGCGAAGAATGGAAGTGTAAGAGATGTTTCACATCCTATTATCGAATGTTATTTGACACAAGTTACAATTGCCCTCCATCTATCATGGATAGTAAATCAGTCCCTCAATTGTCCCAGCATGAAGCCCTCCAGTTATAGGGATATCGACGGCAGTTGTAAAGCGAGCTGCATCGCTTAGTAGATATATAATTGCTCCAGTCAGATCATTCTGATTGCTGAGACGTTTCATCGGTGGTGATATTTCGAGCTGCTCTGCTTCCTGTGGTCCCTTCGAGGCCTTGACCCTTTGTAACATATCAGAATCCACGAACCCAGGTGAGATGCTATTGACTCGAATGTTATGAGGCGCCAGTTCCACACCGAGTGCTTTTGTTAGCATTAGAACTCCACCTTTAGACATGTTATATGCTGCCATGCGGTGGCCTGGAATTGCAATATGCGCCGTCTGAGAGGCAAGTAGAACCATGCTGCCACCCTTCCCTTGCTTGATCATTTGCTTGGCAGCCAGCTGACAGCTGAAGAACAGCCCTCGGCACTGTAGATACAAAATTTGATTAATAACCAATACTGGAAACACGTAGTGATTTGTAGACTGAGCTGGACTTACGTTTATCTCATGAATGCGGGTAAACTCCTCCCATGTCTGGTCAACAAAAGGTTTATCAATGGCGATACCAGCAGATGGCACCAGGCCATCTATCGTCCCTAGCGCATTGATCGCTTTCTCAAACGCACTTGCAAGGCTTTCTTGGTTGGTGACATCTGCTTGGAAGTAGAACGTTTTGGCTCCGAACTTGCTGGCAAGGCTGTCGAACTCCTCCACAGGTTTTTCCTGCACGTCCAGTATTGCAACATTGCCACCGAGTTCACAAATAGCACGTGCCGAGGCGAATCCGATGCCACCAGCACCTCCTGTGATTATGTAGTTTCGACCTCGTAGCTCGAAAGCTGGCCGAATATCTTCAAGTGGAGGAGCCATGAAGATTGAATACAATGAATGACTCCGCCTAATGAAATGACTTTTTTCGTACAACTTTGTGGTTCTTGACCACGTGATTAAACTCGATCTTATCTTCTTCTGCAGAGACTTCTCAAGGGCTGAATACTTTCTTAAAGGTAGTCAGGTGAGGTTTGCGCGAATGTACACCTCTGGAGCTGGGGCTGCAAAAGCTTGGAGAAGATCCGTGCGGCTGTTGATAACGGAATCTCCGCCAAGGCGAGTCTACAAGAGAAGGAAAGTCTTCGGAAACTGCGGAATTGGAACATCATGCCATCACCACACCTGACACACCGGATACACCTGAAACCCTTGAACGTGGTCAATGACTATATATTCAAAATTCCATGTGCTTATGCTCTTGATAGGTATTGATGCTCCTGGTAAAGGCTGACTAACAATATATAGCGAATCATAATGAGCAAGTACAATGACATTAGCCAGCCCCCTCCCCCTCTGCCAAGTCCCAACTTGGTAGAGCTCGAGGAGGGCTTGAAGTTGTTGCTGCCACTGACCCGGAGAGGACACGGCCCTGGTATCGTTCTTCTCACACCAAATACAGATGATCCACTTGCTATCAGAGAAGGCGTGCCATCTCTCTTGGTGAAATGGGCCGAGGAAGGATATGCAGTTGTCGGCATCGAGGAGCGGGCACTGGACAGGGGAGTGTCAACGTCCCTCAAGGCGGCTTTAAAAGCACTTTCGACGTGCGAAAAGTGCGAGCCAAAAGGCAAAGTCGGTCTCGTTGGTATGCCCCTCTGATAACTTCTTCCGACCAAAGCAGATGATCGCTAACTCATGAAATCATTAGCATACAGCGCGGGTTTGTGGGACAAAGCAGCACCCGTGCTGGCAGACACGCCTGAGGTTCTGGCCGCAATATTATATGCTGATGCTTCCGAACAGAAGAGCTTATCACAGGCCAACATACCGGTTCTTCAACAACTCGCTGGTGGCGAGCTGACAACACGTCAAATTTCCTCAACCATTCTCAGCACTTATTTCTATCCAGATGTGCAATCACATAGATTTGCGATTCCCTTTTCCGAGTCATTCCACTACAACACGGAGGCTCTCTCACACACCCGTAACCTAACGTTTCTCAAACCTATAATGGGGGGACCATATTTTGATCTCGAGCTCATCTGGGACGAGCATACGTACTACGAGTTCTCTGATCGATCAGTGGAACACACTATGAGTACTATGGTTCAAGAACCATACGTTAATCATGTGCCAACAGTGAGTTGATGCATATATCCGCCAAAAGCGTACTAACAACGACATTCAGATGACAGGAGGCGTGGGCCGGGCAGCCCTGACTTCATTCTACAGACAAAACTTCATATTCTTAAATTCCGTTGATACTTCAATGGAGCTGCTAAGCCGAACTATTGGTATTGATCGAATTATAGATGAGTTTCTGTTCAAATTCACACACGACAAGGAACTGGATTGGTTGTAAGTTTTCATCCTGGCCTGGCCACGTTTCGGTGCTGCACCGAACAGCATACTGACAGGGACTAAACTAGCCTCCCTGGAATCCCGCCGACATTTAAAAAGGCAGAGATCCCTTTCCATGCCGTTGTGAATATCCGAGGAGATCGATTATATCACGAGCACATCAACTGGGATCAAGGGACGGCGTTGAGACAACTGGGCTTGATGCCCGAGTACCTGCCGTACCCCTCTCAACTTGTCAACGGCAGCGAATCGACACCTGGCAAGCGCTATGAATACAGAGTGCCAGTAGGTGGGATCGAGGTCGCCTCGAAGTTGAGGGACAGGAATTCTGTTTCATCCAACGAGATGTTCAAGTTTCAAGTGAAGGAGGTTGAAGAACACCAGACCTAGGGACCGAATCTATGACATACAGTTCCGGAAGGAACCCAGAGTGTTATACTTGCTGGAAGATTAAGGGTCGCTACGCTTTAATTGTACAGCAGGATTTGAAGCTGGCATGTCGATTGAGTCTGTTTCATTTCTTACCAGCCATTCCTCGAGGTATAAATCCTGCAGAACTCTACTTGTGGGCTAAGTCGCTGCCACGGACAGGAGACTGCATACGGGGCTACGACCAAGGTTATGCCAGGCTGACGACAAGTATGCGTGTGATGGCGACGAAATTAGATGTTTCAACATGACGGATGAGTGGATTTCTGCCTTTGATGAATACTAGAGTATTGTCCGCACTGAACATACGGTAACATCATTTTTGAGAAGGATTGTGTTCACGAAGGCATCGCACAAGCTTGTCTAGAATAATGGCTTGGGAATTAATGCAGATTGAATAAATGCGGGTTCATTGGGTTTTCATAGGCACATCATACATACGTCCCCATGTCAAAACGACCCAAAAGTGTTTCCAGGAAGAGAGTTTGTTAGATCGTCCGATGGCCACTCGTGGTCCAGCCAGTCAAAATACTCCAAATTCATATTGAAATCGAAGAGGAAGGGATTGGGGCCTAGCATCGGATTCGTAGCGCCGGGGAAGAACGTCAGCTCGGTGACTGGCATACTCTCCGCACTTTCATTGAGACTTGGAACCTGCTGTTTGCCCAATTGCGGATCCTGTGTGATTCTGAGCTGGCCCCTTGTTGGTATTTCAGAGGAACTTGAAGTGGGTGCTGATTGAGGGAAGTGACTAAGATTGTAGTGCGGGGAGAGGTAACCTGCACGTAGCAGGGTGTCCTTGATCGCATTTAAGCGTCGGAAAAGTTTGCGCGAAGTGAGTGATGCATCGTTGTAGGACCTTGAAAGATCGAGCGCCATCCAGAAATTTCGGTTCACCGTACTAGAAAAGTCGATGGGAAGATCCATGGGTGGAGACGCATGGTTTTGTGCAATATATGAAAGGACCAGGAAAAGCAAAGCGCATGAGCCTGCCAAGATATGTTGGAGAGATGGATGCTGAATCCTGTAGACGTTGGTTGTTTTGTCCAAAACGGTAAGAACATTGATAGAATCCGTTATGATGTCAAGAGCCGGTTTGATCTGTCTCTTACTTGCAGGATTCGCCGGATCGGAGAGAAAGAACGGTCGAAGGAGGATACCTCGCACCGCATTGGCGCGCAGATAGAGTATCACAACCCAGGCAGGGGGGATTTTGGAAGGTTGAGTCTCCCAATCCGATAGACGAGTGAAGTCCCAGTTTTCGGTTGCTCTCTTCCTCCACTGTTCGAGGAGAAAATTAGTGACCTCAAAGGAGTCATCATCCGTGTAGCAACCTCCAGTAGCAACTCTGGATATTGGCTCGTTGAACTTATGGCTCATAAGTGTGAAATCCATCATGTGCTTTAAATACGGGGTCTTGGCCTACGTAGACCGTAATCAGTATCAGAATATCGCCAAATAAACTTTCAAGCATACCGAAGAGCCTATGGCTAGGTCAAAGTCCGTGTTTTGAAAAGTATTAGGAAGACCAGCTGAAGCACTCAGCTGTCGATCTAGGACGACTAAGCTGCAGGATAGATCCACGACTGCAGCCCGTTGTTCGTCGTTTTCCAGACACTGCTGGGACATTTCCCGACTGTGAAGCCCTAACTCCATTGCCATGCGCCCGGCCTGGCCACAAGTTCGCCAGGCGAGACGAATTCTGCCCATGAAGAAGTGTCGAAGACTCTATGAATGGTTAGCTTTGCTGCCAAGTGAGACTTCTTGTCGTCAATGGCTCGCTTACCACTAGAAACACAACATACACGTGTTTTATGTCGGTTGTGAGACTCGCAAGTCTGGTCTGGATAATCTCACGGCAGCTCTCGTATATGGACCGACCTGTTTCTGATAAGGGACCTGTTTCTGTGCATAGGGCAATTGTCAAAGCCAGATTGATGATCAATAGATCGTTCTCAGTTATTCCAGGTCCTTGAGGACCAGGCAATCCTAATTCTGAGATGGGTCGCGTGTAGCATGCGTCAACTTGCTGCACCATACGTTTAATATCACATATGGGGTGCAATTCCCCCATCATGCTGTGATAGATAAGAAGCACTCGAACCGCTTCATCCTTGGGAAAGGAGTTGCGGAATTCGAGTAAGTTTGAATGCAGGACCTGCTTGTTAGGTTGATGGAAAGGTAAGGCATAGTCAGTTTCTGGGCTGTATGGCTGATCGTTCCCATCGTCTGAGTGGTCGGTATCAACACTGGGTGAAATCGCAGATGCCGATCCAGGACCAGACGCGCGGTCGGATTGCATCCTTCTTTGTGCGGCGTTGAGACTATATTCTGGACTTGTGGGACCACAAAACGAGTTCGTTGGACGCCGGGGAAGACTAGGTGATGTCCTTTTGGCTGGTTCAACAAAATGAAGGGCGACCGCTTCACCTGAATTCGGCTTGGTCTCCAATGGGCGCCTCTGGCCGTCCACATTGGATGCTGTGTCATGGATATTTTGGGTTGTCCTCTCATCAGACATTTTCACATGTGCCAATAAGGCATTCAGTTGCCCCTGCATTGTTGCCACAATCTCATCGAGCCCATTCAGCTGAGGTTCCGAACTAAAAGAGACCATCAATCATACTGAAGCGTGGTAGGAGGCAGAATTCTTCACCTTTGCGCCCAACCAGCTCCTTTGGCGTTGTTCTGCACATTAATCGACAAGCCTTGGGAAGGGTTCCGCGAGTCTTCAATATTTGGCGTATACTGGCACTCAAAGGAACGCCCAATGCAATATTCGCACGGTTTGCGGCCATCACACCGAACCTTGCGTCTGCGGCATGTCTCGCAAGCCCGTGGTATGTACGGCGCACGCTTCTTACTCGGTTCGCTTGCGGCTGGTACTAAAGCCCGTTTTTCTGCTGGCATGGTTTGAAGACGCCGAAAGCGCAGATTGAGACGTTGACAGTCTTGGACGATCTGATGGCACGCAAAAAAGTTGTTGAGTCAAGCAAGTCTAGAGACGAAGTATTCCTTAGGAAAATGGCCTTTCTAGTATAGCTTCTCGTTTCGTTCGATAAGACACTCACCCAGTGGAAATACAAGGCCAAAAATATTTGTCGCAGCACAGGAAAGGTTGTGGCGGAGCACTAGCTAATGTTGATGAAGAAGAAGACTGAAGTTAAGTAGCTAAGGTCCACGATGGAGGTCACCTTCCCGATTCCAGTGCCAGAGAAAGGAAGTGCGGGGGAGCGATAAGTGTGGACACTCCTTCGTAAGTAATTGTCAAGAGCTAGCTACAGCCTACAGCCTACAGGGACCTTCGGGACGCGCATCCACCAACTTTAAATGAGAGGCCAGCAGTGTTGGTGGTGGGCTGTCCTCTGGAAGCTTGTTGCAGAGGCACTGATAAGCTTGACCAACGAGGCCTGTTAGCGCTTTTCTAGGGGCATTACGCTTATCAGTTGCTACCCAGGTATGCTGGAACAGACACTCCCGAAAGTCCCAAGCACCGAGGTGCGTGCGGTCCGGATTTATTTTCATTTCTACTTCTTACGGCGGATAAGAACCATTCTCGTTTATCTTCTACATGTTTTCGAGATAGTCGGAATCGCCCGGGGCGACTTAAAGGAATTATTTTTCATGAAGAAGCCCCGTTTACATGGATACCGTTCGAACCATTCAATCCGTTTGAGCGTCGGCCCTGAAACACCTCTGCAACATGAGCTTTCATGTCATACCTGCGAAGAGAGTTAGCCTCAATACGAGCAATTCCTTTCCAAATCAAATACTCACAGGTTCATCTCATCGATGGTCAGTTTTCCTTCTTCGTTAGATACGTTATAAACTGTTGTGTCTGTGTTGCTCGAAAAGCCTAGATTACCGTTAGTGAAGTTCCCATGAAGTTTCACTTCATTAACGATGCTTACCAATCCTCTCGTTGATATTTTCTCGCGCTCTCGCAGATGCAGCCTGTACTTTAGTTGCTCGCGGTTTGCGGACTTGCTCAAAAACCTTGAGCGATTCTCTAATATCACCAGAGAAGTGAGTCTTGCTGAAAACGAGTCCCAGCGCAGCTGCATCTTCGATTGCCTGGCAAGCTCCTTGACTTTGATCCGGCATCATCTTAGTTGTGTCAGTACATCTTGCTGTACAACCTCGCAGAACTGAGCCCTTACCGGATGTGCTGCATCCCCCATAAGCGCAACTTTACCCTCCGTCCACAACGGGTACGGCTCGTGGAGCCACAGTCGCCAGGGCCGAATTTCATAGCCGATTTCGAGGTGTTTGAACACTTGACGGTCTAAATCTGGGTAGGGTGCAAGGAGTTCGTCCAAGGACGCTTCTTGATCCCAGGTATGCCCTGTGAGGTCCCCTGCCTCCCGAGGAAAGAAGCAGTAGTAGGATAGCAATTTACCGCCATTGCAAGGTGATAGGACGATTTTGAAATGGGTGTTGTATCCGCCCCAATACTCAAGAGCACTGTTCTTCGAGTAGTCTACTAGACCGAGTTCGACAGCTTTCTCGGTGTCGACGTTGGTATGCAAGCACGTGCACGTAGCAGGCTTTCGGATGGTCTCGATTCCCAAGACTGTCCGTAGAGCAGAGCCTATTCCATCTGCACCAACGATGACATCGTGTTTGGCTTTGACGCCATTAGCAAATGTGATTTCGCCAGTCTCAACGTCGACATTTTCTGCCTAGTAAGCAAGGTCAGTAGATTACCTAGTCAGATTTCTTCAGCATTTACCTTATGATTGACGACAAGCTTAGCTGGTATGCCTTCTCCTTTCTCACTCGTTGCACTATCCAGAAGCATTTTGTGCATGTATTGTCGATGAAACATGTTGTAGACCTGTGGAATGTCAATCGATTGCTGTGCGAAATTGTTCTGAAAGTGAAATATACATATCCCCAGCGCTCCTTGTAGTCTGCAAGGTCATACACGCTCACAGGCTCTCCCGTTTTCCAGTCTCGACTGATCAACTTTTCAAGGACAACAGGGTCGCCAAGCTCGATATTGACCTTCCATTCTTCCAGCCAGCGGGTGCCATTCGCAGCGCAACTGATTGATGCTCCAACCTCACCGACAAAGTCTGCCTTGTCATAGATGGTCACTCTGTGACCCTGTCTCCGAAGAGAAGTTGCAGCTGCCTGACCACCGATGCCGCCACCAACGACAGCGATATCAAGCTGACGCCATCCTGCTTGAGTTGCCATTTTATTTCGGTGTTGAAACTTTTGAATAAATCACGTTAAATCGATCGGAGAATCCAGCAATATTGCTGCATTTAATAAGTGGACAGCCTACTTTACATGTTTTTTTTTCTGAACCTCATTGCCGGCAATGATAAGATCTCTTGCCTGACATTGTTCGAGGTTGCGAAGTCGTACATGGAACAACGTTCAAAGCAACGAGGCTCGGAACAAGTGTGTACGACCATTCCGATTCTACGGAATGCCTTTAAATCTCATTGGTGGTACAACTCCTCGGCTTCTGCATCAGTCATGCTCCCAGAGCGTTTATGATTGGCTGGTTCTTGATCTCGTTCTCACTGTTGTACCTCTTATCTCGAAAAAACAAAGGGTGTTCTTCCTCCATCCGATATACACGCGCTGATCCACGATTATTGTTCAATCTTTGCGCCAGAAACAAGGCTTCGTATCGCTAATCCATCAATGGTGAACACTCCATGGACAGGTAATGCTGGTTCGCCAGTTCAGGCCTAGCTCAGTTTACGATTCTTGCAGCTTAACTTCACGACTCGAAGTTTTTGTCTTGCTTACATCATTTGCTATCCGATGGCACTTGAAGAATCATTATGGTCCCATTGGTGAACAGCAAATATTTGATACTATATTCAAAATACCCCAACATGAAATATACCCAGAGAAAATGTCAATCGGCCTTACTACTCCTTACAATTGATGAGAGCCATGCGTGAAGACAACCTCATGACGTGCAGAGAATTCCAACGATTCGGAATAGGGATTCTCGTGGTTGTGGAATACAGAAAGGGAGTTAAGGAGTTGTTTGGTCGGGTAACTGAAAAGACTAGATCTGGAGATTCTGTCTAGGTCATGTTTGCTGGCAGATGCAACAATGATTCTGAGCCTTCATATCTTCAGAGGACCTCCCCTAGCTCTCAATTTCTCGCCCCATATGTGCAGGACGATAATGATTGTAAGTGATGCCGCTGAGATCCCTGCTTGAGTGCCAAATGAAGCGGCCCATCCAACAGATTGACCCCATCCAAGTTGGAAGTACCCAACCGAAAACCCTGACAAGATACGAGAAGCATTCAACAGCGAAGCGATCTCACCAGGAGCTGTTGGATACGCATCCAGGATGTAAGCTGTGAGCGATACGGTCATCACCATTTGCCCAAAGACGAAAAATCCCCAACCAACCATAACCGCTCCGATATGCAGGTGACGTCCAAGAGCCTGGCCGAGTAATATCAGTCCCCCTACCATTAGTGCATGAGCTGGGTATATTGGTGGTAGGCGAGCCTCAGGTTTAAATAGACCGTTATGCTTTCGAATATAACGTCTTGCGATCCATTCGTTGTTCCAATGGCCAACAAGTTCCCCAACGAGGACCGAACATACGGGTAGTATAGCGCAGAACCCTGCAGATTTTGTGCTCATCCCGTAGCCACCAGCTTCGTGTGGAGTCCCGAACAGAATACCAGTGGTCTGATTCACGCCAATTACCCACATGAGATTCATAGCACTGGCGATAGTTAGCTAATCATTGTAGACCAGTTCTGTAGCAGTCATTCTTACTAGTAAAGCATCACCAGAAAGACCGCTGGTTTCATCAAGGTGGCAAAAAGTCGAACCAAAGATTCCTTTGGCCGTATGAAATAGCCAGGTGTAGTTTGGAGCTGCCAGACCCCTATTACGCGAAATATCCTGTTACCACGCGATGGTTGAGACGCAGGGGCGATATCGCGACGATACCAAGTTTCGTCCAGAAAGAAGATGGATAACATCACCACGAAGCTTCCTAGCGCAAAGGTGACCCAAAAGATTGTTCGCCATTTTTGAGTATCCGCCAGGATGAAATACCCAAAGACCGGTGAGGTATAAGGAGCCACCAAGAGCATCATGGTCCAAAGACCAATTTTCCGAGCCTGTTGGTGGAAGAAGTACATATCCTGGACAAAGGCTAGTCCGACCGTCAGGCTTCCAGAGAAGAAGAAACCCATGACAGCTCGAGTACCATAGTAGCCGGCGAAATTCTCCACTAAGCAACAGCCGAGAGTCATGCATGTGCCGACGAAGTTGACCCAGAAGAGCACAGGTGCTCTACCCCACGAGGACATAATCGGTAGCCAGAAGAGACCACCAATTCCGCTGACAGGACAGTCAGTACTTGGGGACAACTTATATCTCAGTAGACTCACATCATGAGTAAATTCAAGTTACCAGCATAATTGACATGGTTTGGTGATATCCCCCACTCCTTGGCCTGTGGTCCAAGCAATGGGGCACCCGCGGCGGCTTGGAAGTCTGTCAAGAATGACGCGCTTGCCATAGTGCAGAACAGGAGGGATTTTCGTAGGGTAGACCAGTTCAGTGGGTCATTGGGATCATCAGATGGTTGTGGTATGAGTATAGTCTGGCGATTATACGTTCAGTATCTTGTGCAAAACATGGAAAATGGAGATTCTCACGTGGCCATCCTCTGCTAGTTTGATACCATCATGCTCTGCATCAATTTCACCTTTTGCACGAATATCGACAAACAATGCTCCATTTGCTCGTTCAATCTCTGGCCTCTGACTGACTTCCATAGATTCAATGTCGGCTGAAGGTGGTGACATTGTGAGAGACGATCTACTGTTGGCCAGTCCTTTGGAGTAAAGTCGTCTGGCACACAACTGAGGTAGATATAGCTCTATGCATTGATGAACAGCTTCGGATTGTTCCGTGTTGTATTAACTTCTGGTTCCGGCATGATAGCACTTTCTTATATTGCCTCGGGATCAGACTGGCCAAATTTCCGTGGATTGTTTCGAGGCTGAAGATGCTACTGACTTCAGTGCTCGCCGAGCAATAACATGGACATCGACCTACTGGAACCTAGTGAAGGCATGGAAGTGGCAGCCAAGATTAGCCAATGTTTACTTGCGAATGCAATCACTTCGATCGATAAGGAAGGGTTATCTGATAGGCAGGCACTATCCTATCATACCTTGTGCTGAAGAACAATAGCACACGCACGTCACGGCAGTTGTTCATATCTTCTTCATTCAGAATGTTGGAGGCGAGTTACTGCCTAGAATCCCAATTTTGGATATTTCATAGAGCAAGATCTGGTGGAAGGGTTCATGATCACGATAGGATTTGCGACTTCCTTACGGCACATATAGAGGCTCACGGGCTGATGGAGACAAGTTTGCTAGGGACAAGTCTTCTTCACGAAAACGCCACCAATAAATGGGGCATTTCCAAGCAGACGGACCCGGCTAATGGCGCTAGCTGGTGCTGATAACGACACCAGTGATCCCTTATCATGTGTATATCTACGACTCAGATACTACTGTAAATGAATCGGAATGGCTCATTTCCGAACCACTCGCACCTTCCGTTAGGAGTGAAACTGAAGCAAAAGCAATGGGTACTCTATGTAGCTAGCGGTTCAGATGTACACACTGGGCAGATTTTGTATACCTTGTCTATGTTGAGCCTTAAGCCGTGGATCGGAGTTAGTTAAAGTAAAGCATATCGCCACGGCGTTCGAGTCACTTCTCATACTCAAGTTGTAGAGAAATCAAGCCTTCGTAACCATGGCTAACTCAACTATTGATATCCCCGAGAAATGCTGGGCAGCTGGCAAGTACCTCTAAGGTAGTATGGCCTCTGATGGATGCAATGCTGATAAACCATATTAGTTGTGAAAAATGCCGGACCAGAATTTTACGTCGATGTTGAACAGGTTCCAACACCTCAGCCAGGTACGCTTAGTAGATCCTGTAAACGGGAGGACAATCCCCGAGCGTGTGATGCAACTCAAGAGCCCTGACAAGCTGTCCTAGGTCCGAACGAGATCTTGGTGAAGATCAATGCGACTGGCATATGTTTAACGGATATTCATTTCATGTTGCAGGATTGGAATGTGCCAAAAATGTCAGACATGGGTACTAGATCTGCTGGACACGAGGTATGACTACAACAGCACATTTTCTGAAGCGATCACTGATACTTCGAAGGGGTCAGGTGTGATTGTGAAGTTAGGTTCGAACGTCACGAAGTTCAATATCGGCCAACGGGTGGGATATAAGCCGCTGCAAGACGTGTGCCACGAATGCGAGTATTGCAAAGATAGACGAGAGACATACTGTAAAACGCCAACATTTGGTGGCCTCCAACTCAACGGCAAGCTATGGTACTCTGAAGAAGACGCTGTACTGATATGAAGTAGGCTCATTCCAACAATACGTGGTGTGTGCAGAGAGGTATACGATCGTCATTCCAGACGGAGTATCAGACTATGTCGCGGGCCCTATAATGTGTTCAGCGTCGACTATTTACGCCTCCCTAAGAATATCTGGCCTCAAGAGTGGGCAGTGGGCAATATTTCCTGGTACGTTCAACTCAACCAAGACCCTGGAGAATATACTGATTATACAGGGGGTGGTGGCGGCGTAGGTATCCAAGGTGTCCAGCTCGCCGCAGCAATGGGTATGAGGCCAGTTGTGGTTGATACCGGGGACGAGCGAGAAGCTCTGTCGAAGCAATACGGGGCAGAGTACTTTTTTGATTTCCAGAAAGTGGATCCCGTTAAAGCTGTGTTGGATCTGACAGGTGATGGGGGTCATGGTGTATTCGTCACCGGCGTCCAGGCCTATCCGGTCGCTCTCCAGTACATTGGTTCGCGTCCAGGTGCAAAGGTTATGTGGTAAGTACGCGCCTCCTCGCTACCATTCTTTGATCGTTGACATCCAAAGTATTGGTTTGCCTCCAAAGGGGCGTTTCCATATGGACGTAGATCCTACCCAACTGGTGCTCTTGAACCAGTCAATTCATGGGTCTTTTGTTGGGGGTACGGCAGACATCGAAGCAGCCTTAGAGTTTGCGAGAAAAGGTATGTCCCTTGGGTCTTATTATATTCGGGCGAGTAATAGCAGCAAGTTAACTAAATGTCACAAAGGTCAGCTCAAATTACAACCTGATGTTGTAGGAAGGTCCAAATTCAATGAAGCCATACAGAAGCTGAGGAATGGTCAAGTTGCCGGGTAAGACATCCCCGATCTTGACTTACTCGTCGTGATATCTGGGCTAATGAAACATAGTCGCATGGTTGTAGATTTCAATATAGATTAGTTCCTGCTTCGCCAACATAGGTACGACTGGGGAAAGGCAATTGAGATCTTATACTCAATTCATATGTGATCGAATCGTCCAAAGGAAGACTGCCATAACTAGACCTTTAATCGCACAAACAATCTCAGTTGCATCTCAGAATAGATCAGAGGACTTCGCCCGTGAGAGCTTTACTGTGGGCGCTTTCGCGTGGTCTAGGATCTCGAACAGAGTAACTTACCCGGGTCTGGGCTCGACCTCAGACCCTAGAGTCGAAATGCCATAGCCTAATTCTACTAACAGATATCGGTAATCACAATTTTGAGTTGAGGCCCCTGGCCTCTTCTTCGCTCCACGAACCGTTTAGTCGGACTTCGAGGATCGCTGAAATTCCACTCTGCACCGCTTTGATAGCCTCGGGAAGGAGCTCTGTAAGATCCTTGCCATTTTTAATGATACCAGCCCATGCATGTCCTCCAGCTGCCGACTTTGCGATTCCAGAGTAATCTGGAGTAGGTGCGAAGGAGATATTCAGCTCTTCATTCGATACTTTGGACCCATACCCGTCAGGGTGGACAAGAGTCAGTGAGTTTCGTGGAGCGTTCCAGCCTGTAGTAGGTTTGTTAGTCCTTTCTCCGAGTCCTTTCTTGAGTTTTCAGCTGTTGTGAGTGTAACATACCTTTGTTACTCAACACTACTGTCAAAGTCGGCAAACTGTACCTCCGGGCTATCCAGTACACAGTCGAGGGTGAGCCGAACATGTAAGTTCCATCCCCCACAATTTCGCACACGAACTTCCCTTTACCAGAACCACCAGCCAACCAATCTGAGGCTAACTTGACCCCGATAGTGCCGCCTCCGGACCAGCCGAGACCGCCTCCACCGCCGTTGATTAGATGGCCTGGTTCGTCGATTTGAAGCTGTTCGTATACAAACATAGCGTTTGTTACGGCTTCCACAGTCCAGATAGTATCCTTTGGGCATTGCTTGCGAAGTTGTGAACACAAATAAGACGTGCTTGGTGGTAAATAGTCATGTGCTGGAGGTGCAGCAGCGAGTGCGGCTTCCTCAAGAACCTGTCGTCGATCCTCGGCAAGAGCGTTCCAGCGCGAGATATGTGGTTCCGACTTACTGAGCTGTGAGTATTGTTGGTGTGTGGAAACGTAGGAGTTCAACTGCTTGAGTGCTGTTTCGGAGTCCGCTCGATATCTTCGGAAGGCGGGGATATAATGCACAGGGATGTTGGCTTTGAGAGGGTCCACATCAACATGTATTATCTTCACATCTGGCCGTAGAGTGCATTGAGTTGGGATCCATGGTACGTCACAGTCGATGACAACAATGGCGTCCGCTTCTTGTATGCTCTTGTCCTTGCCTATTCTCACACCTAATGATGCTCGGTGAGTATATGGAAAGCATACATCGCTGCCAAGGGTGTCAAGCACACGAGTTCCAGGAATGGCTTCGACCAGCTTAACAAGCTCAGACACTGTCGCATGATTACGACCAGTGTATCCGACGATGATAAGGCCCTTCTCTGCTTCTGCGAGAAGCTTTATGATCGCCTCGACACCTTTCGGTGGGAGGGCTGCGGGTTCAATACCTTCCCAGACGCTCTGATCCAAGTGGTAAGGATTGATGTCCTCTTCCATGACTTCTCGAGCGCCCACAATGTAAGTTGGCCCTTTGGGATCACTAGTTGAAAATTGTAGGGCTCGGTTGACCATCTGTTTAATGTTCTTCCCAGATTTAATTTCCGCGTTGTAACGACAATATTGCGCTACAATTGCTTTCTGATCAGGTACATCCTGTAGCCAATGAATGTATTCTGTTCTTGAGCCTCTCATCTCACCTTCTATTGTGAATGGGGAGAGTCCGGCAAATATTAGAACTGGGCAACGAGCAACTGAGGCATTGTGAACTGCACATCCTAGCATCTGTGTGCCGACATCAACATGTACAAGCACACATTGCGGTTGTCCAGTAACCCGAGCAAAGCCATCAGCCATAGACATTGCAACCATCTGTAAAGTCGAACGGCTACTTAGCCAATGCATCAGATGATTCGGAGCTCGGGGAGGATGATTCCGAATTCAAGATTATAATTAGTACTTACTTCGTGAGGGCATGTGATCACCCTGGGAAATTTTGTGTCTTTCTTACTGAGTCCTCTGGCCAGTGCCTCCATAATTGCTGGATGATCAGAGCCGAGATTGACGAAGACATGACTGACACCGGCCTGTTTGAAGAGTCGTCAGCCAGTGAAACCAGTGATACTACCCATTCTTGGGAAAGGGGTAGACTACCTCTGCGAGGGACTCAAAAAAAGCAAAAGACGCCGACACTTGATCAACTTGTACCTCACCCCTTTGAGAACTGTTAGCACTGAATTCGACCTTTCATCCTAGTCGGAGCAATGTGACTGACATTATTGATTAAGTGGTATGATTGAAGTTCGAAATTTTGATGTGTGACCAAATTATACGGGCACGAGCTTCGATTAACACACTAAATCTCATCGATCAAAGCCCGTGATGTATGCAAGAGGCTGTATCTAAGGCTCAGGAAACGGTCGTGCCCTTTCCCCATATCCTGCATTCCGGGTAGCGTCCTAGTTCAGACCTAGAACCATCGTGCGGAAGTTCCGGTTCATATTCCGACGACCTGATCGCCCTCCTCATCAAGCCAATAACAGTGAATCAACTTATCGCGCGGACCGCTGCTGATGTACCATCCGATGACAGGATAATCGAATGCTTGTTCTAAACTTAAGTGCTTGAACTAAGCTAGGTAGTCCTATCTTTAATCGGCTATTGGCCTTCTTCTGACTTTCCGGGACAAGCCAGAACGTGGAATCAGGGAGGGCCCTCACTCGAGTCTAATTACGAATTTGGAATTCTGGGCGGAAGATGGCAATTGTCATATTGCTGCGGGCATGAATCGGCTCTCTCCCTTGACTTGAGGTTCAGATTCCAAATTTGTTGTCGTGGCTTTGACATCCTAGTCGAGTTGCGAGGCCAGTCTAAGTTTCTCATACGAGTAGGTCAACCAAGCCTGGATTAATCCTATTGGATACAATTCACTGGCCCCATAGAGCCTCCACCCCTTACTTCAGGGACCACAGGCGAGGTTTTCGTGTTCGGCACTACCCCAGATCTTGGTAGCAGGTAGTACCATCCTTCAGTGGTTTCGCTCAGTAGCTCGTATATCGTTGCCAGTGGCATAGCGTGCATTCAGAGTTCCATGGAATCAAAAGTTCAGGAAATAGCAGTCACTGCTGATACCTCGAAGGATACAGTACTATTGGAAATCCTGAATGAATTAGGTTGCCCAAGCCGCGTATTCTTCATGTGATATGACTATGTGTAAGACATGCCGTCTTCTGGAATGTCTTAGTGACAAAAGGTATTTCAGGATCTACGTAGACGTTCAGACGCCGCTCTGGCCCCGGCTCATACCTGTGTACACCTGAGTTTTGCGAGAGCTGACTTGAACGACCTTGGTTTTCCTCAAGTCAGTGTATTCGTTACGACACAAGAGTACAACTTCACTAGTACGTGTGAGATATCTCGCACTCAGAGGCGTAGCTTGGCCAACGCAGTCGTCCTGTTCTGGTCTGAGCAAGAATAACATTTTCGCCGTTCGACTCAGGTATTCAGTGGATGGGCGGCCGCCATTCACAACTGGCGATATTCGTACTTTGACCCTAACAGTACTAAGTAGCTCTCCTCGAACTGGTCAATGGCTGGGGCTGCTCGACTTTTAGCTTAAACACTTTGATATCTCTGCGGCATTGTGAGCTGCAACAGTCGTCGAAGCTGAGGAGTTAGGGATCCGCTCTATCTGGCGTTCAGCTCGTCTGATAGTGAGTGACCTTGCTATACTCTTTCTGGCTCGACAGGCGGTAGGTGAGCTCGTTGAGCCCAGAATTGGAAGTATCTGACCCAGGAATGGGACTAGGCATGGGACGGAGGTGACTTCCAAATACGAAGATCGCAGTATACAAACGCCTTGTAACCTTATCTACAACTTTCAACGAGTAGTATCACTCACTAAAGGCAGTTCGCTGGGCAAAGTTGTTTATTGTGGTAACTTATCTATCTGTTCCGTTTCCGTTGTGATTATTCCGGCGACCATGCACCTTGGCAACCACTTTCTGAAGCCCCTGGTTCTGGAACTGATACGAAGCGATAACTTGTTGAGTTTGACCTCCGGAACTGTCGTATCGGGGCTATCTCGTCTTCCCTAAAACTGTCGCATGCTAGGTGGCAGATTTGAGTTTCGTGCAAATGGATCCCGTATTACGAGGCCTGGGCTAGTAGCTCAGCTGTCGGATCGCTCATATTACCATCTGTGTGCCGTTCAGTGCTTGATCCTTGATTCCTCGCAGAATTTATTTGCCTTCCGCATATTTGTCCACACATCTCAATACTTAAGAATTTCAAGAGTGAGTGCATACAAACCAGAGATTGTGACCAAGTAATTAACCAAGATATAGTGGGGTCCCCAACCTCATTCACCGCGGCGAAGGAGACCGGCTTCTCGGAGGAATCACTCAATCGTGTCCAAACTGAGATGGGGGAGGGTGAAATCGTGGCAGTGAGAACGAAATATCCCTAGCATGACCCAGGCCATTAACAAAGATGCAGGCTCCTCGAAAGAATTTCAACACTCTGTCCACCCTATCCCTTGCCACTTCGTTGATGGCAACATGGGAGGCACTGTGCAGTACCATGGGTGCAGGTCTAGTCAGTGGCGGACCTGTCTCCCTCGTTTATGGCTTCCTCGGTATGATCCTCAGCTTCTAGCTGCTCTCCTTCGAGCCATTTGACTGATTATTCATAGTCGCCGTTATTGGTAACCTCGCAACAGCCATTTCCTTGTCTGAACCGGCCTCCATGTGAGATAGGATCCACCCATAGCCCCTAACTGGGAATATCACTGACACCTGTGAAGGTTCCCCGGAGCTGGAGGCCAATACCAATTCGTTGGCGAGCTGACCGGATCTAAGCATAAAGCCTTTTTGAGCTTTTACGCTGGTTGGATCACCCTCCTCGGCTGGGTATCTTTGACGGCAAGCGCACCGTATGCGGCCGGGAACCTGATTCAAGGCTTGATCTCGTTGAACAATCCAGACTATCAACCTGAGCGATACCGCACCACGTTGATTTTCATCGCCATTCTGACGCTTTCCTTCTGCCTCAACCAATGGGGAAGCAGGGTTTTACCCATTCTCGAGAATCTCATTATGTTCTTTCATATCCTATTCTGGTTCATTATGATCATCGTCATCGCTGTGATTCCGCCAGACCGGAATTCTGCTGCTTTTGTATTCACGAAATTCGAGAATAACTCAGGTTGGGAGAACAATGGTGTTGCGTGGTGCCTCGGAATGTTGACCTCTGCATACATCTTAGTTGGTAAGATTGATCCTCATTTCTCCGGCGATATCATCAAAGCTGACATCGAGATCAGGTTATGATTCCGCAACTCATATTTCAGAAGAAATTCAAAATCCGCGTGTTGGGGTACCCCGTGCCATGATTGGTTCTATTCTCATCAATGGAGTCATGGGCTTTGGTATTCTCATCGGCGTCTTGTTCGGAATGGGAGATATCGCATCCGCTTTGGGTTCATACACCGGCTTTCCCATTATTCAAATCTTCTACCACATGACCCGCGGTAATGTCGCTGCTACCAGTGCCATGACCAGCACTATCATTGTCTCTGCATCATTGGCGACTGTTGGTCTCAGTCTTGCCTCCAGCCGCACTCTGTGGGCGATAGCCAGGGACAAAGGAACCCCAGCTTCCGGATGGCTGTCTCAGATCAATACCAAGAGTCGTGTTCCCTCGAATGCTTTGATCCTAGTCACCGTTCTGTTGGCGCTGTTAGGTTTACTCAACATTGCATCGGTCGCGGCATTTGGTGCGATCTTGTCCCTCACAGTGGTTGCATTGAACCTGTCATACTTGTTCCCGGTGTTGGCAATGCTGTACCGCCGCATCAAAGCCCCGGAGATGCTGAATTGGGGTCCTTGGAGGGTTTCGAACACTGCTGGCATGATTGCCAACATCATTTCCATTTGTTGGATAGTCTTTGTCACCGTGTTTCTTCTCTTGCCCGCCACGAAACCTGTCACAGCGCTCAATATGAACTACGCCAGCGCCGTATTTGGGGCTGTCATCATTTTTGCCACCGTTGATTGGTTCCTGCGAGGACGCAAGCATTATCTTGGTCCCCTAAAGCATGAATAAAGTGTATGGTGAATGGGAAGCGATGTTATACAGGAGTCTGCTCAGATATACCGCTGGTGGCAGAAGCATTGGAAAGTGATGAGATCCATTGAGGGAGACTTTCGAGCAATGTTCACAATTGTACTTTACCGTTCTGGAGGATTCGATGAAAGCTGGAGGAGATCAGCTGATTCTAGAAAAGCTTTTAGTCGGGTCATTGACCGTATGCGGTGTTGAGCAAGAACAGGTGATTTAGACCGAGTGATATAGTGATGGACCGCTAAATAAGTACTCGAAGTTGTCTACAGATGCTGTCGTAGTATGCGTCCATGTATAATCTCGATCCATATTGTGGCATACTTGTGAGAAGCTATCGACGTCCGGTGGCCGTAATTCTGCGAGTAACAACCATAACTTGACCTGTTTGTGTGATACCAGGATCGCTTGAGCCAGCCTCGCCGGATGAAGCTTTCCCAACCCTTGGCAGTTTACTCGTGGAAAAGGCTAGGAGACTAAGGGCGGCCGAGGGAGCTCACCCCGCACATGAATTCGTCCTCAACCTTTACTGCCCTCGTGCTTCTGCCACCCCACAGGCTGTGTCACCCATCTATGTACCTCACACGGGGGAAGGTGATTTCGTTAGTACGGCAGGCCGGCAGGCCTTGATTCAGGCTTGATCCTCGGGAGTACCGCCCACCAGCAGGCTCGTGTTCAGACCCTACATTCACGCATTTTACGTCTCGAATACGAGAAAGGAACATATCATCCCCTATATAGAGATACCTTCTCGCTGATGCAGTGTTCCCTTAGTAGTGAGGGGGTTATCTCATCGTATTAGTTGTACTTTTTGAGCCCAAGCAGCTGTCGGGCTTCAGTCACCAAAGGTTGACATAAGTCCTCTAGTTAGTTAGCCCAAGCTTCTATCACCCCGGGCCTTTGGCTGGCCTCGCTTGTCCACCTATTGTGGCCACGGGTAGGAAATCGCTCGTCATACTGCTCACCTACAGGCTAATGACCATGATTTTGATTTCAAAGAAAAAGCACTCCTCCAGAGTCGCCGGCCCAATGAACTGTGTGTACTCTGATTGCGGGGAACAAACGTCCGTCACTCTCAACCATGGATTTCGGCTATTCCCCTCAAACTAGCTGGCAATGCCGTCAGTTATTCTGACATGGACAGTACCTCGGGATATCGTCTGAAACAGTTAGTTAAGTTGCTGAAGTCGTTGTCGAGCAGTCTAGAATGGACCTCGCTCGATACAGTAACTCATGACTGACTGTTCCTTTCAATCCTCTCGAGTGTCCAGATCCCATCTGTCAGAAACAGGCGCCTCGGTACACATCTTTTCACTCCGTCGACTATAAAAGTGACATGGCAGACACCTTCTCGTCCGCTGGTCGACGACTAAGTCAGATCAAGGATTCCATCATGGGTAAAACCGCGAGCACTATTCCTTGGGACCCAGACTCAACATCCTTCCCGACGAGGAAGAACTTACCCAAGATCGTCGGTGCTCCAGATGAGGCGGCCTGGGTATGGGGCAAAGACGACTTTGTCGGACGCTTGAATTTACTCACTCCGACGCGGGTCAAGGCAGCAGCTGCAGAAATCCGCACAGGTGAGATGGCACGGCTTGACCTGCCCACCAACATTCCCGAACAGCCAGCCTTTGGCCGTCAGGTTTTCGAGCACAAGATCATCGACCTCCACGAGGGGTGTGCTTTTGATGATGTTTACCATATGAACACCCAGTCTGGCACCCAGTGGGATGGCTTCCGCCACTTCGCTCACATGCCCAGCAAGACATTCTACAACAACACGCACGCCGCGGACGTAATTGGTGAGAATGCAAATGAGAAGTGCAGTATTCATCGTGAGTAAAACCCCTCCTAGTCACCCCGTGCAGGAGAGGCAGATCGAGTGAAGCCGCCCACACGAGGAAAACCACCGACTAACTCTCCTTCCCACCCTCCAGACTGGTCAACCCACGGTTTCAGCGGCCGTGCCATCCTACTGGACTATCGCTCATGGGCAAACAGCCAAGGCATCAAATACGACACGGCGACCTCGCACGCAATCAGCTATGACGACCTCTTCCAGGTGGGCAAACACCAAGGCCTCGACATCCGGCCCGCCTCACAAGGCGGCGACGTAAAAATTGGGGACATCTTGCTGATCCGGTCGGGTTGGACAGAGGACTTCTACGCGCGCTCGGTGGAGGAAAGATCGAAACTCGCACTTCGCGGCCATGGCGATTCGCACGCCCAAGAGGCACAGTGGGCGGGCATCAAGCAGGAAGAGGCCATGAAGGATTGGCTGCACGACTGCTATTTCAGCGCTGTGGGTGGGGACGCACCTTCTTTTGAGCGCTGGCCGACGCCGGAGAGCTATTATCTGCATGAATATATTCTCGCGCTGTGGGGCATGCCGTTGGGGGAGATGTTGGATCTCGAGAAGGTCAGTGAGTTGGCCAAGAAGAATAAGCGTTGGACGTTTTTCTTCACCAGTGCCCCGGCGAATTGTCCGAGGGGGGTCAGTAGTCATGTTAATGGGACGGCTATCTTTTAGAGATGGGGTCGGTCGTTGCATGGAGGGAAGGAATATGGTCGTCAAACAACGTAGGAGGAGAGAATAGGAGCTGTGAGTCTGTCCGATTTCAGGGCAACATATGCCGGCATATCCGACATGAAGCCATGGATGTACACCATGAGATTCGCCATAGGGCAGGATGAAATCGACATTCATTGGCAAGGTCGCGTGGTGCAAAAGTAAGAGCGACTGGGGCCTGCAGCGTCGTTATGGCTAGGCGAACATATACAATCGAAATCTATTCCAGATCAAGATGTCTCCTCTCCTCATCCAGTCCGTTTCATTCCAAGACTACTGATATCCCACATTCTACATATATAAGTCTATGACTTTTGGCCATCCTTGGCTGGATGTGCGGGAGGAGTGACCTTGCTTTCGTTGTCGTTGCTCTGTGCCTGGGTTGGTTGTGCTGGGCCTGTTAGTGCCGCTGATGGTACTGCTGATGGGGCATCAGCTGCAGTGGTCTCAGTCTGAGTCACGGGTTTTCCTTGTATCAGCTTGACAATCTCGTCGCCAATATCACCTGCACCATCGATCTTGCTGAGCCTCGCCTTGAAGAACTCGGCATCTGCTAGAAGTCTATTCGCAAGTTAGCTTGAATTACGTCCTGGAAATTCACTCCGCTTTGTCCATACCTTTCTTTGGCTGCGGGTGAGTTTAGAGGCACATCACGATATGCCCTAGTCCACTGGTCGCGATAGCTGGAAAAGACAGGTATCATGATCCCTGCGACAACTGGTTCTGGTAGATGTTTGGCCAGCACTTTCTGTAAGGTACCAGTCTCTTTGGTGAGGGTCTCCATATAAGGCGATACTGAAACTGCCTTATTCTTCGCAGCTTCATCCCAATCAATATTTTTCATAGCTTTCACATGCATGGATGCTCTCCCAGACATAATGTCAACCAATTTCTCATGAATGCCATGCTGATGCTCCTGAAACAGGCGCTTAACCTTATCAAAGTCTGTCATGACCTGCGAGGCATTTGACGAGGAGAGATGGCGACGAAAGAATTCGCGGACATAGGGAACCAGAGCAACAATGAAGCTGAGGGCTTGAGAGGACAACGCGAGATGTTTTGTTGTAATATTCTTCAGCCCGGCACTTCTTGTTGCCCCAGCGCCTAGAATAAGTTGAGATGTGCGCGAGTTGAACAACTTGAGGCTTTCCAGGAGTAGACTTGCGACTTCGTGACTCATGCTAGGAATTCCAGCGGCGAGATGCTGGAATGTTTCCATGGACCGAAGCATGGCCAATGCTGATTCAGGCAAGATATACTTCTGCTCGTCCACAACGGCACTGCGGACCTTCGCGGCAGCAGCGCCTGCAGTCCCATTTGTTGCAACACCATTTGTGCTTTTTGTCGGATGCGCTGGAGCTTGCCAGATCATGGTGCTCTCCGTCCATGATAGAACATCACTAGTGCTGCCTTGCATCACCAAATTGAGAACCTCGTTCTCGTGGTCGCCAAAGTCCTTAGCATCCCACTTGTCGCTATCCATGACTTTGACAATTTCATGCTTCTGAGTGTCTCCAAAGTGAGCAACGAAATCCTTGATTTGAGTATCGACCACGGTTTTCAGTGCAGCCCCACTTCGACCAGAGATGGCCTCACATTCATCGGCGAACAACTTGTTCAACGTGAAGTATTTTAAAAACTCTGGTAGAGGAAGCTCGGCATTCTGTTGTGACCGAACTTTGACCACTTTCGTTATTTGTGCCTGGACGAGATCGACGCCTTCACCCAAGAGGCTGGACAAATCCAATGCTTGTTGCATCTCTGCCTGTACAGAGCTTGTCGCTCGAGGTCGACCTCCTGCACTCACCAGACGATCAATACTAGCGGGATCTGGAGTTCGAGGTGGTGATCTGATCATGTTCTCGGGTAAGTTGCTCGTGATGTCGAGAAGAATTTTGACCTGCACACTAAGCCTACGCAATCCTTCACTAATATTTGTATAAATTGTTGCCAACATCTGATACCAGTCGTCTGCATCCAAAGCACGCAGATTTCTGGCCAGGATTGAGGACTTCTCTTGCTGGCTCATATGGCGACCCCCCATCGTTGAAGCAGATATCGTTGAAACGTTGTCGTCATCATTGGAGGCGGGTAACTGTTTGCGAATCATGGATTTCATCTCGCGCAATACCAGAGCTCGGAAAGTTGTTGCGGCTGGAGTTGTGTACCTTGCGCGGGACAAGCCCTTCATTTCCACCTCGAGTTCCACTCGTAATTCTGGGCCTATATTCATGTAGCCTGGGAACGAAGACGGGGCCCTCCTTTGGCCTGGTTTGGGCCTGGTATATGCAGTGCCCCATCTCTGGAGCGTGATTCCAGTTTCTGTCTGCGCCACGTGCCGTCTGATATCGGTGAGCAAACTGGCATGAAAACGGCTTTCGTAACCTCGACCAGCCCGAAAACGGAGCTGATTCAGATCATCAAGAGCCCCTTCCAAGGCTTTGATTCTTCTCAAATCGCGCCTTGGATATCGCTCAGACTCTTCGGACATCCGGAGTCGGCTTGGATGGCCAGTCATCAATGCTTCAACCTCATCCAGGTTATCGAGCGCCGTATCAATTTCGCCTTGCTCGATCATATTTTCACAAGTCTGAACAGATGTTACGATGTCATCAAGTTGCATAATTGCTTCTGCAAGTTGCCTAACATTGTCTCGCCTCTGTTTGAGGTTGACGACTTTCAAACCATCAATAGCCATCTCCTTGTCCAGTTTCGCGAGATCCTTCCGTAGTTTTTGAATCCTGTTGACCGATTCTTCGGCCTCTCCATGTAACTCTCTGAGAGAACCTAGAGCAGAAAAGAAGGATTTCGAGGCGGTAGATATTGAACTTATCAGATGCACTTCGACGGTGTCCATATACCATGACAACTTCTCCTGCAGAATAGCATTTGTAGCCAAGGACTTCCTACCACTAGGGGTGCCGTTTGGGTCCCTGACAATTTCGGACCGTTCTGAGACAATATCAAAAGTCCTCGGATTCTCCAAATGGAAATCCTCTTCGGAGTAGACCGAGGGAATGGTAGACAGGGGCGTCGCAGCCTGCCGGCGTTGGCTGCTCTGCTTTCTCTTCGCTTGCGGGCGTTCACTTGGGGTCGAGACGGTTGATGCTACCGATCCAGCCCGAGAATGGCCAGGCCTTTGCAGCCTCTTGCTTAGGATTGCCTCCCATTCCTCATTCTTGCGTTCCTTTGCGTCTCTTTGAAACAGTGATGGTTCCCCGTCTCCCTCAGCTTTCGCTCGCTGAAATGCCTCGTAAAGTGAGCCAACTTGTGCAAGGTATGGGTGAAACGCTTTGGCTTCTATGTGAGGTATATTCGTCAATGCTACCGGGGGGATGTCGCGGTGTGTGGGGGCTTTGTAGCCAGCGTTGGGTACCGTAGTAGTTGCCTGTAAACCAGTCCGCATGATGGGATGTTGGAGGAGGGTCGAGATAGCATTCTGGCTATTCTCCGTGATCGTGCTGCTGTTGAAGGAGCCAGTATCAAGGGCTCCTCCAATGCTCGTGATGGAACTGGCAGTTGAGCCTCGCCGCACGTTGCCTCTCGAGGCACTGTACTGCCGTTCAGAGACATCTGGGAAAGGATATTGCGTTGTTGTTGGCGACGCCGCAGTAGGAGAGGTGAGATTCTGTTGCGAATTGAACCTGCCTGGAGAAGCCATCTTTTTTGCGGATGGTGAGGGATTTCGAAACGCATCAGGAGAGGATACTGAATGTTGTGTACGAATTGATGGCTATGTGTGGGAATAGCGATTGCAGCGGCCTTCTGGAGGCCATGGCTGCGTCGAGAGATAGGTTTGAACTCTAGGTGTCGTCTTGCGATAGTCCTCTTAATAGGCGAGACGGCCATTGCACGCGATGCCGGGAGGATGACATGCCAAGTCACCCCAAAGTTCGGAATTTCTTTCCTCCGAGAGAAATGCTCGTCTTGACTCCTGACTCCTGCAGCAACTAGAAGTGCGCAGACTACAGATTACCCAAGGACTTAGAATAGTGCAATCATCCAATGTTCGTGACGTGATATCTATGGGCTAGGGTGATCTCCTCTATTTAGATATACCTAGATCCTCGAAGTCTAGGGCTCATCGATGAGCTTAGCTAATATGTATAATGATGTAGATAAGGTTCACATGTATCATTGCTTGCGCCCACTGTGCCACATGCCTTGCTCATCCCACATGCCTGGCTTACTATATGTCCCTGCAGAATTTCCGTTCATCCAGGCAAACCTGAAGAACTCGGGCTCGTCGGTACTGTCACGCTCGCGACGATCCAGAGTGACCTGCTCCTGATCCCAATACAGTTCTTCATCGGTGTAGCCGCGCCATCGCTCCACGTCGTTGATCAGGATACTAACCCCATCCACGCCAGTGTCTTTTGGTAAGGAACCCCAATTAAAGGTGATGTTCGATGCTGTTGGACCAACAACTGCTGTGACGTTGGGAGACTTCGCACCCCACCAGGAGCCTCCATCGCTGCCACCAGACTCTCCCAAAGCTGCAGGGGTCTGAATGATGGACGAGAAACCCCATCTAGCCACGCCGTTGACGAAAAGGCCAAGCAACAGGCCTTGGTAAATAAGAGCCGGTCGAGTCTGGAACCCTGTGCCTGGCATGAAAATAATAGCCAGGATGTAGTGATGTATCCTGAGACGCTGACCAGGGAGAAGTAACAGAATAACCAACCCGGCTCCGAAAGTTGCATAGATAGCGAGGTACTTCGGGAGATTTCCAGAGAGGCGGATGTAGTGTATCTGGCCAATTATGATTGCCACAACAATGGTGATGATGATGACCAATGCCATGACTGCACCAGGTTGCGCAAGATCATGAGGCGTCAGTCGTTCAATAGGGATTAGCGGAGCAAAAGTATAGTTGTTCAACGCGCCGATGAAAGCGAATCCCAAATACAGAACCGTCTTCTCAATCTGAGCGTCCAATCCTTTGAGTAGAGGGATAACCGAGGTGCGATAGAATATGTATGATATAAAGCCAGCTGGTAGTAACCTTTCAAAAAGCTTGCTGATTGATTCATAGAAGTTCGCTGTATTCGGCGGGTCCGATACCAGCCCAACATGGAAGAACAAGATGGCAAATGTACTGAAAAAGAAAACTCCAGGAGACGTGGTGAAAATTGACAAAATGACCACCGCGACGGCCGTGACTGCGAAAAGAGGCCAACGTGAATCAGTTGGACACGTTGCCTGAGATGAGCTTAAACCTTGAAAGGTGAATGATCGAGGAAAAGTCGCAGGGAAAGAAGTGCTTTTAATTCCGTTTGCCGTTGTCGATTCGTAGTTGTGATGAGATCCAATCAGGGATGCGACTCCACAGCCACCAATAGCGTCAGTAATGACGCCAGCGTGAATAGCAGCTTGACAGATGAAGCTATCTGCTCGATAGACTGCTAACGAGTCTGGCTCGCTGGGGTTCGGACCACCAACCACAAGACCCTCATACCGGAGAGACACATTTCCTATTATCCTTTCCTCCAACAGGTGAGTTCCTAGGCAATTGGCAGGACATCTGAATGCAAGATGTGCGGAGGAGAACGGTCGGCATTGATTTCCATTGAGGCCACATCCATTGCCCTCATTCCAGAAGTTTGCGCCACACCATAGATTTCGAGGCCTTCCGTAACCTTTGATGTAGCCGGACGTAGAATGATGCTTCAGCATCAAAGACCAAGTGAGGAACCAGGCCGCATATAACCCGATCAAGAGAATGAAACGCTGCTTCTTCTTCGGAGTATATTTATCCAACAGAGAAATGGGTGCTCGTTGTAACTTTGGAAGGATGGGTTCAATGCGAAGAGTCATGGGAGGAATAGGACCCTTTACCCATTTCACCACCGCCCTGGAAGCCTTCCGAATGGGTAGGGGAACCCACTTGTATTGAAAAGTCTTTGCAGATTCTCTAAGCCAGATGGGAATGGGGAATGCCGTTTCGGAGGATTCGGAGGCTGATCGAATGTGAAGATCTCGACTCTCGGGACGACTCTCAGTTTCGTCATCGGTCAGGGCAGGTATGTCTGCAAAATGGTCTTCCTCCTCCTCATTATCACGATATGCTGGTGACATTGGGCCTCTGTTGATAACGTGAGGTGAGGCGGGGGCTGGTAGTCAACGATGAGGCCGAGATGGACGCAACACAGGGCTCGAAAGTCACAAAACTAGGGGTTATTATACATGAATGAAATCGATTTATGTCCACTTGCTAACCGTATTGACAACAGGTGCTGAAAACATTGAACTGTCATTTAACAAAGCTCATGTTTCATCCGCAGCCTTGGGCTTACCCATCGCTGCGGACGTTGGAGGTACCAGTAGAAAGCGGGTACGGACTACGTAACTCCGGCTTGGACCGCGGCCCAGGGATAGGTACTATGTAGGTTCCAATGCTTCACCGTATTTCTTCTGAGAAGCTCAGTCTCTGAATAGCAGAGTCAGGGCTTGGCAAAAATGATGTGATACGCGTGCAACAACGCGTCACTTTTAGTGTTGCTGGAACGCACGATTAGAGTGTGGCTTCTTGACTCCAAGGCTGTAGTTAATCAAGTGAAGTCCTCTATTTCCTATACCCGAACACCTGCTAAAACTTCATCCATTGGTAAGAGATGAATATCCAGACGTGGCATTGGTCGACGTCAAAGGGCCTAGCTCCCATCATGACGCTCGATTGGACGGAGTAATGCGTCTCCGACCTTATCGTCTTTGCAATCAATTCCGAGATCCTAGAAAGGCGGGAACTGTATAGTCATCATGAGCCCTTCGGTTGACCAGTCTGCTATCTCCCTCCTAAACATATGACTTCCTTTCGAGCCCAGATGATATACTAGATTCCACAAACCACCGTATACGATACCATTTGCAGAAACTTGTTTGAGTATATTCCAATCATGTCGACAACGGCCGAGAAGCCTGCGCCCAAGGATATATCCTATCACTTTTCCCGCACAGCCAAAAAGCGCCTTCCTAGCCAGGTCAAACGGTTCTATCAGTACTTTGCCATTCCAGGAATCGGTAATCTCGCCGGAGGTATGTAACATCATCCACTCCCTGACCATGAAATTGAACCTTCGGACAGGCTTACCAAACCCCGGATATTTTCCATATGACACCCTAGAGGCGTCAAGTGCACTTCCAGATCGATTCAAGCCGACGCCCAATAAACCCGTCGACCCTCCGACCACAGAGCTTTCACGAGCCACTCTTTCAGACGGCCCATCTGCCGCTAGAGTGCTCGTTCCTCACGATTCGGCAGAACCTAACCTCCTGCGCAAGATCGACTTGACCACTGCGCTTCAATATGGCACTGCTCAAGGCTACCCCCCGCTTTACAGTTTCATTAGAGAATTCACCCAGAATTACTTGCATCCCAATGTCCCTTATAAAGGTGGGCCTGAGGTGATCCTGACATGTGGATCGACAGATGGCTTTTCCAAGGCGCTCGATCTTTTTAGTAATATATGGGACGAAGACCGAGATTGGATTCGAGAAAGAGAAGGCCTTCTTTGTGAAGAATTTGCATATATGAATGCCATCCAAACGGCAAAACCTCGAGGTCTCAATGTCGTGCCTGTGGCGATTGACGATGAAGGAATGCTTGCTCATGGCAAAGGCGGTCTTCGAGACGTCCTGTCTTCCTGGGATAAGAACAAGGGCAAACGACCTCATATTATGTACACTGTCACGTGAGTATCCGGCTGTCGATCCTTCTACATTTGCTGATTTCAATAGCATGGGTCAAAATCCCACTTCTGGGCTTCTCTCCGTCAAGAGGCGCAAAGAAATCTATGCTGTTGCCCAAGAATTTGATGTCATTATCTTAGAAGATGACCCTTATTGGTATCTTCAATTCCCATCCGCCAATGCACTCTCAGTGAAGGCCAAGGGAAAACCAGTGTCGTCCAACTTCCCTTCAGACCCGGATCACAATTATAACACCAGTTCTGGGGGTCGGTCCACGGGCTATCCATTCTTGGATAGCCTTGTGCCCTCATACTTGTCAATTGATGTAGATGGCAGAGTACTAAGAGTTGACACTTTTAGTAAGACTGTGGCGCCAGGCTGTCGTTTGGGATGGATTACTGCACAACCGGCCGTTGTTCAGAAGATCCAACTGATCACGGAGACATCAACCCAACAACCCAGTGGATTCGTCCAAAGCTTAATTGCTGAACTCCTCTTGGGTCCATCAACCCATGGTGACCCAGGCAAAGGTGGCAGTAAAGATGGTAGTGGTTGGGGAATTGACGGCTGGGTCCGCTGGCTTGAAGGCCTACGTGGTAACTACGAAAGGCGCATGCAAATTATGGCAAATATCCTCGACGAGGGACAATACCTGATTCAAGACTCGCCACGTCGGTCAAGTATCTCACAATCAGACGCCGATGAGTATCAAGTATTACACAAGACACAACTATACGACTTCGCATATCCCATGGCTGGCATGTTCCTCTGGATGCGAGCTCATTTTGAGACTCACCCACTTTTCGGCAAGGTTCCTGGCCCACGACTTTCACAGGCCCTATGGATCTTTATGACCCAAAAACCATATCTTGTCCTCCTCGCGCCTGGGACCATGTTCTCGCCTACTCAAGAGATCATGGAGGAGAAGGGCTGGCAATACTATCGCCTTTGCTTTGCAGCTGTTGATGATGAACTCGTTGAAAAGCACAGCCGTGGAACAGTTGCTGCTTTTGCAGACTTCTGGGCCATCGATGACGTTCACAAGATTGATAAACTACTGGAGGATTCTGAGGCAGAGTCGAGAATGGCTGCGCTCGAGGCAGATAACAGTGTAAGTCTTTCGCTCCACTAAAGTCACTGATCCCTTGTTAACATGTCAACAGGGTTCCTTTGCCACTAACCCAATAATTTGTTAAATCACTCGAGAAAGGATATCCAGCTGCTTCACAAGCTTTGCGCTGGTGAAAGCTGATGTGAACTGAACAGTATTAGAGCCTACGATGTCAGCAGTTATGAGTCTATAACGAATTGTTCAACAAAATTGTGACGGCCTAGCTAAGGCCTAAGGAGAACTGTGGCAAGAATAAACCATCCATTTGAGTTGCTAGTAGTATTTCTACAATGCTGCACCCACCCACGTGGCCGATTCAATCGTGCCAAATACTCGACAACGAATGTAGTCAGCACCTACAGTCAACTCAAAAGCTCGAAGTAAACATGCAGGAACGTGGTTACGTGGCTGGGGAGTCAAAATCCAATCAAGCAACCCTCGTGCCTGTGCAGCCCCTCACACAAACAGTAACAACCCGCCTTTCGAGCTCTCCATGATCCCCGGCCCGTTGCATTTGAGCTACAGGACGGATCGGCTGGCTTTGATGGCTGACACTCTGTAAGAATCTAAGCTCCCAATAATCCTTCCAATAAACGCTGCCACAATGCTTGAACCACGCCCTCCATGTCATCGGAACTCTTATCTCCCCCACTAGATGCCAGGTCAGACTCCGCTGACGGTCGGTACCTAGCGTTCTCAAATGGTCGATCTTTTCGCTCAATGGCAAGTACAAGCTACTAAGTTGGAACTGATGCTGCTCCTTCTTTTCCTGGAAGGACGATCCTACCCACAGATGCTTTAGCGAGAGAAGCTCTCGTCTCCAGCTCTACCAAGTTTCTGATGGAAGGAAGCTTGGTTCTGCTGAAGGACCCAACGGCCCGTCTCGTGAGTTCTGGGTTTCATAAAGTGTAGTCTTCCATTGCCGTAACTGAATGACACTCTCTTCGTTCTGCAATCTCCAAACAGGCTGAGCTGTCCATCATGTTGTTGACTTCATTACTCACGGCCGCTGCGCTGTTCCGCCCTCTTCAAGTTCGTGCCTGTGAGGACCATGACTGGACTTCGCCTGTTCTTGGAGGCTATCTCGACCATGACCTGATGAGACGGCATGAACTTGGTAAAAGAATCCAGCCTCAGGCCTTGAGAACTCCTGCACAACAGATCAAAGACTTGCACTGGGGCCAGCTCAATTTTCTCCACACCACTGACACCCACGGATGGCTCGCTGGTCACTTGCTCGATGAGAATTACAGTGCTGATTTTGGTGACTTTGCTGATTTCGTCAGAAAGATGAAAGCTAAGGCAGACTGGCTCGGTGTGGATCTATTGCTTGTCGACTCAGGAGATCTCCATGATGGCACAGGCTTTGGAGATGTCACCACTCCCAACGGGAAGTTGACCCTGCCCATATTCAAAAAACTTCCTTACGATCTCCTATCCATTGGGAATCATGAGCTTTACACCACGGAGATTGCAAATGATACCTATCATAATTTTGCGCCCAACTGGGGTGGGCGCTACTTGACATCGAACGTCGATTTCAACCTCACTGGGGTTGCAAAGCCCTTCTCACAACGATATGCTTACTATGAGACCAAGTTTGGTATCAGAATCATGAGCTTTGCGTTCCTGTTCAACTTTACTGGAAACAGCAACGCAAGCATCGTCACACCTGTGGGTAATGCTGTCAAGCAACCTTGGTTCCAGGAACAAGTGAAAAGAACGGACATCGATTTGTTTTTAGTCGCGGGACACATCACCCTACGAAATTCCACGGAATGGGGGTTGATATACTCTGCGATTCGACAATATCATCCAACGACTCCGATTCAGATTTTTGGTGGTCACCGGCACATAAGAGACTCTGTTGTCTTTGATGCATCAGCCTTTGGACTTGCATCAGGCCGGTATTGTGAAACGGTCGGGTGGGTTTCTATTGACGGGCTTCCCTCAAATGTAACTCGGGCCAAATCACCACAAGGCTCGGGCACCAGAATTACTCAGAAACCCTCGGCTGTGCCTGGTGTCACGCCCAACCTCAATTCTTCATTATCTTTTACTCGACAGTATCTCGACTTCAATCGGTATAGTTTCGAATATCACACCGGAACTACGGAACAGTCCTTCAATACTTCTTACGGTCAGGGACTCAGCGAAGAGATCACGGACTCAGTCGAGACTGTTCCTTCCTTGACCGAGAAATTGGGATGCTCCCCAGGAAACTTTTACCTGGACCGGTTTCCATTGACATCCAATCAAAGTTTGTTCAACTATCTGACGACTGTTGTTTTCCCTCAGGTCGTCGTCGATCCGAATCGCACGGATGTACCTCGTATTATTCTTACCAATACGGGAGGTTTCAGATATGATCTCCTCAAAGGACCATTCACCATTGACAATGCGTATCAGACAAATCCATACAAGAACTACTGGCTTCGAATGACAGCCCCATGGTCCGTTGCCAAGGACCTGCTGCTAAACATGCAGACGGATAAAGTCTACAAACGTCAAGCAAGCACCAACAACACCCTGGTCGAAACTAGTGGATACGTGACCAAGGACGACCTGGGCAGCGATGGCGACAATATAGTCCACACACCGCAAGGTTACTTCAGCACTCCACACTACGTGCAGGCAAATGTCAGTGTGGCCAACATTACGGACGACACCCTCGTGGATGTCTACGGCACAAGCTTCTTCACTGCGGCAGCGGGCAAATACCTGCAGGGAAACACGACAGACTGGTTGCGTGCGGACGGCAACTACAGCAGCTTCGACACAATGCCACGCATGGCGAAGATGTACTGGAGCCAAGATTGCTAGACAGCAGAGATGCCGTGGAAGCGAGTGGAGATTTTTACGAATGACCAAGATTTACAACAGCAACGAAGAGGCCGGGCTTTTTTGATGACATCGAGGAAGGTGATTGGATATGACGGCACGTCACACTTGATAATAATGATAATGTTGAAAAGGTGATGACCCTCCACTACATTATCCGTATTTGGGTCCTCCTAGATCGAGGGCGCAATGACTTTTAAAGTCTCGATGATATATGAATCACAACTTCTTACGTGCTCGATAACGAATGCCGGTCAGAAATATAATGGTACATAGAATGAATCTGACGATCCCTTGCCCGAAAGTCCCCGAATGGCAGCAGACGACGTTGAAAAGCTCAACACTCACCATATAGGGATCCGGTCATTGGATCTCACAGAAGTCTGAGCGGCGTTTATGCGCTTTCTAGCGGACGCAACAGCGATGCCCGGGCGGGGTGGAGTTTCGAATGGAAAGGAGGCAGGAAGACACTGGCGGTGGCATCGAGAGGCCAAAATTACGAGCAGGGGAAGGTGCAGCAATGCATTACATGTGGTTAATGATTGGACTTTAGAAACAATGTTCTTCATAGTCCCGTGAGATACCCAGTTAGGTATGGAGATAGATACATATAGCAATAATTACTTTTTTTCCTTCGAGATGATCCCGCTAACTAGACTAGACCAAGCCAACATCATACGACGTAAGAGGTACATTCCCGAACCCGAGTTGGGATAATACTGTAATGCGAAAAGAGGGTATCTAAATGACTTTCCTTGAAACAAAGGCAAAAAGCAGGCGAGGCTGAGAAGGCCCCATGAAAATTTCCTTGGCCGCATCACTGTGGCACGACTGGAGCATCCATACCGAACCAGTTCCATCCCTGGTCGAGATCGAGATTCGTCTGGTTGAACGGGAAGGAGCCGAAGTTGAAGTTCTGAGCGGCGACATTGCCCATGCCTCCCGTGGCGACGCCGGTGTTGAAGTCGTGGATGGCGGCGTTGTATGGGCTTTGGTTCTGCTGCTGGGGAGTGAAGCCGGAGCTGCCTGTCGCGCTCGCCGACGGGAAATCCATTGGGACCTGTGAGGGAAACGACATGAAGCTGTCGAATGTGACCAGTGGATCGTCAGTTTCGGGCCATGAATCTAGTCCAGGTGCTATGTATGAGGTTGATTCATAAACAGGTAAGCGGTGTGCTTGGAGCTGGCTGTCGACATTTGTGACTAATGGCGAATGCTGTGTGCTATTGGAATAGTTCGAGGGCGGCGTAGGGAGACCGCTATTTGCGACTCCTCCAGCCGAGATGGTGGTGTTTAGCGCGGAGTTTCCTCTTGAGACATACGTTCCTGGTTTGATCGGAACGAATTTCTTGCCCATGCCGATTGAAATCGTCCCGAAGTATGGAATGGAGACCTGGCACGTCTCTTTGGAGGCGGCACACTCCTTAGCCTCACGCTCCGTGCACCCCTGCCGTACCTTGGCTAGCATTTCGAGAGCTTGGGCGCTTTGAGCAGCGACCACGCCGCCGGCTTCTTTGGAAGCATCTTTGAGAAGATGGATGGTGTGATCAATGAGATCTGAATCTTTCTGATCCTGTTCATGATCTGGCTGTGTAGAATGAGTATTTCGATTCTGTTGGGAATAGCCGCACAAATTCAGCAGTAATAACATCGCTGCTGTAAAAGTCTGAAAGTCAATCAGCTTGCAGATGAATGGACCAACAGCGGTATTGCTGCGTAGTGCATCGTAGACCCTGATCATTCCTCGGGAAGCGTCCAGTGCAGTGGTATGAGAATATTGATAACGTTTGTCGCTTGAAGACCGGAGCATGAAAGGCATGTGAAGCAGCAATTTTGCTTGGTGGTAGAAAAAGTGTGCTTGGAGTCGATCGAAATGTTCTTCTGGAGGAGTACCCGGTAAGAAATCCGTTGACCACCAAGCAGGATCCTGGGCGTCATGCAATTCTTCAAGATCTTGGTCCATTCTTAATGTGGCCGAGTAGCCCATGGGGGTAATACTCTGATTTCGATCATTGATCTTGGTGACTACGGGAATCATCTTTGAGACAAAGATCTCGCCAGTATTGCCTGCAGCGATGTGAGCACCACTTACATAAGGAGCCACAAAAGACTCGGCAACCGAGTACGGCAAGCCAAGAAGTAAAGAGAGATACCTGTCACCTAGCACTAGGTGACTCCACAGGTTGACCTGACGTTGGTGCTGTGGAGATGATGTGTTTGGTTGGGCTGCTAGACGATGGAAACCCAAGAGCTGGGAGAATGCGATACCACGGTGGAAAAGGAGCCAAGCACGCCTGGGACGTCCCATATTGACATGGTATTTGGCCTCAAGCATCATACATTCGATTCCCTCAAGTGTTGCAGCTATTTCGTCGTCGGAGGTGATTAGGCGGTCGACAGTCGCGATGTATCTCTCCATCAACTCGGCAGGCTCCTCCTTCATATGTAGAATGGACCAATCGAAGCTGTCTGGTAATTGATGGACCCCGATAGCTATACACAACATGATTTTGGCCAGCTCGGCGGGCTTTTCGGATCGGAGAGAATGGGAGACTGATTCTTTGATGGTATCACACCGGCTGTCGGTGATTTCGGGGAACATTTTCCGCCATATGAGCCACCATTCATGAGAGTTCTGAAGAATGATCTCCAGGTCATGTGGAGAGGGTAGTAGTTGGCTCAGTGCTGTGATGAGGGCTTTTGACTTGTTGTATTGCGCACGAGATATTACAGGTTGGCTCTCTTTCCTCGTGATGACCTCGTTGTCGAAGAGAGTCAGGGCAGGGGCATCGTCTCGAAGACCACCAGGAAGTAATAAGGACTCTTCCAGAACAGCGTCCGCGCGTCTTAAAGAGCTTTTCAGTGATTTTAAGACTTCTGCGGCTTGAGCATCGACCTGTGACTTGTCTTGTTCCTGGGCCTTATCTGTCTCATCAGCCCTTTCGGGGAGGCGATGTAAAACCTGCTTTACGAGATCCTCCAATTGAGAGACTCGTTCTCTCAGGCTATAGGAGGACTGTTCGGCATTAGTTGTCGCATATGTCTGGATGTCTCCATGCTCTTGGTCTATACATGTGGATCCTCTGGCATAGCATTCATTGCAGCAAGCCGGCCTTCCTGGTTCAAACGTACACTTGATCTTTCGACGCCGACATTCTAGACAGGATTTCGTTCCTTTGCGCATTTTCTTGCGCAATGGACCCTGCGCATGATCGGAGTTGACTGTCTGAGAATCATTGTAGGGGGAGGTAGCACTACTTGAGGTCATGATGCACGGTTGTTGCGAGTAGACCTGATAGATAGTACGGGGAAATGAGGGTAGGGTGGCTGCAGTATGATGGGATTTGTTGCAAGGCAGCGGTCAATCAAGGCAATGGCCAGTCGATAAGTCAGCTATGCAACGTGCATGACACAGAACTGGACTTAGCAGCGCAATGAAATGGTGGGAGGACAACCACTCCCTACAAATCCTGGTTAGAGAGGTGGGTGATGGACAAAGCGTAGCCACGAAACGGCAGAATACAAGTGCTGACTGATAGTCACATGATAGCTAGCCTGTCACTGGTAGAGCCATAGGCGGTGTGGGCCGCTTCCAGAAGTCCCTCCCAGATACTAACAATCCATCAAGGAGACTTTCTCAGTTCTGGGCCTCAACGACAGCGAGCAACACAGGTATCGGCTACATTCCTGATCACTCTCTCATTACGGCAGGTGGGTGAGATAACCATCTGATGTCTCCATGCACATACTGTATGATGACTCTTCAGATGGATATCCTTGACTCCTCGACTCCTTGACTCATCAGCCAATTTCTGCCTTGAGACCGACTGGGCGCTTGACGGCTGCCTGATTTTCTGCGACGGACTTGGCAGAGATCGATAGCAGGACTTGCGAGTAGTATCATGAACGTTCAGGTTCACAGTCCGTGGAATACCATAACATCAGCAAGGTGCTCTCCGTCCGCCGGTTCGGCCGAGTCAGCCAAAACTCCCGCTGACAAACCGGAGGAAGCTGTGGATCCACTAGGTCGTAAACGGAAGTTTCACCACTTCCGGTCCTTCTGGTTGGCTGCTCGGATTAATATCGATTTCCCTTCCGAGAGCGCCGTCCATCATGGGTTCAGCATGTCCAAAGTAGGCAAGTCCCATTGTGTTAGAGCCTTCCCCCTTTTTCCCATCAAACTTGAGTCCGGCAGATTGACTGGGAAAACCCACCTCACTTCGTAACTCAATCTGATGTCGGAACACGGATCTCAGCCTCAACCGAAAGCTGTTCAACCACTAACCCGGCGCTACCCTTCGGCCTCGCCTGCTTCGCGTTGACAGCCTTATTGCTTGTTGCATTTTTACACGTGCACTTGGCCTTTCTTTGCCATCATTGACCGGCCAGAGGTAGTATCGGATGCGAGTACGTGGTTGCTATCGCTCGAGATGATTCACTTCTCACAATCTTGATCCACTACAGACCCATTATGGTCCTCCCTCTGTCCACACTTCGTCCGTGATCGTTCGCACTGATCCACGCGCCCGGATTGCTTTCTCCTTGTTGCGATGCCTGCGCTTTGTTGTTTTCGCATACTTTTTTCCAGGCCCCAGGGAGGAAACTAACGTTATGTCCCTAATCGCCGGAGACTTTGTAGAAATGGCCGTTTGTATATATCCAACCCTATCTCTCTATCTTTTTCCCTCATGCCTTGAATTGGACATAAACATTCCTTCTCTAGCACCTCTCTTTCCCTTCTACTCCTTCCTATTGTCCTAATCCCCTTCCCCATTGCCCATCATGACCGCCAACCCATCACACCAAACCTCAGCTGCTACGTCAGTCTCAGACCTTAGCAAACCGCCTGTTCCGATTCTCGACGAGAAAGACGTCGCGGTCGATACAAACAATGAATCACCAGCACTACCGGTCGATGTGGAGAAGGATGCCGATGAACTCAATCGTGAGCTGTCACGTATCAACACAGCCGATTACCCATCAGCGTTTCCATTGACCATGATTGTCATTGCCCTTGCTTGCAGTATCTTTCTTGTCGCTCTCGACATGACTATTGTTGCGACTGCCATCCCCAAGATCACAGATCAGTTTCACTCGTTGGACCAGGTTGGCTGGTATGGCTCTGCCTTCTTCCTCACGGTTGGATCATTCCAAGCCACTTGGGGCAAGGTTTACAAATACTTCCCACTCAAGACATCTTACCTGGTCGGCATTTTCATCTTTGAAGTTGGCTCCTTGATCTGCGCAGTCGCCAACAACTCAACCACTCTGATCGTTGGCAGAGCTATTGCAGGCATGGGAGGGGCTGGTATCGCCTCCGGATCCTACACGATCATCGCTTTCTCTGCCCCTCCTAACCGTCGACCGGCTCTTACTGGTGCAATGGGTGCAACTTTCGGCATAGCATCTGTTATTGGCCCTCTCCTTGGTGGTAAGAAATACACCCCATGCCATAACTTTCAATCTCAATTACTGATTTCACGTACCCAGGCGTATTTACTGATCACTTGTCATGGCGCTGGTGCTTTTACATCAATCTGCCTATTGGTGGTGTGGCCGCCGCTATAATTTTAGCTTTCTTCCATACTCCCAAGGCAGCAAAGCCTCAAGCGGCAAGTTGGAAAGAGAAGTTCTTGCAAATGGATTTCCCTGGAACATTCACGTTAATGGCTGCCATCATCTGTTATCTTCTTGCTATGCAGTGGGGAGGAGCCACCAAACCCTGGTCGGACGGGTCTGTCATCGCAACATTGGTGCTCTTCGGAGTCCTAGTCATCGCCTTCCTCGTCATTGAGTATTACCAGGGCGAACGTGCACTACTACTCGGACGTCTAATGAAGGACCGCACGATCGCAGCTCAATGCGCTTATATCACCATGATTGCTGGAGGCTTCTTCGTCCTCCTTTACTACCTTCCAATCTACTTCCAGGCCACAAGAGGTGTTTCTGCTGCCAAGTCTGGAATTAACAATCTCCCTCTGGTCTTCGGAGCAAGCCTTTTCTCCATCGTCGCTGGTGTCTTGTTGACAGTGTGGGGTCAATATATCCCTCTTATGGTTTTTGGTTCAGCTGTCGCCACTATCGGCTCTGGTTTGATCTACACACTGGAGATCGACAGCGGAAGCCCAAAGTGGATTGGTTATCAAGCTCTTGTGGGCATCGGTATCGGTCTCGCATTTCAAATCCCAGTCATCGTTTCCCAGGCTGTTGTCAAACCATCAGATCTATCGACTGTCAGTGCCATCGTCCTTTTCTTCCAGACAGTAGGAGGAGCCATCTTCATCTCTGCTGCTCAATCAGGCTTCGTCAATCAGCTGCTCAAGGAACTTAAGAAGACAGCTCCCACCGTCAATCCTGCACTAGTTGTCGCCACGGGCGCTACAGATTTGAGAAAAGTGTTCAATGAAGACGAACTACCCGGCATCCTGGCCGCATACATGGAAGGCTTGAAAATCCCATATGCGATCTGCATTGCCTTTGCAGGTCTCAGCTTCATCGTTGCCTTTGCTCCGAGATGGGAGAGCATCAAAGGCAAGGTGAGATTGGACGGTGGCGTCTAAAGGACAAGTTTTGATCCTACCATGGTTCTTCCAGCTGGCTCTGGCAATACTCTAATTCCACACATCTTGCGCCCACATCCCTGTCGGCAATCATGAGCAATATGACCTTTGCATCTTCGGCGCTCCCCTACGTTGCATTTACACATGAGGACTACCTCCGGAGCCCAACATTCACATAGACTTTCTTTATCCTTGGTTGCACGGGGGGCTTGGGAATGATTTGCACTCCTATTTCAAGACGCCATTCATCATTGGTGTCTATTGGTGTCTGTTGGCTGAGCTAAATAAGAGGCACACAGCTGTACTGTACTATGGACAACGGTCTCTCCTCCTCCTTTATTATTATTGAAGGAACATGACAGAATAGCAACCTACTTTCCTAATTAATCGAATCAAAAGTCTTCAGTCCCATCTCCCTCCACATAAGTTATAACCCACATCACCGCCACCCATTGTAATGTGTTTCAGATATCATCCTCGTCCCCAACACATCATGACCTGTCTCGGCGATATAGCTATAGGATATCATCAACGAATGAATACAGTACCTCGTCCAGGTGCAGTCAGAACAAACTCAAGCCCGTCAGCACCAGCCCAGGGCTACCCGCTCCTCCATGACGTGAAGGTAAGCCGCCCTGTATGCACGTCAGCTCCCCGCAAACAATACACACATACATTACATACATACATACCTGGGGCACATACATGCACGAATGCCTGGCTTGCCGGTAAGACTGACGACAGACAGACACAGAAGCTTGACGACTCAGGAGCAACATGTCAGATGTTTGGTAGGTAGCTTAAAAGATCCTCGTTGTATGTACGTCTCCGTAGCCATGTGTTTCCATCCGGCCGTCCATCAAGCGTCTAAGGAACGGCTTGCTTGCTTGGATCAGAAGGGTGGTCTCACGTTCATGGAATATACCTCATTCTTCGATCGGATGTTCTTCATACTGTCATCATTGGGGCCCCTCAGTTTCTCGGCCTATGGACAGACACGATCGAAGTAAAATGTTCTTCCGAGATGTTGACACCGATTCAAAGTAGCAGCAGGCCATAACTTTCCAATGAGGACGCCAAACCGATTCCCAATCAATTGTCACGAGTAATACATATGAGCTTGCTATGGCTAGCTTTTTCATCTAAATCCATATTGTCGTACTCCTGATATCACCGGGAGACTTTCCATAGATACCCAAGTTCATACACGAGCCAACAAGTTCACACATTCATGAGAAATCCCGTAGCTAAGTTTGTGCTTATATCAACATCATATCTTATCAATGCAGGGCAACCGCACCTTCGCCGTCGGTGATGCATCCATGACTGGCGTCGGAAACCAACTTGGCGTATTTTGCAAGAGTGCCTCTCGTGGCACGAGGCTCTGGTCTGTTTGCCGCCCACTTCTCGCGTCTGCTGACGAGTATCTGTTCATCGACCTTCAGGTCTAGAACTCTCTTCTCTGCGTCAATGACGATCTCATCGCCATCTTCAACCAGCCCGATAGGTCCACCTTCCATCGCCTCAGGAACGATATGGCCGATGAGGAAGCCGTGGGATCCACCGCTGAACCGACCATCGGTGATAAGTGCGACGTCTTTGCCTAGACCAGCACCCATGATTGCAGAGCTGGGTTTCAACATCTCTGGCATACCGGGGCCACCCTTGGGACCTTCATAGCGGATGACCACTACAGTCTTTTCACCTTTCTTGATCTCTCCGCGTTCGAGTGCTTCGATGAAGAGATCTTCTGCGTCGTAAACTTTGGCTTTACCCGTGAACACTAGACCTTCCTTTCCGGTGATCTTCCCTACTGAGCCACCTGGCGCGAGAGAGCCTCGAAGGATCTGGATATGGCCAGTGGATTTGATTGGTTGGGAGAATGGTTTGATGATGGTCTGATCTGAAGGGAAGTCTGCCGCAGATTCAACATTCTTCTTCAATGTCTGTCCTGTAACAGTCATGTGGTCACCCTTGACGACCCCCTCTTTGATGAGGAATTTCAACAACGTAGGTATTCCACCGATATCATGGAGATCATTGAATACGTATTTTCCGCTGGGCTTCAGGTCGGATAGGAATGGTGTGCGGTCGGATACCGCTTGGAAGTCATCGATTGTGAGTTTAAGACCCACGGCGTCAGCCATAGCAATGAGATGTAGAACGGCGTTAGTGGAGCCTCCGGTAATCATTACGAGTACCATTGCGTCTTCAAATGCCTGGCGAGTCATGATATCACGAGGTTTGAGGTCGAGCTTGAGGAGATTTTTGATAGCACCTCCAGCTGCTAGACATTCAAGCTGTTTTGCTCTTGAGACGGCAGGATTAGACGCAGAACCCGGTAATGTCATACCAAGAGTCTCTATAGCTGATGCCATAGTATTAGCGGTATACATACCACCACAAGCACCACCACCTGGGCATGCGTGACGGATGATATCAAACCGTTGCTCCTCATTGATCTCTCCAGTAATGAATTGCCCATAAGCTTGGAATGCGGAAACGATATCAATATCGGCGTTGTTTTGAGTCGAGGCACAGCCTGGGGCGATAGAGCCACCGTAAACCATAAGTGAGGGCCGGTTTACACGGCCAATGGCCATCATAACCCCCGGCATATTCTTGTCACAACCTGGGATAGATATATTGGCATCATACCATTGTCCCTGCATGACAGTCTCAATTGAATCGGCAATGATCTCCCGAGATTGTAGACTGTAACGCATGCCAGTGGTGCCCATGGAGATGCCGTCTGAGACACCAATGGTGTTGAACTGCATAGGAGCAAGCCCCGAGTCTGCCACGCCTTTCTTGACAATATTGGAAAGGTCGAGTAGATGCATGTTGCAAGGGTTTCCTGACCACCAGACTGACGATATCCCGACCTGTGCTTTGTTCATGTCCGTCTCGTTGAGACCGGTGGCGTACAGCATTGCTTGTGAGGCACCTTGAGACTTTGGCTGTGTGATCTTTCTCGAGACTTTATTGAAGCCCGAATCGTCGGAGGAGGAGCCATCTTGGCTAGGTCGTGAGGATGAGAACGGCCGATAGCTAGTGATGATAGTCAGCATTTATGATGAATAGCCAGTAGATGCATGGGATCCGAACTTACATGGTCTTTTTATTGAAGAGCTGTGTCTTCGCCTGCCGCAAGCGCAGACTTCTAAAGGCAGCTGAGGTTCTCATGGTGAAAGTTGCTACAGACAACCGGACGTTGTTACTGTGTATGGTGATGTAGAACTGGCAAGCACCTCCCTTCCTCCACGCGCGGTCTTCTGGAGTAATGAGGTGGTTCAATTGCCAGTGGTGATTTGGGAGACGTGCAATGGCGATGGGAAAAGTGACGCTACGGTGCGGGCAAGAAAAAAGTCGGGGAAGGAAGGTACCTGAGGAAGTCACCAATCACAAGCGGCATAATTATGACTGAAATGGGGAAACTTCGGGGAGGAAGGAGCGACTCCGAGGAGTGGAGAGATGGCATATAATCTAAGTCTACGAGTAAGGCTTCAAGACGCTGTAATCAGAAAAGAATTGCCCGAGGTGGCCAGAGATCCTCTGTTAGATGGCTGAATACCTATCGTAGATACCTAAGCATCAAAGCATTCATCATGGCAATACAGTCAGCCTAGTCGTCGACATATGATACACTATCCGTACATTTAAATCTATCCCTGTCAAGGAGCTGCCTTCAAGCCTTGTAAGCAGGCCTAGGCCTAGAGGTGTTCAAAATAAACCGAGTACTCAAACAAGGCCAATATAACACAGCACTCCAGGCCTTTGGCTTCCTCGAGCGCTTTCGTTTTCATGGGTATCACAATGATTCCTCCTCGACCCATCTAAGGCCACCATCAACTTGTATCCCGTCTCGAACCCAAGTCATGTCTCGAATCTCATTCAGAGGTTTGCGTCTCGTGTTTCGTTTCAACAATCCATCCACACAGGATCGGGCCCCTTCGAATTCTTGACCTTTTTCACTGTCCCAATCTCCATCCTCGTCGCCATATTTAACCCAGGCCCATTCACATCGTGCGATCCGGTGTGGCGTTCGAGCTCGGAGGACTGCTGGGTCTCCTCGCGCTCCTGGCAACGGATCAAAAGGTAGTCTACCCTCCATCAATGCATATAATAGTACACCCAATGCCCAAGCATCGGTTTGTCGCCCATCATAGGGCTGGCCCATGAGAATCTCCGGCGCTGCATAATCTTCACTTCCGCATCGTGTACTGAGAAGTGGGCTCTCCGGCGGCTCTGGGATACGCCGGGAAAGTCCAAGGTCTGTCAAAGTTACCACGGCTCTGTCCAATTTCTGCCAATCAGCAACATCTGGGTGGACTCGAACTGGAATATTTAGCAGAACGTCTAAGAATCGGTTAGCAACCCCAAAATGAGCACGAACAGCACAAAACCCACTCTCAAGTTTGATGTCTCGATGGACAATGAACTTTTGGTGCAAGTAGCGAACTGCCGAAACCAATTCTGCAAATATCCTTCGAATCAGAGGCGGAACCAGTACGTCACGATTCTTACTCGCGACTTCGAAGAGATCATTTCCTGGACAGTAGTTCATCACCAAGAGTGCCCGCAGATTGCCATCATTCCCAAAAGCTTTCAAATGCACCAACGAAGGGTGTTGGACCGCCTTCAGGAGATCCACTTCTCTTTTGAGGCCGATCTCAATTCTCTCTGCATCTGCACCGCCCGCCGGTCCATGTTCCACAACTTTAACTGCCACTAACCGTCGTGATCTTGCCCGAACTCCCGCCATGTTGATACTGTCCTGACGATAATCAACACTATCTTTCCGATCACTGACCTGTCGGACAGCAAGGTAGACCTTGCTAAAAGTCCCTTGACCGAGAAGTCGAATAGCTTCATATGATCGTGGCTCACCAGTGACGATGCGCTTCGCGTGAAATACTTCTAGTCGGGCTCGCTTCGGCGCAGGTTCTTCATCATGGCTGAACTGCATCACCTGATCCTCTAGAATTCTCGGTGGACTCGGAGAAGCTGAAGAGGGCTCGACAACACCACGCTGGACCCCTAAATATTCTTCACGGTGCATGGGCAAGTTTCTGCTCTTGTCTGGTGGGGCCACAGAGGTAGACACGGCAATGTTCCGTGGCTTTGGAGAGACCACAGTCTCTGGCACATAATCGCTGATACTCCTCGTCCGCGGATCGTCGAGACTCGACTCGTGTTCATCAGACGTGCTCGGCCTAGAGGTAGTCTGTAACCCTGGATAACCCTTGCGTCGCGGAGAAGTAGGAGAGAGACTGTGTGTCGGATAGGCTGGAGGGGCCATATCTTTGATGGACGAGACCGAAGAGGCGCGTGATCTAGTCAGAGCTTTCCACGACTCAAAGGCAGCCATCGTCGGCGAGGGTAACGGAGTGATATCTAACATTGCGGCGATTTGCGGGGAAGAAATGACGGTGCCTGGAGATACGGAGCCGGCTGACGAGTGTAAAAGATTTCTCACGCTAGGAGCCCTTCGCGGAAGACTTGAGGTGGAATTGCTGGAACGTAGCCGTGACTCCGAATCAACAGAATATGTAGATCCTGACCGCCTTGGTGGATGAATATCTGTTCGAATGTGTAGACCACTGAGAATATGTGAGGGGTCGTGGTGCAGGACATTGAGTCCGTTGCTCGCCACTGGAGAGACATGGAGCTGTGCATTTTGCAGAAAGGCTTGGTTGTTTGCTTGAAATGCTGTGATGTTTTGCTCAGTCAAGGCTCGGTCGATAGGATTGGTGAGAACGGTTTGGGCTGGAGGAGTCAAGAGAAACTTCTCATCCGTCCATGAGTCCGATTGACTCGGCCGCCCTCGTTGAGAACTAATGGAACCGCTCTCTGAGAGGTGGTGGCGATGAGGAGAGGTGTGGGTAGAGTAGGAGGGAGTGACTGAGGGAGGAGGAGGAGGAGGTCGAGAGTCGGTCATGTTGTTGATAATGATGGAGGAGCAAGCAATGGACTTGGAGGCCCTTTATTGTGGGTTTTCTTCCCTTTTGACGACTGCATGAGAGGTTTCAATCTCAAAGTATAATGCCACAGCTTCATCAGATATGGGCCCAAGATCAAAAGATATCCAGGTAGTTGTTATCTCTGAGAAGCATGGTTCTGATGTTGTGCGTTGCTTAATCAATCGGATAGGTCGATACGATGGAAGATGGCAGCGGTAATCAAAGAGGGTTCTTCGCGAAACAAGCAAGCTCACCGCGTCGTCTCAATAAGAGTATCAACGAAGGAGGGGGACGTGAATGGAGGGCCGCAGGGCAGTGGCGGTTGTGAATGGCTGCAGTGGTCGAATGAAACACCAAATAAAGTGGGAGGCAGAAAAAGGCGGGCGGGAATCGTGTGAACGAATCAAACTCGCAGGTGCACTCAGGCACGCTGCAGTTGGATTCGGGTCCTTTTGCGGGACACTGGGCAGGGAGGTCACTCCGCTCAGACCAGGCATTGTGGAGGGATAAAAATATCAATGAAATGGTATCAAGCACGGAGTTCCCAATCAGGCACCCCGAGGAATTCGATAAGAACTCCGTATGACAGGATACAAGCATGGGGCAGACACAAAGGATGAGAGGCATGCCTCGCCGAGGGGAATTTTGGGACTCACCTCGAGTGTTAGGGACACTTTCAGGGCCTATTTTAGGTTGAGAGATCATGTCATTCTTACCTGAAGCATTACTTCCAGGCGTCCTTATAGGGGTGAAACCCGGCCCGGAGTTCAATAATAGGCGCTGGGTCAGCGATCTGGGTTCGAATTGCAACGATTCCGGGTCCGGAGTATAGAAAATCCGTATTCACGCTCTGGTTAGAACAACTTCAACTCCATGCAGCGTGCTCTGGCAGGATGTTCTGATCCTGGCAATCGGAGTGTACATGATCTTCGTCTTTTCAGGTTCCTTGTCTCCGTCTGCCACGATACTGTAAGAGAAGTGGTAAACAGTGAGCGTAGAAATGGTGCGATTCAGGTGTTGAACCTCCGATTGCACTACAGTGCCAGTGCTCAGCTCTGAACCCTCTCTTGGCGTCACGTGGGCGATCTTCACCACAACCTTTCCAACTTAGACAGCCGGCTGCCGGGACCACATCCCCGAAGGCTTACCCACGATCGTCACTGTCGGTCCCACGAATTGGATAGATCGATGTCCGTGAATAAAGGGTCTGCGATGCCGAGCGGGACCGATCACTTTTGGAGGTTGGATGAACTCTATCCTTCATGACTACTAAATGTCATCAGCACGTGGGATGGCTCAACCATGTAGACAGAAACAACCTACTTAGGCAACGACTAGCTCATTATCTCGCTGCTATCGAAGACGCAAGCAGAAGAGAGAGTCAGTCAGTCAGCGAGATTTCCGAGAACTGACTCGACGTAACGTAGTTGGTGCCTCGGGATCGACGCTGCCGCGAGGCGAGATAAGCGTGCTCTGGAATACTTCATCGATCATGTCCGAAAAACTGCGCCTCAACGAAATCTAGTTGGAGTTACTGCTTCCACGCTGAACTCCATAGCTTGGGCACCGAGTACTGGTGGTTTTCGGTTCTCATTTTGAGGACTAACCAGTCAGTTGGCCGGAACCTCCCCGAGCCACCCCGATTGACAACTCCATGCCTAGAGATGGGAGCTAACTGCGCAAATGATATCCCCACCACCTGAGTGGCCTTGATTAGACTTCACAAGTGACTACAAGGTTGCTGGATCATCGGGCCGGTCGGGCACGTTTCCAACACAAATCACGGAGAAAATCATCTCGCGAGGGCCCCCAATGAACCGAATTGTAATGTTACAGAAAAGAAAATCCCTAAAGGCTAAAGTTTTAAGAAGTCAACATGGAAATCGAAATTCGCCAGCGTGCCCAACATGCTCTCCAGTGCAAAGCAAATGTCTCCCTAAACCATTCCCATGCCCAAGTGGCAACGCCAACCAACGGAGAAGTACGAATAAGTAACGGCATAAGCTCGGGGACTGTCACACTCGGTATTAGACTTTTCTCCAGAGAAAGACCCTCCGCTCACATCATATGCCTCAGACCTAGACAATTCGTGCCTTGACCATCCGCGGTTACCTCGAGTCTGAGTGACAGGACTAGGATCGATCTCGTGCCAAACGAGTTTAGCAATCAATTCCAATGGCGCGTAGTCGGTCCCGCGCTGCCACATTTGCGCTGTCTGCTTCA